CTTATTATTAGGGCTAGTTCTTTTATAAGTTTATTAAAAGCTTACCTTATTTAGAGGCCTTTTTAATTAGTTTATTTAGGATTTATAATCTTAAGATATATTATAATCATATTATTTCCTATCTCTTAATTACTAGCTAGAATAATAAATATTTCCACTAGCTTTTTTATTACTATATCTTAAATAAAGGCTTTTAGAATAGCTAGTATTCTAACTATATTTAAAATACTAAAAGTAATTATAACTAGCACTTTCTCTTTATTTACTTAGCTAATAAACCTTAATCTAGTCTACTTAAAGCTTCTTTATTAAGAAAGGATAATATTATACTATTTAAATTAATTTCTATTACTTAAGGAAGTTATAAGGTTTCTAAGGATTAAATAAACCTTTTTAGTCCTGTCCTTAAATTACTAGCTAATACCTATTAATACCTTAGGATAATAAGTTAGATAAGAAGTAAGTAATAAAGAATATTAAGCTTATAATTAATAAGCTAGTAAGTAAGAAATAATATATCTCTAGCAGGTAAAATAAAGCTTTTTAATACTAAAAATATAAAATTAAATAATTAATTAATACTTATTTTTTAGAAATAATATTCTTTATATAATAGATCTTACTTTATTTAATATGAATAAAGTTTATATTTAGAAAATCTATAATTTTAATACTATATCTAAGAAATCTAGGATATAACTAGCTTGTATTTAGGATATTAAAGTTATATCCTAGGTATATCTAGTATATATTCTATCTATTTAGGCAGTATTAAGCCTAAATCTAGAGTTTTTAGGTTATATTTAAGCTAAACTATTTCTTTAAAATATAAACTTTACCATTCTTATTTAGGTAAAATATTACTTATCTTAAGGCTATTTTCTTTTATATATTAATTAATCCCTTATCTTTAGTATCCTATTAGTAGTTATTGATCCTCTCTTACCTAGTATTTCTTTTTTATTCTAGAGGTAACTTATATTCCTCCTTTATCTTAAAATTCCTATATTATTTACTCTTTTTTTCTTAAAGTATAAGTATAAAAATAGTATTATAGAGATTATAGGCTCCTTTTTGTAATAATATTTTTTCCCTTTATATTCTTTATATTATAGTAAAGTAGTAATATTTTCTATTATTACTTTTCTGTTTATTTCCTTTTCTTTTATTAAAAGTAAAATACTATAACTTACTTTTAGTATTACTAACTTTATTAATTAATTTATAAATCTTCTTTTTCTCTTATATAAGCCCCTTTAATTATATTTTAAAGTATATCTTTAATTTATAGCTTAGATTTAATATTAGGTTTAATACTTTTAAATCCTTTTTATTATTTTTACTATTACTAGTTTTATTCTTAGAATTAATAACTAGGTCTACTAGAGGTACTAACCTAATTACCTTTCTTCTTAATTAATTAATTAACTTAATATTTAATAATCTAGAGGTAATACTAGTTAGAGATGTAGTATACTCCCTTTTCTTTTTTATCTTTAAATCCTTTTTATAGGTCTATTAGATATTATTATTTTAAATAAACTTCTAAAACTAATAATCCCTATATACTAATTTTTTTAGAGGCCTTCTATTAGGCTTTTAAAGGAAATAGAAGTTAGTTTTAAGGTAATACTTAATAATATGAAAGGGTATATTTTATTTCTTAAGTATTTTATATTTAATTAATATATTATTTACCTTTTGGATATTATATTTAAGGATAAAGTCCTTAACTCTTAATAACCTTATATATTATAAAGTCTACTAAAAACTTATTTATATATAGGGGAAACAGTTTAATTCTTATAATTACCTTATTTATTAGAGTTATAGAATTAATTAAATAGAAATTCCTATCCTTTTTAATAACTAGAAATTAAGGGTTTTAATAGGCCTTATAAGATTCTTTTAATACTCCTTATATAAGACTACCTTTAAGACTTATAAAGGAGCTATAATTAGGTCTAGCTATTTATATTTTAAAAAGTCTTATATTAGTGCCTTTTCCTAATTATATATTATCATAAGAAATAAATCTAATTTTACTGCTATTAATATACTACTTACTTAATCCTTTAGAGCCTAAAGCCTATCTCCTTTTAATTAGCTCCCTTACTTAATCTTTAAGAATTTTAAAGTAATTTACTTAAAATACGTTATAGTAGTATTTAATATATCCTTAGTTTTAGCCTATTTCTTTTCTTTTTAAAAAGGGTTACTATTTAGAACTAAATTATTTAAAGGTATATTATTTATAAGGTAGATCTTAACTGTTTTATATTTATATATTATATTAACCTTAATATTAGTAGTTGTAGAGTCTTTATTTCTTTTTGATTCATTCCTTTTTTTTTAAAGGCTATATTCTTTTTTAATATAGCTAGGTCTATATACTATTTAATCTTTTAGCTAATAGCTTTAAGGATCTCTATATATTACTTTATATCTTCTTATATAATTAGCTTAATAACCTTATTTATAAAGTCCTAGCTTATTACTTTACCTAATAATAAGATATTATTTTTTTCTAAGCCTATTATATCCTTAACTCCTAGCTTAGTAATAAAGTTAATATATATTTTAAATTAATTAATCTTTTAATTCTAATCTTTACTAGCTCTTATTTAATTAAATTTATAGCTAAGGTAATAAACTTTATATTACCTAGCTAGTATATTAATAGTATTGATTTATTCTATAGTAAATAATTAAATATTACCTAAATAGACTTAATAAAAGGTATCTTTAAGATAAAAAGGACTGTTATTATATCTACTAAGGTAATAAAGAAGTATTGTATTATAAGACCTAGGTATTTACTAGATATACTTTAGCTTCTGTTTAACTAATTATCTTTAGTTTATTTTCTGTAAAAGATATTATAATTACTTTAATATTAATTTACTTTAGCTTATAGTTTTTAATAATCTTTTTTAAGAATATTCCTCTTAAAGCTAGTATTTATTATAGCTTTAATAACTTTACCTTTTAGATTATTAAGCCTAATTATAATTTTTAATAATTCTTATAATTATATAATACTATCCTTAAGGTAGAGGTTAATAGTAATATTATTAATTATTATATCCCTTACTTCTTTATTATAAAGTATTATCTCTTTTTATAAAGTATTTTTAAATACGCTTAGTAAATTTATTAACTAAATCTTTATATCTTATTATTTAATAATTTAGATAACTTATCTAGTTTTATATAAGGTGCCTTTATTCTTAATAATTATATATTTACCTTTCTTTAATAGAGGTTCCTTTTTTATATCCTTTTTATAGTTTTATATAAGTTTATCTAATTAATTATTTCTTTCTTTTTTACTAGTTTTAATAAAAATAATATAAATACCTACTATTTTACTTATTTCTTATTAATAGCTATTATTATAATCTTAGCTAGTAAATTAGATTAAACTATTTTAATTAGTATTTGTATCTTTAACTATTATATAGAAAATCTTAAGTATAATATTTATTATATTTTTAAACTTTTTTGTAATTTCTTTACTAACCTATAAGTTAAGGGTTATTATATTAATAATAAATAACCTAATTTTCTTAAAGTAAATATCTATTTTTATTTAGTTATAGATAAGGGTTTAATATAATTTAAGGTTATTTAATCCCTTAGGATCTTTCCCCTTTTTAATAAAATTAGGGCTTCTTAAGTCCTTTTCTATTATTTATCTCTCTAGGATTTTAATAGCTTCTAACTCTTCCTTATCCTTAATATATATATACTTCTTAGTATTTAAATTAATATTAATATTTAAAATCTAGATCTTAATAAATAAGAGGGGCTTTTAATTACTTAGTTTTATATCTTTATTATTATTAAATATAATTAGATTTATTTAGGTTAATTCTAGGGCTTAAGTTAGCTAGGTAGAATTATATAACCTATTAGTAACCTCTATTAGTAAATAGATATTATTATTAAGGTAAGTAGATAAGGGACTAAATACCTTAAGGTTATAAGGCTTCTTATTTAAGTATTTTTAGATAATTTCTTTAATTTTACCCTATATATTCTAACCAATCCTTTTATTATTATATTTCTTTATAGTTATTATATTATAATATAGGTATAGCTTAGGGAACTATTTAATCTATATAACTATTATTCAAGGGTGGCTGGCTTCCTACCGTATCGAATTAAATGCTCCTTTTCGCTGTGCTTGAATCGTACCACATGTGGTTAGCGTCCATTACCGTTTTCAACGGTGAGGTGGGGGTATCGTGGACGGTTCTCCAACTCCACTCAGCGTAGAGCAGAACGCGTATCGCGACACCCACCGAAATCACTCGACACGTACACCTGTTTGCACAGTTAGGCTCAGCCACATTTCTTTCTTTTCAAACACAGTGCCTCTACAGACAGCGCACTCACCTTTTTGCTAGCGTTTCCTATCTCCAAGGCAAATGATACGCATGGCTCGCCCGCCCCGTTTCTGCCCATAGCGGTTCCAATTCGACAGAGCACCTTGGCATCTTGCTGTATAGCTACCACGACCGAGGCGCAGCCCAAAGCAGGACGTCCAATATCACACAGAGCAACCTGCATCGCCCCGCATCACCTGCCGCCAGCTCCAATTCCAGGTCAGGAAGACCGCCCGCATCGAGACGTCGACCAACACCACCATCATCCTGCTGAGCGCTGTGAACGTGACTATCCTTCCTTGACTGTCATTCGGCCTGCTCAACGCGAGGACGCGCATGGCACCAGATTAGCAAAAACGGCAACACGGTGAAGATCAAGGATGAGACATCCCGAGACCTCTCTTGCTTGCTTCCTCTCTCGCAGCTTCTCGATGTCCGGTCGAAGTTGGTTTCGAATTGACCACGCCAGGATGCCTTCGTCCGCAGCACAACAATCGTCAGTCCAGCCAAGAACGTCGCCCAGACGATGAGAGCACAGATATGAGCAGGAATGGTCCAAACCTCGACAGACAGTAAGTGGCCTCCGGGAAGGGATAGTGCTCGCTAAAGATGTCTACCTCTTCTTCCTCTCTACCGTTCACGATAGCCGAGGACGATACAGCTCAACCTGAGAATCCAGGCGGTGCTTATAATTCCATGAGCCGACTTGAGAACAGCCCCATAAGAAGTTAGCTCCCAAACGATCTGAACGGCCTCATTTCAAGACTGAACGAGCTAAAATTAGATCCTTCTTCCTCTATTTCCCGCTCTAGAGTTGTTGCCGTTGCGAATGAAGATGAGGGGGCCATAATGAGGGGCGATGGCAAACCCGTCGATTTCCCATCGGGTGGCCTTTCGATTCAATAGTCACCCGATAAGCCGTATTTCACTATTAGCTCGGACAACATAACCATATCAGGTTACTATTCACCCGGCGCCGATGACATAATCATACACAGACGCGAAACAATCGAAGTCGAGCTTGCCTCATACTCTCCAGTTATGAATGAAATGACCCCTCTTCGAAGCGTCAAGGTCCCCTTTTCATTGAATACCGATCTATGGCAAATATCTGAGTCCGGGCGAATGCAAATCTATCTTTATATTTTTCCAAAGGCATACGTCTTACACATCAGCTCGGGACCATCAAAGAGACCACGTTTAGAGAGTGGAGAGACCGCGCCTTATCCTCGAAAAAAGGTTCACCTTATGCAGCCACGGCAGAAGAAGCCAGTCATTCAGATGCCGAATCTTACTAAGGAGGCGACAAAGACCAATGTCAAGACTGGAACATCCAATCTTGAATTGCTCAGGCCCTCTAGTAGTGTTCGATGGTGTGGTCTGAATACTGCCTTTCGCATCGACACTATTTCCACATCGCCACGAGGACGACGACAGAAGACAAGGGACTGTTTTAAGCTTAGTGCACTAGAGTTGGTGTTTAGTCAATCAAGCACTACCCGTGTTTTCACAGGACAGCATGCTCAACATGGGCTGGTATCGTTCAATGCAGCCTCTTCAGCAACTGGTTGCAGATGTAGAGTGCGAAGATGTTTGTCATCATGCGCCGGCGCGCGTGTATAGACGGATGAAGAGTACCGGCAGGGCACGGAGGAGTGTAGGACTAACCCGTATTTGGCTTGTTGGTAGACTCCAGAGAAGCTCAGTGCTGGGAACTTTCGTCTAGTATGTGTCCCAAACCTCTTGCGCCTTATCAACCGCATACAGCCAGCCATGGGGGCCTCGTGCGACACCCCACCAGCACCCGAGCAAGTGTCGAACATTGTGTACTGCTGTCAGCGGCTTTGACATCTGTGGCTGGCTATCGGGCATTCCAGATCGATGAAGTCACTGTCGATGATGAAGCCCACTAGCCTCCTTAACCGTAACTCCTCGCCAACTGTCACAGAGGGCTTTCACTCCAGATATTAGACGTCAGCTGCACCCACCTTAACCAGGGACTCCTCCATCTGCTTCCTTCGGCCGCCCAACTCCCGACGGTAGGTCAAGAGGCCTAATCGTTAGAAGTCAGGCCATGTTAGTGATGGTAAGTTGGTGTACCCAGGTGCTGTCGCATAGGTTGGCATCCAGGAATTCTTGGCTTCCTCGGTCGTCATCTCGATGGGTGAGCATGCATGCCTCATCTGGGAAATTCGGGGAGCTTGGCTACGCCGTTATAGGCTCATGTGACAGGTGTGCCGCGGATGGTAACTGCATTGGTCGATTGGCACCGAAGCACTACCTGGACCAGGACGAACTCGACGACTTAGGTAGCTGCCCAGGGGATATGCACACCTGAAGGAAGGAGCCTGCTGGGTAGCGACGCTGAGCAGCCAGATCGATGCCAGGACCAGCTGACCACGGTCGGCAAGATCGGTGTGGGCAGTCAGGTCAGTGATATCGTCAGCCATGAGATCGGCAACATTCTGGTCATTGTCGACTGTGCCGGGGGGGTAGATGTCTGAAATGTTCGGGAAGTCCAACAGATCTCTCTGTCAATAACATGACGTCGATTGGGATGGCGAACGGGGGTCGTGTTGAGCAGGAAAGTTGATAGTGTGTTGGGCTACTGAAGTCGGAGGGGCTTCAGGTGCATTGCGAGGGCGGGAGATGCGTCGTGAGTTTAGGCGCTTTGCGGGAAATTGCAATCATGTCACAAAATCCGCTACCCAGTATGCGCAAACCTGAAGGAACCTCCATCTTGATGCCTAGCCACGATATTCCACTCCCCTGCTACATCCCTGCTTCTTGTCGCTATTGTTAAGCGAATGTTTGGATCAGGAGCGGTCTTTGGATGCTTGTTGCGGCGCGAACGTTTGGTCGTGGGGAGGGTCTATCGGAGGATTGTTGTTGAGCAAAAGTCTTAATCGGGAGCGGTTCCTTGGGTGCTTGGTGTTGAGCGAAACAGGAGTCGTGTCTTGCATAACCGCGTTAAGCGAAACGTTGGACCAAGAGCGGAAGCCGCGCTGCTGTCATGTGTAACTTCGTTCTCGTACAGTCTTTCTCCAAGTCTGATCTCAATCGCAGGTTCGTCATCCGCAGAGGGTTTCTTGGGAGCGAAATCTCTCTCCGAGAGCAGTATCTTGGGGGCTCATCGTTGAGCGGAAGCTCGTCGCGGTCGGTCGCTTGGAAAATTGTCGTGGAGCGAAAGTTGATTCTCGCGGGCACTTTCTTCGAAGCTCGTCGTGGAGAGCGCTAGTCCTTTACTAAGGGGAGCGTCTGTCGGAAGCTCAAGCCAGTGTTCGTCTTTGGGGGAGGGTCTGGAGCACTAGAGGCCAGCTTGATCTGTCAGTGAACAATACAGCCTGCATCCAAAGTCCATAACATACCGGCATGCTTATTGATGGAAGCAAGATAGAGCAGGGTGGAAGAGAGGGGCAATTGCTAAAGTGGTGGGGTTTGGAAGCGTGGGTACGTGTCATGCGCGTCATGCGGGGTGTAGGATGCAACCAACTACCTACCTACGCGTCAGTCCCGCGTTTCCGCTCAAACTCTAGATTTCGCTCCCCGATTCACGCAGCAAACGTGAATATGGCAATGCAGATACCGACCGCCGGAGAATAACGTCCAAAGCCGGAGCAAAGAGTAATGCCATCAGACCCGACAAACTCCCTCCTAGCGGCTCCCCAAACCGCACGTCGACCCAAGCATGACCCAAAGCCAAACTCTTGCGACTCCGACATCTTCGTCGATGTCTTCCGCTCTTGACGGACCGAACCCCTCTCGACCCCGCTCCTACCGCGTAATTTCCAGTTGGCACCGATTCAAAAGCTAGCGTGACCCATCTACTGATAGGCCTCGTGGGAACTCGCACATTGGAACCTGTCAGGTATCGAGATTCTATAGTGTATAGATGCTCAAGAACACAGCGTTGATCAGAGACGCCAAGATGAAGGGGTCTGGGAACACGAGCAGATCGAAGAACGAGCAGATCTCGGACTTGGAGTCTTCGACAACGGCGGTGAAGAGCTCTTCCTCTATCATAGCGATCTCGGGGATCGGCTCATACTTGGAGTTAAAAAGATCTCCTCGTCGACCAGGCCAGTAGTTAGACTCATAGTAAGCCCTTGCAGTTCCTCATGCCAACAGGCCAGTAGAGTTGCCTCTTCCCCAACTCGACCTTGGTCGTATCTATAATCGACCATACGTAGACGAACGTGTTGACCGTGGAGCCGTCCCAGTTGATCGTGTTGTGGTTGACGTCGTACTCGTCCGCGATGAGGAACCAAACAAGTCCTCTGCGTGGAGGGTGGCTTGAGAAGATTCGACCAGGTCTTGCTTACCAAGTTGGAAATGATCTCGTAGTTGTTGACGATGTCAGACAGCTTGCAAGTTCTTACCACTCTCGTTTAGGTTCGCTGCGATCAATTGTTAGCATTACTCGTTAAAACATATTAAAACTTACTTTCAAGCTTCTTCTCATGCTTGCGAATGGCCTTGTTATAAGCCTTCTGTGCCTTCCTTCTCTGGCTTTCTGCCGTCTCCCTGTTTTCTATAAGAACAGTGTACGTAGGCTCCAGCGAATTTCTCTATCTAGGTATGTTAAAATGGCATTAGATAACCTATGTATTAGGTTTACTATTCCGCAGCTATTGCTAGTCATCGCTCATAAAATATTTCATCGACACTGCTTTCTGGTTATCTTGACTTCCCAAGACGTTCTGATTGACTTTCTCTACCATTGACAGAGCATTGCTTCGCAAGGAATCATGGAGAACCCGCGAGCCCTACTCATTTCTGCCATGCTTTCGGCATATGAATGCTCTTCATATGCCAAAATTATCCTGCTACATCGTTTACAATTATTTATGATCCTAATAAATACACTTCCATCGACCATCCAAGTGACATTTCCCAACATATCCACGTAAGTATACTCACAACGGCATAATAATCATCTGTCTCACTGCTCCCCAAAGACCCGAAATCATTCAAGAATCGTCTTCGTGGTACACGTCAACGAATCACAGGCGGTATCTTGCGAATGTGATCGATCTTTGTCGAAACCTTCTCCTGCAACAGGAAGGTGCCTAGTGTTGCCAAACATCATCAATCTTTTAGGAATACGTTTGCGAGAGACAGGCTGATGGGGATGTGGGAATGAATGGCGGATTTGATTGAACTGGTGGATATACTGGACCTTCATTTCTTGCCTCATGACGCGCCTTTCGCTTGATGATGTAGGCCATATGCGAGCAGCCCATTGATATTTGCTCTGCTATGACTCATACATGAACTTAATAATGAGACATGAGTATCTCCGATGGGCCTGATGTTGGGCGTCCGCGTGGGTTTTAGTGTCGTTTCGGCGTTGATAGCACTTGCTCTACAGAGCACTCCAGACTGTCAATCCCTCATACTGCAGGCCCTATGTGGACGGCTACATACCTCAATGGCCAAATAGCGAATACTGCACAGGGTGGAGACCCCACCTCTCATCGCCGTCCAGCGATTCCCTTTTTTTATTTCCCCTCTTTCTTCCTCTTCCTCAAACAGTCATGCCCTATCAGCCTCTCCGCAACATTGTTCTGGCTCGTCATTACAGAGATGGATGGCTGGAATAGGACGCGGGCCTTGTCGTCGTTGGTATGCCTCGGTCTGATGACCTTGGCCGATTGTGTGACCAATAGCCTGCTCCTGACTTTTGCCAGTGACTCTCAGATGCAGCCTGGTTCTTGGAACTTGAGAACACGCGCTATTGTTCTCGGAGGAGTGTCTGGTAATTCTTGACGCTCCATGCGCTATCACTCGCACTGCTAATTATAATTCAAGATGTGATAGGACAGTCTGTCCTTGGCTACGTTCTCAGCACCAGGTCGAAATATTGCGCCATGATCATCAATACGACGAGCATTCTTGCTGCCGCTATCGTCACACTCTCGAGCGGTACGGGCCCCTTGAAAACGATCTTCATAACATAATGAAACCTAACGGTGGCAGTTCTCTTGGGTCACAACCGGTCTCTCATGGCTGCTACAGGAGGCCGTTTGATCAAGTGTGTCGGAGGAGGGTGCCATGGATCAGTATTTCTTATGCTCGCCATACTTCACAGCCAGAAACCTCAACATTAGTTTGTCCACTCCCCTTCTTGTCCCACAGCCATCCATATGACAATATTAATGATCGATAGCTTTGCTTACCACTATATGACAGGGGCAATCGGAGTCCTGACCCAACCTCTCGGCTCCTTCTCTGCCTCTCGCTTATCCAGGCACAGTCACATTCTGCCTGGTGTTCTTTCTGGACTTTGTTGTCTCATGGCGTATTCTGTCATTATCTTCTTGAAGAAGATGGATGCCGATACGGAAGAACCGAGCCAAGATGAGTCTCGTCCTTTGCTATCACACCAGCAGCAGATCTTGCGTGTCGATGACGCACCAGCTAGCCAGATGGCTGTACCAGGATATATTTCCCGGTCCGGTGGTAGTGGCTCTCCCCTTAGAAGCCCAGACCTGAAGTTTCTCCCTATAGTCTTTGTCCTCATGGGTTTTTGCAAATCAACCCGTCCGCTCTTCACAACCTATATCCAGCACAGACATGGTGTCAGTCCTACAGAGGTACGAAACCGCCATTACCTTGCAGGTTGACAGCTGCTCACTTGAAGTTAACCGCTAGGCCGAGCATCTTTGGCTTGTTCGTACCGTTCTTAGCGTCGCGCTTTTCGTTTTTACTGGGCTGTACACTGCGTACATCAAAGAATCCGACTACTTCAACCATGTGCAGGCTAAAATTGCCATTCTATTCATTTCAGCTGGCGCATTAGCGATCGGCCTCCCTGGGTCATACAATACCATTACCATAGGTGAGCCTGCAAGACTACAATATGTGGATATCGCTCTCTGACTGCGGAAGCCCTCATCATCAATACCATTGGCGTCGTAACAGACCTGAGCATACTTGCTTTTGCATCCACTCTGCTCGAAAGGCGCGATGTAGGATCTGTACTGATGCTCATTGCATCAATTGAGAGCTTTGGAACATTGGCCGGGGTTGGAGCACTCTACCCACTCTATCAATTGAGTTTACGAGACAGCCTACCTTTTCTCGCCGGTGGTATACCCTACTACATTTGTGGGGTAAGTTATTCTGTTGTCTAAGCCGTCGTGATTATACCCGCTAAGCCCTAAACCCAGACGCTCTACGCCGTCGCTGCCGTTATTCTCTGGTCAGTGGGACCCAAGCCAGCAACAGAATGACCATGAAAGCTAAGATATGATGGGATGTCTGTACTCGTTCTCAAATGAAAATTATGTTCAAGTAGCAAGGCCCAACAGCATATAATAGACCTGAGGCGCCGTCAAGCTACCACTTCCAACGTAGGATTAGATACTTGGTGTTGCCAAAATGCATTTATTCCTCGTTGACTGATCAAGCCAACTGTTCAAGGCTCGGACCAACTACACTGCATATCCACGTGGACCACAAATAAGTGGCCCATCTCTATTACATCCACTTTGCTGGCGCTCAGCTTACGTAATAATCCACTACATTCCGACCTGAAAGTGGATGTAATGGAGTGGATTTAGGTATAGGGGGATATTCCCTGACCCTGAACGGTCCATAGTACTTCATTTTGTATATAGTTGCCTACCAAATCGAGGTACCTGGACTCATGGTTAGCCAAGGTCGATCACCCCCACAGCTAATCTTCTAACGTGATACGAGAAACTGCCCCTATTGATCGCGTTTTGTAAGATTTTTTGCTGTTGATTTTGCCAAAATAAAAATTGACGATGTCAGCCACCCAGCCAGGCCAACAGCAGCACCTCGAAGACCGTCTTTTTCGACATTTCAGAGGCTGGACCTGGTCAGAACGATCTCGTGATACTAGCTCTTGGCTGTGGGATTTTGGCTATGATATTCAACGTCATGGTTTACGCAAATGGGCTTGCAAGGACTGTATCCTCGTAAATCGTCCCACTATCGCGAGTTTTACCTCTTCAGGTCTCCAGAACGCGGCAAATCATCTATGGCGTGAGCACAAAACACCAGCGCCAGAGGGGGAGAAAAAGAGCACAGCACAGCTGAAATCCGAAGGCGCACTGAAATCGAACCAGCCGACTATTGCCTCTGTTTTGAAGCTGGACGTCAGCAAGCCTACGGAACAGAATATTGCGAACAACATCATCTCACGCTTTGATAAACCACGCTTTCAGCGTATGCTAGTCGAGTTAATCGTCAGTAGCAACCAGTCCTTGTCATTCGCCGAGAACCCCATCCTCCAAGAAATCTTCGACTATTTGAATCCCTCCGTTTCGATCCAACGCGCCAACTTGACTGCCAGGGCTGTCCGATATAAGATCATTCAAGAGTATGATCGCCACAGGCAGAAGGTTATCGAGGTGTTGAGGAACTCCCCTGGAGCGCTTCATATCTCATTTGATGGCTGGACGTCTCGAAATAAGCTTGCCCTCTACGGCATTGCTTGCTTTTTCAGAGATGAGAAGAATCGGCCATGCAAAATCATGATTGGGGTTCCAGAGGCTCATCGTCACTTCGGCTCCACGATCGGTGGGGAGGTTCTCGACGTCCTACACACCCTTGGCGTGGGTCCGGAAAAGATTGGCTATTTCACGCTCGACAATGCTGAAAACAACGATACTGCCATGGAGGTCATTGGTGCTGAGCTTGGGTTCGATGGCCGACTACGTCGAGGACGCTGTATTGGCCACACAATTAACTTGTCAGCCAAGGCGCTCTTATTTGGAAAAAACGCCGACGCGTTCGAGCAGCAATTATCAGGCGCAGAAGCGTTATCTGATACTGAATACGCTCGATGGCGCAAAAAGGGACCAGTTGGCAAGTTACACAACATCGTAGTTGATGTGCGTATTAGCCATCGGCTGATTTACTTATTCAAGGAGGTCCAGACGGTGAGCGGTTTTACTAAATCCTATTCGTCTCCTACTAATTCGGTATATCTAACAGGACGAAATTGATCGCGCCGCCACCCTTAAACTCCGATCCAAGAAACCACTTAAGCTAATTATCGATAACGACACGCGTTGGCTGTCACAACTCTACATGATCCGCAGGGCTCTACGGTTGAAAACCTCTATCGAACTCCTACTGATCAAGTATAAGGCGCAATGGGAGGACGAAAATAGGTCTAAAAAGACTGGCCAAGTAACACAAGCCAAGTTGGCGAAAAAACCACGCATCCTCCGAGACGAGAATCAGCTAACGGACAAAGACTGGGAGGTTCTTTACCATTTGGAGGCTATTCTGACTGTTTTTGAGACCGTGGTGAAGACGCTTGAGGGTGATGGACATATGCGCAGGCGTAAGAAAGGCTGGACTGGCTCCTATGGCAATATCTGGGACGTGGTGCTTGGCTATGAGTTGCTGCTTAACACACTGGAAGAATATAAGCAGCTTGCTGCTGACTTTCCTGATCCAGAGCACTTCCGCATTGGAATCAACCTTGCTTGGGATAAGCTGGATGAATATTATCGGCGGCTGGACGAGACGCCCATCTACTATACGGCTATGGCACTGCATCCAGCTTATCGTTGGGACTGGTTTGATGAAACGTGGGCTCATAAGCCTAGTTGGGTTGAAAAGGCAAAAGAGATGGTTGCCGACGTCTGGCTGTCCGATTACGCTCATCTCGAGGTTAGAACCAGCAGCAGCAGAGGCGACGACGAGCCACCGGCAAAAAGACCTCGGTTTTTCAACCCCTTCGAGAAGAACAGTCGTGTGCCGAACTCACTACCAGCCCACGCAGCAGCTATTGTTAGTGACGAGTACCAAGCGTGGCAGACGGATCGTGACGCCAGCGACGGCACCGTTCGTGATCCAATTGGTTACTGGATCACTAAGCAAAGCAGATATCCTCGGTTATCCAGGATGGCCTTGGACTTCCTGACGATTCAGCCGATGTCAGCCGAGTGTGAGAGGTTATTTTCAGCTGCTGGCAAGATGGTCTCGGGGTTGCGTACGAACCTGGATGCTGAGATCATCGCCATATGTCAGGTCTTACGCTCTTGGTACCGTGCTGGCCTTATCAAGGATCTGGATCCATTGCTTAAGTCACACCTTGAAAGTAAGCCTGATGCCGGTTGTGGGACTCTAAGCGACGGCGAGCTGGCGCTTGCTGAGACAAAATGGCTATTGGAGGGCGAGAATAGCGCCAGCGAGGTTGACGATTCATCACAGCAGCAACAGGCTGAAGAGTTAGTGTCAACCTCTAAAAGTGAGGCTGAATAGGCTCCCACGAAGTTGTGAATAGCCTCAGAATTCCACTTATAAATCCACTTATAAATCCATGTGTGTACATCCATTCCACTCCGGTCGAATATGTATTACATCCACTATGTAATTGCCTAAAAAATCGTACATCCACTCTATTTGGTCCAAAGTGGAGTGGATGTAGTGGTTCCGACCCTTGCAACTGTTCCAGGTCAATATGTCTACCAAAAGTGACGTATCTAAGAAATTGGAAGCGGTGACACTTTTCTTAAATTGTGAGGTCAGAAACGGGAGTCCAACTTACCATTTAAAGTTACCAGCGCGGGCCGGTTGAGATAACTATATCGAGTACATCAGGGGGGCGGCGTCGCAGACAGGTGTACGGGGTACGGATAAGATCCTCGATTGGAGTCCGCAAGCCCGCTAAACTGAGGACAGCTCAGGAGTCTAAGCTCACCGCCGTGAATGATGTATCAGATTTGGTTGACGTTAGGTCGTTGTAAAATCTGGCTCTTCTACACAGGCGGCTCTGGGCCGATAGGATAGCTTGTTGTCTCTCTTTTCATGAGAAGGGAAATAACGCAAGGACTCGGCTTTGTTCATGAGACGTTCTTATTCAATGAGGGAACATGGAGGTTGCCATCAAACCCGACGCGAAATTCAAGAGGTCACAAGGTTATCTTGATGAAACTTTTTCCGCATTTGTAATATTCTCTTTCAAAGTTAATCCCAAAGCAGTCGGGTTCTTTGTTGTCTGAATCCATTGTAATTTTACAGAGAACACTGAAGAAGCAGAAAATCCGGATCCTGTTACAGATTATTAAGGCAAACAATTTTTGGTATTACCTCAGTAAGGTCAGCCATTCAGGAATACTTCTGGACTCTAACAGTGCTGTTTCAACCCCCTAGTATGGCCTAATGGTTGGATTTCCAACGCAAGGCTGGGAGGCAGTGACTCAGACAACGCTCTGCAGCTTGACCAGGATAGAAGTCCGTTTCCAGTCTCCTAGAGATGGCAACATGCTACCGTTGGTACTCATGGTGATGTGCTTCGTTGCGTTTTCAGTCGCGTTCTAGAGGTTCACGGGCCGTAGATGCGTCGTTAGGAACGTCGGAAACTCGAGTCGGTGATGCCGTAGCGGGGGTTTCGGTATTGGAGGATTCCATCTCTTGTATTGCTGAAACTACGCAAGGTATGTGCACGCATTGGGGTTTCGATTGATTGAGGCGAGTTCAGTTAGTGCTGGAGACTGTTAGTGTTGAGGAGAGGTGGCGGAGACCTTAAGTTATGTCTTGCTTCCCCTTCGGTATTCTCGCATCATTACGCAGATGTAATGAGCACAGATATAATATAATGGCCGGCAATATACATTTCTCGGATAGTACGCGGAACATGTCGTCAAGTCTATATATTGTGAAATTCCAGTCGTCCCACTCTGCTATGCCGATACGGAACCAAGGCGTCGTCCTCAGTAGGTATAGGCATACACTCTAGCATCCTCAACATGTCGGTAGTTCAAACTTCGCCACAAGAGTGATAGAGACCAGGCCACCAGGAAACGGGCACAGAAGCGAGCACCCCACCTCTTACCATGGCACGATGATTGTCTTTTTCTCTATGCACGATGATCTCTTCCCGAAGGCCAATTCCTGTCTGTCACGGGATGGACGATACATGCTCGTATCCGTGCTCTCATCGTCTGGTCGACGTTCTTGGCTGGACTGACGATTGTTGTGCTGCGGACGAAGGCATCCTGGCGTGGTCAATTCGAAACCAACTTCGACCGGACATCGAGAAGCTGCGAGAGAGGAAGCAAGCAAGAGAGGTCTCGGGATGTCTCATCCTTGATCTTCACCGTGTTGCCGTTTTTGCTAATCTGGTGCCATGCGCGTCCTCGCGTTGAGCAGGCCGAATGACAGTCAAGGAAGGATAGTCACGTTCACAGCGCTCAGCAGGATGATGGTGGTGTTGGTCGACGTCTCGATGCGGGCGGTCTTCCTGACCAGAAACTGGTCACTGCTTTTCGAGCTGGCGGCAGGCGATGCCAGGCTGGCGGGGTGATGCAAATTCATCGGTGACATTGAGTGTCCTGCTTTGCTTAGGTTGCACCTCGGCTGTGGCCGGCTCATGCTATACAGGAAGATTCCAAAGTGCTATCGAATTGGTATGGCTATGAGGAGAAACGAAGCGGGAGAGCAAAGTTTATCATTTGCCTCGCAGATGAGATAAGAGTCAGGGTGCGTGAATGTTTTGAGCGCGGGACCAGAGGGAACGCCTGGCAGAAAGGAGACTGCTCTGTACGTAGAGGCATGTTTTTGACCAGAAATAAATGCGGTTAAGCTTAACTGTGCAAACTTGATTTAGGCTGGACACGTTGCGCGGTGCGCGTTGCGTATTACGTTCTGCTCCACGCGAGGTGGCAATCAACGATTACTTGGTCATCGGATCACACTAGCTAGGTAGCCGTGCGATCCTTGTCGAGGATTAGAGACCAAACACAAGAGATGGTATACCTAGGCTTTTTCGCGATTTGAACAACTTCTGTTTTCTCAATCCGAATATTAAAGCGATGCTGTATGCCCCATACAGTTTACATGCCGATGATTCATTTGGCTGTTCATGATCGGACAGAAGTCGATCTAGGCTCTCCCAGCGTGCAGGAAAGTGTTGCACGGTAGACTAGCTGCTGTTCGGAGTACTAATCAATGGATTCAATCCTCCTGAAACGAGAATATGCTTCCTGTGCACTGCATGCGGGAAACAGAGTATTGGAGGTCAATAGACTGTCCCTGCGGGAGACTGAGCCTTTGACGCCTTACACTGTCTTGTGTTAAAAGCAACCGCCTTATCTTGTTATCTTTCTTTATGGCCTCAGGCTTCATATTACGCGTTGTTGGATAGGCATATTGGCTTTTCAATACCTGTCCTAACACAGGTGCTTTCTTCCTCAAGGCTGCCAGTTCGCTTCCCTGTCATACATAGATAAATCTGCCAGGATTTTGAAGGGTAACGTCGAATACAGGGAAACCGGCCACCCCTAGAAACCGGCCACCTGGTATTTTACTATGGTAAAAGACTCTGTAGGCCTCGGGCATTAATTATATTTTGCTGTGGCGGCCGGCTTCCCTGTATTCGACGTTAGCATGTATTCAAGTAGTGACGTTTTGTGTATTTAATTAAGCGAACGCGAACGCAGGTGCGGATGCATTCCTTTAATGATATGATTTGTGTCACTCATGCTCGGCAATTAAGTGCCATTTCGTGTCCCAGTAGCCGGGTAAACTTGAGGCATAAATTCTGGCTGCGCCCCCTTTGGAGGTTTTCAACTTTTGCTCACCACGTGTCATCTAGACGCTGTTATTGCATAAAATCAACGGCGACCGCGGTCAATTTTTACATCATTCCACCTGATCATGGCTCCATTAGTGGTCTCGTCGACAGCCGCGACAATCAAAGAACTCCAGCGAAAGCTTTCTATCGCGACAGATGAAACTACCTACCTGACTAAACAAGTCAACGATGAGCGCATAATAAACGGTCGAGTACGTTTAGAATACGCAACGCTTCAGGGAGAAACAGAAAATTTGAAACGTGCCCTGGCAGAAAATGTTTTATTCACTGGAGCCATCACGCAAAGCTTCACAGAGGCGCGCTGGGACAACAATAGGTTCCAACGCGAAAACGAAAATCTTCGATCCGAGATTTGCAGGATGCAAAGCGAACGCGTACAAACGGACAAATACATAAGTGTTATCAATCAACAGCTACTAGAACGCAACCAGATGATAGAAGAGCTACACGGGCAAATTTCATCCATCTGGGACAAGGTCAATGCAATGAAGTCGTCCGAGATCGCCTCAGCACAGATTCAAAAGTGCTATAAGAGCCACACTGCCTTTCTGGCCAATTTTAACATGTCTGTGATCGCACAGATTGAAGCACTGGTGACGAGGTCGAGTCAAGAATCTTACGTCAAGCAGGAAGTGGAGAAGCAGCTCACCAAAGCTCGTTGGCACGCTACAAAGCTCAATGAAGAAAAACAAAAGCTTCGACGCCATCTTCAAAAGAGTCAGAAAGAGACAAAAACCCTCAGAAATGAGGTAAAGAAACAAAGCGATGCAAAGGAATTTCTCGAACACGAACTAAAAAAGTCTAAACAAGACGCAAACAATGCCCCTAGTAAAGGACACATTGTTACGGAAGGACAGTTCCAGCATATCCAAGACGCTATCACTCTCTGCCCTGAAAAAGCGATGGGGGAGGTAGAGCGTCTCAAAAGACAAATCGAGGAGAAGGAGATCAGAATCCAAGAGCAAGTCATGCTCCAGAACAAATTAGAAAGTTCTATCACAAATCAGGCGGAAGAGCACCCCCTTACATTACAGAACTCAAGTGAACTTCAGGAACACCTCAATTCTCTCGGGGAAGAGTTCCGACACGATGCGGGCCTTTCCGAGGCCGTTGGTGATCTCAAACAACAGGTTGCAAAGCAGATGGAGCGGGTGAGCGAGCTAGAAGCTCGTAACGAGATTTTAGAGGACGAATGTGCTCAACTGAGGGACGACGTATTACAACATGCCAAAAGGTCAGAGCTGCTGAAGCAGGAAGCCTTTTACTACAAAGGCCGCAGCATAACTGACGAACGTGATATTCTCGATGCTCTTGGGAAAAACCGGTCACAACTCTCTTGTCACATCTACGACACAATACTTGACGTTACGAAAGATATCAATGACGTCTACGACGCGAATGGTGCAGTTCATATTTTGGAAGGATTTTTTGTTGGCGTCGAAACCCGCATTAACTTGTTTTTGCAACAAGCCAGTAACGATGCCGTGATGTTTCAACATCTCATTGATGAACTCAAGCGTCTCAACCCTGCCCCCTGGTATAAAGATAGCCTGGTCGAGGCCCAAGATATGTACGAGAAAACTGTTCGTCTCAGGAAAGCCGCATTATCGTTTCGGCAAGATGCGTCCCGTGAGCTTCAGGTCTTAGAGTCGTCGAAGCCCAACGTGCTTCCTTTTCCTGTCCCTATGGCGGAAAGGCAGACCCCTTTGTCTGGAAAGGTTCCTACAGCGAGACTTTTGTTATCTCATGTACTTGTTACTGTTGTTCTATGGATATGCAACTGGATGCCATTCATTCTTCGGTCATTCTTAGTGGTGTTCGCATGCCATTTTGGATACCTTTGGGCTGCGCGTGCTCAGGAGGCTTGCGAGAACAACAGTCGAAAATACCTGGAGTCGATATGCGGAGATCCCGTCGCTGGACAGATGTCTGCGGTATCCGCTCGAGAAGCGCACAAGCAGTTTCTGGCTTCATCGTCCGCAGCCCAGAGTAAACGGGATACGAGGCATAAAAATAGAGGCAAAAAGAAGAGAAGATAACCAGACAGGGATGCAGGTGGTTTATTCGTGGTTCTTGTTTCAGCGCTCTCAACAAGACAAGCCTAACCAAGACCAGACAAGCCAAGACAAGTCAAGACAAGCCAAGTTGACGATCTTATCAAGCGAGACGGCTATTTTAGCTGACTTGACTTGTCTTGATACCGGCTTGGCAAGCACGAACCCTATAGCGGTCATAGCTACGGAGGTACGGTGGCTCGGATCGTAAAAATCCTGCTGGCACGTGTCAATATCAAGTCGCTCGCTCACAAATGAGACAAGAATCGCTCTCATCGTGAACAAGTTCACGATGAGAGTGAACGACCACAACTAGCATCAGGCAGCAGCCTGCTGCCTATGATATCGGCAGATTGAATATAGGTATAAGAGACCGACCTTCGTCGCTCCTTTAGATAGAAAATCAAGAGTCATTCATTGCCCGATTCGCAGGGGATCTTCCCGATCGTTGTTCAGTCATCCAAACAATCGTGTCGTGCGACAGCACGGCTAAAAGTTAGCCCCAAGCACCACGCTCATCACCGTCAAGATGTCCGATATTGACGATACCTCTTCGGTGGCCGCCCTCTCGGAAGCAGTTACCGAGACGGCCAGCCAACCGTCGACCCTGAACACGAGATCCGCCGCAGCCGGAAGCACCGCGTTTGCTACTTTTCGCGGTGGACGGTCCGTTTCCGACCAGCTTCGAGACATCGACACCAACGAGATCCCTACTGAAGTTAGCTTGATGAGCAAGATCAAGATCCAACGCGAAGATTACGTACCGACCGAGTGGTTACACAGGAAGAAGAGGGCGAGGAAGTCGCCTATCGACCCGTATGGCCGGCGGCTCACCAAAGTCGTTGGAAATAGGGAGAAGGGGGACTTCTGGCTTTGCAACCAGTGTGATAAAAAGAAGGAAATATCGCTATACGCCCTCGTCAACAGCGGTACAAGCGGAGCGCTTCGGCACTTAAGGAAAGATCACGATCTTCTTGTTGGCGAGGTAGACAGCGAGACTATAGAGTCTGAGCCACCTCGCCGGCGTCAACGCCAGCGAACGGTACTCGACTTGCAAAGGCAAGCCGCAGAACGGTTAGCTATTCCGAAGCCGAAGGCAGAGCTGTTCAAGGAGCTACTGCTCCGTTGGATTGTAGATGCCGATGTACCCTTCTCGGCCGTCGAACACCCTGACTTTCGAAAGCTTCTCGGCTTATCAAATGAAGAACTCGTTGACGAGCTTTTGCCCCGGAGCGGCGTTACAATTCGATCGTGGTTAGAAGCAGAGTACCGGTCGCAAAAAGAGCTATTGAGAAGTCAACATACAACCTCTATGTACAAGAAGCATCTCACCTTCGATCTTTGGACTTCCCCTCAAAAATACGCGCTTCTCGGCGTGGCTGTTCACTTCACAGACGCGTTAAAAAGACCGCAGACGTCGCTTTTGGCGTTGAGGCGGCTCTGCGACCAGCACTCTGGTGAAAATATTGGTCCAACGTTGCGTGGAGAACTCTCGGAGTACGAGATCTCTGCAGAAGAGTTAGGTTACTTCACGTGCGATAACGCCGACGCAAACGACAGCGCAGTCAATGAAATTATCGCCGCTCTTTTACCTGACGTTCAGCCGCAGGAGCGTAGAATTCGATGTACCAATCATATCTACAACCTCGGCGCTACGAGTTACCTCGAGGGGAAGCTCAAAGACGTGCTTAAGAGCTTCGAATCGCAACCAGCGGAACAAGCAGCCCTTCAAAAGGTCCTCAACTTCCTCGAAGAATGGCGGCCAACAGGCGCATTCGTCAGGATTCACAATCTTCAAGGCTGGGTCCGAAGGTCTTCGCAACGCCGAGAGGGCTTCCTCCAATACGCGCAAGGGAAGCTTAGCGATGAGGAAGTCGACGAATTCGGCGAAGTTCTGTGGGAGGTTAGCCAACTAATGCTCCTCCAAGACAACGATACGCGATGGAATTCCTTTTTCACTGCCATAGAAAGAGCTTTCCGGTTAAAAGACCCGATCGAGATCTACACAACAGTTATATCTCGCCACGCAGATAAAACGAAGCGGATTCCGGATGAATATCTTCTCTCGCAAGACGACTGGCACGTCTTAGCAATTACTCTTGCAGTACTACTACCGTTTAAAAAGCCAACCAAGTATTTCGAAGGCAGGTTTTTCTCCCGGCTTTTACTCCGGTTAACTAATAATTTGACAGGTCGAGTGCCTCGCTTTGCCGAGGCCGCTGCCTCGTTATTTTACCTCGTTGACCACCTCCGCAAGCAGCTCGCCGAATATAGCGACTCTGACCGAGTTTTCCCTAGGCCAGAGATCGAGGGGCCGGAGAGAGAGATCCGAGTTGGCGACGCACCACTCCGCTTTGCTGCCGCACATGGTTCCTCGCCGCCCTCTTCGCCGCCTGTTTCATCACCTGCTGGCTCAATCTCAGCGACCCCAGCGCAGCGTGGACTTACCTCACAAATACCGGGATTCCGTGATTGACCTTCCAGGGCGGCCAGTCGGATCGATCAACCCACCCGTAGCGTTAGAGGACTCCGGCGCCGAAGAAATACTCGAGCAGGAAGGTGAAGAGGAGGGCTCACAACGCCAGCGGTGCGAGAAATGGCCAAATCCACCCTCCAAAACCGAGATCGCCGACGTGAATCTCAGGGCCGTACGTGGTTGTATCACGTGCGCCATTTACAAGCTCGAGAAATACGTTACTTTACTAGAGGACTCGCCTGCTTACTGGACGGCTATGATTCTACATCCGACCTTCAAGGATAAGTGGATTCGCGAATACCTTCCGGGTGAACAAGCCAAACGCATAGTCGACAGCTTTAAACAGTTCTTCGACCGGGACTACAATAAGCTCCCCACCCAACCGACCCCGATACAGAAGAAGACGAAGTCTTCGCATCTCGGAGCGCACAGCTACCTCGCTCAACGCCCCTCTCCGGCCAACCGAGATGAAGTTAAAGAGTATCTTGAAGAGCCTATCTACGAAGACGAGGAGGTTGGGGATCCTTTCGAGTGGTGGCGGCAGAGAGAGAAGGACTTTCCACGGCTTGCGAGGATGGCGTACGATCTCCTATCTATACCTTCGACGGCGTGCGAGTGTGAGAGGGTCTTCAGCCTCGCCAAGCTCTTGGTTGGCACGCAGCGACACTCTCTCCAAGATATGACGATGGAGATGCTCACTTGTGTAAAGTTTTGGCGGCGGAATCCCCTGATCTAAAGCCGGGCTCTTGTTCTAGATGACTGTTTTATCCGTAGATGCCAGTCTGCCGTTGAGCTCACGATGGCCGGCCTGCTTACTAACACGGCTTGAATAGGCTTGACAAGATATCAAGTCAAGCCAAGTCAAGTCAAGTCAGACCGCTAACTAAACAAGTCAAGACAAGCTAGAGCTCTGGCTTGACTTGACTTGACTTGTTGAGAGCGCTGTCTTGTTTATTGAGTCTAAGATTGATTTTCCTGTTCATCGATAAATTTCTGTATCAATCGAGCTTCAGCAGATTTGTAGATTCTAGCTGCAATTGTAGATTTCTTACTAAACTTTTTAATTCAAATCAAATCATATACTGCGCGCAGACCGCTTTCACATCGTGACGGCCACAGGTGTGTCTCGATTTACGAAATGTTTCTTCGTACCAATTTCGGATTTTTCCTCCGTATCTTTCTTTGTTATCTTCACCGATGCCACTGGTAATACATTCAAAGGAGTATCCAGCTTGCGCTTCTCGCTATTGGGTTTCTCGGGATTGTTCTCCCACGTTTCGATCTCGTCAGGGTCGAAGGTTGCCACAATCTCTCGGCCCAAAGCTTTGCCCCGTCTCTCCCCGAGTGCCAGGATCGGTCAAAAGGGAACCCTTGCACACTCGATCTTGAGACCAGAAACAATAGCTTGATCACAGCCATCCGGAGCCTTAAAGGGATCGTGGAACTTCTCCAAGAGCTCTTTTGTGATGTGACTAGTGTATAATATACTCGGATGCTACGCACATACAACATCACGATAAACGCGACCGCCAAAGTATAAGTTCCTTCCGGGCTGGCGGTGCAGCTTGTTAAGAGGTGTAGGCCACAGTGTGCTCAGAAACGATTTGGCAGCTTTGGGCGATAGAACAGGGCTCAATGATTGGCGCACGAGAATCTGTTTGAGCGCGTTGCTAAGACTGATGATAGTATTCGATGGGCTCAAGTATCCTCGCGTTAGTGGCGTGCCTGGGGCCGCTGAAGGCTGAGGCGTATTGCATAACGGCATTTCCTCCCATTTCACACCGAGTAAAAGAGAACTTATGCCTCTTGGTGTAGAGGAGGGAATTGAAATGAAGATTGTTTTCTGTGGTTTAATTTTGTGGTATGGCCTCTTTTTTGAGGAATGGGCTTGCGCCGAAAGAAATCTTCTGTAATGCTTTCTAATCAAACTTGCATATCTTGCGTAAAGCTGTGGCCGATGATAAAAAGGGAAAGAAAACAACGTGTTATATTATGTGCTTAGACACTTGTGATGCGCTCAAGAGGAGCTCGAGCGCAGCAGACCATGAGCTCAAAGTTTGTACCGAGCCTTTCAGACTCAGATAGTAGGGCCTTATCGCTCCAAATACTCTTTCCAGAGGGCTTCTTAGCTGCGTTTTCATAGCATCGCGTGTACCACCATCGTCTAACGCGGCTGACCATCTTGGTGATGTCCTCATCTGCCAAGGGGCTGTTGTCGCTCATCATCTCGAATAGACTTGGCGGATCCTTCTCCTTCTCAGCAGCGTCATTGCCTTTATCAGCCTTGCTATCTGAGCGAATGACGGAACTTGCGACAAGGACACCCACTCGTGCTGCCTTGATGGTAGTGAAACCGACCTTGCCGAGAAGACGAACAATGAGATCCGCGGTTGATCCGAGACTAGTATCAGGTGTTTTCTCATTGATTCTCTCTTTGAGACGGCCAACTGTACGTCGGCCCTGATTGCCCATGTTGTTCAGGTCTGCATCGAGAGTGGAGAGCTCGATGAAGCCTCCTGGCTTTAGCACACGACGAGCTTCGGTGTGAATACTGCGGTAGTATGCTTCAGGCCCTGCTACAGGGAAGCGGTATGCAACAGCCGTAAAGCTTTGAGGGGCGAATGGGAACTTGTCGAAGAGAGAGACGTATTGGGATGGTTTGGAGGACTGAGAGGGAAGCTTGAAGACGAACTCTTGAGTTCTTCGAGAAGAGGAGCGCGAGGAGGCAGTCTGAAGAAGGTGGCGGCCGAAAATGTTTCAGTAGGGTAAAATAATCAGTCATCATTGTCACCAAGGCCATCAATAACAAGGATTGAGTGTCTCTTCAGTGATCCCTCAACAGGAACCAGCTCATGGCGAACATCACTGAAGAGGACATGCCCAAAGGTAAGCCACTTACTCACCGTCATTGAGCCAACTCTGAGGTTGACCTGTGTAAATAGTGGCCCATCTTCCGAAGAGGAGCTGGCATCGGCTCGTATTGTCTTGCGAGAAAATCTCGGGTGTTCCGGTATTGGTGTTGCGGTCTACGTATCCCGAAACAAGCTTGGAGACCGAGGAAGGAGTGCTGGGGCTTGGGTGGTGTTGGAAAACCGCCCGAAGACGTTCAGTCATGTCAGCGCTGTGAGTGCTGGAGATGTTTATTGCCTTAAGATTGTCGGCTTGCCTTATTGTCGACATCAATCCTCGGCGGCTCCAAGGGCCTCTCCTTACTAGCTAGTTTCGACTCGTAAGTCTCAAGATGGAACGGTGTACCTCGTGAAGAAGTTGGGGAGGGAAGTTCTTTACCAGCATCTTTTCCAAGGAGATCATCGTACTCACCGCACACCCTGTCTTCTGCGGGAGGATCATAAGGCTGTGAGATCACGGCAGTAGAGTCAGGAAAGCAAGAATACCAGAACGGCTTGAGCTAAATATGCCAATAGTTCTGTCGGAGTCTCTGCGAAGCCTAGAGGAGGTCAGGAACTCCTTTTCCACTCGACTCCAAGCAGAAATACTAGAGTCTCTTCATCAGAGATTTCGGCGCTTCCGGCTGTTGAGCCATCGGTAGTCAGGTCCGGAACAGGAGTCAAAGGCCTGGAATTTGAAGGACCTTTGGCAATTGACTCAGGATCATAGGCTCAAGGTTTTTAGATGCTAATTGCATCCAGCTCTGAAAGGCCGAGAAAAACTTATAGGCGACAAGTGCTCAGTACGGTGCCTCACAACTTTGGGGATTCTCCCGACTTCAGGAAGTCGGCTTCGTCGACTAGCAGGGTACTTGTTGATGGAGGGTGCAGAGTAGATTTCTTGGACATCAAAGTCTGCTGGAATATGGACAGCTGAGGCTTAATCTTCGTATCAATGCTCTCCCAACTTCGCGGTTGAGTTGGCTTTACAAACCATACCGGACAGTTGGTTGATGATCGCATCTCTGGTGTGCCTTGCGGAAGCTCGGGAGTCCCAATAATACTAAGTGGTTCTCCGTAAACCTCTGTAAACCTCAAGACATTTAGAACGTTTATTGGCACGCTGTCCTCTTGTTCTGACGGCTGACAGGTCTGGGTAAACCTTCCGAACAAGTTCCACTTTCGAGGAGATCGCGGCCTCTTGACAAGCTTCTGGGGCGCAAGGTGAGAAGACTTGGTCTCGTGAGAAATCTCCCGTTGCAGCTCGAAGTGGGACGCATCAGACATTACACTGGCATCGAAACTTGTCATGGGTGAAGATGCATATCCAGATGTGTTGATGGGCTGAAGTTTTAATGGATCACCCGGCGAAGATCAAAGACGATGGACAGATCTTCGGGAAGCCAATGTCGCCTTCGTTGTAGGGCCTTCAGAATCACTGCTCTCGGAGGGATGACGAGCAAGAAGATCTGGATGTGGAGTGCGTGACATAGGTGACAGCCACAAAGTGTTTCGAGGCTGATATTGAGAAGCTGCCAATGACTGCCAACTTCCGAGCCTCGAGTGGGAACTGACACTCCGAGAGATTTCGGATTTTGCAGTCCGATTCTCGGGTGATCGCACCTCCAACGATGGCCACTGGGTTGACCCGATCCGCAAAGGACGAATCGTTGCTGGAACGGGGTTATTGAGTCGTCTGGCTGCTGGCAGAATTGCGCGTCATATTGCTGATACTACCACGGCATCACTTGACAGCACCAATATGTCCATATCCTTTATGGCCTGAGCCAGCTGCAGGACCCCTGCGAAGATTCTTCTTACGGCTCAACAATGGGAAGCGTGTGATTGAGGAGGATGCCACATTATGACTCGGTGTACATGTCATTCGAGGTGGCTCGCGGCCCTTGCCCTTCTTCGACTCGGCTGTTGCCTCAGCTGCTGGCTGAAAGCACAATTCGCCTTTGATGGGGAGCTATGAAGTTGATGCTGTTTGGCCTCCATGAGTGTACTGCGGCTTCGGGGCCGACAAGGCTGCTGTAGCAGCAGACTCGCTTCCACGTCTTCGGTTTTTGGGGGCATCGAGGGGAAAGATTGATTTTAATGACTGGCGTGGGGCTGAACTGTTGGGGAAGTGGATCGCAAAACAGGTCTTGAAACCTTGCGCTCCGGTTTGAACAACGATGTATCTTCACCAAGGTACTGCGATGGCTTCCATGGCGGAGAACTGGGTGGTGGGGGGGGCAATTGCTTGGTCTTCTTCTCGATGGCGGCTTCAAGAGCAGTTGAAATCGATGGCGATGAACTCAGGGACTCTCTAACAGCTGTGTGACCATGGGGATCAACGGTGATGGCATCAACGTGTGAGGCGCGTGATGTGAGCATCAGCTGTCAGGTCTATCAACTCAAAATAACACTCTTGTAAACTCAGTTCAGGCAATGGCATCAACTACGTCAGGGAAACCTCCACAAGCTCCTCGTGTCACAGAAGGCCTGTTGATGACAAGTTCTTGCAATCGGTTCTTGGTCTGAGTGCGAATAGGTGCAACAAGACTAGCAGGCTGAGATGCATTCAGGGTGGGAGTGGTGTCGCGACTATATGACCCTGGTCCAGATGACTCGGAGAATCTAGTGGATGGGCATCTACTAGTTGCGGAAAGTAGCAGGTTGGCTAGAGTTGGAGATGGAACATCGTGTGTTGCTAACCGGAAGGGAACATCAATGCGGTTATCCGAGCTGTCAGCCGGACGTCGAATGTTGCGATCACGGTCCAGTTCGGGATAGATCACTGGCGATTCGGAAGATTTCTTTGCCTCGATGACCTCAAAAATGTGAATCTCGGCAGGGCAGCTGGCGGGCTCCCTATCCAGGTGGATGCCGAAAGAAGGGTCCAGTGAGCTTTGACGCTTATGCTGGGACGAAGTCGAAGAGTCCGTCCGAGATAAGCCAATCCATGTAGTCTTGACCTTGACATCGCCGGATGAAGAAGACTTCTTCCTCCGCAGAAAATTAGGGTTAGAACTTGGGTTATCCATGGACTGAGCCGACGGTAGCGATCCGGAACCTCCACGCTGGTTGGCAGTTGATCGTGTAGATGCTGAAGTGGAAGAAGAGCCCCATGATCGAGCTTGGTGATTAAGGTTAGGTCGTGGCACGAGTTTAGGAATTGATGGGTGTGGAGTTTCCCTCCTTCTTAATCTGCTAAATGGCTTTGCAGTATTCGAAATGACCCCAGGTTCAAGCAGCTGAAACAAGACGCTTAAGCGCTTATCCGACATCCTGTCTTTGGTCTCTCTCCTTCCTGTACAGACCCAAAGGTCCACCCATCAATGAAGCTAGATGTCAATAGCCTTCCCGTGACAGACTAGTATGCAATAGGCTTGACTAAATTTCTTGTATTGCTGGCCCTGCGGTATGTCGTACAAACTTCGTTGCATCTGCCCACCGTCTTTCCTTGTCTACAGGCGTCTCCATCTGCGGTCGTCCGGAAAGAAGAATCTCGCCCTGGGTCACGACATATTTGCCCTATAGAGGTCCCTTCTGTCGTAGAAGTAGCGTAGACGACATCACCCGGGCCTATCTCCTCATGAGATAGTACTCTCTGTTCACAACTTCCCAGCAGAATGGTTGGGCTTCACCACACGGCGCCACATTTAGACCAAAACATCCCGTCCTAGTATCCTTTTCTATATATAAATATCACCAATGCTCCGTCTCATAAATAGCTACGCTAGCTTTTGCCAATTTGTTGCTCTGAGGGTGGTATCTATGGCATTTGTCTCCCTAAGCCAAATGCGACAACTCTGAGAACTTATGATAGGGGATGATACACATGTCAAGGTTTCAGATCTATTCTGTACCATGCCCCACCCCCCTTTCGGCAACCCCCCCTTTCGGTAACCAAAAAAATCGCCTTCCCATACAAAACTCACCAAGTTCACTTACATATATTTCAGTCATTCTTGAACCTATTCACAAGTCATCGCCTTTAACGTATAAAAAAGTGGCTAGGGTTCACTTTTAAAGGTCAGCTCGTCACGTGGGGCCGGTGGTCCGTGGTCACCCTGCACTTCAATATTTGCAATTCAGCGCCCTAATCTCCTCCTGCTTCCTGATGATTCCTCCTCTTGCCAGTCCTCCACAATTCACCCAAAATGGCTTCACAACGGCCTCGGAGTGTTTATACGGAGGATGAAATGGCTGATGCCATACTTGATGTCACAGAAAACGGCTTATCGCAAAACCATGCCGCCCAGAAACACGGCATACCTCAGCAGTCCATTTCCGACAGATTCCATGGCCAGACAGCCTTGGATGATCAGGTTCAACCTAACCGACACTTATCCAGGAATCAGGAGGCTAATTTAGCTTCCTGGATCTTCCGCCAAGAGTCCCTGGGTTATGCTCCCTCCCACGGTCAGATCCGTGCTTGCGTCGTGGCTCTCTTAAAACAACAAAACAAGAAGCAGGAATTGGGACGCAACTGGGTAGCCAAATTCATCAAACGCCATCCGAAGCTCAAGACCAAACCTGGGAGACGCCAGGAGGCCAACAGATTCAATTCATTCACTCCCAAAGCGGTGCACTGGTACTTTGATATTAGGGAAGAGGAGTATGGGTGGATTAAGCCGGAAAACACAGTGAACGTTGATGAGGGCGGTATTATGGCTGGTTTTGGTGAGTGTCTAACTTTTTATTCATGAATCTAGCTAATCAGGCTTGTTTGCTAGGTCTGGATAGCCTGGTGGTTGGGAGTTCAGATCCAAAACGAAAGGCCCTACTCAAGGGTCCCCAGTCCCGTAACTGGACTTCATTTATTGAGGCTATCACTGCGGACGGCCGTGCTTTGACGCCTGGCATCATATTTAAAGGCAAGGAACTTCAAAAACAGTGGTTTTTGGAAGAATTCCGGAAAATAGCTGATTGGAATTATATTACTTCGCCTAATGGATGGACAGACAACCACATTGCTGTCGAGTGGCTTGAGAGAGTCTACTTGCCTCAGACCCAGCCTGCCGACGAATCTGATGCCAGGCTTATTATTCTGGATGGACATGGAAGTCATGCCACGGTGCGGTTTTTTTTTTTTTTTGTTTATATGCCAAAGAATCAATGTTGATTTGAAACAGGACGAATGGATTGTAACGTGCTTTTTGAACAACGTCTACTGTTGTTACCTCCCTGCCCATTGTTCTCATGGTCTCCAGCCGTTGGATAACGGTGCTTTTAATGCTTCGAAGGCGGCATATCGGAAAGAGCTTGAAAAACTAGCTTCTCTGACTGATTCTGCACCTATTGACAAGGTCAACTTTATACGGGCTTATGCCAAAGCACGTGAGGTCGCGATGACGTCAAAGAATATACTGTCCGGTTGGAGAGTTACTGGAAATTGGCCAATTTCACGAGCCAAGGCATTGCGGCATCCAGAGATTCAAGCAGACAGGATAGAGACGACTCCCGACCGCGTCCCCTATTTGGGCTCAGATGATACACCAAAGACCAGCCGCCAAATTCGTGATCTTGGCAGGAACAAGTCTCCTGGAAGTCGAAAACGTTATGCTGTGATAGCCAGAGGCTTTGAAGCCCAAGAACAGGCCATTGCAGCACATGCCAGCAGAATTACTAGTCTGGAGGAAGAAGTGGCTCGTTTGAAGAGAGGGAAGAAAAGACGAGCTATTCCTAATCCGAACAGACGGTTTATGACACTCAGCGAGGCTCTTATACAAGATAAATCTATTCCCGAAGTTGGAGATCAAGGACCGTCTATTTTGGTGGATTCTGAATCGGAGGAGGAGGTGGTCTCAGACATGGAGACAGCTTCGGAGATTGAGGTCACGGCTGCACCTGAACCCCCTCAAATAACCACCAGGTCTGGGCGGCTTATAAAAAAGCCTCGACAAGAATAAATACTTCAATTCTCTACAGAATGATATATATTTTATGTTTATAGACTCAAAATTTGATGGAAATCTAGCCCGTATAAAAAATAGATTTTGGGTGGGAAGGTGATTTTTTTGGTTACCGAAAGGGGGGGGTTGCCGAAAGGGGGGTGGGGCATGGTACAATCAATGAAGTCCACCAGACAGAACCCCAAACGAATCCGATATGAATGTCTGATTACCCCGCTCCCCGCAGCGCTTGATCAAGGAATGATCTACAATTATACAAAGGCTAAGAGATGGGTCATCAGGCATGGATTTGTCTGAGGCTCTGCCAATCGCGACGCGTCGGTTTTCTGTCGGCACAGCTTGAGCTGTATAGTCGCCTTTTTTATCTCTACCCAATTTACCTGCGCGACCAATCACTGCGCCTGTATAATGCATGGTGGGAATGCGCAGACGCCACATATGTGAGTCAACTGCTCCCTCTGTAGCTGGCCTCATTCCTCGCATCAGTCAACAGACGAACGTAATTGGTCGAGACTGCCACTCACAGTGATTAATTTCTCATAATCTGTGTGATGATACAACAATTAACACATATAAGAGGTTCATTCGGCAACGAGTAGCAAACAAAATGTAGTCAAATGATTGACAAACAATTTTGTATCCTGGTAGGCCAATCATCTTTTGTCGGAGAAAGCGGAATTGTTATGGTGCTTAATTGTCATTTTTCTTTTATCTGTGATATAGACAAGTGTTTGCTATAATATCTTGGAAATAGGGGCCTTGAGTAGACTCGTAGAAGGTTTGGGCATTGCTGGATCGAAGCAGCAAATAACACGGTACATGATGCATGTTTTTACAACTGTGGCAGAGACCAGTGGTCCAGCGTATGCACGAAATGCGTATGGTCTGATGCGTACACCATGTTACCCAAAGCACCCAGCGCCGTGTTAAAGGCGCCGCTGCTTATCGCGGATGCAAATTGGTTTTGTGCCGCGAAACATTGTCCTTGCAATCGGGCTGGCTCGCCGCTACCAATGCGGGAGGCCGACCTGATGTGCTACGTAGCCGCCTACCCTCAACTTGGGCCTCAACGTGTTGGTCCAACACTGATGGCGTTATTATCTGTGTCCATGGTAGTGGAAGCGATTTTAAAAAAATTATTCATTCAGTAGCTTTTCTATTAAGGGAATCCATCACTGAATACAAACTGAGGCTTAGCCAAACTATCTGACTCATTTCTCAACAGACATCTATCACTACTTCTTTTTGCTTACCTGTCGCCGGTCGGTTCATAATGGGTAGCATCAGCAGCAATGATCAGATCGAATATCTCTTTCATCACCTGTTCCTGCCTCCAAAGTTACCAGGCGGTGATGATATGAGTGCCCCGAATACTATCTTCCTGGCGAATTTTGTGCTGCAGACTCTGCAGCGCTTTGCTATCGAGTTGGGAGAGAAGGACACGACGCTCGTCCAGCCTGTCATTTCTATGTTGCAAACTATGCCAGTTGTGACGGGCCCGAAGGGACTTGACCACGTTGGCGTTCAGAAGGCTCTGCAATGCCTTTCCTTTGACAGTAAGTACTTACCTTACTTTGTGTTATCCTTTCCCACCAACAATCATATTTATAGACCCTGTCGCTCTTTTCCATATCGCTGCACAGAACGCAGGCTTGCTTATTCGTAAATCGAGCAACTCATTCTGCTTCGAAACTTTTGAGCTGTCTCCTACCAATGCAGCCGTCATGGCCACTAAGGGTCGTCTGATTCGTCAGTTTCCAGACACTGCAACGGAGATAGCTTCAGAGGATTTTGAGAACCAGGCATTTCAGGAAGTCCTGGCCAATACGCTTGTTAAAATGTCCCACCAGAGGGTTTCTGAAGCTCAGCCCAAGGCCAGAAAAGCCGGAAAAGATCATCATGAGGACCGAGAGACAACAGGTCCACGAATCGTCACTGAGCTACTGACGAGTATCCTCAGAGGTATCGGAAAATTGGCCAAGGTTAACGGCATCTGCAAAAATACTCGCGAAGAAATCAGTTACAGCAGCAGTAACCTTCCATGGAGAAGATCTCCCGTCTGGCTCCTCATCCGCGTCGGTCTACAGCTCACCATGAGCCGCCTATCAGGTGGATCAGATGATATCTATAAACGATTCATGGTCTACCTGATGGCGCAGGTGCTCCTTCGAGCAAACCAAGCCCTTGCTCCCAGCGAGATGCTTCACATCATGATGACTAAGATCTCATGCCGCCTCTGCAAGCTTGAAGGGCTGCGCAACGACAAGTGGCTTTCGACTGTCCGTGATGTTGTTTCAGCAGCTTCGAAAAATCTGAAGGAGAGATGGGAACGAATCTGTAATCATTCGGAGAAGCAGCTGGACATCGCATCCTTATCTTTAATTAAGATGAAGGACCACCTCTTATTCTCCATTCCAGAGATTGACAACTTCCTTGCATCCATTTCGCACCGCGGCAGTAATAATGACACCTCAACTTTCAGTCCGATTGCCCACGTCTCATGCTTGAATGCCGATAGCCTTCCAGTGGTTCGCACACCAAGTGATGATTCCTACGTCCAGTTCAATCTCGCAATGATAGAGTCGTGGGTTCAATACAACCTCAACCAATGGATCGAAAAGCATCTTCATGAGGAATCAGTCTGCGCATCACTTAAAGTCCTGCTTGAAAGCTATCATTCGGCTGCAAGAGCTTGTTACTCAACCCGCCCAGAAGCTGCATCACGAATGCTTCTGACGATCGGCGAGATCTGGATAGCTACCGACAAAGCTACATTGCATAACTACCCCATGCTCAGGGAATACGATGCCGAAGTACCCACTGAGATCTGGCAAGCACTTTTGTTACAGTCAAAGGCAGATATGATAAGACTCCAGCGTCTTGAAACATATCTCATGGACCGCAAAAGGACACCAAGTAAGCCGTCCGTGTTCCGCTCTTTTGGCGACAGCATGTCTTTTCCCGTGCGATATTTCCAACAGTCGCCAATACTTCAAAGTAAGAAGGTTTCAATCGAGGAGAGGGCTGAGTTGGATAAACAAGCCAAGATCAAGGAGTTCAATCACCTCAAAGACAGATACAACGACTTGATGCAACAGTATAACACCACAACATGCCGAGAGATTTATCAAACCGTACTAGGCGTCAGGTATCCGATACATGACCCCTGCTGCCACCGATGTTCTTTGGCGGATCAAGCGAGTAGTCTGCAGATAATGGTTCACGAGTGGCCGTTACCCACCAAGACTCTCGAAGCTCAGGCTACAGTCTTTGAACTCGGGATCCCCCACCAATTTGCAGAGTGGCGTGATGTCACGTTTTATTTCATCCATGATGTGCTTTCTTTCAAATCTTTTGGGGAACGCCCTGATTCATCTTATCCGTTGGACTCGTACAGCGGTCTCTCCCCCTGGTACAACTCCGACATGAGCCGAGTGCATCTTCTATCGGGAGCAAAGCCTCATCTTCAAACTCATCGCCGTCATAAATACATCGCAGTCAGCGAAGTATCCGATGTCTACCTCGACAATGGTCTAGTCTATCGTTATTTCGATCGCGCCAGTGGCAGTTTCATTTCCCCATTCACCCAGTCAATGGCCGTCTCTAACTTGTGTACGTTCAAACTTCCCGAGCGCGCTCAGGCCTTGCAACCTTTTCTCGTCCGCTCCTGGCTCCAGCCGGATGGAGAGACTCCCAACCAGGTGATAGCAAGTCAATCTAAATGCCCTAGATACATGACTTTAGGGGAATACAAAGCCTTGACTATCTTACCGTATGGATACCGTCTTCCGTGGATGAGCATATTGACACAACTCGCTATGCCCACGCTTGACTTCAACCAGGACGAGACAGCAATCTTCTTACTTCAAGTGAGCCTGCAAGCTGGGCCAATGTTGGCTTCTGAGGCCACTCGGGAAGCTCACACACGTCTCACTGACGTGGAGTTTGGTTGTCGGCTGTTGGAGACCCTCTCGCAGGCAGTTTCAAGGATCGAAAAGAATTGGGAGTCCCATACGGCCTTGTGCTCTTTCACACTGTTGACAATTCGGTTTCTGTCTCTGGCCAGCCCACAGCTGTCTCAGGATATCTTGGGGCTTTTATGTCATTGTCGCAGTATCTCATACCAGTGGTTAACGACTTTGATCAGGAAAATCCAGGATACGGTTGATGATATGCAAAGGAGGGAGCTTTTGGAGTCGGCCCTCAATGTTGCTATGATATGTGTACAAACGTTTCACGTTGACGATAACCAGTTGGAGAAGATCCTCAGAGACTCACAGCAGGCGTCTCTCCTGGTTGAATCCTCTATCATCATCCAAAACACCACTCTTGCCAACAACGAGACCCAAAGCCCATTTCAAAGCATCATGGAGGACAGAACCAAATACACTTTGCACCGCACACAGCGATTCCTTGTCAACGAGGTCATCTATCGCGGCAATTGGTGCCTCGATCTGGCTATAAAGCGAAGCTGGCCAGACTTCTCTCGTACCACAGAGTGGTCCACAGCCTCTTCTACATGTTATTGGCTTGAAACAAACTCTGGACGAAGACAAGTCCACCTTAACCTTCTGACGGGCGAACTACTGGTCAATGGCGCCCCATTAACTCGTCTACCTCGTGACTATAATATGCACGAAGATTATGGGAGACTTTTTGGATCCATGATCTTGGATGTCATGCCAAGTGATGCACCAGGCATGCGGTTCAGCGCAACCCGAGATTTGCAAGACTATACAGTTCACTTTGGCATGCAAGAACAAGACCTTCTAGTGCAATTACACAAACCTGGATCAACGTTGGATCTGATTCCGTCCAGATTGCTGAAAGGAACAGTCCCTTATCAGTTTTCTGACAATTTTTCTCATTGGTACCATCGCGAAACAAAAAGCATAGAATTCTGCAAAATTCACAAGTCTTGGGCTTTGGATGATCAGAGAAACTGGCGCTTTATACGAGATGAGGGCCATTGGAAACTGGGCCGTCATGGTGGTACTTTTCTTGTTGCCCCCTCAAGCGAGTTGGCTACGCAAATCGCAGAGATCTTCAACCCTCTTGAAGCACCATTGGGACTTCATTTGGTTTACAGCACTGCCAAGTCGGATACCGAGATCCAAATTCCAAGTCTGAGACTAGAGTTTCTTCTCAGATCGGGGGAGTCATTCATCGAATCCCGTCAGTTCCGTGACATGCACGTTGATCCGAATCAATCTATAGGAACACTCATGGGACTCAAAAGCAAACTCGTCTTATCCAGCAGCAGGGAACCACCTAGCAGAACGATCCTCATACCCGAAGGCGATGTTCAACATGAGATGCATACATTCAACCATATTGACAAACACACGATGGTCAGGGTGGTCCATGGTAGCGCACGTCGTGTACAGGCTTACAAGCTCGACGGCCTCCTTGGTCGACTTGTAGGTAGCACCAAGACTGAGAGCAAGCTCTACCTGGCATACCTCCACGGCCTCACCTCGTTCTGTCTCCCGGACCCCTTCATCGGGCGAACAGGAACTGAAGAAGCTTTGGATATATTGCGATCTGCTATTGTCCGCGTTACCAGCATCTTGACGGAAACTTCGTATGGTATCCTACACTCAATCTCCACCTTATCACCAAAGCGTTCCTTCTATCCAAGGAATGAAAAAGTTATGCAAGTCGTCGGGTGGTCTTCCAGGTTGAGTTATGTATCCCAGGACGATCGCTTCTACAGAGCCGTATGCAATTTACTTGCTGGGTCTCGTGAGATCAGTTTTCTTCATCCCAAGCGCGAAGTACCAGACTCTCCAGACTTCTCCTCAGTTCATCTGGTTGAAAGGGCAATTAACAGGGCTTCCCGGGGACACGTTGCTGGCTTCGGTGCCGAAGAGTTTACGACTCAGCACGATGTCAGGTATAACGCGAGGACTCAAGAAATACCGTCAGATCGAGGCATCCGCGCTCAAGAGATCGCTTACCGTATTTACCACTCTCAGTGTTACATTATCGAGACAGTCGATCCTTCTTTTGCTCAGGTCTTCTATCAACTTCTCAGTTCGAGCAAAGTTTTCAACTCAAGTCAAATACCACCCAAGAGCATGATGCAATACGACTCGAAGTGGTTCCAAAAGCCAGAGAGCTTTCTTGCGTCAGACTGGTGTAAGATACACTATGCTTTCCACAGGAAGCAAGACTGGTTGAACAAATTCGAACTGATGGCTTGGATGGCGACAGTGTCATATTCAAGTCACCACAACCCCCAAATAACTCAGGCATTATTGATGATAGCCCAGTGCTCTTCAGTCCTCGAGGTACCTTTGCCGGAAGAATATTTGTATGATCTTTCAGAAGGATGCACTGCTATTGCCAAAGAGGTAAGGAGGTTAACAGAAAATGAAGTCTATCCTATTGCCTCATGTCCAGAAGCGTCACTCCCCTATTCGCGAGGTGAATCTCCCCAGCAGCTAGTAAAAAGACGCGAGAGGCGTTTCAAAGAAAACAAAAGACATGTAGTTGATACTTTTGTTGACCGTATCATCTCTCAGTGGCCTTGCCCGGCCCTGCGTACCCCGTCGGAGGGTACGGTCGACACTTACCTGAGATGTAAGAATGTGATGGCGAGCTTGTATCCCAAATGGGATTCGTGGTATATGAATTGGAAGTTCAAGGAGTATCTTCAAGAGATCTCTGATCGCCTAAGAGAGGTGCCAGTAAGAGGTCTAAAACTCGAGCCCCAACCCGAGAGGGTTACGATTTCCCCACCGAGTCGGCGTACTGGATTTATATCCATCGAGGACTTGTTTTACACTGCAGTTCCACAGTCTACTTTTGGCCAGATACCAAAGCCAGATGTTTTGCTTCGAATGACAAAGACGGACTCGAGGACTGTGAAAAAGCTGACCGAGGTCATCATCAGCCTCGAGATTCAGGCAAAGTTGCCGTACGAGCATCGCTATCTGAACGATCTGCGTCAAAGTCTCTTAAATTTGAGCAAGCGGCACGACCAAGAACTAGATTTAGACCAGCGTGCAATCCTTCATCCCCTGTTCAAACAAAACCTGGAGGATTGCACGAAACACGCAAAGACGGTTTATCAGTATCTATCACGAGCAATCATTGACATCTTGACGCGAAAGCCTGGTGTCCAAGTGCTGGAATCGGTGAAGCTTATTCTCGAAGATTCGAGCTACCTTCCTAGAGTTACACCGCTTCTATTACTACAACAACTTCGGTCATCACGTTTTTCTTGTCTGCCCGAAAGATGGAAAGTGGCTATTATAGAGTACGCGACTGCCATCTCTGCTACTCAGCGGGCCAAACGACTGGTACGGTTTGAATCTAACCCTATGTATCTTCTCCGCGAGGTCCAGAACCCTGGGCATGAGGCGTGGGAAGCCTGGGATCACCCTGAGTGGTTGCTACTGGAATGCGAGAGCGAGATCATGATACGAAACGTGCAACAGCAAATCGCCCAGAAGATGATCAACCCTCCAAAGGGCGAAAATGCAGTTATGCAGCTGAACATGGGTGAGGGCAAATCTACTGTTATCGTCCCAATGGTCGCTACGGCTCTTGCGGATGGTTCAAAGATAATTCGTGTCATCGTTGCCAAACCTCAAGCAAAGCAGATGCATCGGATGCTTGTTTCAAAACTGTCTGGTCTACTCGATCGCCCAGTTTACCTACTACCATTCTCCAGAGACATTCGTATGAACACGCAACGAGCAGAAGCAATTCATCGATTAGTCACAAGATGCAGGAATGAAGGTGGTGTCCTGATGGTTCAGCCGGAACATTTGCTGTCCTTGCAGCTGATGGAGCTAGAATGCCACCTCAGCAGTAACAAAGAAGCTGCAGAACGATTGACTTCAATCCGAGAACTATTCGACCATGGGTCTCGAGATATAGTTGATGAAAGCGACGAGAACTTCAGTGCCAAATTTGAGCTTATATACACGCTGGGGCACCAGTGCTCAATCGAAGATAGCCCCAGCAGATGGGTAGTCATTCAAGAAGTGCTGGGGCTGGTTGCCCAAATCGCTGGTGAAGCCAAATCTGAGTTTTCGAAATCACTCGAGTTTGATGATCGCAACAATGGGCGATATCCCATAGTACGCTTTCTACAAGCTGATGCTGGCGAAGTAGTTCTCGATCGTATTGCCAACAGGATTTGCAAGACCGGGATGTGTGGATTCCCGATCTCAAACCAGCCTGAGAAAATTCGGAGCGCTGTTTACCGCTACATCACTCGATGGAAGCTCAAGAAAGTAGACACTAAGCTGGTCGAGACCAGCTTGTTCTTTGACGGAGCAGCAATCGGCCGCATTCTACTTCTACGGGGTCTATTTTCAGGTGGTATCCTCGCTTTTGCTTTGGGCCAGAAGAGATGGAGAGTAAACTATGGAATCGATCCGCACCGTGAGACTGGGACCAAGTTGGCTGTTCCTTTTCGCGCTAAGGATAGCCCAACGCCACGATCAGAGTTCAGCCATCCTGACGTCGTGATTACCCTTACTTGCCTGAGTTACTACTACGGTGGCCTGGATGAAGAAGCTCTATTCTCTGCCTTTTCAATTCTTACCAAATCTGATAATGCCAGGGTGGAATACCATGAGTGGACCAGAACCGCTCCGAGCCTGCCATCATCGTTCAGAACCTTAGAAGGGGTCAATTTGCGAGATCGGGCCCAGTTCAAAAAAGAGATATATCCCCACCTTTGCTTCTCTAAGTCGGCGATCGATTACTACCTGAGCCACCTGGTCTTCAGTAAGGAGGCGAAGGAGTTTCCGCATAAATTGTCGGCGTCAGGCTGGGATCTAGCCAAGATTAAAGACAATCCTACCACTGGGTTTAGCGGGACCAATGATTCAAGATATGTTCTCCCTACGGATATCATCCAACTAGACCTTCCGGAGCAGAAACACACCAATGCGCTCGTCCTTAGCCATCTCTTACAATCACAAAATGGGGTCGCTTTAGTGCCGCAGGAAGCCAAAGGTACCCCATTCAACAGCCGGATGCTTCTAGATATGATATCGGGAATGAACACGCAGACACGTGTGATCTTGGATGTTGGCGCTCAGGTAATTGACCTCACTAACCTAGAGTTTGCAAAACAGTGGCTGGCTCGTTATCAGGATGATGACAACACCCAAGCAGTCGTCTGTTTCAATGAAGATGACGAGATTATTGTGCTCGATCGTTCAGGCAAAGTTGAAGAACTTGAAACGTCACCATTTGCTGAACATATGGATCGATGCCTTGTCTTTCTAGATGAGTCGCATACCAGAGGGACAGATCTCAAGCTCCCCCCAAACTACCGCGCAGTAGTCACATTGGGTGCCGGTTTAACAAAGGATCGACTGGTTCAGGGTATGTGGAAACAAGATCCTGCTAGAATTTTGCTAATCCTTTTGCAGCTTGTATGCGAATGCGGAAACTCGGGAAAGGACAAAGCGTAGAGTTTTGCGTGCCGTGGGAGATTGAGCAGAAGATCATCCGCTTAAAGCTTCAAGAAAAAGCTGCCAGACGTGGGATCGCCATATCTGACGTTCTCAGTTGGGTCATTACCGAAACGTGTCTCGATCTGCGTAAAGCGATTCCCCTATGGCTCAATCAGGGTGTTCGATTCAGTAGACACCAAGTCTTCTGGTCAAAAAGAAAAGGCGATGCTGTTTCCAGATGGGCTGAGCAGTTTCTCGAGGAGGAAGCTCAGACCCTGGACCAACGCTATCGTCCAAGAGCCAGCCGCATTACCTTGGATTCACTTTTGGACAAAGCTGGCGCCCTCATGACTAACGAGCTCCGAGCCCGCTGCGATGAGTTTGGATTGACTGAACTTCATACAGCATCATTACAAGAAGAGCAAGAGCGAGAGCTTTCCCCCGAAACAGAGCAAGAACGACAAGTTGAGAAACCACCTGCGGCAGAGCCAGAAACTCATTTTGTTAGTCAATCTCTGAAAGATTGGATACTGAAGGGTTCTTCCTCAATCGATATCACTTTGTTCCAGGCTGAGCATAAGCCAGCCTTCCAGACGCTGAACAACACATCGGCAGCTCAATATTTCAACGTTCAAGCTTTTCCGAGTACTGTGCGTGCCACATTGGATTTTGCCAAGACAGTCAAAGGGACTTTCGGGGCCAGGAACTACTCAGACTGCTTTCAACGCCCCGTCCAATGGATCATGACCAATAAGTGTCAAGCCGAATCAGTTTGCCTTGTGATTATAAGCCCATTTGAGGCTCAAGAGCTACTACCACTGATCGAAAGGTCTCAGCATGTGACTCTCCACCTCTATGCTCCCAGGGTAAACCTTGCCTTCCAGTCGCTCGATCATTTACAACTCTATCGGTTATCGGGAAAGCCCACGTTGGATGCTACCCCAAGGAGTGTTGTCACGTTCCTGAACCTTTTTTCAGGACAACTCTACCTATCGTCTTTTCAGGACTATACCGATGTTTGCGATCTGCTTGGGCTGGCTTGGGATGCTGCGGATGAGTCTGTTATCCTCGGTCCAGATGGTTTTATTCCTCCAGGCGTCAGAGGAAGTGTTGTCAATAAGTCAGTATTTTCGCAGAGCCCTGTTCAATTCTTGCGACTACTTATGGAAAAGATCCGGCAGGATTGTGGATCAATTGAGAAGACAGATATCGGTAAGATCTTTGAAGGTATGCGTCTGCTGGAGGATGACTTCAAAGGAAGGAGTTAGAAACTAGGGTATTACCTTGGCTGGTATCCATAATGTTGACGAGACCTACTTTAAGCTGCCATCAATCTAGATGCTTCGATGACTCAATAAGCCTCGTAGCAATTGACCTTGAGTCGACCTACAGGATGGAAGTAGGAATATTTGGTTTTGACAGTACGACATTCCAAGAAGGTAAACACAATCTCGTTTTGTCTTTACTTGCACTCTGTCTAGTTGATGGGAAGGAATACTCAGTTGCAAAAGTCCCGATTGAGTGAAACCACTACGCATGTACAGTACAGGTCCATAAACTCTGGCGGCTCTCCAGTTTACCAAAAAGTAAAATACTAAAATAAACAAATAAATAAAGATAGCTAGCTATATCTAATTTAATTGATTAACTCAACTTCAGTACTATATTAATCCTCCGATAACCTTATTATAGCTATCATTATCTACGATTGTCATATCCTCCAATTTTGCAAAAGAAGAATCCTCATCTTTCCTCTCTGCCCCGCTTGAGAGAATACAGAACTCATCAAGCTCTAGGCTGCTCCAGACAACCTCAATCAGCCAGCGCCAGGCTGTCAGGTCCCCACCAAGCTCGATCGACTCTAAAACCACTGTCCTGAGCGTTCGGTGATGACACAGCAGTAAGATTGTGATATCTTCCTTGGTGGTATCGATCAAGTGAAGCGTTATACTTTCTAGTTTGGGGATGTACAGGTCCTTGGCAATCTCGGAGAATCGACCTCCTTCATCCCTATGCTCAAAGCTAAGCTCGAGATCGGAGAGCTCGGGCAGAAGGTGTATAAACTGAAGAAGACCAAAGCCCCATTTTCTTCCTGAAATCGTATCGTCTGGAGGAGACTCCGGATCGAGTGAGATCTGGAGTTGGCGCAGGCTGGTAGGGAAAGATCTCCATAGGATGATGGACGATGACGGGCCCATAAGCATGAAAGGGCTAATCCGATTGGCATTCTCAAGCATCATACTAGGCTCGATATCCAGGTACTGGACCGAAATTAATTCCGCTGACTGCTATGGCCGCGAGAACGACCTGGACGATGTGATGTACTTGTCGAATGCTTGCTTTCGACTTGAATGTAAGTCCCCTCTGCGGCAGGATACCAATCCGCTGTCTTAGCCTTCTCATTACCCAGGCATGTATGCTTGTACTAATATTGATCTTTCTGCAACGTTTCAGGTATGTCATAGCTCCTGCCAAGCATTTCACATCGTAGCCTGCACGCATCATATCAGCGCTGCCCACAAATCAAATCAAATCAATCAAATATCCCGAAAATCTTACTTCAAACAAACAAATCCAAAATCTTGGATTTGAGATAACATTTGATATATTTGGTACGGGATATAATGCCATGGAAGATAGCTGGTTAGGCTTATGGCCGCCTTTCCTCACAACTTACCCAGTACTCAAGAGGTGCCAAAGATCTGGCACTTAGATCAGGCCAATCAGAGTCATTATCCGAGCTCATACGTTAGTCAGCCGCCATCGTGTAAGCCCCTCAACATCGAACACGCGTCGTCATTGGTGCTTCTTTGACTCAGCAGAGTATAATTTATTTACACCTCTAGTAAGGCCTGGACAACCTTTCGAATATTTTATCTCATCTCGTTGACACTACCGCTGCAGTCTGGTAGTTACATCACAGACAAATATCTGCGCTCGTCGACTCAACTTTGAAGAATCACTCAACGCAGCTCCGCCTTCCTGCTCCGAATCTGCTTCACTATCCGAGTCAGCACAAACTAGAGTATCTATCGAACGAGTCAATCCGGTAATCGAATTGGGACGGTTGAAAGCTGAGATATTCTTCCTTTTTATAGCCCTGAAAAACGCATCTCGAATATCACGAATAAGGGGATTAAGTGTATCTCTCAATTCTCGATATGATTCATCGTAAGATCCCTCAGGTAGATTAATTGGCCCCCAGTTGAGGTAAATCTGTTCGTGAGCATCAGGTTCAACTGGTCTCGATGGGTGATATCGATAGTATAGCTTACAGCAGAAGCAAGAAAACTTGCTAGTGCCAATAAAGCGGTCGCCATCTGTGAAGCGCAATCCGTTTCTGTGAAAATGCTCCAGGACTTGAACTTCGCAGTGCACTATTGGAGGATTCGACTGTAGCTTGAGGAATTGCTCTTTGATTCGATCTTCCAATCCAACATGATTCTTGAAGCGGGAGAGGTCTTTCTGGAGATAGGAAAACTCTTCATCCTCTTTCGAAATCATTCTTCCCAGTATGCTGTCCAGGTTGGTATGGGAATCAATTTCTGGTGGCTGCACACACAACGGGGCGTGGACCTCGGACACTTGGAATACATCAAGGACTTCTCTCACGCGCAAAGCATCCTCTACAAGATGCTTCGAAACGCGGATGTGATCGCCGAGCCTTCCCACAAAATGTCTCGCTAGATAAGAGACTTTTGCTAGTGATTCACTGCCTTCTTCGACAAGAACCTCTTGACTCAGTCGTAGAAGTATGTCCATCTGTCGATCGTTCCGAGAGATGTAGGCCAACATGCATATATCGTAGGCTCCTAGGGCTTCTCGGGATTGGAATCTTTTCAGCCATCTTTTTAGATCTCTTGCTTCTAATAGCTTATTAGCCATGCTTGTAGATTTCATATCGTATTGCAAGACGTACCAGTATCAGTCACGTTACCGCGGCGAGTCACGGACCCATTCAAATGACCAATGCATAACGTTGCCATCCTCGACAGCAGGCTTGCTTCTTTCCTAATCCTAGGGGTTGCAAAGGCGGCGAAGGACCTAGCCAGATTATTTATCTGATGAGCCAGCCAACCTGCACTGGGATCTGGCTCTCGGGTCACATCTTGGAGGCGTCGTAATGTTTGTCTCAAGAATGTCGGTATCCTATGGGCCGAAGCAAACTCTCTCTGCTGAAAACCCTGATTTGAGGCCACCCAAAAAATGGAACTTTCTTCAGAGTCTTCGATACCAATTGATGTCGTGGCTCTACCGCCCTTATCCCAGTCACAATAGTGGGCTAGTCCTGTTGTGAGTCGGCGGCGAGAGGCGGTCAAGCTGATATTGTCGTGTTTGACAGTGACTTGTGGACCTTGAACGGGCTGTTCGATCCAAAGAAGTATCATTGCCTCATACAGCCGGGCGATGAGTCTTTGATATCTGTCGAGCCGAGGCTTGCCCACTCTAACAATAGCGGTTGGCGGCGTTGGAGAAATCTCCTCTGCTTGAGACATCGTCAAGGAAGAAGACATGATCCGGTGCTGCAGTTTGGGAATATCAGTACTGGCCCTGAGATGTATACTAATGAATCTTTGGATCACAAGATCTGGTCCAAATTTACGTACTTTGGATAAAGATGGGGGCCCTTTTCCAAGAACGGCTTGTTTTTATACACGTAGCGTGACTGATTGCTTTTGCTTGAAATATCTGTTACCCAAATACAAATGAGATAAAGAAATTGATGGAGATAACTCATGTCAGATCCTGGGTTGAAAACTGGCTGTGTCTCGGCTTACGCTGACGCAAAATACGCAAGAGTCAAAGAAATGCAGATAACGCAGCTGTTATGTCTCAGACTGTTGGCTCCGTCCGTCACTTGGTCGGCCTCCCACATACGCTTTACTACTTTGGTAGTTTTAATGGTGTGTCTCCCGCCTCATCGCGTGGGGTTGTGTTAGGTATTGGTCTGCCTCCTGCAGATGGCCAATAAGAGTAGACTCCCTTCAATAGGAAATTACAAACCCCGCCAAATGACGCCATTGTTTGTAATTTTTGTGAATGCACGGGAGGAAGACTTAAATCAAGCAGGGCGCTATAGCCTCAGGCATTCTTGACATCCAGATCATCAGTCCAGCTCAGCTAGCTGATGAGTTGGCCGCTCCAAGACTTCCAAGACATAGACGAGTCCACAACTTTTGAACAAGCTGTGGGCTCGTCTCAACCCAGCCTGAGTCCGCAACTATCCTGTGTAACACAATATCTTGAGCAATTTAGCTAACACCCAGCATTATAGTATCTCTTGGCGATATTCCTAGCACTTTACCCGGAAATGATTTCGATGCGGACTTCTCAGGAAACCTGGTTCCACCCCAAGACGTACACACCTTTGAGGCGTTTGATATGTTCCAAAACAACTTATTTCCTGATAACCAGTCGCAATTTCTGAACCTAGACTTGATTGAAGACGACAATTTGCTCTTGACTGTCCCCGAGCTGGCACCTCCGGATGAACCTGGAACCGGTCAGTTTACATCAGAAAGGCTACAACTGCAACATGAACCATACCTTGATCCACATGATGACACTTCCACCATTCTGTAGAATGAGTCATCTGCACAGATCGATGGATCTGGATTCATTCCACAGAACACCTTTACTGATGGATACTGGGGAAACTATTTGCCTTCGCACGACAGCATGATGAAAAGTCATGATGAAATTGTGCTGGGGCAAACAATCGGCAAGGAATATAACGAATGGAGACTTTCATATCCTGGAAAGGATGAATTTGTTGCCAACGGCTTGTTCTATTGCAACCGTCAAGACTGTCTGTCGTCTTTCGAAACGTCTAGAGATAGGAAGTTAGTATCTCTTTTTTACATACTATCGCGCGTAAAAATCATAACAAATAACAGGGCACATATCAGAGAGCAAGAAAAGCCTGTCATTTGTCCACATTGTCATACACGAATGGGCTACCAAACTGACATGAAAAAACATGCTCAAACTCATCTAAAGGATGAGCTCCGCCAACGTTATTCATGTCCAGTTTGTGGAGATTTGTTTACCAAGTTGTGCAATATGAAAAGGCATGAGAAGAAGCATTGAGGTGTCTTTATTGTGACTTGCCACTATATCGATTTCGTCAAGTATACCTCAGAGCTTGAATATCTAATTGTTTACCTTTTGCGCTATGTTTCAATATTTTTCAGTCTCGTGAGCCTGTAGTTGCTCAATTTAGCCTGGTGTCACTGGAACAAATCCCAGGGTTCCATAAAGTTAAACATTATTCTTAACACTTTGAGAAATGTCTCCATGTGAGATGACTTATAGTCAACATAGCTTCTTGTTTCCTCATGGTAGTAAGGATTGACAGGGTGGAGTTCCAGGTCGTAATCTACTACCATCAACTCTTTCAGCAACCAAGTCCTACATATTGCACCTACAGTCTACAAGGTTCCAAAGGTCATACTACCGAAATTGTTTTTGCAGATTTTCCTTACATTGCTTCAGATGTGCCATGACCAATACTCACTAAGCTTCTTAGTATGGATACGTACGGACTTTGATCGGTTGAGAATATTTGTTCTATTCAGTCATGAACCACTGGCAATTATGCAGGGAGCTTTGAATCTTTATATCCGTAATTCAGACAACCATCTCTTAAATCAATATTGCCTTGCCTTAAAAATCATTTGTCCATAGAATACCCTCTGGGTCAAGCCTGAAAGGTTTATGTGGCTGCGGTAATACTAGTTCCGCTTACCTGCGTGGGTTGTTGATTGCTGGTTTTGAAATAGCATCCATCATTATGAGCCGAGCGGTTGTAAGTCCCAGATCCTGGTATAATATCTCTCCAGCTAGCAAGGCACTCCCAACAAAACTCATGATGACATAGACTGCCTGCAATCGGCGTTAACGACTATAATTGGGCGGACTGAAGCTAGAGCGTAGACTCACATGTCATGTGTAAGCAACCATTGCCTTTTTGCACTTTAATGCTACATTCAGGGCATGGCTTGGTATTGCTCGTGATCCATCCTCGCGTCTGTTGAAACTCTGGATCTCCTGTTTCCTTCAGACTGTCGTATTGTTCGCATGTCAGTCCCTCGTGCCACTTCACTTGGTGACTAAAGCACATTTCAAACTCGCAGTCAGCGCAAACAACATGGCTGTTCAAGAGTAAGTCATGTATCTGACCACTGGAGAATTTCTCAGATAAACACCACATGAAAGATGCCATTTGGCTCAAGGCCTTGAGTTTTAAGTACTCATCGTATCTGCTCGTCGTGTCAATAGCTTTCCTATCTATATTTTGGGTCGGCAAAAGGAAGTTTACTTGGAAAAGGTCTCTTCTTGTGCATATATTTGTATTTCCCCATACGTAAGTAGGCGTTGACAGCCTTCAGATGGGCAAGTGATGTCGTCGCATGCGCTTCTTCCAAATTGCTCCAGCTGGGTTTCGATGTGCTGTTGTAAGCAAGACGTGCAGAAATCGATTATATGATCGCAATTTGTGCCCAATTTCTGAGGGAATAATAATACTTTCCACATCCAGTCGCCGTTGAATTCTGCGCAGACTCTCGCCCACTCCTCGATAGAACCATAGGAGACGTCATAGATAGACTCAGTGCAAATTACACAATCAGTCGGTTCCTTTTCAGCGTGCAGAAATCGAGTAAAAATAGGGATCAATAGCGTTTCTCCAGCATGCTCAACATTATAGATTTGAACAAACTTAGAGTTTGCCTTTAATGGGGAGCTAGCTTCAGTGCGGTGCAGGTCCCAATAGTCCATGTCAAATGGATACTTCATGAAACCATGGGCCATCATCTTTCGATGCATGCGTGCTGCAACCTTTCGGGCACCAATTGTCAATTCCGGATTGATATTGTTTAAAATCTTCATCAGGTATAAAGCCGTGTCGTAACTATGAAGTAATCGTTATCTTGCTGATTCCACAAAACTCTTTTCAACTTACATCTTCATCTTTCTAATCTTAAGCCAGTCGTCGTTCATTAGCTGTAGCAACTGCATCAGCTGCTGCCGATTGTCCATGGGAATTCTATCACAGTGACTGCCACAAGGACACAATATGGAGATCGTTGGCCCTTGAGCTGTCCACCACGTCTCCTGGAGCAGCTCTAAGGAGTATGAAAGTGAGCTGAGATAGCATGCTGAGCAGACTGCTTTGTCGCATGAAATCGTTGGACCGGTTGTAATGAATTCATTGACAGTCGCGGCGCCGGCAACGCCAGCAGTTTGTCTGAACTTGGCTTTTCTGCACACAGAGCAGGTAACGAGTGTTGTCGACTGCAATGCTTCTATACCGAACCACTTATCAAAAGTGGAAAATAGTATTTGAGCTTCATCGGTGCTCAGCAAAGTGTCAAGTGTGCTTCTTAGATTGGAACCCGGACGACTGTCCAAAGATATCAATGAAACACAAAGGCCCTTCCTGCTTGAAGGCTGAGAATCCTTGTTTAAGAATTCCAACATCTTCATGACGATAATAACTCTGGGTGTAGCCCTTGGTAGCAGGTTAAGCTCAGAGACTTTACCTTGAAGCTCATCGATAGTGTGCGACGTACTCCTCTTATCGTTGAGGGCAGTTTTTAAATCATGATTTAAAGAAGCATTTTCCAATCTCAGAGAGACAGACTCTTTCATTCTCTCGCCAAGCTTAGACATTAGCGAATTGTTCTCGTCAATCAAATTCCTGACAGTATCCTGTAAACCTTTGATTTGCTCTTCTTGTTCGCGCAAAATTATTTGTAGTTCAATATTTTCGTTGGCCAGTTTCTGACAACATTCTAATTTAGCCGGGGCAGTCAAAGTTGGATAGGGCGGCTGCACTTGGTATTGTTTGGATTGCTTTTGGATCCAGTCTTTTGGCTGTGCTTCAAGAGTTGGCTGTCGTTCCAGGGAGGATTGGGATTGAACGCGTCGTATATGCCTCATTATTTTCTCTTTGTTCAATAAAATAGGATACAAAGGTAAGAAATGAGCTCGGACAATTTATGTCTTCGCTCTAGAACGAAGATGAAGGAAATAAGTCTATGATTTTCGAGCGGCAGGATAACAACTAATAAAACAGAATATCCAAAACTATTTTAAATACCCCAAACCATTTCGCGTCATTACATAATGTCACTGTCTCAACACCTAAAGGCAATATATTTAAGAGTGGTCGGCTCCCAGGACTGATGCCTTGGAGTGGGGCGAAACAGAATCAATTAGAGGCGGACACGCTGCGCACGGTCGGCCTCCTACATGCTCTTCTCTCTTGTATTGTCTCACATCTGTAAGCCACATACGTAAATAATCCGCAATCAATGGGTTGGTCTTATCAACCGAATGTTCCATGCGCATAAGGTAATCACCACGAGGCTTTCAGTAAGAGATAACGCTTTACTTCTGTTAAACCTAAGTTCAAACCACTGATTACGCAAAGAAAGTTACGGGACCATGTTGCATATTTAATATTCCTTATTAAGTTAACGTACGCGATAAGCGTGCCAGCCGAGATTTACGCGCAAGACTCAAGGGGAAAACCCGGGAATCGAGGCTTGGAATGAGTTTTACGGCCACTGGCATTCGATCATCAAGTCACCAAATGAACAAACTTTCCACGAACGTGTGTACGAGTTTGAGAAGAAATACATCGCGGATTATACCGAAGAAGTCAAATATATCAAGACAAACTGGCTTGATCAATACAAAGAGAAGCTGGTGAAGGCGTGGGTCAATCAACATCCCCACTTTGACAACGTCGTTACTTCAAGGGTGGAAGGCATACACTGGCTGCTTAAGAGCCACCTCAAAGTATCTACATTGGACCTGTTCGAAGCTTGGCGATCGATCAAGCATGCACTACTCAATCAACTGGCGGAGTTGAAGTCGAACCAAGCCAAGCAGAAGATCAGGACACCTATCGAACTCTCCAGTATTCTCTATGGTGCAGTACGTGGTTGGGTGTCTCATGAAGCTTTGCGAAAGGTTGAGCAGCAACGAAAGATTCTATTTCATCAAGGCTCTACTCCTTTGTCGGCATGTACTGGTTCTTTCTCACGATCACAAGGGCTGCCCTGCGCTCACAAGCTGGAGGCTTATTAGCTCAAGGGCAGACTCTACAACTCGAAGATTTTCATCCGCATTGGCACTTGACTCGGAAAGTTAATCAAAGGCCCCTCTTAGAACCCCGCCAACGAGTCGATCCAGTGACTACGAATTCGTCTTTGCCATTATCTAGTGTGAGAAGAGAACTTAGCGGCTTTGAAGTCATTGAGAACGCGAGGCCGATACGGAACCCTCCTTTATGCAGCAAATGTCATATACTAGGTCACGCAAGGAACTCAAAGGAGTGTCCACTACGATACTCGGAACTAAGAGCATTGCCAGTTATATCTTCAGACCAGCCGCAGGTGTGTTCGAAAACCTTTGAGTGGATACCCTTTACGACCCCTGAGGAACCAAGGCCACCAGTGATGAAAACGCTCGGCGAAATACAGTGGCAACCAATCACAACTTTGGAAACTTTCGAATTTGAGAATGAATCAACTTGTCAAGATCTGCCATCCCAGTTGACCATCGAAACAGAGCGGGTGGACCGACACACAACGACTCCAGAACCTCGACACCCATCACCTACGCCATCGATGTGTAGACCGCAGGTGTCACCAGGCTTGTCAATAAATAAATCCAAATCAAATTGACCCTAGTTGGATTTGATTTGGATACGGACGACTCGATTTGAATTTGATTTGAATTCATTTGGGCAATTTGGATTTATTTGGATTTATTTGGATATCCCAATGGCCCCACTTTTGTCCCACGATGAGATGCACCGCGCTGCTCCGACAATATCTGCTTGCAGCCGTCTTCTCGGAGGCGTGGCCATCTGCCATGCAAGACTGAATATCCGTTCTGGCTCAGAAGACATCATGGGAACTGAAAACAGGTCAATTGCCATTCTTGACAAGCGTGGATACTGCCGTCCTCGGAGAAGCTAGTACTGACGCAGCATCGTACATGTGGGTGATGGCAGCCTTTGTCTGGTGACACTCTTTGCAGAGTCAGAAACGGTGACCGGAACTGTCTTTCTCGATATCGTATCCGTGCTCCCATACCCATCCTGTCCGCTGCCTTCCGCTGCCTTCTTCTTTGTTTAAGTTGCTGGATAAATACCCTAGGAGGCGATGCCAATCGATGCCTTCGTACCCTAAGTGAGCTGTCGAAGAAATGTCCACATTCGCTTCTGTATTGTCATCGGATCGATTGAAGCTAGTCGCTGTATCGGGGTCGCTGTTGGCTGTAGAGGTTGTTGAAAACAGCGCAGCTGAGATGTCAGGATTCGTAGACGGAGCCATTGGGAGCGAGGGTGTGGGGGCAGGTAGCTTCGTCAGGCAAATCGAAACGCGACGGACGCAATAACTTTAAGGTACGCGTTGGTAGGGAGTGGGTCAACCTGGGGTTACAGTACCAACAATGATTGGTCAGTGCTTCTATCCAAATGAATCTAGATATCCAAATAAATTCGGCTCCTGCAATTTGATTTGATTTGAGTTCATTTCGACTCGATTTGATTTGATTTGATTTGAATTTATTTGAATTTATTTGATTTCATTTATTTGTTGACAAGCCTGGGTGTCACCACAGTTAAATTCGAGAGATCTAGCTTCAAACCCAACTATACGTCTGAGGCATGACGATCCGCGAGCCATCCATCAGAGACACGTCAAGTCTAGAGAGGATTGGTATAAGGCTCAACCCCCAGGAGCCTGGCTTGGTAATCGCCAGTATCGAAAAGCAATGGGCTTACCTTTGGGATGCATGTCCCAAACGCGCTGTTGCAGGCTATGATTGTTGCTGGGGCTGTAGCTCCGACAGTAGCACCCCAGGTGTACCCGGCTGCACCGTAGCAAGCCATGACGACACCCGCACAACCAGCTTGGCAAACGCCGTATGCGACAGGTCCCGTGGAGACAGTCGTCGAGAGGATGGCCAGGGTGGTGACAACGGACAAGAGCTTCATTTTGAGAATTTTGTGTTCCTGTTATGTCTTCTGACATGCGACCTAGGTTCCTAAATCACTCCAAGGGATAAAAGAACTGGGCTTTTCCGTATGAATGGAGCTTGAAGCTATGGGGCCCAGTGGAGGAGATTGTGGATTGTATCAAATTAGAAAGCGCGAAAGGTTATCGGCCAGAAATGGCGTAAAGATGACGCCATGTGGCATAATGGTAGCCTCCATTATGAATTTCAGACTAATGAGCTACCAGCCTCAGCAGCAAGAGCAGAGTCGCTCTACAGACCGCTCGACACCGCGCTGGCAAACGTCTTCCACTGTTCAAATTGCTCGACTTCGCTCTGAAACCGACGATCTCGGACTGTCCATCTTTTCGTTTGATTTCGAAGACTGCGCCAGACCCAGCCGGATTTCACAATTAAGAGGAAAATAATTAGGTTTGTTGAGAAAAAACAGCGCATCGCTGGTGTAGTAAGGAAAGTTGATAACAGTCAAGTGCTGCTTCAATTTACTCACTTCCGTCTCCAACCCCTCACCAAAACTTGCCCCGTAGCTTATGTATCTTGAGCTTTGGCAATGAGAGAGTCATACTGTATGTTTCACCATAAGGGAGACGCCGTGCTTATCCATTCTACGAACTGGCACGAGTCTTTTCAGTGGTCAGATGAGAGACTTTCAATACACGCACATACGCCGGCCGAAAGCACGGCCATTAAAGTTAAGAATCCAAAGACGAAAGTGTTAAAAGGGACGAAACGCTGAACAATGCCAGAACTTGAGGCTAGATGCCTCACCTGAGGGTCTCACTGCTATTCCCCGCGGGGATCGAGAAGATGTCGATATTATCAGTGAGGATATCCCTGCCATTGAAGAGCCGGCCGCTATGCCCGTCGGCGACGGCCCTGCATGGAACAAAATGTTCACCCTAACTCAGGACATACACTTTGGAGAGTATCCCAGTGATGCACCGGAGGAAGTCTACTATCGAATGCTAGTTTCCTCATCACATCTAGTGCTAGCTTCTCTGGTTTTTCAAGCAATGGTTGAAGGTCCATATGTGGAAGGCTCAACCGTCCATGGTGGGATTTATCGATTTACTACTCACGGATGGAATCAGGAAGCTCTTGTTATCGTTCTTGATATTATACATGGACATCACCGGAGCGTACCAAAATCACTTGATCTGGAGATGCTCGCAAAAGTGGCTGTCATCGTCGACTATTATAAGTGCCACGAAATTGTCGAAGTTTTTGCTGAAAGATGGTTAAAAGCACTTCAGAATGGTCATACAGTCCATTATGGCAAGGCCTCCATGCTGTGGCTACTAATATCATGGGTATTTTCGTGTCCAGAGATATTCAAAAGCATGGCTGGGCTCGCGTTGAAACATAGCACAAAGCTCATTTTGGCAGATAATGTACCGATTCCGGGAGACGTTTTGGGTAAGACTGGTAGTCATGTGTCAACTTTTTGCCTGACAAGGAACTTATAGATCGGATCGATCAAGAGCGTCAGGGTGCTCTAAGCAAAATATTTACTACACTATACGGCCTACTCGATACTCTGCAACATAACTCAGACTGCTCTTACGAGTGTTCATGCATCTGGCTGTGGGCAAACTCGATTAGTTTTCTGATTAGGTTTGCTGGTTGCTTATGGTATCATGTTATAAGGGTATTTAGCGGGCTCTTCCGTGGCACTTTGATGTGACTGAGATCTTGTATAACAGTATTCTGGTGTAGCTATACAGGACTAGACTACTGGAGATGCACTACACAGAAGCGGATATCTGTTGTCTGGACTGGGACTACTTTTGCTATTTCTGTTGTCAAATATACCACTCGCTCAGCCTAGGTGGCTCTACTCTATCTTCCTCTGTACCGAAACTGAGATGTTTGATTCCATTAACATCGACCTCACCCTCCAACTCCCAATAGAAAGAGTCTTCCATCTTCAATACACCCCACTTGATCCTTCTTTGAGTGACCTTCATATCGTCCAATAATACAAGGTTACTGCATTCCGGCTTCCTCGCATCACGAGCAACTGTCATCATTTCAATATCACACGCAGTTCCAGAATCTCTTCTTCCTATCCCAGAAACAGAAGAGCTGATCGCAGGGACGTGACAAGCTGCGGCAAACGCCAGAGAGTTGCTTCCCACAACCACCATATCGCCTGGTAGTTTGCGAAGCGAAAGGACTAATGGAATGCAGAGAATCACAATAAAGACAATGATTGTGATCAAGCCGGCCACTGTAGAGTAGCCTACGGACACAAACCCGATATGGGAAAGGTCCAGCGAGCCTGCTGATGAAGCTGAGTTGGCTGTGCTAGAGCCGTAGAAGCCTAGGATAGTTAGCTAGCCACGCTTGGTGGGAACGTAAAACATGACTTGCCTCCATCCGCCATGAAAACATAGCATGTATTTGAGACCAACCAGTGAAGAAGAATGCTACCGAGAATACAAGGCACTCCCCAACTATATGGTAGTTGAAGTCTATAGGTCGAGACTTGCTCCCCTTGAGGGTCCGTCACGCGCAGTGGGAGGTACTTGGTGCTCATCTGAGCCCATTCCTTGGCCATGACTATCCTTGTTACAAGATTATTGAACTGCAGATATGTCACGGATAAGATCAGCTGCGGTATGTTAGCTACTAATACCAGATGCATGAAGTCACCAGTGTATTTGTCGGCTGCGCCATAGTTTTTATCCATAGTGACAAAATTGTTGAGGCCGCTGTTTCCAAAAGCTCCTGATCTATAGTATGTCAGCATAAGCGGTCTCTGATGGGGGTTATAAATTCGGTTCGAACATTACAGATCGACTACCAGTGGCTTTGACAAGGTAGTAGATAGAAACTATCAGTACGACCAGAAACAGGACGTATGTCCGCGCCCATATGCTTACAGGTAGAGCGTAGAAAGTCGGTATCTTACGACTTCGCCATTGACGGGCTTGGGGTGCAAGGAAGCTGTGCTCAAGATTCCCGTGAAGCAGCTCGATACCATCAGTTTGGTGATAGTCCTTCTTCTGCTTAGGATTCGCCCCTACAATCCTCTCCCACGTTAACTGGATGTCTCTCATCTCGAGCGTGCACATGCGCACGGTCGTCCGATCTGGTCGGCTTATGAGCGACTTGACAGCATCACCTGGTGTCACCAAAGGATCTTCCGTGCTCTTCAAAACATATCGAAATAGGAAGAAAGCGCACTGAGAGATTTTCACAAGCACACAGAGAGTTGTGACGAGGAGAATCAGATTTGAAACTCCAATTTTGCAGTGCTGATCTTCTCTCTCTGCTAGACAGTAAGAGATGTCGAGGTTATCATAATCTGTGTCGAAGCCGCTACGCGTTTGCGCATCGAGGAGGTGCATTTCTAATGACTCTGGGCCGTAGAAAGGAAAGGTCCATGTGGAACTCCTCGTATCATCGCGAGGATCGACCACAAGAGGTGATTCAGTAGCCATAAGATCGTAGCCCAAGCGAACTTTACAAGTGTTGGAGCAGCCTTTCCGGCTGTCGAAACTCGCTCCAATCTGACAATATTCGTAATACCAAAGCGCATTTGCTTCTTTGGCAGGAATCAACGTATTCCAGAACTTGTTGTCTGAGCTCGTCATGTTGGGGAAAACCTCGTCACGCTTCCAACCAGATATACGAGGCTCAGTGGCGTTTACCACTAGCACTACGCTTTTGTAGCCCTGTATCCCAATGCCACCATCGCAGAATAGGAATTTTGAACGGCACTCAGCCGGTTCAAGACGGTGCCAAGACTTTTGGGCATCGGTGGCCGCTGTTGAGATATTCATACTTTCTTTGGAGGTTCTGTTCATCCACATTTCGGGGCGAACGGTGAAACTTGAAGTACTACCTATGCCGGCGTATTCGCCGGGGCCTTTTCTCCAACAATCCTTATTTTTCAGGCCTGGGTAATCACTGCAATTGGTCGGTACGGCCGTGTTCCAAAGACTAGCGCCAGGTCCATAGTACTTGGCGCCGTCAAGGAAATCTTCAGCTGCCATTGTCATTCCAAAACCAGATCGAACCTCGGCGACCTGAAAGACAAGCGAGTTGAAGAAGAGGTGAATGGGGATTGAGCTACAAGCCAGGACGAACCAGCAAGCAAACTTGGCTGGACCGAGGTAAAGAAAGTTGCGCATCGACGGAACTCCAATGTTGACCCAGCCGGAGCGTGCATGGGCGCGATCAAGGTCAGCTCTCGAAGGAGCATTAATGATCTGCATAAAGAAGTTGGACGAGGCTAGTATGAGCGTGCTGAAAACATTGAGAAGCAAGTGAACTGATATGTTGATCTTCTGAGACGTGGAGCAAGGACCTTGAAAGAGTATGAAGGCGCCATTCAAGCTGCCTGCACGGACGCACCCATATATGAGGACGCCAAGAAGGATAAGAGCGAGAACGATGAGAAGCGCGATGTTGATAGTGGCCAGCCGCAGCCAGGCGGGTCGCCCAGAGCCACGCGTGGTGCTCTTTTCTTCACTAGATACACTCATAAAGAGGAAGTTAAGTTGATCTAACTCACGCGGCGGTGAAAAGGAACCTTCTTATGTTCGAGTTGAACGTAAGTCAACCAATCAGGAGCTCAATCTACGTGTGTCAGCCTTGTAGGATCGGCTCCTTGAATTTCCCACTCACGCGTATAACATAGCCAATCAAGCGAAAGCTAGCTCGCTATTTTGAGTGAGTTCCATAGAGTTGTCTGCGGCAGAGTCGACCGTCTGAGACGACTCTACCTGATAAATTGAGGGCTCAATACATTCTTTTTCCTTTTGCCGTTGTCGGTATCTCTGGGTGCGTTGCGCTTGTAGGCGACGTCGACGCAGCGCAACGGGGTCGTGTTCGTTCACGAATCGGAACTCCATTATTGCATTGTGTTGCTTATGAAATCTGCCGATCTCACATAACACGTTGAGATTTTTGGGACGTGAGAAAGGGCTAACCTGATAAGGAAAATGTAACGCTAACACCAAATGCTTACTAGTCCAGAATAGGAAAATGTAACGTTTAACGGCATTTTACTCTCCAACGGATCAATGAGACGCGTTTTTTGGTCGGACCGGATCCTCAGATCAGAGACATCACCATCACGACTCGCTTCGACAGTCAAGAAACGTTGTTCGACCTCAACATCCCCATCAGGCTCAAGGGCATCAAGACGGGCATGTTCTTGATTGTTAGAATCCTTCCATCGTCGACATCCTCCTTCGATAAAAAGGCTCCCAATGCCTATAATTCTACCCGTAGCCCTACCAAATCTTGCTAGTTTTCCCTTAACAATTCCTTAAAATACATGACCCAGCACCCAAAGCATGAATCATCATACTATCGGAAGTCCCAGTGACCTCCTTAATACACTCTCATTTAGCCGCTGAATGGTCTTGTGCTTGTAAAGCTTTGGTTTATTATCTCCTCCCACATCTTCAAAATGCTCAATAAAATCATGGGAAGTCTGAATGTCTGTGGTCACGAGAGCAGCGTTGCGCTTCATCTTAAGTGGCGACTCCCCATCGGTGGCATCCCAGCTTTCCCATATGGCCAAAGTCTTGTTGGCGGAACGTTCGCATGCCATGTTAAACCTTTTGAGATTTCCTATGTGACGTTTGGCCCGGTTGTTACAAATGGACTTGCACGGTCGCTCGCGATGCTGGGAAAGATCTGAGTTCCTGTGGCGATGTGATCTGGCTTGGCTGAGATCAACAGCAGAGTTTGTCGGTATGGCCGGTAGCTTCCCAGACGATCGAGTAGGTCTGGCTCTTGCGGATGTGAGGGCTACTATTCGTTTGGATCTTCTGCGTCCCTCGGGATAACATTGTTGCTGTTGTCTCAGCTCGGTCGAGATGGAACTGAACGAATTGGCGGACGGGCCATTGTGAGTATGTTTCCCAGACCTTCTGGTAATTGCCATCGTGGTTGAGAGACTTGGCTTAGTTGAGGTCTCCAGCTGGCCTGGGTTGTTTGTTGAGCCTGGTTCGTGACGTTCTATGCTGCAATTCAGGAATTACTTGTTGTTTAGTGAGCTTCGCGTCACACCCGATCGCGTCGTGGCGAAAGGCTCAGACGCCGTAACAAGGTGCGAGTGTTTGAGGGGGCGAGGGGTGAATCAAAGCATGGGAAGATATGAGAATTTATAGGTTGCTATAAACCATCCCGACGCTTGTTCTAGGGGGCGTTGGGCGGCCACTTGAAAATCCGGCAGGCGCTGTGCACCTCGAAATTGATTCCTGAGGAGGTTATCATTGGCGTGACAAAATTACGCCAAGTGGGGAATACTAGTCTGCCGTCCCAGGTCGCCGTGAGACAGGCGCACAGTCCTTGCATGGTCAAACCCTTGTAGCAATGTCTTTTATGATTACGACGGAGCAACAAAAGCAAGGATCTTGGGTTCATATCTGTCTCTGCAATTGGATTGGTTCTAAAGAAGGTTACCTTTTCAATAGAATAATGTGTCTGCTACGTACCATGATGACCGGCTAAACCGTAAGCAGACTCGGAGATCTGTCAATACGGTTTTAAGTAGTTATGGGGCATTCCCAGGCATCTCTAATAGTTAACTACCCATAATGCTTCCCCCTACTAATACTGGGACCTTCCGCCCCCCCTAAGAAGCAGTTCCAAGCATATAAAATCAAAGAGCCAGGCGCTTACACGAAAATCCAATGATGCTACGACATGATTCATTTGCCAGATTAATGCCTGCTGCGTTAACAGCATTGCGCACGAATGTCGACCTCATGAGACTATCTGCATTGATATCTGCTGTTGTCTTGGGGATGCCGATCTTTTGTGATGCTTTGGGAACAGCTTCATGGTACTTTGAAGATTTGTCAAGGAGCTCACGTTCCAGGCCACCCAGCTCTCGGTTGTTGAGTTTGTGCATCTGCAAAGCTCCTTTCCACGCCTTAGTACCGTGTCGATAGGCTTCAAAAGGCTCGAAGACTTCTGGGCCTCTCCCAACTGTAATGCCATGTCCACTTCTCGGTTGGCTGCCAGTCTTAAAAAGTGCGAGCTACCAGCTGCGAAAATGAATTCGCTGCCCCTGTTGCCATCCATGATTTACCGCCTGAACATGTTTTACACTCAAGAGGACTTGGTTTGCTGAGCTCATCGCAGACTGAGTGTTTCCTGATTGACTTGCATCACAGATTGAATCTGTTCCACCGTGACTTGGATAACAGCGTCATCGCCTCCTGAGCTGCTCCTTGCTCATTTTGTATTCAAAAAACAAAATCGATGGAAAAGCAGGCGGAATTTTTGGATTTGAATTGCGGATTACGCAGTAGGATTTGAAGTAAAGGAGAAAGAGGTAACCTACCGCGGCAGTAGTCACCCAGTTGATGATGGGCCTGAGCTCCATTTGGCAACAATGCTTCGGATCTGCATGCAAGTCTGATTGGGTGACTGATTGTGAGACAATTGACGCAGGAGGTCGACCAAGCGGATAGGTCATCTGCTGTCCTTGGCATGAGTCTGTACGTGTTGGTTCGAATAACACTGGGTGACAAGGAGCCAGCGAACCAGGCAGACCAATCACACAATTATAGGCGATAGCTAATCCGTAGAGTAACTGGCTCAACTAGCGGAATTAAATATCTGTAAGGCTAAGTACTCCCACTTATATGCTTGATATTTGCGATTGGTTTTGTAATGAGGATTATGTGGTTACAGCCAATGAGAGGATGTGGAAAATCGCTAACGATCACGAATGGAACCTCCTTGAGACTGCAAACCTAGATCACTGGATGAACCCGTTGAGTGGAGACTCATAGTCCGATTAGCATCCATCATAGAATGTCAGTACTCTGACCATTACTGGCTCTCGACGTCCAATCAGTTATCCACTGCGGTACTAGGTAAAGAAAAGGTTAAGAGTTACTTCTAGAACGATAGGCTTATAAGTTATCTCTGGCAAAGTATGAGCCGTCTACAAGGTCCTTATTCCCGCAGCCAACACAATAGGGTGTTCAAAGGTACAGATATGCTGCTTCAATATGTTCGGGGAGGGAAAGATACTCTTTGCAAAACTCACGTGCCGGCTACATATCGCACCTCGGTCTTATGCGAAAGTCGGAGCCCCTTGCGATCATATAGACCTGGGACTCAGAATGCTTATGTGGTCTATCGATGCGAGGGGCGGCCCTCTTATTCCAGAGGGGGACACCGTCAATACTCTTTCAGCAAAGAAGAGATAGGAAAAAGGAAAAAGGAAAAGACAAGCAAAGTGACGCGCAGGAAAATAATTATGGCCAAAAACCCTGTCTTATTAACTAATTCTTGTAATATTCAACTTGAACTATGAGGGGAACCATAAACGGTGCATCAATCACCTAAGTTGTAAGGCTCTCACTGCGCTGTGAATACAACCCTTCTTCTCACATTGTAAGTTCGAATGATTCATTCTAACTAGCGACTACGTGGAAGTTGCAGAGCCCGGGTGACCGACATAGATTTTGCCTTTACTGAATTTGTTTCACTCTTCTTCTTGATACATAACCTTCTCGCGCCAGTCAGGAGGCCTTGGACTATCGGTTTCCCACTGTATACCGTTCCTCCTGTTGAGATGACACCCTTGTCGAATAGGGGCAATCTTCCCGGTGTCAACCACCTCGTTGTTTGAGATGCCTGAATAGTCCCCAGGAATCCACAGGAAGGGGTCTGACTTGTGACGGAGGGCGGATAATAAGCCTGCGCCTCAGCGTCCTCAGAGTACTCCGGTACTATGAGGTCCTCGTGATGCACAAGCTGCTTCACGGCCGCGTAATCGACGAAGATCCGGACTTGAGCCACTCAGAGACGAAGTTAGCCTTATTGCGGTCCCGGCCAGTAGCGGTAGGCACGAGTTTGCGGGCCGTTTTCCTCTTGCTCGCACCTCTGGACATGGCCCTGGCGCCATTCTGTACTTGTCCATCATCTGGCTTCTCTGCTGGCTTCGGTCAATTCGATCTTTTTCGAATTGACGAGAAAGAGGAAGATTGTAAAGGAGAGGGTCGAGAGCCTTGACGAGGGAGACGTGGCAAAGGATGGTAAGAGAAAGAAAGATAATCATCAGAAAAGCAGGTCCCGCGGCTTTGGAAACGATGAACATTCCAACGAGGCACATCTCGGCTACGTAAACACCAAATAAAAGCTGCTTCAGAGCCTGAGGATAGATCAAACCATCGGTGTCGACATCGGTGTCTGCAACATACAGTAAATTGTAACGGTAAGCGAGATAGAACAAACCCATGCTGATAGTCGACCACAATAGAAGAAAGGGGGCAATAACAGAGTAAACAATGCCTGGAGGAAGGTTAGCTGAGGTAAACCGTAATACCTACTTAGTTTCTCACTAATGACAGCCATGTTGGTGTAAATAGGCATGAGGCTCCCCAAAGAAATAGTACTGAGTGTCGTCCACTTGTCGTACATAATTCGTGGAGTCCTGTTGGTGAATCTAGACGAGAGGGTGAACGTGACGAATCCGAAAACCTGAGTCAATACGCTGGTGGCGATGGTGAGACCTTGAACAATGAAAAACGAAATGTAAAAGTTGGAAGCGGTAGGGATTGAAGATGAAAGCATGCCAAAGACGTTGTTGGGATTCCGAAGGATTGTCACAAGAGATGAAATGAAACTGTTAGAAAGCGTCTGGACCAGGAATACTTGGAGGACTTGAAAAATGAAGTACGCCTTCTGGGTGAAGAGCTCAGCTTGTGATGTTGAAACACAGCCAGACCACCTGGCACAGGTACGTATGAACACTGGCACTGACGACATCAGAATAGATAGCGCGATGGAAGGTAACAAGCCAGAAACAGCGCCAAGGATAACCTAAACGGTCGGATCAACACAACGATAGAAAGAAAGACGCCTGCCGAATTTACCTGTGGAATATTCTGTATCCAGGTTAGGCCTGGCAGCGACTTGATGGTATTTACTTGCGCAATGATACCAACAATAGTCACAGGAAGAGCCCAAAATACGACAAGACCAGCAATGGCAGTGTAGATGACATATCGACGTATTGCAACCTGCCACCATGAATAGTTAAGGCTCTTCCAGATAACTTCGTTTGGCTTTATGCCGATGAATCGGGAGACATTTGAAGGGCGCGGTGGTGTGTGGCGGCTTGAAAAGCAACCTGCGCATCGTATTGAGTAGAGAATTCGACGAAAAAAGCAGTGTGTTTCTCATAATCACCAGTGAGCCAGTTATTCTGAGCGTTCTGGGCTTCGGGGATGAGGTCCTCGAGCTTTTTTCGGCCCCATTGGATGGTGTCGACTTTCTCGCCGATAAGCCCTAAAGGGCCTTCGCGGTGGGTAGGTCGCTTGTCCTCGCGACTACGGCCGGTAACGAGGTTCCCAGATTCAGGATCGGATGTGCTGGTGGTTGCCCTTTCGGCCTCATTGCCTGTCTTCGTTCATACTTGATGCGCTCCTTGTTACATAGTCTGATCCACTCGATTTCTGCTTTCTCAAGCTTCATAACCACGTTGTCACGCTCTTGGATAGTCCTATCTAGCTGCTTAGTGTCGCCAGCGATCCAAATCTTCTTGGCCGAGCCGCTGAAGAGGCTACGGATGCGGTCCTCATCGAGACACTCCTTGGGCACTGAAGTAAACAAGACAGTGCGGGACGAGATGCGCTTAGCATACTGTGTGGTCAGCAGAAAGGCTTGCCGCAGGTTTACGTAGAAAAAGAATTCGCGCATAATGGCGTACATCACGAATGTATACACGACCCAGGCCACAAAGCAATGTGCATACAATCTGTTCCTCTTGGCTGAGTCTTCAATATTAATATTGCTGTAGGAAAGGATCTCAAGTTGCTTCTTCCCATTGCCGCCTGTGGCATTGAGTGGAAGGAGAACTGGCCATGTAACGCAGAGAGTAACAAAGCAGATGGCGCAACAAACACGAAGGAATCTGATAAAAGGTATGAATCAAGGCTTTGACGCCGAAGGGCATAGGCATCCGGTACTTTCCAAAAAGCCCCTATCCAACAGAAGAATCCATTGGGCAGCACGGGACTGCGTTCGCTGGGAGATGGTCAGGATTAATGTTCAAGATGCTAATGCCGTTCTGCAACCTACTACTCCCGCAAAGTGCCTGTGCATGTTCGAGGCGCGTAGAAACGCCGATTCGAAGTACGGAGGACGAGGAATATAATGATATAGATTATCGAAGTGACAAGAACCGGTACCAGAGTGGAAACCATACCTAACCTATTCTCAGTCGTGCTTTACATAATAATCGTAGACCAGATTGCGGAATATCAGCCGCCAACTGGCCTCCTTGATGCAACTTGTAACATACCCAATAGGGACATAGGCTCCGCATTACTTGCTACGCCCTGGTTAGGGTCATACAAGTTGTTCTCTAAGAATTTGATGAGATTATCCATCCCAATGCTATCCATGGACATTTGATTCCATGTGGAAAGTTTACAAACATCCAGAAAGCAAAGATCCAGGTACTTATCACTGATCGCGGTACTTTATTTCAAGGGTATTAAGCTAGAATCGTCTACTCTATTTTAGAAAATGCGGAGAAAGGTATAAATAGAACCTTTATGCTAAAGGGCTTCATAGCTCTACACCGCATTGGGACGACTAAGAATAACATTGAAACTGTCCCGTATCTTCTAATTCTTTTCCTGTTCAGATTTAATCAGGCCTATCAATCCGTGCTCTACACACCAACCACTCGTCCACCTGTCGAGGAGTCAACTAGTGATCTTCTACTCATTATCTCCTCCGTTTCCTTAAAGGTCTGAATCTTTGCCCCAATTCACTTTGCCATTAATAATATCAACTCTCAAAAAAGATGCGCTCCTCAGGCTATATCACTTCTCTGGTTGCCGCCGGCGCCATGGCCGTTCCCCACAACGGCAACTTGCAGAATGGAACAAGCATTATGAGATAGTTACAAAGTTCCAGTACGTCACTCACTATGTTATCGGTGGTGGAAGCGATGATCCCCAGACTACCTGCGTTTCTCAGCCTCAGAAGTCCAACTTTGAGAAGCAGCCTGACGTTTCTGGGCAATACATTACCACTGTCATCTACGCCCAGCCTACAAATGTCCAGCCCGTCAAGAGACCGAAGCAAGCCCCCAACCAGGATTCTGTTTCCGGCTTTGGTCCCAGCTACGGTCTCTCTACTGATCAGCAAGAGGCCGTTAACCTCCACAACGACGCCCGTAAAGCCGTGGGCAACGGCCCTCTTTCTTGGATGACTCACTCGCCGTGGGTGCCCGCAGTGGGCCGATCACCTCGCTTCCATAGGCTTTCTCCAGCATTCTAAAGGTGACCATGGTGAGAACCTCTACATGGGTACTACTGATAGTCCTTACTCTGTTTCCGTCAAGGCCTTCCTCGCCGAGAACAGCCAATACAACGGTGAGGCCATCTCGGGCTCCAACTACCTGAACTTTGGTCATTACACCCAGTGCGTCTGGAAGGACACTACAAAATCGGCATGGCTGTCTCCAAGGACAGCAGCGGCGTCTCCTGGGTCGTCGCCCGCTACCAGAAGCCGGGTAACATGAAAGTCCTCGAAACTAATCTGTATACTGCATTCGCTAATATTCATACAGTATCGGCGAAAAGCCTTATTAAGGTGTCAGCACCGGTATAGCAGGATGCTGCGATTCAGAGAAAATGATACAAATCAGGCCAAGGTTGATGGTATAATCACTGACAAATATTCAGCGTGGATAAGCAACACGCCAAAGAGTAGCGATCAAAGATGACAAGGAATAGTACATTTCACGTTGACATGGTGAGTCGTCAGAAGTAGCAGTGGGGACAGCGGAAGGCGTGCCTAGAAGTATTAGCGTACACCTACGTGGCTTATTCTGACAGTGAAAACTAAAAGTCGTTCTATTAGGAGCAGCTTATAGCCATTCAATAAGACGGTATATATAAGGAGTGTAGGTCACTACCGTATTACAATCCCGAAGCAAACAACTACATGGTGATCATTTGCCAAATTCAAAGCCAACAGCCGTAAGAAATACCATGGACACCCCTTAATCTATACGGATATTGATCCAACATCATGCAGGTTCCTCTTGTAAAACACCCTAATCTTCTTTCTTAATACACTCGCAGGAAGGAAGGTAGCTCATTTGGTAGTTGAGAAGTCCTACAAACCGATGGATAGCCGCCTCTTAGGAAGCTACACGGCCTGGCGCCATATAAGTGTCTTGTCCTAATGGGTTATCGTAGGGTACGAGAAAGATCTATTCTATAAAGCATAAAGGCGGCCACAGTAAGATATCTATTACTGAAAGTTACGTTCCATAGATTAAAACATACATTCAGGAAGATCCTTGCAGATGTACAATAGACGATTCAGGAATAGGAGCATAAGTTACAACATTATACGTGGACGGTATACCGACAGTCGCTCCACTGAAAGAGGTCATTATGAGCTTCAGGAACTATTTAGGGTCATTGCCCAAGGCTCAGCACGATTTTCTATTCCAAATCGACAGCCACGCTTCTCCTCGTATTCTCCTTTTCTATGAGGTGGAGCAAAGGGACGGAAAAGCAATAGTCAAACATCTGCGACGTCAACAGGCGGTCCAATTCTGGCATTAAAAACCTGCTTTGCCTGGCGTAGTTATTGAAGTTCCGTATTCGCAGAATGGAAAGACACCATCCAAGCTCTCCAAACATACTCGACACGCAGCTGTCAGCTGAATCGTTTTCAATTACATAAACCTCTGGCCACTGCCTCGCTCTGTAAACCACACTCACCCTGGAGAACTAGAGGTACCAGGAGGCTTTTGGGATTTGATGTACACTTTTAGGACAGATTTTGATTTTGATTTTTTCTTCCTTTTTTCTCTCTTTTTTTCAAGTCTTTCTCCAGAGTATACCGCATGAATGTCTATAGATTGTGGAATGAAGCAGTTATCGCTTGATAAGCATCTTCATGATCAAGCTATGAGTCGTCTCCAGGCTCAAAGGGGCGTCCTTGCTATATGAGGCAATAAAATGAGACTCCAAAATAGCACTATGGCACAGTACATGCGCACCACACCTAAATTTGTCATCATGACTCAATTGCATAAAATTATTGCCTAAAATTGTCTTGATTGACAATATAGTACAGGGTTTGAGTGAGCATGTAAGGAGTAATGGATAGAACTATTCAAGACCAGTCAAGTTTATATTTCTTCCTCGAGATGCCTTCCGCTAGTTATTTTCTATGTATTCCCGAGCCACTCTGGCTACTTCTTGAATACTTTGATGTTTTCGTACTTTCCTATTAGCTTGAACCCCCCCATTTCACGACCTTATGGTCATATCTTTCAAACCGCCATTTTGGGTATGTCGTGAAACGGATGTACACATCGGTGACTTTCCCTTTGCAGGACCCAACTCTGGTCCGGACGTTATCGAGCGGCTTTTGCTTGGCCCTTTTGCGCCTCTGGTCACTCTTCGCGTTCTAAAGCATTTGTCAGTCCGCACACTGTTGGTCTGTTTGGTGGACAACCTACTGTTTAGAGTGAACCATGACCTTATCGTATTAATCAACGCTTCTGTTATATCGGCAAGGAATACTGGATTTGCGGTTAATAAATGTTGTCCTGCTTGACAATTTCTTAAGTTGTGATTTGACGAGGCCTTGCAACTTAGGCTGCCTGGAAGTGGAGCTGATTCTTGATGCCTAATGCCTGAGGCATCATCACATCACAAACATCCACCACTCATAAACAGGCTGCGGTGGTTACAAGTTATTTGGTCGGTGTTGTATAAAGCTCTCATCCTCTAATATCAGAGGTTTTGGCAGCATAAAAGTGGGGAAAAAATGAATCCCGGAATTTTAGGTTGTAGACATCTCATCAAATGCTTGATTCGTCGATTAGAAGCCTGTTTTAGCAGCCCAAAGCATCCACCATCAAGATGCTGTAACAGATGAGATGCAACGCCTAGGGGCGAAGGAACAAACCGCACAGAGGAGGGACTTTGACCGCTGTCATAAGTTTTCAAGAACGACTCTCGATACTCCTACTTTAGTTTTGTTTAACTCATCCGCTCCATTTGATCGCAACGCCAGCGTTGCAACTGGCCAAACTTTCCCCTGCGGAACAATGCCATGCTTCCGGACAAAGACAATAACATCCAAATTAATGAGATCAATGAAGATTGAAGGAACAGTATTGTGATCGCCAATTTGATTGTATGCTCCCAGCGGCCTCCCCGCAGTTCTAATTTACAAGAAATCGTACCCTCGCTGAAAGTATGGATGCTCTTGTGTAATGCCAAGGGAATTTTGAGAAAAACCGATATCCCTCAACCATTCAACCGTCACTTTAATAAACCTTCAAGACCAGATCATTGCCACATGTATTGCATGGTGACGCGGATTGGGAATCCTAGGTTGCTCTGTGCGTTTCTCGATGGTGTACAGATGCTAGATGGTGATTGGTCCAAAACAGGAAAGGCAGCACAGCTGACCTCCATGCTTGAGTACAGTATGGTATGACATTGGCGAAATGGGGCGTCACGGATAAACATTCGGCCGTGAGAGCTTGGCAGGAATAGAACCTGAACCTGATTCTTCTGAGGACCATCCTCTCTTTGAACCACGGAATCCGATCAATCATTGCTTCAAACGCCAGGGATAGTTCAACAACACTGCGGTCTCATACCCCTTCTCCAGAATTTACCTCATCTTAGCGGCCCATCCGCCCCGACACCTGATGAGCTGCTAAGGGGTCCAAAGGCCCCCCCTTCAGCCACCGACGGCCTCTCCCGGCTCCGCCAGTCGAGTGCTGAGTAAAAGTTCAACAACAGAGATCACTGGGGGGGGGACTGAGAACGAAACGGATGCGATAGATTTGAGAGCCAAAAATGACGTTGGATAAGAAGACGACGAAGAGGGAGAACATGCCCAATCGAGATGAAGCAAATGATTCAATGGATGATGCAATGAGAAATGCGACGACGCAACGAACAGAGCTCCCGTCAGATATGCCACAACTGGGAGGTACCTGGGAAGAAGAGAACAATGAGACAACGGCAAAGCTGTTCTGCACACCATCAAGCTCACCTCTTCGTCACCTTCGTCACCAGACGCTTCTTCACGCCCTCTGGATCTTACGCACGACAAAACTCGTTGAGCATCGAAGTCGTCGCGCAGAAGCCCAGAGAGAAATAGTAGAGAAGGATCGCAAGCGTGTGGAGGCAGGCATGATAAGCAAGCAATAGCTGAGAGCCTCAAGACCACCACTATAACTCAAGCCTGCACAACCGTACAAAACACGGATCAGCCAAAGCCACTTTCATCACTAAAAGACCCTCTACCGCATGATGAGAAAGATAACTCCTCATCATCTTTTCCTCGGAGGTCGCCAGTCCTGCTGGATCGGAGGATTCAGATGAAGGCGCCTGGTTAGACGAGCTGCCCCATGAGAGCTGATTAACATGGTATGACCTCTGTCATCTAGAAAGGCTTCCCGTGGAGCGACTCTCATGGTAGGACGGCACCAGTGAATGGATCATGCGATGTTCTTTGAGTGGGATGGTTTGCAAATACATATTCAAGGGCATAGCCGTGAAGCATCTTTTAGGTAAATATCTATGAGAATTGAGTAGCAGTCGCGAGCATTCGAGGTCACTCATCTAAGCAAGAATGGCCCTGGGTCTATCTTCTCAGAGATTGTTGACGGCGTTGCAGCTTGATATTTGCAAATACCGATATGGCTGAGAGTAGGACCTGATTCTCTACTACGCAGCAGATATTTTCTCTAGACCTCAAAAAATTGATTCCAAAAAGGAGAAGAAGAAGAAAGAGAAAGACCAGTTCTCTGCGATATTTTCTCATCTAAACTATTGTGAATTGGCAACACCAACGCAATTGGAACTGGTAGTACAGTTGGTGTTAGGACAAACTCCACACGGCCGATTGGATCCTGATCAACGAAATTTGATATCTTCATTCTAGCCGATAATCTCCGTTTGTTTCACACGTGTTCCTTATGACCCGTGAGAAAGTTCACAAGCTGTTTCTGAAATAGATATCGATCTCTGGCTTTCTTCAATGCCAAGTGGAGAGACAGCAGGCTCAATCACAACGGCAGTTAAACGCGACGCTTCCAATCAAGGCGAGATTTCTTTCTTAATTCTGATCATCCTCCGGAATATCATTTCGGGGTGAGTCTGACAACACCAGATTCTCTCAAATATGCTTCCGTTTATGCTTGCCCAGAGTATTTTTCACTGTTTTGTCAGGGTAATCTGGCCGTGAGTCAACAGCTCCACATTCAAGGTGAACACCATAGGGTTACAATGTCGGATCCAGATCATGGTAATCAGAAAACGATTTAGCCAGCCAATCAGGTAGTGTGCTTAGGTAGTCATCCTGATTTGGCTACGACTCCTCGCTTAAAAATATTACTCCGAGACCAGATTTCCCCTTCATGAAGCTGTAATTATGACAATTCTATTACAAGCAACTACCTAGCTTTCTCATCAGGCATCCTATATCCAGGGTAAGTGCTTTCAGCTATTAGTATACCAACTGGTTCCCTTATCTGTCTGGATTGCTTACGATGCATGTTACCAACATTGGAATTTAAAAAAAAGAACCGCTTCTAAAATCGGATGTTACTATTCACTAGCCACCTGAAATACACTTCTATAAATAGTTATTATATCTGACAGGAGACTATCCCGTAACGTGATATAAAATGATTCAATATTCGTTGCAAAACATGACAGTACAGCACACACGATGGAATTGTTTGTGCTCATCGAACTTGGATACCACTGGTTAAACGATGCTCTTCAGGATTATATCGCCTCTGCGTACGAATGTACTTTTGTAAAGCATACAGACGAACTACCTACGGAAGAACATTTGCTTCTTATCTTTTCTCATACGCAGCCAGAGAAGCCTATGGTGATACCGACTAATTCAAAAGCTCTATTTAGCATGTATCCATTGACAGATGCTTTAACCCGTAAAGACTGTTTGTCAATGGTAGTCAAGTACTGGTCTGCTAAAGACCTGGAAGCGTACTATCAGGCTGCATGCCTGCAACGGTTTCCTTTGAGATCGATTACGCTGAATACTAGACGAAGCTCTCGCAGAGTCAGACTCTTATGACCTTTGCACGTCATTATCACACAACACTGGACTTATGCCGAAAGATCGGCAGTGGTGGATCTTGAAACCTGCATTGACCGCACGCGGCGACGGCATTAGACTCTTCAGCGATGAGAGCCACTAAGAGAGAGCTTTGAATCCGTTGAGGACGATGACGACGAAGTGTCAGAAGATGGAAAGGCTAGGTTTTCTAACCACGCACTGGCAAGCGGAGCAGTACCCTCATCCTGTCTGCGACATTTCATCGCACAGCGGTATATAAGTAATATTCCCCGATTGGACAACAGGAAGTTTCATATACGAGCTTACGTTCTTGCCGTTGGTCGATTGCAACTCTATCTTTACCAAGAACTGCTGGTCATTTCAGCATCAGAGCCTTATTGCCCTCCCTGGGAATCTATGAGCGGAGGATCAGCACTTACCAATACACATTTACAGGGCACTGTTTGCTCAGAATCAGCGAGACGAGATTTCTGGACATTACCTGATGATCTCTTCGGACAGGACGGGTCATGGAAAGACCGAGCTTACATCCGTATCCAACAAATTGCTGGAGAATGTTTCTTGGCAGCAGCGACTATGAATACTAATATTGCTCTCCATCCTGACTGCTTCGAGATCTTCGCTCTGGACTTTCTGATAGATCAAGACGAGCATGTATGGTTGATGGAAGTTAACTCAGGACCAGGACTATCAGCTGAAGGGATTGGTTCCCGAATTGCGAAGGGTTTTTTCAAGGCAACAGCCGATGTCCTATTACAGAGTGAGCTCGGTTTGCGGCCACGATACAGCAATGAGGAGTCTATGGAAAAGGTTCTTGACGTAGCGCTTCCACATCAAAGGTTTGCCCCACTGAAGGAAATTTAGACAAGTCGTTACGCATTACATAGACATAGGTAACTATAAATTGAGCATATGCCTCTATAGCTACGTAAAAGATTAATTTATGATTCAGGTCTACTGTCCCATTACCAAGGAATAAACTAGTCTGTGCTAGGTGGCAGATTGCGTAGGATGTGTGAGCTGAGCGAGGTGAGAATGTTAGGCTTTGTTCTGAATGTTTTGATTGGTTGATCGATTTTTCAAATGGAAGTGAGTTCAAATGGAAGTGAGGTATGAGTATTTCTGAACCTGTATTGCAATGCAATGCATACTAGTCTTACAAGGCCAATTTTACATGCAGAATAGTACTGAGCAATTCAAGAGGCAATTTCTTGAAGAAACGCCAATCAAGGGGCTCTTGGTTGATGCTAATTCTATTTCTAGCTTTGAGAAGTGTCGAAACTGGCCGAGTAAGTGCGCGATGGGAGATCATAATTAGTAGCGCTGCTTCCGCTCTTATAAGAGAATGCATCCAAGTCTGGTGGTTACGGTTTGCCAAGGGATAAGCTAGTCCGTGTTAGGTTTTATGTTGGTGGATTTTCAACGCGTAAACTGAGCAAATCTTGAACGCCACGTCTTTTAATGATAGATGCAATGCGAGTCAGTCTTGATTAATGTAAGGATGTCTAGGAAGTCTTATTGATAGCTGGTGAGCCAAGATCTGCGAACTGCTAATGAATGCGTTTTATATACTAAGGTGTATTGGTAGTGATCGGTGAGGTGTTGGTGCGATCAGCCTTGATCGTGTAGTCTTGGCATTGGTCGGTCTGGACTATGATACATCCCCATGGCCTGCGGCGCATGTCTCTTGATCTTATATGCAGGCTCCCAAGTAGCTTCTGTCGGGGGAAACCCTACCCACTCAACCTTATACAACGTCCTGAGCTTGTTATTCATATACTCGCCTCGGTGTTCAAGAACCTTAGAAACGTGATAATATTTTTTGAGACGTGTTTCTCCCAATAGTCGAAAAGTAGATTAGGCACGCAAGCTTGAAGTCTTTCCGAAGAACCTTAATCGAAACAGTAGAGCCCTTTTTATTGACGGAATGATCCACGAAGCAGTCAATCATGTCTTGGGATATTACGGAGCCCGAAACGCCCGGTTCTCCTATAGTGCTAGGGTTTAATCCTGCACTCTCAATATCATCTAACAAATCCCCGGCGGCAGTATATCCGTCTGCATGAATGGCAGACAAAGCACTTGCAAGATCATTGTTCAGCTCCTCAAAGCTCACACACACAAAGCCTTCATCCCGGCAATAACCGCCTGGTTTGGGGTTAGTTCGCAATGGTATTGATAGACGCGACACAATTCTCTTACAGGAAGTAATATTCGTCTTATCACAAATCTGCTTATAGCTGTGACAAATGAGGCAGCCGGTATTTAATTCGTTGGGAAATTACCTCTTATGAATCCCAAGGCTTTTCGCCCGCGGTATGGTTTGCGGCGAGAAAACTCGAGGTTTCCATCGACAGCATCAGACATAAACATAGTGTTGAATGATTCGCACGGTTTGTATTGCCAGTGAGCGTGAGCTTTCTGTATCGGACGCCGATGGTTTCGTTTAACATGACTTCGTCTCTTCCGGATGAGTGTCAAAATACAACCAGACTTGCTTTTGCATTGACCACTAGCCGGGGATACCTGGTAGGCATGGTCCTGCTAATGATCTCCACTATGAGTTCACGCGACGGGACCTATGATACGACGCTAGCCGTGGCCGGACCGTCGTCCGGCAGACAGATGTGAAATGAAAAATTCGGGTCTAAACTGCGCTATGTGGATGCAGTGTGAAATTGATGACACAGGACAACAATGCGGGTCGGAAAATACTACCCATTGGCACGAGCCGGAGAGGGCTGCTAAGCAAGCTCTTGAGCCAACAGATACTTTTTCAAGGCGTGATTCCGAAGACTCTCCATAATCCGGCGAGAAGCAATTTTAACATGGAAAGGCGGCCGCCACGCAGGTGTGACTTGAGTACGTCTCACAAACATAACTCTACCTGAATTTAATGACGCATTTACATAAAAGCGAGAAGCGTCCTCGGGTCTATCACAGTTGTATGACAAGAGGATTATATAATCGACCTACCTAGCTCGCACAACAATCCTATAATGAGACATATTTCGCAAGTAGAAATATTTACGAATGACTATGTTCACTTCCAACTGTTGACTCATAGGGAGCATTAATCTACCTATTTGTGTATAGCTTATGGAACTTCATATAACTTTCTTCCTCGTAGGAGTATTCGTGGGAATCAGGAGATATTTTGCCTTTTGCCCACCCACTTACTCTACCTACAACCGTCGCTGCTTCTGTCCTTGAAGCCCTAGTCGCCTCTCTCGCCTCAATCGCCGCTCGCGATATTGTAGAGCTCTCTTGGCAGCTATCAATATTATTACTTTAATTGATCGTCGTTATGTAAATGCAAGGGATACGTACCCAAGTCTCGAGCCTTGGCTTTTGTCTCGGCATCAACCCAAGAGTAGCGGACAGCGCGCTCAGGGTACCGTTGGGCGATACCAAGGGGGCCTATACACTTTACCAGATAACCGCGGTCACAAATCTTCAGGTTGATATATCGTGGCTCGAGGTCGTCCTCGTTGTTGAAACATAGCCGGCCATCCGGATCGCACATAGGTATGCGCTGATCCATACGGTAGTACCAGGCCTGAAGACCTTGGACGGTACGTTCGGGAATGTTGCCAAAGAGTTTGGCAAATTCCTCCTTGATGCGGTGCCACTTCATCTTCTTGTCCTGCGAGGCGTAAATGATGTAGTCGCCCTCCTCTATTGTGTACTTCTGGTTGACATGGCGCTTCTTACCTCCCGGGCGGGTCTCGGATAGCAAACCATGCTTGCTGGTCTTGAAGGGATGGAGTGCTAGCATCGTTGCCGAGATGCTTGTCTCGCTTACCATAGCTTATCTGCCATGAGTGAAGAGAGTAATTGAGAGAAAAACGGTCCTGGCTGGGACGGTGCCGGTTCCCCGCTGTGAGGTTGGGTGGCTGTTTGCTGGGCCTCCAACGGCACAGTGATCAAGTGGAGATACAGAAGCAGGAGTCTTCGGTGGCCTATTTTCTCGGATGAGGGCCTCTACCTCTTGGTCGAAGCTTTCCAAACTAGGAAGTCTTACGGATGCGCTCCTAGGAGGTGATACGAGATTGTACGGCCTTACAAGACTTGTAAATTCTTGGGCTGTTGTTAGTCTCTGAGTGCTGTGATGGAAGGCTAGAGGTCTTCTGACAAAGACAAAAGCTTACCCTCAGTCTTCACTACGGGGCTTCCTGAGATTGAATTCGGCGGGGTCGGGGGCTGAGTGGGAAACTGGTCAGTGTGAGTTAGGCTCGAATGTTCGCTTGAAGGTCTTTCAGAACTCACTTCCATGTCGAGGAATGCATAAATGCTGATACTGTTGACAGTTACATAACAAGTAAAACGGAGCGATGGAAAATGGTTCTGGCTCTTTGATGATACAGAGTTATTTGTTATGTTTCAAGGGGGGACAATAGTTTGCCACTCGTGAAATTATCAGTGATGCGCTACACAACAAATGATAACTTCGGCGGCAAGCGGAAGAAAGAGCTGCGAATTAGGTGCACGGCTGGTAAGAAGGCTAATAAAGGCTGTGAAACTCAGCTCAGAAAGATACTATGTGTGGACAGAGAAAAAAAACAGAGGGATAACTGGGGTCTGGCCAGACTAATCAGGTATGCCTCTCCACCCTCCCTTCCTCACGATCAATCCCCCTGCCGGGACCCTTACTGCCTCCTCATAAGACATAGCCGGTATGGATATGGGTGTGCCCTACACCGAACCGGCCACAGCAAGTGTCACAACCCTTTCTTCTATTCCGTCTTTGGTGGCTTTCTGGGCTTGTCTCGTCACTACGCTACCTCTAATGAGGTGCGCGAGGCTTGCTTAGATCTCAGCTTGCCATCGTCAAAATCAGCATATTCGAGTTAGTATTGTATAAGTACCTTTTGCTTCTCTTCCTTTTAGAAATATCTGAGGTCTCGGGTAAGCCAACTTATCTTATCCTCATATCTTATCTCAGCCAGTTCGTCAGCAACCTTACCAAGAGCGGGCCTACGGAGCATTTAGACTAGCCTAATCAGGTTAGATCAGTTAGCTCAAGTCAAACTTGATCCCCTCAATTCAGCCAATCAAAATTCAAATCAACTCCGATCCCGCCCCAGACATGCCAACTTGGCTCAAAGTTGTTGCGAACGTTGATGGTACTGCGAATCTCTCCAAGTTGCACGGGATGCCTTCGCCGGGCTTCATCGAGCTATGTGGGGCTTGTTCCACCACAAATTGCTGGTATTGCACCTACACAATCGGTGTGTAACACTTAAATTCTTACAATGGCCTGGGTTTATTATCTCCCGGCTGTTGTGGTGAAACTGAACTGACTTAACCTGGACCTGAAGTACGGATGCTTTTGAACTCCATCCAACGAGCCCTCTCCAAGGGGTAGCGGCAAACGTTTGGCACGGTTAGTTCTTGTGAGAGGTGTGAAACACCATGAAAGGTTATTATTCTATATAAACAGCAAGCCTCCCGGTAGGCTGTTACTTTATTGCTTGATCTTCTCCCATCTGACAATGAGAGTTGCAGTAATCGGCGGCGGTCCGTCGGGCCTCGTAACGCTCAAGTATTTGGCCAGAGCACATCTGAGCCTGGACTGTGACGCTATAGAAGCTCGGCTCTTTGAGCTCGAAGATAGCATTGGCGGTGCTTTCACTCATCGAGCATATGAGGACGCAGAGGTCCGTATATGTCACATCTTCATGCCTGGAACGTATGAGCCAACTGACGAACGATGGTGCTCTTGATAGCTCGTATCCTCGAAACAACTTACAACGTTTTCTGATTTTCGCTGTTGCGCTGATCGAGACTTTCTCAGTGCGAGTGACTACGTCCAGTACCTGCACGACTACTGCTCGAAATTTCGTTTATGGCCTAGCATTGAGCTGGGAGCCGAGGTTCGCAACATACACGGCCGCTCTCCTCAAGGCTACGTGGTTGAATATGCTAAGAAGGGCGGTGAAGTCTTGAGGTGGAGATGTGATGCCGTCGCGGTCTGCTCAGGCTTGCACCGAGAGCCAAACTTGCCTACCATCCCTGGGCTGAACCATGTACCCGAGGTCATGCATTCATCTAAATTCAAGACCAAAAGCCAATTCGGGGTAAATAAGACAGTCATGATAGTCGGGTCCGGCGAAACCGGTGCTGATGTAGCGTATCTTGCCGTGAACTCGCCTACAAAGCAAGTTTTGATGTGCCATAAAGATGGCTTCCATTTCGCCCCCAAGGTTGCTCATTCTGCTACGTGTGAGTAAGGCTTGAGCAGCAATGTTAATGGTTATATAGAGAAACCCTGGGCCGGTATTGCTTCCTATCTTGGGCAGGAAGCCCAATCCTAGCGAACCAGGCATTCCCATTGACGTTAGCCGTGCCAACCTCTTCGACACAACTTACGTACATCAAGCCCTTCGTAACAGCATGATCCTCTGGGAGTACTACAACTACTATATCAAGGTACTGCTGTGGGTTTGCTCTGGTACGACGTCGGGAATGGACCAGTGGGTAGGCGAAATCAGCTGGGCTCGTCATCATCCATCAAAAAGTATGTTCTCACCGAGGTCTTCCTATCGTACTGCTCTGCTTCATCCGTTTTTCTTCTTATTTTCTTTTTCTCTTCTCTTGTTGGTCTTTTCGTCTCACGCTGTTGCAGTATTCTTCAACAAGTCCATGAAAGTTTGCCCGTACTTAAGCTTGCCTTACCGACCCAAACAGCCCGGCCCATCCCTTTGGCTATACGCCTTGAGATCTGCTCTAGTGCAGACGCCGATTCCCGACACGCATGGGAAACAGGTAGATCTCGCACCGCTACCAAAGAGAATCGATGAGCGTGGCGTGGTTGAATTTGTTGACAATGGGCGACCGGAGTATGAGCGAATCAAACTTCAAACCATTCAGCCTGATGTTATTGTCTTGTGTACTGGCTACCAGCAGACATTTCCCTTCCTTGACGACAAGCTCAAGGTCAATACCAACCACTTATCGTCCCATGTCCGGGGTATTTGGAGGCGAGAGCAACCCACCATGGGATTTATTGGCTTCGTGAGGCCATCCTTGGGCGCTATACCACCCCTGGCAGAGATGCAAGCCCAGCTGTGGGTGTTAAATCTAGTTGCACCGCGCAAACTACCTGTTCTGAATCCTGGAGATGAAATACACTATAAGCTTCGCAGCAAATCTGCCGACAGGGTCACATATGGCGTCGATCACGAGAGCTATGCGTACCAGCTTGCTCTGGATATGAACTCGGCGCCTGGAATTGTGGATATTTGGAGAATCACACGGACGACTCAAATCTTGACCATGCATTCCATGTGTCGTCTTCTCATTATATGGGCTTTCGGAGCTCATTTTAACACAAAGTTTAGACTAATAGGGCCATGGGTCTGGGACGGTGCTATAGAAGTCCTTGTGAGTGATGAATTTTGGCACACAATTACACGACGGCCATTATTGTTCGGTGAGACTCTGACCATATCGGAACTGCTTCGGGGCTAATTAGCTAGGACACCTCCTTGTCTCTATTCTACCAATCGCAATCTTTGCTCCCTTGAGCATGATGTTTCTGCTGTATCACTCCTTGTTGAGCTACTGCAGGCCTTTGGTTCAATCGGTTGCGCTTTAGTTGTGTAACATGTTGGCGGATGGATCTGGGCTCACAGGAGCTCGCTACGAGGAACCAGCCAGAGTCTGGAAATGGAAAACGTGAAGGAAACAGTGAGGGAAACAAAGAAAAATTTGTTTTCACTGACATGGAACGTCATTTAGGGGATACAAGCTATTAATCGAGATAGAGTCAATTCAAGTACAGTGGCTGGCAAGTTAAAAAAATAAGAGGTCAGTTTTACAACTACATCAACTTTTGGACGGTCAAGGGAACCATTATTGATATCAATTCTTCAACACGTACCAAACTCAGGACAGGCTGTTCTTGGGGGTTTCCGACTTCGGTATTATGTCTACTCGCTTATTTATATGCTCCGCAGGTGGTAGTGTTTTAATGGATCTGTGCCAGCGCGTGTGACTGTCATGCCGCTTTCTAGTTCAATCAAGTCTCACAGAGCGGTTGTCAACGACGAAAAATAGCCACTTCAAGCGTATCAACTAGAATGAAGAAAGAGCCCATAAACAGCCTCACCACCTGTTACTAAGGCCGCTTGTGGTTATATCGACAAAGCTAAGACTAGCTACATAGAGAAAGATGGTAAGCCAATAGGATACCAAAAGCCACAACCTGAAACCAAAAAAAGAAGAATCAAAAAGGAGAAGAAGAAATGGTTTTCCAGTCCAGACCTCCCTAATGAAACTTAATCTGGTTCAACATAGCTACTGGTCACCAAACCGTCCAAAATGCCTCATCTCGCCGTCGAATCCTGTTCGACGTGCCGCATTGACTGTAATGTACCTCTGATAGTCCATCACGAACAGGCGTTCTTATCAGTCAGAAGGTCGACAATCTTCTCGTGGCCTTTAGTGATGCTAGCTGAAGGGCCGTTGCGTAATCTCCGCCTCGCGTGTTCACGTCAGCGCCCCAATTGAGTAAAATCTGAACAATCTTGTCATAACCGTGAAGAGACGCTAGCTGTAGGGCCGTTGGAACCACCCGCTTCGCGCCTCGATATTGGCGCCTTTATGAAGCAGAAGTTGGAGAATCTTATTATGGCCGTTCGCCGATGCGAGCTGCAGGGCTGTTGCGAGCCTTCCACCCTGTGCGTTAACAGAAGCACCATTGTCGAGTAGAAGCTGAACAATCCTCTCGTGACCCTCTGCTGATGCGACTTGCAGGGCTGTTGCGAAATTTCCGTCTTGCGCATTAACATCTGCGCCTTTACCAAGCAGGAGCTCAACAATCTCTGCATAGCCATTAGCTGATGCTTCTTGTAGAGCTGTTGGGAGTCTTCCGCCTTGCGCATTGACATCGGCACCGGCATCGAGTAGAAGCTGGACAACCCTCTCATGACCAGTTGTGGATGCCGCTTGCAGGGCCGTTCCAACCTTCCGCTTCGTGCATCGACATCGGCACCCTTATCAAGAAGAAGCTGCACAATCTCTGTATATCCTCCTGCTGACGCTCGATGCAATGACTTGCTCAATAGTGATTGGGATATGCATTCACACTTTGTCTTATGAGCGGTGCACTGCCTCTTCAAAGCACCGAGGGCCTTCCTAGCTTTACCTATCTCTCCTTTCCCCGCAGCCCAAAGCAATGCTGCTGGATCTCACTTCTGCCATCGTGATAGTATAGGATATCTTGAGTGATATGGTTGGCTAACCTGCTAGTGCAAGCTAGAGCAGCTTGTTCTTTTGGCCCGAGAAAGGCGGCGACAATAGAATAAAGCTCCAATGGGAGGGCGAGAAGCGACATTTTTACTCAACGCGGTAATGGATAACTATTCCGTTGGTGAACTTTTTAGATGCAAGTTTGAGATACATTTGGGGCAGTCAGTGCCATCCACAAAAGACAAAGGTCCTTGGCACCAAAACCCTTCGCAGCTTTCATGAACTTTTAATCTTGTTCACATGATAAGCCAGTTGAAAGCGATAGCGAATTCACAAAACTAATAAGTGAGTTCACCTAGACTGGATTCACAAGGCACGTCCTCGATGGCTGTGAGCGAATAGCGGCTTTGGCTAAAATACCTCGACTTCGGCCACTCGACCAATAGACAGTGTTAACCTTTCGTTCAGTCACTCAAGTTTGCCGGAGGACGAAGATGCCCCACTGCTGATGCACTTTTCTCTTGACCATCTGATATCCAAGTAAGCGGAAAGGCGTTCAGCAACGAAGAAAGAGCCAAGACGAAAAAATTACTGTTTCAGGTGAGTGGTATAACTACACAACCAGACACTTCGGATTGACCACTAGCTGATTGGTTACAGTAGGCGTTGATCTCCCCCTACTCCACTATGAGTTCACGCGCTAAATCGTACCGATACGACGCCAGCAGTGGCCGGATCGCCATCCGGTGGATAGATGTGAACTGAGAAATCGGGTCTCAATTCAGTTATGTGGATGCAGTGTGAAATTGATGACGCAGTCAACAGCGCGCGTGATATCCAGCGGTTAATTCGCAGTTTGGAAATAGTGGGGTACGATCCGTAACACCAGCCAGCCTGGATAATCGTGGGATTCGGTCCACTGTACCATGATGAGCCATTACTGACTTACGAAAGGCTACCTACCGTTGTCCACCATCCGCTCTTAGTGCGGTTCCACCAGTCGTTTTTGGACTTTGTCATTACGGTCAGGGCAACACTCGCTCAGCTTGCAAACATCTTGGTGCCCAAGACGCCAAATACCCGATGCGGCTACTGCACTGTCGGAATTGATCCAAGAATCGCATCTGAGCCCGACAGCACTGCCATTCTGACCGGGGTAACTACGTGCCAGGTGATTGCTCTAGTGAAAGTCCTTGGAGCACCTCATGCGCCGCCGGGGGGGGAGGGAGTGGGGTTCCCTGGAACATATTGTGCCCTGTGCGCAACCTGATATTATCGGCTCCTGGTGAATCATTCAAGAATGTCGGATATGCCTATGGACGCCACTCCATCCACTCGCTTTATGATGAGGACAAATACCATTGCAAAAGATCATTTGCGCTTGGAGAACAATGCATTTCGAGTTGGATTACCGGTTCGACATGGACAATATGTCCAGCCTCTGCAGTCAGCCAACGCCATGTCCTTCCACCAAGACAGGCTTCTCTTCCGCCTCATCAGCCCATGAACCATTCACCCTTACGCCTGAATTTGGCATTATGGACTTTTGTATCCCTTACAACTTTGTGTCTCACCAGGCAGAGTTGAACGCTCCCTTACCAGCAATGGGCGAGCCCATGTTTCACCCTGTCAAAAATGAGCCTGAGCAAATCTCATTCCCCCACTCTCTCCCTAACGATTCTATGAAGCAAGAGCAACTTAGCTTCGAGTACGAGCAAATGATTGCGATGGGCATGACGCATCAAGGATCAATGGGCTCATTGACACCATCAAACTCTTTTGGCATGGATGGTTACTCCCCTGATGCCTCAGTCAGTACTGCCTCTTTCATAATTACATCAACCCCAGGCGTCTCCACTCCGGAGAGACAAGTTCCTCATGGTCTTGTGCCAGCGCCAGCCCAATCTCACTTTTCTCTCATAGAGATCTCTGGAGGGCGTCGACTCTCTGACCAGGACTGGCACTTTCACCGTCGCTTTTGCCCATCATTATAAGGCCGACGATCCCAACCCATGCCAGCTCAAAGGAGTCTGATGGTGCATGATATCAGCAAAAGAGTGCAGAGCTTCAGCAAGCTCAGATCCGATCACCAAAGAAGCGATCTGCCAAGTCTAAGCCTGTTCAAATTGATGCTGCCCAAAGAGTGAAATGCAAATGTGACTATTTTGGTTGTCACAAGGCTTTCAGGCGCAGTGAGCACCTCACGCGTCACAAAAAAAGGTAATTTGAAACAGAAAATCATGAACAATCGAGATACTAACTCATATTATGCAGTTCTCACGGCGAGGGACCCAACCGTTTCTCATGCGAGTTCTGTGGAAAAGACCAATTCAATCGCCAAGATAACCTCAATAGCCATCGCAAGTTGCACACGCGACGCAATAACCGTGAACGCGGCGTTATTTTCATCCCGGACGCAGTCTCTATCATTGAGCAAGAGGAACGAAGTAGGAGGCGGCGAGCCCCTTCAAATCTGAATATGGAAGGGAAACATAAAATCCAACCGGACCAGTTGCGCTCGAGGTAGTGTCACATAGTGTCAACTCATAGGGTCAGTAAATGGAAGCACTGTACTCGCGTCTCTGGTGGCGCATGGCTCAAAGAGGTATGTCCCAATGCATACAGCGACGGTTGGGGAGCAACTTGAAGGTGCCAGCTATCCGATACCTATAGCTTCAAGAAAGCGTGAGGTGGAGGTATTGGCAGAGTAGCAATTGGATTAAATGTAGCCGATCCTGCGAAGACTTTTCATACATGTTGGTGTCATAAAAGTGAACAATGAGCTACGGCTGAAGCGAGAAATGGTTTCGGAGGTATCATTCATTATAATAGATACGGATAGAGGTCACTCCGTGTCTGTTTAAAAAGCTCAACATGTATTATGCGTCTCATGCACGGCTCCAAGTCGTCAATATGTAGCTTCCGAATTGCTTACAACCAGAGTCTCTGTCATGTAGGTCACCTCTGTAATCTGTTTCACAACCATGGACAGATTCCCAATGTCTTGTAAAACTTTGTCTTCAGCGTTCCGGCTGTGTCATTTTCTTTTTTCTTCTTTCTTTCTTTCTTTTCTTTTTTTTCTCCTTGTAGACGACTGTACGACTCTCAGCCGTCGGTGAATTCACAGTACAATCGGCCTCGTCATGTTGTTCCTTCGATTTGGAATCTTTTCACGAAGTCCCTTCCTGGTGTCCACCAACGCCAGTTTCAATTGCTTAGAGACGCAGCCGTTGCCGGTCAACGTCCTGTCATCTGGTAGAGCGTCCAAGGCAACTGGATGTTTGGCAAACGGTTCGCATCCCAGCATTGCCATGGCCGTCAATGTACCAATGCTTTCAAATGCACCTGGTGTTGAGGTTGGTCGTACTAGTCGGTACTGTCTGATGCCAGGGATCCAACACGAGTCCTTTACGTTATGCTGCCCATCTCTGAAATTGGTTCTTCACCAAAAGGACGACCGTTCTGCCAAACCGGTAGATTACGGATAAGAAGTTGGTCCGAGTTCCGTTGTCGTCTCATTTCGTTCCGCGGCCATCTTCACCTTCATGTGTACAACAGGTGATCATCATCTCAGTTGATCACTTTCGGCCATCCAAGTACAGACGCCAGGTCTGACTCCCAGGTATCAAAACGTGTTCTCCACCTGCTGTCTCGTGGCAGGCCGATACTTTAGCTTTTCCATGAAGTCTACCACAATAATATGTACTCATGTCCATCAGCTGATGGCGGGTTGATCAGACCAATGTAGTTCATTCCCACCATGTCCGCCGCCGCCTTTTATTCACCTTCTTTGGTATGGAAGTGGTGCCTCTCTATATCCGTCGAGAGGCGAAATGAGCTTCACTAGATTGAGCAGTGAGGGGTACGCCGTCAAAACCATTTCTGTCCAGCCTGAGCAAGCACGGGTCTTTGCAAGAAACTTGAGCAGGCATTCAAATAAAAAGAGGGCTAAAATTGACTAGTTTTTCACAGTGAAGTAACTAGGTACAATACCACGCCCAGCTTTCTAGTCCAAGCACTAGCCAATCAAGGTTGCCATTATATTCAAGAAAATGCATCCTAACGGATATCTCATGCATCTACCGGGGGTCCCATATCCCTTCCGGAGGACTGGCTGCCCTGCACACTTCGTCGAGTTAGCTTGAACTGTGGATAATTTGTTATACAGAAGCCACATTAATGAAATGCCTTAAATAGTGAATTAATCAGCTCTTTATTTTCTACTGATCTCTTCAATAGCGTAAGCCAGTATCATCAGTAAACCCATCCACAAACTTTCCGAGAGACGTGCGCTCAGTTTATATTTTGAAGGTATCGTAAGTGAAAGATAAGCCGACTAGAAAAGTCGGCGAACAAAGGGACAAACGCATGCCAAAACGGTCTAGTATGGAGAAGGTCTATTCTTTTCACACCGTAAGACAGGCCGAAGCTTATAAATCAAGGTCCGTGTGAGTTACTATGTGAAGTAGCAAGGCTACGTATAAGCGTAAGACCGTAGGGTGGAACTCGGCCCCAGAAACCTCTTTACTGCAACAATCAATAAGCTGGCACGTTCAAGTTACTTGTATGCGCTTGAGTATATCGGCATCAAAAAGGTACCGTTCCAATTTGTAAAGACGAGGGTCAAAGTTCAATCTTAATTATTAGTCATGAAAGTGAACGAATATTGAAAAAGAAAGGACGGCGCGATAGATTTGGGGTGGAGGAGGGCATTTGGTCGGACGAAGAACACTTATCGTGGACAATTGCTTGGATGAGCAGTGGAGACAAGTACAGGTAACCTGTAAGGAATGACACCGCGGATTAGTGACAATAGCTTTGAATTAACGTGTTTGGCGAATAGATTATTGAGAGGTGTGATGGAGAACAGACGGTTAAGGACGAGTGGCTGTTGAAAGTAAGCACATCTGCAACGTATGGCATCACAGGCGGTAGTCCACACGTTTGACCTAGGGCCATTTTTATCTTGTATTCTGTGACCTGGGCAAGTGCAAGTATTAACCAATCCTCTGATACAAATATTCACTCTCATCTAGAGTTTTCAGCCCTCTTTTTCTCTCCCGTATCTTCTGCACCCTCCTCTTCTCCTATTGGTTGCTCACAGCACCAGGGCCATTAGCCAAGTAGAATTGCTTGACCTTAGTCTCACATCGTTCCATCTCCGCTTGAGCGTCCACGGTTTGAGGAAGCAATCGATGGAAGCGGTTGCGTGCTTCTTCCAGTTCAGAGAGAAGCTTGTTGAGCTCGGTGGTGGCTCGGTTTGAGCTCATCGGAGGAGGTGATAGTACGGGTAGACATGAGAAGAAGTAGTGGGGGTCACCGTCTGGGGGACTGATGAGGTTAGAGCAGGTATTTGTCGCGTTTCACGGACATCCGGTGGACTGGACGTCGGCAGACGTGCCACGATTCTCCTTAACCGCGGTGTGGAAGGAATTCCCTGCTCTTGATATTGGAACTGATCGGGTGGACCTGTACTCCAATATCAGCCAGGATGTTGCCATGAACGCGAGTCGAGCCGGTAGCCCTGTACTTACACCCCTCTCTCCAGGCATTGCGTGTCTTGCTGGAAGCATTCCAAGCTGGCTGTGTAAACACATCGGATGACATGCCTGGGATGTCAGGTCGCTGACTTGGAGGCACTAAGGACGAGGGTGGTTCAGCAGTATCATCACCGGCGGGGTGGGGAATATGGGGATATTTCTCGACGAGGTTCATAATTGCAAGCCGGCGCTCAGGAGTCGAATCTTTCCAGTCAACTTTATGCATGATGAGGTTGCAAGATTCCTGTTCATCTGTAGTCAGAGAATGACGGTGTGACCACATTTTGGCCGAAATACTATTGCTATCACGATATTTATAAGTGATGAGAAGAGATGATGTGGAGAAAGACAGAATGAGACCTGTGTGGCTGAAGGGTGTAAGGAGGCTGTGGAGACTGTTACAATCAGAAACAGTCAATGCTCATAAATGATACGCTTTCACACTGTGAATTTGATAAACCTGCGTAATTGACGCCCTGATGTATCTAAACAAACAAGTTAGAAAGCCATATGCCCAGAAGCACTCTAGCCCCAGAAACGTCAGAGAATGCCTGGCCCCTACCATTGTTACCTCTGTCCCTCCAAGCCCCCCTCTCTGATTGAATGTATTAGGCGTTACCTACTTTCTTTAAACAGCACTTGTAGTACCATTTAATATCACAACCACCGCCATCGAAAACACATATACCCACTGCTTTAACCCGCCATCATAGGTATCCATGCTATCCGCCGACGCATGTATCACTAATCGCTTCACATAACAAAGCTTTGAAGATTGCCTTGTGTCCCATTGTGGTGTTCAACAAGACCTTGTTACCATGGTTAACCCCCGCGTTACATATCTTTTCTCTCAATCATGTTTTGATCCAATTCTGCCCGCCTGGCGAAGCCCAGCTGCTCCTACAATGGTACATGTCAACAAGAGGGCTAGCATAGTCCAAAATGTCGCTCTGTAACCCTCCATTAGAGCTTGTGCCGCGGACTTTGCTCTCTCGTGTTTTGTGACCCATGTTGAGATGACCTGCATGGCAGCTAGTCCCATTGTGTTGCCAAGCTGCCCAGCAGTGTTAAAGACAGCACCAGCAATTGCTTGCTTTTCGTCCGGAAAAACCTCTGTTATGACTATGAGGCCGACTGTGAAGAGAACATCAACAGAAAAAGGCATGAGGATCTGTGCGGGAAAGCGCACTTCCAGTAAGGCCAGTCCGGCTGGATGAAAGCCATAAGAAGGGGCGAGCCAGCAGACAGGAGAGAAGCGAGAGCGACCAGATAGTTGGCACGGATCTTGTGAACTACAAGGCCCGTTGAAATGTTGAGAGCGAGGCCAACCACAGTGCTTGGAAGCATGCGTATAGCCGCTTCGAGGGCGGAAAGATGCTCGATGTCTTGAAAACTAGTATACGCTGTCAGTTGGGAAAATGTTGTGACTCAGGTTCAATTTCTACTTACTAAAGGCTCGTCACAAGATCTAGAGAGTTCAGAACAGCAAATGACAATGCTACTGTGATACATATGCTGGTAAAAGAAGCGTTCTTCCAGAGCTCATTCGGAATCAGGGCTACCTGGCCGTTCTTGACCCGAAAATGCATCCAGAAAACAAAAAGAACGGCAGTTACTAGACTGAGGCTGACGGCCAAGAGCTTCCTGGTGATCGAATTTGATCAACATCAGCACTGATGATGCTGTTTCGTGATCAGTAGGTGCTTGAACAGATGGAACGCTGGTGAACTAATGCCAAGAAGTATGTTAGTAGGCTCATCGAGGACGATGCGAGCAATCCGCCAACCCAGTCAACTCGTGTTTTTATATTTTGCCATTTGCTCGTGGCGGATAGGCTGTGTGGCTTTGGTAAAGACCACCATCCGACGGCAAATAGCAATAGGGTCATACCTCCACAGAGGTACCATCCCGACCGCCAGCCAATAGTGTCGACCAGTATGCCACCTAAAATGAGGCTAGCTGAGAAACCTAACAGCTGGCTTAATCCCAAGCAAGCAAAGATAGGTTGCGCTCTCGTACTTGAGGCTGCCCTAGAGTAACAAGGGCCACAGAGGTAGAAAAGTGCAGCGCAGCGGCAAGGCCCTGTAAGGCTCTCAGGATGATAAGCTGCTCTCCATTTCTAACGAGTCCGCAAGAGTCATAAATATACAATTGAATATGCATCCCAGAAGATTCACTGAACGTGGTCCGGCGACATCAGCAATAGCACCGGTGAGGAGCAGAGTTGATGCTGTGGCCAGTCCATATACTGACAATGGCCAGAAGGCAAGAGACGGATGAAGATCAAGATCTTCTGTTAATCGAGGAAGTCCGATAACCGTAAGGCCGTTGGATGCATTACTGGTAACGTTCACACCGCATAGGTAAGCAATTGTGACTACCCTGCTATGAAGAATGTAGATGAGGATGTTTCATATCGGCTGCTTGGGAATCTTCATCGCTGCTGCTTGCCAGTTGCACGTCGCTCGTGGGTTTCCGCGATAGAGAAGATGATGATTCAAGGGATGGAAGATTCATGATGACACTGGTTGTCATCTAGCAGAAGTGTGAATTTCTGGAGGTATTTACAAAACGACGTTAGGATAGTATGGCGCTATGTTGGTTGATGATGCTACCTGGGTATTTTTATATTGTGGTCCTGGATTATGCTTTCTGGCTTTATAACAATATCACTCCTTCCGATTGTTCGCTGAGATACTGTTCTCCGAAGTAATCCAGTATACACAGCGAATGGCTCGCAAGTTTGCTGAAAATCTCAACTCTCACAGGGATAGTTACTTAAGCAGGCCTCTCTGAGCTTCGATTGACCCTGTCTTTCCACAACAGCCAATTATATGGACTAAAGTGAAACACTTATCTGTAAGCGATTTCATTCAATTTCGCGTACATGCTGTTATACGGAAGCCAAGAGTACCAGTGAATGCCAGCATCATGCACTAAAGTCTTACCAACAGAAAATGAGAAATAGTGGATATTCTAGACTCTGGGCTACATGAAACGATAGGAACCAGAGTGAAAGCATGGGTATATCTAGCATGAATGTATGTTAATTAACAGGCGGGCCTTGGTTAACTCAGATATGCTCCCGTTCAAGATTCTTCTCCGTGCCACCTCCATCCACCATAACTTTTCAGTATGACTCGCTCAGAGACCTGTGTCCAATGGAGATACTTAAGGGTCTGACAGCACAACCTGTCGTGCCTCTACAAGTGTTATCTCAGACTTGAAATCGGAAGATCCAAATTTTACCATGGCGCACGGAAGTCAGCCATATAAAAACAATCCTCGTCCCTGTTCAAACACATCACCTTCGATGAGCAACCTGAATGAAGCGATGAGAAAATCTCACTTTCGAGACATTGATGCTTGGGACGCTCTTAGGAAGCGTGATCTTGAGTACGCCATCAACCTCCTTGTCTCAGGCGAATGGACTATCAACGGTGACATAAAAGACGGTTGGGACTCTTTGGACGCGAGAGTTGGTGGGGAAAGATGTCACGAGACCGCCCTCCTGGCCTTGATCCTTCGCCGCATTGTCATCGCGTATCTAAGAGACAGCAAACTCCTAGAGACGTTTAAGGCACTCGTTACCGAGTATCGCGCCGAGCACGCCCAAGACAAACGTTGGACCAAAGTTTTCAAGGTCCAAGATATTTATGTTGATGACTCTGACCGTTACAAACACATCATTAAATCGATAATCAACTTTATAGGTCCCGACTGGACAACGTTTATTGGCTCTGCGCGGACACTTGCATCATTCAGTGTACTCAGCACTATGGAGTGCGGTTTGAGTGTTTACTACCGTCGTTTGGGAGATGTCCTTGTCGCCACAAGCAAGGAACAACGTGCTGCTGGGATGGGAGAATATTATGATGCCGAGTATCCACTGCGTACAACATTCACCCATATTTCTTTCAAGCTTATTGAGAAACTCTCTGCTGAAGTTTTGACAAAAGGGGTCTCAGAAAGCCCTTTTGGTGCACAGCCTCGGGCCTGGGAGACCCTTCCAGAACAAGCACGAGAGATGTTCCACTTCTCAAAAGCCAACAAAAAAAACCCACGCCATAATGGCTGCTCTATTATCGTGGGTCGTTCTCCGCCTCTATGCAAATCTTGATTAGGCTCTGTTGGCAATACAAGATTCCGATCACGCTCTGCATGCCCCGCCTACGATATGAGAATGCTCCTGATGGTGCAACGAGCATGGCGACATACAAGCTTACTTCGGCACCTGTTCGGACTTATATTTCTACCAATGAGTCCTGCGGAAGCTTTAAAATGGTGGATACTGCACAAAAGGGCATTGAAGACGAGCCATGCTGGAAGCTGGGTGGCTACAGCATGTATCACGAATCACAGCCTGGAACGCTTCTCTCCTCGGCTAATGATGGCGAATATATCGAGGCGCTGGAGCAGTCTGACGTGGGTCATTTGCTGTCTCTATTTGGTTTCGTCCATCGTGAATATCCACGGAAACCGAAAACGGAGGCGTTGACCTTGTGGCGTTACGAAGCTCAATATGTGGAGGAACCGCGCGATCTGCTGAGTTAAGCTTAGAGGGCGTCCACTCTGGTTGGGGCTTGAGCTCAATCGGTCAGGCGAACAACTTGGGCCTTCTCTCGCTCTCTATCGCTTCCGATAAGATCGCTAGGCAGTGCAATCTGAATGATACGGTTCTTGCACATCAACACAACATCGCGGCGAGATCGTCTTATCAAATGCAATGCAAGCCGATACCCTTCACTTTTGACCACATTGACATTTCTACTCCTAGGCATGAACAATCCAAGTGGGCTGGTATTCTCCGCAAACACCTATCAACGACGGAGCCCATGTATGCAAATCTTTTTGTGATAGGCAATACGTGTTATGGTATGAAGGACGAGGCAGAAGCCGATAGACTCATGCAGGTCAACAACGACCGTGAGAAGATCGAATCCTTACTTCAGCGACATCCTGGACATGATGTTTTCTTAACAACGGACCATAAGGCCAAACTAAAGAGGAGTAAGGAGGAAACTAGGAAGAAAAAGGTTTCGTCTAGGGTTGCAGGAAATGAAGTCCTAAGCACCCTCCAAAACCCATTGCACAATAAGTACGGTTAGGGGTTGTCTGCGTGGCCGTTTATTAAGCATAACAAATTTATACACTTCAGGGGACAAGGTCAAAAACATATGTCCTGTGTCTATGCGTTAGTGATAAGTGTCATTTCGACTAAAATGTGCTACCAGGCGTAATGAATCGTATTGGGCATTCTTGTCTCCAGTAGCTAAAGTTTCATCTATATTATCCTGCACCTGAAGCTGAAAAGCCATGTAAGTCTAGTACAATATCGCGGCAATTTAGCCTTCGGCTTCGACGGCCAAACGTCGCTTGCATCACAGCTTCAACGCCGACCAAACTTATCCTCACCGCAGGACATATTACCAAAGCTCGTCATTCTGTCACAGTTTATATGCAAGATAGATGTCGCTGAACCCGTACGATGCGCAATGTATCAGGGGGGCAGATGCTGAAAGATAATGTATCATGCTTGCTACTTCATTGTATAATTTATAGAGCACCTGTTATTATAAGTATATTTATTTTGTTGTAATTATTTGAGGAACTTATATTTCTTGCTGTAAAATACCTTTTGTTCTCAATCCTGGTAAGTCAACTCGTAGTATGCTCACTTAGCGTGTACATTAGACCTTCTTTTTATAACGATTTTCTCATTACCGCTATTTATAAATTGGCTAATTATTAATATTCTGGAATACTCTACCCTATTTAACAACGCTCACTGGGATTATAAAAGCAAGAAGAACTGAACCGTCACTAATATGATGTAGAGGTTTTATGTTCAACAATGGGCCGCCTACTTCCCATTTGGCGTGTTAAAGCACTTGAATTATGTAATGTTTCCAGCATCATCGCAGGCTTTCTTGGTTGCCTAAGCCTATACATTGTTATCCACCAAGGAAACGCCGTAGACCAAGATTACAAAACTATATCTCATCTTGCGTCAACGTTCCTATTGGGTACGACTATAGTGGCTGTGGTTAACATTATAGTCACTGTCATACTCTCGATTGCTTATGGAACCCAACAAAGGAATGGTAGGCGGGATGGTGTCAACCTTGCTCAGGTGCGCTTTGAAGCGGCTAACCGCTCAAATATCTCGTTGTGGTTGCCAATGGCTTTGGTAAGCCTCGTAGTAATTCAGTTCTTGGTGGGCCTGCTCCTCTGGCACTCAGCTCGTTTTCCAAGTTGGTCTATCATTCTACTTGTAATGGAATCACTTATTCTCCTAGTGGGATCGGCGATGATTCTTTGGAATGTCTTCAGGGCTTTTCAGAGTGAACAGATTGGAGAGGTTGAACAGGGTAGACAAGGTGAAAAGGTTATCGAGGTTGGACGACGGACTCAATCATTTCAAACACGGAACTTGTACACTATTCTAGAATAAGGAGGATGTCACTCCCAGCCCTTATTTTCTAAAGTCAAACATTTCGGTCTCGGCTCTTTCTCCTAAGTCGAAATCGGGCGGTTTCTGTCATGGAAGCTAGATGACTAAAGATACGTTCATAGCAACTCCCACGATAGAATACTCAGAAAGCCTATCCTCCTTACGTGGAAATTCTATATAATCTGTTGGAAATACTCTCTACAAGTGACCTTTGTTTCATACAACATATATAACAACCTGAGGGATACTTGCAGTAGATGGTGAGAGTCTAAAAGTCATCAAGGATGGTGTTTTGGTTATGTATGTCTTGCTCCTTTCGCCCGCAATGCTCAAATAGGCAGCTACACCAAGCCATACATGGTGCATCTTCTATATCAGCGAAGCTCTAGTAATCTTACTCGTACGTATTATTCGCAAAAGTCTACTCTGGTGTTCCTAGCTATCATCCGCTAATCAGCAAACTTGCTCTCTTCATCGCCATATCGTCGATCTTCGAGCATTAACGCTTGTAAAAGACGGCTGTCATAATCCCCCGTGACAGATCCGTCATGACTATGCACCTGGTCTTCGGGACGATGACGCAGCGACAACATTAGCATCAAAGCGGTCCCGTAACGTTCGCTCGGTGTTTTGATGCGAGAGCCATGGCTTAGAAGGAGGCGAACAATACTCTTGTGACCCATGGCTATTGCAATATACAGCGGGGGTGCAAGCCGTGCACCTTGCAGACTGGCGTCAGCACCTCTACAGAGGAGTAGGTCGGTCATTTCTCTATCACCGTTGACAACCGCTCGTTGGATGGCTGTAGGTGAGTGTTGATTATGTTCATCTATACCAGCTCCATTGTCAAGTAGTAGCCGGACAATACCCCTGTGCCCTCGAGTTGCTGCTGCTTGGAGTGGTGTCACAGATCGATGATGTGGCGCGCCAACATCAGCGCCACTTTTGATAAGGAGCTTAACAACAGACTTGTGCCCGCCTGCTGCGGCTGCCTGAAGTGCTGTCGTGAGTCGTTCGCCCGTGGAAAGCAATACTGCACCCGATGATTCAACTTGCTGATTCAAATTGGCGCCATTCAGAACAAGAAGCTGAACAATTCTCCTCTGGCCATGAAGTGCTGCCACTACCAGGGCTCTTGCCAGTATATCGCCTTGAGCCCGAGCATCAACGTATCTGGCAAGAAATAGCTTGAGAATCCTCCAATTTCCATTTGCGGAAGCGATATTTACAGGTTTTGGAAGTATTCCACCCTGAATATCGATATCAGCACCTTTATCTAACAGACGCTCGACAAGTCGCTTATTGCAAGTAGCCACGGCGCATTGAAGTGCTGTGGAGCATCGTTGGTCGTGCGCGTCAATCTCAGCACCGTTGTCGAGGAGAAGCTCTACAATTTCCTTGTGCCCTTTGCTTGCCGCTCCCTGAAACGCTGGTGGGAACTGCTGCGTTTGTGCGTCCATATTAGCACCGTGGCTGAGGAGTAGCTGGACAATTTCTCGATGGCCGTGAAAACATGCCAATTGTAGAGCGCTTGGGAATCCAGCCTTTGTGGCATTGACGTCTGCATTTGCTTCAAGAAGAAGCTCGATGATATCTGAGTTGCCACTTTTTGATGCAATCTCCAGAGCGCTCGGTAAGCTTCTATGGCGGACATCCACGTCAACTCCGTTGTTCACAAGCGCTCGGATAATACTGGCATGTTCACAAATTGAAGCTATACCAAGTGCTTCTACCAATTTAGCTTGGAATGCACACTCGCAGGCAGGGCCATGATCAGGGCATCCTTGCCGGTAGGTTTCAAGGGCTTTTTCTGCGGTTCTTTGGCAGCCTGAGACAGCAGCCCAAACCAAGGCAACGGAGCGCTTTCTTTTGAAGTCAAGGAGGTAGAGTACATGATCCGTAATCTGATGTGCTCGCCTGTGGGACAAACCGAGGTTGAATAGATCTCTGCAGGTAAGGTAAGAAGCAACATCGTAATAAAGTTCTGGAAGAAGGGTAAGCAGTGCCATTGTGCAAGATTCAGTCGTAATTAATGATCATATTAAAGCCATGGTGAGAAAGAGTTTTGCCGCCTCTGTTATAGTACACGGAACTGGGAACATGAACCACCAATCTTGGTGCGTCCTGAGAAGCGTTTGGGAGCATGACATCAGTAATTCACTATGCATCTTCTGCGAAAGCGAGTAGTGAAATGGCTTCCAGGCCGACAAGTTGCAATCGGGTCCTTGAGTGGATCATGTTTTGCAAGTGAAAGAAACACCTGCTGAATCAAGAATCATCATTTAGGACTCAACAATGGGATCTTCTAGTTGGGGCCTCGCTTACGTATGAACAGGGGTATCAGGAAATGTATATGTAACATATGAACTCGGCTATTAGCGTGGTGTGAAACCTACTCTTAGTGCTTAACTCTGATCTTACAAAAAACAGGAACTGGCAGAACTCTCTATCCTACCATTCATCACATTGGCCTCACCCGTAGGGTTAGTAGTAGAGCCGTGATAAGAATACTTCCGGTGTCAAAACCTGTTTCGGGACAGGTATTTTACCCATCAGAAAACACTGCACGTATAACTATGTTTGCCTTATTCTGTGATTTTATATCATGATTAATATCTCTTACTGCTAACATTTGCTCTATAGTAAAGTTGCCAACAGCATTACCACCTACTGGCACTGTGCATGCAGACCATCTGACCCGTTTCATGAGGGAAATTCTCTCATCCCCCGCCTAACATTGGCATTCATCTCCGTCTCTTGCAGCTTCTCAGAGATGGCCTACATAGCTACTTGTCTGGGAATCACAATGGACAAAGCATCACATTTGTGCCTCGAAATTCCCGTCGGTGACATCACTCGCCTAGACACCAGTGTCTCTTTCTGCATCCAGGACATGCTGTACAGGCTTGACATCTCCGAGTAGGCAGTGGGAGATCTTTTCCGCGAGAATGAGTATAGAAAGATGACGTTGAAGATCCAGGTCGATTAGCACGTAGGCAAGCTGCGGGCAATGGCCAAACTGAGACGAGTCACGATACCTTTAACAATATGAACATAAACATTCATTGGCATGCATCTCATACTGGGCCATTGGGAAGTCCTTTATTGATTGAGCACATAGTAGTTGGACGCGCCGACAATAGTGATAATGGTTTACAAAGTTGTTGAGCTTACATTTCTATTTACGATGATCATGATTGTAAGTAGACCACGTGACTCTATATCACTTTTTCCTGGTCCTTCCGATCGTTCTTGGAATTTTTGTCCGTCGCCCTTCTGCCGTTAGGCGTTGCCTCGGTGGGTCTTGTTGCTCGGCTAGGCGCCTTGCACGGGCTCTTGTGATACGACTTGGTTTACCAACGTTGGTATGGTCGCTGATGCGTTGCGAACTTGTCGGCTCGAGATCCCCTTGCAACGATTCCCGTTCTCCTCGGAGCGTACACAGAAGGTCCTTAACCTCCTCCATTAGTTGTGAAGTTTTGTCCATGATGTCGGGTGCCGGCCGAGGTTGGAACTCAGACAACTGCTTTGCTAGCAGGGTGTCGATCTCAGAACACTGTTTCGCTCGGTCTTGTGTAAACAAGCTTTTGAAATCTTCTGTAGACATCTCAATCGACTGCACCATTCGCTCCAACTTCTCCGCTGTCACGCTCCAGGTAGTCATTGTCGCCTCCGTCAACCTTTTGTATTCACTGAGTGCCGTAAGCATCTCTGATGTTTGCTCTTGCTTGGGAGCTTTGATCTCAGAATGGAGTGTGGCGGACAAGCTCTGGAACTCTTGTCGCAACGCTTCGGTCGAGTGTATCACTCTTCCCATATCCTGCGCCGCAATGTCAGACCTGGTTGTCCTTTCCTCCAAGGACTTTTTGTGTTCATCTAGTGCCCTAAGGAGCCCTGATGACTGCTCTTGTAGCAAGGCTTTGACATTGCCACAAAATGTAGAGAACAAGGTTTCGGCTTCTTCTCTAGATATTCCAACTGGCTTATCTGGCATATGACTGGTTCTTATTTCGTCTTTAGCTTTCAGATATGGAAGTCCACCTTTGCAATTGGAGACCGAACGGGCTGAGCCGGAAACGTACTGCTCAAACGCACGAAACACAGCATCATGAATGGATTTTTCGAAAGATGGCCACTGTTGTAGGACGAAGGGGTGCGGTACTGCATTTGGGGGCAGTCCCGGCTGGAATACATGGGGCTGGAAAGGAGGTCGAGGAAAGTTGGGCGGGGGATTATGGTTAGGAGGCATTTGGAAATGATGCTCATGGGGTGGCATGGTGTATGGACGTATAAGGTTATGGGGCGTAAAAAGACAATGAGAATGGTGAAGATAGGGCGCGACTTAACTTGGCTACAAAAATGAGAACTGGTCGAAGTTATAAAAGCCATTCACTCTCCCAGACGCGTCTTGACTTTTAATAAGTACCCCAGCATCTGTAATGTCCAATTCGTTCAGCGATATGTGACTTCTGGACAAAGATGGTACTTCTTTTCCTTGCCTTGTCTAATTGTGGGTCACTGATGTATGTACCAACGGGATCCCTTCACACTAAACCTCTTTTCAACTAGCGCCCTCTCCATTTTCTATGCTTTCCCACGCTCGACCCACCTGCAGGAACGAGCTATCTCGCAGAGCAGTAATCAAATGGTTCATGATGTGAATTGTCTATCTTGCTGCGCCTCAAGCAATAATCAACTTTGGTGCTTTCGAAACGCTCAGCCTTCTACAATGTAGTCGATTTTGGCACCTGTGGTTCTCTCGTAGAGTTTTCCCAATGGCAGGCACCATATGGTTATAGACTCAGTCAGACCTTATCCGTTAGGGAAAAACGGTGAATAGCAGCTGCCAAGCGACGAGGCTATTTTTTTCACCAACACGTTTCACTAGTCCGCGGTTGATGAGGATCCACGACCACGGATGAACAGTCTTTCCAGACACATCATGTACTATCAATGTAGATTTCTGGACCTAAACCGATACCGCCATGTGCTCAGTAGAGAGGGCGTTACATGATAGGTACATTGTCGGACTCTTCCGTCGTCTTACCTTACCCTGACCTTCATGAATATCCAGTGGATACGCCAAGCTCGAATGCGATACCAGCATGTGAACTAAGCCATTAGCGTGTAAAATCAGCTATTAGCGTGTGAAATCAGCTATTAGCGTGTGAAATCAGCTATTAGCGTGTGAAATTAGCCATTAGCGTGTGAACTCATGTAGCTTGTGAGTTCATAGTCTCCACCAGAGGCCCCGCTCCACCGGGTGAATCCTCTTACCAACCACGTTGCCATTCACCCCCAAGGAACTCGTTCGCGTTATTGAAACCTAGAGTTACCAAAATTGAACGCAATTTTGAACCTCGTCTCATCGAACTTGATGTGTAGAACAGAATATGGACTGGTGGAAACTGACGACACTGTCAACGCGTCGTGAGCATAAATGGGGGGGGCGCGTACCGTATGAGTATCTGAAAAGAAAAACTGTGCCGACGTGAAGAGTCAGCCATGCCGCATGAATCCGTACCCTAGACACGTTAACAGTAAAGTCGCTTAAATCATTGTTCCGTACTTTTCAATAGAATTTGTCCATAGACCATAATATATATCAATAAATTTAGCAGCGCAGTCTGGACCTACGCTAAAGATACTGGTGCTAAGGGTGCCAGTTTTGTCTATCGAAACATGATTCTTTGATGATGTGCGGAATTGAGGAGCCTTCCTTGACTCCATCATATAAGAGCCAGGCCATAACTTGACTTTCTCCCTTTTGTACCACTAGGTAAAAAACATGCAAGCTCCTATTATGGCAGAAAGTGACGAGCTAAATCATCGTGAAAAAATTCCAACCTTACCTCTCAGCTATACCGACAGCTTCCCGCGCATCACGAAAGAAACTCTTCTTGGTTGCATAGATCGCAAGCTGGATCTGTGCTTCAATCGTTTGATCATTGTTGACTGCCGTTTTAGGTACGAATATGAGGGAGGCCACATTGATGGCGCGATTAGTCTTGCGCCACGATTTGGAAGCATCGTAGATACAAATTTCTTTGATGATTTGATTCCCGGCAAGTCTGATCAAGGGCGGACATCCATTTGCCTGTATTGCGAATTTTCGCAGTACCGTTCACCCTTAGTGGCAGATCGTATACGGTCAAATGATCGGCAATATGATATCGAGCGGTACCCGGCTCTCTTGTACCCTGACATTTATATCCTAGACGGAGGTTACAATAGTTTTTTCAACGCCTACCCAGAACGATGCGTCCCACAAGCATACATTCAAATGACACATCCTGTGCATCAGCGTGTTTGTGAAGAAGAACTACATCGTTTACGGGGAGCCACAAAACCTTCCAAAGTATCGACATTTCGGACGGCTGGGTGGGTTCAAGCTCCCTTTGAACACTAGGAATAGGGATCCTTGAAATGTCCGCATTTTTTTCTTCTCGGCGTGATGTTCGCTGGAGTGACGCCCTGGGCAGATCCGTGCTGTGGTCACACCCTGCTCCATGGTGGAGCCCGCTCAATGCTACAGATGCTAGCGACCAAAGGCGTTGCCAGACAGATAGACCAAGTGAATTTATGCTTAACTTTTCGACCAGTTTTATGGCGAGAAGGTAAAGAGGAGACCGCTATTTGTAAGCAGGACCGTTTTCCAAGCTTACACAGGGTACTGGTGCATGAAGGGCAGATTTTGCAAAATACCATGACGGATACAACAACCCGCACCAATGGATCGAATACACGTACTGTGAAGTAAGGTTTTGCTTCATGCGCTCAGTAAAATTGCATCACTCATATACGTAGCAGATGCTTTGCTATTTATAAAGCAGCCCACGAATATACATCCACAAGATTCACACTTCTCCGAATGTAGCTGTTGAATACAGGTGGAGTATGAGATTAGTATCGGTCCGGCTGCGGAGTGTTTTAGTAATTCATTTGTGTTTTCTTTAAAATGCTTCTCACGTAACTTGGAAAGTCACACCAAGTTGAATCGTCCCATTTGACTTCCAGTGGCTGGTGGCTTGTCTAACTGGGATGCTGCATCACGTAATGGTTAATGTCGTCAAAAACCAACATAATACTTGTGTCGCTGTCAGGCTCAATTGAGGACTCTAGTCTACCGCCGGAGCATTACAGCTCCTCTCTTCTCTTTCACTTCTGTCGTGCCGCACTCTGAATCATTGGGTGTAAGTGTAGCTTAAGAAAGGTAAGAAGTGGCAGTACAGTTAGGGATCTTTTGCCTATAATATATCCATCACTAAACTATTTATAGAATCGTATCCAATGCGTCCAGAAAAAGACATCGTCAAAACTCTAACGGGTAAAGCCAATAGTATGATGCACAAGACCCGAGCTATACCCACTATCTCGGGACGTCACATGGCAAAAAGCATTACTTCTAAAGTAGGAGGACATAAGCATCGACAAGAGGAAAGAAGTTGTCTCTATTGTGAAATAGGTCGGAAGTCATCGGATCTCCCTAGGGTCACTGAGTATTGGGCATCAACTATGGAGCTGTAAAGACATTTTAGGGGTTTACATCAAGAATTCACTATCAAAGAAGGACATAATCGCTTCTTGGATACGGAGACATAGCAAAAATGACTGTTTGCTAGATGAATTGTTTGCTAGGAGGTCAGCGAGGTGTTAATGTAGAACATGATCTTCATCTTATTCTCAACACGGTGGTGGCATACATCACCTGCATCAAAGGGCGCGATTTATGGATGCTCGTTCGAGTAATTAGTCACAGCAATCAAGCAAAAGTATGTATATAAAGTTGAGGACATCTTGTAGTAAGCCATTGGTGGCTACTTTTACAAAAGAGCGTCTTGCTACAGCTTGCTCTGCTGGCATCCCTTACACTACTATGTAATTTATGTTGGACGAGAAGTTGCCTGACATATATGACTCGTTAGCTAGAACTGGCAGCACTAGCCAGAGACAACATGTAAGTCACGGCGATGAAACCCTCAGTCATTGCAGGAGCGAGCGTCGTGCCCGCGCCTTGCGATTCAAGAAGGGCAGCGGATGCATTCCCACCAGCAAACAGGCCGTGAATCACATCGCCATTTTTCCTAAGCACTCTTGCGAATTCGTCAGTCAGAAGTCCACCTCTTGTGCCAGCATCTCCAGGGAAGATCTTGATGGCATAGAAAGGGCTCTCTTTGACGGGGCCCATACAAGGGTTTGGTGTGACATCTGGATCGCCGATAAACTGCTGGTATCTATCCTCGCCCCTGTGGAAGTGCTTGTCACGGCCACCGTCGCACATCTCGTTCCATTCACTCAAGGTTGCCTGTAGACTCTGATTTGGTACCAGAATCTGCTTTGATAAACCATCAACGGTATCTGAGCGTACCAGGAGGCCTTTTTCGACGGCTTGGTCAATTAACCATGGACTTTGGAGCCCCCCAATAGGATATGCCTGCATGTATTTGTCATCGAAAATAAGCCAAAATTCGGCTGTCCTGCTGCCTTTCTTCGCCCTTTCGTACATGGACCTAACAGCAGCACCGTAAGGTTGGGATTCGGAGAAGAAACGGCGTCCATAGCCATCTACTACGAAGGAAAAAGGCTTCGATATGGCGAACATGGCTTCCGTTACTTTCCCTGTTCCAGGGTTGATCATGGTGGGGATACCCCAGACTTGGTCTAGCTGCGCACTGTCAGCGTGAAGCCTTTGGCTGACTTGAAGCGCAATGCCAATGTCTCCGGGAGCAGCAAGACTCCAACCCGCCATGGTTGATATCTTTGAGGCTCTTCCGTCGGTAGATCCGATTCCGAGGTATGTATCTCTCATCTTCTGATTCTGTGAGAAACCTCCTGTGGTCAGCACCACGCCCAATGATGCGTGGATGTGGACCGGCTTTTCGCTACGTCCACACAGGACCTTTGCTCCAATCACCCTGCCATCAAGATCAGATACCAAGAGCTCTTGTAGCTCGCATCGAGTCCAGATGGTCACGTTGCCGTGCTCCTTGCATATCTTGAGGAGCTGAGCGATCAGCGACTGACCCATAGACATCGGTCTCTCCATATCCTGAGGCGGAGCCACGGTTTTAGTGGCACAGCCCGTGGAAAAAGGCCGCCTCGTCAAGACACATAAGTCTTCGAATCGGGAAATGACAGGTACGTTTTCCTGCACTTGAAGGTATCTCACCCAGCCTTCCAAACTCGCTGCATCGAAAACTTCAGGATCCAAAGTGCGGCCATACGCGACCGCTCCTTCCATATGTGGGTGGTAATCTGGAAACTTGGATGGGGCGGCCATCCAGCGAAAACCCTCATTTCTGAAATACTTTGCCATCTCCGGTCCCTGCGTCAGAAAAGCCTTCAGCCGTCTGTTCTGCAGATCCCGAAGGACAATGTCTTCGTCGAGACCTGGGCTTGTAGCCTTCCCTACAGCGGCAATGTAACGTTCAGCCTGCTCTTTGCTATCCTCGATCCCAAGCTCTTGCATACGGAAATTGTTGGGCATCCACATGCAGCCACCGGACCTGAAAGTGGTGCCGCCGACATAGTCCTCCTTCTCAACAAGGATGACTCTGCGCCCTTGGTCTTGCACGGCTGCCGCCGCCGCTAGGCCGGCAGCACCGGCACCTATAATGAGGATGTCGCATTCAAAAACTGACCCTCGATACTGACTAGAATTTCCGCGGTGACCAGAGTCTTGCTTAATGATGGGGCAGCTGGGCTTTGTGTTATGTGGGGGCATGGCTCAGTTCTGTATGGCACTGGCGCACAACACGAGCAGCGATTCGCTTGTTGAAAGATTGGATAAGAGTAAAGGCTTTAAAGTTGGTTTTTAGTACTCAAACATTGCCTACTTGAGGTTTTTGTTTCTTCTCGAACTGCTGAGTAAAAGCAAGTTTGGCGAGGGAAAGAACCTTTTTATATAATGCTTCAAGAAGATAAAGAATGCAGGCAAAGAGAATCAAGACCACGATGTAAGTATGATCGGTGGGATAGGTCACCTTGGGCGTCACCTTGGGGAATGCCGAGCTGCGTTTTGAACGAACCATGTTGTAGTCAAGATTGGTGGAATACGGAGCAAAGCGTTTGGGGTACTTTTCACGGCTTAAAAGATCTATTTCTCCAAAGGAGCTAGCTACTCTACGACAATTTCGTCTTGAGCTTCTTGAACCCGGACGTGTGAATTCAATTCCTGCAGAAATATGAAGCTAGCCTGTAAGCGACAGTAGCCAGACACCATGACGCTAGGGTCGTCACACGCGAGATATTTCTCATGTCTTACGTGTGCTTGGTCCATGGGTACAGTTAGGTATATTCATCCATCTGTGTGCTGTGAAATCGTGTTCTTGACGGTATGCTTCTGACTCATATGTTCAATCTCAGGGCGCCTTGGTTTGCACAACCTGCCAGTGAGATTGCCGTCAATTCAACAACATTCGTTTTTCCCATTTATATATAGAGAATTCGCGACTCACAAGTAGAAGGGTAACGCATCGTATGTTGCTAGAATTAAATCCCACCTCTACGTGGCGGATCAATCCGAAAATATCTGCCTTTGCGGAAGAGGAATTTGATAAATGAAAATTCGCTTTCAAGAAATCTATTAATACAAAATCGACAAACGTATGTACACATGACTAGATTCAAGCTGCGGTATGTGCAATTCTTATTCACAAACGTGAGTCAGCATGACCCTACATGATGCGTTAGGCAGACTAGAACGGCGGCAGGCTAAGCTCAAAACACTCCGGACCACAAATTTCCGGTAAGGATATATGATGCAACATCGTATACCAAATGATGCTATAATTGTAACGAAGTGTCACAGTTGCCAATGAGGCCAATTCTTCTTTCTGAACAGGCACTGTGATAGGCACCAGTATAAAATACATTCACGGGCTCCTTGCTCGCTCTCCTGAGCTGACCCTTCCTACTGACGCCCCATCTGGTCCTTGATTGTTCGCCTGATCAATATGCGCTATTACACAATTCTCGCATTCACCTTGGTGAGCATTGCAGTGGCCGAAGAAGCCCCGCATAAGACGTCGGTTACTTGTATATGACTCCTTTCATGGCATGTTCTAATCAATCTGGATAGTGACAGACGGTCGGTTGAGAAACCTCACACGATGGATTCGACTAGTCCCGCGATCACGGCACCCCCTCGCAGCAACGCTGAGCGTGACCTCGATAGCTTGCTTTCTTCTTTAGAACTGCTTGCGAGCAAAGCAAGTGAGAAGGGCAGCAGCTTACTGGACCATGGTGAAACGCTAATCAAGGATAAGGCGTCCGCCATCAGCACAGCTTTTGACGGATCAGAAACATTGATCTCGGACAAGATTGAGGAAGTGAATTCTCGAGTGCTGAGCGCTATGAAAGAGGTTGTAACACACCTGAATGAAGGCAGCGATAGCGGTGACGGCAGCGGCAATAGCGCGGCTAGTGTAGACGTCCAGCGAAGCGTCGCCGCGGCTGCGGCTGTTTTGGGTGCCATCTTTATTGGCTTTGTAGCCGCTTGAGCATAGTTCCTGGTGCAATTCAAATTTTCCGAAGTCCATGATAATGATGGGATATCCTTCTAACGAACTTGGAACGTGTTGACGGTTGATCTGAGCTTGTTCGTCACCTTATCCTCATAGCGTACTGCAAAAAAGCCCTCTCCCATAGAGCGTCATAATTAGTTTCGATGGGTAAAGAAAATGCAATTGTGATCATCTATATAGAAGTGTATGTATTTATATATGCAAGAACAACAACCTGGCTCTCGATATAGCTGTGGCTGTGGAGACTCTACATGAACCTGGCTATAGTGAGAAGATTGGCGCTTAAGCAGGAGTGCATTTATTGGAAGGCTTCTATTGTATGAGGTCCTGGGATCTATAGGGTAAATCGAGACTGCTACCTGCTTTGTTCTCTAGGGAGTGAGCCTAATCAAAGCCCTATTGAGCAATATGATATCGCCGATTTAGTTTGAGTAGATTGGTAATACTACCTGCTCGCAGAACTACACTAAATTAGTTCCACCGACGACTCTCATACCCAACGAATGACCTGGACCTTGGTTATTTTATGAGTCCTCATTATCGGATTCAGACAGTACCTCGATCCTTATGATGACCTTGCCACAGTTGAGCTTGAAGATAATAGTAACCGGAATCGCAGCTTACCTGTTCAATATCGTTGAGGGCCTGCACCCATGACCTGTTCTCTGCTGACAGCCTGGTCAGTTTGTCCATCTGGCTGTCAAGGCTTGTCCTTAAATACTGCAGCTTTTGTTGGATATTTTCCAAGCCCTCTGTAGTTGAATTGGAAACTGAAGACGCCTGCTCTTCCAGGGCCATTTTAGTTGGCAGAGTCAACTTTGAGATGTTCGGCGCAGTAAACCGTTCAGGACCACTTGCTTCATCTTTCGGCGCATCTTTGTTTGAGACGGATATAGTGTCGAGGACCAAGGATGATTTCCTTTCCAAACAAACTGAACTCTTCCGTTGAGTCTTTTGTGTAGGTACCGGCGGGATGAATTCAGTAGGTTTCCACGATTCGATGTCGTGAGTTAAAGAATCGAAGGAGGTAGTATCTACAAATGTTTTGCCGGCTTGATAAGCTCTCCATACTGGGCTATGCTTCTTTTTGTCTGGAGCCTCCCACAATTCTACACGTTCGTCTGGTAGGCAAACAACGTAGGCTTTTTCTTGTACAGTCTTATAGATTTGGCCTTCGTACTCTCTAATTTTATCCGCGAGTCCTTTAACACTTTGTGCATTCTCCGATAGCAGAAACTTCTTGCCGGTTAAAGCCTTCGGGGGCTTTCGGCGAGTCATCATGTGACGAAGTATCCTTTCGAAGATGGTTGGAGACTAGTTGAGCTAAGCAAGGGCATCGAGGTATTTATCAACAGTTTAGGTGAGCCTAAGATCATACTGCCAGTCAAATTTACAGGTATACGTTAATCTGAAATATTCTCGTTCTATTCTTGGCTGGTGCTCTTACTCAGACGCCCTATGGCCCTTTTCGTCAACAATGTATAGTATCATTCTCGGATCCCACTTATATATATCTGGCTGTTTTATTGATACAATCTATTTTCTCTCATTTCACTATACGCGGTATGTGGCCGTTTTTATCTGTACCTACCGTTGAATCAATGCAGCAATTTGGGGCCCTTTGGTTGCCCAACCTAAATACCCACCACTAAGTCGCTGCTTACCCGTGATAGTCTGCGATAAGCACGACTTCAGCTGTAACGTGCAGCTCGTAGACAATCCGGAACTAGATAGAAATCCTGGCATGCACCGTAACTCAGCATCCCAGTGCTAAGTTGCGAATTAAGGATTCTATATCTTCCGCGATACCGAGCTCCTAGCGTTGGCCAGCGAGTTCTTCATGGCTGAGCTTTCCTTTGAGGAGTTGGTATCAACTCTCGTGTGACTAAGCAACAGGCTTGGTGGCGGAATTATGAGGACAAGTACCTCATTTCACTGTTCAAGGGCCTCTAATCGCCAGACTCCCCTTTCACCATGCAATTCGCACCCAGCAATTAGGGATCAAGATCAGGGTATATCAGCTTCGTGCTCAACTGTGTTACTTCTCAACTTCAGCACACAAGGTTTGACCAGCAGCGAACTAATGACAGAAATGCATAATTGTTCGGCTCCTGGCACCGACCCTTTGCTTGAGTTTTACTTTAGGCGCTGAAGTCGCGTTGGTCTCGCCTCATGTATATTGAAAGTGAATTCAGCCTGTGCCATAACAGATTGCTCTGTTGTAGGTGCAGTACTGTATTGATCTATGGTAAAATCTATGACTCGACAGTTTTCCAGCAGGTCTTGCGGATTGCGCCTCATAACATGTTGCTGCAATCCACGCCCAGTCCCATGCAGAAGACTCCATAGCGTCTATGAAGCTTTCAAACCTCCATGCGGCCTCACTGGTATGATATGTTCCAGGACTTTGTGCTTCTCTCGCATCCTGCTTAATTTCATTGCCAGTCCAGATATGGTCATGGGCTTCCAGTACATCGCATATCCCACTTGAATAAACTTCCACTTGATGTTTTCCAGCCTCGATTCGACAATGTATCTTTCATCTGGCGCCAGGAAGCCTAGGTCGACGACTCCCGCATCGAAACCTTTGCCATTGGGGATATATGGTAGAGTGGATTGTTGATGTAAGGCGTCATGAACGAATGCAAATGGAGTTGTTTCCAAAACAGCTTGGGGAGGAAGACTGTAGCAGTTGGAATAGTCTTGAGAGTCGGCAAACCAGTAATTGGCTTCCCAGGGACTCCAGAAAGGCCAGTAGTATAGGGTGGGATCCGATAGCGAACTGTGATATGGATATGCCACGATAGAGTCGTCAAGAGGAACCGTAGAATTGTCTTGGCTCGGCCAGGGCGCTGTGCGCACGAGGTCCTGAGACGAAGGTGCTGTAGCACTTGCGAAAGAGTCCCAATACAATGGGGGAAGTAAGCTTGATACTGAATGCTCACTAGCGTTGTGTGGATACATGAAATGCCAGTTCTGCCCTGACGAATGATGAGCCATCTCCAAAAGCTGGACAATCGAGCCACAGTGTTTGCAATGCTTTGAACAAAATGTGAAATCTTTGGACAGTTCGTGACTTTTTTTCAGTAGATATTTTACACATCCTTCGCGGACCTGTGATGTCTGTTATATTACCTCCCAGGTGAAGTGTCCACCCTGTGAATCGTGTCGTTGGAACCTTTGATCATTCTCATTCTGATTCAGGAAGCGATGCTCAGCATCAAGGTCCAACATGCTGCAAGATCCTAGAAATTCTGTCACATAAAGCCTGCTGGGCCCATGTCTAACCTCAGTGATTCACAGATGCTAGACCCACTGCGAGAAGCACCCAAACCACATAAGGGAGAAAGCCGACGGGTGAGGGTTAGAGGAACAAGTGTTCCAATACGACGTGGGGACTCTAGTCAGGAAATGCTCATTGGCCTACGGAATATATGGAGCAAAATTGAGATTAAAAAAAAACTCCTCTCCGAGCCTTCGGTGGGATGGCTGGAGGAAACAAGATTGACAAGTACCATTTGGTTCTGCAACAGTTTGTTGGCCAAGAAATGCTGATTTTAGCTTGAGATCAAACGACGTCCAATCGTAGACCTTGGTTATCTTCGCCTTCTCCGTTTTCACGCCCTAATGTGATGCGGCTAGGCGGAGCAAGCAAAGCACATGATCAATACAAGGCGCGGAAAGGTTGGGGATTCTGCAGAACAAGCAAGTACCAACGTCTTCGCGATCCAGTCAAAGAAGTCTCCGACAGCTTGGGCCCTACTTTAGCGCAGTGAACTCACGGTGAACTCACGGTGAACTCACAGTTAGTTTGAAGTGGGGCTTTCTCTTATCCCTTGTCTTGATCCTTATTTAAACATCTTGGCATTTAAGTAAGTACTAGACACGAACGAACATGGCGCGGAGCCGGATTGTGGGCGATCACGGAGTCATTATTACCCGGCAAATATTCTGTTCCCATATTTGGAAGGGTCTCTAGACCGTCTTACCCCATGCTCGAGTCTGTGAGCACTAGGGGTCAATGCGTAGGGCAACGAAATCTTCAGTCAATTCAGAAAGTGAGAAAGAAACATTTGTTTACAACAATATTGCAGAGAAAAAAAAGCATGTCGGCCAGGAAGATGTTTTCAGTCCCACTTCAATAAACAGAATCCTGAATAGCTTTAAATAAATAACTATTAGGCCTCAATAATGTCTTTGATGCTTCTTTTTTTTTAATTTTTCTTTTTTAGAATTAATATGTATAGAAACAGTTTTAGTGTTTGAGTAAATATTTACGTCTTAAAGTCACCTTTTTCCCGACTCTAGTAGCCTCTCTTCCTGTTAATGTTCCTCTTTGACCTTGCGTCAGGCACTTGACAAAACCATGAGGGTAGATTCGCGGGGCCGATGTGCAGGCTCCCTTTTGAGTAGTGGAGACCAACTCATTCGGCGGGGCTCATCGGCTTCCGTGGTTTGGTACAGTTAAAGTAAAAGAATATTGATTTTTACCATCGCAGAGAATCCAAACCGCCACGACCCAGTCAGCAGTTGTTGAGTTCGGTCCCTGGCCGAAATATCTCGGGACGGCTTGAAACAAGGATTTGTGAGAGTCCAAGCGAGCGCCTAAACTAAAACGGCAATGTATCCAACTTGCCACAACTTACCCTACAGATAGCTACGACATGATGAGTAGTAGTAGTAGTAGTAGTAGTATTTATTACGCCCGGGAGAACGGACCTCATAGGGCCTGTGGCTACGCTAAGCTATTCACGTATTCCCCGCTTTTCGTCCATTCTACACAAAAGAAAGCCCCGCCTTGGGTAAAGAGAAAACAAGCAAGCCCAGTCTTAGGGTTAATCAGCGAGTGGGTCTGACCAAAATGATGCAAGAAGATGACGGTGGGGAATTCAAGTGAAATATTAACCCCACAGCGCTCGGCCAGGCTCATCCCCGTGAAAAACCCTGAGGCGGGGTTTCATCAAACACTTCAGACATGGTCATCACACGATCGCATGCCATGCCTTAGGCATCATGGTCAACGTCAATGGCAACTCCGGCCGGTGCATGGCATCCTGAGTTTGAGACTATCATCAATGCAGGACACGGCAGCCTTGGTCAGGCGGGTTGGTGCTGACATGGAGCATTCAATTTTAAAAAACTAATAGGCTCAAGAAATACTTTTAACTCCACTCGAATACTTAATCCGAAGTGATACATTTTCGAGAAATAAGTCTTCTTCTACTCTCCCCATCTTAGTACGACTCACAAGCTAATATTCTAACTTGAATGGTTCGGTGCCGAAGAGCTTGACGACCAATCAGAAGTAGAATCAAGTCCTGGAGGAAATTGACGAATGGTAAGAATGTGTGTGTTGCGTCCTCATCTGGGTTGTCTGAAATTTCTTCCCACGTAGCCTCCTCTCGTGGCAGGTGACGCCAGTCTTTGTAGTCTACTTCTACGAGGCGATACCTGTCCATCTTGAAGACATCCATAGCGGGCCTATTTACCTGCTCCTTTGAGTGTACCCACTGTTTTCGTTTGATCTTGTAGTTGACTATCCATATCGCCTCCAGATTGCCAACCTTTGCACCACGCAAGGCGCATGAACATAGAAAGTTCAGTATGTCAGCGGATGGATATTTTCTCCTCTCGGACAACCAGTCCGTATGGTATTCCCAGCCAACATGCCGCATCCCTAGGCCCCACTCCTCTAAGCCTGCACCGGGTCCCTTCGTGCATGGAGAGGGTGACTTTGATTCGAGAGGGTGAAGCTGAAAGATGACGAGGTCTTCTGGAGCACATGTAATCTTCCATTGTTTCGTTCTATCGATCCCTGCAGAGGTCAAGGAGTAAGACGCGTGATGGCCTGCGGTAGCGCAAGTTGAAGCTTGGCCTGGACCTTTGCGAGCGTCGCTTCGTGGCTGTCTTTCATGGAGACAAGCGGCGTAACGGGACTCTCTGCAGGTCACCCGAAGACTCACAAGGGTCACGTAGGAAGAAGGGTTACCATCAAAATGTAAATCCTTTCCATCTCTTAAATCGGTTGAAGTATTTGGGATAGGACCAACGGGCCACCTCGGAGGCAGTAGGTAGTAATCCATCGGCCAATTGCTCAAGAGGATACCATAGCGACTCGCAGGCTTTCTAACCATACGCCATACGCCATACGGACCTGAATGGTTTATGGTGTATGATTTATTCTCGTATGGCGAACTAAACCATATATTGCCCATACGGCAAATGACGTCAAACCGGTCAAGGGCCCACATCTTCCTCTAGAGCGCTGGTGCTTCCCTCCTCTGCCATGTACTCATATTGTTCAACCTCGTCTACGTGTAGCCCTGCCGTTATACCGCTGCGAATCCAGCTCTTCAAGCACTCCCCCTTTTCAATTGTCGATGCTCCAAGGAGCATTCGATCCCATGAAATTGTACGCCGTGCTCCAGAGAATGTACGCTCAGGGTCAGCAGACATGGCAGGTATTGAGAGAATGTCTATTGCCATCTTTGACAGTCGGGGAAAGCGCTCCTTCTGCTCATCGCGGAGCCACCAGACAAGGGGGGAGCAGTCGATTGGAATGGGTGGCTGGGAGGTGTAGGTTTCGTATTCGTCAACGTCGGGCTCTGTGCCTATGACATTAAGCTCCTGTGCAAGCAGGTCATACTCATCCAGTTCCAGTGCCGGAACAATGGAAGGAGTAGTATAAACGGTTGGCAGGTTCTTGTATTCGTCTTCCCACAATTTCTTCACTCCTGTAAAGATCTTCTTATGCCATGCCTTTGGCCAATTTTTCTGTATATGAGCCTTTCCTCGGGATGGATGGAGAATAAGGGCTGCAGCGTATGCAGGGCTCTCATCGGAGAGCTGGTAGTATTTGTCGAAGACATGCCAGCTCGTCAGTACCGGACCAAGTAGCTGTTGGTTCATCTTGTATTTGTTGAATGCTTGCTGGTAATGCTTGTGAAGGACATCCATCGTAAATAATGTACGTTCGAGCGTCGAACGATACCCCTCAGTAAGGAGTGTTATCTTCCAAAACGGCTGTAGGAAGTTCCGCGTCTCGCGAAGGTTTTGCCAATCCTGTGGTGCTAAGTAGTCGTCCACAAGGGCGTCGTAGTACTTGTCCTGATACCACTTGATATGCTCCTCCTTATCAAGAGCGGCATCGAGCAGAAGAAACCATGAGTTCCAGCGTGTATCGTTGTCGAGCCCGAGGACTTTGCCGGCACGCCTCCGAAAGAGATTATACCTGTAATCGTTGGCTCTAATATGGATAGCAGTATTATGTAACTTGCTGAGCGGACCGAGTTGACTCCAGCCACGCTCCTTTCGCTTCTTCCAACCCTGCATCATGTCAATGTTGAACGAAGCTTGGTCCATCTCTTCAATCTGCCTACAGGCTTCAAGCACAGCCTCTTTGCTATCCATGAAAAGAAACGCTTGGACGCAAAGGTTGACAATGTGGCCATGGCAACGAATCCGTCGGTGTCTTGCATTCCAGGCGACGCCTCGTCCATCAAGGAAGTGGCTCAATAGACGACATAGCACGTCATTGGAACCGTGATTATCTCCTGTAATATATCCCAGCTGGCGTGAGATGCCGTACTCCTCAATGACTGGCTGAAGGAGCTTCCACTGCTCGGCTCCGCTGTGGCTTCCAGGGCCGTCTATGCCAGGAAGTTCAGGCAAGGCCAGCAGTGCCTGGCAGGGATTTTTCGTGCCTTCCTGCATAAATTGCACGCATATTCCTAGGAAAGCCTTGTGGTTTGGTGCGCTCCATACGTCAGCGGAGAGGTGAAGCTTGGCAGGTGAGGATTGCAGCTTTTTTCGGAGAATATCTTTGTGGATCGCATATGAGTTCGAGCAGAGTTTTTGGACATGGCCGTGGGAGGTGTTGATAAGCTCTTCTGCAGTATAGTTTGCCGCCATAAGCAGAGCGTGCAACTCTGGCCAAGTATTGCAATTGTATGGGAGATTGCGGACAGTAACCAGCTGGACTAAGGCTTCCATTGCAGCCTTTGGATTAAGTACGTTGCGAAGAACTTGCTCCTCTCTTTCTTGAAGCTTAGTAACCTCAATCTCGCCTGCTTTGTTGAACGCTTCTTTGATGAGGCTGGTACGCACTTTCTTGGTCGAATTTGGCTCCGAGCCAGCGGCTTCAACTGAGTGTATCTTAAGTAGGTGGTTACGGAATGTGGTAGACACGTATGTGGAGTACGGTGGGTCGCTGCAGTATTTGCAGTAGAACACTAAGTCCTGCTTTGGCCCAGCGCGCTCAGGCTCGGATCCTTGAGGTTTTCGAGTGTGTTGCCACGTCGCATCGGCCGTAGTGATGCGTTTGCGCTTTGGAGTTGTTGAAGTGGAAGATTCAACGGAGGGTAAGCTCTGCCTATCAGGTATCTCAGAAGCCGTCTCGATTGTTGCAGCGATGGAGGACTCGCGGTCACTACGCGGGCGGCTGAGGAAGGAGTCCATCGCAGGCAATCAACGGGCATCATGGCTTTCCACTAGCTTCGTCATGAAGTGTCGCGCGACGCGGAGGCGTGGCTAGCTGACGGTCGGCCACGGCAGTCAGAAGGTCGCTCAGTGAATCGGGTAAGGTTAACGAATGAGACTTGATTTCTATCTCAAGGAGTGGAATCGTATGAGACTATATGATCTGGAATAGTTCTGCTGCCTGCAAGGCAGCAGCTGTTGCCTAGCAGGCAGGACCGTACTAACTGTTTGCTATAAGTGAGCGACTTGATCTTGACATGAAGCCTGACAATGTGACTCGAAGCGATCTTGATAGTTGCCCTTGGATTGGAGCTACGGAGACGTTGCACGGCAGTCCAAGTTGCCCACGCATAGCTTAAGCAACCGATTTGCCATTCAAGTATCCTGTCTACCTTATGGATCTATTGGAAAGGGAGGCCATTCAGGACCAGGAGGATGGTCAAGGTGTTCTAGTGCCGCCGATTTCCTTACCTGACTATTTTTGACTCGGAGCAACTTTATCCCGCGTATGATCATATATGGCCATACGCCTCAGACCGTATGGTATAGGTATATGGGCAATATATGAGTAATATATGGTTTAACTAAACCATACGCGTATGGTTAGAAAGCCTGGCGACTCGTCTGAGATTGGCTATGATTGAAAAGGCGAAAGAAATGTACTCCGGGGCTCTCCGATTGAAGGGCGAACCTCCAGACCCTAGCCCTGAGCTCAGGCGGGAGCTGCTTAAAACAAGTGAAGTTTTCGAGCATCTTGGTCCAACAGATGGTAGAGATCTTCACTTCCGAAAAGCCCACACAATTCCAACCAGGCCTTATAGTTGCATGCTGTTCTCCTACAACCAAAGATCGTGATGATACGAGTTTTGTTGATCCATGCTATGTCGCAGCAATATGACCATGGCTGAAATCTTGTGAAATTAATGTTGCTAGCGTTGTAAGCCGATGTCGTAAACGAAAGGGAAAAGACTCCTTGTGTGAGCGACCAGACATGAAGAGGACTGATTCTATCCAGCCTCCATCATGTAACCTCCTTTTCCTACTATGGTTAATATGGCCCTCAAGGCCTTAGTCATCTCTTCTCATGCTCTGTCAGCTGCCAACTCCAATGTTTCACGAAATGTGGAGACCCATTGAAGTAGCAAGGATGCTGTGAACGAGCAAGATGCGTGCCCAAGCCTATAGAGTACTAGAATGGTTCGTGGCAACTGATTGGGAATATAACAGGTAATTTTACCATAGGTTTCCATATGTTTGCTGTCATATTTCTGGAACCGGTGCTCCCTATAATAGGCTAGTTGCCTCATACTGGCAACCTGTTTTTATTCACTGTCTAGAGGCGAGACAACGTCATCAAACCAAGGCTACCATCGGCACGATCACCGCTATGTCTTCCTCATACATCATTCCGGGCACTGTTTTTCTAATTCTTGGTCATATTACAGTAATAGTGCTTTACAGGCTGTACTTCCACCCTCTAGCCAAGTATCCAGGTCCGTTCTGGGCACGGATCTCAGCATTCCCAGCATATTACTACACTCTCAGACAGGATCGGCACATATGGTTCTGGAAGCTGCAGGAGAGATATGGTAAGCAATATACACCCATCACAAAACAGGAGTACGTCAAAGGCTGACGTACGCTCTTACAGGCCCAACCTTTCGCATCACTCCTAATAGTGTCCTGATCAACACTCCTACCGGCCTAAAGACCATCTACAACAACAAGGCAAATGTCAAGAAGACGGAATACTACAGAGTATACCCTCGCAATATTCACGCTGTGACAACATGGAATAGTATCGATAAGACTACCCATGCTCGAAAGAGGCGAGTTATGAACCATGCCTTCTCTGATAAAGCACTGCGCTCCTGCGAACCTTTCATTCATTCCAATATCGATCGATGGATTGAGTTACTCGATCAAGAAATTAGAGAGAAGAAATGGTCTGGCTCATTGAATATGGCTCGATGGGCTGATCATCTTGTCTTTGATACCCTAGGCGAGTTATGTTTCGGTAAATCCTTTGGCATGAAGGAACATGATAGCGAGTTACGGCATATTCCAACGCTCATGACTGACTTTATGTCCACTATTCATCCGGTAAGATACAAGACACCATCGATAAAGCTGTTGCTAATGTTGGATGTTCAGATTGCCTACTCCCCGTTTGCTTATCTCTGGGCATGGCTCAAGCCCAGAGGCCTGGACTATCTTCTCGCAGCCATTGCGCCTCCAGCCTTGAGCAAGTGGCAAACGTTTGTCGAGAAATGCTTTACTGAGAGAGCTCGGCTCGAAAATGAGGCGCGAGGAGTATGTAAATTGGGTACAGAGAGTCGAAAGGATTTCTTCCACTATCTCTTCCACGCCATTGATCCTGATACTGGAAAGGGATACAGTAACGATGAACTGTTCGGTGAGAGTGAGTCTCTTATTATCGCTGGCTCCGATACGTCCGCCATAAGTCTCGCTGCTTCTTTCTTCTATCTTACAAGATACCCTCATGTACAAGACAAGCTTGCCAAGGAATTGAAATCTACATTTCCCAGCGTCGACGACATCAGGGGTGGCGCAGCTCTCTATTCCTGTCAATATCTTCGAGCGTTCATTGACGAGACAATGCGCATGAGCCCTCCTGTTCCGGCTGATCTTGCTCGAGAGGTCCAAGAAGGTGGCATTGTTGTCGATGGGCAGTATATCCCAAGGGTATGAAAGTCAGCACCGCATCCTACTGCATGCATCACAACCCTGATATATATCCTGAGCCATTCAAGTTTCGTCCCGAACGGTGGATTGTCGATGAGAATGATGAGTGTGGAGTTTCCTCTGCGAGTGTCTGTTTAGCTGAAAGTGCATTTATGCCTTTCTCTACAGGCCCTCGAGGATGTGTTGGGAAGAATCTGGCCTATCTGGAGATGAGCCTAGCTTTGGCAAAGGTTGTGTACCACTTTGAGATCCGTCGTGATAACAGCAGCAACCTGGGAGGCGGAAGCCCTGATGCTATCAAAGGACGTCGTACTGTTGACCAGTATCAGTTGGGGGATATATTCGTTGCGAACAGGGACGGGCCCTTGGTACAGCTTACCAAACGAACCTGAAAGGATTGATCGCTCAGTGTTCGGTTCCGGACCGCCCTTCGCCTCCTCAATTCCTTGCACATTGAGGCGATTGGGTAGCAAACTCTACACACGATAATATATATGCTACCTTTATGTTCTATTATATAAACAATTTGAAGAACTATGCCACTGTAGGGTCTTTCACGCAAGGTCGCGTTTCCAGATCGTCAAGTTCAACCCAGAAGGCATTAATATCTCTATCTGCTTGACAAAGTAATTGTGGAATACGATATTGAAATCTTCGCAAGCGAAGAATTGTATCATTCATCCGTCAGGCACGTGGAAGGACGTAGTTTTGAGAGAAATCTTCGGGAAGCATATCAGGCCCCATCCTGACGATACAGGTAGTCTAAAGTTTCGCCATTGTTAGAAAGGGAACTAAAAAATAAAAGCATCCAGCTTGAATTGATCATGGTAGCTCAATGTATTGTATAGTATTCCAGTAATAATGTCTAGCTGCACTGACCCTTAAGAGCATATTGTCGCTACTCCATTTTAATTCGCAGTCTTTTGCGAAAGCCAAGAGTAGCTTGGCAGCTTCCAAGTGCCCTGGAGCGACAGCAGCTTCAAAAGCAATAACTAGCAATTCGCACATTGGTTCTTTTTGGGGCGCTGACACCAGTGGGTGTTCAAGGTTATCGACTGACAACGCCCAGCTACTCAGCGTCCAATACCGTCCTAGGGTCACAGCATGTTGTCCAGACGAACGCACAATGACGAGTACATTTGTGAAGTGGCCATTTCATAAAGATGCGACCTTCAAAAGAGTTAAAGGCCCAGTGGCGAAGACGCAGGATTGTGTGAAATCCCCTCATCCCCTTGCATTCATCTTTCACGGAGAAGTGGGGGCGTTGCTATCGGCACGTAAGAAAAGTGAAACTTTTCGGCTTATTATGGTCAATTGAATAAACAGGCGGATGGCGTGACACAAGGAATGAGTCAGGATGGTGTACTCCCTCCCCGACAACAGCGGGCTATGTGCAGTGGTGTGAATAGAACCATTGAAGCGAGACCGGGGTCATTGCGGCATGAACGCTCGCCTAGGCCAGGTCAACATCTAACATCCAACCCAGCATCCCTTGATCGGTATTTCACACTAGTGACTCTCCACTTCACAGATTGATCCATAGCTAACAATCCTAGATTCCGGTTTCTCAATAGATGCAGTAACATCATATTCTGTGATCCACTCTCTCGTGGATATTGTAGATGAAAGAGATGTTTCATCTCGTTGAGACCAAGTACATGGGTAGAGATCTCTCGAGCTCTCTCAGCGTATCTCTGATCTGTGGGCCGGGTCTTGATACAGCAAGGCTCTCTGTTTCCTACAAAAATGGCGTCAAAATCGTAGCCTGCTGTATTGTACACCTGTCATCCTCTCTTAGCTTTGCCTTGGATATACCCTAGATTACGCCACTACGAACAGGTGCATTCTATCACGGACATGAGTGTCAATCTCACCTTTGGCGTGAGCTCCACGACATCAGATACCAGAGACCCGTCCTCTGGTAGCTCGTTGCTTCGACCACATCGATGCGACAACTGCATGGCTCCACCACTACCAGACCATCCTCCCTATTGTGGTTCGTCTTGCTTTGAGAATTATCTCATGAATTTGAGTTCAGTGTATGGGTCGCCCACAGGCCAGCAAAACTCTCATCTCCCTCAAGACTCTGTCAGATATGATACCACAGTGGCTGGGAGTGAGTTTGAGTGTAGCACATGTGCTAAGCATACAGAGGCACTTGGATTTGCTGCGTCACTTGGGACCTCTACCAATACGGCGAGCTTTGAGGGAACAAGTCAGCCTACATCAGTTCTGCAGCCCCTCACCTGCTCCTCTCCTAAATACAATCCTGCGAAATGGGCTGTGTGTCTGTACTCAAACGGTCCAGGCTCTCCTGCCGTTGACAACTTATTCGACGACGCAAGCCTCTTGCTTGAAGAACCTGAGATGAACGAACGAAAAGACCTTCATGAGTTCTCATATGGAGAAAGTACCGCTCTGCTCGAGTACGAAGATTTTACCCTTTATAAAGAGCCAGACTGGCTCGATGACTTCGAGCCACAGCTGTCCGAACGGGCGTGTGTACCGCCCCAACCTAGGGATGACAATGAAACAATGAGCGATGATGACGATATCTGTTATTGTGGGTATTGTTGGCCATTTTTGTGCAAGATGGTGCAGGACAGCTGGGAAATTTGTGTGATGGTGAAGTGGAAGGAAATGATGTCGCTAGTGCTGCGTGACATGGTCACTCCACGCGTAGATGTTCTACATGTACCATCCGTTTATTTTATCGCCAATCACTACGACTATACAATCGCTAGGCCTCTTGTGTAAACTTTATGATTGATCAAAGGTGGTGACTACTGTTTGAGGGCTGCATGGTGGTGGAATAAATTGACTGTAGGCCATTGGTTCGCGATCCTTAACACACTATCTCAGGCATGCTTATTCATGGCTATACCAACAATAGAAAAGACGAAGGAAGAAAGCTCACCGCATATGGTCCTGGTGAAACCTGTAAGTGTCTACGTAGACACTTGAAACGTAGTAAGCGATGCCTCATACGTCACAGATGGGCGTTAAGACTACAGCGGTTGCCGGATGCGCAAGCTCATTGACTACTACGTAAGTCCATCCGAAAGAGGGGTGGTATCAGGGTAGACAGAGGAAAGGTAAATCATCTCCTTCTTCAAGTTCTTATTAAATGGACATTTTACACTACAATATTCGCGAAATTAAGGCGTGAGTTCAATTTCGGTGACTTGAATTCGCAGCTTTGCTAAGAATGGATCAAGGCTATACAGGTATTGGACCTTTTCTGGCCACAAGGTAGACCTTAGAGGAAGCCTCACCAGTTTGTGCCTAAAGCTTAGACCGTCCAAAAACAATACACTGAGGCTGTACTCGAACCATGCCGTACTCTTTGACCTCTTCTAGTCGTCTAAGAACTTCATCCTCACTAGGGGAACCACCATTGATTCGCCGATACGCTGGAAGTAAGACTGCCTCGTCAATCTCTGTATATTTACCACGCTGTACATGGATGAGCTGCCCGTTCCTTGAGGTGTCAGCCATGAGATAAGCAGCGCAGCGAGCTACCACCGAGGCAGGTTGCACCTCTACGTGTATGTCCTCAAGTAAGCTCTTCAATGATGGGAGTACATTGCTATCAGTCCAGCTGGGTGCCAAGGTATTGACTCGGATTGGAAGCTGGGCTTCTTGAAGCCGTGGAACAAGAGCTCGGCCAAAGCCGAGGACCCCGTGCTTAGCCGTAGCTGGTCCAGATCATCAGTCAACAATAACCTAAAGATAGTTCCTCTTGCTTACCATAGTCAACAGATCGAAAGCGCTGCAAACCGGTCGCGGATCCAGTGATAACAATGCTGCCCCGTATTCCTGCTGGCGTAGGTGATGAATCGCGAGGGTAGACGTGTTGATGACACCCTTGAGACTTATGTCGAGAAGCTGGGTCGAGGGCTCAACTGCATCGCCGTTTTCGTCAAAGTCTGTACACAAGTACTCGGTCCGAGGGCCTACCCCTGCATTGGCAAAGACATGATCGATACGGCCGTATATCTTCTTCGTGTTGTTGAAAAGTGCAAGTAAGTCTCTCCAGATAGAGACGTCTGTCTTGATGAATGTGTATGTACCTCCCAAGTCCTTTTGAGGAGCTTGAACATCACCGCAAACTACCGACGCTCCAAGGGACAAAAGTAGTTCGACAGTGGCAAGACCTATACCAGATGAACCTCCTGTTGTGGAGATTTTAGCGGCGAGCTAGATGTGTGTTGTTGCTAAATGCCTCTAAAATATGAATTTTGGGAGAGTGTTGCTACATACCTGTGACAATGACTACTTTGCCCTCGAGGGACGTCAAGTCCTTGTCGTCAATAGTGAACTCCGCCATTTCTATTTTTCTTCTTCTCTCTCTCTCTTTTTCTTTTATCCAGTTTTACTGGAGAAGGGGAGAGAAAGCTGTTACGAGTATTGTCAGCACGTGGAATGGCAGCAAAATGGTATTTGAGTACAAGGATGATGTGAGACTTGCAGGTAATGAGGACGGTGTTATTGAAGGGACCAGAGAGTCCTTTGAGGCCAGGCTTCAGCGACCGCAATCCTTTGTCCTCGCGGTCGGAATTCACTGGCAAACCCCTGTTTTGAACAAGGTTTACATAACAGAGAAAAAGCAAGGGATGTGTATGATACAGTGGTTTTCACGCTCACCTTGCATCATATGAATGATTTTCTTTCGTTCTTGCTGGTTAAGCTATTGTGGGGCCAGAAGATTGCGAATGTAGGATTTTGGGGTTTTGACCGTGCTGTCAGTAATCCGGCAAACAACGGGATATCGAAGATAAGCTTCAGGAAATGTGGACACGCTTCAATTTCGTATTGAAATCGACCTTTAGCCTTCATCCCATCCCGTATCAGTCTAGTATTGGTGAACGACAAAGACCAAGGCCAAAGGGTCCCGGGGAATATCGGTGCGTTTTGTGGAATCCTCTGTGCGGGCCGTTTTCACAGGTGGATATTCATCTGAGAGAAACAGCATCTTTTAACATGTATACACACGGGATTACCGGCGCGGGTGGACGCTTGAGAGGCCCTCCGTCGCACTGCACACCATTAGCAAACTACTCCACTGTTTATCCCTTGAGTTATGCGGCGGAACTGGATATTGCTTGTACGCTAAATGATTCACACATGGACTTACATAAATTTCGTAAGAGTTTTCCCTGAGTTACCGCATATAGTCCGTAAACAAGTATCTGTCATGAACGTACGGGCCAGCCGCTGGACATTTGAACCAGCGATGGCATCTACCACCATCCTTGAAGGGCTGCTCTACGCTGCTGCACTCGTGAGTAAAACGATCTGTTTACTACCTAAGCCCTTCATTTGATGCTCATGGAAGTTATGACAGGGAATCATTTGGATCTCTGTATTGGTCATTTACCGATTATTCTTCCATCCCCTCTCCCATTATCCTGGACCAAAGCTCGCAGCATGTAGTCAGGTAGGTCATGTATAATCACAGTCTACTGAAGCTCCGTGGCTCTAATCACCCCATGAACTAGTTGTGGTTTATCCAAGCGTGGACCCGTGGACGCTACCCCTTTGTGATGAAGCAAGTCCACGACAAGTATGGCGATGTCGTAAGGATTGCTCCGAATGAACTTTCTTTCCAGTCCCCAGTGGCTTACAAAGATATTTACGCCCGTGCTTCTAAGGAGGCTCAGTATTTGAAAAGCGAAGTTCTCTATAGCACCCATCCATCCGCCGGGCGGCCCAACATCGTATTTTCCCGGGATCCACAGGATCATCGACGGCAACGGAATGAAATCTCTCATGCTTTTAGCGGCAAATCATTGAGTGAGGCTCAGGTTGTGATCGAAGACTACACAGAACTGTTTGTAACCCAACTCGTCGAGAAGGGGGGCCGAAAACCGAGGGTGTCGATGTCTCGGTTGTATACAACTGGCTTACTTTTGACATCATAGGTGAGATGGCACATCCAATACAATTTGATCAATGTCGGCCTAATACTTACGTGAAACAAGGTCATCTCACTTTTGGCGAATCTTTCGACTGTGTTAAGCAATGGAAAGGTAGCGAATGGGTTACGCTTATCTTGGATTTTGCCACACAGCTAAGTCTTGGTACCGTTCTCAACCGGCTTTCAGTCCCAAGTTTTGCCCTCTCAGTCTTTATGCCGACGAGCTTCAAGAACAGCTTGATATCTCACGATAGGATGACAGATAAGAAGATTGATCAACTGGTTCAAAACAGCAAGGCTCAGGATGACAAGGGCACACAATCTCTTCAGCAAAGTTACTTCTTCACCCGTACAATACGAGAGGGCGAATTCGACCCCGTTCATCTCCGAGAGCAGGCCAAAGTCATGATGCTAGCAGGATCAGAGACAACGGCGACGTTTCTCGCTGGCGTCACCTACCTTTTACTCCAGCACCCGAAAACATTGATGAAACTACAAAACGAGATCCGTTCTGCATTTTCATCGAAGAAGTACATCACGAAAGAGTCGACTTTGAAGCTTCAGTATCTATCCGGCGTTATTGAAGAGGGCCTTCGACTCTTCCCGCCTGCTCCCTTTGGCCTTCCTCGCGTCTGTCCTCCTGGAGCGGTGATTGATGGATGCGCTATCCCTGCGGGTACTATCGTCTCCGTTGATAACTTCGCCATGTCACATGACGCACGCAGTTTCAGCAACCCTGATGAGTTTCGACCTGAGCGCTGGATTGGCGGTGGCACAGGAGATAATCTCGCTGCAAGCCGTCCGTTCTCTATTGGACGTCGGGCTTGTCTGGGCTTTAACCTTGCATATATGGAGGCAAGAACAATTCTTGCCATGATGGTATACACGTATGATTGGGAGTTGGTCAATCCAGAACTTAATTGGTTTGACGAAGTGAGATTCCACATGACCTGGAAGAAGCCAGAGTTATTGGTTCGGTTTCATCCACGGAACAAAAAGCGCGACTAGGGCTTGGGGCTAGAACGCCTTCAGCCACTTCCATGGAAACGAAAGAGGTGTATGTTTTTCTGGAAATCAAAAGAGATATGTAGGGAGTTGGACTTGTGTTCTCGCATGTACAGCTACCTGCGAAAGTCTGGGTATAGGAGATACATCATGCATGTTGTATTTGATGGTAATACACTCCACGAGCATACTAACTTCACTTTCTTTGAGAATATTTCTCTATTTTCCGCAACACACACAACATACGGGGTGGCTTGCATGTTCAGTTTGAGCGGTCTATCGTATGAATATGCTTAACTGTTTTATCCATGACAACACTCATAACCACGATCTACCCATAAAACGAGCATTCCCTACGTGCCCAGCTGTAGCCAGAGATTTTCCAGTTGATATGAATCCGAAGCGGGCAGACGTATCCAGTTGCATTGGTTGACATAGTAGGAGGCGTCTGAATAACAAAGCTCCCCTCCACTGGAGACACGACCCATGGAGTAAGGCAGTCAGGGTTCTTATATGTAAACCAATTCTCCAACGTTCCTCCGATGTTCGTGTTACGAGATGGGTAGGGGGATGAGACAATATATAAGAAATTTTCTGAGGACCGTACATTAAGTTTCGGTGGTGGTCGAAGCGGGGTCCTCACTAGGTAACCTTACATAGCCCTGCGATGCCGAGTTTGGGATTATTTTGGCAATCGCATCTCTGAGGGCCTGGATCACCTGAGCCACGCTACGCATTGTGATAGAGATGGCCATAAGATAAGATATCTGGACCTGTAATATATCGTTACACCCCCCGCTGAATCTGATGTAAGGGATATTCAAATCCCTCACTCCCTCCTTTAGGATCACTCCGCTCTTATTCATATTACCCAAATAACTTTTGCATACAAAAATATGATCTGCGATGCTAGCCAATGGCTTTATCACATCCTGCAGAAAACGTAACACATCTAAGATAACACATGCGCAGCGATATTTCAACATTCGGAAATATGGCTGTTTACCCGTGATCTCTGAGGCTTTTTTTATCTTACTTGACAGATCTCCTAGCACCACATGAAGAGACCGACACAGATAAAAGAGGAAAACGGTAATCATGTATTTCTATAGCAAGCTAGTATTTGACCTAACCTACGGCTATAGAATTCATGTGGCGGGAGTTTAATTAAAAATATCAGGTTGAACTATAGATACTGCTACTCATAGTAAAACAGTCAAAATACATGGGCAGAGACACTGATTAGTTAGGTAGCAAAAATATCAAAGTCTATTACTATTTATAGGCCAAATCGACTGCTGTTGGCTTCCCATCTGAAGTTTATATAAACCCAGTCTGCCTGTCGTAACAGTAAGCCTTTCATATAACAAGCTCGCTGAGAGGAACAAACCATGGCTTTTACAAAGAATCAAAAGGCTCGTCAGATCTTGGGTCTTGTCACACCCTTCAACTGTATCTGCGCTGGTCTAGGTGCTGCGAGTATCATGCTTGTGATTCTCGGTGGCGAAAGGGCAGATGGAGACGACAAGGTCTCATTTGTCGCAGGAGTGACCTTTCTTGCAGGCACAATCGTACTGTCAGCGGTTTTGCCTGTACTCTTTACACTATTGAATTTTACATATCGACGCGAAATGTATGAAGTCGACGAGAATGGCATCGTGGTGCACAAAAGGTTTCCGATTCTCCTCTGGACACTACCGGTTATGATAACCCTGTATGTCCTACAATTCCTCGCCGGTGTAATTCTTTGGTTCAAATCAAAATATCAGGACTGGTCTATTATCGTTATTATTGCAGAGGTGTTTGCCATGTCAGGGCTTATATTGGCGATCGCAGTTAAGGCATGGAGGAGCACCATGTAGCCCTATGTTTGGGACTTAGAGTCACAGTGATTAGGATAGATGGCTTCAACTGAGAAGCACAGCTGTAAGGTTACCATCACGGCATCTAGATAGTGCTAGGGACAGTGCTAGGGATAACATGGGTTGTAGTTTCTGCGATTCCATTGATTGATAGAATAACGAGTGCAAATATGTGCACGAGAATTAGATAGATAATTGAACTGATTTCTGGTCTCTGAATACACAAAAGGCCACTGTAACGCTTCGACTCTGGTTTGTCTATGTCACGGATCATAGTTCCTTCGCTTTGCAACAAAACCATAGGGCTATGTATATACTTGGCGTCAAAAGCTGAGAAACGAAAGCCAGTTCACGTCTGAACAAGTTCTGGAAAAAGGCGGTTTCGCAGCCATGTGGTCTTCCACGTGGCGTGCGTTCACGGCCTTAGTATTCATTGGTATGGTGGTTACATATCGTCCAAAGTCCGTCAGTGAAAGGTCCTTTGCCTCCATACAATCTCAAGGCCCCCGTAGCTTGTAGGTAACACAATAGCCTTTGCCTTGTACCTTGTACGTAGCAAGCCACAAGTTGGATTAACAAGATACGTGCGCCGCTGCGAACATTGCAGAGGCTCTATGAGTGCTGACCAGCCCGCTAAAGTGATATTAATGGCTCGAGCTTCTTACTGTGCCATCATCAGGTCAAAGCTTCAGATATTAATGAATCATATAGCTCTCCAAACTTAGCAATATGCTAAACATGGCGCTGTGCAAGCGGCGCCATACAACGAGCACCTGTCCCAGTTGAAGTTAGAATCCTGGTATCTTTTTCATAATTCCCAGTCTACCTATCCAACGATCTCATCCTCGGGAGGAAACATTACGGTCACTTTCCTTCCGGCCTTGGCTAATTATAGGAGACACCGCGCTTCGAGAACACATACGCGAATTTAGTCATGCCTATTTTTGTAGCTAGTGATGACTGATCTATATCGGATAATAGGAAACACATATAACTCCTTCCCTTCCGCCTTGTCCTACCGACAGGCGATTTAGTAACCCAGAACAATGAGACTTCTGATCCCACTCTACCATACGTTCGTGCTCGCCCAGTTTGTACTGGCCCAAGACTCGGATTCTGAATGTGCCGCCGGTCCGGTACTTTCCGCCGGGGGTTGGCGGGACTTTCTAGCACCTAACAAAGACCTCAAGTGCCAAGGCGCAAGTATCTATTTTTTTGAAAAAGATGAGCGTCATTATATACCAATTCAATACGGCGACGTTCTCTGCCATAGCTTACCTTCTGCAAACGTCTCGCTACCAATCGATGCGCCTTCGGGGCTTGCCAGAATCACTTGGCTATGTGATAGCGAAGAGCAAGACTATTGCCAGATAGCTTCTGTTATGGCTGCAACATCTACTCCCTCTGTAACTAACACGGCAACGTACGCCATGGTCCAGAACTGCCCGACCAGTGCGGTTTATACGACAGAGAAATACACTGATGGGTCCAATGAGCAATCTGCGACTTTCACTACTCCCCCCTGGAGAACCCCGAATGCCAAGGGCACTGTCACTACCTCCGCAGCATTCTTGGGGACTGCACCGACTCGACCAGCAGCTGACTCGGCAACGGCCCATGGCAGCAGCTTCACCTCATCGAGACCAACCGCCCAGCCACCAGCAACCAAGGTACCATCAAGTGAACTAGAAGTTCCTACTCCTACGGGCAGCGAAGGAAGTGTATTTAATGGAAGTGATATTTTCTCCACAACTGCTAATGGCTATACGGAAAGTCCGACAATTGCGACACCGGCAGAATCTCACACAGCTGACTCAAGAGCTGCACAAACGACACAGCCATCTGAGAATACAGATACCGCAATTTCGGCGCCTTCGGAACTTACGCAAACTCCTGGAGGGCCATCGCCTTCCAATGGAGAACAAGCAGCATTGCCTTCCGACGAAGCGCAGCCATCTGGGAATAATCGTCCCTGTACTTGCGGTCAGTAACTTGATCGGTTAAAAGATGTAGCGTAGTCAAGACACAGTTTCTGGTGTTTTTTTATCCCCTTCCAGGTTTTCTATGTCATGCGGTTTGATGCGTGTTCGACCTCGGTGTGTTGATTGCAGGCTAGATTTAGTTCCTAGAAAGACTTGTGGTTCTATACATGGGCACCCTTTTAATAGAATAAACATCGAAGTTTGCCTGGGTCTTATGTTAAGACCATCATCGTTCACTTTCATGACTAATAATTAAGATTGAACTTTGACCCTCGTCTTTACAAATTGGAACGGTACCTATTTGATGCCGCTATAATCAAGCGCATACAAGTAACTTGAACGTGCCAGCTTATTGATTGTTACAGTAAAGAAGCTTCTGGGGCCGAGTTCCACCCTACGGTCTTACGCTTATACGTAGCCTTGCCACTTCACATAGTAACTCACACAGATCTTGATTTATAAGCTTCGGCCTGTCTTATGGTGTGAAAAGAATAAAACTTCTCCATACTAGAACGTTTTGGCATGCGTTTGTCCCTTTGTTCGCCTATTTTTCTAGTCGGCTTATCTTGCACTTACGATATCTTCAAAATATAAACTGAGCGCACATCTCTCGGAAAGTTTGTGAATGGGTTTACTGATCATACTGGCTTACGCTATCGAAGAGATCAGTAGAAGACAAAGAGCTGATTAATTCACTATTTAAGGCAGTTCATTACTGTGGCTTCTGTATAACAAATTATTCACAGTTCAAGCTAACTCGACGAAATGTGCAGGGCAGCCAGTCCTCCTGGTGGGCATGGGGCCCCCGGTAGATGCATGAGATATCCGTTAGGATGCATTTTCTTAAATAAAATGGCAACCCTGATTGGCTAGCGCTTGGACTAGAAAGCGGGGCGTGGTATTGTACCTAGTTACTTCAATGTGAAAAGACTAACTTAGTCAATTTTAGCCCTCTTTTTATTTGAATGCCTGCTCAAGTTTCTTGCAAAGACCAGTGCTTGCTCAGGCTGGACAGAAATGGTTCTTGACGGCGTACCCCTCACTGCTCAATCTAGTGAAGCTCATTTAGCCCCTCGATGGATATAGAGAAACACCAGGTACCGTAGATTTATCGTAATACGAAGAAATATTTGACAACCCGAGACCATCAACTACAGAGTGAACTCGCACCTGAGAAAATATGCTTGGCGGCAATATGCAATGATGAGTCTTTTTGCTATGTTTCTCACAAGCTACGGGCCTAAGTTTTGGTGTCTTTTTATTTTTATTTAGTGTGTGTTTGTTCATTGCCATACGACTGCCCTGCAGAGTTTGAAACGTGAAAAATGACTGCAATTCATCTCAAGGCCGTAGCTATTGGGCACGATGTACCGCATAATGTACAGACGGGTTAACACTCCATCACGATATGCCTTTTACATTTTTAGGAAGTTGACATGTTTGAAGCCCCAACCTAGTAATATTTTCCACAGGCAAAAGAAATATCACGGAACCTAGCAGAGTGAGATGACTGAGGCCTCAGGTTTGCTTCAAAGCCCGTCATCGCGGACGCTTCTGACGCCGCCTTTTTAACGCACTTCCTTTCTAATAATATGTAAGAAAAAGAAAGGAATAACAATGAACATACCTGTGAGGATTAGAACGCGCCGACTATGAGTGTAAATGGAACCATAAGGCGTTGGCTTCTCTACCGTTCTAGTCTAATTTTCTTTTTTTCAAAATAAAGGACATGAGAATTATAAACTGCAATTACTTAGCAAAGAGCTGAGTTCAGACATACCTCCAAACTAGCTGAGCGGGTATTTGCAGTCAGCCAAGTCCGCTTCCTCTGTCAATGAGCTACTCAGTCAAACCGTGCGACGTTGACCTGGAGCTTTAAGTGGATGAGATATCGCAAGGGTCTGGTCCAAACTTGGATGCGTAAATAAAGAGGCACACGGTATATCTTGATTCGCCTTCATTTCAATTATAAGCACGTAAGGTTTGCGGAGGCCGATGCCATGTTTGATTCCGCTACTATATTTGGAAATGTCCTCGACGCTCTGTGGGCTGACCTAACGTGTCCCCTTCAATATATAGTTCATAGTCAGGAGTGATCTGCAGTACTTGTACCTTGATCTTCATAAAACATGAATCTATTCATCTGGCTCTGGCTATATTCTCTGGTCAGCGCGGCTTGCGATATCAGCCATGCGCTCTGGTCTCCAGACTACGGCGACACCGTCATCGAAGACCTTAGTCAAGCTCTTCCTGGTGTCGGAGTAAAGCAATTCAAGACCCTAAATCCAGGTGTTAACCCCAATAGAATAATGTCTGGTGAGACTTACACTGTGCCATCTGGCCCAGAAATAACGATCATCACACCAGCTACCTGGTCCGGAAATTGTCCTAAACCCTGCTACTGCATGGAGAGGAGAAAGCTCAAGACGCCTCAACACCATCCAAACCACTGACACCGCCTTCCACAGCTGAAAGTGACCTTTATACATCTCAGCCCACTTCTGGGACGACGTATGATGAAACAATAACCAGAATATCAACCTCAACTGGCACAGGCACAGGCCTCATAACCACTACAAGTTCAACCAGTACATCGGTTGAGAAAGGTTCTACTACCACGAAATCGTATGAAGCCACTTTTTTCACTGATAGCGAGCCAACCAACCAGCCTAGTGATGCAACTAGTAAGAGTGTTGACCCAACGACCACGTCAACTTCGGTATCTCAAAATACTGTGAATTCAACCCCGACATCAGTTCCAAGGGCGTTCCTGCTACAAAATCGCACAAGTCTACTGATTCAACTGACAGTAACCCAGCCGGCCAGACTACTGGTATCACCAGTCATAATGTGAACACCGTAGCCAAGCCGACCAAGGTGTCAAAGGAGGCTGAAAGTCTAACAGCATCAGCAGAGGCAAACTCTCCAACTACAGGGTCACATAAGACCGCCGATGCAAGTGATAGTAAGCCAGCTCGCTCGGCTACCGATGTAACCACTCAGAATGTTAATCCAGCAACCACGGAATCCGCAAAACCACACTCTCCGACTACAGGGTCACATAAACCGCCGATACAACTAATAGTAAGCCAGCAGCCCAGGCTACCACGGGTGTACTACTGGAACTTCTAAGCCAGCAACCACAAAATCAGGGGAGATAGAGGCGCCTACCACGGATCGTGTCCTTGTTGGACAGATTGTAAACTCCAAAAGGAGGATTCTACCTACTCCAAAAAGATAGGGTTGGCGGTGGCAGAGTTATTTTGTAATCAGTTTAACGAAGCTCCACTTGCAGCCAAGAATCCGAGTAAAATCTCAGAACATAGTAGGTTTGTTGTAGGTGCACACATATCTCCCGGCTGTACTAAGTCTGAACTCGACGAGGCAAAATGCCTAGAATACCTTGAGGAAATTGAAAACAATGTCCTAGGACTGGAGGCTTCTTTGAGCGCGGCTGTTTTTATGTCTGGATTATGAAGCGTGAGACGACCTGACACACAGCTGCATTGCGAGTTACCATGAAGTATAAGGATCGTATCGGTTGTAAAGATGAGGCTAGCTAGACTCTTCTTTCACAAGGCACTATTGAAATCTGGCTACCGTCAGCCGACTGGTTTACTTAGAGTTAGTTTTTCTTAGGTTAGGTTCATCGCATTGACGTAACACAAGTCTTCCTCTTTAACGGTATGTATAGTCAGCTCTACATGAACTTTGTTTTGAGACTTTATCTCACATGGTAAAATAGGTCGGTCTATAGCCCATAGATACTATGACCAGGACAATTTCTGGCTGACTATTCTACTTAAGGAAGTGAGCTTATATGTTTTTACTAACTAATTGCGGAATTCTCTTTGCAATGATTGCCAATGAAGTGACAGGAATGATCACTGTCGTAGCACCCGGCATGATAATCCCATCAATGCACTTATCAAGAAATGCCAGAATGATAAAAGATTAATTAATTCTCCTAGGCCTTCCAACTGTGTCTGCGGGTTGTTCACAATTATGTGAAATACAAGCGGGGCTAGAGGGTATTGAAAATTCACCGGGTCATCTGAGCCATTTCAACTTTCTTAGTACAGTACGCGCCGTACAGTGAGACAAGAATGTTTGAGCTACCTCCTCGAGCGGCGTCATGCCCCCATATACACTAATCCGTGCAAAACCATGAATCGGACTCAAGAGTCAGGTCATACTTCCATTAACAAACATATCCTAAAAGGAATCTGAGTTTGACTCGATCTATCGAAATTGCATGTATTCGGCCTATTGACCAGATTCAGTCTCGTAGAATACGTAAGCCAGAATGCTATTTTTGACACCTAGCAGGAAAGGGGCTTGACGGTAACCTCTGCGCAATTCTGGAAACCAGGGTTGAGCACAATGGATGTACGAAGAGAAACTCTTGTCATCTGTGGTCGGGTCATTTCATAATCCACCAAGTTGCCATCCTCAGAAATCTGCCAATATGATGAACGACCAGACATACAAATATGGCTACACTAATCTCTTGGGGTCTGTTGTCCTTCACGTCCGATTGGCTTCTTCTTCTTCTTCTTCTTATTTATATCCATCTCTGGCCGTTACAGACTCTGATCTTATTCATCTTCCCGTGATTTCCATCGTCCGATGACTTGAGTGCGCTGGTACCTAGATCAAATGTCGGCAACATGGAAAGCAAAACTCGGATAACCATGTCTCCATCTCAGAGGCCCGTTGGCAATGGATCTGCCACAAATGCAATACCGCCTACAGGTTTGGCGTGACCAACCGCTGCTTGAGCGATGGACATCGATTCTGTCTTAACAATAAAGTATCGGGCTCCGCATGCCAAGATCTGATTGACATTCGATACCTTCAATAGGCCCGCCGTTACAGCCGACACATTGTTGGAACGAATGTCGGTATCCTTTGCATTGTAAAGAGCAAAGAAAGGGCAAGAAGTTGTGGGTCCCTTTTGGTGAAAACAGGCAAACAATTCATGGAACTATGTCTTCTTACACTTAGAAGGGCCAGGACAGCAATTTGCAGTACAAGAGCGCTCGATGCAAGCACGTATGACTTGGATCAATATTGCTCCTCTCGGTTTGTGCTTTTAGACGTCTGATATTAATGCTGTCTGGTTATTTTCGCAAATCCATGTGTAGACGTAGCACTGGGTAGCACTTAATACAGTTATAACAATCCACTTGTTTAAGTTGTCTGAGATTTTCTCTTCAAATAACCGGCTACAAGTCGATTCGATTCAATAACTCAGGCCTTCGCAGGGCTGGGCACTGGGAGACTATTTGAGGGTGCTAAAAATAGCTCACTACTTACTGAACCTTCTTCTTAAATATTTAAAGTTCCTGTCTGCACTTGAGTGCTGCACTTTGAGTAACGCACAGAAAACCGGAGACCATGTCGGCTGTCTTGATCGCTTGGCTCGTCTTCTCACTACTTACAGGTATCCATTCAAGATCTTTCACAGTTCATGGGGATAGTTTGCTAGATACTCGTGATACGAAAGTCAGCGAATACGTTAATACTGTCTACTTCACGAATTGGTGAGTTTTGGAAAAGACTCCTATTCCAACTCTGCCTGGCAGAGGGTTACCCATATGAGAGACTAAGTGATAAAGGGGTATATATGAGAGGGGTTACCAACCTAAAGATCTTCCAGCTTCGCAAATTACTCACCTTCTGTATGCTTTTATGGGTGTTCGCGCCGATGGAACTGTGTATGAGCCCTCTTCTTGGCATACGTGCTGTAGTCTAACCACCCATAAAAGTTACTCAACAGACAGCTACGCAGATCTACAAAAGCACTTTGACGATGATAGTAGGTCCTCCAATGACTTGAAATGTCGAAGCACTGATACCTGACGCTGGTGCCATAGCTCGGGTAGGGTCTGGAAGCAACGCATATGGCTGTGTGGAACAGATATATGGCCTTAAAAAGAAATATCGACATATGAAGGTGTTACTTTCTATTGGGGGTTGGACCTTATCTACAAATTTCCCTGCTGCTGCTAGCACGGCGGCGACACGGAAGAGATTTGCCAGTTCAGCAGTCGATATCATGAAAGACTGGGGATTTGACGGCATTGATGTAGATTGGGAATACCCTACTGGGGATGTTCAGGCAAGCGACATGTTATTGCTCCTCAAAGCGGTACGGGAAGAATTAGACGCATATGCTGACAAGTCCGCATCGGGTCATCATTTTGAGCTGTCCATTGCCGCTCCAGCCGGCCCGGAGCACTATAGTGTTTTGCGACTTGCCGATATCGGTAACGTAGTTGACCATATAAACCTTATGGGTTATGACTACGCTGGAGGTTTCAGTAATGCTGCTGGGCATGCCGCTAATCTGTATGTCAACGACGGGATTCCGGGTCAACACCGTTCAGCACCGACGCCGCTATCCGGCATACTTAGCGGCGGGAGTCCCGGCTAATAAAATCGTACTTGGTATGCCATTATACGGTAGATCTTTCCAAAATACGGTCGGCCTAGGTGGAACTTTTAATGGCGTCGGTCAGGGTAGGTGGGTGAGGGGGTCTGGGACTACAAAGATCTGCCAAGGAGCGCCAGTGCCAAGATGTACTGCGATAACAAAGCTCAAGGGTGCTATAGCTATGATTCCAGCACAAGAGAGCTCATATCTTTCGACACTCCAGAGGTAGTCAAGCAGAAGGTAGCATATTCAAAAAGTCTGGGCTTGGAGGCAGTATGTTCTGGGAAGCCTCGGGTGATCGATCGGAGCGTGCTCCCTCATCGGCACCAGTAACGACGCGCTCCAGTCCCTCAATAAGTCTGAGAATTGGCTGGACTATCCAGCCTCCAGATATCACAACATTGCGTCTGGACTGAGGGATAATTCTCACTTGAGCAATATATGACAGGCTCTTTGAAACTCTAAAATTTATAGCATATAACCTGTAACTTGTGTTGCCGCCTTGGGGAAATTTTTACTTCAATATTTTCCTCTAAGCGTGATTGACTACTCACATGCTTCATGCTGCCTGTTTTCTTCTCGCCGACGGCTAACATGCTGGCCCCGGGATTGGGAAAGATGCTCACAAGAGTCACATTGGCAGGCCTACAGCCCTCCTTCTCGGGCCCGTGTACACCATGCACTAATGCTCCAACCCCAGTATCGAATAAGATTTCTAGTCGAGATATCTGCGAAAGTGAGGGGAGTACCTTGCAAAGCTTCTAAGTCTTGGCCCTAACACAGTGCTACGGGTGGTCACCTTCTATTTACTCCGTCTAATTTGGGTGATTAAATTTATAAGCAGTACATATAATGATCAATCGACGTTAAGGATCACATTTCGTGACAAGGGAGAGAGGGAGGGAGAGAGGGAGGGAGTGGGGGAAGGGAGATCTGTCTTCCAGCTTAGTGGGGCTTACCCTGGCGTAGTGTGTAATACTCTTGTAGGGCTTGGATAGAAATTACCCTGTTGTGCGTTCTACCGTAACCGGACGGACTTAGCTGCTCAGATGCCCGATCCTCCGGTGCTAGCGCTTTTAACGACGCCGAGAAAGCAATCCTTGGTTTTTCACATAACTCCGCATGAATACACCAATCGGCATCAATGATGGAACAGATGGAATATCGACATCAAGCAGTGGTTCTGAGTCTTACTACGAAAATTCTTACCACGCTTATTCTCCTTTTGCCTTCCACCCTACATAGATTCAAGTTACGATATAATACGCTCTTTTAAATTCATGCTCAATAACAAGTTAGACATATCTGCAAGCCGATCAACCATTTACAGGCTGCTGTGACTCAGTTCACCGTCAGGGCCTAAAAGCAGCTGTTCCTAGCACTATAGTGGCTACAGCGGTAATGTTAAATCAAACTCTAGTCCTGTGCGGTAGTGGTAAGGTGCAACCCTTACATAGATAGGACTTAAACATGGATACTGACCGTTACTTAATCAGGTATAGCTATCTTGGTATTTTCCCTGAACAGGCTGATCTTTTCAACGAATGACCTAACAAATACCAATGTCGGATTTGCGAGTCCTGCACTATATCATCTTATCTCTTCCCGAGATTTTATTCCCCTATCAAGCTTTCTAGGAAGTAGCCATAATTGTACCGCAACGACTCTATAAACTATTGGCCCAGCAGACATGCCGCCGCCGCTTCCTGGCCATACCCATTTCAGCTGGAGATGTGTAGACGGAAATGGGTCACGTTCTCGAGACACCACTGGCCAGGCACTCTTGAAGTATCCTCGGAACAACATCGATTACGCTAATATGCTTATCTCATCCTCTGTGAGTCAGAGACACATCATACCAAAGACGCGGAGTAGAAGAGCTCATTGACAATTGACCAGACTACTGGCAACTCAGCCAGTTCTTTTTGGCAAACCATAGCTCGATGCCAAGGCCTTGGACCTTGGAAGACGGCCAGGATGCCCTCAGACACGTCCATCCATTGAAAACCAAAACGCCTCTTATCGTTCAAAACGACAGGACAGCAGCACAAAGAGAACGAATCCACGTGGCTCGATCAAGAAAGAATCAATCATGGACGTAAAGAGTATCTTAAATTGAGTTGTGGTATAGATTCGGCTTTCTTCAAGTGCTCGGATCAGTGGGCGGGATATAGTTGCACATTCATTCTTTATTCTTATCGTTGTATATACCGTTGGCTCACAGGCAAGGCTGACTAGCTACGGTGCGACACGGAGGGGCCTTGTGGCTGATTGGAGATATTAGTCGATTAACCATTGAGCAGAGAATTATTAAACGCAACTATTGCCATGGCTGTGAGACCAGGCGGGTTCCCCAACTTCTAGATACCTAGATTAACCACCATATCTAACCTGTCGATAAGTTGCGCTGACCTTGTAGAACCCCTTCGGAGGCCAACGGGGGCCACTCTTTTACTCCAAATGCGCACTTAGAGAATTACTAGTCACCTCGAAGTAATATAACAATGAGTGATCCCTCACCGTCCTCAGAGGCATATCAATCATACTAGGTACTAAGTAAGTTTAGCTTGAACTAAGTTCTTACAGCTACTTCAGATATTCATCATGCTCTGAAACGTATAGAAGAGGTACTTTTCTCTCTATTAATTGGGATTACGCGTGTGTGCAAGAATAGCTATTAAAGAAACGACGAGCTTTCTAATATTCTGCTGCGTACCAAATCTCGTTCCCATCATAGCATCACTTTGCTCCGTGCTAGTGAATCGACGTTACCCTAGACAGATTAATCCGAGACCATAAGACGACTGATGCTGGCACGGAACGTAAAGTGGAGCCGACACAAGCTGATAACGACGATAAAGAGATTCTGACCAACCACAGACCAGGATGGATTGCTAACACAGCCACACTATTCTAAATCGGGGCTGTGCCTGAATGTTGATGAGCGCCATGGTTCTCCATTCTGCGAGATAGTAGTGGTAGTAGCCCTCAATGGGGTTCCGATGGAGGAATCACAGTCGATCAACCCTTTCAAAATAGTGCCGTGATCAGAACGAGTGCAGATTGTAGTGGTGAATGGGGTTAATTTGGAGACGACATGATCAGATCTTGATTGGACCGTACACGCCGCAGTTAGTACTTCAACACGGAACGGGATGGTCGGAGTCGACAGGGGTAATCGAGGTTTATACGCTGGTACGAGCAGAGCCGAGATCCGAGCACCTTCCCGTCACTCTCAGCACGAGAACAGAGCATAATCCGTTCTCAGGGGACTGGCAGCGATGGTGTACGGAAGGACGGCACTATTGGCGAGTAATAAAGCCGTCTTGCTCACGGTCCGCAGCCCTCGCCAGCAGTCCGGTAAAGAGCATTTGGGTGTAAATATGATTCCATCGATACATACACATAGAATTCAAGCCGCTGTAAACCCTTACGCTTACGTAGGATGCCTTTTTTCTTTTTCTTTTTCTTTTTTTTTTTTTTTTTTTTTTTTTTTTTTTTTTTTTTTTTTTTTTTTTTTTTTTTTTTTTTTTCTTTTTCTTTTTCTTTTTTCAATTTCTAATTTTTAATTTTAGTAAGTTCATTTAAAGACTCCTAGTTCATCAAGATATAGATATATAATTCCACACTGCACTAGACTATGATTTTATGTGGCTGGACATTGCTACTTCATGGCCTAATGTGATGTTTTTAAGGGAATCAGAACGCCGGAAAAAAAGAAGCGCCGACTCAATAAGATTAGGATGGACTTAGTCTGCGTCTTACCAAAAATCTGGATTCTGTTGAACAGCTGGGGTCTCACGTGCAAGCAGGGATATTTTAAGATTACAACCGAAATGGTAAAACCTCTTAGGGGCAGAATTCAACAGAACACAACATGAAGACACAATTCACATCAATGAACCGAATACGCGTAATGTCTAACAGATTCTAACCTGTCTGACATGGGTAAACGTTAAATTCTAAATTGCTACTGTAACAATTCCAGACCCACTCTTCAACATTCATGCTCTAGCCTGCAAAGGACACTCATCTGCAGTTGGACCAGGGCTTGTCTTTGGCAGGGATAAAAACCGTTCTGCTAACCTATCCAGGTAATATTATGGAGCCTTCTGTGAGCTCACCTGTGAACTCACTGTGAACTCACCTTTAGTGCCAAATGGAGCAGACGCCTTACCAAAAAGCACTCATGGCACATCCTCTGTAGGATCAATCACCGAGGTTATTCATGTGAGTTGTTGATGGACCGCATGTACGCAAATTATATGAATCTATAACAACGGCTAACTTGAGAATTGCAGCGAATTACAAATCTTCCAAGTATGTCACCAGCCTTGACTGGATTTCACTTTTCTCCATTATGCGCTCACCCCATTCACTGATTCAAACTTATGTACCTGTCACAGATAACGCCAGGTTTAACGAGATTGATGAACACTATAAACGGAACGGACGTCAGTGTGGCATTTGTGGCGAGTGGAAAATAAACTTGAGTGCTCACATCTCCACCCAGCATACTGGATCCACGTACGCCCTGGTATGGATGGCTTTACTCACCTACATATAAACTATTTGCTACTAACAAATAAGAAAGATTTCGAATGGTGAAGCTACGCGAGATAAACGCAGAAGCCTGGCGCAACGTCGGAAAAATCAGAGGCTGAAGACGATTTTCCACCAGAGGTATTGGCTCTCATCCGTGACATGAATGACTCGCTACCTCCAAGGTTCGGCATTCTGGCGGCCAATTTCTAAAGGGGCCATTACAAGGCCAAGAAGTTCCAGGTCTGCCGCAGTTTTTTGAAAAGTCCTCTGGCAGGCTGAAGTACTGCTACATGGATCTCGTGAAGAAGCCAGAAATGAGTCCTAAACCCCGCGCGGTGTTCAGGAGAACCTGCAACATGTCACCTGCGGAGCCATTCCCCAATAAATCATGGTTTAGAGGCTCGGGCCTTAGTGTCGTCACCACAATAACGACTAATGTTTGGACACCGGACAAATATCCAGACTGGACTGGGCCGCCTGGATTCCTCGCCGGTAAAGATCCGACCTGGATTCCCAAGGGCCTACGCCAGTGTGCTTTTTGCAATCAATCAGTATGTGATTGCATACGTAAGAAAGTCCGTCATGATGAGCCATGCATCAGGAAAACACCAAACATGGGCGAAGGAGCTTTGGCAAGAACTGATTACGAGAAAGATGAGTTCTTGGGTGAGCTAGTAGGTGAATTAGCCCCCATTGCCCACTATACCGATGGATGGGCAGCAGACTCTTCCGGGACGACCTTTCTCCAGACAGGAAGGAGGTCGCATGGTGTCAAGTCTATCCCCGCTATATGGGAAACTGGGTGCGCAAAGTTAATCACTCTTGCGAATCCAACTGCGTATTTGAATCGTGGAATATCTCAGGAAGATGGCGTGTGATGCTGCGAGCAACTTGTCAAATCAAGCGTGGCAGCTGGATTCTTGTCAACTATGGAGAGGAGTATTGGCAGGAAAATCATCGATGTCTTTGTGGCAGCAATTACTGTGTTAGTGATCGGGATTCTAGGACAAGGAGAGCACAGGAACTCAAGAAGAAAAGCTTGCACCAGGTAGCAGGGTGTCGCCTTGTTAGCAAATCGCTTTGTAATGATGCTTCCCTTGGCCCCCCTGTGAAACGTGAACCTGTTTGGCGTAGCATAATGCTATGCGTCAAATGTGGGGCGAAATATGTTAAGTCAGGTTGCGCGCAGAAACAGCAGGAATTCCATCGGGATACCGGCAAGGGTTGCTGTTCTGCAAGGCGGTACGGAGTACATACGAATGCACGGAATTAGGCCGTTGACCATCATAGAATGGCGGTTCTTGATCACATGTCCAATGCTTGTAGCAGTGATCACCAATATCCATAACCCGCACGGATCGGATTCCATCCTCTACAATCTTCCTTGACTGAAATGGCATTTCACAAGTTCTACCCGACTAACTTAAAAAAAAAAAAAAAAAAAAAAAGAAAAAGGAAACAAAAGGAGATGACCACTAACAATGAAAGTAATTGAAACAAACTTACTTACACGACCGAACCCTTATTGAAATGCCACCTGCTGTCAGCTGGACATGTATCATGCCGTTGGCTCACTGCATGATAATCAGATAAGCAGGCTGGCATTCGCCTTTTCAGTAGTCAGGGCCTGTCACCTTGAAAGAGAGATAATGAGGCTCCCAAGAAACTTCACTCCAATTTTACTACTTTATACTCTCCATTCGTAGCTTCATCTTGTGGGCGTGCTTTTGCATGCATCATCAAACCATCCCACGATTCGGTGCTTTTTCCAACACCGAGTCTTCCTTATTGATATCTGATTGACCCGGCAGCGACTTGAGACCAGTAGCTGCTAAGAGCTTTCTGGTGTCGACCAACATCTGCTTAACGAAATCGGGGACACCGAAATCTAAGATGTATGATAAAGACAACATAAAGAATAGCCATCCCAGGCACCAAAGCACACTTAAGTAAATAGCCATGGCACGACAATGCCTAGCGAGGTTCATGGATCCGTCTTCCTCGAGTTGAGTCGACCAATTCCAGGTGACAAAAGCCACATGTATGGAGATAATGGTGAGAGCCTCAGCAAGTAGACCAACGGAACAGGAGATGAGTCCACGTGTCAAAGGTGGACAACTCCTTCCTGATGCTATAAAAAGGCAGGATACTCCCAGGGTATGACAAGGAAGAAGATTGTGTGTGAAATACCAAAACACAGAAGGGCCCTTTGATAGTCAGGCAAGTGCTCATCAGACAGAGCTGGTGGCAGTCGCTGCCCGATGAACCATGTGAAGTATCCTGCTGCGCCGGAAATACCAAGAAAGACACCCAGCAGCACCGCCATCTCGATGAGGAGAAGAGTGCTGCGAAGTGTGTATTCGGCGACAATGATGAGGTTCATAGTACCAAAGTTTGACTCGTTTGAATGTTACAGAAGACAATGGATCGTTAAGGATGCTCGCGAGGTCGACTGGGACAGGCCAGTATTAAGTCTTTGGTATGTGTCAGTTCTGATAGAGACATAAGTCCTACCCGTGTGATGCAACCATGGAAAGAAGCTATGGAGGCATGCCACACATTGGAAGTTTCCCGGCTAACCATGTAGTGGCTGCTTTTGTCACAAGATGGAACCCGTGGATTCTTCTGCCCGTTCTATGCTGACCACGCTGGGCTCCCCAGCCATGTTCCGTTTCTTTCACAGAACTAGCAAATACGAGCTGAAAACTTAGTTTTCTAAACTTGATGTTGTGATTTTGCTAAGGCCTGGCAGCTACTGTCTTAGCAAGGTTCGCGGCCTGTCGGAATAATTCACGCCACGCATGAGCAAGCTATGATAAGAACCTCTCCCGAATACGGTGGGAAAACAGGGAAAAAGAACCTAAACGTGCGACAGCATTTGGAATTTTCGTTTCACTTTCATATCCGCAACTATATCTCGTCTCCCAGATTTCAGCATCCGCTCGTGAGCCCTTTTCTACAGACCTCTGATGCTCGTTATGTTGGTTCAGGGACAATACTCAGTGCCAAGAACCGACGCTCTTCGGGATCAGTATACTTTCTTCTATCGTGAATTACTTGAACCCTGTTTTATGTTGGCGATGTGCCAATAGCGGTGGTATCACCGCTAGAGTCCCACTTTATGCCATTAAAATTAACTCGATTGAGATACTTTGTCTCACTCAAAAGTAATCATTCTAATGAGATGACACCTTGGAACAGAGAAGCTGCAGCCAGTAACATGATGGGAACACTGGGAAGGAAAGAAATAAGGGCCTAATGAGGATTTGACAAGGCCATGGGATTCTCTGGTCCGTAGATGGTACCTTCATTTTCACAAGTACAGGATTCGCGACAAACGGCCAGGGAGGGGGTGTAGAAGACACGCAATCGGCACTTCACCCTCCAAACAGTGAAGTCCCGACAGTTTGGGACCTAATTGACCTTTGTGAACTCAAAGTGGAGAATGGCTAGCGTTGTGACTGTTGGTCCTTGAAATAAACGTCGTCGTACAGTCAGTCCGCAAGGGTTAGGAAGCATTTGTGACACACGGAAATAACCAAAAGACAATCAATTGGATGCCTTACGTGATTGATATGAAAAGACTGGGGCCTGATCCAAGCGGAGCAGCCAAAATCGAAGATGTCTATGATGAATAATTTCTAACCCTTGCGGCTATGACTGAGACTATCACTGAAATTCCCTCTTTGGGTATAGAGGCTACGGGGAGCCGGCCGGCTTAAAGGAGCTTTCTGGATACCCAGCGTCGGTGGCACATACTCATTCGAGTAACGATTGCGAGCCTTCCGGATACTCAAATGGGGGACCCACAAGACCCCGACACCCCAGCATTCTAACAAAAACCAAGCTTAAAGTGTTGACCACTTTTTTTGAGAATGAGCTTGTTTTCGGGACCAGTCGGCTTCGATGCCTGGTGGAGGCATTTTGAGGGTCATCGGAAATTCTGTCATCTTGATCGGCAAAATATTTCACACTAGCCAGCTTCTTATAGCCGCGGAATTATCAAGGGCTATACGAGCGCCAGGGTAACTTTCCTTCCGACTTTTAGTCTAAAACTCAACCCTAAGAATGATCTTCGCCCAAAGACTTGAAAAAGCTAGGCTTGCAACAAAGCCTGCCCATTCTAGCCGTGTTTTTTTTTTGTATTTGCTGTGTGCCGTGGTTTTGCCATGTAATATCGATCGGCAAGGTCTGCATTGTAACATGACTCGTTCGGGTAGCGTCAACGCCGGAACTGTACGCGGCCGTCCACATGTTGGATTGGCTAGGATCAATTCTCATAAAACATCTGTCTCCAACTCGCACGCTGTCATGGAAATGGCAGTGTATCTTTGAGCTAAACTCCAGTCTGCGTCAAAGCTGTGGACCATCAACGACGTGGGATGCTATACTTGGTTTATTTGAGGTTCAACACCAAATGCATGCCGCAATTGCGAACATGAGAAGCCTGGTAAAGGATCATCATGGCGATCATGCCGCTTTACATACCCCGGTGTTTTCTTGTTCAATTTATGACGATCTTAGCTAAGCGTGAGAAGACGTTTCCAATGAAAGACTTTTATCGGCCCCCATAACGGCTCCGGCCCCCCAAACTTTGTCACATGATGGCTGAGTCTTGTGACACCGGCGTCTGGCCGCATTCTTGTTGCTTTCTTACCCGCCTCCCCTCGGTCGGACCCACAATAACCGATCCAAGACATGAGTCGTAAGCAAGAATAGCCAAAGAAGTTGGCTATGGTTCTAGGGAAAGGCAGAGCGATTAGGACTTGCAACTCGGCCAGTCGAGTAAACGGGACATCCGCTATCATTGCAACCTACGGCCCTGTGGAATTCAGATCTATTGGTAGTCATGCTGGAACTTTCTGACGTTGCAGTCGGATGGACCTCTGCTCTTTCCCGCATCTATTGCGCTCTTTATAGCTCCAGTGCTCATTCTGGGTCAGGAGACATTAGGTCATTGCTGTAAGAGACAACAGCATTCACAGTCAAGGCTCCATATCTTTTACCGCAGTAAGCTATGAAATGATAAATGATACTTCAATTTTCACGGAACCCAGGCTCGGCTTATTGGTTATTTTCTGTTGTCTTTGGAATCAGCCAAGAACTCGGACGAGGGCCATGCACTGATTATTGCAGGTTAATCGATCCAACGGCTGCCAGATGGCACCCGATCGAAGGTTTTCTTTCTAGTTTCTCCCGTATGTTTTTCTTTACCTTTTTTATTCTTCTTTTTTTCTTTTTTGTTGCTGTACAGAGGTAGAACTGGCGGGCCGGAGTGTAGGTAAGATCCAAAGTTTCCGTTAGAGAAAGCCTGTTCATAGCCGTGATGGTCCTCTCCCCTGTCCTTACCATAAGACTTCTCCTAGTGGCAATCTCTCAAGGTAAAATAGCGGCAAGAGGGAGAGTTCTGTAATCTAATCTAGGGGCTACTTTCTTTCTTTTTTTTTTTTTTTTTTTTTTTTTTTTTGAAGGTGGCTCGAGGGCATTCACCTTTATCGATGGAAAGGACGCGGTTTGAGTACACCACCGTCTGGACATCTCCAAGTGGTCGAACCCCATCTCACCAGCTTTCTCTGGGCCATGTGAACTTCGTCTCTGACTCCCTGGCTTCTTACATTGCGACCACCACATTACGAGCTCCACAAGCCATTTCATACCACCGAGTAGAATTCCACACTATGGTTTAGGAAGGTTCTAAACACAGAGCATGGCTTAAAGCCCAAGGTCCTTCTTCAAAGCCGGAAGAACTGTGCCGTCATTCCACTTCCAAATCAAACCACTGTTATGCCCAGCAAAGGCAGCTCCGGTCCAGTAAGTATTGAGGAGGCCCCCAAGCTCGAGAAGCTCACTATAGAAGCCTTTCGCAATCTCATCACCCGTTACATGAAGATCGTAAGGGACATGGTTGGAGATGTAAGGGAAAGTAACTCTCTTCGCCGCGTCGGTGGGTACAGCACCTGCTCGTGCGAGCGCAGTAAGCTCCTCACGAATAAGACTTTTACTATCAGCAACAGTGTAATCGGTGTTGTCGAAGGCAACACCGAGGAGGAACTGATTCGGAGAACCAGAAGAGATGTAGCCGTTGCTTCCAGGTATCATTGGAGTCTTGGCAGGAGTCATGGCACCGACGTTTTGGAGGCTCACATCGAGGCCAGGGATATCTGCAACGCCTGCAACATAGCCGAAAGCAGAAAATTTCGACAGCAACTTTCGCTCCGTCTCAGAGAGATCAAAAGACTTCATGTTCTCAACTGTTTGGGGAACAGCAACCACGAGCTTCTTCGCCTTGATGGTGAAAGTCTTTCGGTTCTGTTGAATGGTCAAAGTAGCGCCTGCCTTATGTCGCCGAACCCTGACGAGGTCCGAATTTATATAGATATCCTTTCCAAGCACGTCAGAAGCGGCCTTGTAGATGCTTCGAGTATCCCCTGACGCGGCAACGAGGAATTCGCTAGAAACAGACTGCAAAAGCCCCGGTCCAAACTTCTTAATACCATAAAGAGTAGGAATGGTTGTAATGTTTCCAGGGTACCAGTTAAGCTGACTGATGAGAGGAAGGATGGCACTGAAGTTGTTCTGCTGCGCAAACTGCCCGAAAGGCAGCAGCAGCTCTTGGGGCACAGGATAGGGAACGTGATAACCTTGGTCGATCCAGGGATATTTGCTAAGGATATTCTGAGAGTAGGTCTGCATTGCTGCAGCCATGGCTCTCTTTGTGGCAACAGCCTCCGATCTGTTCTCGGCAGGGACTGGAACACCTAAAGAAAAGTCGTACATCTGAGTTGAAGGGGTCGCTTTGAAAGGGTTGTGCTTTGCTACAGCAACTCCAAGACGCGACAAGTACTTTTGCACAGTCTTGGTATTTTCAAAAAGCACAACACCAATGTTGGCAGGGACCTTTGTTTTGGGGTTGACGTATGTCTCAGCATGCCCTCCGATCTGACTTTTCTTCTCAATCACGACAACCGTTGCGCCTGCATCTTTGAGATTGATTGCTGCGTGTATGCCGGATGAGCCACCACCGATAACAGCTACATCCACGTGAACATTATGGGCTATAGCCAAAACATTTGGAGTAGATAGGCAGGACGCCAAGGCAAAGACACAGGTACAGAACTTCATGGTAAGAAAGTGATTGAAAATCAAATAGCCTTATTTATCAAACTTTTTTCCAAACCGCTATCTTATACAGCCTGAATGGAACGTATGTCACCGTCTTCAGCGGGTCAACTTATTAATTATGATCGCGGTGAAGCTTCTGGAATGGAGTTTGGTGTTGTGTCTACCTGCAGCTGTGCCCACTTGCCATTGCCAGTTTATGCTGGCCCTAATGTGTAATCTTGGATCCGTCTCACACTGTGAAAAAGCCCCACCATCCCTTGCCAGTAAGCAACATTTGGCCAATGGCTAAGCTGATCAATCATTTTGATGTTGGCTAGATGAACAGGCATTCATGCTCATTGCGCCCCTCATCAAATACTTGCAGATGTACGAATCGACCATTGGACCCTGCTTACTTCACGACTTGCCAGCCCCAGTCATGAATGAGCATGCACGAACTATTCATCACTCCACGGTAGTTCCAGTTGAGGGGGAAAATTCCTAGACTTGCGTACAAACTCTAGCACCTTCGCCAAAGGTTTTCTGGAGCTAACTTATACTGGCTTGTCGATGTTCCTTTCCTCTCACCGCCGAGATAGTCCCTCTCCTTGGCAGTGGATCAAATACCCTATATATGGATTAGGCACCCTTGCTCATGAATTGTGTCAACTCTCTCCTGTAAAAGTTTTTCCTTGGCACCCGCTGTTAGCGTTCTGCTAGGGCAGAAAATTTTTACAGGCCAAAATGGCAACAAAAGCAGCTGCGGGACTAGCGGGACCCTAACAGCTGCTGGAAGAAAGGGATTCAGAGAGTTGACCTTTCTTCGTGACAAGTGTTTTCAACGGCACTGAGCTCCGCGAGCTCTTGACATCGCCTCCGGGCACCATTTCATTTGTCTTATCTACGACTTCTTCTCACCTCGGCATTTCGGCTTCGCGAGCCTGCGACATTCCGGCCTCTGTGCCCCTCGACTTCCCGTAACACCGACTTCTGCAGCTTCGGCTGCCCAGACGACATTCGCAGCATCTTGCTGCTTGACATTGAGGGTCATCGCACCCTCACTCTCACTCTCACCTTCGCCTGCAGTTTAACGCTGCCTCGACCGACTACAGCAGCTTTAGCTGCCCGAACAACACAAACAGCCTTCGGCTGCTCGACTTTCTGGGCCCTCTCGTGCCCTCGACCTTGACGCACGGACCCCACATGGTTCGTTGCCCTTTTTGCAGCTCGGAAGCTGCTTGACCGATCTCTGCAGTCGCGTACTGCCCAGAGACCTTCTTCTTCTTTGCGGCCTCGGCTGCTGCCTGGAACACCACCAGGCTTTGACAATCTGTCTCACTGGCTGAGACCACGTGACAAAAACCGCTGGGTTGAAACGGTACAGAGCTTACCTGGAGACCATGGAACGGGGCGGTTGCCTCGTCTACAGAGCAGCGTTCTAGCCGCCTTGGGTTTTTCCCTGCGAGGGGTTTCCCCAAGGATGTACGGTCCTAGGTTGCAGCTACTGGCGATCTTAGGGGATCATGGACTTCCTGCCTCAGGGTATGGAAAGCTACTTGATCTATCTGTGCAAGAGAATTCTAGGCTGGAGAGGAATAGTTCCCGCTGACGGGATGACCTCTTGAAAGTAAATGCGCCTTTGTGCCGATGATATGCTGGATGAACTAGATAGGAGACGCTGCTGGAGGGAAGCTCTGCGAGGATCAACTGTATTGATGTCCAATGGGACGTGCTTCACCGACAACTACTGTAGGGCGAGCTACGAGTAGAGAGGTGCCTCTTGGGGGTAATGAGTACAGAAAACGCTCGAGCATGTATACGGCTCCGATCCAAGAGGCCTTGCAGATGATCCGATCGAGAATCAGCAGGGCAGCGATTGTAGATAGTTTAGCTCAGCACGTCCTGTGCTCCATTAGGAGACTTTTTGGGGCCTACGGCCCCCCGGACGAAAAATATACATAACATAACATAACATAACTCATGAATTGTGTTATTTCCTTCACATAAAGTTCTCAAGCCCTGAATTAATCCAGGAAAGCAGGCTTGGTATGCTTGTTATGCAAGAGTAGGAATGTCTGTAAATAGTGGCCGAGTTGATAGTTTTACACCGGGACCTGTCTATCTTGTTGCTAGAGAAGACCTATAGCCCGATGTAAGCTCCGATACAAAGCATCTACTCTCTGAAATCATTGATGTACATGATACTTTTTATCTATGTCTCAATTGCAGTTGTAAAATTGATTGAAGGACCCTCAGTATTATGTCTCGTAGTTATGTGTCAAATGAGATCTCATTCACAGGCATCAGCGTGGGGCTTGTTTGTAATTTATAAACAGGTATTAACCGCGAAAAAAAAAAAAAAGAAAACAACGAAGGAATGTAATAGCCTTTGCGGCAACATGCTAATTTCAGACGCATACCATATTCTCCGCCTGCCACTTCAAAAAGTCACCAAGGTCGTGCCCCAGGTTATAACCCATCGGTACCGTATCCGAAATACCGCCTTCAACATCATCCATATGAACCACGAGCTCCATCATCGGGCTGGGTGGTAAGCTTTCCTCCGAACCGTGGAACGAAGGCCGTTTGGGGCCTCCTTCTCCGACCCATCGTTTTAACCCTGTACTGCTAAAGAACTTAGCTTTGTCGAAAGCCTGGCCGGGCGCCGGTGCGTTCCAGAATCCGGAAGAGAACTCAGCGCTAACTGGAATAGGAAGGTTGGCTTCATTGTCGATGGTTGAATGCGCCGATGACTGAGTACTGTGTGGTGATAATCGCGTCGACGGCCCAGGCTCAAACTCTCCCTCAGCCACGTCTTCGGTTATCAGCTCGCCGTATGTCTCAAAGCCAAACGTATCGAACCACGACGTAATCTCCTCCGCCTGCTGTATGTCTTCTTCGTAGGAGGTGTCTTGAAAGAGCTCTCCGGCTCCTCCGAGAATCGCCATTTGGAATGCTGTCCAGTCTAATGTGTCGTCCGTCGTCTTGGCTCCTCTGTCCAACCTAGGGAGGGACAAAGTAATGAATCCATGACGGAAAGAGGGTTGCGTCAGCGTATATGGTGTGCTCTTGAGGTAAATGAATTCATCCTTCTCTTTCGTCCTCATGTGGGTGCTATCGAAGGCAACGTCATCATCCAGCGACTCGATTTGTGTCTTATCTGCTGACGTCACCATGATCTCGGGCAGCGGTGGTAGTGTCTGAATAACCTTTCCACCCAAGCGCGCAGGATTCCTGGGCGGTAGTTGAAACGGATTATCTGGTGAAGCCTCGCTTGTATCATCGATGCCCCTGATAAACTCATCATCACTCGCCACAGGATCCCGTTTCGAAATGTCCCGAGAAACAATCTTTGAAGCGGCAGTCAGATCTACATCATCAGGCGTTATTTCGACGGAAACCGCTGACTTCTCCAGAGCTTGTCTTGCTGCAGCTCGAGATGCTAGTTTGTCGGGATGGAATTGTTCGATGTCTGTCTCGGAGTTATCTGATGCAACACTGCACAATGAGTTGATAGCGTATTTGCTTGTCGTACGTTCTTTATCTAGTTGTTTCGCAACTTCTTGTTTGTCGGGTTGCGCTACGATACGGTAGGGCGTCAGGACATCATCAACTTCAATGTGCCTAAAATACTGGGGTATTAGAACATCCGTCGCATTCTCCGACAATGTCCATCGTGGGGCACCGATCACTGCCATGGAAAAGGGATGGCCGGCAAGATTGTGTTTCTTTCTTTCGGGCCTTTTCACAACCGATGTTCATCTGTCTAGCGATGACTGTTGAGAAGAAGTCTAGGATGATTCTCTCACTCTCAATCTCGGATATTTTCGGAAACCCGTGGGCATAGATATAGATTTAGAGTGTTTGCGACTTGTAGGAATGATTCCCGGTCGTGATGGTTGAAGAGGCCGAACAAACCCCTGCTATGTACAACAGTATGATGGTGTTATCTCTATGTGCAGACCCCAGAAATTTGAACTTTTCATATGTCTCACGACAGTGATGGCCAACACCATATGTCATATGAAATGCCAAAAGTTTGACCGTGGTATACCGACTGCGTGGTTTACCGGCCGGTCAGTTCGACAAAACAAGGTCAACATCCCCTCGTGGGGTGTAAACGCTGTGATTGACGGGGCTTAGAGGGGGTGGAGGGGATCTAAAATCATATGTCGATCAAAAAGGAACACCCATGTAACTACAGTACGGTTAGTTTGAGTCGTTGTCATCCATTCCGTTACCTTCCAGGCCACTTTAGTTGAATTTATGAACTCGCTTCACGTTCTTATGAGTCTCGATGAAATGAGGGACGATCTCCACAGTTCTACCCCACTTCCATTTCACAAATGTAAATGCCTTCATCTCTTTCGTTCGTGTCACCCCAGGCTGTGCAGGCACAAAGTAAAGGTCTCACATTTTGTTCCCCAGCTCGGCTTGGATATTTTCACGGGAAAAAGGCCATTCCAGACACTCCTTAGCTTCTTTAACACGGTTTAAGAAACAGGCGGGAGAATAGGTGCATCTTTATCAAGTACAAGGCATCTTGCCAGGATACGAGATTCTAACACATCAACAACAATCGGAGCTAAAGAACTGAACATTGGTTGGACTGTGACGTCCCAATATTAGATACAGCATGGGATGTAGCTTAGATGATGGTAATGTGGACTTTGTCACTCAATATGCTAGTCGCAACAGCTCTACAAGAGTGAAATTATAGATATTGGAACCTCCATCTATACATATGTTCACTTTTGCGCCTTGATCGGCACTAAAAATAGTTAAAGGAGAAGGGAAGCAGTTTGGCAGTCTCGGAGAGAATTGATAACAGTAAAAATCTCTGGTGGAGCTATGAATGGGAGGGGGGAGTCTCTGGTGGAGCTTGTGAATAGCGTCGCTAAAGTATGAAGCGAAGTCTCTCTTCGTATGGTTGCTTCTATTATTAGATTAAAACCCATGCGATCATAGGGTCAAGACAATGAATAAACTTTGCCCTTGCATTGAGATTTATTATAAACCTATCTAATGCCCCAGGCAAAGAGATTTTATTACCAGGCTTGCGAAACCACCATGCAGCTTAAAGATTTCGAATATACCGGGTGTCTACTGGCGTTTGCTCTCATCACATATGCTATCGAATATACCTGTCGAAAGCTGCTTTTCTTCTTTCGCCTTGCTCTAGTCTTTGCATCGTTTGCTGTCATGACAAAACAAAGGCCAGCCACACAACAGATAAACGGTGGCTTGAAACCGCAGGTATCGAAGAAATACCACGAATGGCACTTTTCAAGGACATACAAAAAGTAGCAACGACGGGACTGCAGGCTGTCACTATGCTTTTCGAACGAGGTGGTGCGCAGGATACCAGCATCAAGCGTGACTAGGGAGCTCATTTCCCAGGATTTCTTGGTCGTTCTGAAGACCAGTATTGTTTCCTCCACAGCAGTCGGAAAGCATCCACGTCCAGACAGTCACTCTTAAGCTGACTGTTGTGAGGCTTCGAGCGTTTACTCGATTTGCTTCAGGTGACATGGTCTAGGACATGAACACGTCTCAGATTCTAAGTGGACAGTTGAACGCATGCCATCGAGAATTGACCAATGCCGAGACTTCCTAGCATTTGGGATCCGCTTGACTTTTATGTAAGGGTCGAGTTCAGGATTTGGCTTCTCCATCATAGAAATTGTGATCAAAGTACACCCAGTGATACTAGATCAGATTCATGGGGCAGATATATACTACACAGTAGCAGACAGCACATAATTTGATGATCTGCCCTTTCAGTGAAATGGTGGAGCGACACCCATATCGAGGCCATATTCTTTGAGATAGTTACAAGATCCATGCATTCAAGTTGCTCCGCTGAATGGCTCCATCTAACGATTTCAAGTTCGTGATCTTTTGTCTCCATTAGTTCGATGAAGCCACTTTGTGTTGACTACTTTAAAACAACCTTCCATTTGTGCCTGGCCAGGATGGTTTGGCAAAACCGCTGCTGACTGTCCGTATATGCTAGTTGCTCCAATGGCATGTCTTCCCGAAACCCAAATTCTTGACAACGAAGAGTTGAAGATAATTCTGCGTGGTCCAAAGCAAGATAATCGGCATCTCGCTCAGGATCCTGACTGCTATCAAGCAACTGGCAATGTTCGGAACGTGACTTGACGGTCGTTGGTGACACTAAATTCTCATCGATATCCTCTATCGTTAGGTCTTCGCTGGACACTTGGGATTCAGTGACGCTGTCCGGCGGCGCCGCCCATGGCTGACGTTTGAATCGAGTTTAATGCCACGGCGTTGCGTCGTACTGTTATCCATTTTGAGATGCCAGCGCTCTCTTCGAAGCCATGCGGCAGGGTCAGATATGAAATTGCTCATCACTCTAGATTGAAATTCAAGAACGATATTACTTTCGTCCTGGGAAGGCTTGCCGTGAGTTGGCATGTCGTGATCCGTAACACTCAGCGACTCTCTATCGTCAGCTCCCACAGCAATTGCAGGGTAAGCAAGCTGCTGTCTAGCGAGATTAGGTGATTTTGTCAACGCGTGAGATTCCATCATTCAGGTTGGTAGTTCAAGTTAGCAGGCAACCCCAGGTCAATGCTTAAAATGAATCTTAAATGGCTGGATGTTACAGGTCAAATTCCAGCTTCAAATTCTTAGAGCAAATACGAGGACCGACACCTTTCTGTTACGTAAGTATCCTTGCGCCGTGAGGTAGAGTAGCCAAGTATTTCACAACTAGAGCTGACATTTCAAAGCTAGGGCTGACACTTCACAACTAGGGTGACTTTGAGCCTTTCAATATGCGCAACTACATGCCTACACCGCGAAGCATGTAATTAGAACCGTGGTGGGGCAACTAGTCTTTCACGTAACCCCCACCGCAGAGCATTTTCTCCATCAAATCAGTCACCTCCCCCCCCCGGGGGGCGGGGGCGAATACGGATACTTCGACAGACATCATGCGTCAAACGTTGACGTGATATCCACAAGCTCGCTCCCTGTCAAACACCAGAGGTTATTCATGGTGGTGTGAGCAAGAAGGTTCTAGGAACTTTGAGCGTATTGCGGAAGTCGATGACAAATGTTCAGGATCAAGAAGAGCACCCTGTAAACTCTGATTTGCTGTATCAATGGGTACCAGAGCATAAGATTACGTGTGTGGTACTTGCAGAATACTGCTGTCAAAGGCTAGTGGTACTACTACTGGCAAAGTATTAAAATTGGGTACTGATGTATCTTAATTTTATATCCCACAGCTTCATCCTTCACGAAGATTCTCTCTTGAGCAGCCGATATACCGGTCCTTCGCCCGCGGTGCGATTCCAGCTGTACCTCTAGAAAGCTGTAAAAACTTATGCTTAAGTGTGAATCAGTACATGTTTGAAAATTAGGCGTCCTCTCCGCTTTTGTGGATCTTACTTGTGGAGATGGGATGCAAGTCGCAGATACTCCCAAAAAATCATGTCCTACATATGAAACAAAAGGCTTCCCATTTTGTTCAGGTAACATTGACCGAAAAAAGTCCACAAAAGCGGCGTGCCAGTATTCCCGTATAGGTATCCCCCCGGGCGAGGTCTGAACGACTAGTAACAACCCAAGTCAGCTGAAAAGCAGTCTCTGATCGACCTTGGAAAAAGATTTACCAAGTTTCACGCGACCGGCAAGAGAAACTCGGATTTCATCAAGCTCAGATCGAATCGGCAACTGAGAAAGATGACGAAACCCGTCGATAATCTGACAGGTCAGCTGTGAGTGGTAGGCCCTTTAGGGAAGAAACCCTCTGTCGCATTTAGGGCGCTGTTGGATCCTACCTGAGAAGTTGCGCTCGCTAGCTCTACCTCTGTTAGCGGCAACAAATCGGCAAGTCTGAGCTCCAGGTATTCTTCTACGAAAACACAACCTGCCATGGATCCATAGATGGAGTATATCGTAGCTATATCTGGATGCATAATGTATGTGATGTCAGTGAAATCGTGTATTGGGGAACAACGCTTTACACGCAACACTCCATTTCTTCGGTGCCGTATCAGCGAGCACGAGAATTCAGGACCAAGAGTTTCGCTTTCAATTGAGATGTAATCATCTTCAATTCTTTCCTCCAACTTCACCATCACTATGTGCTTCACTCCTGAAAGTCGGAGTATCTCGACACCCATCGCTTTATTGTATAAAACAGGGCCCGCAATGTTTGCCTGGAAAGCTTTTCTCAGTTTCCGTGAGACGGTTTACAAAGATACCTGCAGGCAGGAAGCCTCCTGATAAGGGTCGATCAGAGGGAGAGGGTTCAGGTCAATATGCCTAAGATTCCTAAGAGAATGTCATTAAGTTCCTCACTCACCTATATACAGTAGAACGATCGAACTACAGCCACGAGTACCAGCTAGTCAGTCTCATACAGAAATACTTTCAGTGGTACATAAATACCTGAAGAGAAAGGAAACTATTAAGTCTAATCTGATTCTGTTACCACGTGAGACGTCCATGGTGACGATATGTTCGTTTCTTAGGCAAACTAAGGACTCGAACTAAGTTCCTTCGTGATCACGAAGCAATTGTATGATGTAATCTACATGTCTTCGTGACGACGTCAAGTGTATCGTGGCGACATTGCTTTGGGGACCATCAAGAGGATGGGCGTGAATTGCGGGGGTTCAATCACCAATTTTCACGAAAGAAAACGACCTACGCAAAGCTGATACATCGTCACACGAGCTCGGCCACCCCAATGATCTTTTCCTAACCCAAGATTCTATAGAGCTCTTTGTGCTAAAAAAGAATGTCTAAATGGAGTTCTATACAAAGAGCATCAAAGATCATATTCACCTGTGCGGTTTCACGGTGCCTCCCTGCCCCTGAACGTTATGCAACCAATATCTCCAAACACTCCGGTCTGTCATTAAGAATCCTCGTAATCAGGCAAAGTTGATTGTGTAGGCTCACTCTAGCTTTTGTTGACCTTGTTATGCAGGATTACGTATACCTCAGTGACATTCAGACCATAAACAGGCTGCCTCACCCTGCGCGCCTGCAAAGCAAGGCCATTCAAGGTCATGGCCTTGATTGGACACATGGGCATTATGTAACAAGTTTGAGCCACAACCAAAATCGCAGAATTGTCACTCCCTGACTGGGAGTGCCTGCGACCTGCGACCGGCTGAGAAATGTCGGCGTGTCTTGTGGTATACCCTCTTTGTGAAAACCAAGACATATTCACGCTGTCTGGTTCTGATAAGCGCCTGTGTGGAAGCCACACCTTATTAACGTAACGTTATACAGATGATACTATAAAAGAAATTACTCAGCATTGGTTGCTATATAGACACCATACATCACGAATTAGCCTCTAGGAAAACCATAAAAGGCAGTCTTTCTTGATATGCTAGAGATTGTACGATCAGAAACACCAGGTTATGCAATAGCCATTCCATCCCTGCTAGTACTTCTCACTAGTAATTCCATTGCCTTCTGACAAAACCTCCTTCACTCCAGCAATGGCGACGAATGATCTGGACGAAAACCTCGGGCGTGATCCAGACTCTATGATCTTGCACAGGGCTCATTTTACCCACGAGTTCGAAGCAAAGAAGAAACTCGACTCCACTCTGTGACTAGTTTCCCTGCCATAGGGGCCTACTCGTCGGCTATGATTTCGGCTGCATCAATGGACTTCTGCGGTTCGAATCCTTCATTGACGCAATTGAGGGCCGTGGGACTGTAAAATGTCTAAAAACAACGTGGTTCTTATTGTTTCTCTCTCTTTTGCGGTTGTATTATCGGAGCTATTACCGGTGGTGCTCTTGGCGATCGACTGGGTCGTAAGTGGCTCATCCAGCTTAGCTGTGCTGTCTACGTCTCGGGCGTCTTCCTACAAATGTTGTTTGATTTATATGACACTGCCTTCATATTGGTCCTTATCGGCCGCCTGATTGGTGGGATCGGCACCGGCCTCAACTCCGTTGGGACTGTGCTATACATGACAGAAACAGTGAGTATTTTGGTCCTATCTAATGCTATTGTTCTAGAATATGTTCAACTTGAAACGCAACTCACCATTGCGTAGTGAAAGACTTCTACTCGCAGTACGATTGGCCTCATTCCTTTACTGACCTCTCTATCAGTGTCATTCTTCCCTCCGAGGGTTCTCGCTTGCCGCATATCAGGGATGTGTTGCTTTGGGCCTACTGATAGCCGCCCTAAATGTCTATGCAGTCGATAAGCGTACCGACATATCTGCCTACAGATGGCTTGTTGGGTGTCAATTTATCTGGCCTGCAGTTTTGGCCATAGCCGTTTCCATGATTCCCGAATCGCCACGTCATTTGGTAAACATAGGTCGCAATGAAGAGGCCTACAGAGCTTTAATTCGCCTGCGGGCTCCACGGTCGCGGGACAAGTCAGATATTCGACGCGTGCAGATGGAACTGAGTGAAATCTATCTCAGCCACGAGGTTGGCTTAGGTCCGGAGAAAGTCGCTTTTCGAAAAGTTGCAAAGGAATGGCTTGGCACCCGTTCAGCCAACTTAGTGATCCATCCGTTGACTGTCAGTGTCCTTCTACATACTATGTATCAGTGGTGAGTTGTCAAAGTGGACCCCTTTGATTTAGAATCCACTGACACGTCCATTTTTTATGTAACAGCACAGGCGTAAGCTTCATCACATTCTCAACAACCTCGCTCATTGGAACCGATGAAGCTCTGGGTGACCCACTTGTGATCGCCCTTGTTCTTTCCATTGTCCAGCTTTGTGGCACACCTGTGTACATGTGGTCATTCAAGAAGCTGGGTCAACGATGGACGCTTATTGTTAGCGCATTGGCTATCTCGGCATGCCATCTTCTCACTGCCATTACCGGTATGACAGCTAGTGTCACTAACAAAGGCTTGGTGGTCGGTCGTGTCCAGCTCTTCCTCGTTTCCCTGTTCGTCTTCCTGGTCGCATCAAGCTGGGTCCCTGCAGTATGGATCATTATTGGCGAAATTCCTTCCACCGCCACGAGATCCCGTGACATTGGGATTTCCGCGGGAGTTCACTGGCTATGGACCGGCGTTATTTCCGCCACCACGCCGTATCTTGTTGAGGTTGAGTGGCTCAGGCGGTCTGGTATCTTTTTGATATTCGCATGCCTGTGTCTATGTAGCTCGTTGTTTGTGTACTTTCTTGTCCCTGAGACGAGTAAACTATTCCTTGAGTATATCGAGGTGATCATTCGAGAATCGGATCCCCGCACTACACAAGAGTGGAAGCCTGATGGTACTTTCGGTTGGCGGAGAGATCTTAGGACTGAAGTGCAGTATTGCCGAGTGCCCAGAATCCGGAAAAGCTGGCAATCACACACAAAGGAAAATGCAAGTGACATGGCAGAGCAGGGGAAGTGAAATCAACTTCTACGATAGAATGCCACCCGTTATTATCATTAATAACGGTAAAATAGTATCCCGATCTTCCTTACGCGCTCACATACAAGTTTGATGGCCATGAATCTTTGCCATAACAAAAGAAACCTTGACGAATCTCTGTAGTCTAGAGAAAAGTCTTATAGAGCAAAGCTTGATGAAAGACAGACACCGAGATACCTGAGTTTCAGATACAAGCATTTAGATATAAGGAAGGAAGAATGAAGGAACAATGGGACACGGTTTCCTGGGAGACCCAGGCTTGACTTATTACACACAAGCGCTGCCCTCCTCCACCCCACAGGGAAATCATGACCCCTTTATAAGGATGAAGTTTCCATTATTAACAGCTAGTATCGATATAACGAGGAGCTATAAGAAACTCTCTAATGGGTCTGGTAACAGCTTCTCGCTTCTTTCGTTAAGTATTCGGCTGTTTTGTGCTTCATGAACTTGATAATCCAAAAGTTGTTCTGTTGCATACTTACATCTCAGCCCATATTTGCCAAATTAAACAATAAATAATGTGAAAGCATTTTCTGTGCTATGCCTGGGGCAGAGGCTTAGAATAACTAGGCGAAGGATAACTAGGCCTAGGATAACCGATTTCTATAGTTTTTTGTCTTTCCTTTGCTTTCTTATAAGGTTTTGCAAAAACGGCCGGTAAGGAGCCGATACGACTGAGTTCTCGGGTCGCGACGGCGAGAAGTATGGACACAATCAGTAAAGAGGCATAAAATACAGATCCATATGAAACTGTACTTGTTCCTACCGCAAAGGAGAAGCCTTTCACATCATTTCGTCCTACGACCATACAGATAATTATAGAAATTGCCTCTGTCACAGACAGGAGCCACAGCCCCCATATCACGCCAGTGCTGCCGGGAACTATCCAAAGAAGGAACCACCAAGCGCTACAGCTCATTATCAGGATAATGAGTAACCACTTAGTAGCGATGGCTATACCCTCTGTCCGTCTATAGGAGTGGTCATACTCTGGTGTCGTTAATCTTATACTAGTGAGCGGTTTGCGGGTTACGTCTCCGTCGATTGAATAGATGCCAGTCCCGTCGACATGTATGCACAGCAGCTGTTGGAAGTTGAAGCCAGTGTTCATATCCTTGGTTTCCGCAGTTACGTTTACGATTGAAAAAGCTGCGTTGCTCGTAACCTGACGCATCACTTAGTGTCCATGCATCACAAACGATCAGGGTAAATTACATTCAAGAACGAGCAGTGAGACATGTCCAATGGACTTGGCGGAACCAGTAAGATCAATGGAACGATTAGGAAAAGCCATGTGAGAAAGTAGCCTGGAAGGAGTGCCATGTAGTAGATTGCGAGGGATTCTTCAGGCTATGCTGCATTAGCCTAGGTGGACAGAAAGTCGGAGAGGGCGAGTCCGAAGGTCAAGTCTATAAGTAGCTTCTCCTCCACGTTGATCCTGCTGAGCAGCCACTGAATGCGGGTAATAATTGGAGTCATGACTCCCTGAGATCAGGTTAATGTAAGCACTTGATGAATCGAAAGTAACTAAAATAGATTATAGCACTAGTTTAGACACACTGGCGCTTTGAACAAGATAGGAAGGCAGATTTGCATGAACGAACGGCTTAGTTTGATCTGTTCTTCGACTCTTACACCGGTATTAGATAGCAGCCATGGCTTGGGTTCGACATTTAAGGTTTTACTTCAAAAGCCGATTGACGATAGATCAGTTGGGGGATAGCCCATGTTCAAAAGAACTCGGTTTTGATAAAGATCCCTCGCCTGCTTTGCTGGACTCAAGGGGAGCATATGGCCAGGTGGTAGAAATGTATCTTATTCCTGAGTTTAACAATGTCGTGTAAATATAGAAGAACGTCCTTTAAGGATGTCGCATTATTTGGACGTGGTACGATCCCGACCTGTATCATACCGTAGGCCGCTTCGGTGTCATGACCAGGCCGCTGTGTACCACGATGTTTTCCGCTGACTATCTGGGACAGACATCACGTCGTATTACAAGTCGTTGCGAATCTATCAGCCGCCCTCAACCCGACATGTTTTCCCAGAGCTTCGCGGAGAACTGCTCCAAAGAAGGACACAACGTGCTCACACTGTAGCAACGGCATTTTCACGGTATCCTCTTTTCAATTTCATATCCCAGAGAATTAGCGCACCACAGAAAAGGCAGAGTGCGCCGCTTGAGGAGATTATATAGAGAAGAGAAGAGATGGTTTGAGCTGTCGCATCCGCCCCATATGCAGTTATGTTCGTCTCAGCGCCCTCCCAGACGGTAGGGGAAACGCCAGCGAGAGCCTCGCGAATGGTCTTATCATCGTAATGAAACGCTTCAAGAGTAGAAGGAAGCAGAGCCATGCCGCGATTTTCATAGATCGCGCCTGCCATGATCAATGCAGTGGAAATACCGCCCATCAAGCTCATGTTCAAAAGGGCGGCACTGTCGACTCGATCGCGCAGAGTTTTGTTGATCGTGTTAGAAATCGCGTTGCCATGCTGAAATTGGAAGCCAAGTCCTATACCGATTAGGGCGGTGAGGCCCATAACCTTACTTTCTGAGACCTCAGAGTCCAGGATTATGGCGAGGGCAGTTCCCGACGCCAGTGTCGTAGCACCGCCGACAACATAGATCACGCCATACTGTTTGATCTTGGACAGAAAAGCGCCAACAATCAACACTGTGACAATGAAGGTGAGAATGAAAGGCAGCATGCGAATGGTTTGTTGTAACGCTCCGTGGCCCTTTGAAAAAGCGTAAAACAGTGGCAGATAATAAAGTGTGACAGCATAAGTCGCACCTGCACACCCTGACACGATCCAAAGAGGTAGGATGTTCCGCCGGCCCATAAGTTCAATGGGGATCACCCGAAGATCAGGTACGCTTTTGAAACTTGTATTGAGACGGTCTTTGATGGCGGCAGTAAAACGAGTACAATGTAGAGTTCCGCAGAGGACAAAGACAGCAGCAAAAACAGCCCATGTTGTGTAACAAGGCACTGAGCTCCAACTCCACACGGGGCCAGAAAAAGTAGCCGCAATAGCAAAGAGAACAATTGTGGCTACCGTGGTGCTTGTTTGAAGAATGATATCTAAACCAGCGAATTTGGCAATGCGATGACGCAAAGGGAGGTCGAAATGGCTTCGTCTGCGTGACAAAAAGACTACTGCACAAACGAAGGCAAAGCCAAGGAAAGGCAAGTTGATGTAGAAGGCCCAGCGCCAAGTCACCTTTTCAGCCAGAGCGCTCCCGACAGGTCCGCCTACGACAAGGCCAACTGCCCATAGTGAGCTCAGAAGGCCGTAAAGAAATGGACCTTGGCTATCCGAAGCATACATAGAAAAGTATGATATCGCGCTACATTTGCATGAAATTAGCATACAAGCATATTGAGTTGGCAGTGGCGTCTCAGTGGCTGAGCATATAGATTATGTATCTTTCCATAGGAAGATCAAGCGGTCTGGGAGCTAAGATCACACTCACCAGTTCTGGCATATTGATCCCCCTATTCCCATTACCGCTCGGCCGGCGATGATAGCCGAAATAGTCTTTGCTGAGCCCGCTAGCGCCGCCCCGGCCGCGAAAACCACGATGCTTGCCAAGTAAATGTGACGTATGTCGAAGATATCCAGTATTCGACCTGCAAAGGAGAGGGTGGCGAAGTTCGCGAGAGAGTAAGACAGCCCAATCCATGGAAGATACTCGATGTGGCCAAAGGCGACATAAAGCTGTGGCTGGATATTCGCAACGTTGCTTACATCGAATCCTTGCATAATCGAGGTTAGTGTGTTATGTCATTATAATCCAGAGTAGAATCCGGCGACGGACCGTTGATGATGCAAGTCATGTATATTGTAAGAATCGTTCCCTTCCATTTCCAATTTTCGAGAATCCTCTGGCTGCTCGGAAATCGTACAACCGAGGAAGGGGGTGAGCTTGGGGGATGGCTTGACATCTTGTTTGTCTGCGTATCTCGATGGCGCTCAATGGCTTGTTCTGACCGATCTAGATCCTCGGATAAAATGTCTTTGGAGGGCACGCTATATAGTGAATAGTGGCATCAAAAAGGCGGAGCCGAGGCAAGTGTAGCTTTGATGTCCAGCGTAACAGAGTGGAACTCTATCTCACATGCTTGTGTAATGTAAAATCGGGCCCTGTAAGTACGTCTCAGATCTTTAGTAAGTAAGAACTCTTAGTACATGAATCCGGCAGGACTTTGCCGGAATGTTCCGTCGATAAACATGTCAGGTTTCACGAGCCACAATCACTGTTCCATCCTACACACCACCACCAAACTCCATACATTTCAAGGGTGCATTGGCTGCCGTTCCCCCAAACGTATAAGCACTAAGCAATACTTTATCAATATTTCATCGACATTTCTTTACACAACAAGAAATTGAACTGAATGTGAGCTAGTCTTAATGTTGAAGCATTGTTGGTTAATGGTCATCCTTGTGTCATACCGGAAGCAGATTTCACCGGCCATGGTTTATCACTAGATTGTATTGGTGGTTGAGCAACCGCTTGACCACTAATCTAAGGGTAAATCATGTGACAGAGAGACTAGAGAAAGAATTGCGAAGGCAATGTGCGGCTATAAGAACAAAAAGGAACATTGGTTATTCGTACATCGTTTTCCCCACAACACCAAACCCCCAAGTAAATAATTATGTATCTCCCCCACGCAATGATCGTGACGTTTCAGTGATAGTATAGCGTGTCTTATGCCACCTTTGGTGGTTCAGGAAAACCTTTGTTGAGAATCTCAGGCCGTTTATGTCAAGCTCGTCAGGAATTGGCGATTAGTTCAGAGATATCATGGACCCAGAAACCTGATTCGCATTTGTGGTAGGGGTCCAAGCATCGAAATCTGAGATCATATGATTGAGCGACTGCTGTTCTTGACCCATTGCTGGAAAATTTGTATAGGACGATAGAGGAAGGGGAAGGCCAAAATCGGTTGTGTTAAATAGCGAGGTTGAAACCCCCCAAGGGTCGAAGTATCAGGGAAACTGTCGGACCATTGCAGAGTTGGAGGCACCGATCCAAAATCGGAAACCATGAGCGAGGGCTCCAGACTCCTCAAGATAGTCTGGACATGGACGTAATCTCCATGACGGGCAGCTCGGGCAATCTCGCGCAACCCCCATTTTAAGACGATGATGGTGTTCTCATTGGTTTCCATTTTCCTAGCTACCCGGCTTCGGCGATTTGCTTGCCTCTCTCTGTTTCGTTCTCGCTGAGCACATTTCTCTTGTGTGTCTGCATGATGGTTTAGAGTCGCTGTTTCAGCCATGGCCGGTGATTCTGTGGGTTGTATCGACTTGTTCGGTAGGAGCTATCGTGTTGTTGTGTTTGAAGACCATTGCTGTCCTTTTATGGCTGAGAGTTGCAATGATTTGCCCAGCTCGAGCCTCCGATGACGTTCTGTTGCTTTTCGGACGGTGAAACACCCTGGAAGCCATCATCTTCAAGTTTCAGGTTGTCTCAGTGAAGGGCAGCCAGGCACACAACTCATAGGTAGAACTATTTTTGGAAATACTGCGAAAATATAGAATTTGTTATACGACGTTCGTCTTCAGATGGGCATGTCAACTGTTCCATTTCAATAAAGCTGTATCCACTCAACGATCATTCGTGAATAATGATTGGTGAATGATCAACATGCAGGTTCATTGACCGCAAGCTCTGGCCCTCAGAATAGAAAGTTCCCTACGGGACTCTATTTTAGGAAACGCGAAAAGAAAGCGGAGAATACCATTCAACCTGCACGGTACCGCAGTCTCCGCCGCTCAGCTGACACATGATCAGATGACTGTTGCCAAGACACTGATACTCATGATACATCTGTCTTCCTTCTTGAAGGCTTTATTTAGAATATATCACAAAAGAACATGAGGCAGTAAATGGGTCACTGTACCTTAATTGGTATCATGTTTCACGTCTCTATGCTAGATCCATTGGTGATCACTCGTTCGGGTTGTTTCTTTCCAAGGGCGCAGCAACTTGTTACAATCTTCGTGTTCCTCCTTCTTGCTAACTATTACACACAGCTGAAAGGAGCGGTCAAACGTCCACAGAAGCGGTTGTCTAAAATCTCCCATCTTCCAAGGATACTATCTGCCCCCTACAGCCTACCACACAAAGAGCCATGAGGAATGGATTACGGTTTCCTGTGTGTTGGTTAAACCTTTACTTTGTGTTGAGCATTCCGCCAGGTGCAAATTCTCGCCCTGTCTACGATCTCCCAAATGGGATATTAACTTGAAAATTAGCTACACGTACGTAACTATATAATGATTCCAGTAGTGAATTGAGTCTCCTACTGCAACAGAAGATCGCAATTGGCAAGCGTGCTGTCCTTATGTCCTCCTGATCCAAGTATCCAATTTTCTTCAGAGCCAAGGATTGGTATTATTCAACAGTGACTCATTGCTTGAGGCTTCTGGTGATTCCAGACTCTGCGTGGTAGCTCCGCAGGTGATCAAGAGGTCAATTTCGTTATTGCCGCAAAGTAGGCCGATCGGCTGACGAGGCTTATACTCACGGGTGGCCTCAAACATATACGAGCCTTTGTCGATATGTACTTTGCAGCCTTTAGGATCGAGGGTCAAATGATCTATCACGGGGAAAAGAACCTGCCTGTCATCCGGCTGAAGTGTAGCCGATGACAGAACAGTATCGTAACGCGTATCTTTGTACGCCCTGGACTCCACATAGAGCCATGCTCGTAGAAATATCTCCCAAGTGCTGGTGGAGCTTTTCCCTACATCTGTCCAATTTGCTTTCAATGATTCCTTAGCGTGGGCCCAGTCGATATCCAGCCGATCTTGCTGCACGGCCAACCATACTTTAGCTTCTTCAGGAAGCGAAGCCTGCAGTTTTTCGTCCCAGAGGATAGGGAAATACGTTTTAAAGTAGTTGATATCAGGGATTTGCCAATACGAGACGCTTTTGTCTTTAATCATCTGTAATGCAAGCAGAACCGCGAAGTGACAATGCACGGAAGCTTCCGGTGAAAGGGATATGTTTGCACCCATTTTCAGTGTTTCTTGCACTAGATGAAACTCGAGCGCATCGCTCATATCTCCTTTAAGGATCACCTCTCCAGACTTCTCTATGATTAGCGTACAATGAATACTTTTGAAGCTGGAACGTTACCTTGATCACGCTGGTGGCAACAAGAATGGAGCGCTGATTCGACAACCTTTTCAGGCCTATATTCTCAGACCACGACGTTACATTCTTGCGGCGAAGGAGGTTGGTAAATTCGGTTCTATCGTCGGGTTCTTGAGTCATGATGCTGGGCAACAACGGCTGTCCGCGATATCAAAAGAGGATTGATGCTCGCGCTACAGAATCAACCAGTATCAAAGGTTTATATAGAGACTGCTTTTTGTTGCGAGTGCTAGAATTGTAGACGGAGGCAACTGCGTAGAGTCTGTAAGGTATCTTCCTGGACTTCGCAACTTAATGCAACAATGGATATCCAGGAATAGCTCTACGGTTGCAGCACCAGAGCGAAGTAGCATACGCCTTGAGGCGTCATTGATATTTCCAGGGTTATAAAAAGGCAACAAAGACGGCACGCAAGCCTTTCCTATAATAACAATGAATACTAATGGACTAACGATATTAGTTCGTGGAGCCGACTGTGGATATTCGACTCCTTAACTAGCTCTGGCCAAAATAGGTGACTTTATTCCCGTGCTGGGTATTTGTTACTATGTAATTGTATTCATACCCCTCTTAATCTCTGATGCCAGATTATATGTAGAATAGTTTCACGGTAGACGTTCTATGAGTGTCTATTGGTAAAAGAAAAACATCATCGCGATCCAAACCTACCACAATAGTCTATTTATCAGTCAACTATGACGAACTTAGCTCAGTTTACAAATGGGTCTCGTATCAGCCTCGGCTTATTTACTCCCTGTATGAGATGTATGAGGTGCTGATTGCTCCTTGGTACGCCTTGCTAAGGCTGGCTCCCCCAGGGTCGTTGTACCTGGGTATCACGCGCCGGAGCAGTGAAGGACGATTGGCTGGACATATGCTCCGACAACTTCTCGTATTGGAAACAAATGGCAACGAAGCGTACTTGTAGCCATTCAACAACCAGAAGCTGAAGTTAATCAGCATCTGTCCTTGGTGGCACGAGACGATGGCATGAAGCTGCGACGTTAGGAGAAATAGACTAATACATCATGCTACCACTTAAGTTACTCGATCAAATATAGGACTACTACGGGACTATTACAAGCCTACGAGCAGTTGGGGGATTTCAGCGTGCATTCACCAGTCATACGGACAGTGTGTTAAAATTCATCCGGTACATGGTTAGGCGTTTGAAAGCTAGGGATATCTGGCACTTGACGGCATGTATATCAATTCAATAAGGATAGGAGAGCATGTAGTAGTGCTCGGAAATGTTGATGCTTTATCTATGCCGTACATGTAGGCCTAGGCCTGAATCTACTACGAGCGCTAGGCAACTTCAGCCTCAGATTCCTGCTGTGCATCTCTTGTTGAACGATTAATGCTGCGCCAGGAACGAACTCAACTCTGCATTTGGGACTCGGCTGACGTGCATGTAGCTTCCGATGGGTTTTCAGGTTGTCACGACGGCTAAAGCCATTCTTACCGCAAAACTCGCAGAAAAAGGATTCGGGAGCTTCTCTGTGTAAACTAACGTGAAGGTTTTCAGCAAAGCCAAGCTTTCAGAGGGGAAGGTATCACTGGCTTAAGGTGCACTTACGTCTTCAGTGACGTTTCAGGTGTTCATTTCTTCGGAATGTCCAACTGCATCCAGGAAATTCACACCTGTGAATATTCCTTTGAAGCGTCCGAAGTGGCTCGATGCTTGATTTGCCTTTGTTCCTCCTCCGAGATCTTCTCGGTGATTTCTGCAAACATGGTACTTTTTCTGTCGTGCCACCACCAGCTCTGCCAGTTTGTGAAAGTTTTGGGCCATGTGACTCCAAATCATCGACGGGACCCCACTTAGAGGGGTTATCAACGTCCTTAGCCACACCCGAAAGCTTGAAAAAGCTTCTGGGGTGCTCATTTTCATCGGAAGGCCAAATCGGACTTGCAAATGTGTGGGACGTAGAAAAGTCATATCCAGCAATTTCTGAAGAGAACGTGCGGTCGAGTGAGGTCATCGAAGGCGAGACTGCTCTTTGGGATAAGTCTGGTAGCTCGTATGGGCTAGAGAAATCTGGTTGACTTTCAAAAAAGGAATCGAAACACGAATCTAGAGAGAAAAGTTGCTCTTCGGTATCGTATTGGCATGCAAGCGCTTGATCAGTGCCGTAATCGGTGAAGTCATCAAATCCGATACTCGCAGGGCTACTGCCAGGGGTCAGATGAGAACCCCATGGGTGCGTAGATTCAGTGTGTCGATATGCATGACTACGAGGTCTTGGAGCCCTTTCTAAACTTGCGTGGGATGATTTATTGGAATGAAGCCGAATCTTTATATGTAAGATATGCGACTTTCAAAGCTGATGGACTTTTAATAGAAACAAGCAAATAGTGAAAAGTTTAACAATAAGAAGGAATCAACATCGACCTCAGGTACATACAAGGAGAATTCAGTGTTTGCCACTACAGCAGTCAAATGTATGAAACATGTCGTCATCTGCAACAACGCACGAGTTTTTGATCAGCGCTACAGCGCGCTATCCAGTCACTCACACCACTTATCACAATGTTGTCAGGATTTAAGGGTATCTCCGGACCGCTGCGGGCTGCTAACCGGACTGAAAAGTATTGGGGCATTCGGCAAGACACAAACCCGAGATGATTATCACCAACGAAGCAGAATTGGAGGGCGTAGCCCTGACAGCTTTTGCCCAGAATCAGGCGCCATGAGACAATACAGTTTAGTCGAAAGTGACATTTATCATAACCTAATTCTTGTATTTTCCTTGTCTCAGAAAGCATCATGAGGCAGCCTTGTACGAACCGTTTCATGATGCGTCTTATCAACAAGTAAAATTAGACTTGAAGATCTTTTTGCAGCGCGACCGTTCTGAGATTGACTATATCAAGTTCCGTGGTAACCTTCGTAGCTAAACTTCATCATCACCATGGACTCCCTTCCCGTCGAGGTATACTGGATACTAGCGAGGTATCTATCCACCAGCGATCTCAGCAGCTTGGTCAGATGCAGTAGGCTAAACCGCAAACGCGCCCAGCCACTTCTATACCAGACTCTGCAGCTCAATTTCACATCTGGTATCGTTGACTGCAGTACCATGCTAGTCCTAAGGACGCTATCGACAAACCTACAGTTGGGCGGTTTGGTTAGATCTGTTGATATTTTACATCGTGGCAATACATACAATTGGAGCCTAGGTCACTCTCAACTCTTAAGTCCAATTCTTTCAGCCATCATGCTTGCTCCTGAGCGAGTAACTACTTTTTCATGCGAGTGTCCATGGGTTACAGGTACACAGCCTTTCCCTAATCTCAGAAGCTTGATTCACAAAAATATTCGATCCAAGGCAGAGCTTGAATGGGTTCAGTGGCATTTATCCCATTGCAGTCAGCTCGGTTCTGTCATCCTTAGCATTCCAGCCTGGAATCTAATACCAGGTACTACGTTCTTTGAAAATACTCTCTTAACACATCTGAAGGAATTATCGCTGCATGGTTTTGTGTCTCTGAACTTGTACCAGCCAGGACATGGAATCTGCGTAATCTGGACCTCAATCTCTGCCCTGGTGCCGATCGATTGATTCAGCGTTTGTTGGAAACGAAGAAACTCAGCTCCTTGAAAGTTCTACGTTTTGCCGGCCATCTTTCGAGGCATTCTTTTTTGGAACTGCTCTCGTATTTAGGTAAGACGTGCGAGTTGGAGGAGCTCTCGCTTCGACTGGGAGGATTGTCTCATCTCGCCGGTAAGAGTGGTGCCATAAGTTCGGTCCATCACACTGAAGTAATGGCGAACTCCAATGAAGCCGACGAACCTGTTCGACGCTTACGCTCGTCGTTGCTCGAAAATGTCATGAATCACGGCAAGGTGCTTCGGCTATTGGTATTGGATATTCGAGAGGTCATAGATCAACCGCAGTCATGCATGCGATTCGATCTCTACGGAGTGCAGAAGCTCATTGGGTCATGTCCCAAGATCGAGTTTATTGGCATGCCAGTCAACCTGCAGGCTTCTGGCGGGCAGCGTTATCGACGAATGAATTATGAAGTCAGTGGAAACCACCTCTTTGTTTGCCTGACTTGAAAGGGAGTTGTATTAATCTTATCACAGAAGAACATCCATTTATCGGCGAGGCAGCTGAAAGCGTTCCATCTCCGGGGCGATTATCGCCCCTTCAGTAGAACTCTGAACGACGCTAAGCACGTGTCAAAGCCATTCCGAAACCGCTCAGATTTTGAAATCTTCATAGGTCACTACGATAAACTCCGAAAAGTTTCTTTTAATCTTAAGGGCGAGCGGAAGTTCCTCAACGTCAAAGAGGAGGAGGTCAAATTGTATGATTTAAATTTGTGAAATATGGATTAGAAAAATGAATGAAAGATAAATCATCTCTTGAGAGACCCTCAAACATCGAAATGAACAAGCGTTGAGTGAAAGGCATAATCTGGAGTGTTGCATGCAGACAAGGGATCTTGAGATCACGCGCAGAGACAATGAATTCGGCAGGGGCAGGTCTTTCACACACCACATATCGTGAACACATCGTAAATAAGCGCTAGACACGGGTGACGTGGCTATTACCATGTCTTACATGCAGGTCAGGAAACGGAAGTTTCCCGTTAGTTGGACCGCCCTTGGGTCGCACAAGGCAGTATTACCCATCACACTCTGTTGCAGTCTCCATACAATGAGACAGTTCGGTCAAAGTGTTGACGGACGATTCGTGCGCATATGCTCCTCACGGTGTCAAGTACAGCCCCGATCGAAAGAAGCTGTGAGCACGACCCAAGACACTCTTATTGTGGCTGCCACAGTATCCGTTGCCTCCAATGGCTACGAGCATGGTTTATTATCGCTATCTCTGATCCTTCCTGATTGATCTTTTGTGAAAGATCTTTGTCGCGTCTGATCTTGGCCGGGATAATATGAATGCGTTAATGTCGAAAACAATCCAGTTTGTAATGGCCGCAGAATGAGATAGGGGCGTGGTTAGAATTGTGGACTTGATACAGGGCAGTGGCACTGCTGCGAGCTCTGGTTTGCTTCTGAGTTCTGACATATTCTGTCACAGTACAAGATACATTCAACGCACCACAGCAGCCAGATGGCCCATGACTTTGATCAGAAGGCCAGGCTGCCTCTGGTTTCGGTTGAGAATGTAGTGCACTGGAGTTCTTCCAATGCCCTGTTAGCTCTGCAGACCCCGTTAGAAAACTTGATCCTATTGAATAGAAAGCAAAGCTTAAGCGGTTACCTCTGAAATTGGACTCAGAAGATTGCCCTTGGACACGATAAATTTACTGGGGAAAGGATTTTGCGAAACAACGTAATCAATACACAGATTTATGGCGACGAACTGGAGGCATGTAATATATCACCATTTTATGAATGAGTTCAGGATCTCCAGCGTCTCTGTAATCCACACTGACATATTATTTTATGTATTCTCTTACCTCTTCCTCGTCCAAATTCCCCATTTCAACCGACCGGCAATGATAGCGTCAGCTCATCGAATGGTACACATAACAATAAGTATCAGAAATCAGCTATCTAATGCCAGACCTCAAACTTCATGTAGCGGCAAGCTTTTGCTCGGTGTATTCATCAATATCACCTGCAGGTATAGCGGGCGAAAGGTGCTTCATTTCAAAACCCTTGATTTCGAACAAACCCAGCCAGTGGATGACTTTCGTAACGGCCTGTTGAACTTTTTCCTTAGTCATTTTGACGGAGGTTGACCCAGTGATCGGAATGGTCTGGTATGGTCTGGTATGGGGGGTCAAACCAAACCATACCAGATGCTTACATAATAACCGGTATGGTATTACCGGTAAGACCAATAATACCATTAAGGATGCCAAGACTTTTAAGAACGACGTCGAAAAGCTATAGAAGGGTGAAAGAAAGTGTACTATACATGTGATGAGCCCAGACGGGCTGCTTTCTTTGTGGTCTTTTCGCGGTTCGAGTACGTGATGTTGTCTTGTACAAATTCGTCTGGAGGCTCGGGATACTGAAGGGGAGCAGGTGATGACGTCGAGACAGGTAGTGTGGGAGCAAGCGACGGTGTAGGAGTCTTGAAGGATAATGGCGTTGAGCTTGTAGCCAGAGAGGACGGCGAGGTTGGAACTGGAGATTCCATATGTGATACCTCAATACCGTAAATGGGTCAACTACGTGTTGTAGGATTGTAATTTTAAGCCGAGAAAATTCTTGACCTTGAGGCGCTAGCCAGTTTGGTCCATAACCCAGCCGCCTAGCGCCACCAACTCAGCCTATTTTTAGTCCATTTTAGCCTTACCGGTATGACTTGGTATACCGGTAATACCATGGTATTGAGATTTCTTCAAACCATACCAAGTCTTGGCGGTATTTACCATACCAATACCAACTCATACCAGACCATTCCGATCACTGGGTTGACCTGATGACTCTGGTATCAGGACGTCTTTCAATGCCATCCATTAAATGAACCGATGAAGGGAGATTGCTGGGTGTTTGCTGGTTAAAAACCATAACTAAGCCGACCGCTCCGACGTATATCGGCACTCCTGCCGGAAGACCCGAGGACCTAATTGCTAAAATGGCCCCTAGGGTTACCGCTCGAGCGTATATAGTAGAGTGAGACTGAATCTTCCCCAAGCCAATTCTCTTGGCCACAAAAATGAGCAGTCGGGTGTACAAGAAAGCATGGAGAAGTTTGACACAAGCCTCATGCGCAGAAGCGTCCTGTCGTACCACTGCAGCAAAGGATAGCACTGGTCGCAGCATCGCCGGCGCCTGGTACGATGCTCGAGTGGTTTTATCTCCCCTGCGCAACGTTCTAGCTAGACGGAGGCTGGTGATCGAATGGATCATGCAGGCAGCCGTGTCGAAGAGATCTGGCTGTACTGTTCTTCTGAATGCACGAAAGTAGTATCGCGTAAGCTCAAAGGTAGCAGCCAGAATATGCAAGGCCAGTGCCAGGGACTTCTTTGTACGTGGGTGTCCATAGTAAGCTGAGATACTGTGCCGTGTATGATATGCAAATATTATGACGTAGCCAAGGCAGATGAGCAGATATTGTGTGTTGCTGCTCGGTAAGTAGTATCGCTTAGGCTCAAAGGTAGCAGCCAGAATATGCAAGGCCAGTGCCAGGGACTTCTCTGTACGTGAGTGTCCATAGTAAGCTGAGATACTGTGCCGTGTATGATATGCAAATATTATGACGTAGCCAAGGCAGATGAGCAGGTATTGTGTGTTGCTGCTCGGTAAGACGTTGGTCCATTCAACCCACTGCTGCTGCCAAGCTGGGTTTCCACTGCCGCCTTTATCTTCCATAGTGAGTGAGCGCCTGGCACCAATGTTTCGAGAGCCAACGTTCCGTAGGGACTGTGACAGCAGGGAAAGTTTCAGTCTTGTTAGGGGGATCTGAACAGAGGAGAGCAAGGTTTGATGAGGGTATTGGAACTGGCTGAGACTCGATCCCTGTGTACTGAACATCTTTTAAAGTATGATCCAGAAGACGCGAGTTTAGTTTCGAAATTTCATAGGCAGTCTCTGAAGGGCTATTGTATGACCAAGTCATTTGTTGTGGTACCGCCCCTCAATCTTTTCACAAACCTGCCGTAGGCACGGAGATGAAGGCCCGAAAGATTGATTAGTATTCCCAACTGGAGCCATGTGAATAATTACACGTCCCAAGTTTGTTCCACTATTGAGAATTTATGGATGGAGGATAATGCAACGTTCACACCGTGCGACGTATTACCCGCTGACAAACGATTACTAGCTCGGTTAAACTAAGCAAGATGCGAGTTTCATTGACGGCCTGAAGGCACAGTCACCAGAAAATGGAAGAGAAATCCTTATTTTGCTCACACCTCGGACTTTGATAGACCCTATTTAATATCTTTTATTTGGGGTTGATCAAGCAGGTTAAGAGAAGGATTTGAAACAGGTGCAAATCATGTCCAGGGATGACGTCCATTTTTGACGCCACGAATGTCTTGAATGATGTATGTCGGCTTCGCTTTCTCTAATATACCGAAAGAGTAGTCCTTGATCTCCTCGCTCACTCATCTTGTTTCTTTTGATAAATGTATTGAGTTGTTTCCTTTGGGCCATATTTGAGAGGGTGCCTCAATAAAACTGCATTTATTTGCTTCAAACATCTCAGCAGCGGCAAATCGGAGGTCACCCTCATTCTTCCTATCCCTTGCCCAATCCGCCTTTAGTTTATTACTAGGTACCATATGCTCAGGCGCTTAGACTACATAAGTATTACCTCAAGAAAAAGAAAATTTCTTTATATCTTCTAGTTGTGCGTGATTGAACAGTCGAGACCAGCCTGTAAGATATCGACAGATTGATCCGAAGAATAGAACGGGGATGGAGTCTGCGAACCTCATTAACATCGTGGAGCTCGTGCAGCCTCATGCAATGTTTTACTGGCGTGACTCACATGAAGATAGAGCTGGTCGTATAGGCTGAGATAATTGAGTTCCATAGGAGTCATGTTACTGTAGGCCATGTACGGGTTGAATCCATCGCTGCTGGGGTACGTCTCTGAATTGATGGAGTCGCTAAAGTGTGTTGCAAGAGAAGGTGGCATGGGCACTGTGGAGGACATTGTGCTGGCAGCATATTCACCAGCGGTTACAATGTCTATGTCGGGCTGAGTAAAGTCATAGAGAGGAAGGGGAATCTCAATGGAAGCAGGATTGACAGGGCAACCCAAGCGGAATTGTTCGTTGGAGCTGATTTGGTCGTCGTAGGTGTCGGGAAAGCCAGGCTCGCCAGTAGGCTTCACAGGTGAATTGAATTGATGCTGAGAGACGCCAGGTATTCTGGGACCTGTAGAGCGTGGTTTCCTACTGCGAGATGCTGAGGAACGGCGCTTGCATTTGGTTGGCTTTTGACGGGGCTTGTCAGCCTCTACATCGTCAGAGGAACCAGCAAGGCGCTTGACTTTATTTCCTGTCTTCGGGCGTTAGTTATGCTCGACCAGCTCGAATGGCTTTCTCTCGAGTTTTTCCTGGTGAATACAAAGACCCAGAATCGACAGGATCCAACTTACGGTACTTGCGCTGAGCAAGGCGGTTCTGCATCCTCCTCCGCTTGCCAAAATCTGATATCTTGGTCCAGTCTTCTTCGGGCTTGATCAGAGCGCGTAAGGAGGTCGGATGGGCATAGGCAGATTGTGTCATGGGCATTGCGACATATGTGTATAGGTGAGTCTATATTGAGAGTGGTACCCCGTCTGGCTGATAAAAGAGGAAGTTTTAGCTATTTTGTCGTCGTAGTTGCTACCAAGAGAGCTGAGATCTCCTCACTTCATCCCCGCATATAGAAGTTCTGTTCTGTATGAGTTTCTTGTACTTGAGTTGACAAGTGTCAATTGCCAAGGCATCAAGAGCGCACTGATCCTGAGGGATAATGCTTGTCTTGTGCGATCGAGGAGGTCTAGGCCTACCTTAGCACGGGTCCCTTCAGAATCTCCACGGAATGTACAGGAGTAGCCCCATCAACCCTTGTTAGCTCGTGCATACCCATTTTTTTGGTGAAAAACGAGTGGCAACCAATTTCAGTCGAGGCTATCGGGATATTTTTATACCATGAATTAATGATTCACTCTGTGATACGCGAACAATCACAGTGGTAATCAATTCTTCGTGTTTACAGACCTGGTTGCTGTGGGTCTGTTAGGATCAAGGACGGTTTAGACAAAAGGGGAGAAGACAAATTTAAGTTCAAAAGTGGACTCGAAATTCACTACACAGTCGTTATATGATTCATTCATCGGCTAACAAGTCAAGTGCCTAACTAAAACTAAACAAGGCGGCGATCGGTTCCTAGTAAGGGACAAAAAAAGGAATCCCTATTTTTCCGCCATTGCGACGGACGCGTCCCAGTCAACGAGATACGTCAAAGTCGCTGGAAATGATCGTCAAAAACAGCCTCCCTGCACATTTTCGTACTCAAGTCAAACCACTGCGTCGCTGTGATCTTCCGTGGCAGAGACATCGTCACCACAGTTGTTAAGTCATCGATATACGCGTCCTGTACATCAAATTGTAGAAATTATACGTACTGCTGGGTAGCCGTTTATGAGCCTCGCACGGCTACAGTTAGCCACTGCTAGATCAACTGAGAAACTGGTCATATACCTTTCGCCCAGGAACTCTTCCAATGGATCTGTTGCTCTCGCCAAGATAGTCTCACACGTCATCTGTGCCAAACCCTGATCTGGCATCACCTACTTCCCATCCGCATCTTTGAGACGTCTCTTGGCTTCTAGAAGCGCAACCATACTCCTTGATCTCACCAAATGGCCTCTGTCGCCCTCTATCTTGACTCGGGGTACTTCCAGGGTCTTCACTGGCAGGGCTGCTTGAGTTGATTTGCCAAGTACTTCAATCAACGTAGTTTATATGCAATAAATTCCTCTTGCGGCATTTCACCATGCGATTTGCGAACTATCTGTATTTGGATAACTCGTCCAGTCTTCGAAGGTTCTCTTCGAAGCACAACCTGATCTTGTTCTCATGCCCGCTTGCGGCTTCACTTCCAGCCTTTAACATTTCCCCTTCTTTACTTTGGCGATAAGTCTCGATTTCCGCCAAATCTGCACTAGGTAGACCCGAAATGATCTTAGCCAATTGTGGTTCGGAATATACGCTAATGAAGGCGAAAAGAAATCCAGTTATATCTCTGCGCGACTCTTCAGCACCGTTTCTGTACTTTACTTTGGCTTCCTTGGATTCGGATTTTCTTATAAACCACCCACTATCTTCAAGATTTCTGAACAAAATGTTGAACAAGGTTTCGGATGAAGAAATGACTTCCAAGACCTTTGAAGCTTTATCGATATACGCATTCATAGCGGTAAAGGAGTAATGGTGTACCCAGATATCAGCAAGCTTTTCATCCATCTTTTCTATAGCCCATTGCTTATTGATGATCTCCAGGATCTCTTTTAATCCCTCTTTGTCTGGAATGTCCTTTCTGCCATAATTATGCAAGAGTCGGACGATGATTTCTTGTATCCTGAGCTGACGCTGCGCTTCAATTATCATCCTCGCCGGCTTGATCTTTTTATTCCTTGTGATAGGTATCTCCACGCGCTGCTCCTTTGATAGCCAATTGGCAATGCCGCTTTCGTCATTTCCTGCTGATTCAATCGGAGACTGTCCGGCGTTATTGGGCCGATACCCGTCGGCGCCAGAATTCCATATTTGCCGGAATAAATCAAGACTTCCCTCAGCTGCAGCAAGGTGTAAGACATTGTTGCCATCCCGGTCGATGGCATGGATATCATACGACTCTTTCAGGATGAAATGCTGCAGCATGGCAGCACGTTCTGATTCTTTCAACGGTTTCTCAGGGCCGAAAATATACCAATCAATTCGATTGGGGTATAATCCACCCCCGACGCCGGCGTGATTGTACCACCAGTCATTGGTCTCCTTGGGATAGCAGTTTTCTATTCGACGAAGGACATGAACGTGGCCGTTACTGGCAGCAGCTCTACAGGCATGGAAGACTTGGTCATCTGTCAACCGCTGTATGCTACCATTTCCACATAGATATTCGACCACCGACTCATGTCCGCGCTCTAAGGCTGCGACCAATGGCGAACTAGGTACATTGGGACCCTGATAGGCATGTAGCCACAAGTCGAAGCCGACAGAATCCAAATGTTTCAAGGTATCGATGTGCCCAGATATGGCCGCCATGGTGGCCGGATTGTAGGCTTCGACGTTTGTGAACTGCTCCCCACTCATTTCTAGGGCTTTTATATCATTGACTTTACCATGATAAGCCATCCAGGTAGATGCCCAGCATTTATCGTCCGGCTTCAATTCTGCACCAGGTTCCGGGTCCCGGCCAAAACGTGCTGCAGTCAAAAACGCGTTGCGTTTTGTATCCTTGTGGGAAGGGAGGTTTTCAAGACTGGACAAATAAAAATATTCGGATGCATCATAGCAGCGTCGTGCCATAAGCGCTATTGCCACAGCCTCTTTCCACGACGGTCCGCCACGATCCGAACTCTTGTGCAACTGGGCCAGGATCTCGTCAGCTGCTAGATAGGCTTGACTATCAAAAAGAGATAAGAATCTTTGAATAATCTGGTATGGGTCGCCGCACGGTCCCGCAGGTGTGTCTGGTTTTGATGTATAGTAACAGTTCGAAAAGAACTTTTCCACACGGCTGCGTATGTGTATGTTACATTCATACGCGCTGGCGAGGTTGCCCAAATCAAGATAATTAAAGATACGATCCCAAACCTCCTGAGATAGCGCAAAGATTCCAGACATTATGGGAAGTAAACCTGCGGTAATCCTTGAGGTTTATGTTGGTAGAGTTATAGGGCAGCAACTGAGAGTAAAGAAATGTCATATCTTCTTTATGATACCCCTCACAGTAAAACCTAACAAAACTTGTATCGGTCTAATTAGGCAGGAAAAACTGGATAAAATGACCCGCCATAACCAATCGTAAAAAGGGTGCCCGGAAGAAATATACCCGCAGCCAGGGTTCAAATCCACGACACTCCACGACACATTTGTGAATATGGCGTGGATATGGATGCTGACTAATAACTTCGATGTGGAATGGGTGGAAATGGATCCATTATGGAAACGAATCCATATTGTGGAATTTGTGGAATGGAAACCTACTTTGTCTAACAATGGTAATTAGTGGGTCGCATCCATGCCTTGGTGACGTCGATGTTATTGTCACTCGTCCATTAGAATCCTATCTAGCGACCCGATCAAACCGGCACGCAACCAACTCCGTAGTGTCTGACAAAGCCCAATTGTACTGGCATCTAGCCTATTGCGGCTCTTGGTAACCATGCGGCCAGTGGTCGAGAATAGTCTCTCACACTCGGCTGACATTGGTGGCACAGTAAGCAGATCCAAGGCCATTCTAGACAACCGGGGGTATTTGAGCCGCCTTATGTGCCAGTATTCGTAGGGATCTGTGACAGAAGCATCAGCATCCTCGATATCACGCTGCCACTGCTCGTATTCATCAAGATCCAGACCGCCAACTGAGGACCTGGGGGATTGAGCTGGGGATCGAATTTGCGACTCGGTAACAGAAATCCCTCCAGTCGTCAGTCCTCGCTTCTTTGTGCGCCACGCTGTGAACTTGTTTCTTGAGGTCTTCAGCCGCTTATTGGCAGGCAACTCAATCTCTGGGTCATTAACCTCCAGGTCCCTATACTCTCTCTCCCAGAGATCCTGGACCATCTCCTTCGCCTTGGTAATCCACAATTGTCTTTCGTCGTCGTCTCCCCACAAATCGTCAAACAGTGCCCACCGGTAGGCAGGATGAAGAACTGCAGCGCCATAGATCAGGGGGCTATCGTTCAGATGCTCGTAGTATTCGTTCAATTTGAGCCAACCCAGGTTGATGTTGACAGCGAGGTGATGGCCGTCCGGAAAATTGGCGACTGCTCTTTTCGCGGATTCGAGGGTTTCGAGAAGAAATTCGTACGCGTGAATAAGATCCCAGCTTGTTCCTGTACAAGTCAGCTGTTAAAATAAGAATCGGGCCGCTTTTGAGAAGTCTAAGGCTTACCAGACAGTGGAGGGTCGATCTCGTTTTCCTCAACCTTTCTCTGGTGTTTTCCCTGTCCATCGCCCTCAAGACCTCTCACAACCAGCTGGAAGTCAAGCAAAATGTCGTAAAGAGTCCCGAGCACATGCCAATCATCAGGTGTCATGCGATTCTCTTCCTTCAGGAAGAAGGGCAGCTTGGAGCCCTTTTTGATGTGGCCAGCTCTCGTCAAGTTGACCTTCTCCCACTCGTTTGATGCTCTCTGGATAAAAGAATTATAAAATGGCCTCAAGACGAGAGCGCGTTCAATCATCGAGAATTGAGAAAGCCACCGGGTAGCATTGTCGACCACAACTCCAACTGGACAGTGTTTCTTGAGCTGAGCGTCATCAGAGAGTTGGCTCTCGACAGCCTGTACCTTCTTGAGCATATCGGTCCACGTGTCCGATCTGCTCACCTCCTAGGTCTTCGTGAGTATGACTAATAAAGCCGGGGACTCAGCCACCTACAACAGCAAAGTTATGCCATTTTCCAACAGAGCCTCGCCTCCTCCAGACTTCATGCTCCTTCGCTGCCGTGTGAAGTCCTTCGAAGACCTCTTTCTCAAAAGCATCCGGGTTCTTGCCATACAGCATCTGTTTCACTACTATGTTGACAACGTGGCCAACGCAGCGAACCCATCGCTTCTCCCAGTCGAAGCCAAATTCTAATCCAAGCTCCCCCATCGAGGTTTTATTGTTACCGGCATTATCCAATGTGAAATATCCGAGTTTATCGCTGATCTCGTACTCCCGAATGATCTCGATAATCTGCCCGGCGATATTCTCGCCAGTGTGCCGCTCTGTAAGCTCAGGCAGTCCGAGGACACACTTCTGTGGCCGATTGTTTGAATCCCGAAACACACATGTGATGCCGTATAAGGCGTGTCGGTTACCAGACTTCCAGCCATCGTACTGGATATGGATCTGTCCCGGACTCTTTCGCAAAGCATCCTTCACTCTTTCCATGTTGTTGGTAAATTCTCGTTCTGCGATGGCACGCACGGTCACGTCAGTAATGTTAGCTTTTGTGATCTCAACAGATGGATTGAGGTAGTTGAAGATGTCTCGAAGATCTTGATCGTTGACGATCGAGAAGGATTGGTTAGAATTGACAATCCAGTTGACAAGTTTCTGCTGGAATACAGTTTTGTCGAAACGTTTGATCAAGGTATTGATCAAATCTTGTTCCTTCGGCTCCTTCGGGTTCAACTGTAGGATTGTTGCAATGGACTAATGTGCTTTCTCGGATGCCTTTGTAGGCTTTTGCCTCTTGCCTGTCGGATCCATGATGCCATTGTGGTCCGTGTACAGGTGACCCTCAGCGTTCTGCAACCCTTTGATGGCATAACTCTTTGGCCTCGGCCGCTTTTGCTTGATGCAAAGGCAACACACCCATCGGCGTTCCCCCTTATCGGCATGCTGGATATCGTAGCCGAACTGATATACCCATTGACGCACTTGGCCGTCTCTCTCCGTCAAGGTCCAGCCTTTGTAGAGCTGAAAGAGTCGTTGATTGTCTTCTTCTGTACGTTCTGGAACGGGTGTGGTTGACTTGGTAGGATGAAGAGTGGCCATTTCGGTTTGGAGTAGTAAGGGCGTGAGTAATAGTAAACCCTCCTAGAATAGACTTGTTTGAACTTTGTGTACGGGTAAAACAGAGTGGAAAATTGTTGCTATTGCGTTGTTATTGGCGATGGAAAGTACTTAGGGTATGCGCTATTTCACAAGGAAATCCAGGTATTTTCAAACCCCACCTAAATTTCCATTCCTTTCCACAATTTCCACATGTGGAACATGTGGAAGGGGTTCCGTGGCGTGGATATGGAAATGCTGAAGCCTACGTGGAATGGAATGGAATGGATATGGATCCACATTATGGATCCATATGTGGATTTCGTGGTATGGATTTGAACCCTGCCCGCAGCATGTACCTACCCCACTATACCCCCAGCCACCCTACAGGCTGCGATGGTGTTTACTAGACGATGATCCCTTGAGAAACGAATGGGGCTGACGGCTCTGTGAATTGGAGTTTGTCTGTGTAGCAGCATTACTAGCCCTTTGATCTGCGACCGGTACAGGTAGTAGCTGAAGGGTGCCAAGGGGCAACGCCTTAGAAAAGCAAAATTATGATTGAATTCGGGGCTTCATTTCAACATACACCACTCAAGGAATTGTTTTGAGACACACAAGCAGGGCGGGATTGAGAATGCTTGTTCGGTTCATCACTCATCAAATAAGCACTTACGAAGAAACGCCCCGTGTTTGTAATGCTGCTCTTACGGCTGCTACTATTATAAAGATCACCACATCTTTTAACCCATTCTCCCTTACTTGGGGGGTATGTTCCCTTATTTAGTCACATCGTCCACAATATTATCGCTCGCCTTCCGACGCTATTACGCACCCAGTGTCACCATGCTAGCTGAGCTTTCCGTCGCCTTTACTTTAGCTGCTTTTGCTTTGGCTTCGCCGCCAATTGATAAGTTATGTCCAAGTCAAAGTGGCATGCCCGCAAAGCCAAATCCCACCCTTCCAAGCAATGGTGGTGGTAAGAATTAAGTCCGCCATGTAGACATATGAAAAGATTTCAGTTGAACTGACGTAGCCTACAGCTTCTGAGCTCCCTGAACCGTCTCAGGGAGCGGCTCTCAAGCATATCGCGCTTGGCTTTGGTATTCAAAACTACACCTGCGCCGATACCGACACCACTCCTACATCTGTCGGTGCTCTAGCTGTCCTTTACGATGTCACTCATCTCTACCCCGGACAAAGCCACTCATCTCTGACCCAAGCCGAATGGGCTTCGCTCCCAGGTGAGGTTCTAAACACGCTGAAAGTTCCTCTGAATCTCAATGAAAATGGTATCGGAGCCTCCCCCATCAAACCGTTTCCCAAGAAACAGAATCTCAAGGTTAGGAGCCTTTCAAAGAAGATCTCCTACCTTGGCCATCACTACTTCAACTCTGTCGGTGTTCCGACTTTCGACCTTGACAAGGCTTGTCAACTGCTGATTGCAAAGAAGATTGACGGTATCAAAGCTCCTGGTTCTTCCCCGTCTGGACCCGATGGCACTGGTGCTGTGGACTGGCTCTTCCTTGGTGATGCTGGCGGCAGCCACGGAATTTCTTTTGTCTACCGTGTTCTGACAGCCAGCGGTGCTTCTCACGGATGCAAGAAGAAAGGAGTTGATAGCACTTCCTACGCAGCCATGTATTGGTTTTACAATTAAAATAAAGCCATCTTCAACGGCCGAAACATTAAGGGATAAATAAGCTGGCAATTACAGTTCCGAAATAAACCTTGGTCGAACTAGAGTCGGAAATTGTCTAGTATTCTTGTGATTGCGAATTATCAGATTCTTTGCTCTCTTTCTAATGTCTTTAGATTGTCACATATCTGTTCTCAGCTTATGGCGCCCTTTGGTGAGGTTTATTGTTCCACAGGGAAAATCGAACCGATGCCTGGGTAAACGTGATGTTAGTGTATTTAAAGACATGATCCGACATTTCCTTCCGTACAAAACCAAAATTTGAGTAACGCAAATGCTGGGATTTACAGCTTGACTTATTAACTTCCTTCAGGCTCTCAGGACTTGATAGCTCGTGGGCCACGACGAAGACGTAATTGACAGTGTAGTACCCTATGGCGGCCTTTCTATGCCTAAATTGGCTATGGAAGTCGGGCATGGTGACCATCTACTGCGAGGTACATACCTTACCCTTAGCCAGTTGTGATACACACCGTCAGGTAGACCTTTAGCATCATAAGATTAGTCTTTCCATCTTCAATATAGCATTTGAAAAGTTTTCATTCATCGGCATCCATGCACCAGCTCGGCCTTCTTCCTTTCGTCCGTGCCACCAATCGGAGGCCAATGTGGGTCTTCCAATGCTCCGCTGGCCTTAAGCTCTTAGCCCATGGACGGAACCTTTTTGATAATTCACCTCGTACAGTGGGATGCAAAAAGTATTCGCAGGTGTGTAAATAGGTTTGTTGCTCGGAAGCTAGTTAGGGGTAGCTTGTCAGGTTCTCAATACCCTTATATTACACCGAGATCAGCGGGATAACCTAGTCTCGAGTACATAAGCTAAGTTAAGCTACTAACTAGCGTAGCTAACATACACACCTGCGAATACTTTTTGCATCCCACTGTACTCCTACCCGTATCTATCGGTTTCTTCACAAGTTTGACACTTTGGAGACTCATTCTAAAAAAAAAAAAAAAAAAAAAGGGAATAACCTGTTCCCTTCCCAGTGCGTTAATCGTTCTTTACATCCTTGCGGTTGCCAGAATGATCGAAGAGAGATTGAGAGAGAAGATTGGTAAGTAACATCCAGGTCGCTGATCGACCAATCTAGTCTGCTGCAGCTAGTAAGCGCTGTCACAAATTAGCCCCATTGTGCTCATCAGTTTACAAATCCAACCACTGTAACTATTCCTCATCAGTCTTAGCATCCTAGTAAAACCGGGTTAGACGTTCTATTTAATTCACGGACCTCCATACCCGGAGGCTTGTTGAACTACCGACTGCTTGCCAAGACGCCAGCGTCACAGGACCCGACAATCATGCGGATGCGAGCTGTTTATTCTTAACCGGCTTATCCGTGCCCAATCACGTCATACAATGAATGAGGCGGGGATCGAAATGAAAGAGGATTGGAATTTAGCTTTGGCTAACCTTAGTAGGGCTAGACCCTACGGGGCTGCTCGTTTTGTTCTAACTGAATACCTAGCCAATCAACCTAAGTTTGTTTTATCTTCGCAACTCATTAAACTGTGCTCTGACTACAAAGTAGAGTGTAGTTGACTTGATTGGCTCTGATATGAACTCCAATTCATTTCAACGACTTAATACCCATTCTACAGCTTCAAATATGTAAGAAAGTGGTGTCTATTCGAAGAAGATTCAACAATCAGCGACAAGAAAGGATGAGTTCTGGCACTTACGAGAAGAGACGATGGTCGTCTTTGTTGCATGCAGTGGAGTATCGACTAACGGTAGACGTCCAATAAGAAGATCAATGTTGAGCCTTGTCGGGGTCTGCGGCACGCGGCCATCCAGGAACGAAGTGAGCAACAGGGCAAAAGCAACGGTGCCCCCACGGTCGGCACATTATGTTGAATACTGGTGAAAATGAGACCGGCTAACCGGATGACCGAACTACCGGTCAGAGAGCTGTCTCAGCACTGTAATAACCTCTTAGATAGGTCATTACTGAACAGATAGAAATAGGGTTCCAACCCAACTATCGGAGAGAGAGAAGGACACACAATTGACCCCAATATCTAACACATTAACGGCCTATAACCTGCACCAGCCTCTTGGAATCGCCCGAGTCAGTCGCACAATACATTTTAGTCAGAAACGAGGCACGCATCTGGAGAATCTATTAGAAGCGACGCGTGGAAACCCGCTCCTTGCCCAAGTTTGACGTTATCTGGTGGAAGCGAGGCTCATCTCAATTGCGTCAAGGCTGCGGATGTATCACGGAACCACGGCGCGCCCAGGATTCGTGAGCAATACCATATTCTGGCAAGATTGTCTCTCTTAATCTTAACCCACCAGGGTCCGCGAAGCTTATACCCTGGGTTGAATGAGGGGGCCAAAGATCTTTGAAAGAGTACGGCTGCATTGTCGCTCGTACGGCAGCACTCTACAACTCAGTGTCCGTTTTAATTAGCTTGGATGTGTGACGGCTGGCTGAATAGGGTGGCTTCCAGAGCGGAATGGTTGTTGGGAAGCGGAAGCCTCGAATCTCGATGATGCAGCCGCGGTTTCGGGAATTGCCGGATTTAACATTACAGTAACAATTGACCATGTCCGTAAGATCCAGCGCGGGAAGACTTCCGGGGTAGCACGCCCCCGTAGGTACTGTATTCATGCATGCGCGATTTAAAATTGAGCTTGGGGTGCGACTGACTCAGGGCCCGGTTGCAGAGGCCAGATTTACAAGCTAGTCGACGAACTAAAGAAAGTGTCTTGATTGTAACATTCAACGGCTTATACTGCTGCATTGGTCAACTCGTTTCAATCTTGCATGCTGCCAAGCTTCTCATCAGGTCTGGTCGTGAGACATTGATAAGTTGGATGATCATACTAATTCGTCGAAGCGGCGCAAAACTTCGTTATCGAAGTTGAACCTATAGTCACTCATCCTATATGTCGCATCTCCGTGGTCGCTCATTTCGATATCAAAGGCTTTCCACTCTGGTCGGTAATGGGTCTGATTGGAAAAGACAGTAGCGAGAAGCCGAGCGACATGAGCAGTCTTGTTTATCGGGGCGGGTCTGTCTTCCTTCACCCTGAAAAGGCTAGTCAATCTACATGACCTCGTGTTTCGCTTTGACGCAATGACCGGACCCATGAATGTCAATGCTTCACAAACATTTTGTTCTTAACCCTCAAGGACGGACTCTGATCCCTGTCACTCTCCACCTCGATTTCACAGCACTAAATTAGGGCCCAAGCTGCCGGAGACTTCGCTGGCTGGACCGGGAAGTGCTAATTGCGTAATGCCCAGCCTTTCTGCTCATTCTCGTCATATGAAGTACGCAATGGTACCATACTGGCCTCGTTACATACCGAGAGGCGGCCGATAGAAGCAAGATTCTGATGAATCGAGTTGACTACCACGGGAGCTGAAGTTGTCACTTGCGGATTAAAGAATCATGAGGCTTCTGAAGATCTCTCAAGTTTCTTCACCCTCACCAATCGCGTTCGTCATGTCTCCAGCTGCAGCTCCCCTGCTCTGCCTGGTAGTTTAATAAAGTCAAAAGTTTTCCTGTATACCATCAGGTGAAGCCCGTGAGTAAAGTGTCGATACAGATCGCCCCTTGATGCTCGGACACTTGCCTTGAAGGGGTAACGATTTGGCCTGATCATGTTGGTTTTGACATGGGTGGGTGGAGTCATCATATTCATAACGAGGGCAGCGCTTGCGACTCACTGGTCCCAGGCAGGGGTTTACTATCCATGACAGAAGGCAGTAGCAAAATGCTGTTGGTGATCGGTACTGAGTATTGCTTTCTGAACCAACACAACGAGAGGCAGACGTCCCGACAGTATGGCTCACAGGCGGGTACTGAATGTGCGATGCATTATAAGGAGAAAAACAGCGCCAGATAGGAATGAAAGTAAAGTTGTCGAAGCTGTCACAAATCTAGTTGTCCTCATTTTTTCCCCGTTTCTTTTTAACAAGTTTCGCGACACCGTCGCATCGCGGCTCATCACTTAGCTTTTAAGATGGACTATGATTGGTCACGACAGAAAGGGGTGTTCGTACATCCACACCCCAGCACTACCCAGCCCTTCGAGCCATCTGGCTCAGTTCCTCTACCGCACTCAATATCTGTCGCCAACTTGTCAGCGCCTCCATCCCAAGATACAGCACAGACTGTGCCCCTGACACATCTGAGTAGTTCTGCCCTTCCCACTGAAAACATTCCTTTCTACGACGTGGTACCGGAGCCTACCCTGAATTCCTGCCCTTGGGGTTATCCATCTTGTCCAGGCCGCAGCTGGTGTCCCGTCTCACACCCTCTACAATACTCCACCAACTATAGCTCCATTGATCACTCAATTTCGGACACAAACCTGTTCACGTCCACCCAAAGCACCTTTTACCAGCAATCCATTCAGCCAAACCCACCTATAAGCGCAAATATCTACATGTATGAAAATACCCTGACATGCCTATTGCCGAGCGAACGATTTATCCTCGAAGAAAGATTGAAAAACAGATCGTGGGACGATATTCTAAAAGAACACAATCAACGTTGGACCCCAGTTAATCATCAGACTGCGCTCATGAATAGGCTGAAGAAATTACGGGAGAAGTATGACGTCATCAATCAAATCCTGCCATCAAGGTCAGGAGCCTCTAAACGGTCAGGACACAATACATGTTCGGTTAAAATGCCATGTGCTGCCTGCGGGCTGCAGAATTACTAAGATCTCTCTTGAGATCAACTAGAACTATATTTCGTTGTAAATCAAGACAATACTCATTAATCAGAACCTGGTTGTTACAACTTGGTCTGCACAACTCCTATTACTGACCCAAGGCAACGACGGGCCAGGCGGGAGGTGTCCCAGTTTTGAACAGTTTATTTGCATTGTATCTTCATATGACGATAGTTTAGCAGCCTAAGCGGTCCAAACAATAATCAACTTATAGCCTAACCATAAAATAGGCGTCACAGTTTTAGTATATTAAAATATACAGGGCTAAATACCATAATTAGATACTAAATTAATTGCTGCATTTAGTAATATCCTAATTCAGAAGCATTTTATTCAAGTTAATACTAACTAGAGTAATTATATTATAATTAATGTGATAAATAAGTTATATATGTACATATATAACAAGTACAGATAATTATATAAATAGCTTAATAACATAAAACTTATAAAAGACCTCCACCCCCTCAAGGATTTTTAAACTTCATAGAAAATAATTTCCTATTTTATTATATAATATGGGGTACGTAAGGAAGTCTTCTGAACCAAATACCAAGGTTTTACTCTATGGCCGTCTCTCCGGACGGTATCCTCGAGCAGTACTTGAGAAAAACCTTAAAAAAAAAGCCAAGTTTGAAATTGTCAAGAAATTTGAGGATAGACCGAACTATTTTGTTTGTACAGAAACTGCCTTCAAAAATATGGACAAATATAAGGAAGGGAACAAGGTTTCCCAGGCAGTGGCGAATATGACAACCATATGCAAACCTGGCTGGTTATATGATGCTCTAGAAGGAAACTTAGACCCCAAAGAGCACCATATCCAGTGGCCTCCAGAAAAGAGAGGAAACCCCCTGGAGAAGTTAAGGTGGAACAAACTACTACACGAGTGTTGGGTTCGTGCAGAGCAAGGAATTAATAGTTGGCAATGCCGGGCTTTTATTATTCCCCTCCTCCTCGGGGTGTCCAATGAGGCCATGGCAGCCGATTTTTCAGTCCACCTATCTCAATGCGAGATGCCTGTGAGTATTACATTGGTTATTCCTAATGAAAATGTTATTCTAACATCACATAGAATAAGAGTCAGAAATATCTTAGTACAGTTGATCTGCAGAAACGATTTTCTAATGCCCTTCTTGCTAGCAGTAAATCATACCCTAGGCCTATAATATTCTCATCAGATTCCATCTGTAGAGACCTCGATCTCCCTTCTGTCGCTGAGATTAAAAATAAAGACGGCATGGACTTGAATGGGCTTGAAATATTTGCTCTCTTAAGAGATCATAACGACATTCAGAAAAATATCCACAGTAATTTCGATTCTATGATATTGTTCATATTCATATCCCAGGTTTCACTTCATGACAAAGCTGAAGAGGCGCTGAACAGTCTGCTTAAAAAATTTCAAGATACAGAAATGGAACAAGGGTTATGGATTCTCCATCAACTCATCCGCAATATGTCTATGCGGAAAATCGATCGCTTGTTAAAATGGCAAGATATTCCTACTGAAGATACAGAAGGCTGGTGGAAAGTGAGGTATAGAAATGAGGAGGCTTTTGTAATCTCCTTATACAATGAGATGGAAGACCAGGAAGTTTGGACTGAGGTAAAAATCAAGGATTTTGAACGATTTTCGAGACTTAAGTCTAAGGAGAAGATAGACTGTTACATTCAGGACCGCCGCAGTTGTACAGCGCTACTTCCCACGGGGTTACGAATTCCCCTTTCCAAACACCAGGAGGATGCGAATGATAAGCAAGATGATGAGCAGAGCTCCCTGGGAGATGCCTCCGACGAAAAAAGAAAGGGCAAAGATAAATCTTAGGCAAATGAGTAGAAGGACTCAGTTTCGGATCACTAATAATCATCGGCCTGGTGTCTGACTTGGCGGTCGGGCAAGTTATGGTGAGGAGTTAGCTACCAGGGCGCCCTTGTCATTATTTGCCCTGTTTGTAGTGTTTTGGTGTGTTTTAGACTTTCGTGTCCATCTTCCATCTTGGTTTCTCTGTTTACTCCGAGTCTGTTACGTACTCTCTGGTGACTAGGCTTTCTATCTCACCAGATATAAACTTGGAGTACTCTTGATGGCCCTCTCTCTCCATCAGTACGGACATCGATGTATCCTTCACTACGTCTTTGCATTTTTTCTGTAGGGTTACGGGAAGGGTTTGCATTTAGATAGTCAGTTTCATCGGATCGTGTAGACTCCTAGTATTAAATGAATGTCCAAAGGCCTTATGAAATCGTGAAGCTACACTTTTTGTGGTTGAATGTGCTGTCTCTTACAGTCCCCCAGTTCTCAAACGGCATGTGCATATGTCAATGCGTCCTATCCATGCCATCTTCCAGCCGCTCATCCATACATCAGGTATAGGTAACTCAATTCCGACATTTCGGCCTGGTGCAGCAAAGAAAACAAAAGGTTTTGAACGAACTATGGCTATTTGCGGCGGTACGTTTAGCTTATGGTACATGTGTCAACAGCTTGGTTGCTGTCAATGTCAAGTGTATTCTTGAAATCACATAATCAATTTGTAAAAGGACGAATCAGATCTTAGTTTCTTTAATATAAATTTAGTGATTCCAGGTAGCTTGTACATTCCCATCCGAATAAGATACCAAAGTTGAATGGAAGGAAGAAGAAGAAGAAGAAGAATACAGCGAAGTACACTTCATCATATAGCACAGAAGCGCAAACACAAGCAATTACTCACCCCTTTTCCTGGTTCCGATAACAGCTATGGCGAGTCGAGCCACAAAACATGAGAAAATGCTTATCTTTTCCTCGCACTAGAAGACGAAAGAGAGGTGATACCTTGGCACAAATAGTTTGTATTTATCCTTTCTTTTGATAAGGAGCCGTAGGATCTCCCCTAAACTAACCTCTGGAGACATGAGTATCTGTCGCAAGGTATCACCTAAACTAGCTAAGGATCAAAAGAGATCGATATTGATGATTGGACGAACACCTGCCAGTCTTTATAGTTTCGAAGGAAGCGCCGGGACCTCGTCAGGGCTTCTGAACGCACGTAGACCGTTCATAAATGATTCCCACGATTCATCAGAAGTGATAGGTGCTGTCACGTAATTGTCTATATCAGATTGGGAAGCAGATTCCGATCTGATCTGGGCCAAGACGGCATTGTAGGACTCAGAAGCTCGAGAGGGTGCATATGCCTGGGCTACTCGCCCAGGCGCAGGCATAGGATCTAAATCCTCACACAGGCAGATCCTCTCATACAACAACAGCACATCCAACGAGAGCCCCGCGTTCTCGGCGGCCTCATAGGCCATGCGATGCCCGATTGCTTCGGCCAGCAATCGGCATCGAGGTAGAATGTGACGATCAAATGAAGCGCCACGATGTTCCTCATAACCCCCGACTCTCTCAAGCCGCGATTTCATGTCTGCCAGTAAGTCTCCCTCGCGTTGCGCCAAGCGAGACGATCTGTTCCGCGCCTGTGGGAGATCTAATTTCCCTCCCAAAAGCTCTGACATGAAGCCTATGAACGGAAATGGTCAGCTTACTTGTCAAGTCAAGGCGACTGCCAGCAGGCAAATGCCAATGGTACATACGAATACACAACACCAATGTATCGCCTTCGGCAATTGAATTTCCGTGAAATGTTAGATCCAGCTCGCTTATTTGATTGTACGCGAAGAGACCTTGCCACCCGCATCTTTCAGCGAGAGACCTCAGGACTTGAGAGGCTCTGACTACAGTCGCCTTGAAAATGGTGGCAAGCGCGTGCTGCATGGGGTCAGTTAGATCAGGGCACATATCTATGGTCCAGTGAGCGAATGCATGCAAGACCTTCCCATGAACCCATCCCTCGACGATCGGATGTTGCTGAGTAGTGAAGCTCATAATCTTCTTTCTTGCTTGCGCATCGGTTGATGTGATAGTCCTTCTTTCGCTATAGACAGCAGCTATGCGTGTGCTGACCTTGATAGCCGAAATGCCCATGATAGAGAGAGACAGCGTTCCAGCTGCTATACGCCAAATCTGTCGTAAAAACTCAACACGGTCGTTCTCTGGTTTTGAAGAAGAACCGAGCAAAGCCGATGAGGGCAGATCCACATGGTTAAAAGTTGTCAGAGAGTGGTCCAGCGGTTTCGTACCCGGTCTTGTAGGAAGAATACGTGACGTAATCCCGGGCCTCATCCCCCCTGCATCGCTGAGGAACACAAGGAAGGGCTTCACGCCATGACTCTGTCCGTCAATCATGAGTCGAGCGAACACTATGGCGACGCGGGGCATTTCGCAATACGATGTTGTCGGAGGCATTGCTTTTGAAGCTCCTGCATGAGGAGTATCCAAATCGTAGGAGCCATCCGGCAGCAGCGTTGCAGTTGTTTCCAGGTTGCGAGCATCCAAGCCATGGCCAACTTCGGTCAACATGAATTCACCACAAATATCAAAATTCAAGAGCTTATCGAGTAAGTCTTGTAGATCGGGACGCTCTTTGACGAAAGAGCAAAGTGTTCCTATGCAAAGGTTTATGTGTATCGCTGCGATAATGAATGCCGTCATGTCGCGGGCAGCAATCACTCCATTGACTTATTCAGTATAGCCCCAGGGTATGCTAAGGATTATCAGACTCACGATCAAAATGGAAATTCCAGAATTTGGGGGTCAGATCCTCGATGTCATGTTGTGTCAGACCTGCCAAGTATCTTAGTGATGCTCTCTAATCAAGACTATGCACGCACCGCTGTGGCGACACATCGATTTTGCTCTCTCGTAATGTATAGCTATGTCTCGTTTGGAGGCGGGGGCCACAAGGTCATGGTCGCGGCGCCAAATGTCCTGTGTAAGGATTGCTTTGGATTGAAACATGCTGGAGGCCTGCTGTCTCAGATGACTTGACGTAGCTCTAATGAGTGTAAGTAGAGAACAATGCACGGCCAATATTGCAAGAGACAGGCAAGGTTTATTTTAGCTGTCCAGTTGCTCTTATAGAAAACGAAACAGTCTTTTTGGACCGCCCATCGAAGTATCGAGCACACTCGTCAGACAATCGTGATAATCTCGACGAGATGGATTAGAATGTGAAAACGCAGGTCCACTTTCCATCACATACTTTAGTGAATCATGTGGATTTTTTTCAGGTAGGGATTTCGGTAATGGGATGTTGGGGACTTCTGAAAACCTCGGAAGCAGCCTCAATGCACACTCCCCCATCCCCCCTCTCCCCCCTCCAAATAAAAATACAATATCTGAGAGTGATCTTCTTTCATGAGCAGGTGTTGACTAATGTTAAATTGTAAGAAGAAGCTTGTTCAAGAGCTCGCCGTGTTCAGGCAGCACGCTGGAAAGTTTTAGTAAAGGAGGATAAAGTTTGTATTCAAATAGATAGAAGCTCTATAATCTTTTACCTTGGAAAGGAGCAAAGTACTCGCCTCGTAGACAACTGGTCAATGTATCATCTAAGAAGTGTTGCTCAAGTAGTGAGCCTGCTTATCTAGGGCAACTTAATTAATGGCCAATAATGAGTCTGACATCGCCCAGCTTGATGAAGCCACCATTAGTTTGGTCAATATCGTCGAAGCATACAGCGCTACTACCAAAGGGATTGAGGCGTAAGAATACACACAGACCATAAACGGAGGCGAGCCCCGTCGGCATCGCGAAGACTAACATTGAACCCGGATGAGGTAGCAGTATATTTGTCATTCCCAGTAGTCGGTGGAGCCATTGGAGCCCGTGGCGCCCAGCCATGAATCAGTACGCTTAGGTCGTCATTGAAATTTCCACTCCGCTTTCACGCCAGTCACATTTGTCCAGAAAAGGCTAGTGTGCACTATCCAGTTCACCTGCGTTCGGGCATCATCAGCATAAGCCATAACATGACGCGGTTTCACAACGTTGTGACCTGTGGAGATGACAGCCTCAATTTAACTGACTCTGCATGGCGGGCCTATTGTTTCTCATGATAATACTAGGGAATCCGTGCTGTATCGCAGTCTATACGTTGTATTTACATCCAGTTACGTAGCAGAGACCGGTGTACTAAGTATTATGCAGCGTAAAAGCCTGCCCCTGGTGAGTCTCTCTTTTTGTATGGGCTAGCTTCAGATGTCTTGTTAGTACGTAATATCCCGTTTCGGGGATTTTGTTGAACAGATTGCAGCGCCGAGAACATGGCTCTAGATACTCTTTCCCTGCAGTCGCTTCTACAAGTCACTATTGAACCGGCTATAAATATCTCACACAATGGTAATAAATAGATACTCGCTCAAGTCAGCTTGGCACGCTCAAGGGACTAAGCGGCTCCTACCCAACCCTCTGATCCCACCTCTCCCCCCTAAGAGTGGTCGGTTAAAAATAGTAGTTTTACCTAAAGTACGTACAAGATAGAGGCTCCAGTGAAGGCGTACCTGACTGTACGTCAACGATCAGCTTGTATTTCTGCCAGAACTTACTTACAACTAATCTACGTAAAAGAGGTACACACAGATACAAGCCTCGATGCATTTAACCCACTCTCGAGGCATGTTCCACTAATCAAGCTGTCGAATCTATGGTTTCCCTTGCTGGATTATCTGTATTATTTTGCATAAATGCAGACGCACGGTAGCCATCATAGTCAGCTGAAGCGAACCTGATCCTGAGATTATCAAGTACAGGTGACCCCCATAAAAGGTCGGCGCATCACTTGATATACTCTCCACTCTAGATTGCGGCTGACGGCTATGAATTCGTTTTTCCCTTACTTTCGACCTGGGCGGAGGGACGCCGCTTATGCTGCCTTCGCCCAACTCTCAGAGTCTGAACAGGCAGTCCGAGAAGAGAGCCAGTTAAACCTTTGCCGAGACACGCTAGAGGAGACCCTTTTAATTCTACACCCTGAATGTCACTTAGCATTGAAGCTGCAAGATGCTCTGGATGAGATTCGGCGTCGGTCTCTGGCTATGCTATCTAGAGACAATAGCGAGCAGCGCAGTAGCGACTTGGATCCACACCAATCACCACGTTCAATCAGCGATGATTGTGAATACAAATACCTCGACAAAATATCGTGCACTCCAGATCGTTCTTGCGATGCACCGATGTCAAACATTGAGATGACTGTTGTTGAGGATAACAACAACGCCGTAGCAGCACCGGTATTCAGAGCTGCAACGCCCGTGAATCGACCCGTGATCATGAATGACAACATTCGGAAACCGCTACATGCAGGCAAGAAGCACTCGCTAGAGGTCAACATGCCCGCCGCAAAGCGACGAAAAGTGAGGGGCAATTAGCTCTCAGATTAGATGTATCGGATAATTCAAAGTAGGAGAGGAGATAAATGTTACAGCAGACTAGTCAGTTAACATCACAACATCACATATCTTTCTGGTACCAGATCTATGAAAAGATACAAATGCCTTGCCTTTTTTCATAACGATATCTTCGTGACCAATGTGGTTATCTCTTTAAGAACCATTGGCACGGTATTGGGATATCGTTACCTAGTTTTTGACTATCTATTTGTTCGGTTGAAACTTAACCCAGTATGCCAGATCGATGCATCATCGCTTTGCCAACCGTTAGCCCGGGATGAGTTCTCCCGTAGCGTACATGACATTCTTTGCCGTCGATTTAAGCTCTAACATACTACCTAAGCCACCTGGACAGTGTGGTTGATTACTTATGGTGAGATCCATGCCGCATTTCTCGTCGATTCCATACTTGCAGACCAAGTCATAAATGTTATATAATTCGTAGTTCTGTGCGACCCAGCTTGTAGGCTGGCTAATACAAGATGAGACGTAATTCATACTATTCGCGGCTGACAGAGGCAATTTACCGTCTTTGAGTAGATGTTGACATTTTGATGTATCTACAATCTCATAAGACATCTGAATTCCCCCACCCAAATGGGGGTCCTCCACAGCAGATGTACCGAATACCAGGTAGTTCCAAGCATCGTAAGAGATATCGTACGCGCCTTCCGACTTATTGATGCGAAGGAGATGAAGGAACCGCCCCTCATTTGCGACTTTGACGCATATACCGTCGCACCCGACCTCTAAGGGCCAGTAGGCGATCCGATTCGTATCGACTTTGCAACCCAAGACTCCAATGGAGCTAGAATATTGGTCATGGGGAGTAATGGATACGATGTTGTGAGTATTGGGAAGTATGGTGTGAACCTCTGAGATCCAAAATGCAGCAGTGCAGACCAAGAGAGGTAGCCAAAGTCGGGATACCGGCATCACGTCCAGAATCAACGATATCATGTTCGATGCCATGGATGGGCATTGATGGGCCTCTGATCAATAAATGAACAGCGATATGGACCCGATAGATTGCTGCGCTTTGTTGTCAGATGCCACAAATAACAAGGGTGTTGGCGAGATGCATACAAGTCTTTTCTTACCTGGCCTCCCCGGGTGGGCTCACTGACTGTCGCCGTTGGACTAAGTATATTTAGATACCCACGAGTCCTTTTCGAGTTGCTTGACATATATAAGTATAACTGATGTAATTTCGTAGAACGTTTTGCGTCATATTTTCTAGATATAACCACAAAGCGGAGTCCACAACCAAGTAAGGCGCACAAAAGTGGGATGTGTCTGTGTAGTAAGCTATAGAGAGGCGAAGGCTGGGTCGCAGTCACCAAGAATATATTATAGGTCTCAGAAGGATTGAATGGATCACATTGCACTGGAAACGTGGCCGACACGAATTCGGCCAGTGTAGGATTTAAAGTATCTTCCTGGTAGTATACATATCAAAGCACTATTTTCTTTTTAATTTTATCTTAGTTATATACGCTCAAAGGCAAATCAAGGGGTGAGTACATATATATATATGCGGCATCATATGTTGCTGTCAAGTCAAAGTCGAATCAAATAAACATTCTCACTACTATGCGTTCTGTCCCGATTTTTGTCTGCCTACTAGGAATCTCGCTTGCCACTGCACTCCGTATTATTCCACGCTCGCAAAAACCAGATGTAACACCAGAAGGTTTTCTTAAAGCAGGCCCTGGTGGCATTGATGCGATCGAAATTACTCCAAAGAATCTACTTGCTGGGACGTCAGGCAATCCCAAAGCTCCTGTTTTGAAACACCGTGCTCCTGACTCTGCTTCCTTGGTGGTAAAACTGATTAATAACTTGGATAGGGCGACTGTGAGAGCTTACATATCCGGTCTGGATGCTACTGGTAAGGTTTTCTTTCTCTCCCCCAACGGTAAGCTTGTCTACCCCAAGTCAAAAGAGCCTCATGTATCAAGCGAGATTACGGAAGACATTGCCTTATCCTTAGGCTCCAAGAATCAGACTCTTGACGTATCACTCCCTCCATTTATTCGCTCAGGTCGCGTCTACTTTGCAGACAGCGACCTCCGTTTCTTTGTTGTCAACAATGGAGGAGGCGATAGCGTTGTCCAACCTTCGGTCACCAATCTACAAGATCCCAATGCAGACGTGAACTGGGGATTTGTAGAATTGACCTATATGAATGGTTTATTATATGCTAACATCAGTTATGTTGATTTTGTCGGTATAGTGCTTGGCATGATGCTCACTGAAAAGGATGGTAGTACCCAGACCACTGCGGGGCTGGTAGCCGATGCTGTTACCAAGATTTGTAATGACTTAATGAAACTGAGAGAAACTGACCATCGTGATTGGGCATCACTCTGTATTGCGAACGCGGAGGGGAAGACTGTGCGTGTCCTCTCCCCGGGAAATCGGCACGAGGTCGAAGCTCAACTGTTCAACGACTATTGGGATACCTATGTAAACGAAGTATGGAAGAAGTACGCAACACAAGACCTCGTCATCGACACCCAGTCAAATGCCAGCCAGGTCAAGTGTAGAGTTTCGGACAATCAGCTCGTCTGCGAAGGAAGCGATCGTGGCTTCGCCAAACCTACCAGTAAAGATATCTGGGGCTGTAACAGCGGCCCGTTTGCTATCTCTGAAGGTGATACATCAATCCATGCAGCTATAGTCCCCCGAATCTGTGCCGCATTTGTTCGATCAACGCTTCTGCTCGATGGAGGTGACATCCAGCCGAGCTTAGGTCAGAGTTCCTACTATACAGTCAATCCTACTAATCATTACAGCCGCATTGTTCATTCTTATGAGGTCGATGGTAGAGGTTACGCCTTTCCTTATGATGACGTTAACCCTGATGGCAATGAGGATGCGTCTGGGGTTGTGAGTTCGAATAGCGTCCAGTCTTTAGCCATCTATGTTGGCGCGCCACCTTCACTTGGCTAAGCTCACTAAGTAATAAGTCAGATACCTTTGTATCTATTCGCTGTACTGATATAATTCGTCTAACTATGAAGGTCAGGCAGCTTCGCATAGGCCTTGTACTCCCACCAAAGGTGTAGGAACTGGAACCATACACAAACCGGCACCCAGGTGACAGCGGCAAATGGCTTCAGTCACAGCACCGATTGTAAGGACAAATGGAAATTATTTGATACGTGGTTGGTTATAGTTTCGATGTGAAATCGCGACCAGCGGCAAGCAAAGGCGTAGAAGTAGAAAGGAACTTGATTGAAGGATTTAAAGAGACATGGGATTATTGGTGGAGTGACATGTAGATAGCTATAGAGATCGATCATTCTTGCTCACTCATCGGCCGGTATATGGGTCCAGTCCGCAGTAAGAGAGAGGTGGACATCAGTGGGAGAGACGAAAAAGGTGGTGAGCATTATGACAAAACGAAGCGCGGAGCAAATCATCAGGAATCACGGTTTCAAGCCAGCGAAAAATCACCACGATTGTGCTATGTCACCTGTAACGTGAATGACACTCTTGAAAACGAACAAGAAGGTGCGGTTTACATTTTTTTCATTTTGCAATCGTAGTGGGGGTATGCAAGTGTATTTGAATGTCTATTAGCAACAAGATTGAGATACCTTTTTACTTGGTTCATAACTCAAGTCAAGTAACGATGGCTGACCTGATCGGATAAACCCAGTCAGTAGTTTGCTATATACAACGGTATTGTATATGTCCAGAAACGAGGTGATTTGATCCTTCATTTCCTGGCAGGGCGATGAATACGACAGTCGATCCAAGCTTTCTCAAGCGGTGTCAAACGCCTCTCTACTCTGCATTGATACCCGAGGCGTACCCACCAGATGACACCTTTGCTTTGGGCTGATCATGGATCAGCCCAGAAACGGCTAGCTGATTCGATGTCTGACGTGTTATCCTCTATCTGTATGGATGGGTAGTGATCAATCGGATATTCTATACAGAATACCTCGAGTGGCCTACTTCTTCTTCCATCACAAAAAGGATGGCATTTGGATTGGGTTTGCTGTAAGCCAACCAAAGTCATGTGTTAAGTAGGGCAAGGGTGAGTATAGTGAAAGACCGCAAGGGTCGGTGAAGCATGGTGGTGTAAATGCTGACTGTGGTGCGAGCATGCTTTGCGGTGGACCAGCAAAGTCGAGACAATCTTTCATCCACGTTTCTTCCCAAGCTGATACGCCCATGCAGTCTGTGAAAGGCATCAAGTCCATACTGCTGTCGAAGCTCCACGGCAACGTATCGAATGATTGTACGTCAGGCGTGCCAATCCTGGTGCTCTTGCTAGGCTCGATCGCCGTAACTGATGAGGGGCTTGCTTCTGGTAGCGTCAAAGCTGTCGAAATCACTTCTTCTACCGGCAAAACGGGCTCTTGGCTCTTATTTCTGGATTCAGTAGCCCTATTTGTATCCTTAGACGGCTGTGGCTCTGTCGGATCGAAGACATATTCAGCGCCCTTCTCGCTTTCGATGATGGAAAGGGATACCCTACAGCCTGTGAGAACAGACAGCTCATACGCCTTCTTGAAAAGTCCTTCTTTCCTCTTCTTAAAGGTCGTCCTTCTGGCGCTTTCACTGGGTATCTTCTTGATTTCGATTCTTCTACGACCCATACTGGCTCAATCATAGCTACCTAAACTTTCAACGTTGGTGCGAATGACTCCTAAATAGAAAATGGCCATGACACAGACTAGGGAGGATCGGAGGAGGGTCAATATTGTTATTCTAGCAAAAGCACGCAAAGTGAGCGAAACCCACTATGGAATGAAGGAAAGGTAGTCCATTATTCGGCCGGAATGTGACAACTGATGCGTCATCACTAACCCCAACGTTATCGTTGCCAAGTCTGGGACCTGGATTGTTACCAATGACAACAACATTAGCAACGCTATGACCGATTATTTTTAGATACCTTGAGCCTTGGCGCTAGTTGATCGTGGTAAGTGACTCGTTGACATGCATGAGGCGCTATTATTAGTTTCTATAATTAGTTTTGTTACGAGATCATACAGAGATTAATTCTCTTCAACTCGAGCGAACATAAAGTATAATTGATTGTCTCGTTCCAGTGTCAACTAATGAACTTGTGTCTATGCAATTAATACTTAGAAAGCATTATCATATATCAGAAGTGCTATTGCTATGGACTCATTGCCTCCAAAAGTGTATTGGATACTGATAGATTATCTGTCTGTCAGTGATCTACATGGCCTGGTGAGCTGCAGCAGGTCAATTCAGAAAAAGGTCAAACCTATGCTTTATCGTGTACTACGCCTTGATTTCGACAATGGAAACGTAAAGCCACAGACGCTGTTACTATTAAGGACTCTAATGCATAGTCCGGAGCTCATGAAGTTCGTGAGGTCCGTGGAATTTTTGAACACGGGATCTAGTATCTGGACACAGGGGCATTCTCAACTTCTAAGTCTTATACTAGTGAGGATGAACTTACGTCCCGAGCGAGTCACAGCTTTCTCTACCACCTCTTCCTGGGTTCCACTTAATACATACTTCGGCGGCCTCAATTCCATAACCTATGCAGGCGCCGTATCGGCCACTCAGCTTGAATGGCTTCGTTGGCATCTGGCCAATTGCAAACAGATATCCCATCTCCACATACGACTTTCCAAGCGCGGATCTAATTACCACTTACCCCTGTTGAGGACTACCGGCCTAGATTGTTTGAGTGAACTCTGTCTTGAAAACTGTGCATTAGAACATTTTGTCCCGGAAGAATCCTGGAGGCTAAGGTGGCTTGATCTTAGATACTGCTCAGGTACCGAGATGTTCATGCATAGGCTATTATCAGGTCACCAGCTGCAGCTTTTGAAAGTGCTTCGCCTTTCTGGGCGATTGTCACGAAGAACATTTCTTTCTTTGCTCGTTTCATTGGAGGAGAATCGTCGCCTAGAAGAGTTATCTCTTCGCCTAGAAAGCCTACCCCAACTAGTAGGACAAGGAGGCTACGGCAAGTCGCTAGCTCCTTCGAAACTAGGAGACTCTTGCCAAAGATTACGGTCCATAATTCTACGCCATCTCGAAACCCATGGGCCCAGGTTGCGATCAGCCACAATAGATATTCGACAGGATATAGATTTCTGTATGCCCTCTATGCTATTCACCGTTCAAGATATCATGAGGATAATCAAATCTTGTCCCTCTGTGGAGTTCTTAGGCTTACCCATCGACTTTCATGATTTATTCTCGAACCAAGCCAGGTCTATAAATTACCCAGTCAAACTCCAAGCACTGCATCTGAGGGGAGAGTACGGCGCTTTCAGTGAGATGGCTAAGAACACGACTACACTGGTTAACCTGTTCCAAGCACCTCCAAGCTTCCAAATATTTGTAGGTTATGGCAAAATGCTTAAAACCATTCATATACCCTCCTCAGGGTATCCGTTGTACTCAAGAGTTACCAAAAGTCAAAAATCAAATTATTGCTTGGATTTATGAGCAAACAGGGTTCTGTAGGTTCCGCCATTACTAGCCACGAGGTTTTGGAACGAAACGACGCCGTAGCGGTTATTTCCAGAGGCCTATGAAGATACAGGCTGTCATACCATGCTGAAAAGGACATGTGACAAACCAGGCAACAGCTAACGACATCTGTGTGAACTCGTCGTCCCGCTTAGTACCCCTTTTCTATGTGTGTTCGCATTACATTTGCATGAATCCTCAAAACTTGAAAGGACTTTCCCCTTGGTCTTTCAGTAACTACTAAATATAAACGAGTAAGAAATGATCAATTGATAAGGTGCAGGGTGTCAGAGGCGCCAATACCATCGAGAACTGAAGACCATAGGTCAAAAATATAAACTCGAAGCAAACAAATATTCGTACCTGAAGCATAGAAAGATTGAAAATGTTGTATGGCCCAAAGAGGCCATCTCTCGAGCAACAAGAGAGCATCTAACGTCACACGATCTTTGTATGACGCTTATTCGAGAGCTGTAGTATTGTTTAAAGTCAATGTCAGGCTGAGCTTTCACCAGTACAATCCGTTTGATTCCCCCACTCGTTCTTCGGCTTTTGCGCATCAGTATCTAAATAATAACACGTTAGTATCAATAAAACGCTGCCTTTATTGCATAAGCCGGTGTCGCGGAGGCCCAAGCTCAGCCAATCGGCACATCTACCAATTTCACTCTAGGGTAGGTCAAAAAGATTGTAAACTTGTAGTTCAAAGTCCCATATAAATTCATTAAGACACGTAATCTGAAAAGAACCTATATTGAGTTTAGCCGTAAGGGAAATTCAAAAGACCCACTTAACGCGTCACGCTACGCGTCTTTATGGTATCAACATTCCTTCCATGTGTCAGACATTACGTGTATTCGGTTCATTGATGTGAATTAGTGTATTCATGTTATGTTCTGTTGAAATCTTCCCCTTAGAGGTTTTACCATTTCGGCTGTAATCTTAAAGTATCCCTGCTTGCACGTGAGGCCCCAGCACCTGTTCAACACCATGAGATGACCATCTCATGCTCAAGCGACTCGGGATAGTTACTGTGAAGGGCATATCACAGTAGAGGCCGGACACATTATGAACGACATGGTCAGAAAAAGAGGACGGAAAGCTGAGACGACTTGTTGATTTATATGGCCGTGAGTGGACGAATATCGCCGTAAAATTAAGCCTACACTCTTCGGAAGAATGTCACAGGCGGTTCCATCAATAACTGAAACCAAGCATCCATCACATCCCAGTCAATTCGTTTGTGGCTGTTGACACAGTGTTAGGGGTCAAGACAATGGCCATTACTAGAATTAGCCAGAAAATTAGAACTTGCAGTAATAAGCACATCTAGAATTGGCCGTACTCTCGTCCTGGCGACTGATATCCCAGCCTAAGAATGCTTGACGGTGACAACGATGACATCACCGAACAATGCAATGCATCTGGAAACCAGTCCAAATCAACACCTCATGGTTACAGTATGTCACCAAGACCTTGCCCGGGTGCCTGGAAGATAAAGGAATCGCTGAAAAGAGATCCGCGAATGAGCATGGTGGCTATACTCAATCCGCCACTGACAAGTAAGCGATGATACTGGCCCGGTCAGAGCAGCGTAACACAAATTGACGGCTTGTTCTGCTTTTTACGGTACAATCGTATTTGATGCTCGACGACTCTATACCAGAGGATTGAGATTCTTTTTACTCTATGCCCAGAGGTGGTGTTTCATACAATATTGTATATGTCCAATAGCACTTCTATTCTACGACCACCGTTTTCAACGAGGGTAGCTTTCGGAAACTTTCTATGTTGGGTACACTGGATTGGCATGTAAAAGAAAAAGTGAAAAGAAATAGTCGCACGGATACAGCCCCTCACACCGTGCCGATGGAGACCAAATTATGCAACCCGGTTTCCAATTCCCCAGGTGCAACGATACGTACCAAGTACTACTCCATATTTGTGAAGCCGGGGAATACACCTAGCTGACGAACATGGTCAAGATAGCAGAGATTCAACTATCTGTAGAAGGATGATAAAAATTGGTTGTTTGACCTTGTATCAGTCATTATTGACTAGAAGCAGCCAGCGTACAGCATCCACTATAAGGCGCGCGGTCTTGCATTTGATTTCACGGCGCATCCCTGTCGCAATTTTTTCTTCACCCAATAAAATTAGCTATCAGCTATGTTTAGTTCAAAGGGAAAGGTAGATTGTGTCCCTATTTTTCGCATGGAAATTCAGCTTGTACTGTTTGCCCGCGTAAACATAAAAGGGACGTCTGATGGCAAACATCCAATTGTCGTGCCCCAGAACATCCCACCATTGCAAATGGCCACATCCAAGAGACCAATGAGGACTTTTCCAGCTTCGCGAAACTTGTGCGAATTTCAATTGCCAAGTTACATCCGCAGACATCGCAGTTCAAATGATGAACACGATTTAAAAGCGACCGCACTCCATAATAATTCGATTCTCCGTAGTGAAAAGCTTCTGAAGGCGCTGGAGATGTTTTGGCAGCCAAGGGTGTCTAATGTGTCACCGAAGCCTCGCCTGTGAATTACAGCTATAAGCTCACTTTGACGGCGGAGTAGATGATGGAAATCATCACGGAGATCCAGAATCAATTCAACTGTTACCACCCAAAAGGATACTTGCTGCAAAGCTGAGAAGTTATGGGTGTACTGTTACACTAGGCGTCGTGATAGCCAAAGCTAGATTCAGCCAGAAACCTACTTTGATATGGCTTGACTTCTACTGCCGTGCTGTCTACTGGTTACTTGCATCGGCTCACTTCTGTACAATAATTGGCTGCCGGTGGATGGGCAGCGATCACAATACCTGACGTCGGATGAAATATGGAAGAGTAGAGCTGGGGAAGAAAGAAAAAAGAAAGCGGCCACTGATGTAGAGTCCATGCATTGAGACTTTGGCAATAAGTCCTAACCCCATTCATTGTGTATGTCTTTAAACAAATATCCAAAACCAACATCTCTTGGGCTTCACTCCAAAACACTTCGACCCCGCCAATAAGGCCTTTCTCTTCCTGTTAGTTGATTATTGTCACATGGAGTACGATTGGAATCTGAAAGAATCTATCATACGCAACCGACTAGCGGTGTAGATCGAAGACTGAAAAGATGTCATGTGAAGCACGCAACCGTGAAATCATGTTGTATCTATTACGTAGCGATAATGTATTGCAAAAAGGTGATGCCAGCCCTTAACATGATAAAGACTAGATGTATTTTGAAGAGTTCTTGCATCAACACTACCTGGAGATACATACTATGGAGATAAGCAAGGAATGAATTAAGTACATGTCCATTACATAATTTAAATGAATGTCTGTCTCTATCTGTTTCCCGTTGCGGTCTGGATTATATTCATAAATAAGATAGAGTAAGACATAACTCTTCCCACCTATCGATGACTGAAGAGGCTTCTTGTTTCATACTCGTAGTCGTTATCTGGGATGGCGATAAAGCGCTAACCAAGTCAAAGGAGTAGACGGATGTTGTACAAGACAATATTACGAAACAAACTCAGCCATCTCTAGAATTTCCAGCGCTGACTGTATTCAGCAGAGCCATTACCAATCGATACGGGAAAGGCAGTGCTTGTATTGGTGCAAATAATTTGATGGAGTCCAAAAATTCCTTTTGGCGCCCGAATATTGTTGACCCAGGCGTTTAAATATTTTCTAGTGTTGGATGATTTCGACCAGCGCGTCTTGGGCAATGGCGTGGTAAGATTTTCCTACATCCATCATGCGAACCATGCGAGGTTTGATCCTGGAGAAGATGCATCAGTACGCGAACAATTGACACACAAATCAATCAAATTCCACATTAAGCAGCCCATAATTTACGGCCATACTGTACTGGCGGCCCACTGTTTGGCCTACCTAACACAGAGCGAGGTGAAAAACTACGAGGACTGCAATGATGACAACGTCCATATTTTCCCCAGCTTTCTTCCTTTCTCGCACAATAAAATAACTTCAAACTCTAAAGATATATCCTCTCCGGTGTCACTTAATTTAAAATCTAGGTACAAGTTATTCAACATAATCTTTATTTGCGTAAAGCACCTCTGGACCTTCAAGTACATCATTGGGCTGTTTACATTACGAGGCAACATGTGGTCTGTCCATATCAACAGCAAACTCAGGTACCTTTTATACATATTTTCTTTCCCAATTTTAGAGTTTAATACTATGACAATATTTGATACAAAGTATCAAGTTATGTCTTTAAGGTCCCAGTAAATTCTATCTAGCTTCTAAATACGTCTTATATTAAGCAGTACGATAGCTGTTTTTTCTCTATCAAACTTATTTCCATTATATCCCTAACATAGATCTTGCATTCTCTTACAATAAGCAGTCTTATTCATTTCTTGCTATCTCTTATAAACTTAATATGCTGCGGAACTCTTGGTGTTGCCGAGAATGCCCACTTTAACGCAGCCAAGGATGCCTTAAGGCTTCCTCTGCAGTAATACGTTTTTTACTAGCTGTAAAAATTTGTCCCAGTAAGTCGCTACACTCAGCAGGGCAATCAATACGCTTAAGGGTATACTATTTTGTTAGTTTAAACGAAATCTGTGCAAGAGCCACCATTGCTTACCTTGTAGTGTTCAATGCTTTGAGAACTATTTGTCGTGGTTGGTGAGTATTTCTCACCCAATGAGCCCGGAGCTCGTTGATAGATTAAGTCCAGAACTTCACATTCCTCCGTTTCCCAAAGGAAATTAGTGCCAGTCAAGAGACGAAAGATTATGCATCCTATGCTCCAAATATCACAAGCGTATGACCATTGTTTACCCTGGAAGACTTCCGGGGCAGTATAACAGTATGGAGTAAGCGCTTCGTAATAACCGACATTTTTGAAAACAGCACAATGAAAGCCGACTATCTGAATCTGGGCACTCAGCAGGGAACTAGGTTTCGTCCCCTGATGATTTGTGCCGGTTGCAGACGAAGCGACCTTGATCTTAGTGTTAAGAGACTGAGGACAAAGCAAGACATTTCTCGGACTAAGAGTAGTATGTACTATGCCAATCTTATGTAGGACTGAGCCTTGTTAGTATGTTAGCAACAGAGGGTAAGTTTCTATACCCACAGGCAACACTTTTAAAAAGCTGTCGGATGAAACTCCGGATTTCACCATGATTAAAGAGGGGTCTGCCATGCAGTAACGTTGACAAACTATCAAACCGATTTTCTTCTATAACGCAAATGTGGCCATTATAACAGAAGCAATCCCGTAGCCATTGGCATCGACTAAGGTTCTTGCGGTCATTTACCTTGATAGTTTGGAGAACACGAAGGTAATCCAATATTTCATCAGTATACGGTTGTCCTTGACGACTTATCACCATAGGCACAATATCTTGAATTTTCTCGTCTTTGACATAGACAACAGTGGAGCTATGCCGTTTCTCTATAATGCTGTCAATGATTTGAACTATTATTCAATTAGAAATTGGCCTGGTACAGAATACTAGTTGTGGCATTACTTACACCTCGGTATGAGTTTGTCCCCCGGGGTTACAATCAGATATCCGTCTTCATCAGTGTAAAAGGGCTCCTGTTCCAAGTAGTTAATAATCTCTGATATGTTTTCTCATTTTGATTAATCAGGGGTTTATAGTTACCTTCAAGACTATGCTTCTAGCATCGGGCTCCAGCGGTGGTTTATCTTTAAAAAAGAAACGATACTGGCAATAAACTTCTGAAAGCCATTCAGAGCTACGAATCTTAAGTTTACGGTCTTTGGCCCATTCCCGGTCCCCATCAATAATTTCTCTAAGTCTTGTTTGAGGGGTTCCATCACGTCCTACCAAAAGTATGTCAGTTACGTTGTTCGTCCTCTTAGCACTTAAAGTGCCACCAAGCGTCGTGATTAATTCCTCCACTTTAACCCAGTCTCCTTTGTAATTATGCTCTAAAGGGAAACCTTTTCCCATGAAGAACTCTCGGCCTGAGCAAGGTAGAAGTCTACGGCGATAAAAATCAACCGGCATGGTGAGTGTTATGATACCGTCAGGTAACTAAGGGAAATTCGATGCAGGCAACTATTTAACTCATTATATAAAGGTGAAGTTAGACTGCCTTACATTTCTTACTTATTTCTTAACATAGGTTATATCTATAGTTAGGATGTAACATTTGCTAGAGCCTATATTGAGAACTCTCTCAACCTTTACGACATGGGAATGAGCTCTAGCTAAGTATGCATCTTAATGTTCCCACGTTTCACGAGTTATTTGGGCCTAGGTTTTGTTATACCGGGAGGGGTTATTGATGGTGCATTAATATGCACGGCTTGAGTCCTGACCATCAGTTAGCCCTCGTTTTTTCTTGCAGAAACTTGGTAAATTGGTTGTAATGTCTCTTGTCTGCCTCTACTCTTCATCTCTGGGTTCTATTCTTTTGTAGCTGAGGCTTTTACTGCCAAAGACTATCCAAGAATATCCCTTGCCAAAGGCTCAAGCCTGTGACGCAGCTATGTGTATAATGCTGTTAAAACATTTATCCCAAATAAGCCAATAGTAATACTTATTAACTTAGGCAATTATGCCCAATCAAAGGGCTGCCATTTATTTATATGCACCGGGGACAGTACTGTAAGATTTTCATGTAAACTGACGCCATGTGTGTATCAAGGCGACCGCCTTTCTATCTTTATCAATAACAGTCCCTCGCTCGATTCAAGAGCAATAATAATAACCTGGTGACTGATAATATCCTGGCAAGCTATAACCTGTCACTTAATGATTTAGATTAATGATCAAAAGGCGGCCGATTGGACCTCTTTGGCTAGGTCTCGCATGCGGCTTACAAAAGAACCCCAGTACGGAATATGAATCCTTAGAGCTTTTATTTACCATATTCTAGTTGAAAGTAGGAAGTACAAAATTTGAGAACTATTTAGGACTTCTCCTTTACAGTTCTTATTAGTCAAGCATACAGCATTACCTCTTGCCACTAAACCATGTATGCTTCATTTAAACTAAAGTCTTTCTAGAAGTATAGTTGCAGAATTCTTGGCTTTTTCCTTTTCATTTTTATGTAGTTATTTTTCTTAAGAAAGAAGAAGAAAGAATAGTAAAATAAAGTAAAGAAAAAGTAATAAGCTTTCACTACCGGTAGTAGTAGATAGGATTATTAAGTCTAAGGTGCTTGCTATATACCTAGCTTCTTGCCATATTCTAAGTTACGAGTTTAGTCCCAAAGCAGTGACCTTAAATTTTCTCCAACAACTAATAGAAGTTAGAAAAGGACTACACCAAGTGTGCTGAAAGGTCTTAGCAGAAATGGAAATGCCAGCAACAAACTTACAATACTGTTTTCCTCGCGACGGATTCTTCTCAAGGTATTGGCTAATCGCGGATCTCATGCATGTCTTTGTATCGTGATCTATGGTCAGTTTTCCTGTCAATAAGGGTGGCAAATCAAGGTCATGGACTGGATTCTGGTCGCCGACGAGAATGACAATAACAACAACATATCCTGCTTTCCAAGAGCTTAGCTCATTTCTAAGATGGCCAAAAAAAGGAGATAGAATGTATGATCTCGTGGTAAACCAAATTAACCGACTTTTGAAATATGGGCTATTCTTGGGCTCCAGAAGTCGTTGCCGCCATTTGAAGCAAGAGTAACCCTCGAATATGCCACTCTCTGTTGCAATGATGTCAAGGTCTTTTGCCAGATACGTGTAGGGAGATAATGGTGCACGGAGAAGCCCATCGCATGTGACTCTTACTTCTTCTCTGGTGGTCCTACTCACAGGTCTGTCTTCAATGGCAGAAGGCGGCAAGAGTACTGTAGCTTCATACTGCGAGCTATCTTGTCCCGTTACCCACGCAACTCTGTAGAACGTCCCGCGACTCTTGATGTAAAAGTCATGCTTACTATCAGGTACCCGAACTTTCAACTCTACGTATCGCCTCGCATTACCTTTGGGGGTGGCATTTTCAATACTACCCGGACGCCAGAGACCATGGATTCCAGTCGCCCCAAGGCCTATAATGCCCAGTCCAAGCAATAAAGACGCAGTAGACTGTAAGAGATGGAACATGCCACCTAGGATGCTTATGATCCCAACAATGCCGTGGAATGTTCTCCGGACCCTTGTTTGCATGCGAATGGCAAGGTACAGGCTGACACACAATGCCACACTGGTCTGCAAGGAAACAGTTAATGCCTTAGATTCATTTCATCGGGCCCACACGACTTGCCATAAACGCCATGATCCAACCTATCAGTGTATTCCAAGACGCTAGGCGATTTGGTTTAGCAGTAACCCGTTCTGCGAAGCATAGGACTACTTACTGAGACCTGACGTGAGGAAAAGTGAAAGACCGACGTGGATTACAGTTTCAAGCAAGACGATCCATGCAAACAAGCTGTGTGCCCAGAGCACTTGCTGTCTGCTGTGACGCAACACTTTGACCAGAATAATTTCGTGGGATCCGAACAAAAATAAAGGAAACAGGTTTGTGAGTGCTAATTTTCCTGAGCAGAGAACGACTCCACGGATTGGTTCGTCAGCTCTGGAGGCATGCCCAAGCGCAATGAGATTTTGAATCGCGATCAGAATTGATATGAGCGCTCTCGTGATGCGCGGGGGAGCGAAACCACTTTGGTCAGAGTCGTCAGCTTCCAGCAAAGCCGTATATGACTTCTTGACGTTGTACTCGATCATCTGACATAAGCTATCCGCCTTTTTCTCCTTCGCTCTTCGTATATTGATCTTGTCGACGAGTGCCAGACGCAACTTCGGCACCCGGGAGCAGAGAATCCAAACGCAAAAACTCACCAGATAGAAACAAGATAATAAGAATTCCATGCAGAGAACTGTTCTACTTCGGCCACGGGTTATGGTTATAAGAATGTCAATAAACTCCAGACGCTTTAGTGCAGGGTTCTTTTGGTATGTTACAAGTTGAGTAATGCTAAAAATAGGGTAACGTGCACGTTTGGAGGCTGTTGCATTTTGTCCTTCCCTCAACTAAAAGCTCTATTTTTAGTGATGTGCTGTAAGCTTTGGGTTTCAGTATTGGTATCGGTGAACTTGTACGCTCTGTGTAGAAGTAGAGATGAGTTTCCAAGCGATCGTAATTAGGCGCTCTGGAACCTGGTGGCCATGGCCCAGTGAACCAATAAGTTCGTCCCATTCCGCATCTGCATCGATACTCGCAACACTGGCTGTAGCTTGTCTGTAAATTCGAAGTTGGTACCTTTGACCCTTTAGAAGCCAGAAATACCCGATTCATCCCATCTTTTCAATGTTCACCGTCCAGAGAATCACAGAGATAATGCGTGTTTTTGCTTTTGCCACTGGTTTCGCGGCCATTGTCCAGGCTCCCGCTGTCCGTGCCCAGTACACCCTGAGTGATAGATACGATTCATCCAACTTCTTCAGCACTTTTGACTTCTTTAACGAAGAGGATCCCACTCACGGATTCGTCGAGTACGTTGACGCAACCACTGCAAAGTCTCAAGGCCTTGTGGCGTATGTCGACAATGCTATATACATGGGCGTCGATTACAAAACTCAAAATCCTCAGAACGGTCGCAAATCTGTCCGCGTGCACTCTCAACAATCTTTCACTCACGGCCTGTTCATTGCCGATATTGCCCATATGCCGGGAAGTATTCCCGGGGTATGGCCCGCGTTCTGGATGTTTGGACCTGACTGGCCTACATCGGGCGAGATCGATATAGTGGAGGGCGTAAACACCCAAATCCATAATAGTATCTATCTGCATACTGGGCCCGGCTGTGTCTTCACCAACGAGGGTGGCGACGAGAGCGATAATTTACTGGTTCAGGACTGTAGTGCACCGGGAGGCTGTGGTCAGATTACGGCAGAGAGTCAGAGCTATGGCGACGGCTTCAATAGTATTAACGGCGGTGTTTATGCGACTGAGTGGACATCTGAGTATATCGCTGTTTGGTTTTTCCAGCGTGATCGTATTCCCGGCGATATCCGATCCGGAGTTCCTGATCCTTTGACTTGGGGTCCGGCTACGGCTAGGTTCAATGGTAGTAACGGCTGCCACCTTGATGATCACTTCAAAGACCACCGTATCGTCTTTGACATTACTTTTTGTGGCGATTGGGCTGGCTCTCCTGAGGTGTGGTATTCAAATCCTCAGACAGCGGCTCTAGGCGAGTGCAAAAACTACATCGCTTCCAATCCATCCCACCTACGGGAAGCCTACTGGCTCATCAAGAGCATCGAAGTGTACCAACAAGGTGGCCAATAAGCTGTGTCTAGTTTTCTTCCCTCCTTCCCTCCTTTCTTTAGTTTCTTTCCCCTTTGTTTTCTCCTTCTCGCCATCGCTGTAAATGTCGCCAAAATTGGCTATATTTGGGGTTTTTATGTATCGTCCAAGATTTCTCTAGGCGCTGACGTAGTACCTGTTAACTTAATCAAAGCCCAGTTGAGGATTCGGCCAGAGGCTAGGGTATATTTGACAGCCAAGTTAGCAACAGATCCAAGGAAGTGTAACTATGATGTAAAGTGTAACACGCCAAGACTGTGAAATGGTCTGAGGTTTGCATCCCTTGCGCCAGGCAGATGCATCATGAATTAGCGCGACTTATGAGAGACTTTCGCGAGTCAAGTGTTGACATTTAGATAAGTTTCTGTCAGCTACGTAATTAGAAACTGAAATGTAAATTCCCCGCTTTTCAACCAGTCTCACCTATGACCAAGTCCTTTTTCAGGTGCAATGAAGTACAGTAGATGGATACTATGATATGTGGTTGGTACAATTATGGACTTGCGAGGCCACACATTATTCGGCTTCAGCCAAGGTTTGGAGGCATCGCACTTGTCATGAATGGTTGGCTGAATAACAGCAAGACAGGCTCCGATGCCATATGCTGACTATGTGTCTTTTTAACCCGATCCAATGGCTATCAGACGACGTCTGACAGCGAGCCGTCTCCCGGATGCATCCCGACTGCCAATTAAAATAGGGACTGAATGTCTGTACTAGACGTCGAGATTGCCTTGCTTACCCTGCTCGAATCACACGTGAGGCGTGCCGATAAATGGTAAAATGAATGCACCAGTCGGGGCGCAGCAATATAGTGATCTATCTGTGCTTGTGTAGTCACATGCGAAACTTCCTAGTCGATAAAGATAGCGAGGGCCATGAAGCTTTGTTGCTCCAGCTCGACAGAACGAGAACTTGTGCCAGACTTGGGACGGTACAGGATCTCCGTTCTTGAAATTAATCCGTATCCTCATTATGCTGCGCTCAGTTTATCATAAAAGCCCGTAGATTTCTTCATGGTATGCTTGTTCCAGAGCCTAGAGTTATTGACACGTGCTCGAATATAACTCGAACAATATGAAGTCGCCCTGGCGCAATTCTCTAATTCTAATAGCTGCTGTAGCATCGGGCTGCAGCGTCGGTCTACTGTTGCATACTTTACTCAATGAAAGAATAAAAACTCGCGGCATAGAAACGCTTCAAATCAAGGCACCCACTATAGTGTCTCGCTTCGACTTGGGTGATGTTACGAACCGAGTACCGGAAGCTGCGTCCAAGATTGAAGAAGGAGCAAGCCGAATAGTGGAAGACATATCTTCGAAAGCTACTGCTATCTCAAAGGCTCTGGAGAGCATACCAACCCAAGTGACTCTTGGTATGGACCAAGTATGCTGGCATGCCTCCAAGACCAAATGCACGCCTATCTGGAAAGGCCCAGACGAATGGTTTCCCGGTCCATTAGCACAGTTTCTCAAGCTCGACGATCGTCCAGTGTATCTTGCTCTCATAAAATACAACATCAGAGTAGGCACTGCTATATCTTTAGGCGTCTACCTTTTAGCCATATCGGTCTTCGTCGGTTGGCTAGTCGCGAGTTTGTGGCCGAGGAATAGGAACAGCAGCGCAAGTCTAGAGAAGAAGAAGGAAATGAAGAAAACTTTGTTTCGCCACATGGTAATGATTGTCAGTGTCATTGGGTTTTGCATCGTCGCTCCGCTCATAGTGAATATTCTAGTCCTGTATATCATCGATACGGTACTAGGAAAATTCACTGTCACGGGGTTAACAAGAATACCTGGAGACCTCTCTATGTTGTTTATTATTTCATTGTTTCTTGCTGTCACATCTTTAGTTTGTTTAGTTTGCTTCCATCATGTGGTGACGAAGATTGCCCTACCTCTACCTCCGCCGCGCCCCTAAGGTTCAGTAGCTCGAATTGACTTGACTTTTGCTGCGAGTCATCAGGCAGCTAGAAGGCGTACCTAGGAAGCCCCAGGCAATTGCATGACAGGCCAAGAATCAAGTAATCCTCACCAAGACCCACCTCCACTACCGTCCCCCAGCAATCATGTCGCTGCTACCTATTCTTGACTATATCACTTCCTCTGCAGTGGATCCTACACTTGACACCGTTTTTAAAGACGAGGTCAATTTAGGATAGAGTACAACGAGTGAACCAAGGTCACGCAAGTTTGTCTTGATATGCCAACCTCGGTGCACTATTCCTTATCTACATAAGCTCTATCATTGTCCAGCCTGGCTCTAGCGCTGCACAACAGACTTCCAGCAGATCTTCAATGGTACTCATTGCCAACGGCCGCCCAGCACAGAGTCTAGATTCCAAAAGTGCATCGTGGAGGGCCTTCGTATCTACCTTTTGGATCGAACGTGGTCCGTTGGCGCCTATAACTGCACCATATATAATCTGGTTTTGCTTAGCCGAGTAGCTTGAGTCACAGAGTTCGCGCTGCCGATGGGCTTCTTCCCCTCCCACTGCCTCAAGTAAAATTCGTATCAACGCAATGCAATGTAAGGCTAGATCGATGTCGTCTTGATCCAATGACGCGAGCTTCTGGTACTCCATCTCGTCGACTTCGGACAAAGTGGCTACAATTTCTGTATCGCTCAGACCTAGAAGAGCTTTCGCTATAGAGTCATCGTATCGCTCAAGTAAAGTCAAGCCTAGGAGCTGGAGGCACAGACAAAACTGTCTCTGGACATCTGTAGTTGATTCCTGTGATGCGTTAGTCGATATTTATCTTTACGTGCACATAATTATCCATCGAACCGTAAGGACTCTGCCTAACGTCATCCACTCGAATAGCAAGTGCACAGCCTGGTAGTTGATTGTCGTGTATGCGGATGCAGGGACTTGACTGCGGGCAGACGAACCGCTGGGTTTCATAATGTAGCTATGTCCTCTTAAAATTCCCAAATAAGAGTATCAAATGCTCTATAGTGTCATCTCGAGGAGCCCGTTGTTTATTAAAATTGTAGAGCCTAAGCCTTGTCAGCACCCGCCAAGGAGTGAGTCAACAAGTCGACATCTGCCGAAGGACTGTAAACTGCATGCAACGCGCTTCAAGATCATAAAGAAAGAGCGTGTGAAATAAGAGAACAAGGTTTTCTTTTTGTGGAGGGCGGGGTTGTGAAAGGAGCGAAACGACGAATCAGAGCAGGGCATCCCCGCTACGTTGGCCCCGCATTTTGTGTTATCCGTTACGTGACACAAATCGCGTGGTTGTGCTGTCCGTCAAGCAATTGGCTATATTTAGTAACAACTTGTTGATGATTGATTTTTGGATTGCAGTTACCATGTAGGTCGACACACCATGCTCTCATTCACTTTCTATTGCGAAATAGAGCAATTCTTATCAGGCGTGTGACAGTGACTTTGGCGTACAAATTGGCGGACAAAGTACATCTTCAGATTTCTAGTTTAATGCCCCATGTAGACAGCCGTACAATCAGTATGTCAGCATTATCAGCCGGGTACAGAAATATTCTCAGCACAGCAAGTACCTATGACTCAGCGCGCACCCACCAGCCTCTTTTATCTCCTAACAGTCTCCTAATCCTGCCTCCTTCCATCCAACATTTCACGCTTTACGGGACCCTTGGATATTGGATAGAAATTATGGAGGTGTTTAATAGTGTAAGACCAACAATACCTCGTCGAAGTTGAAATTTTGAGCCAACGTTGAGTTCATTTTCTATTCACTTTTGGCGTCATGCTTTCACCTCTGTCCGCATCTTTATCTTTCCGGGATAGGACTAACCCAAATACTCGAAAATAAATACACATAGAGTAACGCATTTTGTTCTCGTCATCAGAAGAGCTCAAATATCCCTCTGGATTAGACCTACAAGGTTAATAATTCGACCTTTGGCGCTTACCCTAGACTCAGAGAATGCCTACTGCCCAGGTTGAACCAATCAGAAACATTGTTAGCGTCATCGGTTGGTGAATTATCTTTTGTCGATACCTATGACACCACTTGTAGACAAAGTGCTTTTTTCACGTTCTCGATATTTCGTCTTCCGTGACATTGCTGACATTCTGTACGTTTCCAGGTTTTAGCAGTTTTGGGCTTTTATAGCATGCTGCGATGTCCTGATGAGAGGAAGAAGGTATAATCGGGCAAGAGGGTAGCTGAAGGCAACGAGTGTGAAAGTTAAGTTGTAAGACATTATACGGAGTAGGTTTATCAATACCAAATTCGTATGTATACGAGCACCTTCGCCTTGCTTATACAATCCGGTCTTCTGTTTCTGCGCGCATCCTCTTGTCTTTATCCTTCTGAGTGACACAAGCCTTCGCCACACTAATTACCTTCTAGACCCCATGGACAAGAGCTCTTGCGGCTCAAATCTCAGTGGCGTCACGATTGGTACAAAGGAAAGGCCGTGACATTAGCGGAGGTTTGTCACGCTCCAAGTGGAAGCCACGTAATGAGACGGCAATTCTGGACCGCGAAGCTATTTTTCTGATGACTTGGTTCAATAAAAGGGGCAAGAAAGAGACCAGAGTATTTAAGAATCATCTACTATCATATCGCTATTATATTGAAGTACTAAAGTAAATTTCAGCTAAAAGAGAAGGTGCTAATATGGAGTCAGTGGCCTATTTTGCAAACTCAAATCAAATCATGGTCAGGAGCGGCGCTCGATACTCAAGCCATCAGCTTAGTGAATAATCCTGGATCAACCGTTTTTAGCCGCCCAGCTGGGCAACTTCCTTACCATAACATGGCTCATAGACCTATTTAACACTCCCGTGGCAACATACGAGGTGTCGAAGTGAAGCACAGTATGTATGTCTACTCCCCTATAGTCAAAATATCTTGGATAATTCCGGCTTCCATTGCGGTATCATCGCCCTGTCTAGCTTCTTCATCACCAAGCTCCTCATCAGGAGTGAAGCCATGTGAAACAAGCGCCAGTCACAGTCTGGATCGCGGGCTCTCCACTGGCATAGGCCATTACATGACGCCACGCACTCCGGCGAGCATAGATTCAGCAACTATGGTAAATCAGGTTCAAGAAGCAGAAGCAACCATTGCTTCATTCTCTACATCGAGCACAATATTCTCAGACTCTATATCCAACTATGCAGATGAGCTATGGATCAGTGAAATACGCCATGTTATATCGGTTGGAACATTGGTACCAACTGTCGAGGCTTCATCGACCGAGACATCCAACGGAGAGGTGATAGAGAGCATGGTGCCTGCTAATAGCGGTAAAAGCTCGTACGCAACCACATCGACTGCTAGAGTAGAGGTCCGAGGATCTAGTAGTTTGGGAACGGCCGGGGTGGACACCCTTACAACTGATAGGATGAGGGTGAATTCAATAATGGAAGAACTTTTCACACGAACAGAAAAGCCAGAGGCTTTGTCGACAACCAAGTCCACTGAATCCAGAGTGATTATTACTTCAACAGTCACCAGTGAGCAGAAAGAAACAGTTACGAGAGCTTTATCTGGTCAGACGTCTCCGACAGGCTTGATATGCGGAAACCCGACTGACTTGCCAGGCCGCAGCGATGCTGATCCTCAATTTGTAAGAACCTCTTCATTTGACTGGTGTTTTTTGCCAGCAGTTCAAGGGTTCATGCAGGCCGGTGATGAGTGTGTGATAGATGTAAAACGTAGCTCGGATGATGTCCTCTATGAGTACTCTATTTGCTGGGCAGGGAATTGTGTGGGCGAGCCACAAGCCAAGCGGAAACCGCTTGGGGAAGATGGGCCGAAATGCGAGAATATCCTCTACGAAGACTGCTGGCAGGCGTGCCGTAATAATGAGGGGATGGGGGGACAAGTTCAAGCTGGCTGCCTTGTCTACAAGGTACGGACAGGAGTTGGAAAAAGCCAGGGATATTCACAAGGCGGAAGTCGGCTTTAATCAAACGAACAAGATTGGTTGTTGGGCACTTTGATCGCATCTTTACACGGTCGGAGACATGTAGCCTTCCAATCAAGTGTTGCAAGGACCTGTGACTCAGAGACGTGAAGGTGGAGAACGTGAGGGCGTGACGATACTGGAAAAGGGATCATCACACATGCTTGTTTACCTTGCATCCATTGACTTCCAGAAACGAAGTGGGGCACCCCAGTCCCTTGCCTATGTCTCGATGCTCACAAGTAGGACTAGGCGATACTATTGACTACGGAGGCATTATTGTTCTATATAGGATCATAACAAGCTCAGTGAAATCTTTGCTTTATCTAAACTCTTCCTGGAGAGCGTAGCTTAGCGGGCAAAGGTACATGATTGTAGAAGCTGTACAGTAGCATATCATACAACACTCCATAATTGTTTGTAACTATGCTTCTCTGAATTGGACCAAGTATTGGAGGTCTGATTGCAACGGGCCAGGGTGCTCGGCAACGCAATACAGCTGAAGCTATGACTAGCAGGACGCCACGAAAGATGAAACGGCTATGACCCTTTCTAGGAGGAAAGAGCGCGAACTCTATTATCTTTGTACCAGTTCGATAAGGAGCCCGTTTTGTGAAATGCGAGTCTCGACAAAAGCATCAATACGCCCCAAGTGCTCGAAATCAACTAAGTAGAGAGTCACCCAACCCTATTGACAGAAATATGTCATTTTACTCTACTCTATTGAAGGCATTAAAAATAGAGTGATGGCTGAGGTGTGGAAAAGCAAGGGAAGTAACCAACTATGCTCTACAAGTCGATGTTATTTAGTGAACCAAACTAATTGCTCTGTCAATCAAAAGGATATTAAAGGTACCTTTGATAGCTAACGCAAGTTCTGAGATGCTATATGTCACGATACATAAGCTCCTTATCCGCTCGTAATTCGCCGACCTCTTTGGAGCCTTCAAGAACATATCGAAAGTCTTTGGCTACCGCCCTCAACGAAAGAAGATCCCATATAGATATGCCCGAGCCAAGATCTCTTTGTTTACTGTGCCAAAGACCTCGATCCAGCAAGCGTCGCCTACACAATAGCGATTTCCTAGACAGACTGATTTGTTCCAGGTCCAGGACTAGGTGTGCCAGAATTAAGCTTTCACTTCACGACGAATTAAGTAAGCCAGTCGTTGTGGATCACGACAGTGCTAGGCATTACGGAAGCGAGCCCTACGGAATGAGAGAATTGCCAACGGGCATGTTGGCTGACTATACAAAGGGCAACATAGCAGAACTTGCGGGGGATTCTGTAGCTTGCGGCCGCTCCTCCTGGGTGGATACAACGGAGGATCGGGCTCCCATCGTGGACTTGGATTCGAAACCACGCAGAAGACATCATGAACATGCCTTAGCTTAACGTTTTTCAACTTGCAACCTACATTTGTGTCCAAGACAAAATAACACAAAAATACAAAGCCTTTCTTGACTGTCGGGAAATCAGCCCGTATGCGTGAAAAATACACGCTAGAGCTAAATTAGATGAGCAACCATGAGTAGTTTGTACAGGCAACATGACAATAAGTAGACCAAGCGGCGTCGATCAACCAATCATACAAAGTATGCGCCATAAGCTACAGGATGAACGATAGTGAAATTCAGTCCCGCTTTTCTGGGTGATGTCGTTCATTTGATCAAAAACATGGAATCTCTATTGCCGACCCGAGAATAGCGCCCCCTTCCTCTCCCCTTCGGGCACCCTTAAAGTAGGTGTTGAGTGCTACAAAAAGCTTCATCGATAACGGTATAGCGTGAGTGCAGACTGGATGAGTTCACAAGACGTTCACCAACCCCCACGAAGGTATGGAGAACCTTCTCGAGGTAAGGCGCGCAGTTTGCGCCAGCCATTGACTAGCATCAACTCTAAATAACAATTCTATTAGGAATAATCTTTTCTTGGAAGGTGCTTAGCACGCAAATCAAGTACCCGTGACATTTACCATCCACTACTAGACGTCATCGTGGCAATGACTGTGGTTCATAGTAGGCCTGATGTTCACTAGCTTGATCATGTCAGAAGGACATAACGAAAGGAGACTATCAGTAGGACGCTTGATGAGTAGTAGAAATCCGAGTAGTAATGGCTCCACCATCCTATATCTCGGACAGGACGTGCCTTCTTGTCATCTATCTACAGTGTCCCAAATCGCCCAAAATTCATGCTAGGACATAATGATTCAAAAAGCAAGAACAATGATTTTAGGAAAAAGTCGCGATGACCGCCGACCGAATTTGTGTCCAGAGATTCGGGTTGCAGCCGTTGTGAGCCCATTGAGCCATAGGCATATGGAGGCTAGGGAAGAGTTATGCTATATTCGACCCGACTATCTTCAACCCGGGCATGCATCACTTTCAGACGGTGATCTTAAACACAATAGCATGATCCCTCCCCCGCTGTCCATTTCAAAGCTGCGACGTGGGAAACAGATCACAGAGCTGACGAATGGCCAACTCATTGCTGGCCGTCAAAGCAAAAGACTAAGCGGCATCACCCACGAGATACACGACAATGACTCGATCCAACCTCTGGATACATCGCATGTCACCCTATCGCCACAACCTCCAGATGAGGAAAACATTGAGAGGAGAAAGGATGCTGAGTACTTCGCCGAGAAGATTGCACAGTTCTATGGCTTCGATGTTGTTTACGTCGCTAGCATAGACTCTACTTTACTAGAGCAAGCCCGACCTAACGCTTTTGCAACGGTACTTGTGGCTTATACTGTCCCAGGAGTGAGTTTGCCGCGGCTGGTACCAACAGCGCTGTACCGGATGCCTGTTGAGGAGGATGGGTGGATTCACGATTTCGAAGCGTTACCATCCGACTTCCAAAGCGGATATAGGCGCCTTTTCGATGGAAAGTCGGTTAAATATGTTTTCATGTGTTTTGCCAGGCCCAGAGCTCGATATAGTGACCGCGAGTCTATAACGCTATTTGAGGATGCTGAGTGGCTAGCACAAGCAGTCACATCACGGCCATTTTGGATATGACGTCATGGTTCCTATTAGTCTTTTGAGCATTGTTGAAGAACCTGGGCCAGTTGAGGTTTATATTTAATATTTATTCAGCCTCATAGATCCTTTTTGTTCCTGATTACCTATGCGTTTTGCTCATTCCTCCAATAACCTATGAGCATTTACTTCAACCCAACTTCAGAGACTCAATCATAGCGTCAACTAGTAGAAGTTCACGCAACTTGAAGGTGATGTCACGACTAAGTTAACAGAGCTTGTAACTGCGGAGATTTTCTCCCTTTCGAAGCAGTCGAGGCTTCCAAGTCTTGTGCCCGTCAAATTACCGCTCTGAATCATATTGAGTGCGGTGATGCAAAGTCTAAGCCCAATATCAGCTTAAATATACCGTACTGAAAGTCTTGCCTATCCCATCCACCTATATAGATCATCGCCATACAAGAGAAGATTTTCATTTTCTAAAACTACATGACTGAATCAGTTTACAACATTCGATGGCTGACCGCTCGTTTCATTAAACGAGGCTGGAGAAAAGCTGCACACAAACAAGCATCAGGCCGAGTTGCACGCTCCGAGAGATGGACCGTAGCTGTGAGTAGCAAAATTAGAGTATGAGTTACAGTTCTTGACATATATGTTTCTCTTTTGCTGGTCCAGATTTAGACCAATCTCAATTCTATTAATGGTGGGCAAACGCCACCTCATAGCAACCCTTGGCAAACGGGGCATTAGCTGCGTGCCAAGAGTGTACCTTGAAGTGGATAAGCCAGATGTCGCCATAAACGTATCTGAATTGTCACCTCTCTCACTGGATCTCTGGTCACACAACATGGACATCCTAGTCTTGTAATCTCGCCACTAAATGACACATAACAACCAATCGTGATGCGTTTTCTTTTTGATATAAACATGTAGAAAAGCGAGATTGGATCAATTTCACCGTGAGAATTCTACTTGTGGATAAGAGCATCAACTTCTAGGGAAAAGGAGCGACTAGTAATCCTGTCTCTAACTATAAAGGTTCGACAACCTAATGCAAAGCTTGTAGTTGGCAAGCGACAATGGAAGTACAGCAAGCAATACGTGATCTCATTGAACATGTCCAGCTACTGCAGCGAAAGGCGAGGCCTATGGAGCGTCAGATTCTTCGAAACACTACGGAACTACTGGAGTTGTGCGCAGCAGTCCAGCCTCAGGCTTGCATTATAGAATTACTCCGAGTCGAAATTGGCCAGCAGAAGTGTTGGGTCAAGGACTACCTAAAGCAACAGGAAGCCTGGCAAGAAGTCACTTTCCTTTTTGATGGACTCACAAAAACTTCAGAAGATCACGAAACACTCCTCCTGAGATACTGTCAAGAGACTTTAGAGGGAGCCAGGGCCATAGCGCTCGGATTAGGTATTGCCCTATCACCCCCAGCGTGGAAAATCAGGCACCGTAAGAAACCTGTTACATGTTCAAATGGACGGAGCCATACCAAGGGCAAGGATATCAATTCTTCTCCAGTAGCAGCAATGCTCCCGACAGACCATTCTCCAGGAGATTCCACCGTTCTCGAAAAGCTCTACAACCAATCCTGGTATTACTAGTATGTTTGGCTGTGGTTCTCAAGCTTATTTGTACCAGATGAGCCCGTAGTGCTGCAAGAAAAGGTCATTGATACGTGGTTAAAACTATGCGACACACCCTTGAACTAAGAAATGCCCCCACTCACGGCATACTATCTGTTACCGAGAGCTGTCCGGAGTACATGGTTCACGGTTGGCTTGGTGCTATAACAACAACTTTACAATTGCTCATCATCCTCTCAATTATCAATTTTTTAACTTTTTAACACATTGAGTCATCTCATTGAAAAAGGGGGGATAAGCGCTAGTGCATGAAATGGTCTTGGCAGGCGGGTTTCTCATACCATATCTGCTCTTACGCTACCGGGAAAGTTGTGAACACTTAGACGCCTGTGTAATATAGTATAGGTGGATGCATAACTGACATCTTTTGTGAAACGCCTCGACTCCTGTAACATACTGTAAGATAAAATCAGCGTCTGAGATAGGAGGATCCGAATGAGTGTCTTAACATCACAGTATCATCCACCAGAAGTATACATAGACTCCCTGGTTCCAGTATAAGAATATAGCAATCATCAAATTCGACGAGCAGCTAAACGTCACCACCAAAGCACGTATCTTCAGACATTATAATGCCTCTGCCAACCAGCGGTAAAGGCCTTGAGCTGCTTATCATTCAGATCTGTTGCAGCGTAATTGTCTACATCTCAGCATGTCTACGACTCTGGGCCCAACACGTCAATAGAAACAGGCAACTACAGCATAATAACACCGCCAAAAAGAAGCAGTCACCACATGATATACTGATGCTTGCATCTGTGGTATGTGCCTACCGTGACTTCCAAACCTGTCGGGTGGGATTCGTGTTATCCATATACACGAGAGCTCTGTTATTTTGAGACACCCTTACACTACTGACCTGGCTTTTAGCTTCTTTACACCGTCCAGACTATCGTTGTAATTCGAGGCATCATCGAGGGTGGCATCGGACAACATGCAAGCAAGATCGACATCGCGGAAGTTACCAAAGGCTTTCAAACGTGGTACTTCGGCGAACTCATCTATGCCGTGCTTTCATGCCTCGTCAAGACCTCTGTAATCTTGTTCTTGCAAGAAGCATACATCGGCCGAAGAAAAATAAGGAAAGCTACTGATAGGCGCAAGATCTGCTGGATTTTGTATATCTGTCTCGCTGTCATCTGGGCAACCTCGATCGTGTTCCTATCTGCCAGTATCTTTCAATGCTCCCCGCCAAGCCATTATTGGAAACAGTTTGAGAACCCTAGCAGTGAAGGCGCATGTTCGAAGAGCGTGGTACCAGCTGCTGGTATTGCTCTTAGTATAGTTTCAGCCGTCAGTGATTGGGTTTTAGCATCGGTGCCTACAGTCGCTCTGTTGAAGACGCAGATCCCATGGCAAAAAAAAGCCGCCATCCAAGCTCTGTCGAGCTTAGGAGTATTGTGAGTCATTCTTAACGCCTATACATGGCCGTGTTCTACCGACAAACGGTTAGAGACGGAAGCTAGTACATGATTTGTTCCGAAACTGATAGTGTCTCAACACTGCAGAGCTGGTGCAGTCATGATCGTCCGCATACCCCACATACGAATATTAGAATTTACGGAGGATTTTCTCTATGAAACTGTGTAAGATCTTCTTTTGTTACATGTCAATCGTTGAGAGCTAAGTTTCAAGCAGAGACGTTGCGAAGTGGACGGTTATAGAAGCCGCCCTAGGAATCACAGCAGGCTGTTTGCCAACCACTCTACCGCTTCTGAGACTTATGATACGTAAACGAACGCCTCCTAGCCGAACCTCGTCGAGCCAGGGCCCTCCTGTAACGGGGAACTGGACTTGCCGCACTCATGTTGAGCGAGGGCTAGGGCCGAGCGAGGATCTTGATGATGGAGAAATCTTGGTTTGTAAGTCAATTTCACAAGTTCGAATCTTGAATAGTGGCACTGGCTGTGACGTGGGGCCCCGGAATGAGACTTGCCATTAGTTCTACCAAACAGTCAGGAGAGCCTTCTTTTTTTTTTTGCCGAAGATGAGCTCCCTGTGTGGGGTAATCTGGGGCTCTAGCACAAGGAATCTAGGATGGTTTTAAGGCTAAGCCAGATCAGCGAAGCTGCGGAGTCATAAACTTATAAAGAACGCAACAGCCTAGCTACCTCCGGGTAAACCTAGTGTGAAATGTTTGTGCACTAACGAAGTACTCATCACTCTATGACAATTGAATCTGAGAACATCTGTTGGACACGGAGATAACGCCTATTTGTTCCAGTGAACCATATATATACAATGCAGGACTGGTTTACCTTCTTGCTTCGTAATAAGCCAGTCGTTGTCCAGCTGTTACGGTGAATTTGGTGTACAAAGTGGTGCTTAACATGCCTGGTGAACTTGTACGTTGGTATGTATTCATGCCATGTCATGCTATTTGAGAAATTAGACCCGGGGCAGGTTAGCTCCTCTACCCATGTTGGAGGACAACCTGACACTCCATCCAAATCTGGGAAATATGTTGCTGTGTACAATGCCAAGATTCCGACCCACATGGGTAACCAAAAACACGCTTATAAGGAGGATCTTGATATAGTAACTGCTATAATCGATGTAACGAGAAATTGGAGCCGGCACCAGCGTTTTTGGGACGCCACTGATGGTCGCTCATCGTCACTGGTCTACAAATATGCCATGGCAACGTGCGTTCATCCATTGAAAACATACCCCTGCAACAGGCATACCATAGCTCTGCTGATAGGAAGCATGATCCCAAGTGAAGGGTCAATTCACTACTATGTATAGCAAGTTTTCGGAAAATCATTTTGGAAGATACTTTTTGTTGCAGGGCTAGGAACAGGGTTGAATAGAAGGTGGCCGAGTACAGAAATGGAAGTCAAGCTGGAAAAGATATCAAGCTATTCTATTATTAAGATTCTCTAAAAAGTCTAGCGCTGCATACTGACATTCTATATCCGTTTGCCCATCTGCCTTATAAGCATCGCTGGGCGCATCAGGTAGCTAGAGTTATAGACTAGGACTACGACAGAGTCAAGCGGCAACCGGCGAAGGACTTAATAATGCTTGCAAGAAACACGAATGCTAGGACGACTGTAGATGATGTTCTCGCCGACAACAGATGGATGACGGTTTCTGAGCAATGTGGCAGTCTCTCAATACAGCTAACGCCGCTTCTCGCTGAGCGCCTTGACGCTACCCAACATACTGCCGGAATGGCTCTCCTTATTGGCTCACCAACCTCAGGTGAATTGTCAGATCATTTGAAAGGGACCTCATCAGATGGAGATATCCTTCTCAACGTAGACCCACGGACTAAAGTCCTGCATGTCGCTTGTCCGACACTTGCAAGACATGTAGGTACGGAAGACCACTGCCCTGGCGACAACATCGAGTGGGCTAGGGTGAGCAATGTAAGAGCCTCTCAGTCCCTAGCTGCCATCTATTCTCGCCTATTGGGCCCGTTCACCCATGTAGTCTGTGTCTTCGCCTCGAGTTTCACGTCCACAGCCGAGCTTGGTACCTTCCTATCGACATGGCTGCGGTCCGCCTGGTCTGGGACGCAGATTTCTAACTCTTCTTCAGCTTCTGCACATTCAATGCCCCATGATTTACTTGTAGCTCTGCCACGCCTTATTGTTCTGACGGAGGAGAAGTCTTTCCCCGGCAGCGATGTTTTGGAAAATCTCAAGGCATCTCTGGAAGCCATCGTCTTTGAGCAGACAGGATTCTTTCTCAATAGAGCCTTCTCTAGCTTTACTGTGAAAGATACTTCAACGGAAGCCTGCCTACTTCGACAGCGTCGATACACAAAGCTGACGGCTCTTCTGGCGAGCGAGTGTGCGGCGGCGCGGAGAACGTTCGAACGCTTAAATATGCTCTACCATACACACACCATGGTTGACTTATTCTCTAGGGCTTATCACTGCCTCTTGAACAATGAAGTGTTTAATCCAGTTGCAGCTTCGCGGGCATGGAGTCCGGTACCACCAAATGCGGCACAGCAGATTGTAAGATTTCTATCTGAACATAAAGACGAAGAGGCTCTCCGAACCTTTGCTTTACCATATCTAATCTCTGCCATACGCGCGAACGCGTACCCGGCTGAAGCTCATCGTGAGTACTTATTTCTCCTTCTTTGTTTCTCTTTCTCACCTCTCTTTCTCACTGTCTCATCTATGAATCCAGATGGTTCCTTCTAACCCTTTTCCCTCTCCCTTCCTCTATAAACCCTCTACTTGCAGACAAAGTCCCGTTTGACGTTTTTGCCTATATCAGTCCAGTTATGGCACCGGCTAACAAAATCGGGAAGCTTTTGACTTTCCACTCATCTTTGACACTCTCTACAAATCCATCTGGCACCACGCCGCTCGCACAGTGTGCTTGAAAACAGACATGTACCTACTGGTTGAGAATATGGTGAGAGACCCTGTGAATACCGTAGTCGCTGTAGATAACGACGGTACTACGACCCATGTGAGGACTGTGAAGTCTATGAGCCGCCTGAACTCCACCAATTCCCAGCACACCGTGACATTCGTAGATTCAAAATCCAATGACAAAGGCAATGACAGACAGACACAGCCGAAAAAGGTACCGACAGGTCGGCTCTGCCAAGAAGGTGACACGGTGGATTTGGATACGCCGATGAGCTCACATGAGCGTCGCCACCTCTTATTTCTAGCCACCTCTCGTGATCGCTGGCGGTCGCACAAAGTTCACGACTACTGCCCCGCTTGCATTCTACGACGACCTGAGTATGGGCTACCCTGCGGCCATATGTATTGCGAGTATGACATTAGACGTCTGGGGCGGAAGATAGGGCGTGAAACCTACGCTGTTGAAGAATGCACCTGTTGTCAAGCTTGCTTCACCGGCGTAGTTTTCAAATTTCGGCCTAAGACAAAAGGTATCAGGGTCCTTGCTCTTGACGGTGGCGGAGTCAGAGGCATCATAATGCTGCAATGTCTACACATGTTGCAGTCGATGCTATGGGTCTTCCTTCCTGGGATGCCCATAATAGACCTGTTTGACGTTTGTGCCGGGACAAGCTCAGGTGAGTGATCAAAAAGGTTTATTTTGAGACTGAAGGCGAGAAACAAATATCAGGATAGAGGCTGGATGTGTGAAAAAAGTATTGAGGAGCAAGAAAGAGGAAGAGGCGGTGAAGCGGATGATAGTAGAGATCAGTGAATTCTGGGCATCGTTTCACTTGTACCCACTTAGAAACTAACGTGGTTCACAGGCGGCATCTGTGCTTTGACCCTCGCTCACAAAGGTATGTCTGTCAAGAAGGCTATCCAAGACTTTACAGACCTTAGCCAGCGCGTCTTTGTCTCGCAACCAATTTGGGCAAGGGCCTTTAATCTGATCGCACGAGGATCGATCTATGGTAGTAGTGCCATAGACGAAGCTCTAAAGAGGCACTATGGTGAGAGCAAGCTATCTGACTATACCCCCGCGACTGCTCGGGCTGCAAAGATTCTCGTCACAGTCAAAGGAACGCCAAAAGGGGATCATATACTAAGTAACTTTAATGGGGTCGGCCTCGATAACTCTCACAAAGATTTTGAACAGACATTTTGTCATCCAGATGACGAGGGAGGGCAAAAGGCAATCCTTGCCTGGGAAGCGTGAGTCGACTCCATATTTCCATATTGTATGCGACTTGAAAGATCTTCGCTATCCACTTGAGTCCTATCTCGAGACAAACCTTATTGCCTTCTGCCTTTCCTACAAATACCCCCCAATCCATTTTTGTTTCACAAAGCTGACTTACGAATGTGACATCAAAGTGCGCGGTCCACCTCAGCTGCGCCTGTTATATTCCCAACCTTCACCATCGACGGTGTCGGCACATTCCAGGATGGTGCTATGTGGCGAAATAACCCTGCCGACGTGGCGCTATCCCTCGTCCCCGCCCTGACGCAGGGTCATCGCCGGCCAGATATTTTGTTGTCAATTGGCACAGGTTTCGAGAAGAAGCTACAGCGAGGCCACCGTGAACCGCAACCTCCAACACGGGTCACGATCCCCCTGATAGATCTCTTACGTCGGCTCTGCGCCTTCATGGGAGACAATATAGTCACAGACGGAGAAAAGTTTCATAACCATATCATGGCAGGGAGATCCGATGTAGCTAGCCGGTTCAGACGACTAAACGTCCCACTTTCAGAAGGTTGCCCTTCATTAGACGACGCATCCTCCATACCTAGATTAATGGATGAGGCTGTCGCATACTTTCAATCTGACCCTAGTATGCAAGAGGTGCTGGATTCTATCATCTCTAGTTTCTTTTACTTTGAGGTCTCCAGCCGGCCTATACGACACCGAACACATGTGAGCTTCTGCGGCCGTATCTTGTGTGATATACAACCAGGCCATCGGCTTAAACATTTCATCAAGGCCTTACGTGTACGTGGGGCAGAATTCTCAATCAATGGCAAGTTCACAGCACTCGACAGCGTAGGAGAGTGGAACGGAAGGGATGTTGATTTTGAGATACCTGTTCGAGGGACGGTTGCTGGACTCCACGCACGGCTCGAGATCTTTCTCTGCTGGAACATGCTTGGCCGACAGAGCAAGGAAATGATCAGTCGCTCTCCCTTCAGTCTCAATGAGATCATGGAGGCCCAAGGCTGGGACTCTCCCCAATCCCGGGCTCTACGACAGCCGGTAAGAAGCGGACGTAAGCGTGGGATTGATTGTCACGCTGCTTGGAAGCGGATTAAAAAGGCCCGGCGGTAGAAATGGAAAGAATGTTTTGGTGATATCTCTCGTTGCGGTAGAGAGTGTAAACAGCAGAAAAAAATGGAAGCCGCCCGAGTGCCTGTACTAACCTGGCCACGGCAGTCGAAGCAAACACGCCGACGAGAAAGCTAAGCCAAAATCTATAGCAGGTTTTGTAAAAAGCACTAGAGTGGATGTCGATGGTGGAAGGGAATCTAGAGTACATGATTGTAATATTGGACGAGATCAACTCTTGGCCAGATACGATGTAACATTTAAGTCCAGAAACAAATAGCCTTTCTCCAACTCAGTCCGGGCTGCAATTTGAGCTACGGTAATATGCTGCCTCATCGACGGCTCATTTTTTGGTGACTTCTCCTAAACCGTCGAGGTGGGAAACGCAGCTCGTTCCAGGATCATAGGAGACATCTACTAGCATTATAATTTGAGCGGTTTCAATTACTCCATCTGGCAGGCATTATGCTCTGGTTGCCTCTCTCCTAACCAGACGAGACTGCAACCGGGAGTCTAGACTCTGGGGTAGCGCTAAGGTCCACAGTCATGTGGACCTTTGTGAAGGATATATACCAACATGGCGCAGCCATTCCCCTGTTACGTACGATTGTTCACATAAGCCTGCCCTCGATAAGCCTGCCCTCGATAGCTTTAAACGTTACCCATGGAAATATACAGCGTGAAAGAAATGCTACGCCGCGTCTCATGCCAAATCAACGATCAGTGACAGGACGTATAACCTTGAGGGAAGAATCGGCAATTGATCGTTTCACAAACGTGCTTGATACCAATCTTCACATAGCTATTGTCGCCCGTACATATGACAACCTTCGTCTCAAAGTGCCTGTGTTGGTAGTTTCTTCCATAGGATACATGTATGGCAAAAGGTCGATCCAAGACTTTCCAGCAGCTCACAACGTAGTTGAGGTTGACCCTCGATGCGGTCATCAATAAGTGCCCTTGTGAAATAAGAGCTAGTAAGAACTAGCGATGGGTTCTTACCAGCTTGTGTCCAGAGTTGGTACGGATGAAAGTACAGTCATTGCGGGTTGAAAGAACGCTAAGTCAACCAATCTCAGACTAGTGGTCTTACAGAAGTCAGCCTCATGTGTGTGAAATTCTATCCCTTCAAGGGATGGGTAGTTCGTCATCTAAACTTATTGTATCCCCGCTCACACCTGATATTCGGATACCTATCCAACACACTGTCGCCGCTGTTGCTTACCATCAACCAAATTGGTTGCTCATGTTTACCATAATATGCAAAACCGGCCCAGGCGAAGAACATATTCAGCGACTCTAAAGGCGTGCAAGACTTTACCCGTTGACTGATCTGTAGGCCATAAGCAGCTCAGAGGTCAGATTAAAAACTACCTCAACTTAGTCCTTCTCTCAAGTCTACGCTACCCGTTCTATTCTTTTCCGTGCCCCTTCACTTCGCAGATGATATGCATCTTAGCAAAAGAGCATGTGCGCCAGTCTACTTTGGTCCTGAAATAATAAGGGATTCGGCTTTGAAAAAGCTCAAGGCACTGAAGGACCTCAAATCCAGTCGAGAATGGGTTGATGATTCTACAATATTCTTGAACAGGGACGGCTCTTTCTCACACAGAGTGATTGAAGAACGATCTTTCAGAGTATGTACGCAGAAGGTTTCTCTATTCATGGCTAGACTCTTTTCCGCTTCAGGATCTGAAGCTGCAACAGAAGAACAGAGACTGCGTAATGCTCGACGGCGACTGCTAGTCTCGCTTCTTGCGCATGCATGGCTCTGGGGAAGACCCAAAGTGTTAGATAATAGAGGCAATCCTGTCGCTTTCGAAGACAGGAGAGTCCTCGCCCCGCAGGACATTTTAAATTTCCTTGACAGGGTTCGGGCTGGCACGGCGAGTTTTACTCACGAAGAAGTATGTGGCTTTCTGGTGGACGACGCACAAGAGGTAGCTCTATACGAGGATATGTCAAAGTGGAATTTAAGGGGAGTTATCGCATGTCTTAGGTGGGATAAAGCCCATAATCTCCGTGACGGGGGACCATGGTGCTCTTGCCGGCTCGAGAGGAAAGGACTCCCACCACCTTATGACGAGGTTTGCCCAACCAAAATCTCGTTATGGCGCAGCACAGAGGGGAAAACCTTAGGATGTGAGGTGGAGATGCCCAAGGCCTGACTTGTGAAATAGGATGGAGTAAGATGTAGTCATTAGTCCCTAGAGTCTTATCATAAGTACCTACCAAACATAGCTGATGCCGAGTTGACACCTGCCATTTGTAGGCCATAATGAGAGAGGAAGTCACGACATCAATCCATTGATAACCCTTTTTGCCGATAGCATACAGTATTGAGCACCTGCACCTTCCTCTCCAGCAATAACCCTAGTTAATTAAAAAAAGGTCCATAAGTATATATATACACTATGTACTCATTTATACATGACTAAACCCCGCAAACTAAAGTACTTATCTAACATGGTTTAGCGACAGTACTTATAACTCGCACTGTGAGCTTATCTCCACTTCCCCACATTCGCGCCCCAAACCTCCAGGCAGCAGCGGTACTTCTAAGTACTTCAGTCGCTCAGCCAGAAATTGCTTACGCACCCATAAGGAGGCCGAATTCTGACAAAACGTCTGCTTATGAGGTAGAGCCAATGTACCCCGATGACCCCACCCTAAACTTTACATAGAGCACGTTGTTTTGGGGCGGAAGGTGCAAGTGCTCAATACTGTAACATACAGTCAATACGAATTATTGCTCATTATGGAGCCTGGCCTTACCTAGTAAGAAAAGGTCGGTGCAGTGAAAGTTCACAAGGGTCGGTGAAGCATGTGGGTGTAAATACTGACTGTGGTTTAAGCATGACTTGACGTGGGTCAGCTACATCTGTGCGATTTTTCACCAGCTGTTGTTTCGAAATGGGCACGCCCATGAAATCTGTGAAAGGCAGCAAATCCATACCGCCGTCGACGTTCCATGGCAATGCATCGAAATATTGTACGTCAGGTATGCCGACCATGTGCTCTTGCTGTGTGCGAGCGCTCCAAGCAATGACGAGCTCGATTCTGATAGCGCCAAAGCTGTCGGAAGCACTTCTTCTACCGCGAAAATGGCCAAGAAAACCACGTAAACTACAGAGACGGAACTTCTTAGGCATCGACGGCAAGTTCATCTATCCAGAGGACATCAGTAGAAAGAAAGGGTCAGGAGAAAATGAATTGAATGCAAAATGACTTCATCGTTCTCTCACCTTGGCGAATAGAGAAATATGTGATTGACAAGTCTCCTGTTCCTCCTAGATGGGCGACACGAATAGAAACCGGGCTGTCGCTGCGCTAGTAGCATTCCAGAGGATTACAGCTTGTAGCGATTGGGGTTCTTACTATGACCTTGTAGTTGGCTTTGCTGCTCTATTTTAAACAGGAAGCCGACCCCAATCTGTAACGTCGCTCCTCTTTCTTAAACAGTCTAGGCTGTCTACTTCTATTTTCAGATAAATATAATGGACAACAGCATTGATTGATGAGCTTGGCCAGAATTCGGCTCTGTACAAAGGTAAAGCTACTGCACCAATGTCAGCTCAAGTGCTTTGCGCCGTCTTTCATTCTCACCCTTATTTCCCTCCCTGTGTGTTCGAATATCACCTGAAGCAATGATTCGTGATGTAGAGCTACAAGAACCAGTGAGGAGGCCCGTGACGCGCAGTCAAACGTTAGCACGGAGACTAGATCAACTGAAGCGAGAGCGTGTAAACAGAAAGCGTGAGGAGGAGTTTCGGCAATTCAAAGAAGAGCAAAAGTCGAAACTGAAAGCGTTTAAGGCCGCTACCAATTCCGCCTCCATTACAGTCAGAACAGACAATAGAAATGATGACAGTAACAGGGGCAGAAAGAGGCAGAGGTCGGATGCTGACCGCCGTTCGGCCGTGCAGCCGGAGCCTCCGCGAAAAAGAATCCCTCCGCTGGCAGGAGCAGGGACCAGCCGCGACGACGAGCAGCGCCGCAAGGTTCTGAGAACGGAGTGGCTGAGGGTACTCAAATTTGAGCATACCCACCTACTCCTCGATATGGTTGAATGTCTGATGAGTCGGAAAGTCGACAGGTATTATCTCCTCGCTTTGCAAATACTTCTGATTGTCTTTCCGGACTTTGACCACAATGCCGTTCTCGAAACGTTACCAGCCATGATGAGGAATGCGCTCGAGGAAACTGTGGAGCGGATGTGGATTAAAGGCCCTAAAAAGGTTTACCTCGACTACCCTTCCGAGGGAAGCAAAGACCAGCGGATTGAGTGTTGGAAACAGCGGGCGGAGCTTTACCATGGCATCGAGATCGGTATTGAAAGTTTGCACGTGGGAATCTTCGCAGTATGCCAGAAAGGACCGGATGGTCTACCTCCAGACCTACATGAGAAGGTCGAAAGCTCAGAGCATTGCAGTATTTTCACAGATCACTTCGCGGTGAATATGCGACGAGCTGCTTGTGTCTTTGAGACGACTCAGCTTCCTGGCCGGGAAATGGAGTTTCTGGTCTTTGTCCTGAATGAGATGATGCAGAGAGAGGCGGAAACTTCAAAGGAGTTAGAAGAGGCAATAGCGCACTTGAAGCAAAAAGCCAAGGAGTCAGATGGCAAGCTAGAGGACTTGCAGAATTTTCTGGACGGCATTGGCACGGGGACCACGGAAGCAATCAGTATGCAGAACGCGGCTGACGAACTATTGGAGGAAGACGTAGATCCGCCGTCAAAATCTTCCTATACAAACAGTGTATTGGACGGCTTCCGAGAAAAAATAGATGACTACCAGTCCGAAATACAAGGTTGGAAATCAGCCTGGGACACCTCTCAACAAGAACTGAACGACGTGAAGGCCGAAAATGGTTCTCTTGCTACCAAGATGGAGGAAATACGAGTATCCCGCGACTCCCTAACGAATGAAAATCATCAGTTGCAGGCGCAATACAATGCCGCTGGCGAGGAAGTGGAAGAGCTCAAAGGCATTGTTGCAGCGTCGAATCAAAAGCTAGTCGAGCAAGGGGTGACATTAAAGGAGAAACTGGAGACGGTGCAAATTGAGCTTAAGCAAGGGCAATCAAAGTCAACAATTCAGACTCAAGATACAGTAGACATAGCTCAGCTGCAGGATGAAGCCAACAAGCTGAGACTTGAACTTGAGCATTGGCACCGGTTGTATGCAAAGCTTTTCAGTGGAGGTTCCGCCACAGAGTCGATGATAAAGTCTCAAAGCGTCTTGAAGCTAACCCAAAGCCTGAAATGTGACAATGAAAAGCTTGTTGAGAGGAACAGTTCGCTGCAGATACAGGTGGCTAAGATGGAAGAGGCGGACAGGACCGCGGAGCTGGAAAGGCGTAATTCGGTTCTGCAAGGGAGAGTTGCTGATCTTGAGAAGCAGTCTCACTCCCCACCCCCAGATACAAACATGGGTGAGGCGGCCCAGCAACAAGCCGAATACAATCAAAATTACTCGTTAGATACTCCAGCGAGCTCCGCTAAGGAGTCAGTCACCACTACAATCACTGTAGGGGAGCTCAAAAAAATGAGTGAAGAGCTTCAAGATGTAAACTCCCGATTAGAGACTGCAGTGCAGGCGAACGATTCTCTGCAAACAAAAAGCGCCGAGCTCAAGATAGAAGCTGAGATGCTAAGGGCCAACCTTCACGCATGTGAAGATGCGAAAGCTAAACTGCAAGCCGAATGTGAAAAACTTCGTTACCCTGGTCTTCTTCCCACGAAACAGGATCATGATATACAAGACTGTAGGGCGGATAGTGGCACACAAACTATGCATCGTGAAGCGGAAGAAGGTGATCAAAATCCATTTGCAGGTGATCGAAAGCAGAATGACATTTCGAACGAGTGGCAGCGGAGCCATCCAACTTGTGAAAAGATGAGGCTTCGCCATCACACCAAGAGGCACGAGGTATATTGCAAGGGGTTCAGAGGGACCATGGGGATCCCAAGCAAGGCGTGGCAAGAGCAAAGGCTCAAGACCATCAAAAGGGCGTCACAATGCATTCATAAGAAAAGGAAAGAGCTGATTCGATCGAGACTAACGGTTGGGGAGCTATCAAAGACAATCGAAGAAGTCAAGAAAGACATAGAGTTAGCTTCGAAGACATTGGAGGAGACGACTCAGCAGTTGAACCAGAAAACAGACAGTCAAAACGAAGACGCGCTCCAATTGCATGCGAAGACAATACAGATCGAGGGTTTACAGTCTCAAATCAGGGATTTAGAAGACAAGGCAAGCAAAGAAGAAGAAAAATACATATTGATACAAAAACAAAACGATGATTTGGCCGCCAGGTTACTGATAGCTGTGCTCAAGGTTGAGGCATGTGGTGCGAAAATTGTCCAAAAGCGGGAAAACATCATGGCTGCTGCGGATAGCGATCGACAGATCGCCGAGTTACAAGGTATGATAAGAGAAAAAGAGTTGAAAATACAGGAGTTGAAATATGAGGCAACCAGAAAGGAAACAGAACACGGATCAATACAAAGGGAAATCAACTCTTTGCCGTCGCAGCGGAATGAGGTGCAGCGAAACGCAAACGAGTATGAGAAGAGAGACAAACAGATGGAGGAGGAGATTGATCAACTGAAGAAGCAGGTTCAGGATCAAAAAGAAAATTACACCAACCATCTCAAGGAAAATGAGGGCATGCTGCAGGAGAAGATAACCTCCATCAACGACTTACAGAGACAAATCAAAGCTTCGGAAGACGATGCAATGAAGGAAAAACAAAAGCAAGAATCAATGGAAAATGAAAAGAATGAGCTGGCCTCACAGTTTTGTGAGTTCAAAGAAGGTGCGGAAGCAGATGCTGAGAAACGAAAAAAAGAGATTCAAGATCTGCAAGGAAGAAATCTTGAACTGAAGTCAGAGGTTGAAGAACAAGCCAACGACCACTGTCGGAAAAAGGAAGAGGTCGACAAACAATTGAAGGATTTGATAGGACAAGTTCGTGATCTGGAAGATGATATCAAGAATGCTCGTGCAAGTCTTGTGGAAAAGGATAAAGAGCTGGAAAGCATGAAAACCGCTCGGGATATCAGCGAACAGGCCACCAGTTTGCAAGATACGATCGAAGGGAAAGAGTATGAAATACAAACCTTGAAGGAGAAGGTAACAGAACAAGAAACAGAACAGGAATCAATGCGAGACGAGAGGAAGAATTTGCTATCTCAAATTGCTGACCTACATCAAAAGACAAACTCTAGCAAGAAGGAGCATGAAAATAGTGCCAAACTCCTTGAGTTGGAAATAGCTCAACTAAGGACCCAGCTTGACGGGCGAGCACAAGATTGCATCGAGGCAAAGGCTGAGTTATCTAGGTGCCGGAATGAGCATGCATCACAGTTCACGAAACTTGCTGAGTCATCAGAACTGACGAGAAATGAACTCTACGAGCTACGGAATCAGATGGAAGTGAAAGACAAAGAAATCGCTAGAATAAAGAAGCTTTTGGATGATACCGAGGAGAGGGTCGCGAATTCACAAGGTGAAATAGAGAAAAGGCATTCGATCATAGAGAGCCTACCTCTCGCCTTGGCAAATTTAAGGTCTACGCTTGACGGTATCCAGAGTATGATAAGCGCACAGCAACAAAGTACCTACAATGCGGAACCAAACTGTGGCTCCTTGCAACTTGAAAAAGGCGCTCATAGTGATGACAGTAAAAGCTTTGCCGAGTTAAGAAACCAGATTCAAAAACTCGAGCGCTGCATTATAGAACGGTGCGCGAAAGATGACTTGGAAATAAAGGTTAGAGAACTGCAAGGTAAAATCATGAATCTAGAGAGGTCGGGAGATCTACTAAAAGCGGAAATACTCATCGCAACGGCCAGAAGGGATGATGCGGAAGCAGAAGCTGCGAAATGGGTTGGTAAGCACAAACTTTTGGAAGATCGCTTGCGAAAAACAGAAGTCCAGCAATTGCTGGATGCAAAGCTCAAGGTTGAATTTGAAGGCCAAGAAAGCATGAACAGGATTTACGAAGGGTTAAGGGCGGATGGTAGCATCCCTGCTCTGATGACAGAGATCAGCGAGAACAACAAAACCTTGAGCCTATTTTTCGAACAATACAAGAGCGACGTCAATCAATTCAAAATCCTGCACAGAAGGCTAGAAGCCCTAGGTGCAGAGCTCCGAGATGTGGAAAGCAGAGTGGATAACTGTATCGGCGTCCTTGGATCGACATCTGTGGATTCTCCGCCTGATATTGTGAATCCGGGTATAGGTCAACCTGACGAGAAGGTGGAATGGAGAATCGCGAAGAAGGTCAGCCTTCTTATCGAAAAAGCCCAGCTCAAAATTCGAAACTTGGAATCAGCTCTGGAGGCCAAGGAATCAGAGGCCGAACTGGCTGCGCTACAGTCTGAAATGGCTGTCCAAGAAGCGGACCCGATGCACCCGTGCTTATGGGAGGAGGTCCCATCAAGTCCTAGGGTCGGGACACCAGGATCCGAGCCAGATATTTCTTTCCATACCCCAGAATCAATTCACAGACCCGTTAAGCAATGTAAGTCGGGAGTTACAGAAGGCATAGAGGGCACTCAGTATAAGCATAAGGATTCTTCCCTCAATCTATACCCTCCGTTGCCCCGAACGCACACGAAGCCAGAACCTGCTCAAGCAATGGACTGCGAACCTGTCAAAAGGTTAGCAACAGATCGGCCTGTTCTAGCGCAGCGCACAGGCAAGTATAAGGCTCGTAAGCTAGGAGTATTAGAAGAGAACGCAGCCGTGGACGTGGATAAATCCTTATCAGATCTCGAAGGATTTAGGATGAGCGTACTCCTATATCAATTATCGGCGATATTGCCAACTGAGAAGATATCCGCAGCCTTGAAGCCCTTGGCGAAATCTGACCACATTTATTCATTGAAAAAGATTGGTAAACGTAACCTAGACCAGTTGAATAAAATAGCCGACATCGTGTCGACGCAAGCTCCAGAACCATTGGATGTCTGGCTACGCAAGGCTCTTGCCGGTATGAAAATCAAGAGACAGCAACTGTTTTCCGGCGCTTCTTTACAAACCTACGTTGTTATCTTTGAGATTTTCATCGATCTTAAGCAAACTATGTACACCGGAAATCACAGCAATCCCAAAGGAAGAGCACAGAGGACAATACTACCGGAGCAAGACAAACTTACAAACCGACCAATACGAACCCGGAACGCTAGGGATGGACAAACTGCGAAATCATCGGGGAGGGCAGGGCTCGGAGCCAAGGATGTAAAAGTGATAAAGGTCCGTTCGAAATTAAGACAGTGAGTCATACTTAGAAATTAATCCGTAAAATGAGGACTATACCCTTCTGTTTCCATGGTTGTGCCCCATCAGACCTCCTTTCAGCTTTCATAAGGGTGGAGCCGAATGCCGAGACAGACTCATTTCAGCATTGAAGAAGAATGAATTCTATAATGATTATGTTACCATGTTGGTTTTCTCATCACGTTGAGCATAAGTAGTGTGAAAAATATACAAAAGATCGTTGGCTTGCGTCAGCCAAGGCTACTACGACTAAGAGAAACGATGTTTGGTAGCAATTGAGCGATGGGGCAGAATAATCTAGAATGACACAGCCCTTTTGAATATAAGTTTCATTGGGGTGCTGTCAATTTGCTCACGCATCAGTACTCATATTTATCAGTCATCCTTTCTTCCCATTGCTCAGTGCGTATGTCACCAGAAGCCCTTCGAGCTATCCGACAGCTGACATGATGGCCTCCCGTTCATCTGCCAATAAATCAGAGGTCCTAAGGTCTTGGGCACGTATATTCGAAGATGCAGGGACCTTACAGTCGGAGCAGGTTGACAAAGTGCGTGTCGAGAATTGTATTGGCTTCTGTCAGATTCCACTAGCCGTCGCAGGGCCTTTGCAGGTAACCGGAGCAGTCGCACTGGATAAAGTGTACGCACCTCTAGCCACGTACGAAGGAACTCTGGTTGCTAGTTGTTCCAGAGGATGTAAAGCTTTCAACGCTTCTGGGGGAATTCACATCGAGACGCTCAGCAACAGCATGAGTCGAGGTCCTGTATTTACTTTCGACAGCCCCGATCATGCAGTCATATTCGCCAAAGATGTACCGGCTTTGAAGCCAATTTTCTCACAGTGGGCAGGGGAGACGAGTGCATACGTACGACTTCAAGCCATGCAACCTACTGTAATTGGTTCCAAGGTCCATGTGCTCTGTAGCTACAGCTGTGGGAGTGCAGCCGGGCAGAACATGGTTACCAAGGCCACTCAGCACGCATGCGAGATGCTCCGACATTCCCTGGCCCATAAATATAGCATCCGAGGCTTTCTTATCGAGGGCCAGCTGGCTTCTGACAAAAAGCCCTCGTGGGGAAACGTGAAGAAACCTCGAGGAGTCGAGACACTGGTGTGGGGAACCATCTCCCCTGATGCCTGTCGAGAGGTACTAGGCTGTACCACCGATCAGCTCTATGCCACTCAACAGATCTTGACGGAGGGCGGGATTCGAAACGGCCAGTTCGGCTGCAATGTCAACCCGATCAATATCATTGCGGCCATGTTCATAGCGACTGGTCAGGATCCTGCCAGCACCGCTGAGGCATCCTGGAGTCACCTGACTTCCGAACTTCACCCTAAGACGGGTGCACTCACCATGAGTCTATATCTACCATCTCTGCCTGCTGGTACTATTGGAGGCGGTACCGGATTACCAATGCAGAGGGAGGCTCTCAAAATGTTGAAATGCGATGGGGAAGGAGCGGAGCAGAAACAGCGGCTTGCTGGTCTCATCGCTGCTTTCGGCCTTGCCCTGGATGTCAGCACGAGCGCGGCCGTCACCAATGACACTTTCACCGCCAGCCACATGCGGCTCGGGCGGGGACAAGAACGAGCTAACTTGTGATCTATTACGAATGAGATGACGCATATGACGGACCCAGCCGTGAAATCATCGGTAATTCATGGGAGGGCCGCCATGTGTGTAGTCGCAGGGAAAACTACATCAAGGTCTACGACGGTCAAGTCGTATACATAGTGCGGGTTTGAGAAGTTCAATTCACTATAGAAACGAAACTGTTCAAGTCCAACCTGTTCTTTGCCACCATAACACGAGCTTACCATTTGAGTGCGCGTCGAGATCTCTGAGATGCAAACGACACGTGTCCAGGGTGAGCAAATCTATCTTATCACCAAAGCGGGGCTAAAGCGACATGTTCTTATAATGGGATAGCGAAGTTTGCCTGAAATTGAAGATGGCTTACGCTAACACTGCAACCATTCGCCTACTGTGTGAAATGTTCTGTCAGAAGTGAACATAGTGGAGTTATGGAGAAACTGGCGGGCATGATGTGGATACATAGGAAGCCAGTTACCGGGCTCTACCAAGAGACTACGGGTACTTCCTTTTCTTGTCAACAAAGTTGAATGCCATGTCTCTATACAACTATCGTAGGGCAATACAGGTTTAGAAATATAAACTAGAAGTAAAAAAGAAAAGAAAAGAAAAGAAAAGGTAAAGCAAAGCAGTAGTCACGTTATTCTGGCTAGCCTTATTCCTTCTGATTGATATCCACATGGTGGAAGGAAAGCATAGTCAAAAGCTTTCCTTGAATATAGTAAAAGATTCACAAAGAGTTCGGTAGTTTTTACAGCCATCTTCGCTGTGCAAAATACCACAACAGATAGCAACGAGCAGTACAAGGTGGCCATTGTTAATGCATAAATAATATGGTGACTGCACAATTAATTTGACGTATCCTTTTACAACGCGATTAAGATACCAGCCTTGGAGAGATTGTAATTTTGAAGTGTTGGGACAAAGTCTTGGAATGAAACGGACGATTCTATAATGACAGAGGACCACAAAAGGTAGGAACTTGGAAATAGAATGGAAAATAGGGCAGCAGAACGTTTAGTTATGATAAAGTCAAACAAAGGATTTCGACGAAGGGATTTTGTCTGATTGCCTCCCAGCAGCCATCGCCAAGTTCTAATAATTGACCACTACCAAGAACATAACATGTATATATTGACATAAGAATGGTAAATAGTGAGATGAAATGCGGTAGCGTAGCCCAACAATTCATTGTCCATACTAACGAGAAGCCAACCACTTATTGCGCCACGGAAACCATCGCTCAAATTGACAGGAAAAGATTACGAAGCCAAATCTTCAAGGTAGGTACATTGACCGGTTATGTTCCATCAATTCGAGTCGTTGGGAGAGACCCACTTCTTAGCCCTTGTACTCGCCGTCTTTGTGTTTGCCATCACCGTATCCAGGCTTGTGGTAGGTGGGGTAAGGCTTCTTGGTGACGGTCTTGGTCTTAGTCTTGTACTTTGTGACTGTGGGCTTGAAATTGGTGACAGTTTCAGTCTTGGTCTTGGTGATCGGGGCCTTGTAGATGGGCTTTGTGATAGTGTGCGTGACGGTAGCAGTTACGGTACTGATCTTTTCCCCATAGCCATATCCGTAATCACCGCCTGAATTGGCAAAGGCCAGGGGGAGGGAAAGCAGAGGGGCAATCAAGATAAGAATCTTCATGTTTTAAGGCGAAGCGAAAGTATTGCGTATATGATATTAAGGTGAGGAGTGGATGAAAGAGTGCTGAGGAAGCTTGAGACTGTACGTTCAAGAGGAAAGCATCTTTTCATAGCGTAAAAATGACAACGCAGAGCCTTTATATCACCTTTTGCTTACATATTCTCGCATTCTTTTGAGAATATTGGTCAATCATCACAGGATTGAGACACATAGGCTTGGCCCAACCACAACTCGTGTCAGTCTCACACTCTAGCAGCAGAGCTCATGTCGGTGTCTCACTTGGCACAATAAGCCAAGTGTTTCACACTCAGAGATTCACTCGACCGAATACTTGCCCATTAAACAAAACAAGCTACTAATGGTGATAATTACATTCAACTACAAGCTCCTATGCAGGAAGACAATAGTGTCAAGGCAAGCACTAATTGTACCATTTCATTCTTTTTTCACTTATCGTCGGCGGACCTTTGTGAATAACCCTTAAAGGGACAAGGGTATTGTGAAGAGCCGTACAGGTTCAGTGACCGCAGGGTAGATGCTCCAAAGAAACTCGCAGCGAAACTGGACTAAAAGTAGGAGTGTGAGCTGAAGCCATTAGGCGATTTGTTTGTAAACTAGTGATAAATAACCATTCAATTCTAGAAATAGTTGAACGGTTTGAAAAGCTGAAAGCTATGCCAGACTCCCTCTTCATGTAGTCACTGCTACGTGCCGTCAGTGGATTTATCCGTAAAAATCAAAATCTTCAATCATCTTTACATGTGTTGTTAGGGCGAAGGAGACAACTAATGAGAGCCGTTATCCAGTTCGGAACCGGGTTACAAGAGTAGACGTTCCACTTTTTGATCAACATATTCGTGTCCTGCGTCGGCAACACTCCCAAACTAACAATTAGTCATTAGTGAATACTGTAACAAAATCTAGAAATTGGAAAGCGCTTATCATAAGCGTCTTCCTCATAATGCTCCGGTGACTCAGCCTTTGGCATGACAAACCACTTGGTAGTTACGGACGGTGTTTCAATATGGGCCCCTGTGATGAAAGGCTCCCAGACGCCCTGGCGGCCTTCAGGAGTCAACTAGACGTGAAGGGATTTCACAAGTACCTTAACACTAATGTGTGACTGCGTCGGATAGCGCCAAAATTTTGCCAGCTGACTCAAGGCCGTTGTGCGTACGTGGGTCCGATGTGATAAGAGGCCTATGATTTTGCATTCTCGGTTTTAGGGGTGGGGTGGTATGATGATCATGTCTGAAGGGTTAACAAAAGTTCTTCACAGAGTTTTGATGTGCATGAGCCTGAGTCTTGAAATGCGGGTATTTCACTTTGTCTCCCCACCATTATTTTCGTCCATCATTTTTATCTGAGGCCAGGATGCCAAAACAGGGATAACAAAATGCCCCACTTCAACTCACCATGAGTTCACCGAGCTAAAGTAGGTTCCTTGCTCTCAGAGACTTCTCTGATTGGATCGCGACGACCTTGGTCCTTGTTTTGCATGATACCCAACCTTCTCGCGTCTCGTATTCATCCCATGAGTTACTTGCTTACATGTAGCCACAACATACTGCGGCATGAGAATGGACATTGTCTGATCGTCAAGCTAGCATCAGCATTCTCGGACGAATAACTTTTCACGTTAACTTTGACGTCATATGAGCGGGTTGCTTCTCGCCTTGAGTCTAGTATTTGTGAGTTAATGAAGTTAGACAGGGGACCAGGAGGCTACAATACACAAATAATCGAAAATCATGCAGCATCTTGATGCTCGATGTTGAACATCACTTCCTGAATCGGTATGAGGAGAATTGAATGTTTCAACGAAAGAATTCACAGGTTCGCCCTTCGCTTTTAAGACGGTGTAACAGACATGACTGGACATCAAAGGATGTATAATGAATATTGAGATCAATATCGCATGCTTTCAACGCTTTCATACAACATAAATGTCGTCTGCCCTTTCATGCGTTAGGACTCTCATGATGTCAGAATCATCAATCTGAGCATGGGCGGGTTGGGAGAATTGCCAGTCAAGAACCGCTACAACATCACGTTTATTATTCCATTTCATAGCAGTACAGCTTCAACATGGAGCTTACCCCAACAGCATTTGTTCCGAAGCCGATTCGTATTGTCGTCATAGGTGCTGGGTAATTGTACCCCCATTTTGAATTTGTATTAGCAATTAACCGTTGTAGGATATCGGGCATCCAGTTCTTGAAGGACGTAACCACGCGATTGCCAAACGTCAACATCACGGTTTATGACAAGAACAGTCAAGAAGGAGGAACTTGGGCTGAGAACAGATATCCTGGGTGAGAATTTCCTTCACCCATAACTGACCATGGGCAACTGCTGAAATTTACAAGGTGTGCATGCGAGATCCCATCCCACGCCTACCAGTACAGCTGGAACCCCAACCCCCGTTGGAGCCGCCTGTATGCCGAGGCGGCTGAAATCTTGGACTATCTCAAATCAACGGTGACTAAGTTCGATCTCAGACGATATATTCAATTCGGTACAACCCGCACCGGGGCAAACTGGGATGAGAAGAACTCTGAATGGAACGTTTCTCTGCAAAGCAACGGGATTACTAATAATGAAGTCTCGGTCAAGTGTGATGTTTTTGTCATTGCTGTCGGAAGGCTGAACAACTGGAAGCTACCAGACATAGATGGTCTCGATATGTTCCAGGGGCGTGTGATACACACGGCAAACTGGCCCCAAGGCCTAGACTATCGTGGCAAAGATGTAGCTGTCATAGGAAATGGGGCCAGTTCAACCCAATGTTTAGCTAGCTTACGCAAAGGTGAGAAATTTGGATGGAAAAGCCCAAATGTTGACTAACAGCTCTAGACGCGAGATCCATCACTAACTTTGTTCGTGGACCAACATGGCTGGTTCCGCATGTATTTTCTAGCAATGGAGAACCGCAGGTCAATTGTCAGCATTATCTACCCTACACACAAGCCCGAACCACCTCTGACAGGCGGACAGATTCCCACGATACTATCAAGAAATTCGAGACCGAGCCCGATTCGTACCTTCAATTCCGCCTAAAGATCGAGAAAAAGCTGGCCTATAGCTTCAGAGGTCTCTGGGCCAACTCGAACGCTGCTAAAGAATTCACTCAAAATGCAAAGCAGCACATGACCAATAAAATTAACGATCAACAGACTTTGAAGGCTCTTCTTCCTACCGAGTATAAAGCTGGTTGTCGTCGCTTCACGCCTGCCGATAAGTATTTGGAGGCTCTAGACCAGTCAAATGTAGAGCTCGTTTCAACCCCAATCAAGCAGGTGGAGGGAAATGCTATCATCACGACTGATAACAAACGGCGAACATATGACATGATCGTCTGTGGCACAGGCTTTGAGCCATACGCGCCGAGGTTTCCGATCAAAGGGAGCGGAACAGCTAACTTGTCAGAGCTATGGTCAACGGATGGGGGCTATGAGAGTTACTTGGCAGCAACAGTCGCTGGTTTCCCCAACTTTTTCGGTACGTGAACTCACTCATGAGATCATCCCAAAAGGAAAAAAGCTAAGGTTATCTTTCAAGTGTTTAATCCACCTATCTGTCCTGTTAATGGTTCAGCGTACCCTGGGATTGAGCGTACGAGTGATTACATCATCAGAGTCATCGACAGGCTACAGAAGGATCACTTAAGGTCAGTCTGTATCAAAAAATCAGCCCAGGACGCCTTCAACCGCTGGGTTCAATCACGCATGCCAGAGATGGTATGGTCGGAGCCATGCTCATCGTGGTGTAAGTCGACCTCTATTATCCAGCATTCACATTGCCAGGACCTAATTATTATGTTACAGATAAGTCCAACGAAAAGGTAATTGTTCCATGGCCAGGAACAATACTTCACTACTACGCCGCAACTGAAATAGTGCGATGGGAGGACTACGATCTCAAGTTTGAAGAGGATGACCAAAAGTTTGCAAGTTTCGGGAATGGTATTACAGTAGAAGGATTCACTCCGCAAAGTATACCTTGGCTTTAATGTAATTAAAGTATTGAAACACCATCCTATATCGTTCCATCGTTATTCAAGGTTTCTATATTTACACGAAAAAAGACTGTTGTGTGTCTTGGCCAGGCTATTACCCCTCATTTAGCTCGTCCTTGAAAGGGATTATATGATGAACTGTGTCAATATTTCACTGTTTGTTTACATCATTGCAAATGTGGTCGCTCGATTGCCGAAGCTACGGAGATGAGTGACCATTCGTTTGGAAAGCACTATCAGCTTATATATCCACACCACAACACTAGCAAGCTTTCAGTATTAAACCTTCTCTGCCCAGTAGACTGGGCGCTTCCGCGAATTTTGCAGAGCATGACCAGCACAACGTTTTGGCCAAGCCACTCCACCCCTGAAATATTCACATCATGGTTGGGTGTTCGGTCCCATTCTATGCTATTGGACTCCCATGTATTCCCATGGTGGTTTTATACATCCAAGCCTTCTTCGACCATTATCTAGCCACTTCCTTGAGGCTCGTCTGACAAAGATATAGAGAGGAGTTCTAAGTTTACAATATAGGCGTAGACCTGTCCTTCTATGTATGAAGTAATATATACATTGTTTTGTGTGTAGGATGGATGTCAATGTTGTTTTGGGCTTTATAAGCCTCAAGGGTCCTGTAATGCACACTCCGCCTTTCTTGGGATTTTGTAGGGCGATAAACATGCCGGTGCTTCAGGAACTGTCAGTCCATACAAGCCATCAATTAGGATTGGAGGACTCTACGACCTGTCATTAGTTAGCTGTACCACCATTCTATCTCAGAGCGACCCGGATCAAGACTTCCATAGATTTCTATGAATATCTTATGGCTGACATCTATATCACCGCCTCGACAGCCTTCGCATCGGTCTAAGATAGTACCTTGAGCAGTCTTGCCGTTAGATCCTTTCATGGTGATAGTTCGACCACACAAGGGGTTGTTGTTGGTGTTACTGTCAATCATGGATGCATCATATACATCTCCAGAGATTGCTACGATGCTGCCATTTTCGTCTTGCCCACTCGAATTCTGACCGCAGGCGCCCATCCCAACATCATAAAAAGTAATGTTGCCAGATTTCACATCGCCGTAGGGACTCGCAGCCCCAGTCTTTAGCTCAGACTTTTGCTCCAGCTGGGAATAAACAGGAGTGGAGGGTGAGGGATAAGGTGAGGAAACACCAGGATCAGGAACTTGTTCGTTCTTGGTTGTAGACCCAGCAGAGGGGATGGGGGGATAGGTATCGACGACAGGGGCATTGGTTGGGACTGGATTAGGAATTTCTGCTTGAGCAGAGGCAATCTTGGGTGTCTCAATCACAGTGGGATTGGCGGGGGGTATAGAGGGGTTGGTCGCCTTGGACGCGTACCCGCAATTGCTTGACCACTCAATCTCAATTATACCCTGTGGCTGGACAGCAGCAACTGTGGTAAGAAAAGCAGGAACAAGAGTAAGAATCTTCATGATTTGTGTATCCGTCCGTTTCAATTACTTTTTGTAGTTCAACGGTGGATAAAGAGTGGCGATGGATCTGTGGACCACGCTGTAGAGAAGCACGTAGCAAAGAGGATTCATAAGTGACAAGATGCAATAAATACACAAGGAGAGGCAAAGCTTTAATAATAGAACCTCGCGCTTCTAAAAGGATACCTTTTAGCAGAAAAGTCAGTCGATAATACCGTTGTGTGTGGAAAAGTCTAGTCTCCAGTATTTAAGGTTCAAGGTGAGAAAACAGACAGCTAAAGAATAGGAATACCGTTTTTCATAATAACTGGAGATTTCTCAAATGGCAGGGCTATACATAGAGCGCTACAAAGGTTTTAGCACGATCGCCGTGAGAACGGTCAAGTCGCAATAGGGTTCTTTACCCTTTCCAACACCGACCGGTCATCAGCGAACAGCTGGTCAAGCTGTTTGAGTCACTGTAGGCTAAGCTAGCATAGTGACGAAAACCTCAGTAAGAAAACCAAATGGCCGAGAACGCGAAGAGCGCTATATGGAAATCCTCAGGATAGCCGCAGTGGTAGAATTGCGCAGCGATCGCCGAAGAAGAACCACCTAATTGTAGTAAATATCGAGCCAAGCTGCAAATACCTTTTTGTTGAAGGTCAGGATGCTAGAAATAAACTTCTGTTGAACAAATCATACATGCTATAAATAAAACCCTGTATCCCTGATGCACCGTATCGTAGTCAAGTCTCAGAGCGTGATATACAGGACATGTTCGCAATGATGGTTTGAAACCTTGTTTTTACTCATACGTCCAGACAAAAACGTAACTTTTGACTAATGGGATGAGAAAGCTCAACGAAAATGTAAGAGATACGAAAGGCTGGATGTGTATATTCTGACATTGCGTTGGTTATATTAATCCACCTTAGTTTTGGTCACTTGTGCCATCCATTACCAGTTATTCGGCCTATTCGGGCAGATTGGTGTGCTTACTGTTGTACTGTGAAAAAATCGGCTTCTGGTGGGTCAATTATTAATATGTGGAGTAATCGGTAATGGTTCATCAAAGAGGCTCCCCTGCTCTCAGTCTCCAAGGTGGGTCATCTATGCATCTTAACGGGTATTATTTCTCTACTGACGTTCCACCCTACAAGAGCGTCCTTTCCCGCCGTAGCTACGTTCGACGAGCTTGTACAGATGACAGCAAGAAAAGCGAACGCAAAAAAGCCAACAAAAACTGCTTTGTACATGTACCGTAAGCAGCCAAGGGACTTTAGCTAGGTTGAATGAAAGGTACACTGAAGGTGTCGGGCTTTGCATTTGGGCATTTGCACTAGCGCCTTCTTATCCAAAACATAACTGAAAGAGTTTCACAATCTTCATTCAAAGCCGACAATGTGGCTTCACTCGACTGGCGTTGTAAGCCAAATACTAGGTGTGGAGTTGTGGTGGTTCTGAATGATGACACGTAGTCACGTCCTAAGTCTAGTGTTGGAGTCTGCAAAGCAGTGAAATGGTTAGCAGATGCTGACGTGCTTGTGAACGTTGGGCTTTCTCCAACGGCATCCCTAGCCGAAGATAAGATCCACGATGTGAGGGATAATCGCGATTTTTTTCCATTATTTCTCATTTGTTACTGTGCCCAAGTGGGTCTGGATGCTGTTGAGCTTGCAATGACTGGCGTATTGGGACTACAGTTTAGCTGCAACGGCGAAAGCTTGCCTCCCGTGCTTGAGGTCCTCGCCCATAGATCAAGCCTATTTCAGCCTACTACAAGAACAGGAAAAGGCCTTTCTTCGACTTTTGTAACATGTAGCGCTACAGAAGATAGATTTGCATTTCTCATGAGCGATAAATACTTTTCATATCCAGCCAGAAGTCGATGAGGGCCAATATGGAAGCCCTGCCACTTGAATCAACATCTTCGCTATCGCTGAAACCCGGCAGCGACGTCCAGCTGGTAACTGTCGGCGATGAGTGCTCTCAAGAGGTTGTTGCAAATAGTGTCTCCTCTGGGTCCCTCATCCGGAGAGTGACTGCAATAACATACCTATGCGGCATGAACGTCACCAGTAGCGCATCTAACGGTCTTATAGTCATTGCCCTTCCTCGACTCACAAAGGATCTCGAACTTCCTCCATCTCTCGTTTTCTGGCCATCTTCAGTTCAAGGACTGACCACTGCATCAACTTTGCTCCTCGCGGGCGCTATCGCTGATGTTTTAGGATCGCGATCGGTGAATCTGTCGGGATGCATATTGAATTGTATCTTCATACTTACTTGTGGACTGGTCAAGAATGGGGAGGAACTTGTTGTCTTACGAGCCCTGCAGGGCATTGCCACGGCGTTACATTTGTCTAGTTCCGTGGCCCTTGTGACCCAAGTGCAGCCTCAGGGTCGAGAACGCAACGTAGCCTTTGCGTGCCTAGGATTAAGCCAGCTGTTAGGTTTCTCATCTAGCCTCGTTGTGGGCGGCATATTGATCGACACTCTTGGATGGCGATCAGGATGGTATTTCTGTGGAGGCCTTACCCTGCTACTATTCGCCATCGGATGGTGGGCATTGCCAAGAACCGCACGACCCGGCTCGTTACGAATCACGATACGAAATCTGAAAAAGAAAGTCGACTGGGTTGGCGCATTACTTGCATCGACATCCATAAGTCTACTTACATACTTTTTGGGGTTCGTTGACGCACATACCTCTCGATTGATGTACTAGCTAATTCCAAAACAGCCTCATCAGCACAGGTATAGATCAAGTTCGATCCCCCCTGGCCCTTGTGCCCTTGAGTCTCAGCATGGTAGCGACTGCCTTATTTGTATACTGGATGCACTCTCGGGTCAAAAGAGACCGGGTGGCCCTGATTCCAAATGGGCTTTGGAAGAATCTGTCTTTTACCAGCATCTGCATCACTGTTGCATTATCCTTTGCTGTGTTAAACTCTCTGGATCTCGTGACGAGTCTTTAGTAGGTAGAGAGCGAGTGCCAGCCGAAAAGCCCCTTCCGCTAACGAACATCCTAGTTTCCAAGAAATCGAGCATCTCTCGGCTCTTGAAGCGGCTATCCGCATGCTTCCAAGCACTGTGGTTGGCCTCGCTCTCAATATCACAACGGGTCTTGTGGTCCACAAGATCCGTGCGAATTGGCTCGTCGCTTTCGCATCGCTCATTTCTGCTGGCTCTCCCCTTCTTATGGCTGTCATCCAGCCGGACTGGCCTTACTGGAAGTGCGCTTTCCCTGCACAGATCCTGATGCCTTTCTCTATCGATGTTCTTTTCACAATCGGTCTCATAATTATCACCGAGGTTTTTACTGAGGAACAACATGCAGTCGCTGGTGCTGTTTTTAACACGGCTGCGCAGCTCGGTAACACAATGGGACTGGCTCTCATGCAAGTCATCTCAACCTGGGTCACAAAACAACAGGAGACAGCGAAACCTTTTACAAAAGCCCTCATGGAGGGTTACAGAGCGACCTTCTGGGCCATGTTGGCTTTCTTGCTGGTCTGTAGCATTGTCGGAGCGATCGGACTTCGACGGGCAGGCAAAGTTGGGTTGAGGCATTGTTAAAGAGATGACACTGGTGACTGCAGGTCAGAGTTGAGAAAGTAGTGGACTTGTGCGCATACCATCAGGCGTACTGCCACACACCCAACCATGATTGGCCAGTATGTTAATTAATTCTGACTACACAATCTCGTGAACCACCATCCCAGTGATTTGGGCGATCTCGGTATTCTTCTACCTGTTGTCGCTAGAATGTATAATCATGAAAGCGTCCAGCTACTTAACCTAGAGTTCCCATCCTGTTCGCAAATGCCGCCTTGGGGCTTCAGGTTGCTGCAGCCTGTCCGGTATTGGGTAATTATATGTTGAGATGTACATACCTTCCTTGGGAGATAGATGGTGACTCCTGTGAAAGAAATTGCATTGCTCCCGGAGGGAGATCCAAAGTAGGTCAAACGAAGTCTGCCACTTCCCCACCGCGAATTTGAGCAGATTATACACAATTTGTGGCCGACATTTTGTTATTCTTGGTAAATTGGATCTCTGTCATAACCAAGTTAACGTAGACAGCTCAGACTGAAAAGGCAAGGATGGGGGATGGTCGTACGAAGACCAGCTCCATGTGCCTTGACATCTTGCTAATCCCTTTACACACTTACCAATCAAGCCCCGCTCCATTCTATTCGCTTTTGTCATATCTCACGTACTAGAACCTTGTCCGACTTTCTGAAACCTGCCCTGCCAGTGTCTACTCTACGGCCCTCGTGAAAAGCCTTTGGAGCCTATCACACGGTTGAAAGAGTCTCAGGGAGTTCTTGGACTCAAAGGAGGCCCCTCTGAAGACCAAATAGCAATTACATATCAGGAGCAAGTCCATTAAGCAAACAACAAGACCAGGTTAGATTCAGATCAGCGTAGCCATACAGAAGTTGCCGTCGAAAATTGCTAGACTGCTAATTTCACTTGACATTCACTGAAAGTTAATACATGCAAGAATTCTCTTATTTCACCTTTTTTTAAAGAAACTAAGAAGGATCAAATGTGACAAAGCATGTATTAGGCTACCGGACATGATAGCAGAGTATATCTGTGTGTGGGTGGCAAAAGAGGATCGACCGATGCTTTGTCATGCTCTTCTATCCCTTGGTTTGAGGTTAAAGTATTTATTGATAATTGATTTTCCCATCTCCCATTAATCCACAAGGCATGGCACTATCGACGTACTTAACCTTTTGGCTACCGGAATGAATTTGAATGTAATGATACCTTTGTCTGCCAAGTTGAATACAGATTTGAGCCATCATGACTCACATATCGCTATCAGGGCATGATATGATGTTGGCAGTAAATGTATGTAAGCCTTTGTTCTTTGCATTCATGTGACTACTCAAGACCAAGAGGTCCGGGCGTAATTCCAAATATAGAGTACTTATACAGAGCTTACCACGTTACTATCCTTTTTAGCGTTCCTTAGACGCGCCGCATCTCCACGAGGCCGAGATTAGTATTTTCAGTATTTCCAGTAACGTATTGTATCACAACATAGCTGACGCTTCTATGGCTGTGACCTCCGTCAACTGAGATCGTGTAGCTGCATTGTTGCTCCAGTTTTCACAAGTGTGCTATAATTAGTATGGATAATCTCAACGAAACAACTGCAAAATATTTGCATTTGAATCAATAAATAGGTCTACTCGCTTCAAATTGAATGCCATTCTCACTCTACACAAGCCTGTTGAGAACTCACTCCATATCAACATGTCGTCAAACTCCACGGCTGACCTGGTCGGTGAATATGTAAGAGTGGCCCAAAAATATCATGAAAAGGCCATCTCTGTCCTCCGAAAACAGCTCGAATATTCGGAGACTAACACACGCACACGAGAAGATGTCACTCAAATCGTTGAAATGCTGGAAAACTGCACAATTCAGAAACCGCTCACTGCTAGAGAAGTGCTTCGATTAAGACCTAGCGGCAGCTTGAGTAAGAAACTTGTGGTTTGCTCAGAGGACGATGCACGCAAGATATTCGATAAAGGGCCCCCATGTTTTCCAGTCCTTGTGGTCGAGTCAAGTACTCAGCAACATATCTCCATAGATTGGTTCTTAGGCATTCTCGAAACTCGAGCAAATCTTGATGTCCACGATTTCGGCAAAAACATCAAGAACAAAGGCAGAGTTGCTGAGAGAATCCCTTCGAGTTCTGCCATAGACATGTTCAAGAGCCGACAGAAGATGCAACGAAACGGAAGCCGAATTTACCCATTAAACTTCCTCAACCTCAACGGGATTAAGGACAATGCTGTCCCGGGATTCTTGGCGAATCGCAAAGACTTCAAGATACTAGAGCTCTCACGTGAAGAAAACGGTAAAAGGGAGTATCGCACAGAATCCACGGACCTGGACGAATCAACTTCTTTTCACTTACTCGCCAGCCAAGGGGCGGTGCATCTCCCGCATGTCGATCATCACTATGTATATACAACAATCTTCAACGAGGAAGGGCACAAGCTGTGGCTCATGTGGCCAGGTTTGGGGATTGACGGTCTCCAGACATGGAGGGAGACGGGCCAAGTCCCCGATGGTGGCATTCCTGTTTATATCGCACCTGGGTATACTCTCATCCAGCCACCTGGTACATTGCACGCGCCGATCACAGTCTCAGACTGTTTGATGACAGGGACAATGCATTGGCATAGTTCCCAACTTCATAATATACTAAGATATACCAAGGCAGAAATCGAAGATCCAGAGATTACAAATGAGTCCTTTTCGCGCCAATTTATTGAAAAGATGACAATAATTCTAGCTCTATGGAGAAGAGGATCGAAAGCCTATAAGTGGCCGCCAGATGAACATCTTAACGAATGCCTAGAAATCCTGGAGGTGAGCAAGCGATATGTGCAATTGATGAAAGGGCGATGAGGCAGTGCTAACGAAAGTCTAGTGGCTCAAGGACGGCTGCGATTGTGATCAAACCGCTTCAAAATGCAAAACGTGCCGATGTGCAAGCGAAAAACGCCCGTGTGATGAAAGATGTCACTATGGTGATTACACACGCTGTAAGAACCCAAATTGATTAGAATGTCAGAAAGATAATATGGCAGATGATTGCGGCGAAACAGTAGATCCAGGATTTGAAGGATTCACAAGTATTGGAGATCTAGACTCTGATTAATTGAATTTATGGTCAATGACATGTACCTCCTTACTTCCGTGTCTTCTTAAGTTGACATTTGACCTTGTGCCAAGTTTTGTGATCGAAAATATACTGTAATTACAAAAAGATCAGCCCAGAAAAATCACCATAAAATTAAAAGATGGTACTCTGATGATTTCAGGGTAGATACTCTCCAAGTCGTAGCGGCATTATGCGTTAGGTGGGAAACATAGAATGTAAGCCAAGGGGATTTTGAAACTAATCTTCAGGGATAACAAACGGGTCTGGAACAGATGGCTGCACCACCGTACGTGTTGGATGCACTACACAGGTCTAGATGATGGATTGAATACGATACAATACTGATTACTACGCCCCGCGGCTCAGTTTTGCCGAAAGAGGGCTAATCACTAATGCGCTTATTTGCCAACTTGCTACATAATCGTTGCCACCATCTTCTCGAGTACATACTGTGACACACTCACAATGCCGAACTGTTGTCCACATTTGGACTAGGCAGAAACAGTGTCTTCACTATTGAGCACTTTTTCTTTTCACATCACCCTTGGAATCTTACGTCTTCCTGCACAGCGTGAGACAAAAAAGTCGGAGGCTGCTAGAATGAGTGCTACGTGCTGGCGATCGGACGCAACTTGGTAGATGCTCAAGAAGCATTTGTCAAGTACTGATTGAGACTGTTGGTCGTGGCTTATTTTGTTATGAGATGTAGAAGTGTGATGTTAGAAAATGTTGAAATCCGCCACAAAAGAATACCTCTTTTCCTTGGTCTCCACGATTAAATAAACTATCGAAGTGTCATAACATAAACAGAAGAAGGGGTGAGGGTAAAGAATGGAGTTTCAGCTTGACTGCGGAAAGATCCACCTCGGCTCCATCTGGAGTTCACAGCTAAAATAAGACCTAAGCTATGGGGTTAGTCGCCATACGAGATCGTTTCATCGCACCCCTGATCTGGGTATCCTACCATCCCCGCTTTGAGCATATTTATGCATATTAACTGATTTACCTTTATTTTGCCCGACATTTGGGTTGCTGTAGTCAACAGAGTCTCACTATTGAAGAGAAAACCCTCGGACGCGCACTCATATCAGACAATCACAGGGTTACTGGTAATGTAGGCAGACATCGATTGGGTGGCATCACTTCACGGCTTCTAGACAAGACCCTAGCTACTAGGCAGATGCGTCGACGTACCAAAGCAATACCAAATTATTATAGATGGTATAGATATCATCCTAGACCTTATATAACCTCTTCACAATGACCCCATTGCCAGAACTGTCAATGTTCTCACAGTACATTCTCCACTAACACTGGAGAGCTGTGTGGCCCGATCTCAAGACTAACAACTTCACGTCATCAACATCAGGTGAGAGGTGTAATATGTAATAATGAGCAGCTTACGTGAGATACACATATAATAGGACGTAGGGACTCAATTATCATAGAATTACGACCCAACAGAGGCAGATGATGTAGGGGGCGGACGGGATTGGAATTCCCCCAAACCAACTCAATCTACTAATCTGTCAACATGGCACCTCAGCAGTGTTTGTAATTTACGGTACTTAGATAATAACACAGCTCTTATACAGTAAGCATTTGTAGTCATGCAGTACGTCCGAAGATGCAATAGTGAGAACTGAAATCATGTATGCCATTGCCTTGACTATACGACCCAGCTTTGCTCCAAACGACGCCATTCTGGCCCCTACACTACATATAGGATTTATTATCCTCTCAGGGGCCCCCAACTTTCTTTCAATTACCGAGAACAAGGCGTAGCCCTTGACACTAGACCACCCACCTTCACTTAGATCAAGCTACGAAGCGGTCCCAAAGCCATAGTATCGATCGCATATAGCGTCATTGGGTGGAAGTCTGGGCATCCCGAGGCAGGCTCTGGCTTCCCATCCAGCAGTTACTGTACGGTGTAATCGGGGGAGTAGGGTAGTCATGAACGTGCAGGACATTGTATCCCTTTTGGGAAGTACTGTAGATATTCCCCATGTATTTGTTAATGGTTTTGGCCCTGGGGGTAGCAGGGCCAGTAGCTCGATGGGCAATGGCATTTTGCTCTGCTGTAAAGCGGGCCAGCCTCTGGGACACTCCGGAATACCCGGCTGTCGAGTACTTGCGGACGAGTGTAGGAGAAGGACTCTGACAGTGACGCAATAGAGCGATCCACGTAGCATTTTCCATCCGGTCCCAATCCTCCTCGTTCTTAACTTCGGCGCGACCGAGGATCACCCGCGCAAGGTCCAGAGATGATCGGGCCATAACCGTCGGCCGGGTGGAGACGAAATCGCGATGGTACAACGCAATCTCACAGAGATAGGCAGCCATGTGTGTAACCACTTGATCGTCACCCTCCTCTAGCACGATTAGCTGCGAAAAGAAGTCGACGGTGGGGTGGCCAATGACCCAATCGAGGGTCTCTAGGACATGCCACTCCATCTGGGTGAACAAGCCAGCATCATAGAGTCCACAACAGATGTCCTCGAGTCGATGAATCTGGGGAATGCGGCCCTTTTCGTCGCCATACTTGGCAGCGATGAGTAGCGCGGCGCATCCAGCCAATTGATAGTATTTTTCTAACAAAATTCTCTTGGTGCAGTACCGGTCGATGAGGTTCACAGTGAGGAAGAGAGTCTCGGGTAGTAGGTCAAAGGCGGCATGGGCCTCGACGAGGAAATTTATCAAGTACGGCCGCTTGAACCAATCGATCTCGGGCTGCTCATCGATCAGTGAAGCAGCTGGTAGAGTCTCATTCTAAATGTTGTTAGCACACGCAATGTGATGTGCGTCGATGTTGCAACATGCCTCCATCTGTCGCATATGCTGCATGATATCCTCCAGGTATTCATCGCCTGCTAGTCGTGAAAGCTCATCGCCAATCAGCTCTTGCCGTTGACGAGACATCATTTGTGCTACTTCTTGGGCTGTAATTCTGTGCTGATGATCATCGAACTCCACAAAGTAGGAGCCATCGAGTTGAGAGTATAACATCTTTGGGATATAACAGGTAACTGGCAGATGAAAGCGGTTCAAACGTGTTGATGATATACGTGGTTTAAGGGTCAATGCCGGACCAATCCGTTCAAGATATGTGACTCCTTAGGTTTTTTGTTGGAATACGAGAGCCCGATGTCGATTATTTCGCAGTGTCGTCATATGGCACTTTTCTCTCCAAAGATGCCGAATATTGTCAAGACTAATTCATAAGAGTTAGTCCCTAATTTATGGTGTATCCTCATCTAGATTGATAGGAACAGAAAGCCGGCTAAGAATAGATGCAATGAAATGTCGTGACCTCGGCGGCCCAAGGGAGCAGGAATCATCGCCAGGGAGCGACCCGGGTATCTCTATTTTAAGCATTTGGGTTAGCGGAAATTGGCCTTGTTCAACTTTCGCATCTTGGGTGATACATCAAGACTTGACGTACAGTCAGATTTCGTAGAATCGGTTGTGATTCCTTGACCTAGGCCGCAGCCATTAGAGGCGTAGTGCGCTCGGGCGTGGAGAGTCTTCCCATTGCATGTTCTATTGATGGCACAGTATCGCTTGGGGCCATGGACAAGTAAAGTATACATAGTACTTACCGTGAAGGAGTGCACTCCAGCGAAGAGTTGTAAGGAGGGACAAGCAATTGGGTGACGTAGACTTGCTGTTGGTCTCCTCGTGCCAATGTTCGGCGTCAGTTGGGTTATGCGTCAAGGGCGTGCAGTGGGATTACTTGTCAAGGTCAAGAAGGGAGATTAACAAATGATGGAAAAAGAAAAAGGGGCAAGAACGGCACCTCGAAAACTGGTCCCCGGACCCACTCAACGTGGCTGGGCATAACCCCGTCTTGATGCGTTAATCTCACTGCGCGGTATTCAGGCAGAAGTATTGGAATAGATGTTGCAGTTCGTACTTCCAGCCGTGCTAAGGCTACAGAGATACCTTGCCGATTCGCCGACCAAAACCAGGCAGTCGTCCAATTCTAAGATATCAGTAAGATGTTTTCTGGCTAATGGGCGTACTTGTTTCAATACTCGGCTCGTGTAGCGTCTAATTGCGCGATAGTAAAGTAGAATGATAAGTGCCTCGAATGTGCTATTCGCAGAGCGATGAAATTAGCAGCGGGCCAGGGTATTCAGACGTTACAGGGTACAAGTTACTTTTCTAAAACGAGATCGACGATGGGAATACTAATCTAAATACTACTCCCTCACATCATTTAGTGCATGAAACGACACGTCAGCCCCTTCACCTTGTTGTACCGAGTGGTATTTGAAGAGTACCCATTCCGGTACTGACAATCGAATGTGCAGTTGGAAATACAGATATTGCGCTCTCAAACTCGCCGTGTAGCCTATAACGACGGTTCAAGATCATGCCCAATCTCAACGGCTAGTATTTAAAAGTTGTTATTGTAGAGATGTTGCTGATTGTACATAGGCACGTTGATAGAAGATCTGGACAGCCTTCTTGACCTGGTTGCGAGAATTTCAGATTACGACGAGCCTCAAGTCCTCAAAATTCTCGAGCGCCTTGACTCATTCGACTACAGGAAGCAGTCTAAGTCTCAACCGAGAGACCCAGTAGCTTGTGCACTGTGGAACAGACCGGATTGCCAACGACGTCGGCGACTAGAGCTCAAGGGTCTATCCTCCGTAAGAATTGCTAAAAGTCTTGGCCGGCAACGTTACTGCAAGGCAAGTCGCGTACTATACCGGTGCTCATGTTGCACAAATACATACCTTACATGGGACACCGCTGTTGATCACTGGCAGATCAAACACAATGGTCCAGTAATTATGTTTTGCATGTCGTGCGGCCATCAATTGTCAGCTGCCAAAGCGAAGAAGCACCAAACTATTTGTGGATGGAAAATCATGGACGTAGTTGCAACTCAACCTACTCAGGTTTGGCTCTACTTCCTTCAACATCTGCTGAGTTTGAAGCGCCAGGAAGTTTGTAATTTGATAGGAGCATACCGCCTGCGTGATCCGCCCCGCCATTATGACACAAGAAGTATGCCATCCCTGTTCCATTCCCGGTCTGTTGCGTCCTAATCTTTAGAAAGGTCTCAGTATGTATTTGTTCCAACACATGCGGCGAGCTCATAAACTTCCAGAGGCTTCTGGACGCCTTTCATGGCAACAGTCGCCTGACAAGTTGCGAGACAGAGAGTTGTATGGTTTGGTTCCAGACGGAACCTCAGCTGCAAAATGGGGCTTATTTGAAATGATTAAATCGATAAGAACAGGCAGGCCATTGAAAGATCAAAAGCTTCTCGTGTGGCATCCTGACCTATTTGATGATGCCCATCAAGAACTTTACCGGTTGCAGGATAACACAGGAGAATTCAAATGGGTGAGACTAGAGGCCGAACAGGGCTTTATGCCATTGAAGTGCGTCTTTTCTGATCAAACGAGACAGACGTGTGCTAAACCTTATAGTGACCAACGTGCCCCAGTGCCTCATTTTCCCTCGGCCATGTCAATATTCACTGAGTTCGAGGGAATCTCCACAATTAGTGAACGTGACAGCCACACGATACACGAGCCAGAGAGTGAAGGCTCAAGCGATGTAAGTTCGATAGCGGGCAGTGACACTGAACATCCCTATGGCGCCGGCTATGCGTGGCGCGGTGCTCGACGAGCTTTCAAGACTAAGCGTGGTCGCTATGAAGTGGGCCCCTAGTTAGCATTGCAAACTCTGCAGTTCTATACGCACCTTCAAATTTTATGACAGAGGAAAGACTTGCCTTTCCGACGGCCAGAAACTTGGTGAAACCAGGCTTGAGCCAAGAAAGTAAAGTCAATATAGGCAAAAGTAGATATTAGCTCGTGGTTTGGTTCTTACCCTTTTTACAAATGTTCTAGAAGCCCTCTATGGCGGTGTTACTAGTCTGTAGATATGATATAAGTTGGTGCATTTTCACATCTACTTGAGCTACATCTCCAATGAATATCCATAAACTTTCGCACCGCCTTCTTGGATTCTCTTCAACATAAGGAAGTATGGTTGTTTCTCAGGAATGCATTTTGATCGGGATACGATAGGCTCGTAGTCTGGTGATTTAGCATATGCTCTTATTGGTGTAGATAAGACTACTGACTTTAACCAGATAATAACACTGTTGTTACCTGACTAGTTTGAATACTGAACAAGATCTTGTAGTTTTAGCTAGCATCTAGGTTATGTGACTCTGACATCGACGAGTAAGACGGGCCTAAGCCTCATCTTGACTCTTCCCTGAATCCTTTCTTCTGTGATTCTTCTCTTCCATCTACTTCGAGCCAATGGGAGATGACGCAATGCTCTCTTGTCGTCAGCCAATGGCACCATGAATTGTTTTCTTGGTGCAGGGTGTGGCGTCAATTCAGAGAAGCAAGGCTGGCAGTCGTTACCTTCAGCAGTACATTGCTGTGGTCACTTCTCATGGACCACATTGTCTAATAATAGAACTCGTTTGCGGCAATTGGCAGTGATACCCATCCATCTAGAAACAATCCTTGGCTTGTTTTTATAAACTACCACGGGGTCCTCTCCTAATCATTGTAGCCCTTGCACACTAGCGTCCCTTCTGTATTACCCTGATGGCGGTGTTTGGAGCCAGATCAGTGCACAGGCGAACCCTCAATAGTCGACCGCTGTGCCACTCTCGTTTATTGTAAGATCCAAAAGTCTTTAGCTAAGTGGCGTATGGTTATTTCAAGGCTCATAAGGTCATATTCAATATTTTCAAACATAGCTCCTTTTGTGGGAGATTTTGCTTATGTTTAGAAACTTGAACCTAAAATGGAAAAGGCCTCTATATTAGCCTGTGTGATTACGGACTCAGATATATCCGGTTGTCATAAGACACGGTCCATTTGCCCGTTAGTCCTCTTCATCTGTATTGTCCAGGAATAGGATTACTAGTGAAATCAGTAGCCCGTCCTTAGCCGGTACCACAAAAATGAAAAAATGAAACACGTGGGAGTGTATCTAACTACATAACCAAGCTATATGAAGCAAAGGTACTAATGGGCAGCTATATGAGAGACTCGGTGTTCTACATACTCATATAGTATGCACGATTACAAAGATACAATATTCAAACTGGTTGGCAGGTTCAACATTCAGGGCGGAGTCATGAAGCAGGCGTTCGCAACAAATCTCTTACGTGAAAATGGTCTTCAGCCATTTAACGACAAAAAGCATCGGGAAGAACAGATTGGCATCCTTGTCATTTCTGAGGCAGAATATAACAAGCCTAGCCATTTCGTTGAACCTGTACGCGTTTCAGGCGGTCGGCTAGTTAAGAAGAAATGGATTGAGGATCTCCACATCGAGAATGAATGGTTTGACCCATGTGGCGATTACTTGTGGGAGAAAACAGTTTGTGTGGATGACAAAGATGCCAGGGATGATGATAAAAAGTATTTGGACAGCGAGTGTCAGGATGATGACTATGAGGAGGGCGATGGCGATGATGAGTCTGACGATGATGAGCCTGACGATGATGAGTCTGATGTTGATGAGTCTGATGATGATGAGCCTCCGGGTTATGAGTACGAACATGATGAAGAGTCTGAGGATGAAGCGTATTGGAAGAAAGCGTATAAGCATGAGTCTGAAGATGAAGAGTCTGAGGATGAAGCGTATTGGAATAAAGCGTATAAGGGTGGTTGGCATGAGACTGGTAATAGGAAGCGGTATAATGATAGCCGCCGGCTTCGGAGTCAAGCCCTAGTTTATCTGGCAGCTCCACTGACTTAAGCGGCGGCAATCCAGAAGACATTGACAAGCCCGATACGAGAAAAGCGCCAATAGGACTACAGTAACAACTTACAAGGGGCGTATGGGAAGTTTTAGAACCATCGTGATAGGATCAGGCGGCTCAGTCAGTTGACTTGGGTGATTGGATAACGAGAACAATAAAGCCACTATAGATAAGAACAACTTTCACAGCGGTACTCACCAAGAAAATAGCAAATAACATGTTGAAATTCTACTTGAACCTATTGTATTTCGAAGTTGAAGGGGGCAGGACCGCGGCGCCTGGCTTACCATCTGGAAATAACCTATGCCGACAATGAATTGAACAAATACCAGGATATACAGCTAACCTTACTCGATGCTAAACAGGCCGCTAATTACTCAAGGCTAGCAAGCAGTTTTGGCATAATTAATTCCTGAACCAATAGCAAATAGTGGTGAGCAAGGAACATCTGTGACAAAGATAAAAAGGTTCTTTCCACCCAGGTTTCCATCCTCGGGAAAGCTATATACGATGCCTCTTGAAATGACGCCCCCAGCCCTGTACCAAGTGTCTGCGGCCAGCCTCCAGTAAAGATGAAGAATAATCTTCACAATTTATACAGTCATTGAAGCCATTACGAGTATGGAGTAAGATTCTATATCTTTTATCTTTGTCACCTACAGTTATGCTACAGTATGGTAGCCTCTGATTGGCCAACTCTTTCTTTTTTTTTTTTTTTCCTGCGCGTAGTCATCTAAACTCCATTTGCATGACCGGCCGACGTACCGCTGGACCCAAGAAGCTGATCTCTTCATATCTGTTTCTCTCGAAAAACAATCAAGAGTCTAAGCAAAAGGCTAATTTTGGTTTCACGGACTAATTTAGACGTGAAATGTTCCCACAAAATTAAAGGGCACTGCATTTAGGTTGCTCCACCACTTTCGGGCAGTCACGAGAATAAGTCCCATATCCCTTTCAGCATGAAGAGCAGCCTTTAATTAACTTTCCAAAATTGGCTAGCAAATTGTCTTCCATACAAAGCTACCAAGAGCCATCTACTAATTTAAGGCATGAGTTCGCTCGTATTAGACAAACCAGTAGTATAGTGAGCCCAGAATAAGCATTGCATGCCAACGTTGGATGGCTAGGGACAGGATATAATGATCTACTTTACCCAGCAGCATTCTAGAAAGCTCATGCGAGGCTATCGGCGGCCAATTGGTTACTAGATTATAACATGGAATCCTCAGGGAATGATTCTAGACCACTATCAAAGAAAAGAATCCATTTAATTGGTACATTTTCGAAACATAAGAAAGAGATGCGACAAACAATCAAGGATTTGGGTGGTAAAAACTGGCGACGTAACTGCAAGCAACCACCGACTGATTTGATTTTGGCACATGCCACGACAGTCCAAGAAAAAGGCAAGATCGAGAAAGAAGTTAGCGATTTTAAAAATAAAGGTGCGGAGTTTGAGACTCACACTCTTAGGTGGCTATTCGATCTCCGGGATAGGAAAAACGGTGAGAAACACAACGTTGAGTTACTGAGTTCCACAGGGCGGACGGAAAGCTCTATCAGAATACCACCGCGGCAAATTGTTCCCGCTACTCCGCCTCTTCCAGGTAGAAGGACGGAGAGAGCGAGGGAAGGAGATGAGAATCTCGATCCTGCTCTTAGCACAATTATTCCCAATACACTCCCATCCAACAGCCAAGACAAGGTTACGACGGCCATCGTCGAGCCAGTCTGCACCGGCCAGTATGCTCCCGTCGACGCTTACAATCGCGTCGTAGAGCGCCCCAGAGTTCTTTGTACAGATAAGACCTCACCCTCTCCTCCTAAGAGGGCTGGCGAGGTCGATGTCAAATTTATTCCTGTTGTGAGTTTGTATTATACTATTTCAAGAGTTAAGTGACAACATCACTGATACAACACGATAGCCACGTTACGTTGACGAATACGGGAATTACATTGTTGTTCCCAATGCTAAGTTAACAGAGATGTGTCAGTCGTCGTCAGCCTTCTCTGTTTGTTTGGAGCTTTTCTAATTACTTAATAGTCGAAGTCGTCGGGTCTATAGGCGAAGGAGCCTATGGCAGAGTTGTCAAAGCCCGCATAGTTGTTGAAGGCGACGATACGGTAAGTAACAAATTCGTGGCCATCAAGATCAGCGCGTTAGGGAAAGAATGTAGTGATGCCGCGAGGAACGAGCTTCGGATACTCGAAACCCTCAAAATGCATGATGAGAAGAACCAAAACCAGTGCATCCATGCACAAATGTGTTTCGAGTACCGAGGCCATATTTGCATGGTTATGGACTTGCTTGGTCAGAGCACCTATGAATTCCTGAAAAAGAACAAATGTGCTCCATATCCAGATAGTCAAATCCAGAGTTTCGCCCGGCAGCTTTTCAACAGTGTAGCCTGTAAGTATGAAGGCATGGGCCTGATTTGATAGCATACTGACGAGGTTTAGTCTTACACGACCTTGGTTTAGTTCATGCTGATATCAAGCCCCAGAATATCGTACTATGCGACGTTACTTCCTGTATCTTACCTTATAACCGCTTGAGACCTTCTTCCTCTCCTGTCAGATTTGGAGAGGGGCGATATGCTGCAGAACGCCGCGTCCTAGTGAACACCGAGGTTCGGCTGATCGATTTTGGTTTAGCCACGTTTCTAGATGAGTCTCCGTCGTATTTTCACTCAACTCCAGCGTATTCCGCCCCAGAGACCTGGCTATATCACCAAGCGTCGTTCTCTCACGATATATGGAGCATAGGATGCACTCTCGTTGAGTTTTTCACGGGTGATCTTCTCTTCAAGACCTCTGACATGCTCGAATATCTAGCAATGATAGAAGCTATTGCAGGACTAAAAATAGAGGAAGAAATCGCCTGGATCACTGATGCAAAGTTTCGGGGTATCCTTTCCGCTTTGCTTCCCAATGCGATGCAAGAACCACGCAAAAAGGTCGAGAAGATGAAGATGAAGCACCTTGACGTAAGCGACTATTACCCCAACCTGATATGGCCCTAATTAATATGTAATAGCAAATCATTCCTGGAAACAATGCCTTCCTTAAAAACTTTGCGGATCTGTTGAAAAGAATTTTTGTGCTTAATCCTAATCATCGTATTACTGCGAAGCAGGCTTTGCAACATCCTTTTCTTGTAGAAGAGGCCCAGCCAGATGATGGCCCTGTGGCTGCAGAGATTCATTAGAATAATCCAATAGCACATCAGGCTCCGCAACATCATGGTGTCACAAGTTGACGATGGCAGGTCCATGATCTCCTGATTATAAGTGAATACGCTGGCAGTCTTACCCTTCCCAAAGCATTACGGTCAAGTGATACGGCTAGCCACCGTGGTCGTTCCAAGGGTTAATGCTTTTACTTAGAAGGGATACTAATTATAGGCTAGGTATCAGTGATAGAGTGTGAGTCACCGGTTAGTATGCCAGCAGTGCAATACAAGACAATATAACTTCTTACGCCTGGCGTGTTACTTTGATCGATGTCCTATCGGCCAATAATGAATGCTTACATTGCCCAATTTTTGCCCTCCATGACTACTGAAAACGACCGTGAGATGCTGGGTGGGGAGAGTACACTATCAGGCTAGGCGGCCAAGTGAGGTAGAATCTCGGGACGGAATAACACAACTCCAGTAGGCAAATGCCTTGCTGGTGTCTGTTGGGTAATAATTGTAGGGGTTGAACCGATTTTGTTCGGTGCGGAGGGGTTAATGAAGGGATAGTGAGGCAACAAGGCAGCCGTGCAGAATGTCTCAAAGCCCCCGTATCAATGAAGCTGATCTGAAGAGTCGTTTTCTCTTGAACTAAGGTTCGAGAATACTTATCTAAATCTTCCCTGTGGCTATCAGAGGGAAGTTTTGGACGATAATAAAACCGGCGCTGGGTAGTGGTAATCAATAATACGGTGACATGTTTACGTATGAGTAACTGATCAATTGATATACTTAGATATAGAAGGTAGGCCTGATTCAAGTTGCAAGTAATTTAGGGTAGCTCGTCAGCTGAGACCTCAGCATCCTCCAGCATTCTATTGGCTTTTTAACAGTGGCCTGCTTGTCGACGCAATTTTACCCCGCGTCACTCCTTCAAAGGTCAACTAAACGATCTTCCTCATACTACACCATCATTATTTTGTGACTCCATGGCTATATATCATTGTAGGGCCATAATCCATCCCCTTCCCAATAAGTTCGCAGTATGGATCCAGCAGTGACAGTTCAACTAAACGATCAAGATGTCTATCAGGCGACAAAAGACATATTCGTGGGCCAAAAAGCCAAATTCCGAAAGGTTGGACCTGTACGGAAGTCCATCGAGAGCTACTCGAGACGCGATGATACAGCCCGACAATTTGTAGCCCTATACGGCGCTGAAGCCATTTGCCAGATCGTTCTCAGGCTGCTCTCTGGCGGGGTATATGAATCGCCGTTGACCGCAAGTCGTCGATTCCCGGATCTATTCAATCCATCCGTCGTCCAGAGCGCGGCGAGGGACATACTCGAAGCAGAAGCCATCAGAAGCGAACAGACCGCGCTTGAAGGCATTGTCCAAAGTCAATTGACTGACAGTCAAGAAACATTCAACTGGACTGAAATTATGGTTACCTTACGTGGTAAACTTTATCAACCACTAGGGCCTTCATCTATGGCTAATTGTCGCGTGGTCAGACTCGGGGAATAATGTTCCCAACGGCCAGACCAGCAACTCATCGTCGCTATTTCCGGTATATCTGCCGTTTCCCACGGAGCATCTGCTCATGGAACGACTTCAAAAGACTCTTGAACTTGCATGTTACGAGTTTGGAGCTCGGGCTATGCCAGATACACTACGAAATCGTGGCTGGGACTGTCCTGAGTCGGTAGAGCTCAGTAAATGGACTGAAGTTCTGAAGCGAGAGGGAGTATTGAAACGAGAGAATACTCGTAAGACGTTGCAGGAACTATTATACTCTATTGCAAACATAAGACACACAGCTGTTCACCGCTTACGTACAAGCTCGGTAGGGTTAGAGATGTTTATTGCTGATGCAGAAGACCTCGTTGAAGTTTTGGGAGATACAGCGTACTCGAAGTCGATCTCTCAACTAAGGACGAATATGAATTCGGCGATTACTGAGCTTACGCAAAACAAGCAATTTCTACAGCTGCAACTAGAGCAGACTCGAGCTGCGTTTCTGATAATAATGCTTGAGTAGGTTACTGCCATGGGCATAATGGTGAGTTGGAGGCAGTTTATCTTCCTGGAAGAGCTGTGGAGTTCGTCGCCGCTCTTCGTTGCTCCTACCCGACGCTCTGTTGACCGAATTGACCATGGCCGTGCTGTGTTCATTTGGCGGGGTCTGATCATAAGATCCAATGCCAGGTAAATCTGGGCTGTTTGGAACAGCGGTTGAAGACTAATGCTCGTCGCTTTGATCAGAAGCATCGGTACGGTTGGGTAGAGCAGTTGCATCGATTGTTGGATGGAGCTCAAGTTCGCGCAACGATACATATTGGGCCAGTTCTCCCCCAGCAATAGTTGAGCGATCTTCCATCTCTCTCTTTTGTAATACTCACTAACAAGCATTCCAGGGACGTAGCGAAAACCAACTGAGGGGATATATTCTGTCAGGCTGCGTCAGACCATTGGTTCAACAAATGTAATACTGAAGCGGATGTAGACGTAGTACTATATACTTACAAGGTTTCTTTTTGGAAATCTTTTTGCTGTAGGAAATTTGGGTAAATAGAATTTTATAAGTAAAAATTAAAATAGTTGGAGGAGTGAACTTTTGGCCCCAGACTCGTACTTGTCTCATCCTGCAGACTCAAACTGTGCTAATGCTTGACAAGGTCAATTTGATTGGGCTGTTGCAAGTGCGACAAAATATCGACGATACAATCTTGTTTGCGACTTCAGATACAAGGTATCAACGCAAGATCCCATTGGCCATTATGCAAGAGGCATACCAATTTAGCTATGGGCATGACGTGGTTACAACCAACCGTTCGCTCGTCGCCCAATCAGCAATGGACTTTCAAGCCGCAATATGTCTGAGGCCTGCCACGCTGCTTGGGGCGAAATCCCTGACGCAATGGCTTGGCTTATCTCTACGCATTTCATGAACGGACTACAACGCGATTGGTAAATATCATACACATTAGCTCTCAATAGGCATCAACCCTCTGCCTTGACTACTTGCATTTAGTAACCCTTGCCCAACTTGTGGAATAAGGTATTTGCGAATATGGGTGAGTATTTAGCAAAGCTATTATCGCAGTACGTTGGCTTATTATTAGAATCGAAAGGAGTTCAGCGACCGCTTCTGGTCGCTCCAGAGCGGGCGTTAGTCAAACGTTTCTATCCTCCCCTTTTGCTATTAATCGCCTTGAGATCCATGTGTCCACGACGAAGACTAGGAGAGGACCCAGAATTCGATGCTTTAACAGGCCTGGAGCCACTTTTCCGAGCATTTATCTCCAAAATTGCATTCCTTTGTGGCACCGAGGTTGGTAGCGGAGCAATCTCGGCTTGTGCTGTGTTACAGCTGCCCGATTGTATCCAGTATGTGATTGGTTTCAACCAGCAAAGTTCAGCGAGACGTGAAAAGGTCCAAGCCAGCATAGCTACTATTCTACATCTGTTCTCTTCAATTCCGCCAGAACATAGTGCGGAACGAGAAAACCTTCGGATCCAGGCCCTACACGCATCGCTTGAGTTGTGCAAAAGTCGGGTGAATGGATACTTGAAATCGCTCAAAGTCCATCTGCAAGAGTGTATTGGAGCCTGTGAGCATGAAAGCACCGAGGAAAGTAGGTTCTGTATATTCAGTTTGCATTTTGCGCATGGAGCTGACAAGAATTAGGTGAATCGACTCAAATTGAAATGTCCCAAGTCCTACACCTTTTAGAAGCCTGTTTTGACACATGTCGCTCTGAACCAGGTGAGTATTTGATTCGTTCCACTCGGAGTGAATTGCTCATCTAATGATCATTCATTCAAGTAAATCGCTTTATCGTATGTGACTTGATTACTTCTTTAAGCAACTTTTTCAAGTCCCATATCTTTGTCGATGTCAGGCGTCGCTTGGCGCCTGAAGATAACATGATGTCAACTACATACTGGTCAGACTTTGTTCATGTCGCGGGTCGACTGCTTACCTATAAGCGCGCAGTGGACTTGATGGATTTGGTCGCAAAGATCTAGCCTCAGCTCTTTTCAGACATTCAGATCTGCATGATACCATCGAGTTCAGCAGTGTCTGATGATTCTTTCAAGAGCCAGTCTGGCGTTCTTCCTATAAAGCCTTGGACAGCTGACCAGATCATGAGCAAAATGTCTAGCGATGAGTCGTTATTGGGTCGTTTTGCAACACAGCTAGGCTCGCTTTCTGTCCACGACATAGACGCTAAGGTCTCTGAACTTTGGCGTAGTGCACCTAAACCAACGGTGCATGCGGAAGTACTGGTGCATGATTGGCTAGAAAACACCGAGGGTGGAATCCGCCCTGAACGGTTTTTCAATCGTTGGAAATTCATCGGATCAAGCAAACCACCCTGCAAACTGTGCTCTTACTTTTTCGATGAATATCCAACCGATGTTCAAGTCCGGCCCTCTCATCAAAATGCGTATTTTGCCTGGCGGATGCCTGATGTGTATGAGTATCAAGGGGAGGAATCAAGCCATAAACGAATGCTCGTCATGGATAGTATCAAGACTCGAATCAGATCAGACGTTGTGCGAGTGCTGTCTGAGAAGCTAGCTGATGGACGGCCTCATGATTCAAGTGCATATATATCCTTGTGGCGTGGCATAGCGCCAGGTCCTCCCAACAACCCTATCTCACTAGAAGCGACTGCTCGGTTTCTCGAATCGTGCACGCTTTCGACAACGCACGAACAAGGTGCCACTGATCGAGAGTCGGCCAAGGAAGTGGTAAAAGTGCTGGATGAGAATGAAGAGGTGCTAGATGTGAACCATGAAGAGGAATTACTTTTCAAAGGTAGATCAGCTGTCCGAAAGACTGTACAGAACCGACTGGGAGAACAATAGCCTATTAGTTTGAATAAGAATCATTCTTTGCCTACCCTTCCTCCAACCCACTTCAATGAATGAATATCGTCATTGAAAATCTTCTTATGTCGTTGAGAGTGGAGCCACCTCCACAAGCAACTAAATCACTTACCCTACTGCCGCAATCCAAACATTAAATAGCACGCTATAAACAGTGCCAGCAGGTAACAAAGACTTTAATATAATAATCAGAAGCCACTAAATATAATACTTTTTTTTTTTTTCCCCCTTTCTTTATGTTGCACCATTGTTTGTCGTAGTAATCAATCAATTTGTGAGAATACTCGTAGCTTTCCTTAGTCTCCAAGCTCAAGAAGAATCCTGCTCTCTCCAAACTTTTGCCTCCTTCGTCCACAACTTCATTTCCGATTCAGCCCACTTCTGGCTCTCTTTTGATTTTTTTTTCTTTTTCCCTTCGAACCTCTGCCTCCCGCTCATCTAGCTTTCTTCCGCAATTCTCTGTAGCTTCCTCTCCCCTTGACTTTGTGCCTCCTGTTCTTCCCGGCTCAAGCCTTCAACCGGTTTTCCAATATCGAGTCGAACCTGTGCAACGATGTCGCTATACTCCCTGCCTTTGACCTTCGAGAGATGCAAGCAGCCATTGAAAAGAGATGCTATAAGAGTTCTGATTCCCGACTTTTAGCGGAAGATTTACCACAAGCATCGGACAAGCATAACTTATCCCAGACTGGGAGCTAAGCTTGTTTTTAGAAACAGTGACCAAGACGTATGCTTAGGTGATTACTCCATCGTACACGACGTTGTCCATCCTTTAGGACTTTCCAATCCTCTCAACATACAGCTTGGATAGATCCACTATACGACGATGAAACTAGTTAACTTTTGTAGTACACATACCTCGAAATATCGGCATTAATCTATTAAAGTTAGGAACCTAACTCTTTAAGCGACAGGACGCGTCGCGTTCTGGGGTAAACCCCTGCTCTAATCAGCACTACTATTCCTACATATGGGATAAAGTCAAATCAACTCTACACCCTGGCAATAATCAACCCTACGAGGTTTAAAGTGGGTCAATAAAATCAACTCTACTAGAGTTGATTTTGGACTGTAGGACTAGGGCCACCACGCAACACAAGCCAGGCTATGGGCCGGGCCGACGCAACCGCCTCAGGCGTTATAAGCCACCTGGCTCTCGGCCATAAGCAACCCTATAACGGAAGAAGGGGTGGTTTGCCCTAGAGCAGAGCCCGTATCGCAGCTACGCACAGTAACTTGAGGGGAACTCTATCTCGTCTTATCCCCCGTGGGGAGTGGCAGCTCCCACGGGGAACGCCGGACTAGAGGGCTCTCACAAATACACCTTGACTTTCTCCATCGACCAACCCAAGAGATTGCGAGCACTCCTCAGCGAGGCAGGTCTGGATCCAACTCCAACAACCCATCCCAAGCAGTACTAGATTTCAACCTGTCTCTGATGACGCTTCCCCAGGCGGCCGTATGCTATCTTGATATCCACTGTCTCCATCTTACTCATCGCTATCGCTCCACTCCCTTGTCTACTCGTCCTCCTTTGGCCGTCTGTTGTCTTCTTCCTGTTGCCTATCGATATCAATCCAAGATCTCTTCGTCGGACTTTCACTTAAAGACCTTGAAGCAGTATATATGGCCCGATATCTTTCTGGGCTAGCCTCTTGCACCTCATGCTCAGATTTGCTAGGGTCCCATACGAGATTAGATAATGCCTCTGTTGCGTAAAGAAAGTCGCGGAAGATAGTTGGCGAGAAAACAGTCCAGGTAAATCGGGCAAAGAGGCACTCAGCTGGTATTGTCGATGGTAGGGTGTGGACTCGCCGGTTATGCCATAGCCTCGGAAGCTGTCCGCTCGGCGTAGAGTTGAAGACGTGAGCGATAAGGTAAGGTCTAGCCTGAGAGGCTGTATTGGGTGGGATATTGTCATTCATAAGCTCACCCGTTCGGCAATTATCGCCTTTAGGTGAAGTTGACTCGGCTTCTAATTGTCTCAGGACTACCACCCTTTCGCCCTTATTGGCGAACTTATTCGAGCGTGGCTCCTTTAACACTAGGCAGAAGTGGCGCTCGTTAAATATCTTATAGATATCGTTGCGTAGTGGAATATAGTTGGCTGCGGCGTTCGTCGGGTTCGTAGAGAACAAGTTCGTCTCTCCGTTTCCGTCCATGCTATAGCGAGTGTCAGTTTCAATTTTAAACCAAGACCTCAGTTCAGAGAAAGGTTACGCTATAATTCTCTTACCTTGCCATGTGATTTCTTGACCACCAGTTCGACTATGCAGATAGAACCAGATGGGCTGATAACACCCCGTCGGCATAGTTGCTGAGAGACCAATGGCCGTTATTGATACCGACTCGCTGACTTAACACCCAAGGACAGATCCCGTTGGAGCCTGGTCCATAAGGGAGGCAAGGCATTGTGAGGGAAGCGCTAGTCGTTGAAACGAGCGAGGATAGGATACGGTTCGTCTGTAGAGGCTGGAGGGAGGTGATAGAAGTATCGGTTATCGCGTGGGACCCCCATCTTGAGGTCTCTCAACCTTTTGGGTCCCGTATCTATCTCGAGAAAAGATGCCATCCCACTGATTTGCAGCTAAAATGCCGCACGCGGTGTGGGCTGTTGCGTAGTCGATGTCTTCGTCGTCGAGTGCCCTTAGCGATAACAAACAGGACGTGGCTTTTGTCATCGCCGCCATCGTAGCCTGGAATGAACAGATTTGATGAACCCTTGTTTGCGGGTATTCGCGCAGACGAAGATAAGTCGTGGCTCGTCAATTGTTGGAAAATCCGGGGATCCCCCTTCCCTTCAGGGTTTAGACTGTTAGTCTGAAAGTCCTAGATTTAGAGTTCAAAGTCCTAGATGAAACCATCTAGAGATATAAACCCAAGAACTCTCATCTCAATAATGAACAATCAAGTTTTCATAAAAAATATACTTTCACCCAGCACTACTGCGCAATATAAACAACAGGTTATGAGCCCGGGTTAGCAAACACCGGGTTTCTCTTCTGAATCAAAGAACCAAACTTTAACTTCAACTCAAGATGACGTCACGACGAGCCCCACCTTCCACCATGCGAACTCGCAACACCATCAGAGTATCGCCTGCGTCTGAATCGTCGCGACCTGGTGCTTCAGGTCAAGACCACACACCATCCTCAATGTATGACAGCACCACGGTCGTCTCCGAAAAGAACACTCTTTTCCTTCCGCAAGAGCTCAAGCTAGGCGGACCCTCCAATTGGGAACAATATTCCCCAGCTCAGAAGGCAATTCTTCGAATCAATGGTCTTGAAGATGCTGTCTTTGGTGATTACCCTCCCGAGGAACAGCAGACTATGGATCAAAAGATCAGGGCGGCAAAAGCTGCCGTCTCCATCCGAGGTAACTGCACTGGAGAAGCACTCAGTCAACTAGTCGGGATTGAGAATCCTCAAGAGATGTACAACCTTCTCCAGGCCTACTGTATTGGCACGGGCCCAGTTCTCCTGCAGACAACACTTTACCAGTTCATCCGGATCAAAACAAGCTCTTACGAGACAATTCCGCAATTTAATGTCGACTTTGAACGACTCGTCAAACTTCTCCTCGAGCAGAAAGAACCAATCTCAGATACCCTCAAAAAGGTTGTTTATCTGACTGCCTGCGAGAACGAGTACCCCGACTGGACTGCCAGACAGCGGGCTCTCCTACGCTCTGAGCATCCGCCAACACTACGATCAATGCAGCAAGATCTCATTGATGAAAACAGGTCATCAGATGATGATGATAGTCATGGTACTGCCTCTACGTACTGGGCTCACAGTAAAAAGACTGGAAGGAAGGGCCCGACCGCAAGAAAGCAAGAGGCAAGTGGCCGGAGGAGAGGCTCTTCAAAGAACAGACGAGCTACGAACAAACCCAGCCAGGAAACCAATCATCGGATCGGCAAGCACAAGGACCATACCTGCACGAATTGCAAGAAGAGAGGTCATCACGAAAATGATTGTTGGTTCGCCCATAAGGATAAGCGACCCGACTGGGCAGTCCGCCTCGCCAAGGAACTCATGGAGCATGATCTTCAACGCGACAACACCAAGAATCTCCATATCAAGGAATCAAATCACATGACAGTCGAGCGATCTTTTCTGATTCTTGAAGACAGCGTCTCAGACGAGCTACCTATGGACAATACAGAGGCGTGTAAGGTCTCCCTTGATAACATCTCTTCACCCACGGCATGGCTGTTCGACACAGGTTCGTCAGTCCACATCTGCAACGACCAAAGTCTATTCACAGAGCTGCAGCCTGCAACCCGAACGGTCCTCGTTACGGGCGGTGGGAAGGTGTACCCATCCGGCCGAGGGACAGTCAAAATTTGCTTCATAAACAAATGGGGCGATCAGGTCCCAGTCAACCTCAAAGACACGCTGTTCATCCCTGAGTTTCCGGTAAGTGTCATGTCAGGGCTCAGGCTGTACAAGAACGGCGGCTGGATTGACGGTAACGACATGTATGACCCAACAGGAGATGTCTTTGGTCTCCTCCGCATAGGAAGGGACGGTCTGTACGTGAACACTGAGGTCGGAAAGACTACTGTTTCAAACCAGGCCGTCTCGGAACTCCAGCCAGAACCATGCAATCATCACATTGCTTCATCAAATCAATGCCTGAATGTCGACCTTTGGCACCGAAGACTCGGCCATGTTAACGCATATCAGGTGTCACAGACTGCCAAAATGACCAGAGGAATGTACTGTGACGGCCACCACGATCATCAGCCTTTCAATTACTGCCTCGCCTGCGACATCGCAAAGGCCCTACGATGGACTCCGCGAAATAAGCGGAAACGAGCCTCCAGGGCCGGGTTCATTCATGTTGACACCTTCAAAGTCAATCCACCGGGCATTAGAGGCGAACGATGGGGAATGATTGCCACAGATGACAGGCATCGAATGAGATGGGCCTACACATTCACGAGGAAGGGGATGGCTTCGGAACTTCTAGGCCAGCTCATCTCCAAGATACGAACTCAGTATGGCATCCGAGTGTACGCAATCCAGATGGATGGCGGCTCTGAGCTCTATGGTGCGTCTCTCAAGAACCTCGAGTACACCCACGGCGTCAAGATCATCAAGACGACACCATATACTCCTGAATTTAACGGAGTTGCTGAGCGCTCTAACCGCATCATCTTTGACAAAGTCAGAGCAACCATGGAATCGGAAAGAATCCCGATAGAGCTCTGGCCATTGGTCCTGGAAGATATGGTGCGCAAGACAAACGTGACAGCCACCAGGGCAATTGATGGCCTCACTCCCATGGAAAGCTTTCTCAATGAAGCCTTGCCCGGACAAGACAATAAGCCGGATCTATCCGGAGAACGAATCTGCGGCTCACAAGTCACGATACACATACCGCAAGAACGAAGATTGAGATCACACAAGTTTGGTCCAAGAGGAGAGGCTGGAATCTACCTATGCATGGAAGGTTCACAGATCTACACCTGCTGGGTGCCCTCTCGCAGAAAGGGACATCAGATCGTCCGCTCTGCAAATGTGCAATTCTACGAAAAGGTTGGGGAGACAGAACTCCTGACCGAAACTGAGCATGATGTTGAGCCGGAAATCCGCAAGAACGGAGCTCCCATCTCAAGCCGGCCACAGTCCGTCACGGAGCAGACAAAGACTCCAAGCCCACAAAGGTCTGAAGTGAACAATCTTCAGCATGCTGAGGTGCATAATCCCCAGCATGGACAGACGACAACATCCATGACATCAGCTAAGCTGCCCGATCTCCGAAAAGAGGTGATCACTGAGCCCAAAACAATGACTGAAGCTGTTGAATGTTGGAGGGTTCACCCTCAACTTCAGGATTAAGGTTCAGGATTAAAGTTTGACGCCCTAAACTTAGATCGTAGGATTTTCATCTAGGACTTTCTAGGACTCAAGTCCTAGAAGGAACCAGTCAAAGATATAAGGTCTCAATGGTCCTTCGATTGCGAGAGAATCAAGAAATATACACGATTCACCTTAATATCTGACAGAAGCGCTTCAAGGTCCGCAAAGGGAGCATTGGCTCAGAGCAATACACAGTGAGCTGCGCAGTCTCCTCACGAAAGGAACTTGGCGCATGCTGGACCGCAACCAAGCTCACAATAGGCCACTTACAGTCAAGTGGGTATTCAAGGTCAAGAAAAACGAGGACGGCAACCTGGACAAGTTCAAGGCGCGGCTGGTGGTCAGAGGCTTTGAACAACAGTTCGGCTTTGACTACAACCAGACCTTTGCCTCAGTTGCCAAAGCGGCCACCTGGAGAATCCTCCTCACCGTTGCTGCCTGTCTTGACTGGGAGATTGAGCAGATGGACGTGTCGACGGCGTTCCTGGAAGGGGACCTCGACGAAGAAGTCTTCATCGAAATGCCGGAAGGGCTTGTCGAGTATTTCGACCAACACCCAGAAGACCGTCCGCCAGGATTCTCAACCGAGAAGATCTGCAAACTGATCAAATCCCTCTATGGACTCAAACAGGCGCCTCGGCAATGGCAAAAGAAGCTGAAGGAGACCTTGGAATCTCTTGACTTCAGACAAGCAACGTCTGACACGGCCGTATATCACAATCCCACAACGGGAGTGATAATCATCACATATGTGGATGACTTCCTCATCATGGGCAGCAACAAGGAAGCAATCCAAGGGTACAAAGCCCGCCTGGGAGAGATCTTCACAATGACTGATCTCGGTCCCGTCAGCCATTTTCTTGGAGTAAGAATAACCCGAGACAGGAACTCAAGGCTGATCTACCTTTCCCAGGATGCATATTTTACCAGAATACTAAAGAAATTCGGCTTGGAAGATTGCCGACCGGTCAAGACCCCCATGGAGCGAAATTCACTCTCGACACTGCAACCAAGAGACAATGGCGACTCGGCTTCTCCAGAGGAACGAGACGACTATAGCTCGAAAACCGGCTCGCTGATGTATGGAATGACCCAAACCAGACCCGATTTAGCTTTTCTACTCTCGGTACTCTCAAGATACATGTCGAATCCACCACCAGCACATTCACGATTGATCAAAAGAGGTCTTCGCTATCTACAGCAGACAAGAGACCACGGCCTGGTGCTTGGGGGCGTCAAGAAAGATCCTGAATCCGCTTGGAGCATCACAGCTTGGGCCGACTCGGATTGGAAAGGCGACACAGTTACGGGAAGATCGACGTTTGGATGGCTCGTTCAACTTGAAGGATCTACAGTCTCATGGAGGGCCAAACGGCACGAAACAGTAGCACTATCGACAACCGAGGCTGAATACACAGCACTCTCCCAATGTGCCAGAGAATTGGCCTGGACTAGGAACCTCTTCTCTGAACTGCTCCTGCCACTACATATGCCTATTCCACTGAACGGCGACAACCAGGGTTCCCTAAAGCTATGCAGAAACCCTGAGCTTCACCAACGGACAAAGCACATTCCGTTAACCGAGCACCATATCCGAGAAGAAGTTGAAGCCGGGAACATTGATGTGCAATACGTCAGCACATATGAGCAGGTAGCAGACGGACTCACTAAACCGTTGAACACCGTCAGCCATGGCCACTTTCTAGAAGCAATTCGAGTCAGTGCATGTCCGATCGAGGAAGCAGGTCGTATTATTTGGAGTACTGAAGTCCATGATGACTCTGTGCCCTGAAGACAAGGTGGATGGGGGCGTGTTGGAAATTCCGGGAATCCCCCTTCCTTTCAGGGTTTAGACTGTTAGACTGAAAGTCCTAGATTTAGAGTTCAAAGTCCTAGATGAAATCATCTAGAGATATAAACCCGAGAAGAACTCTCATCTCAATAATGAACAATCAAGTTTTATAAAATATACTTTCACCCAGCACTACTGCGCAATATAAACAACAATATATTGGCAGTGTGACAATACACCCAATATATTCCACGTGACCCCATCACTAAACCGCTTCTGCACAAGTCTCATCGCCAAGTCGACTGAAATTGACGACTCTCTTCGTTGTGACCATTTTACAAAAGGGAGGCGCTATTGAGGTATGGTAGTAAGTCTGTCTCAGCTCGACAGTGACAAAGAAAATGGGCAGAGGTGACGATGGCCAATGTCAGCAGGGGAGGTTTAGCCGAACATGGTTAGTACCAATCGTACCTCCCCTAACGCATAAAAACAACGCTTGGCTACATTTTAGCCAATAAAATGCCAAGTATCCCTGTCGTTGGTAGGGTAAGACGTGTCCGCTACTGTCAGGAGGCAATTTCATCCCAGAACTAACATCCCAATATAAATAATATATTGCCAATATGGACATCCTCATATTATATTGTTGCAATATCAAAATCTTCATATCATATTGTCACAATATGAGAAAGTCCATACCATATGGGTTATATTGCAATATACTACTTTATTGCCATATTATTAGCAACACTGGAAGCAGACTGGTATCATCCTTGTCTACTAATGATAGAGAGATGGTTTTTGGTATCTGGTTTTGAAGTACTCTTTGTTGCATCATTTCTGCGCGAGAGTGATCAAAATAGTTAATGTAATGCAGCGAATAGGATCCTGTATTAAGGAGTGGATGCGTTGCTGACATATGCACACTACCTGAGGAGACGGCATCGTTCCAAGCAGCGACATGCCCTTGCTGCATGTTGATAAAGAATCTCGGGTGAGAAACTTTAGGTTGTGATGCATTGTAGGAGCCAGGGGCTGAAAGAGCTCTTCTTCCGCCGTCATCTCGGGGCCAAGATAGACGAAGGCCGTAACCTTGACATTCTAGTCTCGCCTGTCCACAATTTACACATGTTGGAGCTCCGCGATCGCATCGGATCCGCCGATCTAAGTGTCAGTAAGTAGTCGTCCGAGATATGATTGTTCCTTGATTTGTCGGTGAGATAGTATACCTCTGCAGGTCCCGCAAGATCTGCCTGTTTTGGGCTTACGCAGCTCTTCCATGCTGTAGTTGTAGCTGCTAATGCTGAGGCCAAGCCAGATGCTGGCATTAGGAATGATTATAATACAGTGTCAGGGTAAGGGCACGGAATGGAGTGGCCATTGTTGAAATGAGCATGCTGAGCTTGATTGAAAGAGAAAAAGACTAGCGCTAACAGCGAAAGCTGTTAACAAGATGACATCCACATCCCAGCCACCATGGATCGGAATAGTCATTGATCCGTTAAACCATCTCAACCCATTCCCCAATCTACTGCCTGAGGCACCCAAATATGCATGTAATTAGCAGAATCTAGTAGTACATAAGGGACACCCTTGTCCCCCGGTAGCTAGGATTAGATCAGTTCAATAATAGCTCTTGCCCCCTGCCTTCTTGACTGTCACGCCCCCTACTAAGCAGAAATTACTAATCCAAACTAGAGTTGCGCTTCCTTATTAGCCTAGCCTCGCGAATAGTTGCTACCTTATTGTAACCCACCTATCATATCGTATGCCGGGCCCGAAAAGTGGCCCGCAGCCCCCCTCCGCTCCTTAGTCTGCAAACAAGCTGATGGCAGCGCTCCAAGGCCATCCTCGCGGATTCTTGCCAACAGAACGACGTGAGCCAACCATATTAAGTCTAAGCCATACATACTGGGATCATTGGTTGAGGCTAAACCTGGTTGAATGACTCAATCTGGGACGGAAGAGAGCATATTTGCGTGACAAAATGTACTTTCGTATCCCTCAAGTCTGGCTTTGTTGGGACACAGAGGCCCAAGAGCATAATACATGAATGTTACGTTCGTATTCATACTGCTCTAGATGGATATATATACTCTGCACTTGGCCCATTACTTAACTAAAGGCTTTCACTGGCTAATAAACCAAAACATCATCGTTCTTTGAGAACAACCAGTCCTTCTACTCTTTTAACCAATCGCGCATCATGGTCCACTCCCTCGGTCCCAATACGGCTGCCGTTCTTCCTGCCAGGCAAGGACTACTCACCGTCCAAGAACGTCCCGTCCCCACGCCTGGTCAGGGTGAATTGTTAGTGCGCAATGTAGCAGTCGCTGCAAATCCCGCAGATTGGAAAATACAAAGTCTTGGCATCAACATCGACAAGTTCCCAGCCATACTTGGTAGCGATCTTTCCGGGACCCAGAGACCCAAACAACTCAACGTAATCAACTCGTTGATCAACTCGTTGATCAACGGCCAACTCAACCAACTCAATGGAGGACTTTATTAGTAAGCTGCCCAACTCAATATTACCTTGAAATTGATGGATCTCGTTGATTTCGTTGATATAAAGTGGGTCTACTAGCCACCGTTAGTGACTGTAACTGCGGATTGGTATAAATCCTAACAGCGACCCGTAACTAAGGCTATGTGTGGCTTGTACGTATGGCAGATCACCTAATTTCCCTGGCCGCCACCTCCTTTTAGCCTCTGTTCTGCCCTCAATTCTGCTTCCAACTTCCACATCGATTTCAACAGCTACACCGATTGCATTGTGTAACTAGTTCAGGATGAGTATTTTGTCAGATTCTGACGCCATCACTGCTGTTGACGATGATGGAAATTTTAGGTCGTCTCCAGCGCCTTCTACAGCTTTCACGCCATTCTCGCCAGCGCGACGTTCTAAGTCCACCTCGCCAGATTCCACTACCAAAGAGCGACAATATGAAGAATCTCTTTGGCGCCATTTCCCCGGGTTCACGTGGTCTCAAAGGGTTAGAGATACTAATTCCTGGGCCTGGGAGTATGGGTACGATATCCAGAAAGGCAACGACAGGAAGTGGGTTTGCAAAATTTGCATCCGCAAGAACACTCTTAAGCCAAGACCTTCACATCAACGGGCATCCAAAATACCCTAAACCACCTCTATGACGATCACAGGATTTGTGCGCCTGAAGGGAAGACGAAATCAGCCTCGCAGCTAAGAGCAGAGGGCCGGAAGGCCAAGGGACAGTCATCCATCGCCGAGTTGATGAAGCTTGATACCAATAAGCCTAGAGAACAAGCAATTGCGAATGGCTTCATCAAGAACTTCGACAAGAAGCATTTCCAACGACTTCTGATGGAATGGATCGTGGAGGCCAACCTCTCGTTCGAAACGGCAGAACACGACAAGCTCAGGAAGATTTTCGCATATCTGAACCCTTGCGTGAAGCTCTGTGACGCCAATCTTTCCGCAACCTCTATTCGCAGGAAAATCGTGGCATCATACGAACAGCACAAGACGAAGGTTATGGAGGTCCTCCAGAGCTCTCCCGGCCTAATTCACGTCTCTTTTGATGGCTGGAGGTCCGGAAATCGGCACGCGTTATATGGAATTATGTGCTTCTTCCAAGACGAGAAAAACAAGCCCCGCAAAATCGTCCTTGGAGTACCCGAGGTCTCTACCCGCCATTCTGGCACAAATATTGCAGCAGAAGTCCTCGAGATTATCGATTCATATGGTATAAAGAATAAGATCGGGTATTTCACGCTTGATAACGCCGAAAACAACGATTCAGCAATGGCTGTGATCGGAGGAGAGTTGGGCTTCGATGGACGCAAGCGCAGAGGTCGATGCTTTGGCCACATACTCAACCTCTCTGCCAAAGCATTGCTTTTTGGCTCCAATCCAGAGGCATTTGAGAATCAGCTTTCCGGCGCAGCAGCGTTATCTGAAACTGAACACGATCTTTGGAGGAGGAGAGGGCCAGTCGGGAAGCTCCACAACCTCGTTGTTGACATCGACAGATCTGATGTGCTGAGTTACCTTCTTCGAGGTGTTCAGCAGGCTGATATGGACCAATCTATCGATCCGAGAGTTCGAGCGAGGAAGCCTCTGAACATCGTCGTCGATAACGATACCAGATGGCTGTCCCAGCTCTACATGATCCGCCGCGCGATCAAACTCCGTCCTTACCTCGATGTGATGATTCTTAAACACAAACAGGCTTGGGAGCAGGACAATAGGTCGAAAAGGACGGGCCTGATGAGGAGGTCGGCTGTTCAACCGCGAATTTGCCTATCCGAAAATCAGCTTTCAAACAAGGATTGGGACGTCCTCGAACACCTCGCCACGATTCTTGGATTCTACGAGGTCACCGTCAAAACCCTTGAGGGAGACGGTATTCAACGCAAACGGAAGAGAGGGTGGGTCGGCTCGTACGGAAATATCTGGGATGTCATCCAAGGCTTCGAATTCCTAATGGCAAAACTGGAGGAGTACAAAGCATTCGCGGCGGATTATCCTGATCCCGAACACTTCAGGATCAACATCAACCTAGGGTGGCAGAAGCTCAACAAATACTACACAATTCTCGACGAGACACCAATATATTACGTGGCGTTGGCTCTCCACCCTGCGTATCGATGGGGTTGGTTCGAAGAACACTGGGGAAAACATCCGGATTGGATCGCAACTGCGAAAGAGATGGTTCAGGAGGTATGGGAGACCGAATATCGCAACCTCGAGGTGGTATTGAGCCCAGGAAATGAGCCCGTTGCTAAACGGCGAAGGAAGTACCAAAATGCCTTCGAGGAATACTGCGAACAGTCACGATACGAGCCATCAAGCCGGTTATCGACGCCTACGACCACGCCAGCGAGGATGAGGTCTTCTGCGACTCCTGAGTCCCCGAGGGACGAGTACGAGGCGTGGCAACAAAGCTGGGTTCCAACAGACACCGATATTCGGGACCCCATCGCATATTGGCAGGATAACCGAGCTCAATATCCTCGCCTCTCTCGAATGGCTCTTGATTTCCTCACGATCCAGCCGATGCCAGCCGAGTGCGAGAGGCTCTTTTCTGCCGCAGGTCGATTGGTGACTCCCCTGCGCAGCCGCCTTGAAGTCGACATAATCGGGATGTGTCTAGTGCTGCGTTCGTGGATACAAGCCAAGATAATCGACGACCTGGATCCTCTGTTCGTTCCCACGCAAATCAAGGTCGAGAGCAGCGCCAGAAGCGAGGCGGGCGCAAGAGAGTCAATGGCGTCATTTCTCGGCCGAGCGAGAGAGCTGGCAGAAGAGGAGAAAGGGTGGGAATAGTTGGTGGGGCATGTTGCGAATATCTCGTCAATTAGGCCAACTGGGACGGGACAAGAGCACGAACGAGGTCGAGTGCGACTTGGGTAAAATGACTGTTTACGAGGAGAGAAAGAGATTCCTAATGAGAACTCTGACTTAAGCTATTTACACAATATTCATAAAGTGAGAATATTCATAAAGTATGAAAGTCACATGATCGCTCCCTCACACCAACTCAACGTCAATCCATTCAACGAAGGCGTTCAGTTGATCAACTCAACGAGAGGTCGGCGATTACTAAGCCAATTCACTCAATATAGGTCGTCCGTTGAGTTGGTTGAGTTGTTTGGGTCTCTGTGTACGCCTATTACTTCGAGAAGGACGTCAACCTTGAGCATGTCTGTGGCGTAGGCGCTGGCCATAGGCACGACTGGGAGCATGTTGTGGTTTGGGTCCAGAATGACGAGGCCAAGTATGTCGCAACATCTGCTCATGGCAAGTACCATGTCTACCCTGCGGAAGACGTCCGGTGGGAAGATACTCATCCTAAGGTGGTCTATCACCGGGAAGGAGCTCAAACCCACTCACTCCGCTTCGCTTCTGAGGGCGATGATAATATCGAAAACCACAAAGGCGTTTGGTTCTACAGCTATCTGGTCAGCTACTTTGGCTTTCCTTCAGCTGAGCTCAGACACTCTATGTTATACAATGACTGGGGTTCGGCCACGATCGACTTCTATGATGGAAGGTTTGCAACCGCGCTCGAAGATGCCAAGGGCGGTAAGGATATCCCCTTGGACACATCCGTCGATAACGCCTCGTCCCCAGGCGACCCTATTGGTTGCTAAGCATGTTGGCCAAATGTTGATGCTAAAACAAGGGTCTCAATGGGGACTTGCGAGTTGGACGCGATTAGCGGTGGAAGATGAGGACTGAAAGCCAAAGGCTCAATCTTTCTTGGAAATAAAGAGATGATAAGGATGAAAGCTGTGTGTGTGAAGAACTAGTTCTATCATGGTTAGATAAAAAATCAAAGAGTTTTTAATTCTTTGCATCTATCCGCCCAATAAATCATAAACTGAGAATTAAATTAACATAAAGAATAAGCAAGTAAAGGAGACAGGTAAGTGCAACATTTTTCTTAACCTTTATAATAGGAATAAGGATATAAACAGAATAATCTATGGTATAAGTAGATGTCACGGGTCAAATACTAGAAGATAAAGGAGTGGAGAGATCAAAGCGATGGTGCAGCGACTTAGTATTCGGGACCACTAGCTAGGCCGTAGATGTCATACAAATTGCTTCCTGACGCTTGGTGCTGTTTTTATCTCTGCGACTTAAAGCGGGATAGTAACTCACCGGAGCTGTGGATCTTCCGGGGCCGGGCTTTGGCCTACACCAGGTGGAACCTTCCACGACTTGGGCCCATGACGGTAGGTAGATACTACGAGTAGAATGTGCGTTACAATTTGTCGGTCCGATCCGCAGGGGCATCTGTTGTTGGTGATGCCTAGCACTCTTCATACAAAGAGGAAGTCCTTGAGGCCTGTCTTCTCAGTCCTCAGCTGCGTAAGCAGTGCGCTGTGTCTCTTATGGGGTCCGTCAAGCAGGTCCAAGACTTTGCGGGTGATAAAACGAAAATGGGTTGATTGTGTTGTTATTAGCTCTAAGTTACATTTATCCGAGAGGAGCACAGCTTCTCACATGATATTCACATCCCAGCCACCACCAGATCGGACCACCTTAGTCACACGGTCTTAATAGCGAGAAGGTCTGGGCGTGTGCCTGAAGGATGCTCTGCCTCGTGTCTCGGATGCCCAGTCGGTCTCCCACGACTTAATGGTCTCTTTGTGAGACCATATCTTCATGGTGGATCGAAGTGGATATTGTCTCACTTAACGAGAGATTTTGACTATGCGTTGAAGCTCTTGATTTCTAACTGAATGACTGACTGAAGTTGGTCTATTTTATACCTCCTTGGATCGGGTCGTATCCGTCGGTTGCGACGAAGCTTTCCTCACGATCTGTTTCATCCCAGTTTTGATCCTTCTTAGTCATACAGCCCGTGTGTCAGAGCAGCCTTGGTAAGACGATGTGACAGATATAGCTGTTGTGGCTCTGCAGCTTTGGTTCCTGACTGGCCGTCTTCTCTCCAGCCTGTCGCTTCTTTGGCCACCCAGTCTGCGTTTTCGTTGCCTTGGATTCCTATTTGCGCTGGAACTCATCTGATTTCGGTGTTTAGGTCTTGTGTCTGGAGTTTGTCGATCTGTTGCGTGATGCTCTCAAGCAGGTATGCGCCAGATTTGCCCTTGGCCAATCTGGCCGCAATGGAATAGTTATAGCCTCACGGCATAGTAGAGTAATACTACTAAGGCCTGTAAGCCAGGAACTCCGACCAAAGACGAGGCGGAAAGTCATTCCAGATTAAAATGCCGAGTTCGCAAAAGTGCCGGCGATTAAGAAAGCTTATGAAGCGATGCTAAAGATCACACAACTCGCCAAGACCGCCACAACAGTCAAGAAGCTAAAAATAGAAGACCTATGCCACCAGCTTCATTTGAACCCTTACTGATAGTAAGATGAGAATTTTTTAATTATCCGTTGCAGATTAAGTTAAGAGTTTCCTCTCAGTATGATTTTCTTGGTGTTGTGAAAAACGGGTCCGTTACTCGGGTAGGGCCTTGAGACCGGCCCCCCTTAGCCTGACCCATTCCACCTGTGGTGCCAGAGGGTCAGGCACGGGGGGTACGTTGACTAGGCACAGGGGCGGTTGACTGAGGAAATCTAAGATACCTCTTTTTCTTAGGTCTTTCCTTATTATCAGAAGTATCCTTCATCTCCAAATTTCCCCGCATATATCACGTGATTTTGACATATTAACGGTACTTCTTTTTCCTAGGCCTTGCCTTACTATTAGAGGTATCTTAAATTTCCTCAGTCAACCGAACCTATTCCTAGTCACCGTACCTCCCGTGCTTGAGGCACGGTCACTGGTGACTGAATGAAAAGCACGGGGGGCCGGTCTCTAGGCCCTACCCGAGTAGTGGGTGGCTAATGTTACCACGCTATGAATAAGCCCTGGTTATATATTTCTATAAATGTAACTGATCCCGGACTAGGGCCCATTCTTATCTAGAATACTTTAATAGAAACTGCTCGTGTCATCATGAGCTTCCATGCAACCTCACGTCAGCGCACTTCTATTTAAGTGATATAGGTTCTTTTTAGTTACGGCATGGTGTCGTGTCGGGCCAGGGCTCCATATAATTCATAAGCACGATGATAAGCTGGGCTTTGGTTACCCCTGTTTTCCGAAGCTCGATTCCGTCAGATTGCCGCCAGGAGAACATCGCCTGGTAGGTGGCTGTGCTGGGTCAAGGCTGCGTTTGGGACATAGGGCTGATTTCAGCGGTGGATAAAGAATGGAACAAAAAATTTATTCAAAGAACCAAGGGTGGCTGGTTAGAGACGCATGACAGAGGCATGGGTCAAGGTGGCGCCTGTCACGTCAAGGGTGCTTTTCCGATTTCTGATCTCTGGTGGTTCTCAGTTGTTAGCCTAACTCCTCGGCATATTTACTCTGTCAATGCAAGAATTACTTATTAAGTCGGTGTTCTTAGCAGTTATATAAGACCAAATGTCATTGCCAACGCAGTCCTTTGAATCATAAGCGTACAAGAGCCTCTGCCTCTCTACACCCCTCCTCTTTTTCGACAGTAGAAATACTATACCTAGCCATTACCGATCTTTACTCACAATGCTTTCTACAATGTCTACTTTACCTTATGCCATCAGCATTGCTCTTGATAGTATCAAAAATCAACTCTCAGGCACTGCGGCGGCGATCCTCACTCCCACCTCCGATGGTTATGGCGATGCAATCAAGCGCTGGAGCGCGACGTGTGAAAAGAACGCAGTAAGTACATTACGACCGGATGCCTTGTTCCCCAATCACTAATCATGCAATTGACCGCTGTCTTTATGCCCACTACTTCTGCGGAGGTTTCGGTCGCATTAAAGGAGTTCGTTCGCAATAAAGTTCCATTTGTTATTGCCTGCAGCGGACACTCCACGTCGGGATCCTCATCTATCCAGGATGGTGTGGTCATAGACCTACGCCTCATGAATGGCGTGCAGGTTGACGTTGCCTCTCGAACTGTCACTGCACAAGGTGGCTGTAATTGGCAAATGGTCGATGACGCACTTCATCAACACGGCCTTGCAGCTGTTGGCGGTACAGTGAACCATACCGGAATCGGGGGGCTCACGCTGGGAGGTGGCTACGGCTGGCTTAGTGGCAGATACGGGCTCGTTATCGACAATCTCGTAGGCGTCAAGTTGGTGCTGGCAGATGGGTCGATTGTGAGTGCGTCCGAGTCGCAAAACCCAGACCTTTTCTGGTCCATTCGTGGAGCGGGCCAAAACTTCGGTTGCGTCACCGAGTTCACCTATAAGGTACATGAGCAGAAGCATGAGCTGTTAGGGGGTACCGTCGGCCTTTCCCTAACGAAACTGCCGCAAGTTGTCGAATTTTTGAACTATCTCCATGGTCTTGGCCATCCAGATGCCGGTTGCTTCTGCATGTGGACCGTGCTTCCGGGAGAGAATGAGCCAATCATCATGTTTGCTATCGTTCATAACGGCAATAAAGAGGAGGCCGAGAAGGTTTGGGGTCCGCTACTTCGTCTAGATCTGCGTTTTAAAGATCTCAAGATGATGTCGATGCCCGAAGTGAACGCAATGCTTCTCCCCAGCGTTCCTTTCGGAGATCGAAGGCTATTCGGCGCCGCCAATATCACATTCCCGCTGCAGTACGAATTTCTCTACGAAGCAATCATCAAGTGGCACAACGAGGCAAAGGCTTTTGACGCAACAAGCGGTGTGGTATCCCTCGAAGTTATTCCAACTGGCAAAATCCGTGAAGTAGACAATACGGCCACTGCATTTTGCAATCGAGGCGACTATATCAACGTCTCTGCTATATGGAGGTGGGAGGACGCAAGGTTCGATCCCGACATCCGCGCTTTGAATCGGTCATACACTAGCTGGATCACTGAGAACGGAGGTCAAGCTGTTGAGTCACAAGGCACTGGTGTTTACGGAAACCATGATGGTAAGTTGATCACGTCTTTGACTCTCGAATCATTCATGCTGACTCATCGCTTTCCATTCGATAGATGGAGAGGCTCATGCCATTGAATCGTTGTTTGGGGTTAACGCGAAAAGGCTCAGAGAGCTGAAAAAGAAATATGATCCAACTGGAGTTTTTCAAGGAAGACACCGTTTGCTTGATCTACAATAGAGTCTACATAATTTAGAAACTGAAGTATTGTTGACTGCCGTACCAGAAGGTACTCTCATATTAATAAAGGGAATTGATAGAGCGGCATGATGTCTTTGATACAGAGGCATGACCTTACAGCGGCATGACTTTCACAGGCTTTAATTCGCTAAATTTTTAACTGTTAGTAGATCATGGATTCTGCCACCCACACCTGAAGTACCTACAGCTTGAGCTCCCCACATTTCTTCGACCTTAGCTACCGAACCAGTCGTGATAGCTCTAGGCACGTAGACGCGTTCCCAGATCCTGACCCAATATGTTTTATCGCTTCCACAATGTCGTCCCCTACAGTAGAACGACGTATAGGCCTTCGCAGGCTGCGAAGCTCAAGCCCCAGCAATCAATTACACCGCGAAAAAAGACAGCGAACAAGCCGACAAGCCAGGTTTAGCCCTCCTTTACTCGTAAATCGACCGAACTCTGCAAGCAGTTCTGCCGCAAGCATCTGTCAGTACTATGGAATCGGCGACGAAGACACGCTAAGTAATCTCTTTGCTTCTTATCCACAGACTTTTTCGACCTTCCCACGGCCCCGCGGCTCGCAGGGCCTCCACGAACCTGCGTGGAATTGCGGTTTGATCACGAGATTCACCTTCAAAGTGACTTTCCGTCACGGAGAACACGACTTCAGCGAGTCAGAGCCCCTATTTCAGGCCCCGAAATCGATCCTCTACCTAGCATCCGGAGGACGAGGAGTCAATGGGAGCTAGTTGACAGCGATGAGGATATACTTCCTTCTATAGTCGTCAGAGAGTAGAGCGTCAGACATGTTTCCTGAGCAATAAACAGAGCAAGAATCTTCCATTCAAAACGAGGCTTCTTGAGACACCCTGCTATGCCAAGATCTTGAGCACTGTGAGGGCTTCAGGCAAGAATAAGGTCCTGTTAAGAGAGCTGGTCACGCTGGGTTCCTCAGGAAGTATTTATGGGTCTGCGCGGAACTGGCCAATTGGATGTTCTAAAAAGTCATGCCGCTGTAAGGTCATGCCGCTCTATCAATTCCCTTAATAAAATAAATAGCTTCCGTCCCCGCGCTAATACTTGCGCACGTGCAAGCGACATTGGGAGGAGATGACTTGGAGAGTTGGTCGCTAGACCTGGCATTGGAGCTGATGAGACATTCTCCTATTCTGACGCATGGCGGTAGGTATCTCTGTAGATGTTCGTCTGGTAGAAGATGGTTTGTCGTTCATCTCTGCCAAGGCACCTTGTTATTTAAGAACAATGCCGAGCTAAGGAAAAGCACTGAAACGAAGTAAGGGAATTGAACGTCGGGGCGGATAACACAAAGCCACTACGCAAAATATTCTAGTTTACGGAGAATGGCACAGAATAGACGGCGAGATTGAGAGTTGCGCACCGTGAGGCAGGCTGGTCAGAATTCCAATTTGCATATTTAACCCGTTATCTTGCTCAACCAGGTCGTCAAATACTGAAAACATAGGATACTAGTAAGAGAAAACATTTTTAGTATACCAAATAACGTGCATGATAAGCGAGTGAGGCAGATAAGCGAATGAGGCAGCCAACCGCTAAACTCCTACCACTACGGATTGGATTGGATTTTATTTCGCCCGGAGGGAAGTCCCTATAGGGCATACCACTACGGATTGGATTGGATTGGATTTTATTTCGCCCGGAATACCACTACGGATTGGATTGGAACACTGTTGCAAAATCCCCCTGTCAGTTGTCTTTTGGGCCCCTTCCCCACTCTTAAGCCAGAAATCACCCCACATCTTATTAGTCCAGGTACTTAGGCATGAGTAGTAGAGCAGGTACTGCGGACCAGCAGCGGGCCCGCCCAACCAACCCCCATCGCAAATGCTGCGAAGTAGCAACGGGCCCGCGCGATGTTCTAGAACCTCGACCTACACAATGTGGTCTAAGTAGTTCAGTTCTTTTCAAGCAATTCTTAGCGAGCGATACGGTATTGTAATCAACCTGATTTTTATTGGCTGTGGTTGTAAGTTGAACGGCGCTGTGCCGGATGATAATCACTTTGTCCAGCTTTAAAAGCTATGGACGTGTATATGCTAGCGTCCCCTTTTCTATAGTCTCAAATTACAATTCAGAAACTCGCATTGCAAACCCCATTTGAGTAGCAGGCACAATTCTTGCATAACTCCAGGTGCCAACATCTATTTGTGAGCACACAGTGTGATATGCCAGCAGCGGCTTAGCGCAGTGTTCCCCGCGGCGGGTCAGCAGCGGACTAGCGCGGCTATCTCATGCTCAGGAGAGTCTAGTGATCATCATCCACCGTAGCAAAGGGCAACATTGTTATGGTTTGTAAACCATTAAATCTCGTTCCCAACGTCAGTTTGGTTCTTTTTTTGCTTCCATTTTCTTAACGTCTCTCTTGAAATAGAATGGCACCCCCAGACATCCCCCCAGAGTACGTCTACTACGTTAAAGCTGGGAAGAAGCATCATGATCTCTTTACCACCATATACGCTGGCGAAAACTATTGTGGCCGTTGCGGCTTAGCCAACCCCTTTCAATCCCAACGCCGGGCCAGGTCCAGAACTCCAGCCCTTCCTGGCCCGTATGATGAGGTGGTTGAGGTGGATGACTCTCCGCCACACCCAGTCAGCCCGGCAAGTCAGCTTATGCGCGACAAACCAAAGCCAGTGTCATCTGCCGCTATTGGGTATGCACAACTACTCCCCAACGCAGTGTCTGTCCCCAATGGGGTGACTGCGAATACACGGGCACGCCAACATCCTTTCAAGCCGTCAAGCGGCCCTCCCCATCCGCAGTTCATGGCGATTGCCTCGGCGGCTAGTCAAGCCATTCAGAACACTAAAAGCAGCACCAGAAAGCCTACGAGGCAGCGTACTGGCTACCAATGGGTCCACATCAGTCTCCTACTCATGAGCTTGGAGACAAGGTACTTCAATGGTCTTGCGGTAGAGGTCCCAGAGACAGTGCTGCCTCTAAAAGATACGGTGATCAAGTTCAGCTTGGCAGACCTCCTTACCTGGCCCTCGTTCACTCATACCTTATTCGAACACCTACATCCGCTCCCGAGCACCGTAGACCCCACTAACCAAGAGCTTTGGAAGCTTTCTTACGCTTCGTCTTTCTCTGGAAAGAAAATCGTCACCGTTCCCAATACCGATAAGTTCACGACGCCCTCAAGCATGCTCACTTCTGGGCACTTTTCGAACAACCAAGCGGGCCAGTTAAAGGTGCTCGTCGTTCTGACATCGACAGACGTGGGTGACAAGCAGGAGCCAATCACACCGCTAAGGACGGACGAATACTCAACACAGGCCAAGGACGGCAAGAAACGGAAGGTCAAACAGGAGGATTCGAGCCCAGCTCCTGGGCTCAAGAAACGTATCAAGCAAGAGAGGCAGATCAAAAGCAACTCCCCCAGTTGGAGCCCTACGGTACGCCAGCACAGGTGGTTGTCTACTTTCGATGTGTTGAATGATCCTGTCTCGAAGGGCAAGGTAGAAGCGCTTGAAAGGACGCAGCTTATCAGGGTCCTGGTGATTGCCGAGGACTACGTCATCGTAGCCCATTTCTGCGAGGACATCGCGGCACCACTCCTTCGTCTCTGGCTCTAGACATGTGCTGATATCGATACCAGCCAGGGGTCGTAGCATTTCGCCTAGAACCGGGCGGTCGATAGGGATCCCCCAATTGCAGGCCTTGTCTGGGTCAGGGTAATGATAATTCATCCAGGGCTGGCCGTGGACAACGTGGGGACGGTTCTTCTGGAGGCGTATTTTGTGTAGATTCCACGCTTCGACGAAGTCGAAGAGCTCTTGACGCAGTACACCTTCGAAGACAGCTTAGATAGCAATCTGGTCCTCAAGCATGCTGCCGTCAAAATCCCCATCCCTAGCAAGCTCTCCAAAGTAGTCTACCCACTGTCGAGAACAGACGTGAAGCATGCGTTCCCACCAACCTTCGATTTTGACATTCTTCGTACTCGGTGCCGCCTTGTAGGAATCCTTCAATCGTTTGCCCTGTTGGAAGACCTGCCCATTCCATTCCACGCATCCGCCTGCAGCCAAAGCAAAGTTCCAGTGGGCTGCTGCGACTAATGGCGTTTCACTGCCCCGGTCTGCTTGAAGAAACCACGGGCGGAAGCCATAGGTGTCGCATGCAGCCAAATACTGCTTCAATACACTCAAGGCGGTTGTAGCAGAGTGGCCAACATAGAACCAGATAATGTTGCGTGAGTAGGCATCGATTGCGGCGTATATCTCGAATCCATACGCCTTGAGCTTGTCGTGGCCGTCAATACACCACTGGTAGTTTGGCCCCGGGACAAGGAACTGTCCTTTCTTCCTCCGCATCATCCTTTTGCTCATCTCAACCTCGTTTGGGAACATAATTTTGTACATCTCAAACAGGGGATCTCTTGGTACCCAGAGCTGCTGTTGCTGGCGCAGATATGGCTGGAGAAACCTTCTGCCGTATCCTGCAATGGCATTAGACCGCTGCGCCATCTCGACAATAACCTGCTCTGTCTTCTCCAATAAGGCAAGGCGTTCTTCATCGCTATTGATGCGACGAACCCAGCGGCGGTCCGGGTGAAGTCTGATCCGTTTTAAACCTCTTTTGGTGATGGGCCAGCCTTGCCTCTGAAGGACACTCAAGGTCTGCTTCTCGGTAAGACCAACGCGGAAGATAAGGTCGCGGATAGCTTCTATAAGCTCAGGCGTCTCAATGGTACGTGATTGCTGACGCGGAAGTCCCCAGCTGGCCATCCGCCGGGAGATTGTGCTGAGGTCGACAGCGATTTGGTGACGCTTCCGGAGCTTATGCCTGATCTTGCTTCGCGAGACGCCATTGAGGTACAGAAAGGTGATATAGTCACGGTACTGATCGATGGGACTAGGTGGCCGTGCCATGGCGTTGGAGGTGAATATGTAGGCAGGGGCGATCTCTTGGTGTTGGAAAAGGTGGACTGTTAAGACGGAGCCCCTATTTAAGCAAGGCGAATTGGCTAATTTGCACTACCCCGCAGCGGCTCAACCGCTGGCCCGGTGCGGACTGGGCAACCAGTGAATGCCGTCTCTGTCTCGGCGGATGAGGATCCCTCCCAGAACCAAAGCAGCAAGGACAAAGGAAAGGTCCAGCCTAGCGGCCGCAAATTCGCGGGCAGAATTATGGTAAATTCAGTCAGCTGCTATACAGCCGAGACCGCTACTAACATTCTGTTTGAACAGAAGAAGAAGAAGCAAAAGAAGAAGGCCCCTCCCATTGGCTCTGCGCGTGACTTCCCCTGCCGCCCCTGCGTTACTCGCGCTACCAAGAGCCCAGGGTATGAGTGCGCCTCCCAGGACAGTAAGTAGCTTGTTTTGCTATTTAAGCTTGCCAGGCCAACATATATGGGATAGATACTGGTGCCGCTTGCTGGGCCTGCGCAAAGAATGGTCATACCTGTAGGCCTGTAAGTAGTCTTCTCCAGCTCTCGGCTAGTGAGCTGCTAATTAGCTGCTATCTAGGTCCCTCCTGGTGCAGTCGCTGCTGTGCGTGCCTTTTGGGAGCTGAACCGGCAGATTGACGATATGAACGAGGATCCTTGCGATGCCTGGCGATCCGCCGCCCAGCGTGCAGCACAGCAGCTTCGTGCCTGCAGTGCCGCTCCAGCTCCGGCTCTGGCTCCACGTGGTGAGGCAGATGGAAAGACTCTCGAGGAGCGAAAGGTTGCAGCGTTGGAGGCTATTGCTGAGGCTGCTCGGCTCTGGACTGTAGGTGAATCAAACTCGCCAGCTAAGTTCCACTATTAACTTAACGCCTAGCAACTTAACAAGCTAGACGAGGAGAGCGTGGAGGTGTTGGAAAATCCGGGGATCCCCCTTCCTTTCAGGGTTTAGACTGTTAGTCTGAAAGTCCTAGATTTAAAGTTCAAAGTCCTAGATGAAACCATCTAGAGATATAAACCCGAGAAGAACTCTCATCTCAATAATGAACAATCAAGTTTTTCAAATATATATTTTCACCCAGCACTACTGCGCAATATAAACAACAGGAGGAGGATGAAGATGGAGAGGACGAAGGTAACTAAGCCTTGATTAGCGTCCGATGTGGAGGGTGGTTAAGGGGCCTTTATATCCATCGTACAACGAAGCTGCTCTTCGCTGGTCCGCTGCGACCCCGCTGCTGTTGCCGAACCTACTCTTGCGTCTCAAACTAAAGGAATCACGGTACTAAGGTACATGCCTCAATGTACTGTGGGGCCCTCAATGCATTCGCGCTAACCCATTTTGTCAGTTGCAGCGTGCTTTTTGGGTTTTGCAACAGTGACCTCTATAGGCTGCCGCAGACGCCGTGACTAATCTAAGAGTGGGTCCGCGATGTATTTGTGCCTTATGACTGTCAAGGAGATACAAAGATGGATCAACCACGTCTACAGAGGCATCAAATCGGATTGCCTAGCTTGCCGAGGCTTTAAGCAGGGGCAGCCTCGAGGAAAACGCAGAAAACGAAGCTATCTACAAGATATCACAGGGAATGCACAAAGCAAGCACCGAGGCGGTAAGGGGGGTCAGACTTGGTATGGTTGCAAGCTATGCAAGGTAGCGATTTGTAACAATCAGAACTGTGGGGACTTCTATCACCATATAAATTAGGTGCAAATGGAAGTACCTTTCGTTCTTTCCATTTTGATTGGTCTGACGCCCCTGCCGTGACCCCTCTGGAGGGCTATGCCGGCCAAAGGGATAAATCCGCGGGATTTTTCCTCCCCTTACCTTCTCGGCTACGGTTCACGGATGCTGTTCAGGTATTCACTCCGCTGCTGAGGAGACGCAGTTGGTCTTTTGGTGGATAACATTGATCAGGGGCTTGTCGAAAAAGTGCAAGGGTGCATGACAAATGTGGCGATTCAACAGCGACGAGAACCACATGATATTTCGCCTCTCACTTTTTAATCAGGCTAACTAGGACACAGCGTAAGACGGCATACATTGTTGGAATTCTTCCTTTTCTAAACTTGACGCTCGTTTGGACCCCAGTCAAGCGTTGTGCGTTTGAGAAGATTGCATGTACACATATCAAGTCTTGTTCGCAGTTGGTGGTGTGCTGGCCAAGGTCGCATTCTCTATAGAAACAGAAGGTGTGATTATTAGTGGAGCACATTTTTCCGACAAGAGGAGAGACAACAACGCTACAGCTAGATGAAGCATTAGTGGCTCCTGACTCTGTTGACAGACCAGGGGGTGTCACAATATTAATTTTGACTGACGCTCCGTCGTTGCGGGGTAAAGTCAAAGGAAAATCTCTACACCAACATCAACAACCACTTGGTAACGAACGACCTCAGCACCTCTCTCATGCTTGGCAAAATGGCCTCACCTGATGGAGGTCCCATTATACACGTTGATGTACTGCCTTTCCTACCCATCGCGGCATGATACGAACTGAGCTAACTCTCAGTCGAGGTTGACGATGATCGAGACTCGGCAGTTGAAGATGTATGTATGGGTGATATTCCGCCTACCCTGACATACTCTGAAAGCAGACAACCGTTGATACAACTGATGACATAGGACAATACATCATCAACTGCTAGTGTGAGCAGTTCTATTCTCAATTATCGAGAAGAAAACGGGAGGACATACCACGCGTATAAGGACGGACGTAAGTTGTTTCCATCTATCTTTTGGAAGTTTACTGGAACTGACAACCTTATCTTCTCAGGATACTACATGCCCAACGATGAAACGGAGAATAACAGGCTAGGTAATACAGAACGCTGCTACTGTTCATGATTCTTACAGTTGATATTTTCCAGACTTGCAGCATAATCTATTCCTCCTGACTTTTGACAACAAGCTTGGCCTCTCCCCGCCAAATCTTCCAGAGTTTAAGACCGGCCGGGTTCTCGATCTGGGTACTGGCACTGGGATTTGGGCAATTGACTATGCTGACGAGCATCCCGAGTCTGAGGTAAGGGGAGATACCCCAAATATCCCCCAGCAAAGACTGACCAAGGCTAACATTCTGCGTAGGTGATAGGGGTCGACCTGTCGCCTATTCAACCGGAATTGTATAAGATGAGTTTCCACATGAGAGATAGCTCATAACTCAGACTTGAACAGTGTACCACCGAATGTCAAGTTCGAGATTGACGATATCGACGAAGAGTGGACTTATTCTCAACCTTTTGATTATATTCACAGCAGAATGATGAATGTCTCGGTCAAGAACTGGTCAGAGTATATACGTAAGGTTTTCGAGTAAGTTGTGTCACGACTGTTGAATAAGTAGGCAACAGTTGACTTGACTAGAAATCTTACGCCGGGTGGCTATGCTGAGTTCCAGGACGTCGATGTGTTGATGCAATCAGACGATAACACTCTTACCGAGGATCATGCTCTTAGGAAATGGGGTGTTCTTTTGGCCAAAGCAGCTCAAGAGCACGGAACCCGCTTCATAGAGACTAATCGACTTAGCCACCTTATCATACATGGGCACTTTCGTTCGTTCGTTCGTTCGTTCGTTCGTTCGTTCGTTCGTTCCGTTTAAAACGTTTATGCATGTTAAATCGTTTAACCGTTTAAGGGCATCCTAAAACCGTTTGAACGGTTAAACGATTTTCTAGCCCTGTCCTGGTAACAGGTCATTGATCGTGCGATTAGAAAGAAGGACAAAATCCAGTCCTTCATGTCTGATCATGAAGAGGCCATCGGAGACAATCGGCTATTAGTTGGAGATTGAGAGTTGCTAGGCAAAGCACATACGTTTCTTCAGCCATTTGCTTCAGCAGCATTGTATGCAGAGGGAGATGACTCGTCTATCTCACAATCGTTGATGCTGATGGATATGTTGTTACTCCATTACGATGATGCTGATGGATATGTTGTTACTCCATTACGAAGAACAACAGGTACCCTTCAATCTATCCACATCAAGTCGATTACTAACATTGTATCAGAAGATATATCAGTCGGATGAACACTCCGACGAACGGATGGTTCGAGCCATCGATATGGGATGGTTTATCCTCTCTAAATACTACCGCCTAACTGACGAGGTTCCCGTATACGCCGCCGCTCTCCTCCTTGATCCCCGTAAACGCATCGCGTATATCAAGCAGAACTGGCCAAAGGAATGGCATGAAGATACTATTGCCTCGGCCACAGCATTCTGGCAAAAGGAATTTAATTACGAGCAACCCAGCGACCATCCCTCCACCCCAACGTCGATGCCACCACCGCTAGCAAAGAAGCTAAATCAACTCGCGATACTATCAAAGAAGCTGGAGGTTAGGACTATTAACGCGAGTGTTAGGGATGATTTCACTAGCTTCATCAACGTTGATGCAACAGATATCCCTCCGGATTGTACGCCTTTGGAGTGGTGGTGTCAACCACAGCAGAGAAAGCAGTATCCGAAACTTAACCGCACGGCTATTTGCATTCTTTCTATCCTAGCAGAGTCATCGGAGCCGGAGAGGACGTTTTCTGGGGCAAGAAGAACATGTTCATGGGATAGATTACGAGTCACATGCAAAACCGTCGAGATGATTGAATGTACGGGCAATTGTTTGCGTCAAGGACTCATACGGCCTCTGCATGAGAATGAGATGGGTCTAATCGGAATCCCACGGCCGGAGGGTGACTCTCAGGACGTTGACGATGACAGTGGGCATTACTTGGACTGGTATTAGAGCAGGCGCGGTGGATATTTCTCACCGTCATAAATCGTTCATTCGTTCGTTTAAATCGTTTATTCGTTCGTTTAACCGTTTGCAATATTTTTGAACCGTTCAAACGTTTGAGGAAATATTCGACCGTTTAAACGGTTTGCCCATGTATGCGTCGAATTCCATCTGGTTTCATTGTTCTGCATCAGTTCGAGATCGATGGCAGCTCGGTCCTCCTCAAAGAGGTGATAATCGTCTTCATCGCGCTGGCTGCATGCCAGAGATTTCATCAACTCTCGCCGTTGCGGAGAAGCCCTGACGAACCGGACGATGTTATGCAGCTTGCCCACTGCTCCCCGTTTCCGCCAAAGTCGAAGCTCACGCTCTTCAACTTGGAAAGCCGCCTCGGTGAAGGCTTCTCGCTCAAACGAGTCAGGATCTTCCCCCCAGAGGAACGCTCGAGCTGCAAGGTTGACAATATGCCCAAAGCACCGTGTTCGATTGTTTCTAATATCCTCCTCGGCCATCGCAGGAGAAAGTTGACGATAGAGGCTCGCCAAGCATGTGTCATTGGACGAGACATTATCGCAGACACCCGCGCCAATCCGATCTCGTATCCCGTACTCGCCGAAGATGTCATATATTGTCGTTGCTTGGTTATCTCCGGAATGAGCTCCCCACACACGGCGCAGGGCAAGAAGTCGCGATTGGACTTGATAGGAGGCGTCGAGATAGTGAGCGTGGAGGCCAAGGAAAGCGTACCGGTTTGGAGAAGTCCACATGTCAAAGCTAAAGCTAATCTTTGTGACTGCCTTCTCCAATTGACACGATATTGCTCCCTTCTTCACCTCGAATAATTTCCGCATGGTATCACGCACCGACTGCCGGCTCCACGGCACCTCTTTCGCCAATGACGCATCGTGTAAGTCGAGCATTCGTCGCAAGTACGGATTCGACGGCGCCGTGAAAGGAAGATTGGCAGTAACGATCCAGCCGACCGTCAGCTCCTTCGCTTTATTAACATTGGACCTTGCAGTAGGAAGCTCCAGGCAGCGCCGTTTCGAAGGGGGCTGACTGTCAGCGCGAGACGAATCTTCGTACGCATTGCCGTCCGCCTCAGTGATCATATGTGACCTATATCCAGTAAGGCGCTGAAAAGGAATAAATGTCGGACTCATACGCATGTCATATACCTTCGGAGATGTTCAATTGGCGACGTGGTGTTTGTCGCGACGAACAACGAGCTCTTCCCGCGTTCATCACATTTCGAGCAAGCCCAGTAGGTCTGCAACGTCCGCAAATCAGGGCTGACTTCCGTGAGGAAGAATCCGTAGGCTTGAATCCAGCTCCGCCGGCCTTTGCGATTCTTGTTGGCAATATACTCCTCTGGTATATACCTCTTGCAGCCGATCTGAACCGTTGGGAGGTCAGCAAGAGTCGTTCTCCCAGATTCAGCCTTGATGGACGCAGCGTCAAGCTGCTGTTTCAGTGATTTGCGCTGACTGCTAATGCCCAGGAGCGTTTCTAGCGACTGCTGTTGTGCTGTCATAGCGGATCATTGGCGAACCGCGGATCGTGGATGCTTCTCATACAGACTTGGGTTCTGAGTCAGCTGCGACACGTCTCGAACACGCGGGCGAACAAAACAATAAATCCGCGACACCCCTACCGTGTCCCTTGATTATCATTGGTGCAATCAGCTCGGGGTCACATTCCGGACCACATCAAATTCATTACCCTACACCTTAGGCCCGACGAACCCCGAAGGGCCTCGTCACTCCCAGGACCGTCGCACAGGAAAACCCATAAAATACAGTATTTCAAGTAAATCAAGCAAATCAAGTTTGAGGCATTATGAACTTAATTACTTGAAATATATAGGGCCGTCAACTTACTTGACTTACTTGAAATACTTGACTTGATACTTGAATTGAGGTCAGCGCTGAGAAACCCCTTACAAGGAGATGAACACAGACTTCAACTGGGTCCAGGTCTCCAAGCAGGCTTTGCTAAACTCCCGACCTCCCGCACCACTCTGCTTCCAGCCACCCATCGGCATGTCAATAGCCATGAATGGACTAGTACAGTTCACCCCAACAGCACCAGCTTCTAGTGATTTGACAACCCTCAGGGCCCGTGAAATGTCACTCGTAAAAACACTCGAGTATAGACCAAATTCGGTATCGTTGGCCCTTTTCAAGACCTCGTCTTCGTCTGTGAACGTGTTGATAACGAGAACAGGTCCAAAAATCTCCTCTCTGATCAACTTGTCGTTCTCTGGCACATCGCGAACGATTGTGGCGTCCACAAAGTAGCCCTTATCGAGAGCCTTGTTACCGCCAAGTGCAATATCATAACCCTTTTCCTTTGCGTGGTCAAGGAAAGACAAGACGCGATCAAATTGTAGCTTATCAACTTGTGGCCCGCGCTTGGTGCTGGCAAGCAAGGGATCTCCTGGTACACCCAGCTCCAACATTGCACCCTTTAGAGCTTCAATAAACTTGGGAGCAATCCCTTCTTGCACGTAGATCCTGGTGCTAGCCATGCAGACTTGGCCCGAGTTGTACAAGATTGAAAAGGCGGCAGCCATGACAGTCTTCTCGAGAGGTGCATCGTCAAAAACAAGCAAAGGGCTCTTACCACCAAGTTCCAAGCTGACGTCTTTTAAGTTAGACTCGGCTGAGGCCTTGTGGATGGCTCGTCCAGTGGCAACCGAGCCCGTGAACGAGATCCTTCTGATATCCATGTGCTTAGCGATGGCCTCACCGCAAGGTCGACCAAACCCATTCAGGATGTTCAAAACACCCTTAGGAAGGCCGATATTCTGGCACAAAAGACCCACGACGATCGACGCGAAGGGGGATTTTTCTGATGACTTTACCACCATAGTGTTGCCAGCCGCCAGAGCCGGTCCAAGCTTGGTGACAATCATGAACAATGGGGCATTCCATGGGATAATGCCTCCGCATACGCCGTACGGCTGACGGATGGACAAGTTGATATATCCAGTTGTATTGAGAGATGTTTCTCCGGTGATGTCAATGGCATGGGTTCCGAAGTATCTCAAATATCGCTTTGCAAGTTGAATAACAACTGTTTTCTTGTTAGTGAGATGCATGCCACCAAGGCTGATATAGAGGTCTAGATAAAAGAATCACTGACATTTAGTTCCAGACTGCGGCATGCCCATAGCAATAGCTTCCAGATGCATAAACAAGTCTTCATTCTTCTCGATTTCGTCAGCCAATTTAATTAAGTAATCACATCTCTCCTCAGCCGAGAGAGCGGACCAGGCTGGAAACGCGGCTTTGGCAGCCTCGACAGCAAGGTCTACATCCTCAGCACCGGCCTCATAGACGGACCCGATCTTCTCTTCTGTGGTAGGATTGGTTAAATCAAAGGTCTTGCCAGAGACTGAAGGGACAAATTCGCCATTGATAAACAGCCGATTCTCATTGAGGGGTTGGGCCGACATGGTGATGGATTGAAAGACGTGTCTGATTTTATCGCGTTGCAAGTTAGGGAATTTTCGTGGCGCTAGGCAAGTCAAGTCAAGATTGAATGGCACGATAGTAATAAAGACGGCCGGCAATAGCGTCACTTTTATATCGGCCTATATCAAGTGATACTTGTTAAGAATTCTTCGGAAAGCCTCGCACAGACTAGAATAGCCTATGACATGGCATGGTACTAGGTGTTGTCCAGATACAATACGACCTAGGCGATCCGGAACCTCGGGTTTCACCAAAAGTCCGTCCATTCTAACGCACCACACAGACTTCCCCACGCGGCTAAAACCTGGCCAGGGTCAAATTAACCTATAGCGATCCGTCTCATAAACTCCGACGACCGAAAGCCGACACCTGTCCCCCGCATTTTTCAACGTCCATTAACTCCATGTCAACCATCCAAGTCTTGCAACTCATATCCTGTTACCAACCTAGACCCCACGGACTTAGCTGCAGCCATGTCCATGAACCAGGCACAAGCACCGCGTAACTGTGTGAGCTGCAAGGAACGCAAAGTCCGTTGTGACCGTCGACGTCCGTGTTTCAACTGCACCAAAGCCGGTCGGGAATGTGTCTTTCCAACTACCGGTCGCACACTACGACAGCCGCAACGCATGAGGCGGGAACCCATGGTTCGAAGTGAGAAGGAGATTGATCTCATGGATCGTATCCGTCGGCTGGAGAATGTGGTGACCACTTTGCGCCGTGCAACCCAAACTGAACAGGATGAAGACTTCACCAACAGTGAAATGTCAGTTAGTGACGACATGGAACAGGGTGAAGCTATTGCGTCTTCTTCAGCAACATGGCGGCATCACTACACGCCTTCAAATGACTCGCCAGATGTCGGTGTCATGGTTGGCAAAGAACAAGGCAGACTCTACGTCGGCGATGGCTTCTGGGCAGATATGCAACAAGAGGTAAGACAACATTGTCTTCAATACCATTGTTAGAGGGGGCTTCCAGTAAATTATGTGGTAGATTGACTGCTGACTACTTTGATAAAGCTTGACACAATAAAACACCATATTAACGTACCTGATTCGGAAGATGACGACGTTGACTCTATCTATACACCAAACCTTCAGTCCAATCATAGGACCTTATCCAATAGTGCAGGCAGCTTCATTTTCAGCAACCGCTCTATGAGCTCGGCGAGAACGGAAGATCTGAGGCCTTTACCCTCCCAAATGCTCTTCATCTGGCAGACTTACGTCGAGAATGTCGATTCCTCTATCAAGGTGCTGCACGTCCCGACTGTTTCCAGAATGATTCATGATTCTCGAGGCAACTTCAGCTTGCTGCCGCCTTTTATGGAGCCATTGATGTTTAGCATTGCATTCGCAGCTGTCAACTCTCTAACTAGGGACGAGGTAAAACCCCAGCCACGTCAAATCATGTCGGGATTATCTAATCTAACCTAGTGCTTGGGTTTAGGTTCAAGTTCACTTTCGCTGTGACAAGAAAGAGCTTGTATCTCGATTCAGGCTTGGAACGGAAGACTCCTTTTCGCGCGCCGACTTTATCAATACGAAGGAGCTCTCTGTTGTCCAAGCCCTGATCATATACACCCTCCTTATTCGTCTTGAGGAGTCTCAGGGATATGTCTGGGCTATAACTGGACTAATTTCTCGGATAGCAGTAGCTATTGGGCTGCACCGCGACGGCTCCCACTTTCCTGATATAACCCCTTTCGAAGCCGAGATGCGGCGTCGGGCGTGGAGTTATATCTATGTCCTCGAGTTTGCCACCGGTGACTTCCAGGTGCCAGGACTATCAATATCCGACGCTGTATTTGACACACGCCTCCCCTCGAATCTAGACGACGACGACATACACCAGCAAATGACAGCCTTACCAGAAGCGAAACCAGGGCACACTAAAACAACCCTATGCCTGTTGAGGAATAGGATAACAAAGGTAAGCAAGCATGTCAAGAACGTGACGGCTTCCATGTACCCCTGCTGTCAGAAACCCGATGTCAATACCATTCAGAAGCTCAACGAGCTTTCCCAATATTCTCAGCGGGAGTTTGCGGAATTTCTCGTTCCGGCACCACCAGACCAACCGATATGCCTTCTCACACGCACAATGGCGGCTATCGCGGTGAGGCGACATGAACTCATACTGGAACACATTCGACAACCGTCTTTGCAAGCCTGCGACAGTTCTCTTGGCAGAGATAAGCAATTTACTTTGGCTTTGGGGGTTCTCGAAGACATACATATGCTCCAACATAGCCCGTCCACGAGGAGATGGGCATGGCAATTCTACGGATTCGTTCAGTGGCAGCCACTGGTTCTAGTTCTTTGTCGGCTCTCTGTTGCAGAATTCGATGCTATGGCAGAACATGCTTGGAATATCATCATGAAAACTTTGGAGACATACCCAGAATCCATCAAAGAAGAACCACTCTGGCAACCACTGTTTGATCTTACTCAGTGTGTGAACAAGAGGCGGCTCCAGCAGCTCAAGAGCAGACCATCTGCGGATATTCGGAAACACCGTAACCCATCAAATTATGCGTGCACATCAAGAACCCAAGAGCCAGAACCTGGTAAGAGTGGTGGGGATACACTTCCACGGATGGGGCCGAACGATCTTCCAAGGTCTGAGCAAGATCACTTGCCCACTGCAGTCTCGGCAACAAATACGCCGAGCTTAGAATGGCGCTCCCAGAACTGGTTTTTGACGCAAGGAAACAACCCAGATATAGTCATGGGAGCCATGGATGCCATTACTAGTGTTTATTTTCGTGAAGATCATCTACCAACGGGGTTGGAGCAATCAGCGGCTGGGTCGCAGGAGCAAAATGCCACTGAAAAGTCCTCTGACAGTGTTGAATCTTCTAGATTGGCTCAGTGGAATGAAATTTTCAACACCAGTGAACAGTTTGTGCTATGGGATCAGTGGGCATTTTGAGCAGGAAGCTTCTGTAGATTTACATAAGAAACGTCCATGCACAATGCTATCGCCACTATTCGTATTCGGGAGGAGATTCTCAAGTCCCAGAATTATTACCAGCCGCAGGAGAGCTTATGTATCGTCGGAATTAGTGATGTTTCAGAACGGACAAGACTTTCCAAAGCAGGTAGGTGAATCAACACCATGAGGGTATAAAGCCGTAGGTAGTACGGACATCGGCAATTCAAATCCACTCTATTGCCGCTTATTAAATGATGAGAGGGATGTGCCTGAGACACCCAAAACACTAAGCAGATCAGGCGGAACTTGATATTGGATTGACCCTTGATGCAATCTCCATTAAAGGCATCCTCATCCCCAACCCAGCATGAACTTCTCGTATATCGGATTTCGTACCAAAGTTTGTTTTTGGATCTTTCCAAAGTCTCGGAAAACCTAACGTTACCAAACGTACCCCCTCACCATAACGAGAGATGACTTCTTATCCTCCCGCACAATATTGCACAGTTGGCTTTAGACATGAGTAAGACTCCTGTTCCATTTTTCACATTACCTTGAGAATTATTCCAACTCATCTTTATCAGAGGTGCCTCACAGGGTAAAGCCATACACATCACCAGCGGCAAGCATGAAGCCTACCTTGCAACACCGCCACCAGACAAGGCCGAAAAGTCCAGTGCCATTCTATTTTTACCTGACATCATGGGTATCTGGCAAAACAGTCGTCTCCTTGCTGACGAGTTTGCGTCAAACGGCTACTTGACCTTATTGCTTGACACTTTCAACGGTGATCCCTTGCCTGTAAAGGCAGTTGCAAATGACGAGGTGGACATTTTCAAGTGGCTTACGGGCGGCTCCACGGGTGACAACCCACATAATGAACCAGCTGTGGATCCTATTGTTCTGAATGCCATCAAAGCTTTGAGGGAGGAGTATGGAGTAAAGAAACTGGGCGCTGTTGGGTATTGTTTTGGTGCCAAGGTGAGTTCAAGGAGAAATTGACCCTTGCACTTATAGGGCGTGACATATACTGACCATTTGTGTAGTATCTTGTTCGGTCATTGGAATGACGGCATTGACGCCGGCCACCTGGCCGATCCCAGCATTATGGACGCTGGTGAGCTCGCTGCTATTAACGGTCCCGTTTCTATTGCGGCTGCTGAGACGGACCACATCTTCCCGGCCGAGAAACGGCACGAGACGGAAGACATCCTCATCAAGAACGGCAAGCAATACCAGCTGACACTTTACTCTAAGGTTGCTCATGGCTTTGCGACGCGGTGTGACTTATCAAAATGAGAGCAGAAGTGGGCAAAGGAGCAGGCTTTCTACCAGGCAATTGTGTGGTTTGATGAGCATCTGCGTGAGTGATGAGCTGAGGCGGCAGGCAGCATAGGCTCCTCTTTATGAACGAGGGCGACGATGTAAGGAAGCCGATATATCACCTTTTCGACTCCATGTGTTCTTCGATTTCTCGATTTTGAATCAAGCTACTTACTATTCATCACTATTACAAGAAGCATAATTATATCATTAGTTGTTGATATATGTATTGAGATATCATACCACCGAGCTCTCCGAACTTGATTCAATTGACGTTGTTACTTTTCTGCCTCCTTCATTGGGAGCCTCTGCCTCCAAGGATCACCCAATAATTATTACGTTGTCGAAAAGGGAACGAGAAGTGCCGTGTCAATCATTGCTGTCTTTGGTTGTGTTACCAATTTAGCGCAGAATGAACCTGGGGTCAACAGCAGTTCTGAGAACCGAAGGCCAACGGCCGAAACTCAGAAGCGAGGACCGACGACCGAAGCGCCGAGTCCCAGTGGATTCATTCCACCAACGGCAGTGACCGGTTCTCGTCAGTGACAGAGTGCCCGCCGCCGCCTTCAATCTCGAAACTCTCCAGTAAGTGAGTAAACTACTCCGTAGAGATGATGACAGTCGACACGAAGACAGGAATTCGTGTATAATGCCTGCAACCTGCATCCGTGACTTCCTGTGTGTCGTTGTCTTTTTCAATGCACATGCGTGCTATACAGCCTTGTGATCATAAACACCATGAGCTCAATACAGCAGAACAGCGCTACTCCTCGCTTACTCGAGGCGAAACAAGATGAAACAAACCAAGTTCGTCGTGATTCTCCGCCGATAGCAGAACGCCAAAGTGACGATATCGAAACTCAACGACAGTTCGAAAAAGATGACCCAGACGCTCTAGACTGGGACGGACCAGAGGACCCTGATAACCCTATGAACTGGCCATCGCGGAAGAGGACAGCGCATATTGTTCTCATTGCGTTGGTTCAGTTGGTTTCGTAAGTAATCCATCTTTTTTCTTGAGTCTCCCCATCTTGGTACATGAACCAAGCTTTTGACAATGTTAGCAACCTTGCATCGACTATGTTTGCCCCAGCCGGCAAGCTTCTAATGCACAACTTTGACTTCTCTAGCCGAACCCTATCATCCCTCTCCGTCTCCATCTACGTCCTTGGTTTCGCTATCGGTCCACTCATATGGGCTCCTCTGTCGGAGGTCTACGGTCGCTTTCCCATTTACATAATATCAACCATCATCTTTGTCGGGTTTGTCCTTGGGTGTGCCTTCTCAACAAGCCTTGCCATGTTCATGGTCTTTCGATTACTTTCCGGCGGTGGCGGTGCTGCATCGCTCGCTTTGAGCGGCGGAACCCTCGCAGACCTGGTTCCTAGGCAACAAAGGGGCAAGTGGATGGCTCTCATTGCCATTGGACCTATTATGGGCCCAACCATTGGCCCGGTGGTCGGTGGCTTTGTGGGCCAAAACATAGGATGGCGTTGGGTATTTCGACTTATGGCTATATGTGTGAGTCAAGCACTTCTGGTGTCTTTTTGGAATGTTTGACTAATAAGCTTGGAGATCGGGACCCTTATCCCTTTGGCTGCGTATTCCCTGCGGGAGACATATGCTCCCGTGATCCTCTTGCAGAAAGAGAATCAGCGCCGAATGTCTCTGGGGCTTCCTCTAGTCTCTGCCGGAAGAGATGTTTCGGCAAAGCTAAAGCGAAGCATTTTACGACCCTTCAAACTTCTCTTTCTATCGCCTGTCGTCCTATTCCTCGCTCTATACGCAGCGTTCTGCTTTGGTCTCATGTTTCTACTTCTAACCACCTTCTCGAATGTCTTCAGTGGTCAGTATGGTTTCGACATGGGCATTACCGGCCTTTGCTACCTTGGTATGGGAGTCGGCACACTTGGAGGCCTTATCGCCCAAGGCAAGTTCAGTGACAAGATTATGCGTAAACGTGCAGAACAGAGAGGTGGAGAGCCCAAGCCCGAGGATCGAATCCCGTTGATGGCTTACTTGTCTTGGACTATACCTGTAGGAATGTTCTGGTATGGCTGGAGTACCGATGAAAAAGCACATTGGATTGTGCCTATTATTGGCTCGGCTTTTGTTGGTATTGGCTTTATCTTCGTCGTGGTAAGTCCACCCACGTATGGCTCTTCTGCCTACCATAGGCCGTTCTATCAACTCACACAAATCATTAGATGCCCTCGATGATCTATCTCGTCGACTGCTTTGGCCCAGAAGCTGCAGCATCTGCCCTCGCCGCTCACACAGTGCTGCGGTCTGTCACTGCGGCATTTTTACCTCTCGCCGGACCTCGAATGTATGAATCTCTTGGCTTGGGCTGGGGAAACAGCCTCTTAGCTTTTCTTGCAATTGCAATGATTCCAATTCCGTGGTATTTTATGAAGAATGGTGAGAGACTGAGGCTTAAGTCTAAGCTAGTTTTATAGACTATCGAAGACTCATGTTGGAAGTTGTGAAGGGCCTGGCTGGGGGCAGCTGAAAGCAGGTAGATCTCAGTCTTATGGAAGCTACCAAACGAGGCCTTGCATGCCGGGAGGTTAAAGAAGCAACGGGGGAGAGAACAATCAAGTGGCAGGTTGGTGCGGTCCAGGTCGGGCGAGCCGTTGATGGAGCAGTCAATGAGGTTGTTGTAGTAAATCTGTGAAGCGTTGTTAGTAAATCAAGCTCTCCTAATGCGTCTGGTATCGCACATACCGCAAGACTAACTCCTTATATGGTGATAGAGTCATAGAGCTTGTTGCCAACATCGAGATTAAACTGAGTAGCTGCGCAGTCAATGGGATCTTTCTTGCACACTCCTCCGATACATCCACGACCGCCGCTGAGTGCAGTCAGGTAGAGGCAGTGGTCTTCGCCGTTTGCATCGAGCCAGAGGTAACGTTTGCCCTTCTTAGTGCAGTCTTCCTCATTCTCCACGGTAGTATGCCGATCAGGTGAGTTGCTGTGTCACGATTGAGGACAATATCGACGAGTCTCCGGTTTTTGTTGTTTCTACGTTAGTGACTATCAAGGAAGCTTTGACTGTTCTAGTCTCAACAACCACGTCTTTCCATTCCCAATGGCAGTACGGAAAGTGGCGTTGTCATCGTCAACGAGCCATAAGCAGTTGGCAAAGAAGCTGTAAATGTGAGTCTGATAGAAGTTGCTCTGGTAGGGGAAGGTGCTAGTATCGCCTTCTCCTCTGAGGGGAATCCTCATCATGTCGTCGATCTTGGTAGAGGCCTTGAAGGTTAGCCACCAAACAATCTTCTATCTCCTCCTTGTTAGAAGTAAAGTCACCTCCGGTGCCAGTAGCGGCCGCCTAGTGTTTATTAAGGGGTATATTTAATGCACCTGAACCCTGGTTGCATGCCGGTGCTGATAGTGAACGCCCCAGCGATATTTTTCGAGATATCCTATTCCCCGGAGACTGGTGCTAAAGTCGCTATTAATTAATTATATTAATGTTAACACTACAGATAATAGCAGTGTCCTAATTATTCCTTCCCTAAATGCCTCTTATTTTTTCCCTTTTGCAAATATCTTAATATTATATAGTTCTACTGCGAACCTTTTTCCTTCGATCGACAGGTGAAAATATATCGGGGATACTACCAAAAGTTGGAAATGGTCTATAATCTATCTATATTCTCCCAAACCGCACACCAGAACGCTCTCAAATAGGAAGAAAAAACGCATACAAAAGAAGCTTAGTGTGGAGCATCGAGGGCATCCTTCTCGTGCAAGTACCGGAACACGTGCTTCGCCTTGTTGATCCGGTACCTGGTTGCAAATGGTGACAGAGCCTTCATCAAGATAAGCCAGCCTGCAAGCGTCGGCAGAGTGTAATGCAGCTTGTTGACAGCACCAGACGTGATAATTGTGATGAGGGTCTGATACCAATGTAGCGATGGGAAGAAGTAATTAATGCGATACCAGTTGTTGAGGAGGTCAGGTGCACCGATGGCAGCAGCGACGTTGAAAACAACCCAAGTTAGGAAACAAAACGTGACGAACGCAATGGGCACGAAGCCAGTGATAACGTCCAAGACATCGAAGCTGATCATGGCAAACACCCAAGTGACAGCCCAGGTTGCGAAAAACATCTTTGCGTGCAAGGGGTAGGAGCCGCGGAATGCGTACATCCAGCCTGTGGAGCAGAGACCACAAATGAGAGGCCAGAAGATACTCCAGAAGAGCCGGGCGTAGATATGCGTTTTGACATCGTAGGCGGCGTAGAGATGCATACCGTTGCAAATACCGTTCCAAGCCATGATGAAGAAAAATTGCATCAGGATTGGGAAGACGGCCCCAATGGTGTTGAGGAAAGCTTTATCGTCCATGTCGCTGAAATTGTGGATCGATGCACTGGCACCGACAGCTCGTGCTGGAGTCGTCAGCGCGCTCAGGGATACGGTTGTGTTTACGAATTCGCCGCTGCCAAGTTTGGATCCGATAAATTGTGCGCTGAATATTCCGGCGGCTGCGCTTGCGGTAGTGATGGTTGATGACTGTATGCCACCGGCATACAACGTGTAGTATCTGGCTGTCAGGAGATAATAGGTGTAGACATCGCTAGGATCGTATGAAGAGGTGGTACCGTTGACAGCTTCGTCGAATCGAGCCGTTGCTCCCGGTTGGACGACAATCGCGGCCCAGTACTTCCCATCGAAGACATCCTGCCTGATCTGATCTGGAGATGTTGACGAGGTATTGACGTTGATATAGGTTGGGAACTCGTAGGATTGATTGTTCGCCGCTGCCGCAATTCGCAGTGCTGTACCGAAGTCACCACCATCGAAGTCAGCAAGGGCAACTTTCGCCCGCTTGACGTATTCGCCTTGATTATGGAAGAGACCAAAGATGTGGGATGCGTTGATCCAAAAGATACCAAGGATCATAATGGCTGCGGGGATCAAAGCCTTCATCATGTCCACTGCGGTAGCCTTGGGTTTGGGGCCATTTGTTCGCGTTCTTATTATTGACATCTCCACTGCAACATCCTCGTCGTCTGGCGAGGCCCGGTGCGTGCCGACATAGGGGCCATGCATCGAGTATCTTGTTTCTGGCATTGGAAAGTGAGTTGAAGATTAGAGTTAAGCCCAGGAATAGACGTTGATAAGTGGTGTAATTGACAGAAACAAAAAGGATACCGGCAAGCAATTATGAACACGAGTTAAATAGAGAAATATGTATCCAAGCCGCCTACGTCACGTTCAAGACGGCATTTCGTCCGCTACCTTGTACGAAGACTTTGTTGCTGGTACGATGAGTTGCTCGGCTGGCCAGACAGGGCAAGTAAACGTGCATGGATGAAAGAACCCGAATGCCGCGACTCAGCTCTCGGTCCTCGGAGATTAAGTTGGGTACCGTACCTCCTACCTACCCAGGTTAGGTAAGCGGAAGCGGGTGAGAGCGGGAGTGAAGATCTCGGCCTCTTCGGCCTTCCTGGAATTACCGCTGCAAAGGTTATCGGACTTAAAAAATAAAAATGGACCCGGGCCTCGGCAGTCAGGACCTAGATGCACGGAAGCGCAGTGTCGCACTGGATGTGCTTAAAATGGATTGAAGGTCGGGTCATTCATAATGAGCAGCAGTAGTGAGTTGATTGGTTCTATCTTCTGTGTGGGGTATTCCATCCCACAGGTTTTACTTTAAGTCACCCAGCTTGATTACTAAGGGCTGTTGTTCCTGAGGATCATTGAGACCATGCCCGGCCTGCGACACCGAGATTAAACTTTTTGTACCCTGCTTGTACTCCCAGGATGACCGGGATCATGTGGGGCAAGGTACGCCTTGGAGCCTTGTGCGCGCTCAGGAGATGATTGTCTTGAGTCACTTACCCCTTCTCAACGCCCGCTGGAAGCATCATCCCGTCTTCTCATTTGCGGCCGCATTTAGTAGGTTTGTTAGTGGTACGGCCCTCAGCGCCGGGTCCACGATAATTTGTCCGGTTAGTCACAGCCCCACATAGAGAACATCCAAGCCTCAAGCATTGGGAATCAGGGCCTAAGCTTCCTTGCCAAAGAGCCGAGCCTGCAAGGGATCAGGGACCGCCCGTTTAACAGGGGGTAGCAACTTACTGGATGTCGACCCACCCTAAAAACATCCCCCAGTTCCTCTATCTGATATCCTTATTTTGAGACCTCCTGTCGCTCCTCTCCCATTACAATCCTGGTAAAAGTGGCCGAGAGGATGGGTATGCAAAAAATCTCCAAGGAAAGCACGGCCGGGGCGGGTAAAAACACTTATGATCGTGAAGATGTCGTCGTTATTGTATAGGCACCGACTTCTGAATCATGGCCGATTCGCTAACATGTGTTCGGCAGGCCTGCTCGATATTGGCTGTGTATAATTCCTCCGAGCTCCTCATCCTCATCTTTATGACCTTTAAACGATACAAGGGGCTCTACTTTTGGAGCATATTCCTCGCATCTTTAGGTATTCTTCCATACTGCATCGGCTGGTTTGTTGCTTATTTTACGCTTACCTCTCTCTGGGTCGGTATGATTCTTGCTCAAATTGGATGGACTCTTCTAGTATCAGGTCAATCTATGGTTCTCTATTCGCGATTGCACCTGGTTCTTGACGATCCTAAAATACTCCGCATCCTACTATGGATAATTATCCTGAACGGTATCATTTGGCATATCTCAATCACAGTTCTTGTATTCGGGTCTAGTTACAGCCCCGCGCAAAGCCGAGATGGATTTAACTGTGTCTTTAACGTCCTGGAAAAGGTCCAAATGTCCTGTTTCTGTCTCCAGGAGTTCGCTCTCTCCGGTCTCTACATCTGGAAGGCATGGGGTATTCTCAACACAGCTTTAAGCAGCCAACAACGGTTTATACGGCAGCTTTTTGCTATTAACGTCTTTATTATGGCTATGGATGTTGCACTTCTCGCTATCGAATATAAGAGCTTATTTCTCTGGGAGCAAGGTGTTAAAGTCGTCACCTACTCCCTTAAGCTGAAGCTCGAGTTCGCGATATTGGGCCAGCTTACCGAGTTTGTGCGGCATCGAGGCGGCGGCGGTGATTTTGGTGGACAATCAAATCATGCTACAGCTACGTTTATACGGCTCTCTAGTGGTCGGTCGCAAATGAAGGAGAGGGAAACACGCTTCGCAGCAACCAGGCCGGAACCAGTCCTTATGGAAGACGTGAAGCCTAGCACATCGGCAACTGCCACAACTACAAAGGCATCACCACGTCCATCTCAAGGACAGGATGAGATTAGGGTTAGAACAAGGATGAATACGGTAAAGCAGCATATTGTATCGCTAGAATAATGCGAGCACAGGTCAGCCTTATGAGAAGTGCTATCCAAGAGATCTCAAGGTTATAGCGGTGTAAATTGTTCGCAAATCCACTGTATTGGTCCCAACACCCATATGGATTCACGCCGCCGAGAAAGTGAGTGATCCCCATCCCCTAGGCTCTAGAAGAAATGCAAGAGCGCTTTATGCATAGAGATGCCAGGTCACCGTCGGCTGGGCGCTCAAGCTACATGAAGTCGGGAAGTCTATCAAGGATACCACCACCGACCTGGGCTATATATCTTGGTCAGATCATTTATTCTAGGATACACTTGAGCATCTCTTCCCATAGATGACAACACGACATTAACTTACAAAAATATATCTTTCACAATAACACAGTTGCGGGAACTCGTTGAAACCGAGATTATAGCAGCCCAAGATCAGCAGGCAGAGTTGCTTCTTGTCCCTCCGAATTCAGGTAGGCGGGCCACTGTTCCAACAGTAAGACTGCATTCGATTGTTGATGGCCAATTGTTGGAAAATCCGGGGATTCCCTTCCCTTCAGGATTCAGACTAACAGTGTGAAAGTCCTAGGTTAGAGCTCAAAGTCCTAGATGAAATCATTTAGAGATATAAGCCCGAGAAGAACTCTGATTTCAATAATAGAATAGTCAAGTTTCGTAAATATATATATATATATATATATATTTTTACCAAGCACTACTGCGCAATATAAACAACAGCTAATAACTAGCCCAACTGAGCTACTTAGGTACTGGTCATATGCAACGACATCCACACACAGGCAACTTGTCGATTTCCGGCTGCGCAAAAACTGTCTACCGTCGACGCCACATAGCCACTGCATCCTTGTTATTTTGACGAAAGTGGAGAGGTAGGAAAGCCGCCTCCAGGTTCGACCTCGACAGCTCGGCATTGCGAAGTCTTGCAAGCTGCACTGGATGAGGCTTTCAATGGTGGTGTTCTCGATAGCCTAGCTCAGTACGTCCTGTGCCCATCGGGACCTGAGCGGCCGTGCGGCCGCTCGACGGGAAATACAGATTAAACAAAAGAATGGTCAACACGGAAGCTATTGCAATGGAATTGAGTCCATCAACTTGAAATGCAAGTTGAGTGGATTGAATTGATGCACGTGCCTTCAACTTCAACGAGATTGAAGACATTGAAAGTGGGAAATGATGACCAGCCTGAGCTTTATCAGAGTCACTCGCACATTAGTTGATGGGTTGAGTAGGTGGGGCAGGCCCTATACGCCCCCATCTCTCCCCTGGAGAGATGGCTGCATTCATCGTATCTTTGACGCCTTCGTATCCCTCTATGAGACCTTTGAATCATCCTAACTCCACCAATATATAGCCAAATTATATAGAATTATGGCATTAAAATGCCCTCAACTTGCTCTTTCTAATTATCTTGAATTTATCGCAAAAACGTCGATATGCAGCAAAGGCGGCGCGGTTGTATGTAGTAGGTCGCGAAACAACGCGTCCCACGCGTGCCAACGCATTCCAATAACGCACACTGACAGTTAGGGAAACCTGCGCTCGCTACCACGCCGACCAACACCTCGTTAAGTATATCCGCCTCATAAAACGAGGCAAACGACTACCGAACCCAGAGTCAGATAGCACCGGTGGCGCGATGAACGCTTGTATCTCTATCGAAGAAAAAAGGGCGATAACCACCTATCTCCGGCAGGTAGAAAACACACCTTTCGCCCTAACTAAAGTTTACGCCGTAGACAAGGCCAATTATCTCCGCCAACTTCGAGGTGCTAGCCCTATTTCTTCCTCTTAGTTTCCAAGGTTTAAGTAAAGGCATCCCGAGATATCCTTCAAGAAGGAGAAGCCCAAGGAAATTATCCGCATTGGTGCGGAGTTACAGATACCTGAGATACAGGCATGGTTTGCTGAATATCGTAAGGTTGTTCCCACTTATGATATTCTTCCTTAAAACCTCTAGAATTTTAACGAATCCCCCTTACAAATCGGCTGCATGAAAGGCAGCAGAAAGCTCGGCTATACAACTATGAAGAAGGCGAAAAGGCCAATATCCTTCCAACCGGGTAATAAGGAATCTTTAACGGCTGTTGATGCTATTAGCGCTGCTGGCAAAGCAATCCCTTCCTTCCTCATCCTTAGCGCCAAGGTCCTGCTCGAGGACAATGCGGCTTCAACTTTGAACGACGATATCATCCTCACAAAAACGAATTCTGGGTATAACAACACCGACCGGGCCTTCCAGTGGCTTCAACATTGCAATTGGTAGTCTTTTCACCACAGTGATAGCTTTGCCGGCTCCACTATTGAGCAGCGGTTTGGCTATCCATATGACATTACGGAGTCAACTTTAAAGGAGCGATCCAAAGGCCGTTCGTTCCATCGTTAACGCATAAAATCGGTGCCCCGGCTGCTAATAATGGATAGATTTCATACTCATAAGGACCTTTAATTCGTCTGGTACAGCGAATTATTCGATATCGTCCCTTTCAAGCTTCCCTCGCATACAAGCCATCTCATATAACCGCTTGATGTTGGTGGTTCACCAGCATATAAAGGTATAGCAACAAAAGTACCTCTTGGAGCATGTGCAAGGCGGCGGGATGCAGGTATCTTGATATAACTTCCTTTGTATGTAGAATGATATCTATCGGAAGACGTTCCGGGCCTGTTACATCTATGTTAGGTCCGAAAAAGCAGGCCTTTGGCCTATATCCGAAGACATCGTCTTAGAACCCCCTGATTGAATAGGAAGCCGACCGCAAGGAGCCTCTCTTTCTGAGTCGGATCCCAGTCTATCGAGATGACGCCCCGACGCGCAAAACGCAAGCTTCGAACGGTTCTGGAGACGGACATCTTTAATGAAAACATAAAGAAGGTTATGAAGGATGTGATAACGGCACCCGAAGTTTCTATCATCTCTTAGCAGGCCCGGAATCGCATCCATAAGCTTACAGAGGAGCGCATCAGCCGTGAGGCACGACGTACGAAGACCCGACGGCAGATTCAAGGCACCAAAGATGGCGCTACTTTCCATGGGTCAGCTTCGAGCCAAAGTGAAGGCATGAGCAGATGAGGAATACGAAGATGAAGTAAACAGCTTACTCGATCCCAGGAGAAGATGATGAGGGATATCCAGAAGCAGGAACAAGAAAAGGCTCGTAGAGACCGTGTCGGTCAGCCAGTCTTACGAGGCAGGGCCGCGGCGGCGGCGAAGAAACAGGCTGAAGAAGACGATCGCGAGAAGTTAAACACCCAGATCCCTGAAGAAGAAAAAGACCAAGCAACACAGCTTCTTAAGCAATGGAACAGAGCCGATGACCTTAAGAAGTGGTCTCTTTATCCCACAAGGCCTCTGCCCATCCTCGAGATGCTACCGGAAGTTGTTAAGTGGAAAAGGGAGACAGAGACATAGGCACAACAGCGAGTGGCTCAAGAGCTACAACTTCCTGGTCTCCAGGAAGATATACAAGCCGACCCCGGGGCTCCGGGAGACTACCTATCGCTAGGGCTTTCGTCGATGCCTCTCATACCTCCGAGTGACTCCTCTGGTGTTCATGTTGTCCTAGAAGGGGGCAATCGCAGCCAACCGAACCCCTTTGCGCTACCCTTCACTCATCGGTCCCTGGGCTTATCACAGACAGAAGACGAAGCCGTGATAGATAAGATTATGGAAGAAATTACTGCGCAGGAAGTGGTAGATGATGAAGATGATGATAACCGTCTTATTACGCTGAAGAATCCTTATTTGAATGCATTGTGGTCTTCTTCTGACGACGATGAAGATGCCTCTTTTATTGTTAGTGTAGGGCGGGGAATTACCATGCAGTACCAACCTGCCGGTCATACCCACCTACCGGTCGGCGAAAAAAAAGAATTCCCCATATAAAATGTCTAACTTCACTTGCACAGTCCTTGGCCAAAATTGAAGTTATTTACATGGAACAGATTGTGTCTTACTGAGAGTTTCATGCTGTTTCATATTGGCATGTTCATTTGTATTTTACACAAGCAGTTTGGTCGCATGACACTAGTGTAAAATTTCTCAAAATGTCTCCTTTATCACTCAGCCTCCCCAAAATTTCATCAAACTTTTATCTATAGCAGCTTCCTTTAATCGCCTTGAAAATGCCTCAACAGTCTTATACAGAGAATAATGTCATTGAAGCTATACTGGATGTTACAGATAATGACCTCTCGCAGCACCAGGCCGCCCAGAAGCATGGAATGCCCCAAACCACTCTGTCTGACTGATTAAGAGGCCTACCGTCAAAATCCGAGGTCACCCAACCTGCCCAGCTGTTATACGAATCCCAAGAGGCTAGGTTAGTTACATGGATACTTCGACAAGAGGCCTTGGGCTATGCTCCTTCCCACAGTCAAGTTCGTGCCACCATAGCTGCCCTGTTGAGACAGCAGGGCCAGGAAAGGCCAATTGGTGTATACTGGCTAGCCAGGTTTATTAAACGCCATCCAGAGATCGATAAGAAGGTAGGAAAACGCCAGGAAGCTTCAAGGTTCAATTCTTTTACCCCAATGGCCGTCAATTGGTACTTTGATATCCGGGAGAGCGAATATGGCTGGATCAAGCCTGAGAACACGGTTAATGTTGACGAGGGCGGTATCATGGCTGGATTTGGTGAGTACTGACCACTTCTGATACAAGACTTACCAATAAATTGCAAATCTAGGTTTGGATTCCTTGGTAATTGGCAGTAGCGATCCCAGGAGGAAGGCCTTCCTCAAAGGCTCGCAGTCCCGCACTTGGACTAGTTTTATCGAAGCCGTCACTGCGGATGGCCGTCTTCTAAAGCCGGGAATTATCTTCAAGGGCAAAGAACTTCGGAAGCGGTGGTTTATTGATGAGTTTAACAAGATCGCCGACTGGTATTATATCACGTCCGATAACGGCTGGACAGACAACCATATCGCGGTCGAGTGGCTCAAAGAGGTTTATCTGCCCCAAACTCAGCCAGCAGATGAGTCAGATGCAAGGCTCATAATATTAGATGGCCATGGGAGCCATGTATCTGTGGGTGTCTACCTGTTCTCGATCAGAAATACCGCTGACTGAAATTCCAGGATGAGTGGATGGCCACGTGTTTTTTGAACAACGTGTATTGCTGTTACCTGCCTGCACATTGCTCTCATGGCCTACAGCCACTGGATAATGGTGTTTTCAACGCATCCAAGGCTGCATATCGAAAAGAACTCCAAAAACTGGCAAGCCTGACCGATTCTGCGCCCGTGGACAAGGTCAACTTCATCAAGGCTTATGCCAAAGCCAGGGAAGTGGGTATGACGAAGAAAAACATCCTTTCAGGCTGGAGAGTGACTGGAAACTGGCCGATTTCACGACGTAAAGCGCTCATACATCCTGAGATTCAGCCAGACAAGAAGGAAACGACGCCTGGATCAGACGGCCACAGAGACGGGCAAGTCGACTCTGATAATACGCCAAAGACCAGCCGTCACATCAGAGACCTGGGGAAGAACAAGAGCCCCTCTACCAGAAGGCGGTATTCTGTGATATCAAAAGGGTTTGAAGCCCAAGAGTCCAAGATCGCCTCTTTGAGCACCAGAATAGCCAGCCTGGAGGAGGAAGTTGGCCGGTTGAGCAGAGGCAAGAAGAGAAAGGCGATACCGAATCCCAATAAGAAATTTATCTCGCTGGCAGAGGCTCTAGCAGCTGGTGACACTATTTCAGAGCCAAACGAAGCAATTGAAGGGGCGGATGTTGTTGAGGATGTGATCGAGGTGGGAGGGATAGAAGAGGATGAGAGGTCAAATTCAGGGAAGGAAGAATTAGGTGTCGTACGCACCCGCACAGGGCGTGAGGTTAAAAGACCCAGAAAATATTAAAATAGATTCAATTTTGATCTAAATTCTAGGGATAAAATTATTTTTACTATTTTTATTAAGTTTTTCCCATGAGGTTAAAAAAGTGCATTTTGTATGGGGGAATCTTTTTTTCGCTGACCGGTAGGTGGGTATGACCGGCAGGTGGGTACTGCATGGTAATTTAAATAAAATCTAATAATAATAGAAGTTATATCATTTTGAAGCCCTGAGTTTTCTCTTCAACATTTTGTATACCATCCCCTTGCACGAATGCAGGCGTCAAGTCGGCGGAGGAGTGAGTCAATCAGACGGTTAATCTGCTCTGGTGTAATTGCTGCACACGCCAACTTGATACATTTGATCAACTTTGCTTGATTAGACTTGTTGTTTTTCAAGAGATCTAATTGAGGGAACATCTTTTTAATGTTCAGCTTTAATTGCTTCCATATTCGCTCAATTGGGTTGAGATCAGGACTGTGAGAAGGCCAGTCAATCCAGGATATGCCGTGTTCCAACAGCCAGTTCGTCGTAGACTCTGACGTGTGAATACGAGCATTATCTTGTTGAAAATGGCGAAAACCAGTCCAAATAAGAAGTAAACCTTCTGTTAAAGCCTGTTGATAACTTAAAGAAGTATATCCTCTTCTTCTGGCGGCCTGATCGCGGATCATGATGATGATATCAGATTTCCCTCCTCTCCAGATTGCCCCCCAAACCATGATCGATAATCGTGACTTTCCATGAACTGTCACATTAACTAATTCCCTCATGAACTTCTCATGAGGCTTACGGAATACCCAACCTCGTTTATAATTCGGTTGCGATTGAACTGATGATTCGTCGCTAAAAATGGTCTGAAGGTGTCATAAGTTGAGTGAAAGATTCCCGAGCAGCGTCCATCCGCGAACTTTAAAACGATATACCTCCAGCAATTCTTCAATATCTTCCTTCCAAGCTTGAAACCATAAAAACCGCTGACGAGCGGTTTCTGTAGATAGTGGAATTCTCTGCATAGCCCTCAATTTGCGACCGTAATGGTGTCTGATCGCTCGGCGTATTGTAGTTCGTGAGATCTCGCCACCTAGATAATTGACAAGCGATTCGTATGTGATCCTACGGTCGCGTTTAAGTGAAACTAATACGTATCGAATCTGCTGAATTGTGAGTTTTGTAGGACGTCCAGAACGACACTTTTTGTCCAAGGTTTGGTGAGTTTTCCAGTGTTGAAAGATCTTGAAGATTGCGGCGGGTGAACATTTAGCCTCCTCAGCAACATCTCGGTATGACCTCCCGCTTTCTACAGCTTGAACAATAAGAGCTCTTGCAACCTCGCTGAACTCATGGTTTCTCTGGCGCCCTGCGCATATAATTGACAAGATTCCGTTCTTTTGCGACATGTTTTGTCGAAGTTGTGGACGTTTGAAGAAATTGGATGAGTTCACTTTTATCGTGGTGGATTACACGTTGGCGGGGCAGCGTTTACAGACTTTTGGACCATAATTTTAGGTAAAAAACCCCTCTATCCTATGTTGTTGGATTACGCAGGGATGCTGAGTGCAGTTAACAATTGATTGTTATTGTTATTATTCTTAATTTCTTGCAGTCGAAGGGGTCTTTGAGGCCTTATATCTTCGACTGATTCTTTCTAGGACTTGAGTCCTAGAGTCTTAGATGACAGTCCTACGATTTGAGTTTTTAGGACATCAAACTTTAACTTTAATCTTGAACCTTAATCCTGAAGTTGAAGGGGAACCATCAATTCTTCCAACATCCTATGAACCGGTAAGGCTATCATACAACTTACTGCCTATCAAGTATATAGTAAATATACTTGCTTGATACCGTCGCAGCTATGCCCAGTCACATCGCAAGTATCACCTGGTTCAGGTGTATTCCAACAGCGGGTAGTGTCTGACCATTGAGCACAGAAGGCCCAAAACTTTCCCTTCCTGCCTGCATTCCCCCCAGCATGGACTTTTGCCCTGCAATTTTCGCGCAGATCAAAAAGTGCATCCCAATGTTTATCATACCACGACCAGCCACCAGTTGAAAGTGTCGTAAAGTCCAACTCCTTATAGTTGTTAGATCAGGGTAAATCGTCGTTCTTTACACAAGGGCCATTTCGGGCGGGCTTCGGTGTGTCTTTGTATGGTCAGCTGTTGACACGGACATTCTCCTAGCGATTGATAGCCACATAGGCATGACGACATTCCACTTGTGTAGCTGTTTCTCTAATCGGATCTGATTAGAGCCAGTGTTGATCCCAACCAGCTTGAACAAATAGGATCGTACAGTTCTAAGACGATATCAGAGTTGATATTGCATTCCGTCTACTGATTCTACTCTCCCAACCCTAGGCTAGTCCTAAGATGACTTGCAAAGCATTTTGCAAAGTCTCTTTGTGTCCCTCCTCTCTCCGTTTTCCTCTCCATGCGATAAATCCGTCAGGTCGGACAAGAATAGCCTCCCCCTCAGAGATTCTACAAATACGACCAAAACTGCCATCAGTATCCGTGAGCGTGCCCTTGATCTTGCCTATATTATGAGAGTCTACTTGGGGTGTGATTTCTCTGGTCGCTTTGATCCATGGTGATGAATGATCAGTTGTGAAAAGAACGAAGTTAGTTTTGATCAAGTCCAACGTGGAGATCTGAGCGCCGTCTAGTGTGAGAGGCACATGTGGAAATCGGGTTCCTGGTAGTACTAGTGGTGCATATGGGTCTTCGTGGTGATCACTGTTGGTGCTTTGGCTTTCCGAAGGGACAGCAGAAAGGTAACGATACCCTATCTCGCAGACAATGTCAGGAAGTTCTGGATCTGTTGGGACTTGGCGGAAGACCCGCTTCTGCAGTCTTGAGTAGGCTTGACGCATCAGGAACCCAGCTACCGGCCGCCGCTCGGCGTCATAAGTTCGGAGAAGCGAAGGGCCAGCCCTTTCTCCTAAAACGTACGCAAGCTTCCAAGCTAGGTTATGCACATCCTAAATATGTTAGTTTGGTGGAATAACTCGACGTAGAACCCAGTCACCGTACCTGTATACCGGTGTTACCACCCATTCCACCAGTTGGAGGCATCACGTGTGCTGAGTCTCCTGCAATAAAGACTCGGCCGTTTGTGCTCGCAAAGCGCTCCGCGTTGAAAGCAGCCACAGACCAATACGAGATGGAGTCAACTTTGATATCAATATCGTCCTCGATACCGCTGGCATCCTTGAAATATTGCTTTGCGTCTCGTTCGGAGACTGAATCTGGCGAAAATGACTTTTTGTCACCTGCTCGTGTGACAATCATGAATCCAGCCTTGCCTCCGCTCTCCAGGCGGAACCCAGCATCAATGGCAGGATTAGAAACATACGTCACGCCATGCTTAGCACGGGTTCCGAGATATGGCGTCAGATCGGCTTTGAAGTTGATAGAAATGCTCTCCCCGAGGACTCCGGGGCCTTTCCATTCAATGCCTTCCTTCCTCCTTGTTGCACTTCTATTTCCATCGCACGAAACCAGGTACTTGGTTCTAAATTTGCGATAATTTCCAGATTGAACGTTTTGGACCACAACGAGTGCACCGTCTGAGTCTTCTTCGTAATGGACGACGGTCTCATTGAACTCCTGAACTGCGCCAAACTTCTTTGCACTCTTGCGCAAAAGCGGCTCAAACATGTTTTGCGTGAGCCATAGACGACTGCTAGGACTGGCCTTGGCTACTTCTGCTGGGTCGCTTTCTTGCATACTTGCCAGGACTTTGCCGCCCACGAGCTTCTCGACTATAATCATCCCCAGTGCTGGATAGCCACGCGTGTTGTTTCATACTGTTTCATATGAAACTGAAACAGTCCCTGGACCCGGTTTCGTATGAAACAGTAACTCCCCCAGTTTCATATGTTTCAGTCGGTTTCATATGTTTCATATACGCCCGATGAGTCCCAAATATCTTAGTACTTAACCAAGAAAATTTCGCATACCAAATGCCTTCAGCGCAGTTAGAAACTTGCTAATAGTAAATATGTGTCGCATATCACCACTAGGTTCGTGCGACTGGATATAAAACGCGGCCTGTACTTTAGAGTCGTGTCTCCGGTTTCACAACCGGCTTGTCGCATCAAGGACTCCAATCCTAACGACATGAGCTTAAATAGCTATGCCCGAACACATGGCTGTTCAATTTCATTTGTTCTTTAGATAATTCTTATCAGTTGAGTGGTGCCATCACTGATCCCTGTGAAATTAATTGTCCGACAACATGTCATCAGCTTCGCCCGCTCCCTTGTTATCGGAGCCTTCTGATGAGCTCTTGGGGCCTGCTTCGCCTGGTTCTCCCGTTCCCGCGAAGCGCACAATGGATCGCTCTCCCTCTGATCGGGCTGGCAAGCGCACCAAAGGCCGTACGAACAAAAGCACTTGGAACGAGGCGCGTGGCCCTTATGAAGAGAGAGGGGAGAAAGCTCGCGATACCTCATACCACGAAATTTGGTACTGCAAGCACTGCGACTCCACGAAAAAGCTAATTCGATAACGACGAACGTGAGTCGAGCCCGCAAGCACCTGCGGGACTTTCATGGCATCCGGGTGATAGAGCATGTGGAAAGGTCGGATCTGAAGAAGCAGCAACGTGGCACCATTACGGACTTGTTCGGAAGGCAGTAGGAACGTCAAGCCAATCGAGACCTTAATGAGGAAAAATATTTGACAAACGCTATTAATATTCCTACATTCGAGGAAGCACTCGCCAGGCTTCTTGTGGTTCGCAATATCGCCCACACATTCATCGAGTACCCCGAGTTTCATGCTTCATACTCTCCTGCAACTATATGGCCCGGGACGTCCTCCTACGCAGCCGCAGAGCGGTGCCGAAACTTCTCAAAAAGACTTTCGCTCAACACAAACAAGGGCTCGTTGAGAAGCTTCACAATTCTCTCTCATCTATGGTCCACTTCACCATTGACATGTGGACCTCGTCGGAACAGAAGGCGGCATACCAGGCAATCGTGGTCCATTTTGTAGATGCGGAGACGAGAGGAGTCGCTCAAGCATTATTGTCACTGCGCGAGTTCAAAGGAAGCCACAACGGGAAATTGCAAGCCAAGGCTTTCCTGGAGGTTGTCTAAGAGTACGATCTCAAAGGAAAGGTTGGCTACTTTACGATGGATAACCACGACGCTAACGACACTATGCTTGACGATATCGCAAAAGAGATTGACGGTTTAGATCCGGTTGCCAGGCGACTACGCTGCAGTGGCCACATCATGAACCTCATCGTTCAAGCCTTCCTCTTTCGGAGTAAAGCAAAGAAGATTCAGGAGGATGAGAGAGAGGGGATTGATGAGGCGTATCAGCGGCTGTGCAGGCTATCCGAAATAGAAGAAGGGGGCATTATTACGAAGGCACAAGCTACCGAGGAATGGCGGGAGTTTAGTGTTCTGGGGAAACTCCACAACTTGTGCATATATTCAAGGAGCTCTACCAGCATTTACAACGACTTCAAGGCCGAGATTGGCAGGGCCTTGCCGAGGGACAATGACACACGTTGGAATTCATGGTTTCGCCTCATTGACGTGGCAATTGAGAATCGGGCAAAGTTCATGGATTGGATTCAAGAAAATCATGCCAAAATCGAGAAAGATGCACTGGACCACAACGACTGGAACGAACTCGGAGATATTCATGCGTTCTTACAAGTATTCCACCAGATCTCGGTGCGCCAAGGCCGGGAGAATACTCGATGAAGTTCTCTCCCATATGGATTTCCTCCATCATCACTTCACGCGGACTAAAAACCGGGCTTTCAGTGGCCCACGCTTCTACGCGCGCTTTCACGTGGCTTGGCTAAAGTTCGAGAAGTATTACCAGCTTACCGAACAAGCCCCGGTGTACGTGGCCGGTATTCTCCTCCACCCAGCACTCCGAAAGAGCTATCTGAGTGAGCAGTGGAAGAGAAACCCAGCCTGGGTCAGCAATGCCGTGAAGGCTGTAAGGAAGATCTGGTCCACAGAGTACAAGAGCTACCAGCTCCCAGATGAACAACAGGAGAAAGGGCAAGAACTCGATGAGTTTGATCGCTGGAGGCAGAAGGTGTACAGCACAGCGAGTGAGGTGAAGGATGAATTCGACCGCTTTATTTATGTAAGTAATTTGAAGCCTTCTAATGGCCTGGTTTTGACGATACTTCGCAGGGCTCACAGGTTGGGATTGGACAACAAACGGCCTTACAGTGGTGGCTTGAACCGACCCAGCGAGAGAATTTCCCCCTCCTCTGCCGTATGGCTATTGACATATTCTGCATCCCCCCCATGTTTACGGAAGCAGAGCGAATCTTCTCAGGCGCAAGACGGCAGGTTAGATGGGATAGAAGTAGCATGTCTGCCAAAATGGTAGAGGCATGTGAGTGCATTAAAAGTTGGATAAGTGTTCCAAAGGGAAAGAGCAGGCCGCTTCTTGCAGGGGTGTTTAGGGAAGCGGAGGATATCGACGCGGCTGTAAGGATACTCCAAGAAGATATAGAGATGAGTAAGGGGGCAGAGAGTGATGGCGAGCCTAGGGAATTGGTAGTGTAGGTAGGCAGACAATGCCAAACATTTTTGGGGTACTTGGAGATAAGGTGTATATCGATGCCGAGCTTGTCAAAAATTTGGACTGCTACTGGATATTGTTTCGTATGAAACTGAAACCAGTTCATATGAAACTGAAACTATACTGACGCCCGGTTTCATGAAACTGAAACTCCCCCCAGTTTCAGTTTCATAGCGTGGCTATCCAGCACTGATCATCCCAGCGTCGAGATCAAAGTTTGAGGCGCTTTCTGAACGGAGTTCGTCTTCCAGACCTAGCTGGCGGAAGATCTCAACGGAGCGTAAAAGGAATAAGGCTGCTCGGGGATGGATGGCGGTGGATGGATGGCGGTCAAAAGATACAGACTTAATGCTAGACGGGTTCAGTCATGATAATTGGCGTCAGAGCGACAGAGTCTTACCCATGATAACCTAGCAGAACGCCTAAAGTCATTCCTACCATGCTCGATCCAATGATGATAACGGGCCATTCTTCTGGCTCCAGTGGAATGTTTGTATGATTGAACTCTTTGAAGTCAAACAGAGTCCTTTGACTCTGAGCGATGGGAATTGTGTCATCAACTTGGTTCGGTCCGGTAGGAATGGTATGAGAATCATTTGAAGGCATCTTGGGTTGCGTGTCGTGTGTTTAGTGTGAGTGTGACTGAAGTTCCCAGGTGAAGTAAAGGGTAATTCTGACGGCGATAAAGATGAAGCTACCGTTTATGTATCATAGAACCTGTTTGCCTAAACATAATAATAAGTATAGCATGCCTTACCCAAGCTGGTCCCTCGCTAATCACATCCTCCACCTCAGTTGTCCTCCACACTCCACTCCTCCACTTCTCCACCCCTCCACTTCTCCACACTCCACCCACTCCTCCTCCACACGAACTAAGTCCAAGCCTCCTCCACATGACCCGAAACCCGAAAATTCCGACCTGGCAGTAGAAAGGGCTTCCCTCTCTAAATTGCCCGTCGTTTTAAGATATCATGCATGTTGGTCAACTTAATATCTTTGCTTTCTGTGGGTGACTCCTGCGCACATTCCAAGTTCTGTGAATAGCTACTACCACCATGACCGTCACTCTGTACGGATCTCGGCAATCAACAGGCACTCAACGTGTCTTGTTGGTCCTCTACGAACTAAATATTACTGATTATCGACTTTCCAACGTCGACATGCAAAAAGGAGATCATCATGTAACAGAGTATCTATCCGTTGATTGTGCAGATATTTACTCATCTTAGGATCCCACTTATGTTCAAAATCTCCACCCTTTCGGACGACTTCCGGTTCTTGATGACAACGACACTCGATTATTCGAATCAAGGGCCATTTGCCAATACTTGGTTGCTAAATACGGGAGAGGGAGTGCTTTAGACACCCGAGCTGAACAAACTTTTGCAGAGCTAGCAGCATATGAACAAACGGCCAGTGTTGAATACTCTTACTTCGACCCGGCGATGAAATCTTTGGCATACGAGAATATCTTCAAGAAGTACTCGGCTCCTCCGAAACTTTGCTTACAGAACGGCACACTGACGCAATACAGATTCATGGGTCACGGCGATCCTGACAAAGAGGAAGTCGAGAAACAGAAAACCCTCTTGGTCAAGGTCTTGGACCACTATGAAAAGGTCACTTCTGATCGTGAATATCTTATGGGAAACGTGAGTGGCTCCCCATCTTTCACGCTGAAATCCGTGTTGAATTTTTGAAGCAATTTTCGTTGGTTGATCTATACCATATGCCATGGGTTCACTTTCTCTCCAACCTGGGATTGCAGGATGAGATTTCGTCCAGGCCGTGGTTGAGCGCGTGGTGGAAACGTGTTAGCAGTCGGCCGTCTTGGAAACATCTGATGGTGTCCCCTTGAAACGAGAATCATAACAGAAACTGAGAAATTGGAGAGGTCTTTCGTTTAAAAAGATATGTTCTCCATACATCGTTCCTACATATCCAGAATAAATGACAATTGTGACACTTACGTCGCGGCTGAAATGGATGTCCGGTTTTAATTGTGAGGATGGTGACACGCTTATTGGACAAGGACGCTGGTCATAGCCGTTTACAATGATCTAAAACAATTCCCTTGTGAGCAATGGAGAGGGAACACTTATTTAGATCGACTCCCTGCTACATATTGCCGCAGCCTATGATAAATATCCAAGTCGAATAGATGAAACATTTGGGCAATTGAGCTGCTGGAACAAAGCTGCCGGGTAACAACTGATGTGCTGCAAGCTGCTCAAAATAAATTCTGTGACAGTAGTTTGGATGCAGGTGAAGGAAACCCGTTAAAGTTTGCATGATAAGGTCATAGGTACAGGTTGTATACTATAGTAGCCATTTGTCACTACTCACATGATCCTTTGTCTATCCCTAACCTACGTAGTCTGGATGCTACCTTCGTGTTGCCCCTGAGAGATTTTGGGAATTTGTGCCGCTGCTCCGACAAGCCAAGTTTTCAATGCCTCCTTTGAACTGCTCCATGCATCATAACTGAAATTGTAATGAGAGAACTTGGTGGCTATTGGAGGTTAAATACAGCTTGCTCTAAAGGATGCGGTATCTTACTGTCAAATCGATCATCATGATCATCCAGATCCCGTCCTGCCCACCTGGTGAAATCTTGGATCCGATGAGCTCTATCGTCCCTGATCTGTTCATAGAGCTTTAATCGACCTTCAATTTCGTCTTTCGAGACGTTTCGCGGGAACAGGGCGCATATGGTTGCTGCATCTTCAATTGCTACACCGCCTGTGATCTGGTTAGCATCATCGATATGTCTCAATGGTACAAGCCAAAAACTAACCTCCTTGGCCCTGATCTGTGCCGTATGTTAGTCCCCCATTTAGTTGCGCACTCGGATGACTTACATGGAAGGAATGGGTGCACTGCATCCCCTAGTAGAGCTACTTTGTTCTTTACCCAGGCCGGAATTCGATCCATGTCCAGTAGAGTCCATAGCTTCAACGAGCTTTCATCCACTAAATCCAGAAGAGTCTGGACGGTCGGGCAGAAATTGGCATATATGTCGAGAAGGTTTTGCTTGCTACCGCGGTGGTTAAAACCTGACGTTGTGGTGTTAGGTCGCTCTGTAAAAAAGAAGAAAAAGACTTGCCTTCTCCGTCAGATTTTGAAAGGTCAGATGGGTGCATCGCGACCAAGTTCATTACGGTATTGTTGACGCAAGGATACATGACAAGGCGTCTATCTATACCAAACCACATGATCATAAAACCATCATCTTGTACCAATTTTCGTAGCTCGGGGTCTTCCACCATCTTTTGCTTTGGAATCAAAAAACGGAATGCCGCCTTTCCTGAGCCAAAGGGCTTGATTGCATCCCCAACTACTGCGTTTCTTGTTACTGACTGCATAGTATAATTAGTTTAAAAGCACTACAAGGTGAAAGGACTATGCAATTGCTCACGCTGACTCCGTCGGCTCCCAAGATTAAATCCCCCGAAAAGGATGATCCGTCTTCAAGAGTGACGGTTGTGGTGCTGACATCGACAGACGCGACCGGGCTGGAAGTTGCTAATACCACCGGGTCACCTTGTCGTTTTTGAGAAGTCGCTGCTCCCTTAAGAGCTTCATGGAGATGCACGCGGTAGCAAAGAACCCAAGTCTGGGAACAGTGGAAGTCAGCCGCGCAGTCTGATAACCCATTCGGGCAAGGATCCTTACGTATGGCCACTTGGTATTCTCGTCTCTCAGGTCTTTGGACATGCGGAGATTTCCTTCATGATCAAACTCTATGATCTTGAACATCAATTAGGTTGGTATCATTTCAGAGCGGGTTTCAACGTACGCCGTTGTTTTTGTTGGCCCCAAACGTCTCTGGGAAAATGTCATACTTCTGCAGGAGGCCGTGACAGTTTGGGGCCAGATGCATAGCAGCGCCGGTTTCCTGGGCCAATGCAGAGCGTTCAAAGACCTACAATCAACAAGTTAGACCCTTAGCCATCAGACTTTCGGGCGTTGATAGGCATACAGTCACCTTGTGTCCCTCTTCTCTCAATCCAATGGCTGCAGTAAGACCGCCAATTCCTAAAGTGATCAGAATATAGCAAATCGGGGAGGGTATCTTGGATCTGCAAACATACCTGCTCCAACAGCAAGAACTCTTAGAGGGTCGTTTTTGGTACCACATTGTGGCTGAAGGCTGCGTGAAGCTGCTGTCAATGTCATGATTGGCTAGACCGAGTAGAGCGAGGTTTTTGTTTTTCTCGAATTAATTGTGGGAAGCCGAATAGCTAGTAGTAATTTGAGCACTAATTGACGGTACATGGTACACGGGAAGAGACATTTATTAATTCCGCATGAGTCGACAGTGTTTGTTACCATCCCAATGACCATTGCCCGATCCGGCAAGTAGTGAGATCTGTGGCCCGGCAATGTGGAGGGGAAACTGGATGTGGGGGAACCTAGCTGAGCTTTACTTAGCTTTAAACATCGGCCCCAATTAACCCCCGGATTCCCCGGGTTCTCATTGTGGTAGGTATAAAGCTCTAACCCCTCCTCCACATGCAAGTACTCGTATTCACCATCCTAGCCCGCCCTCCACCTCCTCCACATCTTTACCATAACGCTGCTCCATCACTTTCCAGTTTCTCCTCCACCTACTATCCCCCTACTGTCCCTACCGAATCAGTCATCATGAGTCAGGCAAATGGATCATTCCAGTGCGACAACTGTCCGAGACGCTATAAACGGATTGACTACCTCATTCGTCACAAACGGTCTCGTACGCTTGCCCTTGTGAGGCTTGTGCGCAAGTAACTAATGAAAGACCTTGTAGATACTCAATCAAAGCCATACAAGTGCTGGACATGCTTCAAGTCATTTGCAAGAGTGTACGCGAGTGTGGCTTATTTGTGGATAAGAATTGGTCTGTTGCTAATTTGTGCAATAAAGAGATATACTGAAAAGACATATGGCCAGCCATGCGTCAACTAAAGTATGTATCGAAATTAGTCCGAACCCTGTCACACAGAAGTGGACTCGTCTAACTGGGCAACTATGGAGCTACAGATCCTTTGTACTGGTCCCCCTAGCAGCAAGACCCAGAAATGCACATATTCAGAGGACGGGGACATCGGACAAGGGGAAGTACGTTCAATGGTCACAAATCAACCTCCAGAGCTCATCGTCGATTCATCTCACCAAGATCTTCTCATACGACCTCACCAGAGCTCACTTGAGCATGGTGCAGCGAATGCTACTTTCACCAACCCAATGCAACTACATTTAGTACTGGGGCCTGACGTGATGAACCCAACTGGAAATCTTGACCACAATTTCAAGTCGCCCAGTACGTTTCTTGATGGAAGTCATGCACATTATAAGCAGTAACCTAACCTCGATAGAAACCCAAGAACAAATCACAACTGATCAAAACGTCTCCTGTGTGGGCTTCTCGGCCTCTGGAGGTTCTGTGGAAAATATGGATATGACAATGTCGTATCAAGAGAACTTTTGTGCTGAGATTGGCTTTACAGATGCTGACTTAGAGATGCTGGATGCTTTCATCAGCACTTTGCCCTCGGACTTGTACAGTCTAGACACCTCAGAAGTTGAGCGAGATCAGGAGCCGAAACATTCTCTCGTACCATTACCTGCCGGTGAGACTGATACTGATGTCGAGCCAAGGCATGGGAATTTGCTACATATTCATCATCCACGAAACGTCAAGCCCGAGACGCGGGGGAAGCGCCGGCGTGCATCAACCGATCTGAAATCTGCTTCTAGAAATAGAATTCTCACAGCCCTTGTTCAATGGGGACCTAAAGAGATTACCAGAATCATTGAGGTCCTCCCTCCGGTTGATCCCTTGGATGGGCTCCTTCATTCCTATTTGAACGCACCTGTGGCCCATGCCAGGACGTTCATTCATGTGGCAACCTTCAACCCGAACGAAACACGACCAGACCTATTGCTCGCCATGTTAGCTTCTTCTTGCGCCCTTTCTACAGACGTAACTTTGAACAAACTTGGACGAGTCTTCCAGGAATGTGTTCTGGCATCCCTTCCCAAGCATGTGAGCGTCGAGTATTTGCTCTTGATATCATCGATCTGTACTGACAACCCCAACAGTTCGAAGCAGGAAACTCAACCACTCAAGACCTCGAGCTTGCTCAAGCCTTTCTTATTACCCTCGAAGTTGGGACTTGGAGTGGACATATGAGAACGACTGAGGCTGCCGAAAGTTTCTTCCAGCCCCTCTTGACAATGATAAGACGAACCGGCATGTTGAATTCTTCCGGCTACACCCAAACGTCTAAACGAGTCAAGAGTGACGAGTCACTCCAGGAGAAGTGGCTCGGATGGATTCATCTTGAGTCTTGGAAGCGACTCGTTTGCAGAATTTACAAACATGACACGAACAGCTCAATAGCTCTTCAAGTCAATCAGCTGATCTCGTATGCGGAGTTCTGTTTGCCCTTACCTGCATCTAGCGATATGTGGTCCGCCGCGACTGCCGAAGAATGGAACTCCCTTTTCCTTGCCCGCCAGCAAAACGGCTCTTCACAACAAGTAACATTGACCGATTATATAGAAGACGTCGATGGTACAAACGTCTCCGATGCTACGACGGACCTAAGCATTGTACGAGAGGTATTTCTATCCTTTGCGTGGGGTTTATCATGGGAGTATATTCAGCTGGTCAGGTTTCAGACCCAACGACCCAGCAAATGGAACCTCTCTATCATGAACTCACGATATAACGAGCTTAACGAAATTTTGAATCGATGCTACAAACGCGCTGATCCAGATGCGTTTGTCCAACTAGCTTCGGAGTTAAAGATAAATTGTATTTGTATGCATCTCCATTTATCTTTCCATGACATTCAGGCTTTCTTCAAGGCTTCTGAATCTTTACATGCCCGGAAAATCTACTTTCAACTTGTCCAATGGGCGAAAAGCGAGCATGCCAGAAAGTCCGTGTGTTATGCGGCACGGCTATTGCATATAGCCCGTCTTTCACCTAAAGGTACAATCCGAGGACCCTGCACAATCATGGTTTATCAAGCTGCCCTTACATTGATCGCATATGGCGTGGTCTGCATACCCCTCGAGGACGATCACAATCAGAAGATTGTGCAGATCTACAAATGTGAAGATATCAGCGTGCAGCAGTTCATACAATCTGGCTGCGGAGTACCAGCAATCGAGGGTAATATTCGACTTGGCGATAAGTCCTTCAACTCGACGGCGGTGTGTTTAACCGACCTAAATCGGGTGATAGAGGAAGTCTCAGAAATATTCAAAACCAACTACAGGCAAACCAAATATCCTCCTATTATTCATGAGGTCATGGGTTTGTTAGCTAAGGTTAAGATTAGTTTAGTGAATTTAAGGTGATATATTATAGCTTATACAAGATATTTTATAGATTTTCAGAAAACATAAAACCAGATCTGTGATTAGGTACTGGTACACCAACTTGCTTTTTCTGTCTCTCTTTTCCCCGTGATCAAACTTCAATGCAACCAACCCCAGATACCTCCGTTAAACCCGCACTATACTTCTCCGGAAGACTCGGAAATTTGAAGGTCAGAAATGTATTTTCCTTATTTTCCCCGCAAACTTTGAAAAACGACACCTAAAAGCATCACGGAGAATCAAACTCTAATCAATACGCCCTCATACCCCATATCCATGCCAAGCAACCATATGCAGCATTGAATCCATCGTTCAGTTTGTATATCATAAATCAATATCGATCCGTAGCTGCTTTCTATCCCATTAAGTAACCGTCTATATAATTCACAATAGTATCCCTTTGCTACACGCCCCTTAACCTATCAATCACAAAATCAGACAACATATCGAGACCATCTTCCTAGTGAATGCTCATCATCTGTATGTCAAGTCTTTCGTCCTGTTCCTTCGTTGCCTTGGCAATTGCAGCCCGTCCTAGCCGAACCAGCTCCAAGACAAAGTCGTTGACATCCTTCATATATGACGCCTCATGAGGAGTCAGACGCTGAACTGGAAGGCTATTGACGAGATCCGCGGCTGATTTTAGAAGTTCGAGATCTTGTTCTGCCCGTTCATCTAGCGGATGCATGAGGAGGTTGAAGAACAAAGTGATCATGGCGGCCGTGGGGTAAAAGACAATTATCCTAAGCAGAGTTAGCTGACTTACTAGTAAATAGAGGATGGTATTATAAGTTGCTTACCAGAATGCTTCACCAGCAAGTCCACACATGGCTGCTTTTAAATAAATAAGGGTAGAACGACTGGCTTCCAACGCAAGAGCCATGCTCGAATCGACGCCTGCTGCCCATTCCCCTCGATCGGGAGAATTCTCAGACTCAGGCTCCATACATCTTCCACTAGCACGATGGATTGTAGTCATCAGGTGATGATATTCGAGATGTAGAGTGATGTGCCGCATGCTACGTGGTAGATGCATCCCTGTAACAGCCACCTGGGACCCATCGGATATTGAAAGGGCAGGACGGAAATCAGGGGGAATGGATACCCTCCAATCCTCAAGTTCTTCATCAAGCTCTCGAATATTTTGGAGTAGTTGAGCGTGAGTCTTTTTGGCTGCTTGAGCCGAGTATAGTAGCCGATTAGTTCGTTCTTTAATATGACTTATGCGAGGGTCTCCTGGAAGGTGAGGCGTAAGACCCTGGTTGCCAGAGGCTATGGGGGAGAGACTCTCGGATAGATTGGGAAGATAGTTATAGCAGTCTAGATAGCCATCCGGAAGTGTAAGGTCGCAGTAGTCATCAGACATCAAAGGAGGTTGACCCGTTCGTAGAGAAATATCTTTGTCGAAGATATAACAAAGCCAGAAAAGCATTCGTAGTTGACGACGTTCTCTTTCAGAACGATTGATTGGAGACTTGCGAGATTTGACAGACATGTTTGTATGGCCACCGAGTGTATAGATCATGCGGCATGCGATGGCATGGAACATGGCAGCTGATCGTAATCGTCCGGAGAAAATTTCATGCATGTTCTAAGGTACTGTTTAGTATTGGTCAACAAATCAGCTATCGATCTCGACTCACTAGCATGAAAGTGACTTGAAGGTTGGTGATGCTTGCAACCTCAAGAACGTCTGTAAGTAGATATCGTGCCTTTGTGGCACACAAGTCGGTATCTATATATGGCAACTGGGCCAAAGATCCTTGAAATAGGGACATGATGGATGCAAAAGCAAGAACGCATACCTTGGCACTCAGTTGCTCAAGGGAGGTAGTTTCACCAGTATGTGGCTGGTATGCTAACTCGATTGTGTCTTTGAAAAGAATTCGATCGACGATCGGGAAGACCAAGGTGAAGGATGAGTTGACAAACATATCAAAAAGAGTCTCAACTATATCCCTGTCAGGAAGTGCATACAAGCCTTCTGGGTTATTGTAACAGTGAGCTGCAGAGGATGGAGCAGGGTTAGAAAAGTGTTGAGAGCCTGGCTCGAATAAGACCTCTTCATCAGTCTTTGAAGTGATCCATTGCTTTCCTTCTTCTGAGAGTAAGGGCATTCCATTGTGCTGGCTAAGCTGACCAAAGTGGCAGCCACCATAATGAATTTGACCGTATGAGACGGTAGTAGTGAAGCCACCGGCGGGGGATGGGATTTGAGATATGAAAGGTGATTCGTGGGATAATACTGGCGAGTCAAAGCTGGTATCGGAGCTCCTAAGAAAGGATGAAGAAGGCCTGTTGGATCCTGTGAGAGGATCCTTGACAGGTTCCCTGAGGGAAATATGCGTGTTCCTACGGCGGCCTGTGGCTACTGAACTTGGAGTTAACGACTTGGATGTACTGCTTTCAGCCTCGTTCTGACGAGAGATAGTCTTAGAGAGAGTATCTTCTATACGTCTCAGGCGTTCTGCAAGACTATGCTCCGATGTCTGCTTAGCTCTGCAGCCAGGTTAATGCAAGGCGATCCTTGGCTTGAGACGCCGCAGGGACTACTGACCTAGGCTTGGGTGGGCGTTTACGCCCCCTCACTCGGTTAAATGTACAATCTAGGCCGTGATGCTCACACCAGTTGCAGGGTGTCTTTGGACTTGTTGAATCGCATTGGATCTAGAGGAGATATGTTAGCCAACTAGATGATATAGTGATACACCTTTACAACGGCAGGTTGGCGGTATGAAGATCAGGACTGCCAAGAGATGAAGGTGATCGATAAGGGGGGCATGTGAGGGTCCCAAGATGGTGGAAGAGATGGGGCAAAGTGAGGGTCAGACCTATACGTACCTTTCTCTTGTGACAGGCATCACAGGCCCGTTTTTGGACCATGGCTGCTGAATCAGAGATGACATGCAAGCATGACGAGATGGTGAAAGAAAGGGAAAAGAGATTGCCTTAGTTCGGCCGGCGTTGGGATTGCTTTGCGATTAGGCTGAAGACTTCCACCAGCACAAACACAAACAACGGTCGGAGGATACAAATGTGGCAGACGGAGGAAATGACAATCAAACAGCTATTCAGTGTATTGGTATTCCTTTCTGGCTCAAAAGCCAAGATAAGGGACCAGATGCAGCTAAGGTGTCAAGATCTTGGCACTTTCTTCAGAGAATCTATGACAAAAGACTTGTGAAACCGGAAGTGTGAGGGTGTCCGACAGAGGATGGCTCGGAGGCTATTGTTGACCGATTCCAAAATTCCGATTACTCAGCGGCTGAACCTTATTTTTGGAAATGAGCAAACGGCAGCGTTAGACGTGATTGGAGAAGGTCAAACCTTGTACAGGGATACCACGTGAGGATCAAGGCCTAGGCGTCGAATAGCAAGGGTTTTGTCTAGCAATTGCTTTATCTAAGCGGAAGGTTGATGATTTCCTCAACTTCCGGCCCATATTTCTCGCCGGCAGATGCTTCCCCCTTGAATTAATACTTCTTTCAACCCAATGTCGCAGCACATCCTTAAATTGAGCCGTTGATCCGACATGCAGAGTCAAGGTCGGAAAGACGGCAATAAAATCATCGATTTGGAAACGGGATTTATCATCTATTCAGCCGGTCTGCGTCATATTCAACGGCGTTTTTCGCTGTTTTCACAAGCCCGTCTTGTATCGCATGTACGGATGGATAGCCAAGATCAAATGAGCACTTGATTTTCTATCTAAAGGAGCAACGAGAGTCGGTCTCTTATATTCATGTTCAGTCTGCCGATGCTCTAGGCAGCAGGATGCTGCCTTCGATTTAGGGTTCATGGCAACCGTGAAGTTATTCACGGTGGTCGTGAGCCTTGCCCTGACTGCACTCAACGGCGGTCGTGGATGTATCGGAGGAGTGTGCAAGAAAGATCCCATTGACTTCGCAGCTACTCAGTTTAATCTCGATGTTGGCAACAAGCTCTATGACTCTATCACCATATAAGGAGTTAGTCTTGCGGTATGTGCGATACCAGACGCATTACGAGAGCTTGATTTACTAACAACGCTTCACAGATTTACTACAACAACCTCATTGACTGCTCCATCAACGGCTCGCCCGACCTGGACCGCACCAACCTGCCGCTTGATTGTTCTCTCCCCCGTTGCTTCTTTAACCTCCCGGCATGCAATGCCTCGTTTGGTAGCTTCCATAAGACAGAGATCTACCTGCTTTCAGCTGTCCCCAGCCAGGCCCTTCACAACTTCCAACATGAGTCTTCGATAGTCTATAAAACTAGCTTAGACTTAAGCCTCAGTCTCTCACCATTCTTCATAAAATGCCACGGAATTGGGATCATTGCAATTGCAAGAAAGGCTAAGAGGCTGTTTCCCCAGCCCAAGCCAAGAGATTCATACATTCGAGGTCCGGCGAGAGGTAAAAATGCCGCAGTGACAGACCGCAGCACTGTGTGAGCGGCGAGGGCAGATGCTGCAGCTTCTGGGCCAAAGCAGTCGACTAGATAGATCATCGAGGGCATCTAATGATTTGTGTGAGTTGATAGAACGGCCTATGGTAGGCAGGAAAGCCATACGTGGGTGGACTTACCACGACGAAGATAAAGCCCATACCAACAAAAGCCGAGCCAATAATAGGCACAATCCAATGTGCCTTTTCATCGGTACTCCAGCCATACCAGAACATTCCTACAGGTATCGTCCAAGACAAGTAAGCCATCAACGGGATTCGATCCTCGGGCTTGGGCTCTCCACCTCTCTGTTCTGCACGTTTACGCATAATCTTGTCACTGAACTTGCCTTGGGCGATAAGGCCTCCAAGTGTGCCGACTCCCATACCAAGGTAGCAAAGGCCGGTAATGCCCATGTCGAAACCATATTGACCACTGAAGACATTTGAGCAGGGTGGCGATCAACGCAATCCACTCAACCTCAGCCTTCAATTGAGTGAGTTGACTGCTTAATAAGCATTTCCTCTGTTGAGTTGATCAACCCAGGTCCTATATTGAGTTGGTTGGTGTTGCGTTAATGGTTGACCAGCGCCCCATGCCGTGTAGTCCTACTTTCACCGCCAGGTTGAAATTGAAACCTAACGGCCAACGCAAGCCTACTCCCACCCTGTCTCCTCCTCCCGCATCTGCATTGGCAAATCCCTAAGCCATTCGCTTACCGACTTCTCCTCCACGGAGTCCTCGCCCATTGTATCATCCACTTTGTCCAACAGCATAGGATCAACTTCCTCCACAATGCCTGCCTGCAGCCATGACCGCAGCACCTGGCAAATAGCAATGGTACTTGCCTCCAGCTGATTCCGAAGAGGCGTCACCATGCGCCCTGTCGCCGAGAATAGTCTCTCGCACTCAGCGCTCATCGGCTGGACCGTCATAAAGTCCACCGCCATTCGCGACAGCCTAGGGTACTTGAACCGCTGCGCATGCCAATACTCGAGCGGATCCCGAACTACGTTATCCGTAGGTAACACATCCTTCTGCCACCTGGCATACTCGTCTTCTGCGTTATCAGAGTCCATTTCTTCGCAAGGACGTATCCGAGCTTCGTCCTTATATCGCTCAAAAGGAGAATAGTACTGTGTCCGCTGACGCTTCGCGGCTGGTTCGCCATTATCCTCCGTAGAAATTTCCAACGTCTTGTATCCTCTGTCCCAAACAGACTGTACCACATCTTTCGCCTTGGAAATCCACGCCGGACGTCCAGACCACACCGTCTCGAAATAACCCCAGCGATAAGCGGGGTGGAGTGCCAGCGAGGTGTAATATATCGGAGTCTCATCCAGTTTGTTGTAGTATTCGTCAAGCTTCTTCCAGCCGAGGTTAATGTTAACCTTGAAGTGCTCGGGTTCAGGATATTGATTGACCATGGCCTTGGCTTTCTCCAATTCGGCCAGCAGGAATTCATATCCCACGATCACGTCCCATACGTTGCCATAGGACTCAAAATATCCCTGCTTGCGTTTCCGTTGAATCCCGTCACCTTCAAGCGCCTTGACTGCGTCCTCGAAGCTCTGAAGGATATCCCCGAACGCCTCTAGAACGGCCCAGTCCTTGTCGCCGAGTTTATTCTCGTCACGACATATGGCAGGCATGATTGCGCTTGCCTTGAGCTGCTTTGACCGCTTCGACGTGTTGTCCTTTTCCCATTCCTGCTTGTGCTTCAAGACTAGTGTCTCGAGGTAAGGTCGAAGCTTCAAGGCGCGGCGGATCATGTACAGCTGCGATAGCCAGCGGGTTTCGTTGTCGACAACCACGTTGAGGGGCTTCCGAATTCTCACCCGAGGATCCTCGGATGCATCGAACTCCAGCCGTTGGATACTTTGGAGAAGTGTGGTGAGTAGATCAGATCGGTGGATCGCAACCACAAGATTATGGAGCTTGCCGACCGGACCTCTCTTTCGCCAAAGCTCATGCTCAGCCGTGGCTAAGAGGTCTCCATGCCCCAACCGGGACTCAAATGCGTCGGCATCCTTTCCAAAGAGAATGGCTTTAACCACAAGATTGATTACGTGCCCAAAGCAACGGCCCCGCCGTTCCTTGCCATGGAACTTGAATCTCTCCCCAATGATATCCATTGCAGTGTCGTTGTTTTGTGCGTTGTCAAGCGTGAAGTACCCAATTTTCTCCTCTGAGATCTCGTATGACTCGAGTATTTCGATGATCTCGTGTCCAATATTAGCCCCGAAGTGTCGAACTGTCAGCTCAGGCACTCCCAGAATGAGCTTGCGGGCCTTGCCATCCTCATTTCGAAAGAAGCAGGCAACACCATATAAAGCGTGCTTATTCCGCGATCTCCAGCCGTCGAACGAGATGTGTATCAACCCAGGTGCATTTCTCAATACCTCGATTACCTTCCCTTTGTGTTTTTCAAACTCGGCAACGGCACGCTTGCGAACCGTATCATGACCGACATGGGCATCCGTGCTCACGACGAAAGGGTTGAGGTACTCGAAAATGGCCCGCAACCTCTTATTTTCGGGTTCTCGGAAGGACAGGTTGCTCTCGACGATCCATTCGGCCACTAGACGCTGGAAGACATTCCTGTCAAAGCTCTTAATAAGGCGGTTTGCAATTGCTTGCTCTCGGGGCGCGTTAAGATCGAGGTTGAAGGCTTTTGTTATCGTCTGGTATCCTGTCGACGGTTTCTTTCGAGACGCTGGCGCAGACCGTTTTCCGGAGGGGTCTTGAATTTTGCGGTGGTCCCAGAGATGCCGTTTAGCGTTCTGGGTGCCAATGGCAACTACATTGCCGGGCTTCGGCCTGTTCCTTTCAATGCACAATCTGCAGACCCATCGCCGCTCCGAGTCCTTCTCGATGTCGAAGCCGTATTCCCACACCCATGATTTTGTATTTCTGCTTCGTTGAGACCACGTGTAGCCACGGAAGTGTCGGAACAATCGATCCTCGTCTCGTCGAGTGGCGCGAGCTTCGGCTGGTGTGGACGACTCGGGTGTTGATGGAGCCGGTGTTAAGGGGTCCGGTGTGAAAAGGGAAGCTGCTACGAAATTCATAGTCTCAAAATCTGAACTTTGTGACATATTAAAGCCGAAGAAATGAGACGCCAGAGAAGCAAGTCGTGAACGGGAGGTCAGACTGGTGCTGATGCAAGAGTTGGTGGACGAGCGAATCACTTATGGCGTGATTCGCATCTGACGCGTTGACGTGTCGAGCTAATGCCACGTTAAGGAGTGCTCTGCGGTACCTAGATTGAAAGAATAATTAAATGTGGTGAGAAGTATCTCCTAACAAACACTAACATCCAACCCACCTTGTGTTGAGCTACCCGGCACCGGATTCTGGGAACATCGCTACAATACCTAATCAACCTTGCCAACGCAACCAACTCAATATCGTGATAATATTGAGTTGGTTGATTAGTAAGAATAGGCTCCGTTGAGTTGGGTTGAGTTGATTGACATCAACCTGGTTGACAACCTCTTGATTGACGTTGCGTTGATCGCCACCCTGAGCTCTGCCGTCGACTCACTCGCCAGGAGATATTCTTGTGCTTCGTCGTTCTCGCGTGAAACCCTCTTGAAGAGCTCACACCTCTGAGGGGAAGATCTGATGAACTTGACAACATTGTGGAGCTTTCCCACCGGCCCTTTGTTTCTCCAGTGTCGTAAGCAGAGATGCTCATCAATCCATCAACGTCCATGGGGCCTTTCCGTGGATTGATTGAACTGCTTATTCAGCATTTCAACGGTTGATTGACTCAACGAAGGCCAGCCGTTGATTGTATTGATATTGATTGAAGTTCGTTGAACCCCCCTGCAGTATTATTACTCATTACCAACCACAGTATCACCGCCCTGCTCTCCTCCTTGTTCAAGTAGCTCGTGCAATAAGCCGCCATCTAACCAACTCGTCTATGAGCCCCGCTCGTAACCATGACCGTAGAGTTTGAATTAGCCCTATTGTGCTAGCATCTAAGCGGTTGCGAAGCGGAGTAACCATTAAGCCAACTGCCGAAAAGAGCCTCTCGCATTCGGCGCTCATTGCTCGCACGGTCATGACGTCCAAGGCCATACGGGATAACCGGGGGTACTCGGATTGCTTAGAGATCCAGTATTGGACCGAATCTGTAATATCCCCGTCTGCTGTACTTACATCTGACTGCCAGCAGTTGTATTCATCTACCAACGAAATCATTGGCAGAGGTATGGGTGACTGGCATCGTCGATGATCCTCGCGATATTTCTCGAAGGAAGAGAGCTTCGTCTTGCGCTTTTTGACAACATGGCCGTCATTAAGCGTAGCTCTGACCTCCAGGTTGCAATACTCCGTATTCCAAAGCGTCTGAACAAGATCCTTCGCCTCTTGAATCCAATCCGGATGGTCCTGACTCCAGGTATCGTCGAAATATGCCCAACGGACAGATGGGTGTAAAGTAGCAGCAGCATAATAGACAGGCGAATCCTTAAGAGTACGGTAATATTTGTCGAGCTTCATCCAGCCTAGGTTAACATTGAAACTGAACTGCTCTGGCTCAGGATACTGATGAATCAGGGCCTTTGCCTCTTCAAGTTTACCAAGCAGAAACTCGAAAGCTTCAAGCACATCAGCCCTAGATCCGAAGGTCTCGTCGACGCCAGTCGACCGCCTACAGGCCTGACCATCTCCCTGGGGGACTTGGACAACAACGTAAAAGTCGTGAAGCATACTCTGAAAGGCTCTGAGAACTGCCCAGTCGTTGTCGCCAAGGAGGCTCTTCTTCTCAAGGCAGGGTGGCAACTTGGCATCTCTCTCGCCTTTCCTCGCTTCTGGCAAAAGCCTCTTCGCCTTGATAATGAATTCGTCGTAGAATGGCTGCAACTTAAGTAACCGCCGGACCATGTAATATTGGGACAACCACCTTGTATCGTTGTCGAGATAGACATCCAGTGGACCCTGGCTCTGCATTTCTGGGTCTTCGGACGCTGCAAAATACTCCTGTTGCAACTACCTGAGCAGCTGGGTCAACATATCCGACCGATGAACCCAAACAACAAAGTTGTGAACTTTTCCGACTGGGCCCTTCTTCATCCACTCATCGTGCGCTACGCTGGCAACAATCTCTCCCTTAACGAGAGATTCTTCAAAGGTTTCGGCATCTTTTCCAAAGAGTAGAGCCTTGAGCCCTTGACAAGAGGTTGAGTATATGTCCCGTGCAACGGACCCGGCGCTGGACAGGATTAAAGCCGAGTTTTCGGCCAATAATCTCCATCGCTGTATGGTTGTTACCAGCGTTGTCAAGAGTGAAATAACCGAGCTTGTCCTTAATGCCAAACGAGCGAATGACGTCGAGTACCTCTGCCGCGATATTTTCTCCGGTATGGCGATTGATCAGTTCAGGAAGGCCAAGGACGATTTTCTGTGGCTCATTCTTGACGTTCCTGAACAATGCCGTGACTCCGTATAGCGTATGCCGGTTCTGCTCCTAGCACCGTCAAAGGCAACGTGAATCTGCCCAGGAGCTTCCTTCAGTATTCCCTCCACCCTCGTCTTGTGTTTCTCGAAGTGTTGAATTGCCAGCCACCGAACAATATGCCTCGAGATGTGGGCATCTATGACCTTTACAGCAGGGTTCAGATATTCTAAGATGTGCCGTAGGCGAGGGTTTTCGGCTTGTTGGAAAGACTGTTGACTGTCGACAATCCAGTTGACAACGAGCTTTTGGAAATGCTCTCGGTCAAAGCTTTTAATTAGGTTGTTAGCCAGGGACTGTTCCTTTGGGTCGTCCCGGCTGAGATTGAAGATATCTGTAATAGAAGAGAACATTCTCTTCCCTCCCTTCATCACAGAGGGTGCCGGATGTTTTCCTGACGGGCCCCAATGACCGTGGGACTTCCATAAGTGATGTTCTGCATTCTGTGTGCCTCTAGAATCGTAGGATTGCGGGTTGTTGATTCTTTGACAGATACAGGGCATACAAATCCATCGTCTCGTCGTCTCGGACTGGATCTCAATGCCGTATCCCCATACCCAAGACGAGGTATCTTTTGATCGTTCAGTTAGCATGAATCCTTGCCACCGTTTGAAGATGCGGGCTTCTTCCTCGGGGGTTGGATTCCAGTCAAATGGCATGGCAGGTTTGTTGTCGGTCGATAAGATAGAGTCAACAGGTATTTGGCTTGGGTGGTTCGCCATAATTAAAGCAATGACCGATAATTGTTACGAAAGAAAGCGTAGCAAGTAGGGGCTTTCTGACGCGACGCGATTCAAGTGATTCAGCCATTATTTTACTTGGTGTTAGTGCATGTTAACAATCACTTATGTTTTACTCGGGAGAAGATATCTGGATCTAACATTGCCAAACCTGGCAAGGGTCCCGTGTCTAGTGACAACGATCATCAACCAATATCCATCGACGAGAGGATTGTGTGGATTGATGGGTTATGTCAGCTAACCGGCCGTGGATTGATGTCAGTATATTGATCAACGCGTTGATCTGGTGGATTGATGAGCATCTCTGCCGCCCCCACTTGTTGGTAAGGGTATCTAGGGTAGCTGGTTACGTCGATAGTCTCGCAGGATAGGCAGTTAAAATTGTTGTAACAAGGAGAGGAGGGTCAAGCTGTTTCCAAATGGTCTACCTCCTGATAAACTGGGTATTTGTCTATTTGGAGTCTGCGCATCTAGTCATGCGTATGAGGAAAGCAAAATAAATCTGCTACGACCACGTCTAGGGCTTGGGAAATGGTAACAGCGGTAACCATATCGTGAGACACTACTGGCTTGATCCATGAAGACAAGAGAGAGGTGCCATTTACAAACTAAATTAACAGCAATATATCTGTGGTTCCCTCAACAAGCAGGCCAGCCTATCTGTTATCCCACAGTGAGCCATCAGTTCAAGAGCTTCCCTGAACCCCAGCAACCCTCTGAATCAGAAACTCGGGAGCCGCACCAGCAGCAGCACTCTGGTACATCAGATGTGGACCCGCAATGACCAACGAACCAGTGCACACCAGATCTCCAGCGTTGCAGAAGACCTTCGTCCTCTCAGCAGGATAGCTTGGGATCCTGCCGTTGTTCTGCTGGTTCTTGGTGTACCCGAACAGGACAGTGCCAGCAATCTTTTCACGGATGGCCGAGTCGACGTCTGTGATGCTTGCAGCAGCGAGAGCAGCACCTTGGCTGTATCCTCCAGCAATGAGAGTCGCATCGGGACACTTAGTATTGGCGGTGTTGAAAAGGCCAACCATCTCCCAGATGGCTGCAGTAGAAGTTCCTCGAGGAAGGGCATTGTCGCCGAGGGTAGCTCTGTAAGCACCACCGACACCCTGGATCCAGACACCAGACTTGCCGTACTTTGCTTCAAGCTTTGAAGCAATGCTTGGACCAAGAGTTCCCTAAAGTAAAATGTCAGTGGTGTCCTTTGCGTTCGAGTTGTGGCAGGAGGTACATACCAAGTTGCCGGTCTCAGTCGAGCCACGAGCGTAGATGAAGATGACGGGAGGGCAAGAAGCGCTGTTACCGTTGCTCAGATCATTGCGGGTGGAGCTGCCGCCGAACTGGCGAGCCTCAATGGCAGCGGCAGTATCTTGATCGGTGGGCAGGGCAGAGGCCGAGGCGGCGAGAAGAGCAGTGATGATGGTGAACTTCATGGTGATTGGCGGTACTGGAATCCAAGAAATGAGGAACTGGATGAGAATGAAACTGAGGGCTGATTCTTTCCATCATGTCGGCATTTGATCAGGTATTTATATTAAAAAACCAAGCATATATCATACGTCTTGTAAGTCTGAAGAATTAAACCTCGGCTCACTTAACCTGAGGTAAAAGCACCTCCACCGAAAGAAGGACATATCAATCAATGCATCACTGTCCAAGGCCCAATCAGCTTCACCGTCAATCTTTTTTTCCGCGAACAAGAGCCATCAAAGCTCCTCCTCTTCCTTTCCCCGAGTCATTCAGCCACATCTCACCAGTCTAAAGTTCTAGCCCCAGTTCGCTAAGTGACATCGAACTAGGAAATTTCGCCGCTGCCAAGCAACCACACCAAGTGATCAGCGAAACAGTAGGATGAAACGTTCCCCGCAATCAAAAGCCCCTATGACCACGTTTTTCCTAAAGTGGGTGCCGGTTTGATGGCTTAGTCCGAATCAGTTATGCTTTTTTAGACCTGAAACTGGGTATTGCAATCTCCATCTCTCACCGGGGATGGGGTCACACAAAAAAAACGCCGGACTAGCTCACCAAGATTCTACTAACCGGCCCAGATTAGATTGTCAATTGAATAACTATTGTATAAATAAATAAAAACAAAAGTTATACCAAGGAAAATCTCAGACTCTATTCTAGTAGACAGTGACTTTTTTATACTTTTTTTTGTCTACTTGTATTCCTATTTTTGCGCATCTGCTCTGGCATAAAGATCCAGAAATCTTTATTCCGGAGTTTCTTAGGACTCGAGGGGGCCTGACTGACCAACATGAAGTTGTAATGTAGGACCCGCACGGACAGTTACTGTATCTGATGCTTGACAAAACCGCAAGCTTTGACAATCTTTGACTAGCACCGCTTGATGGCAAGCCTCAAAAAGCACCGAGATTAAACTGCTGAAGCGGGTTATTTTCAGGTCTACAGGGGCCATACGGGGCGAGGTACGTATTCGAGCTTTGTGCCACCCAAATGGAGAACGACCAATCATTTACTAGGTCACTGGCTGCCATACCTCCGCTCCGCACCCCGCCCCACATGTCCCTGTCATGACCAAGGTACGAGCAGGGAACCTCAATGTGCCCTCAACGTAATACCTGAGAAGGGCAGTTAAGGCCATCACAATACAAGGCTTGATGCAGAGATGCTCCTACTCGATGGAGTTCGGCAAATCCAGGTGGCGTATTGGAAAGTTTATCGTGATAAGAGGATTTATCTCCTGGGAAACGGGTTAGCTGAATTCTCCCCACCCTCTTGAATAAATTAAGGTACTCTATATTGAATAAGAAACAGGGATGGTTTTGGCGGATTATGGGGGTGGTGGGCATCGAATGGCATCGGATCCGATGTGATCCAATTTGGATAGAGACTCAATGCTACCGTAGGTTCAGGACGGGGCGGATCGTCCGATTCATGTCACTTGAGTCACGTCTGCCTGCAAGCAGGTTCGGTTACGGAGAGCAACTATTGGTATCCGACATACTCCGTACCCTAATCATGATGTTCTAAATAAGGGGCTCCCAAGTTGTGCTGCAAACAGCTTAGCCTATCAGATCAGGACGAAGTTGCTGAGTGCCAGCTCCTTTGACGTAATTATCCCTGAACGAGGACAAAGACGATCAATTTCGTCATCCCAAGACGCGGTTCATCTGGCAACGATGAATTGACTCGAGACCCACATTTGGGCGCTCAAACAAGGCGCAGAAGCTCACCGGATCCGATATCTGCCAACAGAGGACCGGAGCCGAGGAAAGGTCGCACAAGTACATGGTGACAACTCGGATTTGTAGTTTACCATCTACAGTAGGGTGCAAGATGTTAGATTTTACCAACTACACCACACGCCACAAAAATGGGAATCCCCACTTAGAGCAATGCATGAGTGGTTTATATCTGACACAAGACCGTTCGAATCCAAACTGAAGTATCAGGCTGTTCTGGCCTTAGACGATGATCTAGCCCTATTGAGTTTACATTCAGTCTAAATAAGCAGCTGACTAGTTTTCTAAAGCTTAGATTCCGCGATTATGTTCCCAGACGACCGGGCTAGTCAGGCGGCGGGAACTTGCGCTTGGCTTCAAACTTCTTGCGTCCCACCGTATCCTGCAATTAGACCATCCTAGCTAAGATGGTTGTCGCAGGGTAGGCATGATCTTCACGGCCTCAGGGAACAACGGTATTAGTAATCTAGCTATATGCTTTAAGTAACTCTGCGGGATGGAATACCCCGCACAAGCGACAACAAAAGAACAATCAATCAACACATTTGCTGCTGCTCAACACATTTACTTTAACCCTTAAAGCACGCTCAGTGCGTCAATGGTCTAGCTTGTTCCTAGTTCACACCTACGTGGCTTCTATAATGTTCACACAACACACGTCTGCCACGTGGCTCGTATTAGCCGGTAGGCGGCCGAGTAGAGACAATTCTAGCGTCTAATTCTCGTATCAGACGCAAAGAAGGTCCAACGAAAATTCGGCGGCAAGAACCATGGATGTCTGCTCTCATTTTGATGGGTGCTAGCCCCTTTCCCCGCAATCCACTAATGCACAAGAACATCCACTTACACGTGGCTCCGAGCCGAAAAACTCCTTGCTAACATAATCTGGTCAGCCGATACTTCCCGGAGCATCCCCGTGGAATGACGTGGGGAAAGATCCATACAGGAAAAGAACTGACGGCGTAAGAGTCACCGTCGTCTCTAAATTGAGGGACTATACGCTAGGTAGCTAATTTGTCTCTGGTATTATATGGTATAATGCATAAAAGCCTAGTTAGCTGTGTGTTCCGTGCATTTATGCATGACTATTACCCCTGAACACGATTGAACAATACCACCAAAGTCTACCAAAATGGTACCACGGGATCTATCTAGCCTCAAGAGAAGCGATCTCTTTCGACAGAAAGGGTTCATTACAGGAACTTGGGTTGCTCCTCTTGGTGGTTTTACATTCGACGTCCGTAACCCGGCCACGCTGGACATCGTCGCGACACTCCCAAACACGAATGGAGCAGGTACTGAGAAAGCCAATGAATCCGCTCAATAGACTTTCAAGTCGTACAAGTAAACCCCGGCATGACAGCGGGCACGTTGGCTCCGGCGCTGGAGTGACCTCTGCCTGGAGAACATCGACGACCTGGCACTTACCATGCAGTACCCACCTGCCGGTCATACCCACCTACCGGTCAGCGAAAAAAAAAATCCCCCATACATAATGCACTTTTTTAACCTCATGGGAAAACCGTAATAAAAATAGTAAAAATAAGTTTATCTCTAGAATTCAGATCAAAATTGAATCTATTTTAATATTTTCTAGGCCTTTTAACCTCTCGGCCTGTGCGGGTGCGTACGACACCTAATTCTTCCTTCCCTGAATTTGACCTCTCATCTTCTTCCATCCCTCCCACCTCGATCACATCCTCAATAACATCCACCTCTTCAATTGCTTCGTTTGGCTCTGAAATGGTGTCACTAGTCGCTAGAGCCTCTGCTAGCGTCATAAATTTCTTAATGGGGTTCGGTATCGCCTTTCTCTTCTTGCCTCTACTCAACCGGCCGACTTCCTCCTCTAAACTGGCCACTCTTGAGCTTAGGGACGCGATCTTTGACTCTTGTGCTTCAAATCCTTTTGATATCACAGAATACCTCCTTCTGGTAGAGGGGCTCTTGTTCTTCCCCAGGTCTCTGATGTGACGGCTGGTCTTTGGCGTATTATCAGAGTCGACTTGCCCGTCTCTGTGGCCGTCTGATCCAGGCGTCGTTTCCTTCTTGTCTGGTTGGATTTCGGCATGTATGAGCGCTTTCCGTCGTGAAATCGGCCAGTTCCCAGTTACTCTCCAGCCTGAAAGGATGTTTTTCTTCGTCATACCCACTTCCCTGGCTTTGGCATAGGCCTTAATGAAGTTGACCTTATCCACGGGCGCAGAATCCGTCAGGCTTGCCAGTTTTTGGAGCTCTTTTCGATATGCAGCCTTGGATGCGTTGAAAACACCATTATCCAGTGGCTGTAGGCCATGAGAGCAATGTGCAGGCAGGTAACAGCAATACACGTTATTCAAAAAACACGTGGCCATCCACTCATCCTGGATTTTCAGTCAGCGGTATTTCTGATCGAGAACAGGTAGACACCCACAGATACATGGCTCCCATGGCCATCTAATATGATGAGCCTTGCATCAGACTCATCTGCTGGCTGGGTTTGGGGCAGATAAACCTCTTTGAGCCACTCGAGCGCGATATGGTTGTCTGTCCAGCCGTTATCGGACGTGATATAATACCAGTCGGCGATCTTGTTAAACTCATCAATGAACCACTGCTTCTGAAGTTCTTTGCCCTTGAAGATAATTCCCGGCTTTAGAAGACGGCCATCTGCAGTGACGGCTTCGATAAAACTAGTCCAAGTGCGGGACTGCGAGCCTTTGAGGAAGGCCTTCCTCCTGGAATCGCTACTGCCAATTACCAAGGAATCCAAACCTAGATTTGCAATTTATCGGTAAGTCTTGTATCAGAAGTGGTCAGTACTCACCAAATCCAGCCATGATACCGCCCTCGTCAACATTAACCGTGTTCTCAGGCTTGATCCAGCCATATTCGCTCTCCCGGATATCAAAGTACCAATTGACGGCCATCGGGGTAAAAGAATTAAACCTTGCAGCTTCCTGGCGTTTTCCTACCTTCGTATTGATCTCTGGATGGCGTTTAATAAACCTGGCTAGCCAGTGTACACCGATAGGCCTTTCCCGGCCCTGCTGTCTCAACAGGGCAGCTACCGTGGCGCGAACTTGACTGTGGGAAGGAGCATAGCCCAATGCCTCTTGTCGAAGTATCCATGTAACTAATCTAGCCTCTTGGGATTTGTATAACAACTGGGCAGGTTGGGTGGCCTCGGACTTTGACGGTAGGCCTCTTAGTCGGTCAGACAGAGTGGTTTGGGGCATTCCATGCTTCTGGGCGGCCTGGTGCTGCGAGAGGTGATTATCTGTAACATCCAGTATAGCTTCAATGACATCATTCTCTGTATAAGGCTGTTGAGGCATTTTCAAGGCGATTAAAGGAAGCTGCTATAGATAAAAGTTTGATGAAATTTTGGGGAGGCTGGGTGATGAAGGAGACATTTGAGAAATTTTACACTAGTGTCATGCGACCAAACTGCTTGTGTAAAATACAAATGAATATGCCAATATGAAACAGCATGAAACTCTCAGTAAGACACAATCTGTTCCATGTAAATAACTTCAATTTTGGCCAAGGACTGTGCAAGTGAAGTTTGACATTTTGTATGGGGAATTCTTTTTTTCGCTGACCGGTAGGTGGGTATGACCGGCAGGTGGGTACTGCATGGTATCCTGACTCTCGAAAACGGCAAGGCCATCGCCAAGGCGCGCGGCGAAGTAACTTATTCCGCCTCCTTGCTGGAAATGGTTTGCCGGCGAAATAGAACGCATGCACGGCGAAGTTGTCCCCGCCGCAAACACCTCGCAGCGCATTCTGACCATTCAAGAACCGCTGGGAGTCGCCGCGTGCCTTGCTCCCTGAAATTTCCCCATAGCCATGATAACCCGCAAAGTCGGTGCTGCACTAGCTGCTGGATGCACAACCGTCTGGAAGCCAGCCGGGGAGACACCACTGAGCGCCATCGCACAGGCAGTGTTGGCATAACAGGTTGTCTTCCCCGTAGGAGTCATCAATGTAGCTACCACACTGGACAAGATTGCCGAGGTCGGAGAGGCGATGTACAAACCCAGACTCGTGCATAAACTCAGCTTTACAGGATCCACCAGTGTCGGAAACCTTCTCGCCCAGCAACGTGCCAGCAGCTTAACGAAGCTGACTCTGGAGCTGGGCGGCAATAGCCCCTTTATCGTCTTCGATGGTGCCAAGCTCGGGACCGCAGTGGAAGCGTGCATGCAGGCTAAGACACGAAACGCCGGCTAGACTTGTGCATCTGCGAACCGTATCCTTGTCCAGGATGGCATCTATGACTTTTTCACCGAGGCTCTGGCCAAGCAGGTTAAGGACATAAAGGTAGGATTGGGCACTGCGGAGGTTATGTCAATTGGGCCCCTGGTGCATTAATGTGCGGTTCAGAAGGTTCGGCATCTCATCAATGGTACGTCGCTACTAGCTATGTGTGTCTTTACAATGGAGTTACGAATGGCTTCACTCTGGTATCGGTATTCTTCAACATCTGTTAACGCCGTGATGCTCACAGATGCCAAATTTCGCGGTGCTTTGGTCCTGCTTGGTGGCGAGCCTTGCCATCCAGGTGGTCTTCCAGGGTATTTCTTTCAACGCACTGTTTTGAGCAATGTATCCACAGACTCATTGATCACCCACGAAGAGGCATTCGCTCCAGTATTCGCCCTCTATCGGTTCCAGACCGAAGAGGAGGCAATTGAAATCGCCAATGACTGTGATGTCAGACTGGGCAGCTATCTAATGACCGAAAGCGTGGCACGTATTTGGAGAGTCGCCGAGAGCCTCGAGGTCGGCATGGTTGCTGTCAACCAAGAGTCAGCGAGTGTCCGCGAGATCCCGTTCGGAGGGGAGTGAAGACAAGTAATCCCCTGCTTACGGCAATACCAGAGCCGGCAACGTATACTTAGGTGTCAAGGATCAGGGTATGGACGTGAAGGTGGACGGCGAGGAATTGACGAGTATCTTACAATCGAGAGTATCCTGATTATGCGGCAGACTAACTGGCACATGCATGAATGGAGTACTGGTCTTGTAGATCCGTATTTTATTGATTATCTATAACTTGGTTCATGAGGCAATTGGCTCTGAATCGTGGATTCAACGGTAGTTCAGCATTGTTGACCACACGGTACCGGTAGGTTGACAATGAATTGGCCCCACCTCTAAAGAGGTGGCGCAGAAACCCGTAACTTCATCGAAACCGTAACTATATGCAGTTAAAGCTATACTAAGGTAAATAATACACCATTAGATAGCTAGACGTCTAAGTCTATCACAGTATCAGTCTCATTCAATTTCCCCCACTAATCGTGGCGCTGCGCGTCTATCTTTTCTAGCCCCCGGTCCACCTCCACCACGTCGGCACAGGGACTTCTGTCCTGGCCACCCACATGAAGAGCTTGTTAACCACAAATTAAAACACAGTATCGCCAGTTCCTTATAAGAATAGATAAGATTACAAATATATACTCATTTAAATAAGCGCGTTTAAGTGATATAAGTTCCATAGAGATTGAACATGAATTGGCCGTATGAGTATAGAACATATGCCTAGGTCACATAGAAAGTGCTCTGTTTTAGTATTACCCAAATCCTCAACAAATTGGCGCTAGGCACACTTGTAAGCCGCTGTGACCACCGTAGAGACATTTAATCCTAGACTTCTTATAATCAGTAAATAGAGAGTTCCCTAGAACTCAGACCATATATACATCTTTATACAAAGTAGGGTTTGCAGGGCGCTGAGCCGCGATTTCCTATATCATCTATTAATACGGCGTAGGCTAAGGAAAAATCCCTATACGGAAGTCGCAGAAGTGGACTGGGGGTAAGAAGTAATTGCCACACAAAACCAACAAAATGTATAGAGATCAATTGAAACCAGTATCACTAGTTTATTCAATCAAGAGCTATCTAATGATATGTATTTAATGATACTAAGCCATCATTTGGCTATGCTAACTTACGGCAAAATTGTGCGGGCGGGTGATGGTTTCGACAAAGTTACGGGTCATGACACCTCTCCAGAGGAGAGGGGATCGGCGTGACTGCTCAGACCCGCGTGTACTTTTGTTCTTGCATATTAAACTGTTCTCGCCCCAAATAACGTCCCTCTATACCAGTTATATCTCCACGTAGCTAGGTGTCATGCCGTACATGTTGTTTATATTGCGCAGTAGTGCTGAGTGAAAATATTGATTGAACTTAATTGTTGATCATTGAGATGATAGTTCTTCTCGGGTTTATATCTCTAAATGGTTTCATCTAGGACTTTGAACTCTAATTCTAGGAATTTCAGGCTGTCAGTTTGAATCCTGAAGGGAAGGGGGATATCCGGATTTTCCAACAGTTCAGGTACCCTACCCATATCATGTCCCATGCTCGCGCAGAATTTGTTGCTAAGTAGCGAGTCATATGCCAGGTTTTGCCCGAGACGTTACCTCGCCTCTCCCCCAGGAAGTTATAACCCAGGCCCATGCTATGCTATGCTACAATGCTTCATGCAATACCGAGCAAATTCACGGTCCGCCACGATCTTCGTCTATGCGCACACACATATATAATATACATTGTACATGTCTGATGATGACGACTGCGAGAAAAATTTGGACTAGAACCCTTATTGACACTCCGTCGCTCAACCCTTTACTCACGTCCCCCATGATGGCCAACATTGAAGACCAGATCAACCATGGAGCCATAGCAGCCTACGTCTCCAATGTTTCGCCCAAGGCACCAGATTCCACGTCCTCGAAGTAGGCTGGCTGGAATACGACGAAGGATACATCCTCCTTGGCGGAAACTCTAGTGTCAAGAGCACCCAAGGCCTTTCCTCCGTCAACAAACGGCGAGAATTATCCATGTACTGTATACTGATCGACCATTTGCAAGAGGGTCTCATACTCTCGGAAACGGGCTGCGGAAAGGGCTATCCTCAGGTTTGGGGTCCTGGTCTGTCGGACGTCTTCGCACGTGTGCGCTATGAACCGCAGCACGAGCTCCGAGCGGCCATCGCGGCGACGGGCCATAATGTTGAAGACGTTAAAAATGTAATCATAGGGCACTTACACCTGGATCATGCGGAGGGGGGGTTGGGGGTTAGGGGTTGGACGAATTCTTGGACCGAAAAGATGTCGAGATTTGGGTACATGATAAGGAGCTTCGGTCTGCGTTTTGGACGGTAGCGAAGGGGGCTGATGTCGGTGTCTACCTGGAGAATTACCTCAACTTAGGCCTGTATGCTCTCCATTTCATATCGAAGTACTACAAAATTGTGCTTGAAACGCTGACATTGCCCAAAAACTGGAAGACTTTTGATGAGCAGACCTGTTGAATGTTGGAGGGTTCACCCTCAACTTCAGGATTAAGGTTCAGGATTAAAGTTTGCAGTCCTAAACTTAGATCGTAGGACTTTCATCTAGGATTTTCTAGGACTCAAGTCCTAAAAAGAACCAGTCGAAGATATAAGGTCTCAATGGTCCCCCGATTGCGACAGGATCAAGGAATACACACGATTCACCTTAATATCTGACAAGACCTTTGACTTTTGTCGGGGCATTTAATCGAGGGGCCGTGAATTCCTCTCTGTCCCATCTCGTGTCGAAATGCTACTTCGTTGATAATTTCAGGACGATGCCAATCATGCCAGGCTGATGTGAGGCACTGTGGATGAAATTATGTTATTGATTGAGTAGCCAATGCAATATATAATTAATAATGGACAGGGGGTATCGGCGACTTGCTCTCTTCTCATTTGCAAAGCCATCATGGCAGTAGGGCATGTAGCCCACATAAACTCCTTTTGAGTATTAGGGGTTTTATGGTTTTATTGGTGACAGGTGTAAACCGCGTCATGCCATGCTAGGCTAGGATAACCAAAAAAGAGATGGTGCTTAATCCCACCCAGGTGCTTTACATCTTTCGTCTCCTTTCTACTTCTCTTTTAATCCTTCGTTACTATTCATCCCCCAACGATGGGTTGCGTTCTTTCACTTGTATCATGCTCCGTTGTCCTTCCTGCTGATGTTCTATATTCCTTTTTAGCTAAGTAAACTAGAATGTGAGAAAGAGGAAGATACAGTTGCTTACGGAGAGGTCCTGGTGATTCGGCAATTCCTCGTCTGGAGCTTTTGAGAAGAACTTCGTCCTCACAGCCTGGACAGATTTTGAGCTCTGAGGCAGAAGACTCAAGGTGCGTTCCAAGGTTGACAATAAACTCTGGTACGATTCCAAGGCTATTTTCCCAACACTATAGTCTCGGTCAATGGCCTTGCGCATGAGAGCCACGCCGGCCACAACGTGATGTGGATAGGGGTCAATAGATACAAGAGGACCAGTTATGATGGGTTCATTGCCGCCGGTTATCGAAGGGCTGGGATGGTTGGACGTTGAATCAGGCATAGGACTTATCGTGTAGGTGTTGTGCAGACCAAATGCCAGAGCGTTCATGACTGTAGTTTCCGCATCGGCGCTCTCCACTGCAAAGCTTGCAAGCAGATCGTAACGATTTGTGGCGTCGATGAAATCCACAAACATCAAAATGCTCAAGTGGTAGTGCAGCATCAATGAGTCTTACTGGTATTATTACAAGAGCTTGTTGCATGGCTTGAAGGGGATACTTACACCAGCGAAGCTTCGTCTTCTGACCGAGGAACGGCATGCGTTTTTGGCACATGTCGAGACGGGGGCGATATATGGTGTTGAAGTGCCTAACTGAGTCAACAACTAGGTCATATGCCTTTTGAACATCTGACTCGTCATGGCCGTCTCTAAGAGCCTCTTTAAAGATTGCCGTTAGTTTCCAGCCTAGCAGCTTCCAAGACGCTCCCGCAGCGATGATTTGATTCGCTCGTTCGTCTGTCATCTCGAAACTGCTCAGACCCCAGTATTTGGCTGTCTCGTCGAACATGTTAGAGGTAGTTCTCACAAGACGCCACGGTAATTCAGCTTCGAAGCCAAACAGGCCGGATGAGAGCAGGGAGCGGCAATTGAGTGTTAAGGATGCCGAAGTATCGAATGTCAGGGCTGCCCAGTACGCCATGCTTTCCGCATTGATGAAGCTGGAGGTTCCAATCGACTCTGGAGTTGTACAAATAGCCTGGACTTCCATTGTGGGTGATGGAGACACCTTTGACCCACTGAACTGCAAGTTCCGTTGCCTGGCTCGAAGAGTCTGTATTTGTTGCAGAGCTGCGTGGACGCAAGACTGCCCCGATATTCCATCAGACTCCTCCTCTTCAGATATGCCATATGGTATTGGCGTTAGCGCGAAGAGGAAAAGCGATATCATCGACCGATAAGAAGGCCGGTTAGTGACTTTCAGCATGTCTCGCCGCGCGTGTCGCCAGAGTGCCTGGGTGATGTCCAAATGGGCGCGTCTTGAAGGAGAAGGTTGGGCAGTAAGGTCAAGCCACCTCGCAGAATAAGAAGCGACGCTGCTTCGAAGAGATTGTTGAATCTGTCGATCTGTTTCGCTTTCTTGTTGGTCCAAGTTCTGCCTGTCGGAATATTCTGCCATCCATCGATCCAACTGGCAGCAGAGGTCAGAGACGCTGACATATTTTTCGGCAGAACTATCGTGTCCAAACCTGCGTGTAGTTGTGTTAGTGTTTTGGGCTAGAGAGTCAACTCTTGGGGAATATACACAAATGGGTTGCTGTATCTGCCCATCCAAGACCCAAAGACGGCTTCAAACCCTTCTATATAGAAGGCAGACAGCCATTTGGACTCCAACTCGCTCAAGCAGATAGTGCTAGAAGAAGGAATCAGTGTATATGATGGCGATACAACATTATGCTGCACAGAACCAAGGGCAGGAGAAGGGATGGTGGGATTTAGAATGCCCTGAACAACAAGAGAAGGTGCATTCCAGTCTACCCCAGAGATCAGCAGGTTTCTTTCCGCTGAAGCATCCACGTGCTTAACGTCCGAAGAAAACGGTGACTCACGCCCAGTACGAACCGTTTCTCGCCTGCGCCCCATGCTTTCCACAGGGAAGGATGCTCCTCTAGCATCTTGCATCCACTTCTCGGGAAGGCGAAGTTAGCTGAAGTCGACCTCCCGCCAGTCGCTGTGATCTACCTTGAAAGTGCATTGCCGGAGACTTTTCTGACAGCGGGTACAGGAAACTGGGGAATCACCGGCTTCGCTGCGGCGGCGCGCAGAGTCACAAGCAACGCGAGATCTGCGACATTCATCACAGCTGGAGAACTGGGTTCGACGGGTGACGAGGTCGCCTCGACCTTGCATGATGAGGCCTTAATTCAGAACGTCTGAACTGAGTGCAGTCAAAGAATAGGCAAGGACAAGGTCGAGAACTAATGATATTGAGCTGAGTCTATAGGCTCTCACTGATCTGTATCCTGGATGGATGTAGATTGAATGTCTCCCTGTGGAGTTTTGCCTTCGGATCTGGTTCTCCTTTTGTAATTGGGAATCGAAGCCCATAATTTCACACCAAGGAAGTGCGGGGGTAACGCAGATAGCTTGGCTGGGGTAAGATCTGTCGTCGGGAAGGCCGCCTGCTTCATGACATTGGCTTTGCGAACTGAAGGGCATTGAGTGTCAAATCCAACGAGCCCATTTCTTGATTATGATGTTTTCTCTTAACTTTGTGACTTCTAGTGGCATCGGCTAGCCACATTGAGGTTCTCCGGGATCTGGTGTCGTCTTGTTGCCAAACAAACGCCATAATGCCACCTACTGAACAAGGTAACCAGTCCTTTCTACATGGGGTGCTGTAGCCAGCCTAGCCAACGGGTTGATCAGCACTACATGCTTTGATGTTGTCAAGAGAGGCGTTATCCGCGTACCGGTTCGGAACCGGCTGCCTTATTGGCTGCACGTTATGTTACAGCGAGGTATCCATAATCTCACTAGTAATCCCAATGCCACGTGGCGCAATGTGACGCTAAAACCCACGTGTGAATGGGTCCAGATTCAGCCATGGTGTCGCGGTGAGGCTCAAACGGCAGGTCACTACCTACTGTACAGATATGCACTTAAGGCATTTATGCATCCTTCATGTAACGGAGTAATAATGCGGTAATAAAACTCCAGGCCGCTATATGGGGATAAGTTGCGGGGTAAAGCTGAAAACAACCTACCTCCATACCAGTACCATGATCCTTGTAGCGTTGCAAAAGTGCTGATCTTCGCTGCAGCCACAGGCACACGTTTGTTAGAACTGTCGGAACATCTCGGGTCTTACAACCGTATGGCGCGGGCTGCTATTTGCGCCCTGCGCCAACTCGATTCATGCAACATGTCTGTAACTTCTTGTGGCAGTAGGCCAGCTGGTGACATCTGTAATTCTGTATATATACTATGTGATGGGTATTGTTAAGTGTTGGTTTTCGCAGAGCCATGCCCCACCTGCCCACCCTCTCCGCCTGCTCTAGAACCCAACGTTCTCACGGCAGCTCTTTAGACAATTAAAATAATGCCTCTAAGAGAGAAGACATTGTTTCAACTCCAGTAATGGTCAATACGGCCGAGAGTGCCTTCAGGTCTCCTGAGAACATCAGGGAGAAATGTCTTTCCCCATGCCCTCGGAAATCCAAGTCCGATTAGTTTGCAATACCATCCACAACCCCTCTTTCGCCACCACCCCTCTTTCGCCAGGCAAAATAAAAAAAGTTCCACCAAAACTCATCAAGTTCACTTACACGAAAGTCAGCCTAAATATATAGCTACTCAAGAGAAATTACCTCTATTGATCATAAAAATGATTGGATGTGATGATTCTGACCTTATAAGGCTGTGCGGGGTACGTGATCTATGCGTGCTGTGCTATGGAAATGTCGTTAGTTTGATCACCAAATTCCTCACCGCTCTTTGCCTTGTATTTTGGTCTTTGTCTTTGACAACGACATGAAAATGCCTAGGTAAGACTTCCATGGAAATACACAGAGGACAACATGGCAGAGGCCATATTGGATGTTACTGACAATGGCTTTTCGCCCCCTCAAGCCGCTCATAGACGGGGAGTGCCCCGAAGGACTCTAATCGACAGACTTCACGGCCGCGGGGCCGTGAAAGAGCAGATCCACCCTCATCGACGGTTGTCCAAGAGACAAGTGGATAGGCTCGCTTTCTGGATACTCCGTCAGGAGTCTTTGGGCTATGCTCCGTCCCACAGTCAGATCCGCGCTTGCGTCATGGGCCTGCTGAGACAGCAGGGCGAACATCCCGACTTGGGACGTAACTGGGTGACCAAGTTTATCAATCGCCGCGCAGACCTAAAGACCAAGATAGGTAGACGTCAAGAAGCCAAGAGATTTGACTCTTTCACACCTAGAGCGGTTCATTGGTACTTTGATATCAGGGAGGGCCAATATGGTTGGATCAAGCCTGAAAACACCGTCAACGTTGATGAAGGCGGTATTATGACTGGTTTCGGCAAGAATATGCCTCTATTCGTTGTCAATTCTTGAATTCTGGCCGACTAACCCTCTGGATTCAGGTCTAGATAGCCTGGTCGTTGGAAGCGCGGACCCGAAGCGCAAGGCGTTTCTCAAAGGACCACAAACTCGAAATTGGACTTCATTCATCGAAGCTGTCACTGCTGACGGCCGCGCTTTAGTTCCTGGCATAATCTTCAAGGGAAAAGAACTGCAGAAACAATGGTTTCTTGAGGAGTTCAAGCAGATAGCAGACTGGTATTACATAACATCGCCCAACCTGTGGACTGATGACCACATAGGCATCGAATGGCTTGAAAGAGTTTATCTGCCCCAGACTACACCTGCTGACGAGTCAGACGCTAGACTGATCATTTTAGATGGTCATGGAAGCCATGCAACAGTATGTTCTCCATTTTCCCCACCTCAGGTAACATCTTGAAGCCATTGAAGTAAAGAGTCCTGACTCGTTCTCAGTGATGGGGCTTCTTGTAGAGCCGCATGCACACAAGCTTGCCCCGATATGCCATCAGTCTCCTATCTTTCGAGATATGAGCTGGGATAGGCGTTAAGGAGAAAAGGAACAACAATAACGTGGACCAGTAGCAGGAAATTTGAGCCATTTTAGGTTATGGTTAGTTTACAAGAGTTAGGATTTCTTTTTTCCGAAATTCATGTTCAAGGTGCAAATCCAACTTGATCCACTCTCTTATCATATACGTTATCTTTTCAGAAACCACACAACTATCCCGCAGCCAGCGTACTATATGCTTATATCCCAATCTCTAATTACAAGGCGATTTATACCATGTGGACATTATCTAATATCGTTCGCCATGAGCAGAAATGACATATCCATATACTATCGAAGTGGCTCGTGGATTATGGGGCAGCTCCGAAAATTCTCAATCTGGCCTGGAATTCCTATGCAAACGGAACGCGCAGATTCTCCCTCCCTTAGCCATATCCCAAACATAAGTGGAGCTTATTAAAAACGGGCAAGTTAGCAGTGGAAGCAAGAAGTATGCTTAGGACTTGCTCTGTGAGATATCTCTTACTACTTACGTCACCACTAGCCTGTGTAACCACTAGTGATCTTATTGACTTGGTTGACCATGGCAGCAACTTGAGCACCTATAATATTGCGATACCAATTAGCCCTGCTGAACTATTAATTGGTAGAAAAAATTAGATAACGCACCTCCTCTCTGATCAGCATTTGATCCATACCAGCCCATCCAGTCAAAGCAAGCATTAGAGTTAGACAGCATAGTCCCACCCCATATGGAATGAACAGTGTGGTCCACCTTTGCCTGTGGATAGAGGATGATGATTTTGTTCGCATCTGTAGCAAGGTTACACCGTTCAGTAAATGCACGACCATATCTTATAAGGAAATGTTGGGTTCGTACCTGCCCACTTGTTATAGCCAGTATTATCGATGAACTTAGATCCGATATGGCCGTAGCTCTGCTGGCATCCATGCAGGGCTACATGTAGCTTACATACAGTGGAACCGTCTTGACACACCTGGGGCACATACAGATACCCAGTAGTGTCCATTCCGGAGGCCCCCTTCGTGCCGGTCTGCGCGAAAGACACGAGGGTGCCAGATAGTGCACGGTTGGTTCGAGGATTAAGAGCGCCATACATCCACTTTAAAACATCACCTGCACCATCATAACCGCAGTTGCTGATGTAAGGGGAAGCAGCCCGGCCACAATTGGTGTTGCCAGTCGCGCTAAAATCGGTAGGGAAAACGTGAGCAGCTCCATTAGTCGTCACGAATGAGACCTTGGACTGGCCAACAAAGTTGGCCAGCTGCGCTTTCAACTGATTTAATGGTTTTGGCCCCACGGTGGTGTCTGCCGATCCGACCTGCATATAAATCTTGCGGTTGGGGAGGTTGGCAATAGGGTCAATTTGGTTTCCACTCCAGGACTTCATGTTGGCCACTGGCTGCGTGATGGATGGAGTCAGGTTGTACATGCAATTGGTGTACTGTATTGTGGAGAATTGTTAGCATAGGCAAGTTCCGTTGAGATAAAGGTTCATGAAACGTCTCGATATGTCTTACATGTTGGTTTCGAGCGCAATCATACGGGCCCCCAGCAAGTACACCGAAGCCGATTTTGAAGGTATCGGAGTAGGCAACACCGAGCTGCGCCGCCATGAATCCTCCAGCAGAGAATCCAGAAACTGACACTGAGTTGGGATCAACATTGTAGGCACTGAGCTCAGCTGCCAGCACCCCGGGCCCAGCAATGCCGGCTAGCCTCAGGATTTTGATAAGACTGAACATGATAGGAGCAAGTGAAGTCCAGTCTCTTGGTGAAGCTGGGAGTAAATTGTTCTTTGTGAAGATGAAATTTGCCAATGATGGGAGGCTGGCAAGATCTGATGTCGAGGGGAAACACGGGAGTTGATATATGTACAAGACGTCATTTAATACCAACTACCGTGGAGTGAATTCCGTACAAGAGTAACAAAGTTTAGGCAGGCTACCCGGAGTGATCGGCAGCCAGTTCATTGCACATGCGCTCGAAAACAGATTCTGCCTATAGGTTCATGACATATTACACTCGGGAGTCCTTCCAGTTTCGGACTAGAAGTGCGGGGAGTGGTCCTACCTTCATTCGGATCCGATAAATCAATGGCAAACAAGTAGGATGGGCTGGGCGGAGTGCATACCATCCACAACCCCTCTTTCGGCATAACCCCTCTTTCGGCAAGCAAAATAAAAAAGCCACCACCAAAAATCAACAACTTCACTTACACAGAACTTGACCGAATTGATAGAAATCCGTGAAACTTTTCGTTTCATAAATCATAAATAGGGTTTATCTATTGTACTCTGGTTTTTTTCGCTACCCGCCGCGACCGCCTGGGTGGTTGGTGGGGTATGTTTTCCTCTCTGACTTCGATGACAGAACCAGCCTCCGATTCTGACTCTTGCTCGCTTGAACAGACAGATTCCACCACAACAGGCATATTTTGAGTCGCCCCTTCTGGTATGGACTCTTTACCAGCTAGAGTCTCTCCAAGAGCCATAAAACGTTTGTTAGGATTCGGCACCGCCTTCCTCTTCTTCCCTCTCTTCAGGCGAGCCAATTCTTCCTCTAGGCTAGCAATCCTCAGCGTATGCGCCGCTACCGTCTGCTGTTGAGCCTCAAAGCCCTTAGCTATCACGCTGTACCGTCTCCGTGTCTTTGGTGTTTTGTTCAGCCCAAGATCACGAATTTGACGGCTCGTCTGTGGTGTATCGTCCGAGTCAAAATACGGCCTGGGCTCGGGAGTCGCCCTTGGGCTGCCATTCGGCCTATCTTCCTGGATTTCTGGGTGCCGCAGCGCTTTGGCACGTGAGATCGGCCAATTTCCAGTAACCCTCCAGCCAGACAGTATGTTCTTCTCAGTCATTCCAACTCGACGAGCCTTGGCGTAGGCCCTGATGAAATTAACCTTGTCCATCGGAGCGGAATCAGTCAACGAGGCGAACTTTTCCAACTCTCGTCGATATGCAGCCTTCGAGGCATTGAATACTCCATTGTCCAGTGGCTGGAGTCCATGAGAGCAGTGTGCTGGTAGATAGCAGCAATAAACATTGTTCAAAAAGCACGTGGCCATCCATTCATCCTTCCATCACTCAGCACTGATCTTAAGGTGGGGAAAATAGTGAACATACTGTTGCATGGCTTCCATGACCATCTAAAATGATCAGTCTCGCATCAGAGTCGTCGGCAGGCGTAGTCTGGGGCAGATAAACTCTTTCAAGCCATTCAATGCCAATGTGGTCATCAGTCCACCCGTTGGGCGATGTTATATAATACCAGTCTGCTATCTGCTTGAACTCATCAAGAAACCACTGTTTCTGGAGCTGTTTCCCCTTGAATATTATGCCAGGAACTAAAGCGCGGCCGTCAGCAGTGATGGCTTCGATGAATGAAGTCCAATTCCGAGTTTGTGGTCCCTTGAGAAACGCCTTGCGCTTCGGGTCCGCGCTTCCAACGACCAGGCTATCTAGACCTGAACCCAGAGGGTTAGTCGGCCAAAACTCAAGCATTGACAGGGAATAGAGGTGAATTCTTGCCGAAACCAGTCATAATACCCCCCTCATCAACGTTGACGGTGTTTTCAGGCTTGATCCAACCATATTGGCCCTCCCTGATATCAAAGTACCAATGAACCGCTCTAGGTGTGAAAGAGTCAAATCTCTTGGCTTCTTGACGTCTACCTATCTTGGTCTTTAGGTCTGCGCGGCGATTGATAAACTTGGTCACCCAGTTACGTCCCAAGTCGGGATGTTCGCCCTGCTGTCTCAGCAGGCCCATGACGCAAGCGCGGATCTGACTGTGGGACGGAGCATAGCCCAAAGACTCCTGACGGAGTATCCAGAAAGCGAGCCTATCCTCTTGGCTCTTGGACAAGCGTCGATAAGGGTGGACCTGCTCTTTCACGGCCCCGCGGCCGTTGAGTCTGTCGATTAGAGTGCTCCGAGGCACTCCCCGTCTCTGAGCGGCTTGAGGAGGTGAAAAACCATTATCAGTAACATCCAATATGGCCTCTGCCATGTCTTCCTCTGTGTATTTCCATCGAAGTCTTGACCTAGGCATTTTCATATGTTGTCGCAGATAAAGGCCAAAAAACAGAGAAAAGAGCGGTGAAGAACTTGATGATCAAATTAACACTATTTCCATAGCACGGTATGCATACATCGCGTACCCCGCACAGCCTTAGAGGGCTACAATCGTTAACTCCAATCATTTCTATAATCAGCAAAGGCATTGTCCCCCAAGTAGCTATTTATTTTGGCCAATATTTGTGTAAGTGAAGTTGGTGAGTTTTGGTGAAGCTTTTTTTATTTTGCTTGCCGAAAGAGGGGTTATGCCGAAAGAGGGGTTATGCCGAAAGAGGGGTTATGCCGAAAGAGGGGTTATGCCGAAAGAGGGGTTATGCCGAAAGAGGGGTTGTGGATGGTATTTCTTCAGCGCCACGAAACAGCCATTATAGGAAATTCGTGGCAAAACGTTACGTAGTGCGAGATTATTGTCGCGGTCAGCGAGGGAGCAGGCCTCGTCCGGTGCCGCGGCAATGGCTTTCTGCAGTAGGAAATATGGTCCCGTGCTTTACGTCGGCCGCATGAGCAGATTGCTCGCGCGCTGGCAAGGTTTGAGTCTCTCAACAGGCGTTGCGGGGTGCAGGATCAGCATATCGCAAGCTGCCATTTGCCCAGTTGGAAAAGTGTGTGAGTGAGGAACCACTGAAGAATCGGATCCGACTTCCGTCGATCCCTGAAACTAGTTAAAGCGTTACGACTGTTGACTCGATATCATCTTGACCTTGAGGAGTCTGGCTGACATGCTCGTTCCAATTCTCAGTCTCGTGAGGTTTGTCATTACGTCTCTCGTGTGCATAGGTATCGCATTGACCTCGGGAAGCCATAATTGCGGTCTGCTTGCATATCGTGTTCTATACGAATGTGGTTCTTTTGGTTACCAACAGAAGGCACGGCTGTTAATTGCCCCTAGAACAGAATGTACCTTATACACCACTATATTTAATTATTTTTATATAATTAAAGCCCTTAAATTCATTAAAAGCTTAATAACTAGAAACACTAAAACCTTTAATAGTCTAACTTTTCCTCCCCCTTAATAAAATACCTATTATATATAATAGCTATTCCTATATAATATATTATAACATATTATTTAAATTTTATTTTATCTACCCTCTCCTATAAGTTTAATATAGTATATATCTAAGCTAGATTAAATAGGTTTCTTAAGGTATTAAAAGCTTTTTTTTCTATATTAAGGTCCTTCTTAGCTAGCTTTTAGAGCTTTTTAATCTTATAATAAGCTATCTTCTTCTCTGGTTATAGCTAACTACATATAACTTATAGAGAAATGCTATAGTTTTATTTTAAATATATTACCTTAATACAGAATTAATCCTTTAATTTAAATAATTTAAATATTAAACTATATATAATACTTAATAGAGCTATTAAATAAATTATAGATTAATATAATCAAAATAGAGAAAGATATTATAAGAGTAACTTTTAGTTTTATCTTTATAGAGAGTGTCACAGCTCGAGGCCAGATTGATTGATTGATTTGATTATATCCTACTCGGTTGTAATCGTCTAAACGATTATGCCCGGATAACGGGGTCCGGCGAACAGCCGAAGTCTCGCGGATCAGTATTGCTCGAGGCCAGACTGGCGTACCCTAGACCACTAACCAGATGGATCCGGATCACGTGGCGATACGTTATCGCGCAGACTTTGTTCACCGACTTGATAACCCCTAAACGTAGCTCCTCGAGCTACGTCTTGTCAATAGAGCCTGACCTGCCTGCAGTGCCTACCCGTAGCAATAGATTCTGTTCCGCCTGAAGCGTTCCCCGTTCACCTGTATACCGAGCCCAACCCGTGACAGAGAGGATTTTCTTAAGAGATAGCTTATAGGGAGAACTATCTTAAGGGATAGTTAATAGATAGATTTTTATATCTTTTAAGAGAAGAGTTTTAATTATAATTAGAAGTATAAGCTTTCTAACTATATTACTAAAAAGCTTAAAAATAAGCTATTATAAGGGTATTATTGTTGAACGGATCGCGTGCGCCTTGATGTCCTTAATTGTATGTGTATTGTCGAACTCCATCCCCCGCCTTCCTCGGAGAGGGGTCTGCTTAATTTTTTTTTTTTTGTATATTTTTCATCCGGGGGGCCGTAGGCCCCAAAAAGTCTCCTAACGGAGCACAGGACGTGCTGAGCTAAACTATCTACAATCGCTGCCCGGCTGATTCTCGCTCGGATCATCTGCAAGGCCTCTTGGATCGGAGCCGTATACATGCTCGAGCGTTTTCTGTACTCATTACCTCCAAGAGGCACCTCTCTACTCGTAGCCAGCTCTACAGTAGTTGTCGGTGAAGCACGTCCCATGGACATCAATACAGTTGATCTCAACAGAGCTTCCCTCCAGCAACGCTTCTATCTAGTTCATACAGCATATCATCGGCACAAGGGCGCTTTACTTTCAAGAGGTCATCCCGTCAGCGGGAACTATTCCTCTCCAGCCTAGAATTCTCCTGCACAGATAGATCAAGTAGCTTTCCATACCCTAAGGCAGGAAGTCCATGATCCCCTAAGATAGCCAGTAGCTGCGACCCTAGAACCGTGCATCCTTGGGGAGAACCCTTGCAGGAGAAAACCCCAAGGCGGCCAGAACGCTGCTCTGTGGACGAGGTAGTCGCCTCGTTCCACGGTCTCCAGGTAAGCTCTGTACCATTCGACCCAGCGGTTTTGTCAAGTGGTCTCAGCCAGTGAGACAAATCGTCGAAGCCCGGTCGTGTTCCTGGCGGCAGCCGAGGCTGCAAAGAAGAAGAGGTTCTCTGGGCAGTATGCGACTGCAGAGATCGGTCATGCAGCTTCCGAGCTGCAAAAAGGGCAGCGAGCCATGCGGGGCTCGTGCGTCGAGGTCGGGGGCACCAAAGGGCCCAGAAAGTCAAGCAGCTAGCGGCTGCTGGTGTTGTTCGGGCAGCAAAAGCGGCAGTGATCGGCCGAGGCAGCGCTAAACTGCAGGCGAAGGTGAAGGTGAGGGTGCAATGGCCCTGAATGTCAAGCAGCAGAATGCCGCAAATGTTGTCTGGGCAGCCGAGGCTGCAGAGGTCGGTCGTACGGGGAAAATCGAGGGCGCAGAGCCCGAAATGTCGCAGGCTCGCGAAGCCGAAATGTCGAGGTAGAAAGAAGTCGCAGATAACACATAGGAAATGGCGCCCGGAGGCGATATCAAGAGCGCGCGAAGCTCAGTGTCGTTGAAGACACGCGTCACGAAGAAAGGTCAACTCTCTGAATCCCTTTCTTCCAGCAGCTGTTAGGGTCCCGTTAGCCCCACAGTTGCTTTTGCTGCCATTTTGGACTGCAAAAATTCTTTACCCTAGCAAAACGCTAACAGCGGGTGCCAAGGAAAAATTTTTACAGGAGAGAGTTGAGGGGTCTGCGTATTATGCTCTCCTGAATGGGTCTAGGGTTGCCGACAGCTGACTATTAGGTCACATGATACCCCGTGCGGACATCCTACTGTTCAACAATTTGTTGTTGATATTGCGCAGTAGTGCTGGGTGAAAGTATATTTTATGAAACTTGATTGTTAATTATTGAGATGAGAGTTCTTCTCGGGTTTATATCTCTAGATAATTTCATCTAGGACTTTGAACTCTAAATCTAGGACTTTCAGTCTAACAGTCTAAACCCTGAAAGGAAGTGGGATCCCCGGAATTTCCAACACAATTATAATGTAATATCTATTCTATAGAAAAAACTCTATTTATTGCCTTAGGGTTAATCTAAACTATAACGTAAGTAAGTACCTTATGTGTTAGTCTTTGACCACACATTAGATACCATCCCGTATACAATTTCTACCAGGCGGCCTCTGCACGAGACACGTAAATGCACAGAGCAGACTCCTAATCAGGCCATTCTTCTTTATACCATACAATACCCGAGACTGATTAGCTACCAAGCATATAATCTCTCAACCTGGAGACGGCCGGAACTCTCAGGCCGTTTTTTCTTTCCCCGCATGCTTTTTCCCCCACGTCATCTTGTGGGGGCGCTCCGGGAGGTACTGGCTGACTAGATAATATTAGCGAGCAAGTTTTCGGTTTCGGAACCACGTGTAAGTGGATGCTTGTGCATTAGCGGATTGCGGGGAAGGGGACAGGCATCCGTGAAATTGAGAGCAGATATCCATGGTTCTTGCCGCCGAGGAATTTTCGTTCGGTCTTATTTGACTCTGATGTGAGAATAGACCCTTGAACTGTCTTGACTTGGCCGCCTACCAGCGAATATGAGCGACGTGGGCGTGAAGTTTGAATAAGCTGAAGAACCCTGGCTGACATGGTCTAAGCGCCCCCGTTCTGAAGTTACGGTAGCATTGAGTCTCCATCCAAACTGGATCACATCGGATCCGATGTCTTTCGATGGCCACCACCTCCACACTCCCCCAGCAAGGCAATCCCAGTCCAGATAAGATAATTGGATATGTTCAAAAGTGTGGGGAGAATTCTGTCAACCCATGTCCCTAGATTATAAATTCTCTCCTCACGACGAAATTTCCAATACACCGCTTTCATTTACCGAACTCCATCGAGCGGGTCTATCTCCGTATTGAGCTTTTTATCGTGATGACCTTAGCTGCCCTTTTCAGGGTAATAAGACCCGACCCCGGCCAACCGCCACCGAACAAGCTCGATTTTATGAACGCATAACAACATCGATCATCAGGAGTAAAATATGTCGACACCCTCGCCGACGGTGGGGAGGGTGTAATATAGTCCGAAGGATGTATCTCTATGATATGATACTTCATATTAATAATATTTCATGCTGATAACTCTATTATACCGGAAAAGCCATCTTATGTAGTCGTTAATCAGGTTTTCAAACAATTGAATTCCGAAGCTTATCTAATAGCGTCCGAACCATAGAAAAAGCAGGCTGCGGCGCTAGCCCTCGAGGCCAGGGACAGCGACACCACCATAACTGTCTACCTTACCCGCAAGGAAATCATCAACAGCTCGCATTCCTTCCTCAGCTCCACTGCCAGCTGAGCTTCGGGGAAATAAGATGTAGCCATGCGGCGCACCTGGTATAATGCTGAGCATCGACTCGCCGCCAGCTGCTAGTCATTTCATGCTCATGAACAATGTATCGTCCAAGAGACAGTCCTCAGTTCCACATGTGAAGAGAGCGGGAGGCAGCCTTCCTCTTAGCTGTCCAAGATCTGCAAATAGTGGGCTGATATGAGGATCCTTGAGCGTCTCTGGTGACCTCCCTGGCAGGAACGCGTCGCGAAACTCATTAACCCTGTCTAGGTCGAGAACGAGATCAAGTTCTCCTCGTCCATATGTATATACGCTCGGCGTCCAATCGAGGCTATAACACCCAAAATGGAGCAAAACACCTCTAAGGCGGTGATCAAAGATTTCAGCTTTGCTGTGCTGTAGTAAATGGAGCACAACAAGCATCGACAAGTGCGCACCCGCAGATTCTCCGCCGACAAATGCCAGAGGCGCTTTGAAGGTGGCATTTGCGTTGGACACGAGCCACTCTGCCGCGTCGTAGCAATCCTGCGGTCGTGCCGGGAAGGGATGCTCTGGTGCGAGCCGGTAGCCAATAGAGATGCAAAGGAGCCCATGGTCGTTAGCCATGGCCTGTAACCTGAGATCCTGATATGTTTCGTCCTGCAATACCCAACCGCCGCCGTGGATGTGCATGAAAACGGCGGTCAAGGGTTTGCTGTTCTGCGGTCTGAGGATGCGGCATGAAATACAGCGACCTGAGTCACGCGAAGGTATTTCGAATGCGGTTGCAGAGGGAAGAAGAGTCGGACCAGGAAGAGCTGTTTTGCCAGCAGCACGTAGACGTCGATATTCGGCAGCTCCAACTCCCTTCCATTTAGGCCCATTCTTGGTGAGGTCGAGAAGCACACGATTGAACGCTTTAGATTCCAACGAGACCGCTGCCGGATTAAAACATTCCGATCGCGATATAAGTGAGGAGTATGGCGACATTCTGCTCAAGAAAGAGGTTGAGTGCTGAGAGGCGGAAGAAGGTAAACGTAGTGAGACTATTTATAATTGATAAATTAAATCAAAAGAGCCCTTAGAAGTCACCGCCTGAATTTGAGATAGGCCCCGGATTGGGTTGCGAGACGAATGCGAAGCGCTGGCCCCAGAGAGCGGAGTTTGACCAACGTAGGTACTACTTTCACTTTGCAGGTACCTTCGGATCCGAACAGCATCTTGGTTGACGCCAGCTATTGTATAGTACAATCAAAAACCTAAATGATGGACCTCTCCATAGCAAAAAAAGCAGAGCTCCTTGCAATAACCAAGAACGGTCAAACTTGACACCTGCTTTGAACTCTCCGCTTCCACGGAGCAAGGCACTACAGAACTATCCGAGTTTCACCTCCATCTTTTAATTGGACTAGTTCAGAAGCTTTTTGGCCACCGGTTGTCTAGTGTTGAATCATTTGACTCCAATGATGTGTTGGTTAGAAACATACAGAGGTTGTACTTCATATCACACGCAGTACACTCTACAAGGACCTAGTATGATCGGCCGAGTCGATGCAAATTGACTTACGTTTAGAGATAGGCATTCTCCCCAGGAGATGAGCTAAAATGCAGAGTAATTTCTGTGGAAGGATGAATACACTAGACCAACTGAAGCAAATAGGAGCCCTAGGAACAAGACTTGCACCTCTTTACTAGGCAGACAACCTCAAGATCATGCTTGCATTCTAGCAGGCAACGTGTTGAATGTTGGAGGGTTCACCCTCAACTTCAGGATTAAGGTTCAGGATTAAAGTTTGAAGCCCTAAACTTAGATCGTAGGACTTTCATCTAGGACTTTCTAGGACTCAAGTCCTAGAAGGAACTAGTCGAAGATATAAGGTCTCAATAGTCCTTCGATTGCGACAGAATCAAGAAATATACACGATTCACCTTAGTATCTGACACAACGACACTTCTAAAGGCAAAGGCAGGCAGCAATATACAGATCACGAGTCAAACTAATTGCATCCTGAAACTATAAGACACTGTCTGTACTTACGTTCACTCATTTTACATAAAACCAGGAGTCTTCATTCATCTAGGCCGGATTCCATTCTGTGATGTGTGCATGAGACGGTCACAAACCACATCAAGTTACATGCCATCTAGCACTTAGCTGAACACTTTTGCTTGCTTCTGAAGATCCAGGAACGTCTCTTTGTCATGACCTGGAATAATTTGACCCTTTGTGATACGTTCTAGATGCTTCAAGCGCTGAGTGCTTCTGAACCAGGCTGGATGGTCTCGAGCTAACCAACCTTGCGGGATACCGTCTCGCCACTATTGAAAGAATTGTAAGCCCTAATCCACACAGCCTAAATCGGGATTGAGAAAATGATGCTTACTCACATTCTCAATAACGTGACAGTGATCGCTGAGAAAGAAAAAAGTCCCCATCTCGGGCATGTTGATCTGCATTCCGATCAGGCCCTCTGTATGTCCTGGCAGATGGTGTAATGTAATGCCCTGACAAAAGTCGAGACTTTTCTCATCGAAGGTCTTCCAGTTCCTAGAGTATCTTAACATTTTCCCAACGCTAGTGTCAGGATTTACCTTAGAAACCACGTACAGGCCTAATTTGAGATAATGCTCCAGATAGACACCCGTATCGGCTCCGGTGGCCACCGACCAAAATGCAGACCGCAGTTCCTTATCGTGAACCCAAATCTCAACATCTTTTCGCTCCATGAATTCATCTAACCCGCCGGCATGATCGAGGTGCAAGTGTCCTATGATAATCTTCTTGATATCTTCGATCTTGTTGCCCGTCGCCCCGACGGCCGCACGCAACTCGTGCTGGGGCTCATAGCGTACGCGCGCAAAGACATCCGACAATACAGGGCCCCAGACCTCAGGGTAATCCTTCCCACAACCAGTTTCCCAGAGGATGAGGCCCTCATGTGGGTGATCAATCAGGATGCAGTACATGGGCAACTCGCGGCGTTTGTTGACGGTGGAGAGACCTTCTGTACTCTTCAGACTAGTATTGCCCCCACGAGTGACGAATCCTTCATCACACTCAAGCCAGCCTACTTCGAGGACATGAAACTTAGTGCCTTGTGGGCAGACATTGGAGACATAGCTTGGAATGGCTCCTTGGTTAATTTGCTCTTGGATCTTGGGCATGATGGGGAAGCTAAAGAAAGGCGTTGGCGTGGTTAAGAGTTGGGGCTGGTGTAGTATCGATATAGGCAGTGTTGTAGGCTATTCACCGGTTCACAGGTATTAAGAAAGCGGTGAATTCTAGTATTTATGATTATATAGGCAGCCTAAGGCTTGGGTTGTGCCAGGAGCTCGCATAGCCCCTTCTTGACGTGCGCGAATTCAAGTGGATGCCCTAGCTCTAGTTCCTAATTCAAGTTTCTAGAGTATCGTTACGGCAGGCAGTTGTACGAAGAAGGTGTGTTCCTCCGCACGCTGTTATCTCCGACAACCTGCACTCTGATATTCTGTGGCCTGGGGTAGTCCGCTCGGGTCAGGGCTGACAAGTGAGTCTAGACTTGGGAATCTTGACTAGGGAATTGAGACTCGGATCCGGGCAAACCCCGCTCAGACCCACAGACCAGGATCGGGTCCCAAGTGGGCCTCCCCGGATAGGGCGGATGAGTGGATCAGTACGGAGAACAACCCTCTTAACTAAACCGGGATACAGTCCCGGAGGTAGGGTGGGTGGAGAGGGCCCATTACTGTATCATGCACGAGGTTGTGCTCTGTAGAGCTGGGGAAGATACCGGGATGTGTTGGGAATGGTCCGAGGGTTTTAGTTCTCTCAATGCCTCGTAGAGTGATTGCAAATTCATATTCATCCCTCTCGGCCTAATAAGACTTTCTTAAAATCCCTTTTTGTTGGTCATCTTGATCGTTAATGATATCCACTGTTATAAGGCTTGACGTCGAATATTCCTGCCTATAATTCGCATCTATTTGTTCTTGAACAACAAGACTACCATCACCACCGTCGCTGCCGTATTCAAGAACATGGCTTCTTTCAATTTGTCTGGCCTCAAGAGGAAGGACCTCCTTCAACAGAAGGGCTATGTCACGGGAATCCGATCTTCCTCTCTTAGCGGGACCACTTTTGAAGTGCGTAATCCAGCAACCCTCAAAACTATAGCGACTCTTCCAGAGATGGATGCCGCAGATACTGAGAGAGCCATCGAATTCGCCCACGAGACCTTCGAATCGTACAAGAAAACTCAAGCACGGCAGCGAGCACGATGGCTCCGACGCTGGAGCGACCTCTGCCTAGAGAATATAGATGACTTGGCCCTCATCCTCACTCTTGAAAACGGCAAGACCATTGCTGAATCGCGCGGCGAAGTGGCATATGGCGCCTCATTCCTCGAGTGGTTTGCCGGCGAAGCGGAACGGACTTATGGCGAAGTCGTCCCAGCCGCAAACACCAGCCAGCGCATCCTAACTATCAAAGAATCGATTGGGGTCGCGGCGATCCTTGTGCCTTGGAACTTTCCTATCGCTATGATCACCCGTAAGGTTGGCGCTGCATTGGCTGCTGGGTGCACAACCGTCTGGAAACCCGCTGGAGAGACTCCTTTGAGCGCCCTAGCACAAGCAACGTTGGCACAAGAGGCAGGGGTTCCAGCGGGAGCCATCAACGTCATCACTACACTGACCAAAGTGGCAGAGGTTGGACGGGTGTTGTGCGAGTCCAGGCTTGTGCGGAAGCTCAGCTTCACGGGGTCTACCAATATAGGCAAGCTGCTCGCCCGGCAGTGTGCTGGTAGTTTAACCAAGCTTTCGCTGGAGCTCGGCGGGAATAGCCCCTTTATTGTCTTCGATGATGCCAAGCTCGAGACTGCAGTGGGAGCTTGCATTCAAGCCAGGACGCGCAACGCCGGCCAGACATGTGTGTCTGCGAACCGCATATTCGTCCAGGATGGAATCTATGACCGGTTCACAGGGGCCTTGGTCAATCGGCTCAAGGAACTAAAAGTCGGATTGGGCACAGCGGAGGGAGTGTCGATCGGACCTCTCACACATGAGCGCGCGGTTGAGAAAGCATTGAATCACATCAAAGGTATGTAATCTGTGATTATTCGACAATATTCGAAAGCCTCATTCCGCTATGGGATGGGGATCTTCTAGGATCCTGCTAACTTTACTCCCTTAACAGATGCCGAATCTCGCGGTGCGTCTGTACTTCTCGGTGGTGCCTCGTTTCAACCTGGCGGCCTTCCGGGTTATTTCATTCAACCCACTATTCTGAGTGATGTGTCCCCGGAATCGCTTTGCACTCACGAGGAGGCATTTGCCCCTATCTTCGCTCTCTACCGCTTCAAGACCGAGGTGGAAGTCTTGAAAAATGCCAACGCCTGTGATGTCGGCTTGGGCAGCTACGTCATGACCGAAAGCGTTGCACGCATGTGGAGAGTGGCCGAGAGTCTCGAGGTTGGCATGGTCGCAGTCAACCAGGGATCAATGAGTGCATGCGAGAGTCCGTTTGGAGGTGAGTGAAGACTTCGTAAACCCTATGCAAAGCGTGGACACAACTAATAGGCCTGAGCTTAGGTATCAAAGAATCGGGGTATGGGCGGGAAGGTGGACATCATGGAATTGAGGAGTATCTTACAGTCAAGAGCATACTGATCAACGTGGCTGATTAAAAACCAAGAGTTCGTAGATAAATTAGTCATATGTAATGTTGGAAAATCCGGGTATCCCCCTTCCTTTCAGGGTTTAGACTGTTAGACTGAAAGTCCTAGATTTAGAGTTCAAAGTCCTAGATGAAATCATCTAGAGATATAAACCCGAGAAGAACTCTCATCTCAATAATAAAAAAACAATCAAGTTTTACAAAAATATATTTTTTCACCCAGCACTACTGCGCAATATAAACAACATGTAATGATTGAGGTTTTCCCTTATTACTTATTTACAATAAAGAAACTGCTCTTGTAGGGTGATGTCGAAAAGATTGATCATACAACAACCCACGTTTGACACTTCCATTCCGCGGTTTCCTTTTTTTGACTCTTGTCAGATCTCCATAGCCTTAAGCCTAGAGAGTAACGTAGTAGATCAAATGTCCTACCCATTATTCATTCCTATTCTAAAGAAAGTAGCGACATGCACCAACAGGAATCATTTGTGTCCCACGTGGCGTCCACGTAGTGCTCGCGTTGTCATTGCATGACTAGCTCAAGTTTACCTCCACCACACGAGGTTTTGTCTCCACCACATGGATTACCGCATTGCATGCCAAACTCAAGTTTGCGGCCACCGCGTGGTGCTCGCATTGCATGGCTAGCTTAAGCATGCGCTTGTCCAACGGTATGCATCATGAACATATGCGGCTAGCCCGTTGAACCCTCCGGCTTCACCCGTGAGGGCTCTTGTCGCATGAAATCAAAGTCAGGCCTGTGCCGCCGAGAAGAGTAAAGGGAAAGGCGGAGTAAGCAACATACTTGATCATTATAAAGCGGACTTTATCTTCCTCTGCCATTGACCACACAGGCCTTCATCGATTTAGACATTTACGTCTCGTCAAGCTAAGCTCACTCTTCGGAAATAGTACACAAGTACTCCTCGAACTTTATTGCAAAGATGTCTCCCAAGTCAATGCGCGCAGTAGTCTTCAAGGGCCCCTATCAGGTATGAATTCGCTTTTGTTCATGTATGTTTCGGCCATATTAATGTCTTCCGCCTACAGGTTGCGGTTGAAGATCGACCCTACCCACAGATCCGAAAGCCTACCGATGCCGTGCTGAAAGTGACGTCTACTGCGCTCTGTGTGAGTACACAACCTCTATTCCAATCTCTCCAAGTAAACTCACCTGTGCCTAGGGCTCGGACCTGCACTTCTATCGCGGCCACCTGGAATGCCCCACGGGCTTTATCTGCGGGCATGAGTTTGTTGGTGAGATTGTGGAGAAAGGAGATGACGTCAAAGGCTTTGACATTGGCGATAAGGTCATTGTTCCTTTCTTCTCTGCCTGCCAGGAATGTTATTACTGCGTGCGTGGCCAAGCGAGCCGATTCAAGAAAGGTGAACTATTCGGCAACTCAGCCCCGGCTAACACGATCGATGGCGGGCAAGCCGAGTATGTCCGGGTTCCACTGGCCTCAACGACACTTGTAAAGGCTCCCAGCGGTAAGACTTGACCGTGAAAAACAGACGGATATACTGAAGCGGCATTGCTGACTTGGTCTCTTCTGTAGGAATCCCCGAGGAATTGCTCGTTCTTATGGCCGATATTTTCCCCACTGGCTATTTTGCTGCTGCCCGTTTCCTAAAGGACCTCAGCCCCCATGACAAGAAGGAATTCACGACCGTTGTCATTGGTTGTGGGCCAGTGGGCATCTGCGCAATTACCTGTGCACTCACTATGGTCAAGACTGTGTATGCGATCGACTCGGTGCCCGAGCGCCTTGCTGAAGCGGAGAAAATCGGTGCCATTCCGATCAATTTGAATGATAGCCCAGTGGAAAAGATCAAGGCAGCGACCGATGGCCGCGGAGCGGACGTGGCCATGGAGATTGTAGGTCACGCCAATGCATTCAAGCTTGCATTCGACCTGGTCAGGCCATGGGGCAAGATCAGCTCTGTGGGAGTTCACACAGAGGAAATCCCACTAAATGGGCTGTTGTGCTACGGGAAGAATGTCACTATGGCCTTTGGAAGATGCCCTGTGCGAAGTATATTTGAGGAGGCCCTGGACGTCCTACATAGAGAGCAGAGGAAAGTTGGCTTCTTGTGTGGCAAGACCATGTCCCTTGAGGATGCGCCGCAGGCATACAAGGACTTCGAAGCAAGGAAGGTGCACAAGGTTGTTTTTAAAATTGACAATGGCGCTAAGGCCCTTGCCTAATTTGGAGGATAGCACCAGGGCTAGGATAGTGTAGTCTCAAGATATTCCCAGCTTCCATCATTGGCCAGCCATAATGCTCTGTCTGTAACGTAACAGAGTCGCGATGAGTGCCGAGAGCTCAGACTAAAATCACAACATCTGGGTCTATCCGGAACCTACACATAACACATAATGTGCTTTTATCAAGTTTGGCCCCGAGAACCAACGCCTCATCCCTTATCGATGGGGGCAAGTCTTCTGCCAGACATGAGCGGCCCATTCTCCTCCTCTAGCATCGTCAATTACGCGAAACCTTGGTGTCATCAAAATACTAGAGGTGCCGATATCACATCTAGTGGTGAATCAAAACCATTCACTTACCAGGCGATGCTTACAGTACGTATTCATTGCTGAGAAATTCCCTCAGGTAATACGTCCAATCAGGAAAAACGCAGGGATGTTAACGGGAAAGCTAATACATTTCCACGTGGCAGCGAGCTCCAGGGAACACGAGGCAGGGTTGGAGGGATGCGGGGTTCATTTGAGTCCGGAGCTAGTCTCCGGGGCTAAACGCACGGGAACTGTCAGACACGGCATTTTTGCGCCGAACCATCTTCTTCTGGCTGATCGCTTGGCTTGGAACTGGTGAGGAGCGAATTTGCAGGGTTAGGTCCACTGATTTGTGCTGGAACAGGGTACAGGGTTGGAGCTTGGAACACGCGGAGATCGATTGCGAGGAATAGTTACTTGGGGGGCCTTTTTTTCGCCTGGGTCGGGGACCCCTGCAAATTATGCCTTAGCGAGGTATCCGTTGGTCATGTTGGGAACAATCGGAATTTCTAGGAATCTAAAGGAAGTCCATTGGTCCCTAAACTATTCCTTGCATAGTTTCTTACTGCGATGTGAGTTGCTCAGGCCACTCCCAGAAAGCCGTGGCATGCCCGCAATTCGGTCTGATCAACAATGCCTGGATGGATGGATATATAAGTATGACAGGTATAGCCATGTTTCAATCTATGATAGATCTGTTTTCCGGACCCCTCCACAACACCCCCTCTTAGTATCGACTCCTCACGTGCAACATGGATAGGTCCGATATCAACTCAGCTCCAGCCAGCAAGCGATTATGTGAAATTCCTCAGATTAGTGCTGTCGAAAGTAGAAACATATCTCCGGAGAGTCTCAGAAACAAACATGCTTTTGGAAACCCGACTCCGATTGGTTTGTACTTTAAGCCGCATACAAGGCTCCGCTAATAGATTGTAGCATTGGGAGGATTCGTCATGTGCACTACCCCGTTGTCCATGATTCTTCTTGGCTGGGAAGGGGCTGGTGGGCTGGGTGCCGCAAATGTGTAAGTTCCAGAGTTTACTTTAACCCCTTCCTTTTTATTCTCCCTCTTTGTCTTTACCGATTTGTTTCACTAGAAGGACGGGGTTCTCTAACAGTTTCGTAGCGGAACATACTTCTATCTTGGCGGTCTGCTCCTGTTGCTTGGCGGTGTAGGAGGATGGATTCTTGGTAAGTCCTGTAATCATGTCTGTGACTATGTTGCTAATAGATAAACCTAGGGAATACGTTCCCCGCAGTGGTCTTCTGCCAATTCGGCGGGTTTTGGTTCGCATATGGTGCAACCCTCGTCCCTGGCTATGGAGCATATGGCGCCTACTCTGTGGACGCAAATAACCCCGCAGAAGGCCTGAAGGAATCAGCATTCTTTGCCACTTTTGCATTCTTCCTTTTTGCCATGGCACTCCTCTGTGTTGTTTTCTTTGTTGCGAGCATTCGCACAAATGTCCTCTTCTTTCTGATATTCCTTCTTTTAATTCCTACTTGTAAGTTTCATTTCCCACCCCAGCCTCTCGGAGTCGCTTCCGGCACGCCCACACTGGGTTATATCAATTGGCCTTGTACTAACATGAGCTAGTCTGCTGTCTTGCTGGTGCTTTCTTCCATCTTTCTCATGGAAATACTGGCACCGCAGCGACACTCCAAAAGGTCGGAGCTGGGATCTTACTGGCTGTGTCGTTTTTGGCTTGGTATACTTTCACTTCTCTTATACTTCTATCAGTCGATTTCCCATACGTTCTTCCACTGGGCGACCTCTCAAATTTGGTGAAGGGGGCAAAGAAATGAGGATAATGAGGCACTTGGGTGTTGTATCAGACACAGTGCAAGCCCTTCAAACTTCATTGGGGAAATGGGATCCAGCTCGTATAGTGGTCATCCACAACTTCTCACTTAAGGACTTGGATGTGCACATGCAGCTTCACACGCTCCATCTAGCGATCCAAGGTCCATCCCAGTCACGGACCGTGAGCGCCTGTTATAAGCTATTCCATATCTCGATCAAGACTCTAAATTTAAACAGACTGGTGGCCAAGAGGACCAATTGTTCCAATCATATGTACAAAGCTGTGCAAAGGGTTGCAAATGTCATGAAGCGACCACATAAGCTAGTTGCCCGATATGAGCTCTCCGATATGCAAACATATTAATGGAAGGAGAGACATTCCAAAAGGCTGGAGCACTTATACCATTTAGGTTCTGCTGCAAGGAATATCCATTCTGGTTCGAAATCGGCAGTTCTGGGGTGGAACGGGATTTGCTATAAGAGCAATGTAACGTCTCCCTTGAGCTCAGGGGCTCCGATGAAGGCTACAGACGATGGCGCCTCCAAAGACCGTGTCTGAAAAAAGTCTTATTTCGCGCAGCAACCCCAACAAAACGGCCATCGACTGATCTGGTTGATATATGAGACAGTCTGAGCGGTGTCGGCTCGGCCACGAGGATCAACAACTAGATCCCTCGACATGTCATTGTTCCCAAGGAGATAGGGAAGGCCACTTGCACAAAATAGTCATAAATGAATAAAATTAGGCGACGGTACACTAAATGTATCTCAAAGCTTGTTAAGAGAGAACGCCGCGTCAGGGATGTTTCCTTGTACTGAGTTCGATGCGAACGCTCGTTTCTTTCCGAACGTGAATGCCCTTATCCCCCTCGCTATCCGCCGAAGAAGGGAGGTCATATGGATTGCTTGATATAACGGTCTGTAATCCATGACGCCCATTTATGAGCTCGCCATCAGACTCATGGGAGCCTGGCTGCATTGAATCGGCCAGTTGGTGTATAGAGCTGGACTCATCGACTTCCTCTGCGTGTGCAATCGTCGTTAGCTTCATTTCATTGCCTTGCCGACTAAGCGGCAGCCTATTTCTCTCTGAGGCGAGCAAGGAGAATCTCGTTATCTTTGAGAAGATGGGTCGCAGGATTGGTAGGCAGGCTAAAATATGGTCAAACCAAATACGGAGGGTTATCCACAACGACGAATCTTACCGGATACGATGGCCAAGTTGACTTCCACCGTCGCCCAAATCATAATAGGCGCGATGTCCAGAGGCATTTCATCGGACGATGGATCAAACTTGAGCGATTCTGCGAGGACGACAATAGACGCAACGCATACCCTAAGATGTTAGCGACGATGTCTCATATGACTTGTAATATCCTTACAGTATACCGAACATAAAAAGAGCGATAACTGCTATTTTCTGGCCGGCTTTGAGGTGCAGATTCATCACTTGTAAGACGGGAAGGGCTAGGATGGAGATATCGAGCAGGAGGTGAACCAATACTGTCCCAAAAAAGAACTTGGAATCATCAATAGTGCACACGGCATCCTTAATGCTCTTGTCCCAGAAAGCGTGGACGGGAACGCAATGGAAGATAGCGAGGAAGGTGCGAATAATGAGCCATATCAGCGATAAAACCGCCAGTATTTGAATCGGTACTCGGATATTCGACCTGCTGAACAAGCGCCAGTAAAACCCAAGGATCGACAGTTTCGAGAAGGCAAGCGATGAGGCGTAGAACAACTCTGCGTTCCAGAGTAAGAGATGTGACAGTTGAAGTGCTTGTTTAGAGGTCAAGCCGTCAACATCTTCGAGTCGCCTTCCAAGCCCGGCATGGATTGTCCCTACGGCATCCGTTAGAAGTGCTAGTAAACAGGCTTTCTATCCATACTCCATACTCCATACGGCGCCTTATGGAATATGGAATATGGAATGCAACCCATATGGAACTTAATCCATACATATGGAAACTAAGAAATGACGTCATTTACATTATCAACTAAACCGAATCTGGGTTGGAGCTCTGCCAGCCAGCCGAATCATCTAACCCCTCTACGTTGTTGTCCTCAATACCTTCCGCTTCAAGTAAATCTACCGGGTAACCTTGTGTTATCCCGCTTTTGATCCAACTCTTCATGCATTCACCTCTTTCAATTGTACGACTACCCAATTGGCACCGGTCCCATGAAATTGTGCGTCTCGCCCCGGAGAAGACGCGCTCCGGCTCGGCAGACATGGCTGGTATCGAGAGGATATCAACAGCCATTCGAGAGAGACGAGGGTATGTCTGTTGTTGTTCTTCTCTGAGCCACCAAGAAAGTGGAGAGCAGTCAATGACAATGGGCGGTTGCGTCGTGAAAGCATCGTACTCGTCCAGCTCACTCATAGATAGGCTAACAACGTCAAGCTCCCAAGCGAGTAGGTCATACTCATCAAGGCGCCGTATTTCGTCTCTCAGCTGTGGTGTCGTGGTAGGGAGCGGGAGCTCGTGGTAGTAGTCTTTCTAATGCTTTCGCACGCCGTCAAGAACTGGTTTATGCCAGGACTTTGGCCAGTTCTTCTTTATATGGGCTACACGTCGTGACGGATAAAGTATTATTGCCGCACCGTACGCAGGGCTCTCATCTGTAAGCTGATAATACTTATCGAATACAGCCCAAGAAGCTGCAATGCAGCTCCGTAGTGTGGCGTTGCCAGAGTGTTTCTGGAATGCTTGTGTATAATGTTTGTAAAGAACATCCATTGTAAAAAGTGAACGGTCTAGAGTGGCGTAACGACCCTCTGTAAGCTAAGTGATCTTCCAGAACGGTTGAAGGAATGCACGCGTCTCCCCTAGAGCACTCCACTCATCAGGCGTGAGGTAGTCATCTCGCAAATCCTGGTAATACTTCTTCTGGTACCACTCAACATAGCTCTGAAGATTGAGAGTGGTGTCCAGCAGGAGAAACCATGAGTTCCACCGTGTATCGTTGTCGAGCCCCAGCGATCTTCCAGCGCGCTTCTTGAATTCATTCCATCGATAGTCGTTTTCGCGCATGTGAATCGATATGTTGTGCACCTTTCCAAGAGGCCCAAGCCGCCGCCATCCTTGCGCCCTTTGTGGTTTGATCCTTTCAGAAAAATCAGTGCCAAAAGCCGATTCATCGGTGTCTTCGATATGCTCCAAAGCCGCTCGAGCAGCCTCTTTTGAGTCTATGAAAAGGAAAGCCTGAACTGCCAGGTTCACTATATGGCCGTGGCACCGGATTCTACGGGTCTTGGCTTCCCAGTCGACACCCTTCTCCTGGAGATAATTGGCGAGTAAGCGGCATAATTTGTCGTTTGATCCATGGTTATCACCAGTGTAGAATCCCACCTTATTCCAGATATTATAATCCTCGAGCACGTGCTGAAGAAGCTTCCATTGTTCGGCACCACCGTGACTACCCGGCCCGTCAAGACCTGGCAACTCCGACAAAGCTAATAGTGCCTGCAGCGCTTCCTTTGCATCCGGATCTACAAATTTGACGCATATCCCAAGGAAAGCTTTGTGATTTGGAGCAGACCACACGTCAGCAGAGAGATGAAGTTTCCATGGTGTAGACTGCAATTTTCTTCGCAACATGTCTTTGTGTACACGAAAGGAATTGGAGACAAGCTTCTGTATGGAGCCGTGAGAAAGGCTGATGAGGTCATCTGCCGCAGGATTGACTGCAGAAATGAGCGCATGAAGCTCTGGCCAAGAACTGCAGTTGTAAGAGAGATTACGGACAGTCACGAGCTGAATAAGTGCCTCCAACGCTGCTTTGTGATTGATGGCATGTCTCAGAGTTTCTTCTCGTTTTGCCAGTTGCTTTGCAGCATGCATATCGCCGGCCTTGGCGAAAGCATCCTGAATCAGACGGTCACGCCGTTTTTTAATCGGATGTTCATGGGCTTCCAGCTCAATGCCGTGTATCTTGAGCAGATGATTCCGAAAGGTCGTTGAAACGGTCGTGGAGTAAGTCGGACTTACACAATGCATGCAGTAGTAAATCTTCTCGTTTTTGCGACCGCAACGAGATGGCTCCGAATTGAGGGGCTCACGGGCGTGAGCCCAAGTATTTGCGGTCGTTTTACGCTTTCGAGCCATGCGCTCTTGGACATCGCCGCTTGAGAATCGAGGGTTCGTGCTGAAGATTGAGGAAGAGCACAATTCGCTTGTGGACACTGGAATCCCCGCAGGGTCAGTGGAAGTGGATGTCATCAGCGAGGACATACGCAGCGTCCTTACACAGTGGTGTTGGAATTAAAGAAAGAGTGGAGAGTTGGAAAATCGCCCCTGAACGGGATTACTACAGGGATCAAATTTTTTCCGCCGTATTGCCATACTTATGGAATACGACATCCCCGTATGGAATATGGATTAACGCGTATGGATTATTCCATATGGATTAATTAATCCATACGCGTATGGATAGAAAGCCTGCTGCCTGATCAGCCATATCCTTCTCTTCCTTGTTATCTGGGTTACCTCTAACAGCAAACCCGTGCTTTGCATTAGGGATGATGACAACCTCAGTGTCTACATCCTTCTTTGCTTCAAGAATCTCAGCTGCCTTGTGCACCTCCTTCAAAGGAAAGGCAAAGTCGACATCACCAATGACCATGCTGTAGGGCAGCTTCACAGGTTCGATGTCTCGGACAACCTCGATTTCACTCGGGTGAGCAGTGAAGGCTGCGTCGATGATTGTCTTGCCATTTGTAGCTACCTCACCGTGGGCCATATGCGTGATACCATATGCGCCCCAGCAGAAGCCCACCACGCCAACTTTGAGATTAGCTGCTTCATTGCAACGCAGGTCGTCCATGAACTTGCGAATACCAGGATAGCGCTTCTCGGGTTTGTTGCGGATACTGAAGGGAACCATGACGAATGCCACCTTTAATAAGTTCCATCTGATTCTCTGCGTTAGGAATAACAGTGTTGCTTGGTACATGTTTAACTTACGGTTTTACCAGCCATCCCCAGAAACCTCCATCATTAAGAACACTGTCAATGATGGCTTTGATGGATGCGGGCGCAGAAGTGCCTGAAAATAAACACATTAGCCTTCAAGTACCGAGGACATGGACAGAAACCATGAACTCACCATGCATGAAATCAGGAACGTATACTCTGCAGCCAGTCCGCTCTGCATATCTGTCTGCCACACCACGTAGGTTGGTCGTGTTCCACCCAAACGCATCCGACATGACGACTATCAGTCCCTTTGTCGAAACCTCTTTGGTCTGAGGTTCTGTAACGTACACATCATGACCATGAAGTTTAGCCTCGCGGCCGTAAACAGGACCAGGATGGTCATGTCCTGTGTAACAGTCAGCGCACGGCATTTTGCTTAATGTTGACGGCTGAGTTTGGAGCACAAGAAGAGGGCTAGTGACTTATTCAGAATTGACTAACTAGAGATACCGAATGAAATGCCAATTGGTGAGGATTGCACTTTATCAAGCTTAGTTGAGACTACGACTGTTTCCCGTGTGGGGTTCCGAGCACCCGGCCCGGTGGGCATCCCCACCAAAAGTTCCTGATATGCTCTGTAGCTATGGATCTGGTTTAGCACCCACTCGCTAAGGGAGTCTCGTCGGGTGGCACCGCAAGAATTCAACGCGCTTGTTGCTTCATAGCATTGATACGCTACCATCACTGTTGCATTTTCTAACTTGATAAGTGATGCTCATTGACAGTAATACATCTGACTATTTGATGACAACTTGTTGCAAAATGGACGCCAAAATAGTTACACAGCCAAGTATACACAATTCTACCATGAGTTAGGGGCAACGTCTGTGTAGACTCTGAAGCCACTGTTCTGCTTCGCATCCTCGAAAGCCTCGTGATGCTCCTCCAAGCCGTACACCTTGTGACTCGAGCCCCCACGCTTGCCGAGCTTGAGAACCCCCGAATTCACCATCTTGATAGTCAACTCGATTCCTCCTCGTGATACCATGACCTTACCAATGATCTTGATGTTTTTGTGCATCACGAGTGTGTACGGAACTGAGATAGACCCAGATGGCGCCCCGCTAAGGACAACTCTCCCTTCTGGTAGCACGGCCTGTATGGCGGCCGAGAAGTACGGAGAGTCGTTCAAGCTGCCTGATGCCCAATCGTTGTATACTTCGACACCGCGCCCATCGGGGCTTGCCTTTCGGATTGCGGTCGCGTCCACCTCGTCATCTCCAGTCATGACAACATAACTGAATCGCTCGTGGTTCCCAAGCTGCTGTTTCAGGTATGCGAGCTTTGTCTCACTGCGACCAATGGCAATGACGTTGGCGCCCAGAGCCAGTGCCATGTCAGAGGTAATACCTCCATAGGTTCCAGTGGCTGGCCCAAGTACAATCGTCTCGCCTGCAAGTAAATTGGCAGCCTCGAATAAAGCTCCAGCAGAGATGCTGTAGAAGGAAATCTCGTGAAGGTCCGCGGGCGTGTATCCAAGCTGCTTGCATAGTCGATTCTCGTCCAACACAAAGATATTCTCGAGGGGGACCTTTTGATACTGTTGGAGGGCACCGTCCCGCCATTCTCCCTGCATGAGCTTACGGCCTTTCGTGCCCTCCCCACCGTGGTGGCCCTGGATAATATTCACGCTAGGATCGTCTCGCGCATAGATGGCGGCCGAGAAAAAGACCAGATCACCGGGCTTGGCAAGTATGGCATCCGATCCGACGGCGTGTACCCGGCCGATATGGCTTGGATGCGGCACCAGGGGAAGGCTCAGGTTGAACACAGGCAGCTTGCCCTGGTGAATATCTTCGGCATAAGGGAATACCACTGTGTTTAGAACTTGGACGACGGCTGAGCCAGCTGTTGCCTCAGGGACGGGGAGTTCAACGAGCTCCAGAGGTTTGTCGAATGAGGAGAGCCATAAGGCACGATTCGTAGTTGTAGGAACGCTTGGACCCATGTTGGGACTGGTGGAATGGGATTGAGAGGTGAAATTGATTGGAGAGAAGGGAGGCTTTGGGAAAGTTGCGGTTGGTAGCTAAATACAAATGCTTGACTAGTCCCAGTGAGCGACAAGCCAGCTACCTCACCAGCGACTACTACCAAGGCTTTCGAGCCAGCCTCGCAAAAGAGCGGGTGGAGTTCATTCCCACCCGATGACATAACTCCACCCATACAACCCATCAAATCTCCACGTAATTGATGTCTAGCACCACCTTGGGAGCATATTTGATCACCTCGAAAACTGTAGAGTGGGCAAAGCCAAACAAAGTGGTGGGAATTCCAAGGCTCGCCGTATTTCGTCAATTGATACATAGAGCAAGTGATTGTACATGAATATTACGGAAATCTACAAGAGAACCTGCCCAGAAGTCATTACAATCTTGATGAGAATAGAAGAACCCGATCAAAATAGTGAAATCAGTTCTCAGTCTTTAAACGTCCTTGTATTACCATGCCATCCCATTCAAGTAGTCTAGACTCTCCATATCCTGCTGGGTTGGTATGCCTGCTTCGCCTAACTCTGCTGTACCAAATATCTTGCCCCAGGTTTCTATATCGTATTCGTCCAAATTTTCAACTGATATCGGTGCATGAGATTGAGTAGTCGATTCTATTTGGGTCTTTTGTCAGCAAGAGCTTGAAAGTAAACATCGTTGACCTACCCTCAACTTGGCGAGTCAATGACACGGCGGAAGGCCGTTCTGGCCTATTAGTACCAACAGGGTCTGTTTCACAGACTTCCGGAGGTGTCGGTAGTAAATTAGGAGAAGGCTCACTGGAGACCAGTAGATCAACAGAATGGTCCTGCCGCACAAGTCTAAAGACTCTTCTGCGTCCAAGGTCTTGGTAAATCGTGAATATAGCAGGCATGTTAGCTACACCAAACTCCTTCCCAAAAGCTGCCAAGAGATATCCCATAGACAGGCCTGCTAATCCTGTAGTTTGTGTACTCGGTAGCCCGTTTGTGGCAGCAAGATATGACCTGAGTTGCATATCGGTGCTCGCGAAGGCGAGGTGAAGGTTGTACAGTTGCGGTGTCAGGTGCGGTGCCGTTCCCGGCTGAACCTTGCCAGGCAATGGCGAAATCTGACAATGCTGTGGAAGTCCATCATACCAGCGATTCAATGCAAGTAGACTTTTGGTGCAAGGCCTGTTTGAAGGTTGTTGATTCGACATGGCATCGTTTAGGATGCATATTAAGCTGACGTAGCAGTTGAAGATACTTAACACCCGCGAAGGCTGGTTCATGGAGTTGGTGTTGCCCAAAGTTGTAGAAGTCACATTCTGCGGTTCCCATTCATTCGGACCTGTTTCTGCGAGCTTCGGGGAGAAACATAAATCTCCTGTCCTGAGATGGGGTGGCTTGCGCAAACGACATGATACGAGAGTATCGAGTATAAAGCAACTTAGGAGAAGCCGCTTCTGATTGTCATCATCGACATTTGCAGCATTGGAGCCGTGGCTGGTAGAAGGGGCGGTACCGAGATGAAGACAAATCCTCACTGCTTGGCCAATCAAGTGCCATGAAGACACAAGATCTTCCTGATCCATTTTGAAAAGGCCCAGGATAAGCAAAGCTTGAACGTAGCCTGGAAGTCGCGCATCTTCGTTAGGTATCCGTTGTCTCGCCTTGGAATAGATCATTTCGGGAGTAGGAAGAGCAGATTGACCATCAGACGCTCCATTATGGTTACGGGTACCTTGAAGTGAAGCATAAGCAACAACAGCCCATAGAGTGGCCATATTCCCCTCTTCTGCCCGATCATCTCGTGACGGCGAATACAACAACTCCAGCATCTTGTGCTTTTGGACCATCGGGAGCCAACAGTTGGTATGGGCAAAGTATACATCAATTAAGCGCCGTACCTGCTGAGCAGACGCGGGGGATGATACGTCGTTCCATGGAGCCGGTTGGAGCACTGACGCGTCATGAGTGGAAGGCGTATTGGCCCTGTCGGTATCCATGGGGTCTGAGACCTCCCGAGCGTCATTGGCTGGCGTTGAAGTCTGTACAGCCTCGAATGCCTTGACACGAGGGGCGAGGTCGGGAGTGGAGGCTTCAGCCTTGACGGAAGCCACAGAATTTGCACCGGAGTCGTTCCCTTGCTGAATATTCGACAACAGCTGATCCAATTCTTCTTGGATGTCACTACCGTCCCAAGCTTGTCTGAGTGTCTCGTAATCTCTGACAAGCCTGCTGTTCAAGACCAATTTGGATCGCGAATCTAGGGCAAACTGAATATCTGGCAAGAGCTCTTGGACTACAGCCTTGCTATTAGGAACGACGGTGAAGACAAGTGCCCAAAGTAGTTCCAGAGCCCTCACATATCCCGTCGTCAACCCACGCTTCTTGGAGTCGGGGCCGTAGCTGCATGGGTAGTGGATGGCAGAGCATCGCGAACAGGTTGGGTGGCTGCCATCGCATCTGTGCTTACAAGCACGGCAGTAATTGCAGGCTCTTGAGACGCGCTTGTGTTTGTTGACTCTTGTGCGTTTGGGTTTGGCAGGCGGATCCATTGTGATTGCAACTGTGATGAGAATTTGAGGCTCTGGGAGTAGCCTAGCCTATTAGCTTTATGATAAACAGTTTCAATATTTAAAATAATGGATGGCTTGGTACTTGCAGGCGGCTGAAATATGCGCTACATAAATCGTAATTCCCACTTACGGTGGGTAACTTTAAGTTGTCGGTCGATCCACCTGCCCCGTCCAGCACACAAAGTACTGTAAAGTGCTACCTCGCACCACTAAATACCACGCAAGGTCACCTATTTCACTTAATTATGCCAGTAGTGAGGTATCACGAAAGGCAGCAGCATTTCAAACGGACATGTATCAGGTATGCAATCGGTCTGCTCAGCTCAGGCTGCCGCAAGGCATGCATATACAGTTATACAAGGCACATATAGTCAAATTTAAACAATTGAGTACCTATTCAGATCTATCCTCTCAAAACCTATTCTCTTTAAGTTGGGATCGTGTCAGACATGGGCCTTGAGGAACTCAAAGCCCTTTTCCAAAAGTTCAAGTGCATTCTCAGGCTGTCCAATTTCATCAAAGCCGTGCTGTCCTCCTTCCACCAGGACCAGTTGCGTCTCGACACCGTGACTCTTGAGTTCGTCATATGCCTGTTGCGACAGCCTTGCCGGCACCAGTTTGTCTTCGGCGCCGTGGATGAAAAAGGTGGGAGGGAAGTTACCCTTGGAGAACTGCGAAACGGGGTCAACGCGATCATAGTCGCTGTCTCCTACAACCGTCTTCAACTGTGTTCCCTTTCCTAGCTGATCAAACATCCAGGCAACACGATAGTTGGCCAAGTCAGGCCCTTTCGGTCCCACCGGAGGCGGTGCTGAGGTGGGAGGAGGGTCATCTTTCCAAATCTTGCTCATGAAATCTTGATCAATCTGAGGAGCACCTGGAGGTGCAGGTAGGGGGGTATGGAAGGCCGAGTCTGCTAGGTACTTGATCCCGTAAATGTCGAGAATTGCGCGAGGCGGTTGGGGCGAACTGGCCTAGACGGTCCGCGTATTAGCATCTCATACCCGTGTCAGAAATTGTGGTATCTGCTCACTGTCAGAAGGGCCAAGGTGCCACCGCAGGAATGACCCAGTGTTACAATCCGAGAGCCATCCGCTTTTACATGAGCATCTTCGAGGAGAAGCTGGGGTAATTTTGTCCGCGACCATTCGTATGCGTCCAGTGCATCTTTGACCGGTCCTTCAAAGACTGTAACCGTGGGAGCCAGTCGATAGTTGGCGGATACAACCACGAAACCTAGATCCAAGAGCATTTCGGACTGGTCTCGCGGGAGCATTTGTTTCGAGCCGACCGTGAAATTTCCGCCATGGAAATGTAATGCTGTATCTCAACGTGTCAGATGCTTACTCAGAGAGGACGAGGATTGGGTAGTTTGCGTACCTATTGGAAGCTTCGAAACGGTCGTGGTCTTTCTGAAGTATACGTCTGCGGCTACCGGGATTCCATCGATGGCTTTGAAGACGTATTCCTTGCGAGTGGTCATTTTGTTGGTGTTCAAATCTGCAGTAAGCATCAACACTAGCCTTTTCTGCTAAGAACACTTTTGTTCTACGTCCAAAAGAAAACCGCCTCAGAAAGGCCAGGATCTGGTGGCCTGTCGTAGATCAATGAATACAAAAGAGGTGGCAAACAAGAATGGCAATCGTTCGGTTGTGTACCACCGGTGTCCCACCCAGAAGCTACCCACTCATACCCGCCCACCTTCTCACGATGAGGTCGATAATGAAGGAATTTTGTGCACGGCAATGAGAGAGAAAAGATATGATGATATATATAAGATATCGAGTGCGTGCTGTTAATATCTCAAAAATACTTCCTCGACTTTGGACCCGAAAAGATTCCATGCTACGTTGATCACCACTGCTCCCCCGAATACGGAATGAGTCCGAATAAACTAAGACGGCCAACTAATTGAGGATATTTTATGTTACATTGACATTAGATGTACGGAGTACTGTAGCAATGTTTGTCGCTATGGTGGGTAGGCTGTTGCAACGTGTATGGTAGTGTCCGAATCCTCCAATTTCTTGATTAACGATTTCAGCTTTTGCGACACAGAAGAAGGCCCTGTACATATTAGCATCTTCTCAAAATCATTAACGACAGAGACTTGAGCTTACACTTCCACATTGAGCCATCCGAGAGAAGCTCTGCTAATACGGCAAGCGGTAAGACTGATTGTAGGCCGTGATCCTCCAATTGCAGGTCCGTAACTTCTGCAAAACTCTCATTTATCAATGCGTTGAGAATATCGCGTGATTCGACCTGTGAAACACGAGATTGCGCGAATTGAAGGTACCAGCAAAGAAGCAGGCCTGCCTACAAGTTAGCTACTGAACAAAGGTTGAGCACGGAATTCAAGACATACAGCCCTCTAAAGTGCCGACCACACTTTCGGGCCCGAATATTATGGGCGCTATTTTTTTAATGTAAGATAGACCCACGCGGCAGTCGAATCTTAGCTGGTCTGCTGCATTGAAGAGTGCCTGGTAGAGTTCAGGTGAGATTGCCTCGTTTAAAAGATGCATGATCTCAGGATCATCGAGACTCGCAGGCGACCAGAGTATCTTCTTCATGACAGACAGCGGAACGCTACCGTAAAGATGGTAGAAAGCTGAGTTCAGTAATGATCTGGCGCAGTGAACGGTGGGATTCGGGGCCAGTCCGCCATCATCCTGGATCGTACGAGCTTTGAGAATTGCATCTAGCACCTGCAATGACTGCTCCATCTTCTTGCCGAATTTAGCGTAGAGCTCCCCGTCGCGTGAGCCTGTTAGTAGCTCAGATGAGCATATCCTGTAGAGAAGGGTAGACACGATGGTTACGAGACCGAATTCGCTGACTGGCATGGACGGTGGTTGGCCGGCGATGATGCTGTCCAGCGCATCGTTACTGTATAATACTTCGGTCGGGGTGCCCCAGCTGGACTCTTCTTTTAGCCACTCTGCGTTGCTTGACGGGAGGGCGAATCTGGCTTCGACCATAGGTGTTGGAATCCATGCTTCCTGTTCCTTTGAGCAGACGGTGCCACCTATGAGTATCGTAGATGAGATACACCTTGTATAGTGTGAGAAATCATAATGCGTGCATGGTGTGAGTATAAGTACCTATTTAGACTCTCCCAGCGCACCCAATCCTTATACGTGGTGGGCGGACACGTCTGTAGCTCGTTGAGTGCTTCTTGTGTAAGCTGAAAACGTAAGAGTTAGCCATGACCAGACTAAATGAGTTGACGTTGGAATTAACCTTGACGCAGTGAGGAAACGCGTGTGCTCTCTTGCCTTCCGAACCGCAGTGAATCTCAAAATAAGCGAGGAGAAAATATGTCTGCAGCATCCACGTTAGAGTCTCGGGGTCGACCTTGCTGAATGCAATCACCCGTTCATGCTGGTTCCTCTGTTAACGAAATTTATCATCTAAGTGCTCGGAATGGCTGTCCTACCTCGAAAACAAGTTGCACGGAGATGGTATGCATCGATGTAGCCCTGGAGTGTTCACCGAGATATATGGCGCTGCAGGCCATTACAACAAGCAGGAGGGGAGCTATGTCAAACTTTGTTTCAGAACCTCTATTGCACTGCCTATGATGGCATACTACTTACATGGCGTTGTGGCGATGTCAAAGGTCGGCTCATGTATGATGGGTATATGAGGAGCAATATGCTTAAAAAAGGCCTTGACAAACCGCCTCACGGCATATTTGGAAGGAAAGCGAAGCGAAGCGAGTATGTGGACCGGATATTTTGTGAGGTTGGCCCAAGCATTCTCACATTTATTGTCGTTGGGGACGAGGTTGCGCGGGGTAGAAGATTTGTCTGTCTGACCGAGAGTAGTTGGCCTGTTGGGTATCGGTGGCTCCAGGGCTAGTATCGGTAGTTCCCGGGGATTGCAGCTTGGTACTTCGCCAAAAAGTCCTTGGGCATCCGCCAGAAGCGCGTCGAGATCGAACATGGCGGAAAGATTGGGGTTGATGAGGTCGGGGTCCATAAATGAAGCGTTGAATTCTAGGGGACTCCCTGAAAGATAGGCAGGGAACATGTCGGGCTGCGAGGGCATGGCGATGTCCAGCGAATTAGCCTGGCTGCTCTGAGATCCATCTACCTCATTGTTTGTCGGAGACTCACCGCGCTCCTCAATTGCGTCGTTGACTCCTTCTGAATGACGATCTTGCTGTCCTCGGGCCGTCGTCGTGGCAGGTGATGCTCGCGCAGAGCCGTTCTTTGATCCTTTCGGACGAGAAGCTCCAGGGTGGGAATTGTTGCGACGCCTGCCTCAAAAGCCAGAGGACTTTCTGTTGCCAAGGCCGTGATGGAAGTTTCTGGTATGCCGGACGATGACATCTTTTCTGGAAGATGTTAGGGAGCAATACATGCAGTTGTACGGTTTCTCGCTTCCATCTACAGATGGTCAGTGGCTGCTAATTCTCCAAGAAATAGCAAAAGGAGCGACTTGCGCGTGAGCTCATGGCGTCGTAAGTGAGCGAGGCGGTTGAAACTGGCGTTGCATTGATCGCAGGAGAGCCCGCAACCTTGGCGGTTAGAAGATTTGTCTGCATTTTCACGAGTAACTTGCTGCGTAGAGGTGTTGGTTTGATAAGACATTGCTGTGAGCTAATGGAGAGTGGGTATGAGGAGATGAAGGGAGTCACAAGTGCCCCCGGGTATGGTCTGGACGGAAGAATGATTGATTGATCCTGGGGTTGACAAATCCAGTCCAAAAATGTGGGGGATAAGATTGCGGGGGAAGATCTCGAGACTAGCCTACGTTCGAGGGTTTAGGGTAGAATGTGTATAGCTAAAGATGGGTGCGAAAGTATGGTATGTATGCGTAACACTTTACTAGGGTCTATAGGGGATGGTCTGGTGTGTAATGTCCCCAGCTTCAGAAGGTTAATAGCTAATCAGACCAGCTTATTCCCGCGACTACACTGTACGGCCGTTTCTGCCTCTACCTATCCTTGCTAAAGCTTTGTAATCTTCTAAACACACAAGATGAGATGCTGCCAGCATTGACAATGGGCTTCGGGCTTTACTCGGTGTCTACATACCCTATATAACAGTACGTGTAGATTTGGCTTTACTTTATAGTACTCGCTGCTGTGCATAAAAGAGCACGCCATCTAAGCTGATGAACACGACTTACATCATTGGACACCTCTGCGACTCACTCGCTCCAAGTGATGGTCTTGTACCTCAGAAACTCAGCCAGTCCTTGCGCGGCATTGAACCTTCCGTAGCCACTCTTCTTAGCCCCGCCGTGCACCAGCGACGCCTCGTCGTGCACGGTCATGGAGTTGATGTGGACCGCCCCAGATTCGTACTTCCTAGCGACCCTCATAGCGGCCTTTAAGTCCTCGGAGAATACAGCCCCCGAGAGCCCGTAGTCGGTGTCATTGGCGATCGAGAGAGCCTCGTCCTCGGTGTCAAAGGTCAGGAGGGACACGGTAGGCCCGAAGGACTCGGTGTGGTAGATGTTCATTTCCTTGGACACGTTGGAGACGATGACGGGTCTCATCTTGGTGGGCTGGTCCTCCACAGCCTCGGCGTCGCCCAGGAGGGTCGTCGCGCCCTTGGCGACCGCGTCGGCGACGAGACCCTTGTTTTTCTGTACAGCCGCTGGGTTTACTAGCACAAACGGCGGCTTCTCGGACCCGAAGAGCCCCTGCGTTGCCTCTTTGAGTGCAGCGCTGAACTCGTCACTAATCGATCTGTGCACGAGAATGCGTTCCGTCGACATGCACACCTGACCGCCCTAAATATTATTAGCATCAATTAAAATACATTGCATCACGGGTCAAACTCACGTGGATAAACGCGCCCACAGCGCAACTTGTCGCGGCCTTTTTCACGTCGGCGTCTTTGAGGACGATGGCACTCGCTTTTCCACCCAGCTCAAGCAAAAGCGGCTTGACGTGCTTCCCCGCCAAACTGGCGATGATGCTTCCGACAAGAGTACTACCAGTGAAATTGATCTTCTTAATCGCGGGATGCGCAATCAAGGCTTCTGTCACCGCAGCGGCATCCGCCGTTCGGTGATAAATGACGTTGAGACAACCGTCCGGCAGCCCAGCCTGTCGAAAGATGTCGCCGATTGCCCAGAAAACGCGCGGGCTCAGCTCAGAACCCTTGAGAACTGTTGTATTTCCCGTTGCGAGGGCAAACGCAATTGATCGTGCGCCGAGCACGTATGGGGCATTCCTGCGGTGAAAGAAAGAAAAACCGTCAGTCTCAACGGCGGTCCGAATGCGAGTGTTTTGCATACATACCACGGGGCAATTGCGAGAACAACGCCGTACGGTTCCTTGACTACAATGGCATGGGACCCCTGCTCGGCCGTCGCAGGAACCGAACCTTCAACTGCCGCCTCGATTCTTCCTCCGATATCCCTCAGGATCTGCGCCGTAGCGTTGATGTTGATCTCCATAAATTTCCGCCCCGCACCCGTCTCCTGGGCTTGGTAGGCGAACAATTTCTCTTTTCTGCTGATAAAGAGATCTGCGGCCCGGAACATGATGTCCCGTCTAAAACTGGGCTTTGTCTGAGACCACGACATGAAAGCCGCTTGGGCGGCCTCGACAGCCCCGGTTGCATCATTGATTGAAGCAGATGAACCACTCCAGAGCTTTTCAGAGTTGGAAGGGCTATTTACAGGAAACGATGTTTCTGAGATGACATCTTTCCCATTGATGATTAGTGGGACGGTTGACCAACCGTTTGCATTGTCGCCTGAGCTCATTGTTGTCTATAGATGGATGAGAATAGGTAAAGAATTGTTTCAATTCGAATGTTGGTCAAGGTGTGTTGTATCTATCTAGTATTTAATCTTTCCCGCGTCCAGGGTGGCCGAGCCCAAATGGCTACGTCGCTCCAGGTGGCTAAGCGTTCGGAAAGCTGCTCTCGCTCCACCGAGGCCCGTGTACAAAAAGACAGCAAACAAGAACCTAGCCCAAGCCGGTGACTCAAAACAGTGCTCTAGCGATTAGCTGATGGCGCAAGCAAGGATCAATGCTTTCCGTGCATGCCATTTTTGTCGTCTATCTAGCGCTATGCCACTCAAATGCAGGTGTAAACGTGGATAGTATAGGGTGGGGAGGTATGCGGTGGGGAGTTTGCCCACCAAACTGCATCGTAGTAGGTGGGTGAAGAGAAGCTAGAAACGCGTCGCCTGGTAGTTCCGTTATTGTCGTTATAAGTTGTCTGTCTTGTATTTTATTTTCTCTTCAATGATGTTTGCTTGGTAATCCATAGTCACATTGGTGCCCCCCAAATGCACATCTGCAAATTCCATCCCCAACAGTGAACACCGCGATGAAGCTGGCCGGACGAAATATCCAAGTGGTGCCGATTGCTATTGCGCTGGTATTGCTATGGATCCTATATCGTACTGTTCTCTGGCTCAGATTCCATCGAAAGTACAAATTTCCTAATCTCGTGCCCGGCGTGCCCCTGTTCGGGAACATGCTGCAGATCCCAACCGATACAGTTGGGCGGCGTCTGTATCTCCATAAACTGGCTAGGAAATATGGCGAAATGTAAGTGTCACAAGTAGGGCCTCACCAAGACCAACACTTACAAAACCTTCCCCACCAGGTTCACTCTCAAAGTAGGCTCCAATTACTGGATATTCATGAACTCTCAGCGCGTCGCCAATGAGCTGCTTGACAAGCGCGGGGCACGTTACATCTCACGGCAGAATCTGCCCATGCCTGGAGACGTTGCCTCTGGCGGAAAGCGCGTCGTCTTCATGCCATACGGAAACCTCTGGAAGTGGGAGCGCAAGCTCATACACGAGATCATCGGCCCCGGAAACCGCAACGTCTTTGCCCCTCTCCAGGACGTCGAGTCACGAACACTATTATACGACTACCTCACAGAGCCTGATCTGTGGAATCAGGCAAACGCCCGATATGCCAGCTCCCTTATAATGAGTATGGTGTTTGGGCGGAGGACAAAGATGGGAGACCCAAACGTTGACAGGATCATTGAGACGAATAACGAGATCATGAAGATGTTTGAACCTGGCTCCAGCTTGATCGATTCATTTCCCTTCTTGGCATACATTCCTCTCCCAAAAGCTATTCAGCCATGGAGGTGGTGGGGCGACAGTGTCTTTGAACAATCTAAGAAGTATGTTGTCAATGCTCGTGATATCAGGTGGCCACTGACTTCAAGACAGAAACTTTTCTGAAGAGTTTGAAGGTCTTGCCGCGCGAGAACAGCAAGGCAAGAACGTAACGTGCTTTGTTTCAGAGTTCAAAAGGCTTGGGAGAGATAAGGTGCTTGACTATGAGTCAACAGTCTTCCTCGCCGGATCTCTCATTGAAGCGGGATCTGATACCACGCGTGTGGCTTTGAACCAACTTGGGGCTGGGGCAGCGCTGTTTCCCGACTTTGTACAGCGTGCGCGTCAGGACTTGGATAATGTATGTGGTGCAGATGCGCAGAGACTTCCGGTCGCGAGCGACATTGCAAGTTTGCCCTACATCAAAGCCATCGGCAAGGAAGTTCTTCGATGGAAGTAAGTAAAAAGAAACCATCACAGCGCGATTCTGAGTCGTCTTTGTGACATAGGCTGACAAGTATTCTTTAGCATTTCGTTTCCAGAAATTGCCCACTCATTGATTGAGGATGACTCTTTCGAAGGATACAACATTCCAGCGGGAACCAATGTCATTTGGAATAGCTGGGGCGTTCATATGGATGCTTCCGAGTACGAAAATCCGGAAACATTCTGGCCCGAGAGATTCTTGAACGAAGACCTTGACAAGCCCATCAAGGGACATTTAGCATTTGGAGCAGGTAAGTCAAGCCACGCAAGCATCCAATCATCATACGACTGACAAGTTATTCTCCTAGGTCGCAGAGTATGTCCCGGATGGGTCATCGCTAGTAACAGCCTGCACCTGTTGATCGCGCGAGTACTGTACTGCTTTGACTTCCACCAAGTTCCAGGCCATCCAATTCCAGTTGGAAAGCCGTTCGAGATCGGAACAGAGAAGCCTTATGAAGTTAGAATTAGCGTTAGAAGTCAGGCTCATGCGGCATTGATCAAGGCGGAATGTGCAGAGGCAGCGAACTTTTGAGTAGAGAATCGCCGCAGAGATTGAGCCTCGGAACTAGGTACGGATATGAAGACAACCGCATGCTGCTAGACGACTGGGAATTGGATATGTTTTATGCCGGTCAACTTTGCACAAGATAGAAAACTTGAAAGCCAGTTTGTAGTTTCTGGTTACATCTTCGTTAAACATGCTTTGAAAGCTAGATTGGGCAGGGGAGCCATGATTTCCTGCGTTGCCCAACAGTCAGTTGGTTCAGTGGAATGAACATCAGTCTATTACTCGAATACCCTGTATATATACTGTCGTATCAAAGGTACATAAAGGTCACACCCGAATATCACACGAATCGAAACAGAGGCTTTAGGTAACCATGATATTATATTAACTCTTGTGAGGTCTCCGTTACAAATCTGCCCTTGCGTCCTCACCAGCCCATGCCCTCCGAATGACTTCTCGGATGAGCTCTCTATCAATTTCCCTTGGATTAGCATAAGACTTGCTGACGGCGATATCAGCTGCCTTGTCAATATCTTCCTCCTTGAAACCAATGGACTTCAAGCTCCGTGGAACACCAAGCTTGTTGAGCAACGTGTTGAGGCCGCGTAGAGCATCCCCCTGACTGTCTGGAAGCACTCCAGCCAGGACCTTCATTGCCTGGGGAACCTTGGGAGCATTGTACGCCAAGGCGTGCGGAAGAACAATTGTGTGCGTCTCGGCATGAGGAAGGTTGAAAGAGCCGCCTAATGTGTGGCAAAGCTTGTGATGAAGAGACATTCCGACGCTGCCTAAGCATGTTCCGCAGAGCCAAGCCCCGTACTGGCAGATCGATCGAGCTACGATGGAGTCAGGATCGTCTAGTAGCTCGTATGATCCGTTTGCGAGAGATCTCACACCTTCGGCGGCCATGAGACTAACGATAGGGTTCGTGTTGGGGGCGTAGAGCGCCTCGACACCATGTGCGATAGCGTTGATGATGCTGGTCAGCGACATGGGAAGTGGAAGCGTGAGAGTCAAGTCGACGTCGTATATAACAGTTTTAGGCAAGATTTCAAACTGCGTCTTGGTCGTTTTGATACCGTCGACGGTTTCGCCGAGGATTGGTGTCACCTCACTACCAGCGTATGTTGTAGGAATGGAGATATGATATATCCCTTTGCGGAAGCTGATCGCCTTGCCGAGTCCAGTGGTACTGCCGCCCCCAATAGACACCAGAACGTCAGGCTCGTTCTGCTGGCAAAATGCGAGGGCCTTCTCGGTAACATTCAAGGGAGTGTGCATGGTGGCCTCGGAGAAGATCCAACTGGCTTCCACGTGCGACTCGAGAATATCGGTGATTTGTTTGGCTTGGTCAATTTGGTGGGGAGTCGATAGGACGAGGGCCCGCCGGAAGCCAAGTTGTTGAAGGCATTGCGGAAGTTGACGGATTGAACCTCGTCCAAAAATGATCTTGTGAGAGAGAGGGCTGTACACGAAGGGCTCCATCTTGAACAAGGGTGTCTTTTCTTTGAAACAAGTCTTGAGAGCGGTATCCTGATATGCTATCAAAGTAACATTCTTTGCCTTATCTTGGTTCCGGTTCCCGAGCGGCTAGACGCATCTAGCCACCGAGCCACTCGGCTTTTCCGTACCCACCGGCCCCACCACCGTCGGCACTTCATAGGTACTCCTCGGTGGGAACGGTCTAAAAAAGACATCGGTTACCGTGCCGCCAAATCTCAAAGATTCATTGATTAGCCTAACATCCGATACTTGTATAGTTCCATTTCCAGTCATACTCATCATCCGTCATATCACCTCTGTCCACCATGTCGCATACTAATCCAGGCATCCCGCTTCTAAAAGATCTCACAACCGAAAACATTACCGAAAATGTCGTGGCTATCAACTCTGACTGCCAAGATCCACGAACACGCTTTCTTTTTGAGAGGCTAGTTCATCACCTCCATGACTTTGCGCGTGAGACTCGTCTTAGCACCGCCGAGTGGGAGAAAGCTGTTCAGTTTCTCACCAGAACTGGAAAGATTTGCAGCGACACCAGACAAGAATTCATTCTTCTATCTGATGTCCTAGGACTATCACTTCTGGTAGATTCAATTGATCACCCCAAGCCACCTACGTCTACCGAGGGTACTGTTCTTGGCCCCTTCCATGCACACGGGGCTGAGAATGTTGCTTCCGGAGACACTATTTTTCATGATCCTGATGGAGAACCACTCTTGGTTGTGTGTACGGTACGAGACTCACAGGGTAACCCACTAGAAGATGTCGAGGTTGATATCTGGGAGACCGACTCCAAGGGTTTCTATGATGTGCAGTATGCAGACCGGGAAGGCTTCGATAACAGAGCTATACTACACAGCGACAGTGAAGGGAACTTCGATTTCAAGGCCATTGTGCCTGTCCCTTATCCAATCCCGGGCGATGGGCCTGTCGGAGATCTTCTGAAGGCTCTGAACCGACATGTCTACCGCCCAAGCCACATGCACTTCAAATTCAAGAAGGCAGGATATGACCCTCTAATAACGTAAGTCACACCCAGGAAGCCAGTCGAAATTATCATACTGACGTGGACAGGGCACTTTACATTCGTGGAGACCCGTATGAGACCTCTGATGCCGTCTTTGGTGTCAAGGAGTCTCTCATTGTTGATCTGGGAACTGTCTCTGAGGTGTCAGGATTCTCTGAGAGGTATGGAGTACCAGGAACCACGAAGCTACTGAGATATGACTTTTCGCTCGTTTCGGGAGCCGAGGTTGGGGCGTTACGGCATGAGAAGGCAGTAAAGTCGGCTATTAAGCTTGACAATGATGTTAAAGTAGTTGATGGTACAATCACCTATTGAGCTATTGAGATAGTTGAACAGAAAGAAATAAGCAACTTGCTCACCGAAGTTGGATATCTGTGGAAGGGCTACTGCTTGTGGTATCATCACGTATGCGTCTAAAAAGCTCTGCTAGTCATAAACTAGGGTGATCCACAGACGCGAGAGCATTAAATTCTTGGCTGTATCTCACTTCTGCGATTAACGCATCTGATAAGTGTCGGCCATTACGACTCCTCAAAAGTTTTGCAAGACCAGACATGATGTTTGGACAGTTTTCTCGAATATCATTTATATTTATCGTGTATGTATGATCAAGTCTTGTACATCTGGTATTTCTGTTCCACGTAAACCACCCAGCTCAGACCCCACGAGGTGGTAGATGAACTAAACTCTTGAGAGGCCATATTCCCTGCTTACCAGGAGATAGAATTCCATTTGGATCCACGGCAGTCTGGAAGTAGAACGTTAGAATTGGTAGCGCTTCGAAGTTTCAATCGCAAACATACCTTTAAAGTCTCAACAAATCTCCTATAAATGTGGCCATTGTACGAATACAAATTTTGAACAGCATCTGGCAATCGTCAGTAACGCGTCTTCGGAGTCTGTAGACTGTACTTACCCATGTGCTGAACATGGGATCTATAATTGGCGAACCCATTCAATTCTGCCTCGGCAAGTAGGGCCTTGACCACCTTGCGGCCACCTTCACGCGCCGTCTTGTTAGACTTGTCGAAGACATATTCCTGAACAAACAGGATGTACTTTGAGAAGACGTGGCATCCAATAAAAGGATCAACTCCTTGCTCCTCCATAATAGCCCTTGCTTTGCGGAACCACGTCAGGACTGTTTTACCCTCGCAAGGAAGGATGAGGGTAGTGTCGATATGAGCTCCCGCCCCTGTCCCATCCGCTGGAAGGTTATACTCTGCGAGCTTCACAGCGCCCATTGATGGGATACCCGCAGCGAGCGTTCCAATTTGGATGTTGTCTACTGGCTTGCCATCCTTGCCTTCGAAGAGCGTGTTCTCAACCCAGGCGTTGGGAACCTTTTGGGCGACAACCTCCTGCAACCTACTCCAACGGGCGAGAACCATTTGCTTAGGCCCATAGAAAGAAACTAAGCATCGCCAGTACCCAGTATTATACTTCTTCTTCAGCGCCGCTATGCTCTCAGGTGTTAGAGGCCCTGGCACACTCTGCTGCTGGTGCTTGGGGGCATCGTGAGAGGCAAAATGGTTGATGTTGGTGATCATGTGGTGACTTTGGGTGATGCCCTCACGGTCCAGCTGCTGGAGCGTGTCGATGAGGGGCGCAATGTCTTCGACCTCGGGACAGTGGATTTTGACTTCCATGAAAGACGGAGGGGCCACATCGAGAGCCACCGCCATCTTGGTCACGATGCCCAGATTGCTCTGCAAGAAAAGGCCGTCGATTTGAGGGCCGAAGCTATTGGGGCAAGCATGTGCGCTGGGGGAATTAGGCACCGCCCATTGGCCTGTCCGGAGGATCTCTCCCGAGGCCAAAAGAACCTCTAAACTGCCAATGAAATGCTGGCGGTCACCAGAGACGGTGTAGCCATGACCGCGGTCCAGAGTCTAGAAACTCGTCAGTAAACATTGCTACTATCCAACAGCGAGAATTGACTTACATTTCCCACGACACTTCCCCATCCCAAAGCCGGGACGGAGACCCAAAGATCCAGCTTGTTCTCCACAATGTAGTTGTAGACATCAAAAAAGGTTACTCCCGGCTCAACGACAATGTAAGCCAGCTTCTCGTTGACCTCCAAGATGCGCTTCATCCGATGAAGAGAGAGCACCATGGACCCCGCAACCCTAGGGGCAGGTCCGCCATACCTACCAACATATTAGCTGAAATGACAAAGGTATCAAGGAGTCTGTGTCAGGCATACCCGAAATTCTTTCCTTGCGAGCAAGTCCACAAGGGAACATGGTGTTGGTTGGCTACCTTGAGAATCGCCTGGACCTCTTCAACAGTTGATGGGCTACAGTCGTGTCAGCAAGGTCGGCATAGTGCGCATTGTAAATTCAAGGGTCTTACCATAATCCAGCAGATGCCTCAAATCCCTCCTCGAATAAGGGATATGGGTCACGAAAGTTGGCCAACCCTTCGTCAATTATGACGTTCTCGTCGCCTATGATAGCTCGAAACTCATTCACGGCACGCTGGAAGCTGACTTCATCGTGACCAGGAGGAAGGCTTCGCGTCCCTGGCTGACGAGAACGGAACGCATTGTCATGATGCGACTGCAGCTCTGGAGATGCGTACCACTGAACCATTTGGGGCGAACTTTTAAAATTAGGATGGGATAGATCGGATTGAAAGAATGCGAAGCTAGAATCTGACTTGTTGCAAATCACTCATCCTTGCAGGACAAGCAGGTCCTTATGGGACTCACGAAGCCTCTTGTGAGCATTCACCCCGCCCTAAACCGAGGCCTTACAACTGAAGTTAGTGCGCTCCCAGGTGGTACACATAGTGCTCTACGTTTGCCGTATCACATCGGCCCATCGGAAGACACTGGTGGGGATGAGAGCTTATTACCCACTCCAATGTTTCAATCATTGGGTGGAGACGCCACCCGCAAAGGGACGAGCGGATAGCAGCTAGGATTGTGAACCTTATGCCCAAGCAGACATCAAATCGACAATTAGATCAAATGACCATAAAAAGGTTCAAGTCTCTTCTGAGAAGACATTACAAAACGCACAAATACAAGTACTACTTTGGCATTTGCAGTGTCTATATACATTCTCATCAACACAACTCTTCAGACTATCAAGTCCCATCTCGCCCATCATGGCACATGTTGTTCCAGGAGTCCCAGGCACACGCTTCCCCAAGCACTATGCTATGAGCAAGTGGAACGAGGACCATCTGCGGTTCGAGGCAGATGCCTACGAGCTTGAAGTCATAGGAGAAATCCCCAGCACCATCCACGGCGCCTTCTACCGCGTCCAGCCCGATCATGCATTCCCACCCATCTTTGCGGAAACCGAAATCCCGCTCAATGGTGATGGCAACGTCAGCTCATTCTACATCAAGGATGGTCACGTTGACTTCAAGCAGCGCTATGTGCGCACCCCTAAACTCATCGCTGAGCGTGAAGCTAGACGTGCCCTCTTTGGCAGATATCGCAACAAGTACACAGATGATCCACGCGTTCAGAATGTTCTCAAGGGTACCACGGCAAACACCCATGTTGTATTCCATGATAACAAGTTGATGGCCCTCAAGGAGGATGCGCCGCCTATGGAACTCGACCCCATCACTCTTGAGACCCTCGGCTACATTGACTACCACGGCACGCTCCGTTGCCCCACGCACACTGCGCATCCGAAGGCAGACTCAGCCACGGGAGAGTTGGTCTCTTACTCCTATGAGGCTGCTGGCGACGCATCACCAGACATCTGCTCCTTCACCGTCGACAAACACGGCAAGCTCTCTGAAGAGGTCTGGTTCAAGGCGCCTTGGCCGTGCATGATCCACGACTTCTGGGCCACCGACAACTGGGTCGTGTTTCCTGTCAACGGCCTCAAGGCCAGCCTGGAGCAGATGAAGAACGGCGGCGACCACTTCTACTGGGATGAGACTCTGGACTACCAGCTGCTGGGCGTTATTCCTCGCCGCGGCGCCAAGCCCGAGGATGCGAAGTGGTTCAAGACTCCCCAGGGCTGCTACTCGCACACCATCAACGCCTATGAGGAGGACGGAAAGCTTGTCTTAGATGCCAACGTCTGGACCGACGTCCATTTCCCCTTCTTCCCCAACACCAAGGGCGAGAGGTTCTTCACCGACCCTAGGAAAGTCACGGCACCTATCACCCGCTACCGATTTGACCCCAACGGTAGTACTGATAAGATGATCCACCCTGAGGCTATTCTTGTCACCGGCGTCAACGAATTTGGTCGCATAGACGATCGTCTTCTGGGCAAGAAATACTCCCGCGTCTGGATTCTTAAGGTCGATCCTACGCATGAAGTCAAGCTCAACGACCACGAGACGGCCCAAGGCAATGTTGGCTTCAACACCCTGGTTTGCTACAACTTTGAGACAGGAGACATGCAATCTTACCGCCACGGTGACGACACCACGTTCCAAGAGCCCGTCTTTGTTCCGAGACATGAGGGTGCTGACGACGAGGATGGCTATATCCTCGTTGTGGCTGATCGCTATCGCGAGGGTCGCAATGTCCTGCTGCTCTTTGAGGCTTCGGACATCACCCGAGGTCCTCTTGCTGAGATCAAGTTGCCGTTCAAGTTGATGGATGGACTTCATGGTAGTTGGGTGGACGGAAAGGATGTTGATGCAGCCAGGGAGGCGAGCGAGGCGCGAAAGTAGAATGGAACTGTGAATGGGAAGTAGGTAGTCGCTATATATGCTTGGCTTAACAGAATGTATCTCTTTTGAACTCGTTTTTAACTCTTCGTGCGCTCTAATGTCTTGTCAGGTCACCAATGTCTTTAAGGCATGGTTGCATATCATGCAAGGAGGAGGAACTGCTGCGAGGTTCTACCAAGTTAAATAAACGGATACAAGTACTTTCGTAGCGAGATCTTGACCGTGTGTATTGCGAAAGATAGCGAGTACATAGTACTATCTCAGTAAATTCTGTGTTATGGCAATCTTTGTTGGGAGATGGCTTGTAAGACTCCCATTCCAGCTCCCGGGTCTAGGTGCGCGAAGACATGATTCGAGTAGGCAGTTTCGCGGCGATATCTTGTTAGATTTGTAAAGAAATATTTTATGCTTGCTCGCTAGTGGCTATCTTTTTGGGCCACGCTTAAAAGCTTTATTTCATCTTGCTTGACTTGCGAATATTGAAAATGAGCTATCCAGGATTGACATGTTCAAGAACCATTCGCAAACTTTCCATCTAGGTGGTAATGTATTGCGAGTCGAGCCTAAATCCTATCTCATCAATCTAGTTACGCATGCCAATTCAAAATATACTGGATCCTCCGTTGATGGGAATAAAGGCCCCGTTGATCCAGCCC